GGCGACCGATGACTTAGCCAATTGGTTCGCTGGTCGCGCCTGTGGCGGTATACTCGATTTATATGTCGGTTACGACGAGCGGCTACTTGCCGAGTCCTCTCGCGACTTGACTACCTTTCAGACGCCCTTCGGAGCGTTTAGACTTCGTACATTGCCAATGGGATGGACTAATGCGGTCCCTATATTCCACGACGATGTCACAACTATTCTACGGCCCCTTATACCGGACATAACGATTCCTTATATCGATGATGTACCGATACGAGGACCGGAAACCCGCTATGAACTTCCGGACGGGTCTTTTGAGACTATCCCGGAAAATCCAGGCATCCGACGCTTTGTTTGGGAGCACTTGCTCAACGTCAACAGAGTGCTACAACATATGGGATATTCAGGCGGCACCTTTTCGGGTCTTAAGTCGCTCTTGATAGCCCTTCAAATACTAGTCGTCGGACATCTGTGTACATACGATGGCCGACGACCGGAAGAAGACCGCGTAGGCGTCATTGAGCGCTGGGGCCCTTGCCACGACGTCTCTGAAGTCCGGCAGTTCCTCGGCCTCACCGGCGTTTTCCGAATGTTCATAAAGGACTACGCCGTCAAGGCAGATCCTTTGGTGATGCTCACGCGTAATGGCGTACCCTTTGTGTGGGAGCTACCTCAGAGCTACGCGCAAAACAAACTAAAAACCGCTCTATTAAAGAGTCCGCCGCTGAAGCCCGTCAGTTATAAGACCGACTGGGACACTGTCCTCGGCGTTGACACATCTTATATAGCGGTTGGGTGGTTCATCCTACAAATAAATCCGAGTGATGTAAAGGAGTTCTACTACTGTCGCTTCGGATCAATGCTCTTGACAGAGCGAGAGGCTAGGTTCTCTCAACCTAAGCGTGAACTGTTTGGCGTCATGAAGGCCTTGCAGAGCGCTTATCATTGGCTTGTCGGGTGCCGGAAACTGGTTGTGGAGACTGATGCTAAGTTCCTCAAGGGCATGCTCAGTAATCCAGGCTGCGGCCCCAACGCCAACGTCAACCGGTGGATCGAGCAAGTCTTGTTCTTCCACTTCACGCTTCGCCATGTACCTGGAAAATCCCATGCGATCGCGGACGCACTATCGCGGCGACCGTGGCAACAAGGAGATCCAGTGCGAGATCCGGCGGACGAGGAGGAAGACGAGCCACAAGGCTTGGATGGATTCGAGGTCAAGGATGGTCTACCTGACGACACCTTGCCTATCGAAGACTTCCGAGATAAAATCGATACACGCGGAGGCCACCAGTAGAAGGAGGTAATACACAAGTGCCATGGCTGCAGCCACTGAAGCCAAATGCATTTGGCATGGCTCTAGCCACTGGTGGCTGGTGCCACTGCAAAAACACAAAATCTCGGACTTTGATCAGAAATTTCAAGTTGAAGAAGGGTAGGTTAGGAGGGTTAGGGGTTGGTTTGGGTTGGTTAGAGGTTAGGGTTTGAGGTTAGGAGGGTTAGGAAGGTTAGGGAGGTTAGGAGGTTAGGGTTTGGTTAGGGTTCAGGGTTAGGATTTTGGGTTAGAAGTTTGGGTTAGGGCCAGGGACGTCATATCTGTCTCGTTGTCTCGTTGGTTAGAGGTTAGGGTTTGCCAATAAGGCTCATTCAGAGTAGGGAGGGTTAGGAAGGGTTAGGGAGGTTAGAAAGGTTGGGTAAGGGAGGGTGATATAGTGCAACATATCTGCTAGCTAAACAAGATCCAATGGCTTAGCTGGTTAGAGCACCAATCTGACTGCACAAGGTCTGGAGTTCAAACCCTGCTATATCTGCTCTTGATTTGCAACATTTTTAAGCAGTTTCTGATGGCATCTGCTGACAAATCTGTCAGTGATGACTCAGACAATGCCTAATTAGGTTGCAAATTACCAAATATAGCAATTGGGAGCCATGCATTTGCCAGTGGCAGCAGCCACCAGTGGCTAGAGCCATGCCAAATGCATTTGGCCTCAGTGGCTGCAGCCATGGGCATTTGCCTCGGATTTCCTGCTACGGCTCCGGAGGCTACCTCCATACCGAACTTGACGAGCTAGATTGAGACAAGGTCTTTGCGAAGGCTCGTCGAGTTAAGGAGGCTTTTACCCAATTCAAGGACGAATGGCTTAATCCTAAAATCACTCAGAGCGCGCCCGGTCTGTTCGTATTTAACCAGGCTGAGCCCTCTAGACGGAAAGGTCCTATCCGCCTACCGGACCCGATCCTGAACCTGAACGACGAGGAGACTCTAGCGAAATATCGCGAGTTCCCGCGTTCGAAAGAATATCTTGAGCTCGATGATCTACTATGGGACCTACGCGATTACTTCAACTGGAACCCGGTGGATATCACCGAGGAACGCTGGGAACAGTTGTGCAAGCTCGCTACTGAGTATCGCATGACAAAGACCGGCCGAATCTACAAGATACTACAGGGTGGTCGCACCGCTCTACTCATATGGCCGCGCGACCGGTGGTTCATTATGAACGCCGCGCGTGAGGTTAGCATTAATGGGGAAGCCGAGGAATTACTCGCCCTCATTTCTAGTCGCATGTGGTGGCCAGGAATGGAAGGGGATGTCGAGCAGTATTTAGCTGCCGGCGACTTCGTACCTAAGGCCGACCGTGCCACCGCGACGCTACCCCACGTACTGTACCTACAAAGCGGTCCAGTCTCCGTCGCTCGACCTCCGGGATCCGAGTGTACCGAGGCCACAGGCAAGGAACATCTGGTGCAGGAACTGGAAAAATACCACCACTTAAAGCCAACGGACGCGTCGGCAGTCGCCGAGTTGGTCCTTTCGGAAATGGCCGACGGACTCAGGCGACGCGACGAGCCAACCCAAGTCCAGACGCTAATTTCTTCTGAGTCAATCCCCGAGGGATTGCCTCACCCTCTGCCCACTTGGGCGGTCGAAAGAACACTACCGGCGGGAATAGCTCATGGTGTGGGGGACTTCGACGTCGAGCTAGAGCGTGCTAAGCTGGAAACAGCGGAATTTAATCGCATACGCTCTGCGCAACTGAAGGACGCCGGGTTCGGAGAGTCTAGCGATTATTATTGCATGACGATCCATACGCCCGACCCCCTCTCCATATATGAGCAGCTTGTGGAGTATCCTACCGTGTCGCGGAAGAATAAACACCGACTCCTTGATCAGGACCTTGAGACCTGGCTCAGATGGGTGGAAAACCCGGACTTTGCCACAAACAAGGCCGCCTTTGACCTCGCGGCTCCGATAGCCGAGCGGCTGCGAAGGAATTATGTCGTATCCGGTGGGAAACTCTATCGCGTCGAACGAGATGAGCTACCACAACTCTATGTGCCACAAAATAAGCGCATCGAAATGCTGCAACAAGCGCATGATAGCTTAGGCCATCGAGGAGTGTACGCGACACAACAACTACTGTCAGTACGGTTCTATTGGCCTGGACTGAACGAAGACGTGGAGTGGTTCATACAGACGTGCCACCCGTGTCAAGAACGCTTGAAAGCATTGGCGCGCATACCGCCGGTGGTAACTTTCACGCCGTCTTTATTCCAGGTCGTCCACATAGACACCATGCATATGACGCCCGCATCGAGAGGCTTCAAATACATTGTCCACGCAAGGGACAGTCTCTCTAATTGGCTGGAAGGCCGTGCGCTCCGCATTGAGAACGCGGTCACTATAGCTAAATTCATACTCGAGGAAATACTCTGTCGCTGGGGTTGTCCCGAGGAAATCGTGACCGATAATGCATCCCTTATGAAGTCCGCTATGCGCTGGATTTCTAAAGAGTATGGTGTCCGCCATGTCCGCATATCGGCCTATAACTCTCAAGCCAATGGAAAAGTTGAACAAGTACATTGGGACATCCGGCAGTCGCTAGCGAAAGCCTGCGGACCGCAGCTGAATAAATGGTATAACCACCTGCACTTTGTGTGGTGGGCCGACCGCGTAACTTTAAGGAAGCGGCTCGGCGTATCGCCATATTTCTTGGTTACAGGAGCACATCCGCTCCTGCCATTTGACATTGCTGAAGCGACTTGGCTCATTGACTATCCCCTGCGCACACTTACGCGCGAGGAGTTGATTGGGTACCGGGCCCGAGCCTTAGCGAAACATCATGCGGAAGTAGGCCTTGTCCGCTCTCGAATACAGAAGGAAAAGCTCGAGCGCCTTCACCGCTATGAACGCGAATACGGACATGTTATTAAGTTGCTCGACTTTAAACCAGGCAGCTTGGTGCTAGTCCGGAATACTCGCATAGAGAAATCACACAGTGACAAGATGCTACCGCGTTACCACGGGCCCATGGTGGTCATACGGCGGACGCTCGGAGGCTCTTATATTGTGGCTGAACTAGACGGAACCGTCTTCCAAAATAAAGTCGGAGCATTTAGAGTGTTGCCCTACCGTTCTCGGGCCTCTATAACCTTGCCCGATGAAATCCACTCATTAATCGACTTGTCTCCGGACGAGCTCGAGAAACTCATGGCTTCTGACGAGCCGGACGAGGACGAAGTCGCCCAAGTGAGTCCTGATGGGCTCGCGGACCTGGCAGCTGTGCAGGTAAACTGTTTTAAAAAGTAGCAGACAAGTGTCTGCCGTACATTTGATAATGTAACGAATGTGTTCTCCGCACAGCCACGGCCGCCCGGAAGCTGCCCGGGACGTCGCCGGGCTGCGCCCAATGCGGCAGGCGACCTCCGGGCTTGCCGCCGCGGGTGATCGCGCCGCACGCGTCGGCCGTCGCGCGTGATGCCGCCGTCGTCGGGGCACCCGCGCGCCGCCCGCCGTTGATGCGCCGCTGGCATGGCTGCACAGCCACGTCAGCGCGTCGCGTCGGCGTCGCGCCGCGTGTCGCCGCCGCCGCAGCGCATCGCGCTCGTAAGTGCAGGTATAGTAGAAATATAAGTGTATATAAGTCAATCATATATGAAGTACGTAGAATACATGGGGGATGCGCGAAATGAAGAACAAAGCGCAAAAAGCGCTGGCGAAAATTTTTCGCCGTCGCGACACGTGCTGTGCTGCCCGCGCAAGCGCGCGGATGCAAGCGCACGTTTGGAAGTGGGCAGGGGAGGGGAAGGGCATGCGCGGGAAGCGTAGAAGATCCCAGACAATGGCGATAGGCCATTGTCTGGGTGGCGTGTATGTTGCCGGCGCGACCTGCGGTACAGCTCGCGCACACTAGCGGTCCGCAACGAGCGTGCCGCAGGCAGGTGAGGAACGGGAGATGTACGCGCTGCACGTAGGAGGCAACGCCGGCCTACTGCACGCGCTCGTTATGGTCGGTGATCGAGGGGGGGAGTAGGGGGGTCGATAGCCTTGCCCGATGTTTTCTCCTGCGCACGTCGACTAGCGGGGTAGGGGGGATCAAAGGGGGATTGGGGTGTACAGTGACGCGGGCGGTACGCGCGCTGTCCCTATTGGTGCGTGTCGAATTTGGAGCCAGATAACGCGCGCACGGGTGGACGCGCGTACTCGCGGGCGATCAGGGCCGTCCTGGGTTGAAGGCGCGAGAGAGGAGGAGGCGGGGGACGTCTGTGGTAGAAGAAAGGCGGAGCGGGTATGGAGGCGGTGGATGAGGACGCGAAGATGGTGATGGTGGGAGGCAAGCCGACGTTGCCGATTGCGGGTCCGCGCGCGCAACAACGAGCACGTCCAAGCGCGAAATTTGAGCGCGGGAGGTCGGGGGAGATGCTAAGCATCGTGTTGGGCTGTGTTTCAGAGGTCAGCATGGCTGTGGACGCGCAGAGACGCAGGAAGACGGCGGCCCAAGCCATCGAGATGTTCGGGTCGGTGGAAATGGGTCTTGGGACCGCGCGGAAGCCGGTCCGGGCGTCCGAGGGGCCTCCTCGCCGTCGAAAACACCCTCGGGAGCACGCGAATCAAGCCCGAATCGTTCCGAACCTTCTGTGGATCAAAGAGAAGTAGTGAAGGAAAATTCACCAGAAGTTTTGACCGCATTCTATGCATAGATCGCCTGGCAATTGCAGCATTACTGTAAAAATGCGTCTGAATAAGCAATCTTCGTGTATCTGTATACAATCTGGATCCAGAAATATTATGTGCTATACATGCCAAGATAGTTTGAAAGCGCCCCTACCGTATGCAGTTTATTTGACGCTCATCCGCGCAGACGTCGCCGAGATCGACGTGAAAGAGTGTAGGTGCAGATCAAGATTTGAGAAATGGATTGTTCTGCACATAACGGCCAGGATAGTCAACCTCGATTCGAGCGGGGTTCAGCTGTCGTGACGGCTTCATACCTCATACGTGGCATCTAGTACATGTCTTGTAATAGATCTCGTGCCTTTCATAGTACTAGATGGTCCACGGCCTCCTTCCGAGGCCATCGACGACGACGATGGCGGCGAGCGGATGTCGGGCCGAATACCCGGACCGGACATCCGAGGCGCTTAGCTGCGCGCCTCTTCGTCTTCTACCACCAACACCTTCGTGCCCCTTCACCCCTGCCCCTCTTTTAGCTCGCTCTAGGTGGCCTCAAAGTCTTTCTACCGCTCTCTACGCTGCCCTCATTGCCCTGTCCCACCTGATTGATATATCACCTTGGTACACCACCATCTGCATGTCGGGCATGTCCAGTACCCTACGCGAGCGTATCTGGGGAATATTCGATGCGCAGCGCATCGCGTGTGCGACGAGGAGGCGGAAATAGGTGCGCGGCTATGCCCTATGCCCCGGATATGTACTGATAATAAGCTTTTCTCGCTATTCTAACAGATCATGCACTGCTGCATCACCCACGACGCGCATAACGCGAAAGACGGCTCTTTAAGACCACCCAACAAGCCATCCGACCATCCCCTCATGCCCCTCCTTCGAGACGCGCGCCCCGTGCTGAGCACTGCCCGTTCGAGTATCCACCGCACTGGCGAATTCGCGGTGCTGTACTCGGCGCGGGACGCGTTGTTCCATTCTCCTAGACCTTCTTGGTCTAGGTAGAGGGGAGGGAAGATCCTCGGGCGTGTACGGTCGCGCCACTACCCGCCTGCCCACCGACGCGCCACCCGTCACACGCGCGTGACGGTCCGGTCGCGACTGCGTTACAGGACGCCATCGCCATTGCTTCCCTCACGCGCCCGTGTCCGCGCCGGCCTTCGCCCTCCCCATTTGTGGCTTTCCTCAATCACGCGACCACTCACGAGAACGGAGCCGCCAGCGACGAGGAGTTGCGCGACAATGCGCGTGAGCGAACCGGCCGACCCCCCACCCACCATGTTTGCCTGCGACGACGAGACTCTCAAGAGGAGAGTTTCCGCTCCGCATCCCTACGCCCCCATTTTGGCGATTACACTCGCATAGACCGGCTCCCACTGGTTACACGGACCACATCGCCCCCAGCGCACACATCGCCCGGGGAACAGCCCATTGCTGTTGTCTGGGCTGCTCGATGCGCTTCGTGAACGCCCCCTCCCCTATCCATTTTCGAACGCGCGCTTGCGTTCGCGCGCCTGCACGAGCCGCATAGCGCGTGTCGCGATGGCGAAAATTTTTCGCCGTCGCTTTTCGCGCTTTTGTTATTATTTTACGCATCCTCCACCCATCATACATACATTATGTGCATGTAGAGTATAAACATTGTCTTTGTACTGCACCTGCACTTACGAGCGCGATGCGCTGCGGCGGCGGCGACACGCGGCGCGACGCCGACGCGACGCGCTGACGTGGCTGTGCAGCCATGCCAGCGGCGCATCAACGGCGGGCGGCGCGCGGGTGCCCCGACGACGGCGGCATCACGCGCGACGGCCGACGCGTGCGGCGCGATCACCCGCGGCGGCAAGCCCGGAGGTCGCCTGCCGCATTGGGCGCAGCCCGGCGACGTCCCGGGCAGCTTCCGGGCGGCCGTGGCTGTGCGGAGAACACATTCGTTACATTATCAAATGTACGGCAGACACTTGTCTGCTACTTTTTAAAACAGTTTACCTGCACAGGTGCACAACCGGCAGTGGCCGGTGTCACGTGCAAACCACGCGAGCACGCCACCAAGCAGCGCCCAACTGGCCGACCTCTAAGTAGGGTGTGCGGCACAAATTATCACTTCTGAGGTTACTTGGACACGCTCATAATCGTCCAAGAAGCAAGAAGTACATTAAAAACGGGGATCCTACAACAAGAAATACAAGAAAAGGTGTGATGTACAGAGCCCCAAGAAACCATCTATCTAAGCGCGTGTCGCGCGCATTGTCCTCGCCAATCCAGAGCTACCTACCGCATTTTCTCCCTGAGGGAAGCTGCTGGGATGGTGCGGGTCAGCAAGGATACACAAACGACAAAAAGAACTAAAGCGGGACTTACCTCGGCCGAGCGCTCAGAGCAACTCCGCTGGACGATTGCCCGAGGGTCCCTCCCTCATCCACTCCGGCGTCGGAAAGCGCGAAGGTGCTGCGGGCTTGGGAGAGGGCAGAGCAGGGGGCTCGACGTTGTCGTTCTCAAGCTCCTCTTCCTCCTCCTCGGCGCCCGGGTGCCCCGCGTTGCCGTCCTCTTCGTCCTCGGCGTCCGGGAGGTGGGTCCAGCCAGGCTGAAGCCCCGAGCTACCCGCCGTTGGCCACTCAGGCGCGTCGTCGTCACCCAATCCCGCGAGCATGCGCTGCTCGTTGTGGGCGCGGATCTCCTCCTTGACGCGGAGCATCTGCTCCTCTTCGTCGGCGAGGCGCTCCTGCTCCTCAGCCTGCTCCTCGAGCATCTGCGCGTCGTCCTCGGAGGGCGGCGAGGTGAGCCCGATCAGGTCACCATTCAGCCCATAGATGGGCGCCGGCCCCCTCGCGATGAACTCGCGATGGCGTCGCTCGCTAGCCTCGTCCTCCGTCTCGACGTAGGGCAGGAGCTCACCGTCCGCATCACGCGGGCGACGGTCCCAGTCTACGCGGAAACGGACGGGCGGCACGACGTCGCGCTCCTCGGACTCGGGCTGAGAGCGCTCTTCCGCCTCCTCCTCCTCCTCGACGTCCGAAGGCGTAGCGGCCTTCCTGCCGCGCCGACCGCGCGCCGAGCTCGGACCCGCCTTCGCCCGACCCTTGCCCTTCGAGGTGGAGGCGGCGGCCTTCGTCTGTGAGCGCGTGCGCTTGCGCGCGGGCTCCGGCTCCGCGACTTCGGCCTCGTCGTCGTCGGAATCAGCAGCGACCTTCCTCTGAAGAAGTGTTAGCTGTAGAACCGCCAATATAACCAAATAAGGCGAGAACACACCTTAGCGGCACGCTTGCGCTTCGTCGCGCCCTTGTTCTTGTCGTGCCGATGCGCCTTCTGCCCTGGATAACTCCGTTGGGCTGGAGTCGCGGGCGCGCACCCGCCCAGCTCGACCTCGCCAAGGCCGCACCGCTCTGCCTCGACCGCGACGTAGTCGGCGGGCAGTTGCGGCTGCTGCAAAAGCAGCATGTCCTGCGGGAAGTTGGTCAGCGGAGAAACCATAAGAACACCGAAGACTTACCAAGTCCTCGTTCGCCTGCCGCGGCACCCGATCGCGGTCAGCGCGGCATAGCGACGCCTCATGCGTCGGAATCTTGAGCCCCACGATGTTGATCACATACCTAGATTGTGAAAGTGTCAGTGGGCTTCACCCAACCATGTCCGAGACCTACCGAGGGCGCGCGATCTCTTGCAGCGCGTACCACTTCGACTCGGGGTCCGATGCCTTGAGGCAGTCGAACAGGAAAAACATCGCCCCTTGGATCGCCGCGGTCGGCGCCCAGGGGCCAGTCTCTCTCAATTTGCGCGCTTGCGCGATGGCGTCGGACAAGGCGATCTACAAACGAGCGTTAGCTAGCGCCGGAAACGATCCGCACGACGGGGCTTACCAGCTTCTTCTTGAGGATCGTCGCGCGCGCCTTATCGCGCTGGATCCCCCGCACCAAGTTCGCCACCGTGGGCTCCTGGCCCTTGAGCAGCATGCGCGCGTCCTTCTCGATCTGGTGGAGCTTTCGGGCGAAAGCCTGATGCTCTTTGCGCACCGTCGCGTGTGGGCCTTCGTTGCCGGGGGACATCTCTAGATCGTCGTCAGTACGGCTGACGCGTCAGGACGCGCGTACTAGCGACCTACCTTCGTGGTTCAAGACAAGTTGGAAAACCGTGGGAGACGCGCGCGGCCGGCTTTTAAACGACCATGCATGTCCGGAACATGCGGTGTGAGCCAAAAGCTTAATTAGCGCCCCGCCGTCCTCCGACACCTACATACCAAGAGACTGCGCCAGCAGTCGACTGCGAGTCGCCCGACGACCCAGTAACAACACCGAGTCACCCATCCACCTTAACTGACCGAGGACGGTCCAGATTATTGGTGTGGGGGAGATGATACGCCCTGCGGCTGAAAAACGCGGAAAAACATACATAAACAAGCGATATATAGTCGACTTGGTCTAGATTGTATGGGCGGATCCGTATATACTGCACCGACGTCGCGACTGTACAACGGGCGCGTCGGGGGTATTTTATGACATAGAAAACCAGGAGCGCCACGCTTCCTAACCTTCAATACAACTAGTCCGCAGCATTATCCGTCTGCAATGACTGACCAAGGATAGCAGCGAGCTCTTCGGCGCCTGATCACGAGTCTGCGCGTTGTCGATGACATCCTGCGAGTCCTTTGGCGGGCCCTACTTAATCAAGTAGCCGCGCTATATGCGCCTCAAGCCTTCAGTCCTCTTGCCCTGCTGTGTCAAGAGAATCTAGATTATTGTTGGGGCTCGGACAAGCCTTCCTGCTGCTCGCCGTCATGCGGAGACACGCAGAGCACCGCGCAAGCGGAACTCGAACCATCAACGTGACTACACGTGACTTCGGGTCCGAGACCGGAACTTCGGGTCCGAGCTCGTGATCTCGGACATCGCCGAGTTGAACTCCGAACCGAGCGTCGGCGCTGCCAAGCGCTGTCCGCCCCGGCAAGGGCTTCACTCCCCGCGTATCGACAGTCTAGGCTGTACGCTCCCCGCCGCGCAGGCCTCTGAGCCGCGTCGCGCACAAGGGAACGGGTGGAAACCAGGCCAGCCTTGCCTTGGTAAACATCAACAAGTGTGGAATCGCGCCCGGCATCGCGGCGCAGGAGGATACCCGACCAGTCAACCGCTCTACCGCCAGGAACCGCAGTCATTGCGCGATTATTCGGACAGGAGAACGCGCGGATAGGCGTTATAGTTGGATTTTGACTCAGAGATAGGCATTGTGTGTTACCGCGCGGTCTGGACGGCCGAGACGACGCGTTCAAGTTATATACCGAGACCTACATACGATTCGGGGACTTTTCCCGCCCCGCGCAGAGAAGCCCTAGTACCTACACACCACACCAAATAAACGCAACCGCGTTAACCCGCACTGTACACATCATAAAAGCCTGAACTTCCGAGCGCATTAAACCGCCTTGTGAACTTCAATCAAACCCGAAAGCGCTCGTAAGAACGCCGAGACGTCCGATTGCCCCACTCGACTTCTCGCTTCAGTCCAGCTCGTCTGGAACTGGCATAAACAACACAATCTATCCCCTAGTAATATAAATACTCGGACTCGCCCGCTCTCGTAGCGCCTCCAGTCTAGCGTGTTCATTGCTATCGTGGTTGTTGGTGTTTGGTTGTGTGGATCGTCTAGCTAGACTGTACTTCGCGTCTTTCGTGAGCGTACGATCCCATCAAGCCCATCTTCTAGGTAGTTGTGGGCTGGCCTTCGATGGCGCCCCGGCTTCGGCAAATGCCGACGTAGCAGCACGCGGACAGATCGATCGACCAGCTGCTCGCCAGCGCTTGCTTCCCACCATCAACGTCTCCCTTGTCTATCGCTTAGTGCACGTCTGCCAGACATCTGAGCAAGTCCCCCCCACACTCCCTACACTCGAACGAGGTCCCCACGCATCAAGTGACGACTCATGCGGGGTTTTGGCACAGAAATGGAGGGATGCGCCGGGGTGAGCCCAGAAACACTCAGAGATTTGTGACCCTGTATCGGCCTGACGCGTCCTGTGCAGAACTCTCTCAACCCATTGGCTTCATGACATGCCCCAACGCCTCGAATATTCCCCGGCTACCTCTGGCTCAGCCGCGTTGAGTCCAGGGCAGGCGTGAGCTGGATCTGATAACTAGGTATATAATCGGTGCGTCCGTCTCACTCTTCCGCCTCCATATTGCTCATGACAAACACTCGTCCTCCAACGAAGCGCAAGGCGAGCGCTCGAGCTCGCGAAGCTACCCAACATGCCGCTGCAATCGACGCGGTCAATGGCAAGAAGCCGAAGAATGCGCCTGGTCCACCTCCTGCCCCCCGCGCAAAGTCGAAGACAGCATCTGTACCCTCCACCTCATCTGTATCTGCTCCGCCTTCTACTTCGGTACTCACACCTGAAGAGATTGAATTCATCCTCGCAGCGCGCGAGGCGAACATCCGTGCGTGGTTGAGTCTTGCATTATATAAGGTACTGATCGCTTTCAGGATCGGTTCTGAGCACGAAGATCTCGGAGAAGGCGGTCGAGAGCTCTGAGAGCGACGACGATGGATTATATGACCTTGAAGAAGTACCTAACGGTACGTCTGCCATTTGTCATCACATCTTTGCGCTCACGCGCCCCTCAGATATCTACAGTCGCAACATGGCACTCCTCGCCAAGGAGCATGATGAAGGGCTATTGAGCGACGATGATGAAGCCGAAGATCCACCCCACAAGAGGGCGAAGCGCTCGCGAGAGGCCCCAGAGGACGGTCCAACCGACGTGGACATGGTGATCGCGCAGACATCCGGTAAGCCATACAACCTGTTCAGTGTGATTGACCATCAACCGGCCTGAAGATAACCGTAATGCGCCGTCTCAGCGCCCTGAACCAACCGAGCGCGATGCCCAGAAGTTCTCGCACGAAGGGACAAGCCCTGTCGAAGTTGATAGTCTGTCAAACGGGGTACGTCTGCAGTACGACATCATTGGACCTACAATTCACATCTCCGAGATCGAGTTCGTGCACGAGACCGTACCGAAGACGCCAAAGAAGGCCAGCGGCAAGATCAGGCGCAACGACTTCACTCCGCGCACGAGGGGCCTTGCCGACGAGAGCAAGAACAAGGCTCGTGCCTCTGTCATCTCGCAAGCGTACCCAGCAAGCGTCGAGGCCGCCGAGTGGGCCATCATTGGAGGGGTCGTCGAAGGGGCTACGACGGCTCCCAACGGTCAGGTTCTACAAGATGCGTATCAGCGTGCAACACAGGACCCTGAAGTTCAACGGCTGCTATTGACCTACGTACGGAAACTCGCTTTCTCGCTCCTTTTGTGCTCACAAATGCCCAAGGCTGGTTACGGCCTGACCGCCATTCGGACAGACCTCATACGCAAGGCGCGTGCGGAGCTATGCAAGGATCTCCGCCTCGGCAAGCTTGACGAGGACATCGTCAAGCGGGGTGTCTTGTGGGCCCTCAAGAAAAAGAATTATGTCTTTGCTGGCCTCGACATCGAGGTGAGCTGACACGGCTTCTGATTACTCAGCCCGGCCCGGACTGACACTCTCTATAGCACTGCACGAACGACCGAAGCAAGCCATTTGGCTTTTCCGTCTTTGAGTCTGTCATTGGTGAGGTTTGCTTCGGCGCTGGCAAGGTCAACAACGACGCCGCGCAATACATGATCGCGCAGCGTCAGGTTCCTCTGAATTTGATTGGTCTTGTTGCTGCGATGGTACGTACGTCAACTATACAATGCTTTCAACAGCTAACTTTCATCAGATTGAGCATTGTCTGAAGGAATGGCTGTCGGGTGCGCATGCACTCTCCGACTTCAGCGACGAGATTGGCCGTGCTGCGTATGCACCCTGACATCTATCAGCCTTCCATATCACTGACCTTTCTGCTCAGTCACGCGAAGAACATGCGTTACGTGCTCAAGATGCAAACACGGGCCCGGAAGTACATGAATAAGTTGCAGATGACCATGCTTCGTGATATACTGTAAGTCTCAAGTCTTGTACGCTTTCTCTGCATCTTTTGCTTACCCCTCGTGAGACGCGATCAAGATAAGCTGTATGCGCTGGAAGAGGACAGTGACGTGCCCGAAGAAGATTTTCAAGGTATTGATTTTGACGCGTTGGAGAAGGAAGCGGGCGGCCCCATCGCCACGCAGACGATGGATGCTTGAAGGAGTATATACAGGAATAGAATCGAATATTGTACAATTATCTACTGTCTACGTACCTACGTAGCGCCCGCATCAATCAACAAACTCCCCCTTCTCTCCAAGCAGTGTGATTGAGCGCGAAAAAAAAAGACAAAACTGAGGAGCCTGACGAGCGCAACTACATATAGAACGCGCCTGCGGGCGCTTCAGGGACCCTCCAACTTTGAGCACACTGACACCCTCTTCCTGCATGCGTTGAGTACGTTCGCCGTCCTGGGCTTCCGGAGGTGCCCTCCGGACGCCTCCAGGCGTGGGAGCCCTTTCCTGATGCTGAGGCCGGGTTCTGCCGGGCCACTCTGAATCGCGAGCATGTCACGCGTCACCGGCTGTCACATTGCTTCCTGTCCTGAACCAACACCTTGCATACCTATCAGAAGCGACGGATCCTCGAAGAAGACTCGTATATTTGCAATATAAATCTCCACTCCTTGCGGCATGACATGCTCAGAGGCAGCTCTCAGCTCATCACCAATGAAGTCTGACAATTCGCGCGGCTTCTTTGTGCTCGCAGCAATCTCTTTGCGCCACTTCCAACGTGAAGGGAAGCGGCCTTACAAGGGCCTTCCTCAGTCAAAACTCGGAATGCCTCGAGGGCGCTTTGCTCTAATCTCACCTTCTGACCATCATGGCCACCGCTCAGGATGGGACGCAAGCTGAAGCCCCAGTTCAGCGCCAATCCGAGCGATGTAAGTACCAGTGAGGCGCCTTCAAAGTGAGGTTTTCTGATAGCATACCCTCATGCAGTCTTCTCCACGGACGGGGACGCTGTCGTATTCCGCTCTAGCGACAAAGTGCTCTTCAACATCCATCACACCAATCTCCGCGCGGTGACCGACGGACCCTTCGCTGAATACTTCCCGTCGACTCCCGCCGATGCCGCAGACCTCACGGAGGACAGCCAAGTACTCGATATCATGTTCCAATTCGTCTATCCGGGCAATCTTCCGCTACTTGACGGTGTTACCCCCGAACTCCTCTTCTCTGTTGCGGAAGCGGCGGAGAAGTATCGCGTAGCTCCCGCGATGGCGCTTTGCCATCTCCAAATTCGGTGAGCGCGCTATACGTCCCTGTGAGATAGCTGTCAAGCTCATCGTACTTAAGGCGCATCTCCGACATCACGGAAGACTGTGTCTTGCAGAAGATGGCCTACGCGCACCGGCACGGATACATCAAATACATGGACCAAGTCGCGCCGCTGTCGTTCCCCAAGAGAATGGAAGACGCGCTCAAGGCTTTCGGGCCGGGCTTACTGTACGTTGCTTGGGTGAGGATCAGTCACCTCGTGCGGTCAAAGAACATACCTGACTTACCTTTCGTGCCGATTAGACGACGTACAAAGATGCCTGGACCCGGATCTTTGCCGAAGGCACCTATGCCCTGCGGACTCGCGACAATCACGGCTTGCCGAACGTCAGATGCGATGTGTGGGCTGCCCTTCTCTTCGCGGTTGAGCGCGACCTGGGCGAACACCGCACCCAATGGTTCGACAGCCTGTCGACGCTCTTCTTCGATAAGGAAAGCTTGGCCGACCGCTGTCAGCATCGCCACCCGTCCGGGGTCACGCATTGCCGGCATCAGTTCATGGAGTGGAAGACCGAAGCGATGAAGCTCGCCAAAGCGATCCCGCCTCTATCCCAATTCGTAACCGCGGTGAATTCGTGCTGATCTTGTTTTGTATCGTTTCTGAATGTACGCACTTGCGACGCCTGTTTCCACGCTTCTGTAATGGATTAATGTAGTCTTCACTGCCTTTCCTAACTTTCTGCGTGTCGCGCACTCGTCATTCGAGTTCCCAATCGTTTCCTCATTAGCCTTTCCTATCGACCATTTCCTCACTCGCCGTATTCATCTACTTTTCACCTCGCCGCTCGCTCCTCTCCTCCCGCTCAAGGTGAGTTGTATCGGCCTCCTTACTGGACTCATCACCTTCTCGTCCTCACTCGTTCCCCTCGCACACATCTTCACGTTCTCCTCCAGCTGACGATCTTCGATCCCCTAGCCGCGCGGTCTGCCTCTTCCAGACCATTTACGTGCTTGTCTGAGGCTGGCTTTTGGTGCGCTCGACCGACGTTTACGGGCGCTTCACAAACGACTTTCGGCCGCATCGGCTTATCTTGTCGTCAGCGCCAGCGACGCTGCCACTCTCCATCAACGGCATGCTCGAGGCGACGGCACTCTCAATGGTTGCCACAAAAGATGAATTAACCGCGCGATGATTTGCGCGCAGCCCATTCGAGTGAGACGTGATGCCGGCTTGAGCTATAGGGCCCGATGCCAAAAAGAGACAAAACCTGCGTTTGTATGACCACCGCATGCCGCCTGACGTCCTCTCCGAGCTCACGTTCAAATCAATGCGATGGATATTGGGCGGAACATGACCGATGGACCGGGAAGACAGCAATGTCGCCGTAGGTGGAGGCGACTTTGTTATCGTTGGACGGCGCTGGATATGAAGTCACGTCTGTCGGTGGAGGAATCGTCGTTAGGCTGGCGATCGTTGGACGTCATAAAGGGTAGGAGCAAGCGATTATGGCCGTGAGGCTGACACATATAGAGCGCATTGGTGACCTGTGCATTTGATAAGTGCCGCGAAAGTGGCAGACACTGGTCTGAAAAGGCAGCTTACCCGACTACTCAGTCCGTCCATCAGCATGCCTGACTCGATTTGCGCAACTCACCTAGCTCGCAGGGACCACGGCAATAAAGCAATTATAACATTTAACTTCGAAAAAATGTTGTGATCGTTGTATGTATCGCAAGTATCTACGAAGCAGCCGTCGGCCTCAAGAAGCTTGATAGAGGTGGAAGGGCCTTCAACTTTACATCTAATTCACGCGCCCAGATATTGAGCCAAAACGAACAGTTATATCTCGAGGAATTTGTGCATTCCGAGGCGGTGCGCAGCTTGGCTGACAGGCTAGTCAAGCCGAGGAAGGCTGGCGGGCCTTGCGCAATCAATGTGCTGAGAGTTCGCTGCGCCGCTCCGGTGCTAGACTTGCAGCTACAGTTGAAGAGCTGCTCCGTGGTTTCGCGGGTAATTATCCTATACCAGGGATCATTGTAGCAAACCTGAACCATCATGAGTACAACCGTCACAGACCGAGCAACGCACGAACCCAGGCCAAGAACAAAGATGCAGGAAGGAGTGTGCGCACTTTCTCAACAGGCGTACCAAGCGTGTGTGGTGCGCACATATCGAGAAGGTCAGTGTAGGCATGCTTGTGCGCGTACACCAAGATTTCGAAGGGTTTATCCTTGTATATGAGCCTGCGCGATTATCAGAACGATTGAAATTTGGCGACAAACCACGAACGTCAAGCGCACGTAGCACAGGTTCATTGCCGGCGCTACACCGTACTTCTCCGCAGCTTCGGCGAGGCAGAGAAGCTCGTCGAATGGTAGGTCTGCCAGCGTCGGATGACGTTCGGAATATATGAATCGGAAGAGTAGCTCCAGCGTCTTCGCGTCCTCGGTCAGGTCGGCGACGTCGCCCTTCGGGGAGGGAAAGTCCTCGGCAAAGGGACCCGTTGTATTTACGCGCAGATTTACGCGGTGAATGTTGAACAGGACGTGATCGATGGAGCGGAACACGACGACATCACCCTCTGTAGAGGCGACTAGACGAACACATCAGCATGCGGATAGAGGATAGATCACGTCGACACACATCGTTCACACTGGCGATCAGGCTTAGGGGCAGAGGAAAAGCCAGCGTTGTTTTCGCTCTGATTAGACGCCATGGCGGGTGAGACCAAGACGAGGCTGCCTCGAGGCAGGTGCGCATAGAGCGCTTGTGACTTGGACTTCTTGATTGGCGCCGAAGTGGAGAGTCCGACGACGGGGTTCGCAGAGTTATGGAGTCCAATAAGCATGCTCGAGAGCCAGTATACAGATCTAGAGCCTCCCTACCTCGGAGGCGACACGGACTGGCGCTTCTGAAAACCCGGCGAGAACCTGTAGTTATTGAGTGACCGCGTCGAAGCCTCAGCCTGAGAACCAAATTTAGATCTGGAGAGGGGGAACTTCTGATTGCTTCATTTCCGAGAAGAGATATCCTCGTCGGAGGCGCGACTTGAGATAGACAAAAGACATGATTGTGGTGGGAAGCAAGAACGGCCGCGGCTGCTGCACGTCGCCGGGCCGATCCGTCTGTGACGCGTGACACGTTACCGTTGGGATGTTTGTTTTCGCCACTATCACCTTCGCTGCTTCTGCCCGACGCAATGTTTCTGATGGACTGAAATTCTCTATACGACAGAAATTTCTCCGAACCCCTGATGGTAACACACCAAGCGGGCCCACAACAAACAGCAGTGAAGAGAGGTCGGTAGAGCGGCGTCTGGCTCGTGCCCGTGACTACGGCGCCTACTGAAGCCTTCTCGGCGCCTATCCTTTGATCGAAAGCTACGCAACACGAGGCTGCTACTTCTCACCCTTATCTCCTGACCATCATGACCTCCACGCAGAACGGCCAAGCAGACAAGCCAGCTGCAGTTCCTCAACAGCGCCGATCCGAGAGATGTGCGTCGAGTTACCTCTTCTCTAGGTCATTGCTGACACGACCGTTCAGTTTCCTCGACGGAAGGCGAGATAGTTGTATTCCGCTCCAGCGACAACGTCCTCTTCAACATCCATCGCGCCAACCTCCGCGCCGTGACCGACGGCCCTTTCGCTGAGGACTTTGTGTCGAGTGAGACCGACATCGCCGATCTCACCGAGAATAGCGATATCCTGGAGATCATCTTCCAGTTCGTCTATCCGGGTCATCTCCCGCTGCTCGATGCGCTCGGCTCGGACCTACTCTTCTCGCTCGCAGAGGCAGCAGAAAAGTATCGAGTTGCCCCCGCGATGGCTGTATGCTATCTCCAAATCCGGTGAGTGCACTATGTGACAAAAGTCAAAACTTTAGGACTAATCTTACATCAGGAAATTCTACATGGTCCGAAATGACTTCGCCCTGCAAAAGATGAGATACGCATACAGGCATGGATACGTCGAGTTCATGGACGAGGTAGCACCGAGGACCCTCAGGGAAACATCCCAAAACGCACTTGAAATCATGGGCGCAGGAATACTGTATATTGCTTGGGTGAGCAGGCTTTACAGGAGGTATAGTGTTGCAAATTGATCTTGGGATATCGACAGACCTTGTATAAGGAGGCTTGGATCAAGATCGTCACGAATGAATCATATTCGCTACGAATTCAAAATGATCATGGCTTGCAGAATGTTAAATGCGAGGCATGGGCTTCCCTCGTCTATGCGGTTGAGCGGAGTCTTGGCGAAGTTCGAGTTGTCACACCCCATCTTGTGCGCGTGTTATTCCATGGAAAAGAGAAAATAGCCGACGAGTGTAAACACAGTCACCCCATGGGAATGACGCACTGTAGGCATCAGCTCGCGTTGTGGAAGGGTATTGTGGAAGAGGAAGCGAAGAAGGTGCCTCCATTTTCTCACTTTGTATCTTCGGTGTCAAGGGGTTGAGCCTCTATTTACCAAGTACGATTACTCCGAATACACGGCTTCGCATTGCATGTCAAAAAGCGTGTCAGAAAGGAGTGAAACCACGGCGCGTAACTCGCCTCTATGACCCGTCTGGCTCACTTCGCAAGTTTGACGAGCCTCAGTCATCGCTACCTGCATACGCATACGCCATGTCCAGCTGTACCTGAGCTCGCGCACTCATATGGCGTCCATATTGGAGACCAAGCATAAGGGAGGAGGATCCACGGACTCCGAAGTACGCATCAAGTGATGTGCAGAAGCGGCGAAGGGAAATCGTACGCCGCATCAATGGGCGTGTCAATCGTGAGGGGCGCGCATGCGTTCATGAGATCATGCTTGTAGGCATATGCAAGCGTGTCGAAAGGTTCTTCTCTAAGAAGCAGCCTATAAGGCCCGTCGACTTCAAGCAGGGAGAAGAGGGAAGAAAGCTAACGACTCACGCCATCCTCACGAGGCAGATGTGCCTAGCAGGCGCGACACCGTACTTCTCTGCAGACTCTGCCAATCTCTTGAGTCAGTCGAACGAGATGTCAGCAAGCGCGGGGTGCCTCCTGAAGTATACAAAGGTGAAGAGCATGTCTAGCGTTTCTATGCGCTCTTTCAGATCCATAATTCGCCAGCCAAGGCGGGGAAGTTCTCAGCGAACCATCAGTCACTACCGAAGGAATGAGATAGATGTTGAAGAGGATGCGGTCTTCGGAACGGAACATAACAATACGAGAGAGACGCGAGAGATCCGTCATCGGAGGAGACTGTGACCAGCCGTGCGATGAGTATAGGAAGCGGACAATGTGGACGCATATTGTTCGCTCTTGAGGCCGGCTTGCGGAGGGGGACTCTCGTCTTCAGTGCTCGAGTTCGGCGACATAGCGTGTACGAGTATTTCTCGATATTGTATTCTTTCCGAGTATACCAAAGGATAGGAGCTGTGAGTCCTGGCAGACCGTGACTGGAACGAAGTGCGCCCCTCGCAATAGGTGTGAGTATATAAAGAGGATGCGGGATCGCGCGCCAGTCGAGGTCCTTTTGAGCTTGACCTGCGCAGAGTCTCCACTCTCGTGGACCTTGCAGATCTCATAGTCGGAGAGGCATAAAGCAGCCGCCGTCGAGTCAGATGGTCAGGGCAAGAAGAAGGGCGAAGACTCACGAGGCCTGGTGCGCGGATAAAAATCTGGGCGCTGCACGTGACCTGCACGTTCAAGGGTCGGGAGAACGCCGGATGACGTCAGCTAACCCCCTTGCCTCTCGCGCTGATCTTCCGCACACGAACAATGGCTACCCAAGTATCTTCGACCGGCGACGTCTGCCTCTACTTCCTCGCTATGTAAGCGCACTTAATGATACACGGTTCTCACATTCAATTCCGCGACCATTGCTGACCCAAATACGCAGCTTCCTTCCTCCTGTCGCGGTGTTCTTCAGTATGCTTTCCCCCTCGTTCCATTTCTCGCTAGACTCTGATCCATTGACTCCTCGAAGAGCGCGGATGTGCTGCTGGTAGGCCCTCCCCCTGCTTCTGGTGCATTCACTGACCACTGACCCCCGACTACCCCTAGATTTCTGGATAAACGTCTGCCTGAGTATCCTCGGCTGGATACCAGGTGTCCTCCACGCTTGGTAAGTCAGCTCGGTCGCTCCACCCCTACTTCCTCCGACTCGCGACCTCGGATCCTTGCCCGCGAGTCTCTTCGAGACCGACGCCGGAAGGCTGTGCGCCCTATTTATGCCGACCAGTCCTCGTTCGCGTACTAGCCTCGTTTTTTTTTCTACCTGTCCTCATCCTCTCCCCTCCGCCCAGAAAGCTCCATTCTTCATCCATGTGCTGACCCCTTCCCAGGTATATTATTTCGAAGAGCGAGGGTGCGATGTGATTCATCGGCAAGGACCTTCTCTGAGTCGACACGCCCCTATAACATCGCCTACCCTTCTGTATTTCACGAGTTTGACACGACTTTGCTTTGAATGTTGCTATGATGATACATTCTCAGGACTTTTCGATGGAACTATCATCTTCGATGCATGACCTTGGAGAAAAAATGCAAGGCGAGTCAACCGTCGGTCCACACGCAGTCGAGAATTGTCCATTACTTGATTGTATTTTATTCTATACATGAACTTTGGAATCTTTACGCGAACAAACCCTCATCGTACGACAGCGCTCGACATCGGTCTCAGGGTCGAAGTCGAGCTTGAATTACCGTCCGACCTCGACCTCGTCCCCCATTCCTTCTCGGACTCCCGTGTCTCGCCCGATGCCTTGTCGCCCCTCCTCTGCGCCTCCACATCCCAGGACCCACGAGCATGATCTTCGGGACGCCGGGACACCGGTGGGCATATGGAAGACACGCGCAATTTCGGCGCTGGCGAAGCGCGCAATCCCAGCATTGACGATGCGCGCAATCCCAGCATCGGCGAAGCGCCCAATCCCAGCATCGGCGACGCGCCTACTCCTGGCTTGGGAGACGCGCTCGCTAGCATAGAGGGCCCACGCATTCCCCCCGGCCCCGCCCTATCGCCTCTCCACCTCTCGGTCTCTCCACCCCACCTCTCTCTTCTCCAGATCGCGCGAACGTGTATGACCACAGACGCCAGCGCGGCCGACGGCGCGCTGATCTCGATGAAGAAGGCGTTCGAGACGTGCTCGGCCTCGGCGGTCGCGTAGGTCAGGATGGCGATAGTGCTGGGCGGGGGGTTAGTCGGTGGGAGATTCACGGTGAGACAGCACGGGCCGTGGATGGATACGAGGAAGGAGAGGGAATGCAGGTCCACAAGGGAGCGACGGAGCCAAGTCAGGGGAGGGGAGGGGATGGGGATGGGGAGGCGATCCAGAGGCGGACGCGTCGAGCCGACTCACGTATAGAACATCGCGCTCTCGACCAGCGCAGCGAGCGCTGCCTGAGGTGGATCTCAGTAAGACGCAGTCGACTTAGGGGGGAGTCGACTGAGGGGGGGGGGCGACTGAGGGGGGAGTCGACAGAGGGGGGAGTCGGCTAAGGGGGCTTATACGCACCGAAAGCGGCGACTTCCCAGTCTGCGCGTGCGCCCGCGAGACGCGCAGGATGCGCCAGGTGATCATGCCTAGTGAGATGTAAGCTCAACTGTATGAGCGCGCTCATCAAGAGGATTTACCGGTGCAGTATACGTTGGTGCTGCGGTGACAGAGCGCGGTGAGCTTATGGGAAAGCGCTGTGAAGAAACTGCTCACAATATCGTAGACCACGAGTTGACGAGCTTCCAGTTCGCGAAGGTGGTGTCGGGAGAATCTGCGTCGAGCTGCGAGCGCCGTCAGACGCGCGTATACGTGGTAGAGGGCATCAACCCACCACCGCAGTATCGTACGCGATTGCCATGCCGCTAGCTAACGCGGAAGTTAGCGCTTCTTCTAATCGACAGCGAGACATCGCACGACGCGACGACAAGACATCGCACGACGCACCCAGCAGCACCGCTAGGGAAATCGCGGGCAAGATAATGACTGCCAGCTTTCCACTCCAAACGACATACACGCGACTAATCTGAAGCGCCAGTCAGAAGAGCCAAGCAGTATAGTGAACTCTCGGGCGTACCACGACCATGTCCGCGACACACCAGGTCAGCACCCGGAGCACGACTTGCGCCGCGGATACTGTGCTGTCCATCTCGATGTGGGATGGCGCAGACCCGCTGCTCGCGTGGTAGGCCTTCAGAAGGCGGAGGCACGAGCATATCCAATTCTAGACTGGGCTTAGTACAACTTCTCGAGGGACGCGAGCGATGATGGAAGAACTCACCGCGCTCGTCGTAACAGTCAAGACCATAGACCCCACAAACAGCAGTCGATCCTCTCGCGTCCACTCGTTCCTGGGTGTTGGCGAAGCGCCGGATGACCTCGGATGCTCTCGGCGAGTGTAGTGGATCACGGCAAAGACGAGCGCGAGGAAGAGTCCGAGCATGATGGAGTGTAGGGCTCCGTATATAATTCCCGGGGCCCCTGTATGTTAGTAAGTGTAAGAAATTGCTGCTGTATGTTAGTAAGTATGGCGTTTGAAACTTTTCGTAAGGAACTGTTAGATACAGCGTTAGAAATGCATTTCTTACATGTTAATAATGTATGTTGAGGTTTGAAAAGCAACGGGCAGTCTTGATGATGAATTTCACTGAACTTCACATTATATACCGCGTCGAATTCCTCTATCCTCTGGTCTACCTGCCATTTACAGTTGTTGACAATAGACCATATCTGATGCGGCGAAAACAAGCACTTCGAAGTTTTCGAACTTGGGCTGTTAGAAACAAGCCAGGAGTGTTCAGAAACTCGGCGAATGGGCGTTCACATGGTGACGTCAGGGATCCCTGGGCGCAGACAGGCGCTGCTGCATGCCAACCCAGGGCTCCAACGCGAGTTACAAACTCTTTACGAACGTCGCTGGTCGAGTTTCTAAACCCTGTGAAGTGTTTTTGTTTTGAGTTTCGCCGCGTCAGATATGGTCTAATGCCCAATTTACATCGCAGCCTAGATTGGCCTTCCCGAGTTCTCGCTGTTCTCAGGTCAGGATATCCACGAAAGCGGCATCGACATCGCTAACTCGTCCGAGTGTCTCTTGTTCGAGGATGGCGAGAAATTGGCTCGCTAAAGAGAGGTTAAGACGGAGACAAGAACATGAAGAGAGGTGATGCTAGTCCAGAAATTATGGGATGAGGCGCAAGGGAGGAGGGGGCGTGAGGGAGAAGGGGGAGCGAGGAAGGAGGGGGCCGTGAGGGACGAGGGGGGAGGAGGCGCGAGGGAGGCGGGGCAGCACGAAGTTGAACAGTCACACTCGTGACAGGTCCGTCACTGACGTCGGATGGGCCCTCTCGGCAAACGCCGATCTGATATCTGTCCTTGCCGTTGCAGTCGGTTGGGCTCGACTGGAGGCTGAGGTGAATGCTGAGGACAGAGCTCTTGAAAATGGGGATTATTTACATTTCCAAACATGCCGTTTCATCCCCCGCTGTAAGTAACCGTTGATAACATGTTAATAACAGTGTTTACAAACAGCTGTTTCAAACAGACCCATTTTCTACGGAGCCCTAATGGAGTGGATGCCAAAGGCCGCGAGCTTGACCTCGGCGTGCAGCGCGTCGCGCGGGATCGACATCCTCGTCATGATGATGCGAAGCTAGTATTGTGAAGTAGCCAAAGGGAGGACCAACGACCATACTGGCGCAGCGCGCAGAGCCGCCGCTTATGACCCAGTGAGCATATTACCGCTACAGTAGAGAATCAAGACAAAGAAGGCTATTCTCTCCGCATGACGAAGCCACGGGACAGCAGCTGTAGAACAGTCGTGATAAGCTGCAGACCTCCGACGATCTGAGTATACGTGCGATGATCCAAGCATACGAACGACGATTCGAGTATATTGGCAGGGGATTGATTCCCGTAGGACCATACGTCGCGGCTCCACGACATACAGAGTTGGGATACTAGCATCTCCATCGCCTTCGGCGCTCGTTAATTGACCGTGGAATCGATGGGGAGGTCAAATGAAAAGGCAGTGAGCCACGCCTCGCGGTCAACTGCGCCACCGGACTCTGCCGAGGCCGAACGCCACAAATCAATGCAGGCCTGACGCCCTTGGTCTTCACAGTCTCAGGCTTCAACCCCGTCTTGGGACGAACCGCCTCCTGAGATCGCGGTTGTGATTACCTTCAATGTTAGAGTTCGAGGCCGTATTGGCACCGACGAGGACAATCTCCAGCCAGCAACTGCAAAATATCGCAAAATATGTTATGTCGATCCGGTAGGAACATCATCACGCGACGCCGTGACCTCCCGTCATACTACCTAGACAAGCCACCCAGTCGAAGATCGTCGGGAGAGCAGGCTCCACGAGGCAATCACCTGACCTCAACTTGACCGACACCACCGCGAGGAGAGGCCTGTGCTGGAATGGAACTCCAGGCGGCGTGCCAGTCACAGGCTGAAGCGTGGGCCTGTACGCAGGTATCACCAAATCACGCTTCTGTCTCAGAACACACGCGACGCCACGCGCGCTCCATGCGGTTCGGCGACCGCCGTCTGTCCTTGCTCTCCAATATCGCATCCATATTTTGTTCTGCTTCGGCTCCGAGCATGTCCATGGTCAGCCTCAAAGCTCAGAGTCATCCTCGCAGCCCAAGGCCGATTTGAGCTCATGCGCTTTCGATGTGTGCTCACAGTTCAATACGGAGATGAATGTCGAACTTCAACCTGACACGTGGACTGCACGTGGCTCTTTGACCCACGAGACAACGCCACGCGACATGGGCGCCTAACTATTTCCCACCCTTGCTTCCGACCAGCATCACCATGAAACGAGGCGCGGGCGCGGTTCGCATGTATGTATGTCGGTCGCCCGCAGGCTGTCAATGTCTCTCGCGACAATGCAGCTCGTCGCCCTTGACACCCAAACTCCCGCTTCTGTTGCGTGGCTGAAGTCCTGTCGACGCTCGTGAAGGTAGTACTGTATCGACTCGCGCGGACAGTAGCCGTACGTTCATTGGCACCCGCATCGCTCTGACAGAGAGCACATCATGGCCTCAAGGACCGCCCGCTCTTGCGCATCCCGCCTGCTCTTGTTGCGCGCCGTCTGTGCGGCTTCCTTCGCAAATGGCTGAGGAGCGCATCCCGCAACGATGGCTTCTGCGTGCAGCTGACGACGCGGAGCACCTGCGTGCGTTGTCTTCTGAGCTTCCTACTGTCCTTTATTCTTCCGCTCGCTCGACTTCATTCTGAACATGTTTTTCCATACACATATGCGGAAGACAATGTGATTATGATCTCTTCCATCTGCGGCGCAGATCATTGGGGCTGACGACCATCAGGTATCGTGTCCAACTTCGAGCTTCAGGCTTTGGAGACGTTGGAGCTGGAGGGCGTTCGACTGAACACTACACCGCGGTGATTCGTACAGACTCACCATGATAGGTCGAGATTGGGCTGCGTCCGACTCGGAAATGCATGCGGGCAAGAAGGATCGTAGATCCTGCGAACGACGGGACGTGCGGTACAGGTCATGCGAGTAATGGACACTGCTATGGTGTCGACCGAAGTTCATCGCTCACCACCGCCGGCGCTCACCCTATCGTCCATTCTCACATCACCTGAGGATGGAGTGGCGACAGACGTCGACGGGCACGCGCCACCAGCTGCACTATCGGTGTATAGCCTGCGAACGGACGAACCCTCCGCGCGTTACAGCCACCCCTCCGCGCCCGGAGCCTCCTTCGGTACCTTCGCACATCTCCATTCGCTTCAATAACCGTTATCGCTACTCAATGGCCAGAGGCACCGACAGGGCATCATTGTCTTGCGATATGCCATCGTCGTTCCACTATACAGTAGGCCATCGTCGTCTCACCGACAGTGCACCGCTGTCTCTCCAACAGGGCCGCTCCATCTCATCAGTATGGCTATCCGGCCCGCATCAGTCTCGCACTCCGTTCGCCCTGGATTGGGCGGCGTCGCGCAACGTGGAAGGGGCGTCTATCTTTTTCCTACACGCGCATCAGGGAGGCCTATGCACGCAGACGCACCTCAGAAGCGTCCGCACGCGCCTCAGAGACCTTCGCACGCACTTCAAATTCAAAGGCTTACTCACGCCTTTTGGAGGCGGGCGCGCGTCGATGCCAAGGAAGAGGCGGGTCGAGATAGACGAAGACTCGCCCGCTCGTCGCCAATGATAGATAGGTGCGAAAGAAACCTGCCTATGTGGCGGGAGCGGTCGCCTGACACTCCCGCAGATCTGTGATGATGGGAGGTTAATTTGTCGGCCCCCAAGGGGTCAATCAAGGACGCCCTGCGTCAATCAGGGACTACTTGTGGCAATCGAGGACCACTTGTGCAAATCACGACCACCTCGCTCGGAGCCGTATCATGGTGAAGGCCCACCTGCTGCTTGCTGCGCATTACCGACGATTATCTTTGGCTCTATCGACGGGCGGGCGCACCCCGCGCGCATGGGCGGCGCCGTTTGATCCCATGTCGGCGGGCCCTGTTCCAGCTACGCTGCGTGTGAGCTTCATCTCCCTGCGTGTGAGTTCCATCTCCGCTGCGTCTGATGTGGCGTGAATATAAACTGGGTGGTCGCCCTGGGTGCTGTCCTCCTGTCATCCCCTTGTCCTCCCTCCCTCCCCCTCCCTCGTGTTTGGGTCACCCCTCAGCGTCCGGGCTATCCCCTTGCGCTTGATCCTACACACCTCCTGTCCCGGGAGCCTCGCTTTCGTTCTTCACTCCTCCCGGCCGACCACCTTTCCCCTTCCGCTCGAGACAGAGAGCGCGAAGAGTACACTCTTTTAAGGCAACACTTCTTCCAGACCGCCGACATTCGTTCCATTCTATCTATCTATTCATCAACACCGCAACGACTATGCAGCTATACGCATCAATCCTGGCCTCACTGGCCCTCTTCTCTTCCGTTTTTGCGGCCCCGACGCCGACCGTCGTCACCGATGCTGTCGCGCCTCGCGCAGATGCATCCGACAAGCTCGTCTTCTGCCATTTCATGGTATGTCTATTCCCCTTCATTTCATTTGATTCCCTCTTCTCTCGCCACTCTATTCATGACTCACGACTCGCGCTGACGCGCCTCCTTTCAGATGGGCGTCGTCTCTAACCGCGAAAGCGCGGACGACTACGACACCGACATGAAGAACGCGAAGGATGTCGGCATCGACGCCTTCGCGCTCAACATTGGCACGGACAACTTCACGGACACGCAGCTTGGCTACGCGTACGACTCGGCCGCGCGCAACGACATGAAGGTCTTCATCTCCTTCGACTTCAATTGGTTCCACAAGGAGCAGGGTGCGGACGTCGGCGCCATCATCGCGAAGTACGCGGGCAAGGACGCGCAGTTGAAAGTCGGCGATGCAGTGAGTGGGATAGATCGGTCGATACATACAGGAAGAGTGAATACTGATGGCGAACAAAAGGTCTTTGCCTCCTCCTTTGCCGGCGATGGCGTCGACGTGCAGGCGATCCGCGACTCGGCAGGCGTCGAGATCTTCTGGGCGCCGAACTTCCGCGCGGACACCGACGTCAGCAAAGTCGATGGTCTGCTGAACTGGATCGGGTGGCCGAACAACGGCAACAACAAGGCGCCCGACTCGACGCTCGTCAGCGTTGCTGATGGCGACAACGCGTACAGGACCGCTTTGGGCGACAAGCCGTTGATTGCTCGTATGTTTGATTCTCCTTCTTTAACTCGAATTAGGCGCTTATCATTCGCGTAGCGCTCTCCCCGTGGTTCTTCGTGAGCGGCCCGTGAATTGTATTCTCAGCTTCTGTCTGACGACTGCTTAGACTCACTTCGGCAACGAAGTCTCCTACCCCAAAAACTGGGTCTTCCCTAGTGAGTCGCGATTACCTCTCATCTTCGTCATTTGCTTATGGCGAGCTAGGCGACCTACTCATCTACCGCCGCTGGCTCGAGATCCTTGAGGAGCAACCGCAGTATGTCGAGATGATCACCTGGAACGACTACGGCGAAGGCCACTACATGGGCCCGCTCTCTTCCACGCACACGGATGACGGCGGCTCGAAATGGGCTAACGATATGTGCGCACCTCTTTAACAGCTTCAACCCCTCGCTGACGGATCTATAGGCCGCACAACGGCTGGCTCGAACTCTCGAAGCCGTTCATCGCTGCGTACAAGGCCGGCGCGAAGGACCTCTCGAGCTACATCACCGAGGACAAGCTGATCTACTGGTACCGCACTACACCCAAGGCCCTCGACTGCGACGCGACCGACACCACGATGGAGGACGCGGACAACAGCACGGGCAACTACTTCAAGGGCCGCCCGAACGGGTACGACACCATGGCCGACGAGGTCTTCGTCGTCTCCCTCCTCACCGCGCCCGGCACGACCGGCGTGAACACGGGCGGCACCGTGCACTACTTCGACGCGCCCGCGGGCGCGAGCGCGTTCTCCGTGCCGTTCAACGTCGGCGCGCAGAGCTTCATCCTGCTCAGGGACAACGTGCCGGTGCTGGACGCGACGAGCCTGAAGGAGATCAAGAACGAGTGCCCGTGTGGGATCTACAACTTCAACGCGTACGTGGGGACCGTGCCGGAGAGCCCGATCGACGCGCTGGACGACCTTGGCCTCGCGGCGTTCGAGGCGGGGTTGAAGGTCCAGTGCGAGGCGAAGCCGATGCTCGGGATAACGATCCCGGTCGAGGCGGTGATCACGACGACGCTGGCCGCTGGGACGGCTGCGCCGACGGACCCTCCTATCCGTCGGTAAACGGGAGAGAAGATATAAGTTATTTGATGAGTATGTACGCACCCGCCTTTTCGACGCCGCCCAGGAGCGGCGTCCAGTATTTATCACGCGATGCCTGAGGTATAGCCGTTGTTGTATTATCATTGTTGTATCACTATCCGATGGAGGTCCATTCGCTTTCCTTTCATGTGCGAGGACCAGCTTTTCGACGTCGGTCTGTTTCCAAAGACATCTATCTTTTAAGGAGGTGTTTGTGCGTGCTTAAAATGATGAGTGCTGCGCTTCAAAAGGCTATAAAGCACGCGATCGGGGCTTCTTTCCTTGTCCGCTACGATCATTTGGCCACCCGACGCCGCTCCCGAAGTTTGCCACCCAGCTACTTTCCTCCTCCTCCTTCTACTTCCAACCGCTGCTGGGCTCATCCTAGGTTATGTGTGACCACCCTTGTCTCAACAGGCTCTCGATAAGCCCAGTAGCTCGTGATGATCTCCGTAAACTCAAACGGGCACTTCAAGGTCTCGAGGGCTACTTTGAGGGCCGCCCCGAATCGTTTCTCGCCGAAGCGCGGAACCTCTTGCGCCGGGGGCGCGCTCTGCGACTGCTGCGCGAGGAGTTCCAGCTATCTGACTTCTCCTCGTTGAACTTGGGTCTACAAGGCCAGTACGCACATGCAATCGTGGACATGCTTCACTGCTACGCGATGTGGTCCAACCTGTCGGGGAATCCCAAGTACGCTGCGCTCGCACAACACACACCTGCGCCGTTCTCCGTCATGTTTCGCTGGATCGAGCTAGTTCATCCTCGTAACAATTACCTGCACAAGGGGTGTCTCGACCGAAGCTGCATCTGCGAGCCTCTCGCACTCACGTTCGGCCAGTACATCGGAACTTTCCGACCCGAGCACATCAAGCATCTGTACGACAGTCCTCGAGACCTCCGCCTCATCCTGGACCTGTGGCTCAACGCGACTAGGTACTTCCCAGTCACCGCGAACCGTGCCGCAGAGATGATGTGCAACTTCGCGGCCGTGGCGTCGTGCATGTACCACGAGATGCGCCGGCTCGAAGGCGGCGAGGAGGTCTTCGTGGAACAAGTTCTCCGTCTCAAAGGACGCAGTAGGCGCCGAGCTCTGCGAGCTCTCTGCGAGAACATGGTCTTCCTCCTGCGTCTTAAACCCTCTGAGCCTATGTACAAGGCTTGGGCAGCCCACTTCGAGCAGGCACAGCTTCTCCTATCCTCGCCGTCAATCTACGGGGTAGCGGCACCGAAAGTCTTCGTCGACATGTCAGTGTGTGCTGCGATGTACGTAATGCAGTTTCCTGGCGAACTGATTATGCAGATCGCTGCTCGCGATGCTTTACGCATGCTCTGTTCGCTTTGCTCGCTATCACCCCATACCTGCAATATGACCCGCGCAATCAAGGCAGGCGTCTTCGAGCTGCTGATAGGCTATGCGCGCAAAGGACTCTCCTCACGCGACGCGACGCCCGCCCACGACATGGTATTCGCGGATATGCTCGCAGTCATGCTGACGCGTGCGACGGTTCTGAAGACCTTCCATGCGCGCCACAGCGATCTACTGACGCCCGAGTCTCCCGACGTGTTCATTGAAGAAAGATTTGCGCGCGTTCTCGGGGCATACAGGACGCTCTGGCCTCTGTACCTCGCCTCTCGACGAGAGACGCTGTGGAGGCTGAGCATTCCGTGCTCGAATCCCTTGGTGAGGGATTTTTTCTCATTGGCTGAGGATATCCATGATAATCGCATACCCCTCAGCTACCGCCTCACAGCTCGAGCACCCTTCGCCTATGCCGCTGCGGCGCCCGAGCGTATTGCTCCAAGGACTGCCAGCGTGCGGATTGGCAGCGCTGCGATCATCGCTCGACATGCGACTACGCCTCGCGCGAGGGCAAGCCATCTGTCGAGCGTGTGCGACTAGCACAGCTCTCCGCCTCCACGAACGTGTTCTTCTTCTGCCTACTCGCGCAGAGCGTCATCCAGCGGAACCACGTCAGCATCGCGATGATGCTGCACGCTAGCTGGCGGAATTGGATGCAGTCAGTCTCCTATTCGACGTGCCCGGTCGCTCGAAGCAAACTCATGCTAACACTGATACCTCGCCAGAACACTTACGCTGACTCCCTGCATGATGCCGCTTCCGGCCGTCACTGTGGACTTGACGGACGTCCCGCCGGCGCATCGCGCGGCCGATGACTTCCCCTTCCACTGTGAAGTCAAGGTCGTGGATTTGAGGCAGAAGCGTGATTGGGTGGTATCTGCGTACAAGCCCACGCTTCAGCCCGTAACTGGCGCGCCGCCAGAAGGTCCAGTCCAGCGCAGGCCTCCCCTCGCGGTGGTGTCGGTCAAGTTGAGGTCGGGTGATTGCCTCGTGGAGCGTGCTCTCCCGACGATCTTCGACTGGGTGGCTTGTCCAGGTAGTATGACGGGAGGTCACGGCGTCGCGTGATAATGTCCCTACCGGATCGACATAACATATGTTTGCAGAATCTCTTGGTTGCTATCCAGAGATTCCCCTCGTTGGCGCCACCCGCGTGACGCGTCTACATAATTGGGTACGGCCTCGAACCTTGACGAGTATCAAAAGTCCCTCGCACGGAAGGCCATCCCAACCGCGATCGCAGGAGGCGGCTCATCCCAGCCGCGATCGCAGGAGGCGGCTCATCCCAAGACGGGACTGATGCAGGTGCGGCTGTGAGCACTGAGCACAAAAGGCCAGTCTTGACTTCATTGCCACGTTTGAGACAGACACGAGCTATGCGAGAAGAGCGGACGTCGCAGAGCGACGAGACATAGAAATCCTGCGGACGACCGACATAGACGTCCTGCGGCAACGGCCATCCACCGACGAACCGCGTCCTCGCCTCGTTTCACGCCGATGAAGCAGAGGGTGGGAAAGTGGCCGCCCGTTGCCGAGAGGCGTGGCGGATATTAGTCACGTGTACTGCACGCGACAAGTTCAACTTGCGACCCCTCTCGCTGGCCAAGCTAACCAACCAGTCTAAGACCAGCATATCCGTAAAGAGAGAACAATGTCTATGCAGGTAGCCTTCTATGGCGTGTATTCCGCCGAAAAAATAACCACGGTCGCGTTTCCGCGTCGCGCCATCGCGGTTCGCCTGAGGGGGGCTGCATTCATCGGAGATGGTGCAAAGGCATCCAACACACCGCTCTGAACACTTTGATGGCCTTGGAATTGACGAGGCTGGTCAGAAAGGACCGCCGACGCTGTTCGGCCATTGCCGACAAGGGCGGCAAGTCGGTCCGAGATCGCCGCCCGTCTTTGTTCCTCTTCTCGGCTTCCTATTCGCACTCAGATGGCGCTGATATAGATGGACCACCTCGACGTACTTTTAAATCCCAGGAAGTTACATGACCCACCCGTTCATCCTCGTTGATCCTGCCTTACTTGAGTTACCATGCTCGCTACCTTCGGGCGGTTTGAGGTTTCCGGCACATAAAAAGCAAGCACCAATTCCAGAGTAATGGTAGAATTGTGTCCCTACTGCCTCTACAGTGCCCGGTCCGTGTGCGACGATGAGAGGACTAGAAGAGAGACGGGCAGCGAACGAGGCGGCGATCTCGGACCGACTTGCCGCCCTTGTCGGCAATGGCCGAACAGCATCAGCGGTCCTTTCTGTCCCTCCTCGCCAATTCCAAGGCCATTGAAGTGTTCAGAGCGGTGGGTAGGATGCCTTTACACATTCTCCGATGACTGCAGCCCCCCTTAGGCGAACCGCGATTGCGTGACGCGGAAACGCGACCGTGATTATTTTTTCGGCGGAATACACGCCATAGCCTTCCGCAATTGCGAAATTGATAAGAACATAATCTCTAATAGCATAACAACGCGCCTCACAACCTCGCCCGCCACCGCCGATCCTCTCGCCAGCCACGCGCGAGCCACGCATGCGAAGTCCTCTCGCGAACATTACGTTTCTCGCGAACATCACGTTTCTCTGAAGGGCATGCTTCTGCTTCCATCCGCACGTCCTCTCTACGCCCGAGACGCACATCCTCTCCACGCCCGAGACGCACGTCCTCGTTCCCCAACCGCACGCTCTCGCTCCCCAACCGCACATCCTTGCGTTGATCTGCTATTCGCGCAGCCGCGTGCACACCCGCATCCGCCTCTTCGACGCGACTCCTCCGATCTACTCCTGGCGGCGTTACCGCTCCTGGGGGCGCTGCCCTCCATCCCCGCCCCCGCTCCGTATCGATCTGGTAGATGAAGAACTTGCCAACCGTGGCGCGCTTGACGAGGCGGTAGATCCTGCGAGGATGTGCGTCAGCAAGGGCTTGAGGATTTGGTTAGCGACGACAGCGAGGATTTGGTTAGCGACGGCAGCGAGGGTTTGGTTAGCAACGGCAGCGCGTGTTTGGTTAGCGACGGCAGCAAAAGGAGAATGAGAGAGGGAAACATTGAGCGGGGGATGGTGAGGAGGCGAGCACGAGAGGGATGAGGAGGCGGAGGAAGAGAGGGAAGGCGAAGAAGGACGAGGGAAGGCGTTAGAGAGGGAAGGCGGGGGAAGACAGGAAGGCGGGGGAAGACAGGGAAGACAGGAAAGACAGGGAAGACAGGGAAGACAGGGAAGACAGGGAAAGACAGGGAAAGACAAAAAGAGGGAAAGACGCGAAAGACGCGCTCACTCATGATGCCACTCGTGCGGGAGGGAGGCGCTAGGGATCTAGGTCAGTTCGCGCTCGACGTGCAGAGGCGGTCTGCGCTCGATGGACTGAGATGAGGTCGGCCCGGCAGTTTGGAAGAAGGAAGGTAGGGAGGGGGAGGTAGGGGAGGGGGAGTCGTGAAGGCGATTGAAGGAAATCGGGAAGGCGAATGAAGGAGATCGGGAAGGCGAATGAAGGAGATCGTGAAAGCGAATCAACGAGATCGTGAAAGCGAATTGAGGAGATCGGGAAGGACGACCCGACACGCACCGAAACGCATCCATATCCTCAAACTCGGCCGCGAAGCCTGAAGAAGGTCGCGTCAGCAAGAGGCGCATAATTGAGATCGTGAGCGCATTGATGAGATAGTGAGCGCATGATCGAGATAGTGAGGTGCATGATTGAGACAGTGAGGCGCATTGGTGAGAGGGAGATGCATATACGAGGCATAGCAGGGGATGAGAGATGGGAAAGCGGAGAGAGATGGGAAGGCGGAAATGATTAGATGCTTCGAGCCACTTACCGAAATCCTTACCCTCGGCACGTTCGTTGCCGGCCATCATTCCTTCACGTCCTTCGTTTGCTTCCCCTTCTCGCTTCCCATCGTCCCCTCCTTGTTTTCCATCTTCCCCCTCTCGTTTCCCATCTTCCCCTTCTCGTTTCCCATCTTCCCCATCTTCCCCATCTACCCATCCTCCTTCTCCGCCGAACTCCGCCGTTGTTGTGCTTACCGAGGTACTGGACGTCTCAACCCGCACCGGCGGCCCCACACACCACCCGCGCAGCCCCGGCACGCGCTGCGCCCCCAGCAGCGCGTCCACGCGCGCGAAGACGGACGCGCGCGCGGCGGGGGAGAGCGCGGGATGGAAGGTGGCGAAGACTGGGGGCGGGTGAGTGAGATGGGTGAGGGGACGCGTCAGAGGGGGAGGGGACGCATCAGAGGGGGAGGGGACGCGTCAGAGGGGTGAGGGGCGCGTCAGAGGGGTGAGGGGCGAGAGATGGGTTGGGTGGGGCGCTTTAGAGGGGTTGGTTAGAGGGGTTGGGTGAGATGGGCGGGGCGCGTGAGATGGGTTGGTGGGCCGGTTTCAGAAGATGATGGGTGGGATTTGAAGGATGATGGGCGGGATCTAGAGGATGTCGATGAGGGGCGGGGTTAAGAGGAGGGACGAGGGAGGTCGAGATGGAAGTTTGGACGAGAATGGTAGAGGGAATCGTGGAAGAGGAAGGAAGGTAGAGATAAGCGCGGAACAGGAAGGATGGTGGAGGAAAGTAGAGGGAAGGATGGTAGAAGAAGGAATGGGTCGAAGGAAGATGGGGGGAAGAAAAGAGAACACACCAAAATGATGCACCGTCATTCGTGGATGTGGGTGTATGCGCTGGACGTCGGTATATGCGTGGAATGCGGCCGATGTGTGCGAAGAGGCGGGTTGACTGGTTGTAGGCGCCGGCGAGGGAAGAGCGCGAATAGTCGATGGCGAGCTCGGGCAGATGACGATGGGGAGCGCCCTCGAGCGCGATGAGACGAGGATGCTGTGCGCAAGTCTACGACAACCTTGGACGCAGTTCTCCGACTACGTCGAGCGCTAACAGACGACGACGGCGCGGCGATGGTGGGGAGAAAGAAGAAGCTCAAGATAGATCGCCGACAGCATATATGCGCGGAGGGAAGCCGCGCCGTCAGCACGCCTTCGCATAGCAGTTCTGTCCCGTCACCGCGCGTAGTTCATTGCCCGTAGCCCATCGCCCGTCACCGCGCACAGCAAGCTCATCACCGAGCTCGCCGCACAGCAAGCCACAGCACAGTACATATATTGACAGGAGCACGCATGAGAAGCTTGGTTGACAGAAGGCACGCCCGGGTCCGGTGGGATGCTTGACGCAGGCATACGAGGCACGCATGAAGACTCCCTCGATAGGCGATGATTGCATTCTATGAACGCCGCCGATGAAGGACGTGGGCGCCGCTGATGAAGAACATAGACGCCGGACATGAAGGATACGGACATCGCAGACGAACCTCACGACGGAAGGTCATATATACCCAAGAGATCCCCACATCGTTCGGAGCAGATACGAGCAGGACGGTCGCATACATGATCCCATTCATCAGTAGATACCCCACACGCTTACTTTAGAGGTGAAGGCAGCGATGATGGGGAGGACCACAGCAACGGAGGACAAGCCGCCCGAGCCTACTTGACGTGCCCATGTCGCTGGAGAAGATTACTGTGTCACCCGTAAAGGTTATCCTATGAAGAAGGACCTCATCGTCGAAGCTCATCGTGTCAAGAAAGAAGCCCAGCGTAGATCAGAGTTGCGTAGGCTAGCTTTGGGACCCGGCTCTAGTACCCGGAAGAGTGTAGGCGGCCCGTATGTCAGGAAGATCCGAAAGCCGAGGACGTCAAGTGCCAATATCGTCGTCACTACTATCGAGCATAGCATCGAGTCGTTGTTTCTATCGAGCATCGAGTACCAAGCATCGTGTGCCAAATAGCTCGTCGACGGAGGGTAGAGCATCCAGCACCCAACAGCGAGCAGTAAGCAGCCTGGGTCATCCAGCGCGGAGGATGAACGGCTCTTCCATGACGGGAGGCCGAACGGCTCGTCATGACGGGAGGAAGACGGGGTGACAGGAGGAAGACGGAGGTCGCCGGACACGTGGCATACCTATCGGGCGCGACTATCCGAGTCCCATCTCCACCCTCTGCTCGCTCGCTACTGCCTCACCTCGCGATACCATCCAACCCACGATTCTGTTCAAACCACGGTTCCGTCCGAACGACGAACATTGTAGTTGGTGGCAAGCCACGTGCTGCTCGCTGAGACCAAGCGAGCAACACTGTACACTCATGTGGAAGTCAAGATGCTGCACCCTGGATCACACTGTGAGCATGAGAGGACGAAGGAGAGAAGAACTGGTGCTTTGCGGTTCTCTCCCTGAACGCGGGGGTTGAAAGAGGTGTGCCTGAAATTACGCTTGCAGTCGATGCATTGTTGGCATTTGAGCCATCGACGTTGCCAATGAGATTGCCTGCAGCGACCCTGCATGTACTATGTGACGATACCATACCTCATCTTGGGCATGGGACCGTGGTCATCGTGATCTACAGCGCTTTACTGCGTGTCTGAGGTGAGTGGGTGGTTATGGGCGCGCGTTACGCCACGCACGCTGACGCGTGACAGCGTCGCGCGTCGCGCGCCTGCTGGCGCCCACGCTATGACATCACTTTCCGCGATAACCACTTTTTGTACTTGTTTGGTCAGGGAGGCAGCCCTATTCTCGTGGGTTAGTCAGTGTTGCTCGCTCCGCCTTTCCCTCCCTCGCAAGCTCGGGGGGTCCCTTAGGCGTCGCTCGCAATAATCTGAACTAACCCCCACGATTCCATCCGCACGACGACACCCTAATCAACCAACAAACCCAATTGCCTTTATATACTGTTACACCGTACACGAACGACGAGGGAGGATAAGTATTGGATGAGTAGCGTCGAGCTGCGTGTCGAGTGCGTGGAGCTGCGCAACACGATGGTATGCAGCTGCGCGACGCGTCGAGTGCATGCAGCTGCGCGACGAGATGATCACTTACATAAGAACCACGAGCAATGGTCATGTAAGGACCAGAGCGACACGGTAGGAAAACCACGAGCACAGTAAGAAGACCACAAGGAGGGTGTTTGTGTGTGAATATGCGGAGCGTAACATACTTGGACACGACGACCGAGTCTTACACGGCCGGCGGTGAGTGAAGCAATCACGGGAGGAAGGCTACTCGCGATCGCGGGCGGAAGGCGATAAATGAACAAAGGCGGACAATGGAAATGTATGCAGACAAGGGAATAGATGCAAGCGAGGGGACGAGGGCGTCGAACGTGATGAGTACGATGGCGGCGAACATAAGTACGAGGGAACCCAAGGATGGAATGTATGCATGCGAGACGAAACGAAACGAGAAGCAGGTGTCCGAGGCGAGAGGGGCGCGTATATGCGCGAAGTCCGAGGGCGATCATGGAGGATGGGTGAGGAGGACGATCATGAAGGATCGGTAGGGAGGGCGGTCATGGAAGATCGGTAGGGAGGGCGATATTGGAGGAGGTGGCGAGCAACGTTGGGGAGGTGGGACTAGCGCCCAGGAGGAGGCGGGCGGCGTTGGCAAGGTGGCCGGATTGGTGGCGACGGGGGAGAAGGCGGCGGGCGGGGGATATGTCAAGACGGGGACGGGCGAGGGAAAGGTCAAGACGGGGACGGAAGGGGGAGAGGTCAAGACGGCGATCGACGATCTACGCCTCCACCTCCCTGCGCCAGTCGTTCGTACGGTACTGTCGCTCCTCGACGGCCTCCTCGGGTGATCGCGCCTCAACGACCTCCTCGGGTGATCGGCGCCAGTCGTTCGTCCTGAACCCGGGCTCACGCTTCCAGTCGTTGGCGCGGAACCCGGGCTCGCGCCTCCAGTCGTTCGTCCTGAAGCCGCGAGCCTCGTCGCGTTTCCAGTCGTTCGTGCGGTACTGGCGCTCCTCAACGTGCGCCTCCCGGGCCTCAACGGCCTCTGCGCGTGCCTCGACATCCGCCGCCCTCTTCCAATCGTTTGTCCTGAAGCCCCTCTCGTCGATGTCCTCCTCGCGCTTCCAGTCGTTGGTGCGGAACCCAGCTTCGCGCTTCCAATCGTTCGTCCTGAACCCCCGCGCCTCCTCCTCCGGCGCCCGCTTCCACGACGGGCTCTTCACCTGCGGGTCGCGGCGCCAATCATTCGTCCGGAACCCGGGCTCGCGGCGCCAGTCGTTGGTGCGGAACCCACGAGCTTCCTCCTCGGGTGCTCGGCGCCAATCGTTCGTGCGAAACCCGCGCGCATCTACGTCGGCGGCGGGCGCTGCTTCGGGGGCGGGCTGGGAGGGGTGTGTGAGTATTGGCATCGGTAGGAGACGTTCGCATGGAGAGAGGGAGACGATCGTGTGGAGAGCGGACTAAGGCAGCGAGGAGGAGGAGGGGAGAGAAATGGGGGGAAGGAGGACAAGGGGGTGTAAAGATGGGGGCAGGAGCTGATGGACGGGCGAAAGAGGAGGAACAAAAGAAGGGCTAGCAACGCGAACAAAGAAGAAACCCAAACTCACCACTGGTGAGCCGACAGCAGCAGACGCGAGCAGCGCGGCCGCGAGGGCAAGGATGTGGTCGAGGCGCATGGTGGGATGGTAGGTGGGTGGTGAGGGTGATGGTCTTGAGGTCCGGCGTCAGTCAATGACGCAGCGGCGGGAGATCGAGGTGAGGGAGTCGAGTATGCGATGGTCGAGTGGCTGATCGAGTCAAGGACACAGGCGGTACACGTATGCAGCACAAGGAGGCGGCGGCGGGACGTTATCTGCCAGCGAGCAACCTCAATCAACGTCGGCGGGGCAGAAAGGGCGGTCGCATCGGCGCGCGGCGCCTTATATACGACGCACAGCCCCGCCCCTTGCGCGGGCCTTTATGCGGCACGTCGTTCCGGCCCTGTCGCCGTCGCCGTCACCGGGACCTGTCCGCCCATTCACTCCGCCCTGTCTTGTCAGGTCCAGGGCGGCTGCGTATATGGGCCGCGGGTTCCGGAAGCACGCAGGGGGCGAGGACCGGGTGCGCAGTGTATTCAGTAGTCCGTCCGTCCGACACAGGACTGCGACATGGGCCCGAGAACGCAGGGTGGGGGCAGACCGCTCGCTGTGCCGAGCCCGGCGGGGGCGACAAGGCGGCGTCAGTCAGGGGGGGAGAGACAGCCATCGGACACGCAACCAACGCTTCGAAAGTTCCGCCCTGAGTGCGGACCTGATCGGCGGCAGCAGGTGCCTGGCGGGCGGGGCGGGGAATTTCGCTTATTTGTGGGTGTGTTTTCTTGGGTCGTGTTCATCTTGAGAGGTAGGGAGAGGGAGAAGATATGTACAAGGCTGAGCAGGAAAGCTAGAAGAGCCAGGGAGAGCCCAAGACCCACCAAGCACCAAATGGGTCGCGGAAGACGACGATAGCGCGCGCTCGGCGGAAATGACGCACGCGTCATCGGCGAATGCCGATAAGGTGGAAGTATCGGAGTCGGGCCGGCTTGCTCAGGTTGGCTGCTGCTGTCGCTGGCTGCTGTCAATCGTCTGCTGCTCCCTTTCAGAATCAGAGTCCCTGCCATGCAAGATGATAGCTGCCGTCCTGCCTCGTTCTTTCAAGATCGCTGCCACCGAGTTCATTGCCCTTTCATCTGCCCACTATTCCGCCTTCACGATTATCTTCACCATGCTGCCTCCATGAGCATCTTCACCATGCCGGATCTACGAGCGCCGCGGTGCCTTCATGTCCATGGTGACGGCAATTTATGGTCAGGAACGCGTCTGTCGTGACGCACCGAGGAGGCGCGGAGGCGGCGTTGTAGCTGCGTGTTGAAGGGATAACGCACGCGAAGCAGCATAACGCGTCCGAAACTGACGCTGTCGGACCCACGCAGAGAGAATGGTGGCGCGCAGCCGGTTAGTATCTCCATGAACATTGACAAGACCTCTCCTGCGCAAGGTGAGCTGATCCGTACGCTGCATGACGGGGAGAGAATCCCTACGCCGCATGACGGTGAGAGGTTCCCTACCCTGCATGAAGGGGAGAGGATTGAAAAGACTGTAATTGCGACTGAATGACTGAACAAACTCACAAGAACACAAGAGAGGAGGCCGACACGATGACGCGTCGAGGAATGCGGTGGCGTTGACTCGTGGTCCATGATTGTGGTGAGTCACAGAGAGTTGCATAATTGTGGTGGCGCCGGGGTGTTAGGGGAAGCGCAGGGGTGCGGTATTCGGCGAGGAGAGTATGCGTACCCGCTGAGCAAAGGATGCGCACTCGACGAGTCCCAGGGGACGCGCATATCCGGCCTCTGACTGCAGCCGTCGCCAAGGAGAGGTCTCGGTCGCCATGTCTGGAAGGGCACGCCATGTCTGGAAGGGCACTGTTATACCATGTCTTGAAGGGCCCTGTTGCGCCGTGTCTGGAAGGGCAATGTCACGGTAACACCATGTCTGGAAGGGCACTGTATCGCTGGACGCGACAGCCTGGGACGTCGCGCCGCGCTCGATGCTGCCAGCTGACGCGTCTAACTCTGCAACCTCACCTCATCCCCGCGCAACCGTTCTCCCCCGCGCGATGCCGCTGGTTGGGTGATTTCATGTCGCTGGCTGGGAGCTCTGGTTGGTCGCTTCGATGCCGCCGTACGCGACCTGCAGAGACACCTTCTTACGCCTTCAGCATCTTCGCCACCTTCTTACGCCTTCACCACCTTCGATGTCTAGGAAGTATCCCTCTGCTCCTCACCGACACGCGCGGACATTCTCATCGCTCTTCCCAGTGTCTATTCAGCCGCCGTTCGACGTCTACTCAGCCGCTGTCCGATGTCCATCCAGCCGCTCCCATTTGACGACGAGGGGCGCTCGATCTCGATATCTCTCATTGATCTCGAGGTCTCCCCTTGATCCTCGATATCGCCTCTGTTCAGTTTTGACGCCGCCCATCATCATCTGTCGGCATCGCCATGCGAACACGTCCGACGCGTCAGCTTTTAATCTCCCGCGTCAGACTTTTGTTTCCAGCTGCTGGATCTTGCTCCTCCTTTCCTGCAGCTGAATTCTGCTCCGCCTCCCCCGCAGGTGGATCTCGTTCCTCCCCTCCCACAGCTGGGTTTCGATCCTCATTTCCCGCTGCTGGAATTCGCCGATCATCTGAGGGCATCTGTCGGCGTCTAGCACGTCTGGCGGTTTTCTTCCGCCCGACATCTCTGACTATCCACTCCCTCGACGCCTCTGACTATGTTCTCCCGCTGGCCGCGTCTCACGTGTCTGTAGCGTTCAGTGCGTCTAGCGTGTCTATAGCACTCAGTGCGTCTAACGTGTCCATAGTACTCAGTGCGTCCAACGTGTCCAGAGTACTCAGTGCGTTTGACGATATATAACTTGCCGCCCGTCAAAATCGCGGACGTCTGATGCGTGCAGTCTCGGCGGAAGCAAGGGCGAGGGATGGATACGATCGTTGAGCGAGGGATACATTCGATCGTTGAGCGAGGGATACATTCGATCGTTGAGCGAGGGATATAATCAATCGTTGAGCGAGGGATACATACAATTGTTGAGCGAGGGATACACTCAGTCGTCGGGCGATGTATCCTCTTGCCTGGAAGGCATCGCGGAGCGTGCACCTGAGAACTACGAACCCTCCGTGGGCGGAGCGAAGAAAATTACCTTGCGGCGCGATCGATGTCTGCGCGTGCTTATCTCTGTGGGCGATGGCTGTCCGCGCGTGATGGCTGTCTGCGCGCGATGGATGTTTGCGCGTGTTTATCTATGTGGGCGTCAGCGCACGTGCTGTCTGGCGCCGGCCCGTGTCGGGCGCGCGTCCTTTCTCCCGACGCCGCGAAAGCCTCGTCGCTCGCTGTGACCCGCTGGTCTCGTCGCTCGCTGTGCCGCCAGTCTCTTTCAACAGCTGCCTGCGGCTGCGGGAGACTAGCTGCTCTCCGACTAGATGTACCTCGGAGGGCCCTGGCAACGTGCGACGCGAAGCGCCCTCTCGCAGACGCTGTTGCTTTTAACGAATCTTACGCTAGGTCGGACTCGATGTATCTCAGAGCGCTCTTTCGAGGACTTGGCGGCAGATGATATGACTTGACGGCGCGACATCTCACTGCTTGACATTGACAGCGCAATCTTGAAGCTGGCAATCGACAGCGCAATCCTGATGCTTGGCACCGGCAGCGACATCTACTCTATGCACTACTGGGTGGGTCACGAGCGTGTTTTTGTGACTTTCTACTAAACGCCTGGCCTTCCCCGCTCGAATCGAGGACGTGCGTGCAAATCAGTGAGTGCGCCTTCTACTTCCCCTCACGTGCTCTATCCGCTCTTTCGTCTGCTCTCCCCTGATATGTCGATGTTACGAAGTCATCACAGCGCTCTCATGTCCATCGTATACCTCCTCATGTTCTCTGACCTCACCTCCCCGCGTTCGTTGGTATTTACCCTTCGACCGCGTCCCGCGGATATAGCCTCAGCTAACACATGAAGCCCGGGCTTCCCTCTCAAGCAATGAGCCGGCGAACGGTCTTGTGCTGTTAGAAGCTCAGTTCCACCGGCAACTAGCAGACGCATCACGGAACAGAGATCTGACGACGGAACTGCATGCGACGAGGGTGCAGGCGGCGACGAGCAGCTGCACGCGGTCAAGCTCGCGGCTCGCTAGAGGTAGAGGGCGTGACTGCTGCGCAACCCCCAGGCCCTGACTCGGATTGGGTCGTTCTGCCTCGCGCCTCTTCATTTCTCAAAGGCTCCGACCTCTCTCGCCGGTGCTCATTCCCGACAAATCAGTATGCTCTTTGACAAGGAACGGCTGGAAGAAGCACCTGTCGTCCATACTCGCAACCGGTGCGTATGTTTCTTCGGCGGCGCCCGCGCTTTGCAGTCTCATCATCGGCGTGCACATCTATCGCCAGGGTACGCACCCAACTCACATTTCTCAAAGATGTGAAGATGTCGGTGACGCGTCGGACTTTGAGTGCTGCTGCGCGACCGGCGAATGCCGCTTTTGGCAACCTTTGTCTCGATCACGTGAAGGTTGCGTCGCGTCCGGGTCCGCGGCGCGTTTGGCCGGGGCTATACCTTGCGCGCGTCCGCATTCCGCCTCTCTTGACACCCCACCACCACCCTCCTCTCGCCGCATCCTGCCCCTCGCTCTCCCTTACTCTGTCTTGGTCTTCCATCACCGGCGCACCCGACACACAATGGACAGAGCTCAAGAAATAACGCGCTCGCTGGTCGAGCCTTCGGCGCCGTCGTTGTCAGCCGAGACGGCACTGGCTACTCAGGCCACCGCTGGCGGTGGCCACCCTGCCCACATCCAACGCCCCGACCACACCCCGGGCACCGTCATCGCCCTCGCCACCTCCGTCTACCAGCCCCTCGCCACCATGCTCGACATCATCGGCCAGACATTGGGCGAGGCGCCTCTGCTGCGCTACGACAAGGGCGCCCGCCCCGCGCTCGTCGTCGACAGCGGCGTCTCCCAGGCCGGCGAGCGCTTCTGCATCGCCCTCCTCTTCGCCACGTTCGGCGGCTGCGACGACATGCGCGAGATCGCCGATCCTATACGACGGTGGCTCATTCCCGCGCGGCCGGCGGGCGGCGCATGCGATCGCTGGCCGCCTTGGGCGAATGTGCCGGTGCATAATTTGGGTCGGGAGATGGAGTTCGTGATCAGCCTGCCGGTGAATGTGTATCATATTGGCGTGCAGGCATGGGAATGCGAGCCCTACGTGTATGGAGGGAAGGAGCTCTGGGTATCGAGGGGGGTCGCGGAGGCGCTGAGTCACCTCGCTGACTGCAACGCCGACGCACTGTGCAAGGAGGTTCAGACGTGCCCGGAATACTGGGGCATGCTCGAATATTTCAACGTGCGTGTCGCGGTGTGCTGTGTTGTCGTTTGTACGTTACTGAAGAATTTTTAGGTCACGAAAACCTGGAACCCGGGCCGTCGTCAGCAGACGTGGGGCGCAGCGCTGTCCTACGAGAGACCTGAGGGCGAGGAAGAAGACGACTTACGCCCTGCGGAAGAGGGCGACTTGCATCCTGCGGAAGAAGGCGACCTACACCCTGCGGAAGAAGACACATTCCCCGCGTCACCGACCTTGGTTCTCATCTCCTTGGACTCGCCTGTGACGCCCCATTCGCGTGCGCCGTCGGGCTCTCGCGTGCCGTCAAACTCTTCATCGCGGGCCCCGTCAGGCTCCTCTTCGCGGGCCCAGTCAGGCTCGTCGTCGCGGGCCCCGTCAGGCTCTCGTCTTCCAGCCTATTCCTCGCCCCTCAAATCACCCGAACCCAGAGGTCTTGTACTTAAAGACCTCGCTCCGCACGACGTGGCGCTGAGAGCGCACGCCGCTCACGACGTGGCGCTGGGAGAGTACGCCTCTCACGGCGTGGCGCTGGGAGCGCACGCCGCTCACGACGTAGAGCTTGGAGAGATTGTCGAAGATGAGGACGATGAGGACGACGTCGATATCCTCCCCGCCCCTTTCCTCGTCACTCCGCAGAAGATGGAGTCGGCGAGCTCGACGCTCTTTGAGTCGACGGCTTCGGGGCGCTTCGACTCGACGGCTTCGAGGTGCTTTGACTCGACGGCTTCAAGGCGGTTCGACTCGACGACATCGAGGCGCTTCGACTCGACGACTTCGAAGCGCTTCGACCACGCGATGGAAGACGACTTCCCGCCGACGCCCTCTCGTGCGCCAGCTCGGGCACCGTTCTCGTCGCCGACCAAGGCACCCTGCTCGGAGACTAGGGATATGATCTCGTCACCAACCAGTTCTCCGTTCTCGTCGCCGACTAAAGCTCCGTTTTCGTCGCCAACTAAGGCTGCATACTCACCGACTCGGGCTCTGTACTCGCCGACTCGCGCTCTGTACTCACCGACTCGGGCTCTGTACTCCCCGGCTCGGGATCCGTACCTGCCTGCCGACGTTCCGCAGACTCCCATCCGGCGCAACGGGCGTGCTCTGAATTTTACGGATATTGAAGACTACGAAGCTGCCGACGAGTACATGACTGGCAACGGGTTCAAACCTCCCGGCGGATTCATAGCTCCCAGCGGATTCATCGTCACCGATGGCTTTATGAATCACTTCATGGCTACCGACGATTTAATGACCCCCGAGGGCTTTACTCCTACCCAGGACTTCACGACCACCGAAAATTTCGCGACCACCGACAGGTTCATGACCGCCGACAACCTCGCGACAACGCCAGCGACCCCTTCACTGCTCGAACGCATCTCGACGGCACGGACTCCCAAGCGCCGCGCGCGCAACAGGCGGCGCAATGATAATGATGCGAACACGATCCCGCTCACACCTGAGAAGGGCATGAACAATCCGAACGGCGTCCCTCTGACGCCGCGGAAGCCGTACACGCCACACACACCGCACTCGTCGAAGTCATCACCGTACACGCCGCTGAAGGCCCCTCAGCTCTCGGCGCGCGGGCAGCGCGCGTTCCAGCCGTACCCGCAGTCCTCGCCCTCGAAGGCGTACCCGCAGTTCTCGCCTTCGAAGGCGTACCCGCAGTTCTCGCCTTCGAAGGCGTACCCGCAGTCCTCGCCCTCGACAGCAGCGGGGCGAAGTCTTTTGGACCGTCTGGCCGTACCTCTCAAGGACCGGCTGGCCGGTGAGCGTAAGCTCGCGGACCGCATCTCTGGCGCGGTGGTGCCATCCGACGACTGATTGTCGGCGTGGTGGTTGTGATGCTCGCCCTTCGCTCGCGTAATCTCGCCCTTTGCTTGCGTGATCTCGTCTTTTGCTCGCATGATCTCGTCTTCCGGTCTGGGTGTTGCGTCTGCTTTGCTCTCGTCCCGGTCCCTTCGCCTGCTTCTGGCTTCACGGCTCGCTCTCTAGCTTCCTTCCTCGCACGTTTCGACCCTTTCTTCATACCCTTAGACCTTTCCAACCGTGGATACACCCCTTCGGTATGTTCTCATGGTCGTGCTTCTCACGTACCTCTGACTGACAGTCTTGCAGACTATAGACACCATTCATTCAGCCACTCTCTTTCCCTTTCCTCCCTCTCTTGGGTTCCCCACTCAATCATCACTCTGTATCATAGCCGTTTTCCTCCATCTCTCACGCGCTAACTTATTCTCTCAACTCACTCACTACTTATTGTATTGCTAGCATGCGCTGTCAATCTGCTATCTGCTCCGCGCTATCGTCTCAAGCCCTCGCGTCGCATCATAGCCCAGCTTTAGAGTCTATAGCGCCTCGCTGTCGCTCTGCTTTGTACATATTCATCAGGAAAAACGTATATAGGTTATCTACGCAAATCATCGAATATCGACGGCAAGGACTACAAATCTTGATAAATTTCGACACAAAGCGTAAATCAGTGATAATTGGGTGACCCGCTCGAAACTTATCTGGAATTTGCGGACTTCAAATCATATTTGTAGCTTTTGTAGCCACAATAAGGACCATATTGATGCACAGTGGGAGATGATGTGACGGAATTGCGAAGCTGGACGAGGGAGGGAGAAGCTGAAGTGGAAGGCCCACATAGTGCACATACAGCACCTTTCCCGCACTCATCGCTATCCCCCCAGGTGACGGAGAGAGGCGCGTCCTGGCGCGTTCGCGCAGACGGAGACGCGTCGATATCCTGCGGGGAGAGGTCGTGGGTCCCGCAGTGCGGCAATGTTGTCTGCAGGTAGAATTCCCGAATGGGTTAGCGCCGCGGCTGCGGGGGCGGGGATGGCGCTTAGGGCTAGGCGGCGGACTGAGAAGGCGGCGGAGCGAGGAAGATAAGCGGCGGGCTGAGGGTGGTAGGCGGCTGGACGAGAGGCAAGCGCCGCATGCTGTGAGGGCACGCGCATCAGCAGGGCGCCCCCGGAGCAATGTGATCGTCACATCGAGAAGGCATACATAGGGAGAAGGCCGAATCACAGTGTGCTCGATAGAGCACGAGGGAGACGGGGAGCAAGGTTGACCAGCGCGGGAGTTGGTATATATCACCGAACCGTGCTCACGCCCCTCTTACTTCCTACGCGCATATACTTCAGTCGATCTGCTTTCCTCGTATAGAGCAATACGACGGGGACGAAGAGATACGCACCACTTCAAAGTCCCGCGATAGCGCCACATATTCGGGAAGATCCGAATGACGTATACAAGCGCTGACGTGGCACATTCCGATCATTTTCGATCTTGCTCTCAGCCATCATGTTCTCCCTGCTGCCCGCCGCGCGTTCTGCAGATGCGGCAGCGTATCCTCAATACCATACCCAACGCCCTGCACCAACCTGCCCTTAGGTTGGCAGGCGAGCAACGGCGAGATGCGCGCCTTCGGCTCGCGTGCTTCGAGTACGTCCGCCTATCGCTGCGCCAGGACGTGCACAAGTGCGCATCTGCTCTTTGCTTATCTTTTTCCCAGGCGACTGGGCTTATACTTGACTCTCGTCACACTGAGCATTGACGGGTGCGTAGTTCCTTCGTCTTGGGTTGTACTTGCTGACGTCGCCTCTAGATGGCTCCGACTCTTGTCGAAGACACCCGCGTCCCCCACTTTGCGTCTCCGACGCATCCCCTGCCTCCCGCGTCCCTACCGCCTGCGCCCCCGCCGTATCCCCCCTCAGTCCTTGACGCCGCCTGCGTGCGCGTGCGCGCGCCCTGGGTGCACGGCTGACGAGCGCGTGCCGCGGGCGTACGACTGATGAGTACGTGCCGCGAGTGAGGGTTGTGCTGGGCGAGGCGCGCAACCCTCTGGTCTAAGTGGTAGGTCGTTGTAATAACTAATCCTGCCCACCCTCTCATGGCTGACACAAAGTTGCACCTGGCCGTGCTACTACCGTGTGCATCGTAGCGTCCCTATGTAGAATTATCATGTAATCTGTAGAATTTCCATTTATATTGTCCATGATTACATTGTGTGTTATCTGACAGAAACCAAGACTATCGCGTTGTCTTTATATGCTTCCAGAATTCACATTTTGCGAGTGCTCGTCAAAGTCCCAATGATTTGCGGTAATATTGTGCAAATTTACTCGCTTTGAAAGGGGTGCAGAGGTAATCCAGATGATCTGCAACAAGGCCGGTTATAACTGCAAATCATGCTTTTCGCGCAGCATTTGCGTAAATCACCACCATACACTTTTCCTGATGTTCTCCTGCACGGCTCTCGCCCTCCTCGTTCTTTACCTTCCGTCTCTCGAAATTTCATCCGTAACTAGCTTCTTTTAACCCGTCAATCCCACGCTCTTTTATATTTATCAAGACCGGAAATACTCCCATTGACTGAGGGGGACAATGCACAGGCGCGTGCTTCTGCAGTGACATCGGTCGCAGCGCTGAAAGAAGCGCACTTCCGCATCGACCCCCGGTGAATAGGCGGTAGAGGTGCGCAACAATGGAAGCAGTCTCTGCCCTATTACCACGGACCGGCCTATCGTAAGGACTCCCAGCGCTTATTGTGAGCGAAATTCGGTACAATGGTCGGTCCCTGCAAGGTCCATCAGCTGCTTCACGGAGCGCATGGACCAGCTAAGTAATCATGGTTCTATAAGTGTATGTCCTCGCTGCAGGTTCGTAGTGTCGCTTGCCTGCCTCTCTTGCCATCGCCATAATTTCCGCACTTTATCGGTCACTTATTCTTGCAGAATCATGTCCGGCGAGTCTCCTCGCAGCAGACGGAATCGGAAGGAGCGTGAGGAGCGCCGCGCCGAGGGGGGAAGACGCGCGCCGGCAGAGTCGTTCGCACGGGAGCGCGGCACGCCAAAGAAGGAGGGAGGGCGTACGACGGGCGTGCGCGTCGCCGAACGAAGTCACCACCTATGTGGCAACACGGAGGAGGGAAAGAGAACCCTCAAGCATCATAGAGCGATGGGCAAGACGGCGAGGGCGACGGTGGGGGATCCATCCCACCTCGACAGGATGGCAGTTCTCCGCGCGACTGCAACTCGACAAGCCGCCCGCTGCGCGAGGCGAGACGCTCGATGGCCCGCCCGCAATGGCTTCTTCCTCAGCGTCCAGCACGCCCTCGACCGCTATCGCGTCATCAGCGAGAATTTCGACCGCGCGCGGTTCTCCATCGGCGCCAACCCTCTCGTCGTCGGGTGCGTGCCCTGGCCAGCGGTGGTGCATCCGAGTCGGCTTGTAGGCGACGATGGCCGAGGCGTTCAGGGAAGTACGTCGTGGGAGGACGTCGAGCACTTCCTACAGGGTGTAAAGCAGATTTTGAGGCCGGCGGAGTATCAGGATCTTCTCCGGAAGGTCAGGCTGCAGTTCCATCCGGATAAGTGGGCGAGTCGGGGGATCCTGGAGAGTGTTCTGGACGACGAGCTTCGCGTCCAGCTACATACCTGGTGTGTGATAGTCTCGCAGGCAGTCAACGCTGCGTGTTGAACGAAGAGGCCTGTCTATGCACTCGCCTGCGTCGTGGAGTCCGCGTCGATCTTGGAGGCGCGGTACCCTGCTTTCCCTTAATTAATATCTGACGAGTGTATGCATGTGATGACGGTTAGAATTTGTGATACAGGAAGCGTAATTCACTGAAACCCCGCTGTATCTCTTTCCACTAACGGGAGCCTCAGAGGAAGCTCGCATATAGTGCCATTGCGCAAGGGGGATGAGATGAATGTCGGCCGAAAGATGAGATTCGGTAAACCCTCAAGCAGCGACTGTCGTTCACAAAGCGCTGATACATGCTTCGATCATCAGATGAGGCGCAGATTTCAGGAGAGCATGACTTCAGGAGTATGTGAACGGTAGGCGGGCGAGCCAGCAAGTCGCCGTCTCGTGCTTGCGCGCGTTCGGCGTTTGCCGAGGACCTGCATAGTTCCGAGTTCCCCCTTTCGGGAATCATTGTTCTTGACTTGAACTCTCACATTGACCGCCTTCGGCTCGGACGCTTCTTAACTTCTATCTGTGCAGTGTCGCTGTAGAAACTCTATGTCTCTGCTGTATGGAACCTTTGGGTCCAACCTTGCTCGCTCGAGTCAACAAGGACCCACTTCGTTGGAATGACGCGCTTGGGACCCATACTCGGAAATCGAAGCTCTTAGCGGGCGTCATGAGCCTCTTTTAATGCATCCTGACTGGCTCTAGCCTCCTGATTTCTGTCTCTTCCCTGAGCCCGACTTAGCGCCTATCGAAGACGGCGCTCAACGTCCGCCCTATCGATTGGCTTACGGAAACGCCAAACCGCCGTCTCTGCGCCTACTACCATGTCTGAAGACGGTCTCGCTTCATTATCTGAGTTTCCAGAAGATGATACCGACATCCAGTCTGCACGATGTACGTCCCTCTTGCCTCGTAGTTTTAGTTCAAGACTTATCATACATATCGATGCGATCACCAAGTCGCCTTTAGCGACGCGGACGTTATCGTCTTTCGCTCCACAGATGGTACCTTGTTCAACGTCCACCCTTGCAATCTGAGGTACACAACGGATGGTCCGCTGGCCGAAGACTTTCACGCCGTACCCGGAGAAGAAGTCCAGCTTCCAGAGGATGCAGCGACGCTGGAAATGCTATTTGGATTTGTCTATCCCAACATGCACCCGTCTCTCGTAGATATACCGTTCTCGAAGTTTGCAGCTGTCGCGGAGGCGGCGGAAAAGTATCATGTAGCGGCAGCTAGAACCTTGTGTCGCGCCATCATCCGATTATCGTAGGCCCCTCCATCGAAGCCTCCACGTCTGCTATGGCTGACCATAACGTAGAGCGCTGTACAAGGATCATCCACTCGAGATACTCGACTTTGCGTTCCGCCATGATCATCGCGACCTCCTCGATCTCGCAGCTCCCTTCTCTCTGAGAGAAGAGGTAGAAACGGCTCGACAGGCGCTATCCTTGCCCATATTCTCCGCCTGGGTATGCCTCTGCGGCTCGTACGCATGTTGTTGTGACTGACGGCTTGGATAGGTTGCCTACCGAGAAGCGTTTATCGCTGCATTTCGATGTGCCAGCATACGCTTCAATGACCGTCACGGTGACGGCGGAAAGACATGTATGTACTGGCCTGAAGTCGTCTTCGCTGTCGATAAGAAGTTGGAGGAAAAGGGCGGCTACTTTGCGCTGAGTGCGGATCCGGATGCTCTCTTCGACGCCGGCGATGCAAAGTGCGCGAGATGTACTTCGAAATCGTGCGCCGGCGGGACCAAGTGTTCCGAGCAATTATCAGAATGGAAGGGCCGCTTCGTCAAGGGTAGATCGGCCATAGTACCGTTGTCGCGTGTCCTCTCCTGCACGAACTAATTGCACACAATGGTGCAGTAACATTGATACCATACATCCCCGCGCGTCAATGTTCCTGCGTTCGCCCGTCAAAACATCCCCCCCTCCCGCGACCACTCTGCATACGGGCCCGACTCTGCAGTCTTGAGTCACTCCTCGACCTCCGCATCTTTCGACCACTGCCTTTCCCCATCCAATATTGCCCGTTAGGCACCGCCGAGCCCACCCGCCCACGCGACGAGCTCTACATTCCAAATCCTTCTGGAAGCTGGCCGGACTGTGCAAGGCAAGCCCGCAGCGCGGACATCAGCACCACCAGACCCGGCGTCATTGCCAGCAAACGCGCTGAAAGGAGGAAAATTCTAGTCTCGTTAACCAGCCTCCATACTGGAGTCTGGAACTACCGTACCGGAGGGTAGTGGGATGACATCGGAGTTTGAAAGCTTGGTTTGCCGAGCGCGGCCGGCGTTTACCGGGTGACGCGACTTCCCCTTCGGGCAGGCCTTGTGCGAGTTATGGACAACCGTCATGTCGACGCCGTATAGTAGTCAATTGTACCCTCATCCGCACGATATGCCGCAAAACTTTCAGTCACAACATGTGCCCCGTGCCGAGCAGACTGAATATGGTGATCAAGTCAATTTTATTCACCTGATGCCTCCGAGACTCACACGGTTTATACCGGTCAGGCGAGCAGTATCGTCCGCCGAGGTATCCGCCAGTACCACCCGCCTCGCCTCCAAGCGCTTGGCAACACCCTGGCTATGCTTACCCTGTCGCTACGCCGCCTGCTATGCCACCATACCCAGCATATATGGGACCACCGCCTCTTCTTCCGCCCTTCGCTTACACACCGCCTCCACTATATTATCCCCCGTTCCCTGCTCGCTGGACAGCGCCGCTACCGCCGCCGCCACCACCACCTCCGCCTCTGCCGCCGCCTCATTCTGTACCCGCACCGCTTACTATGGAGGAACAGTTGGCTCTCGAGCTCGCTCAGTGTGGCTTGTTTCGAGGCCTTGACTTAGACGATGAAGACAAAGAAACCGGCGACGAGGATGACTTTGGGAACGACAAGAATGCTCGACCGACTCTCCGTCAACTGAGATGGCCTCCCTCCGCTTCTAAGGAGGAGAAACTACGCGTTACGCTGAATTTTCTACGCATCGCTGGCTTCGAGGGACTCGGCGGGTTCCTCGCAGACATCTTCGAGGACAAGGTCTATCAAGACGTCTCCGTCACGAAGCAAGTCTCGCACTTTCTCTGCGCGAAAAGCACACGTCCTCGCGAGCATCCAGAAGCGATTATTCGGCAAATCTACTCGCACCGCCAGTCTCAGCGATGGAACAATGGCTGCGAGGAGAAACCACACCTAGGACTCCCTCGCTACGCGCTACCACCTTTGGCACGCCTCTCCGCCATCCCCCAAGAGCCTCAAAACTCTACGCGTAATGCCCTTGACGCATGGGCGCTCGAGATAGTGATGAAGCGGATCCGAGTGGAGGCAAACAGACTTTGCGAACTCACAATCTTCAGGTCGGACGGCACGGCTCCTGACTGGAAAGAGCTCCTGTCTTTCGACGTTCGCTTAGCGCAGGACGTCATCTCGCGCATTGCGCCAACCGTCTTCGCTGTGATATCGACACTTGCTGTAAACAAATCGATAGTCAAGAAGCTTGACAAACACGTCGACAAGGGAGCGGGAGGTGATCAGCTCAAGATCAAGCGTGACCCGTGGCTGGTAGGTGATCTTCAGATGCGCTACTGATTTCTGATTCATTTCTTCAGATATCAACAATTGCAACGCTCATGCTTCTCAACAGCAGACATGCGCTGGTGAACAATTTCCAGCGCATGGTCGGCATTTTCCTCTATTCGTGTAACGCCAATCGCGAGATCCTCTCGCTTACCTCCCGCGTCGCCCTCTCGACCAGCTATAGCACATCGCTGCGACACTTACACGCGCTCGGCAAGGACGCCGCCAACACGCTCCTACGCTTCGGTCAAGCAATCAAGATGGACGGCATCGATTTCTTGGTCTTGATCGACAATATCAACAAATTGCAGCGCTCCTGGGATTCTTCGCTTCTTAAACACGATCAGATGCTGAACGGTACCGCGGCAACCCTCATCAAACTCGAGGACGTTCCCGATGGCGCTCTCGACCAACACCTCCTGGGACAACACAGCGCCGAAGCTACGCGCTCTCGCAAGGACTTGGTCGTAGCCGACCTCGAGGAGCGCCTCGACACCGCTCTCATGCGCAAACTCGTATGCGGTGTCATATTGAAGTCGCTGCTGAAGCACGTACCGGCCTTGGCGACACGTTTTCGCTCCGCTCTAGATGCTCACAACGAGAACCACCTTCGCGTACACCCTCTGAAGGTACGCAAGAGCGAAATCTACCCAATGCGAACCAGTAACAAGGACGAGAGCACGGTACCCGGCATTGCTAGCGTGATCAGCGATCTCGTCGAGGAGCAGCTCGGAATCGACCCTAACGATCTCGATTCACGGCTTCTCTTTTTCTGTGGCGATCTCCTGAGCGTCGACCGTGCACGGAAGCTCAAGGAGGTCTGCGCGAAGGCACCTGGCGCACGCAGCCGCGCTTTTATTCTAGCACTTGCTCAGCTCTTTCATCTAAAGTGGTGCTGGCAGAAGTCGATTATGAGCATGCACTGGTGGGCAGCCGTCAAGGGTGCAGACGGATTGGCTTGCGATGTCGCCGTTCTCGGGCGTGGCAAGTTTAATCACGAGCGCTGCGACTTCTATCCAGGCCATCATATACTGGAAGACAAGTTCGAAGCTATGGTTTGCCATGCACTCCGGTGAGACCTTCTCGTGTTGCATGACAAGCAGCTTGCTGATCTACACCGAAGCCTACTCATCCAGGAGAAGTACGATGTTCCCGAAAACCCCGACTCGAAGCTACTCGATGTACTCGAGCAAGCGTTCGCGAAGGGAGGACTCTTAGCGACCTGCACCTTCGATGGCCTCTTGGACATGGCGGAGACGATATACGACCGATTCTGCTCCCCTCGTGCGAGCGAGTTCGCCTCGGGAGAGCTGCCAAGACCCGAGGTGAAGTGGGGGAAGCCGTGTAGCACATACACGCTTCCAGCAACGTCAACAAGCGCGACATGTACGGCACTCATTACAGGACAATTATGTCGAGTTCCCTGACCGCTTCTAGCCGAAGCTCCCAAGTCCAATCGAGGGCGTAAGAAGGCAAGAGCGACCAATCCCTCGCTCGAGTGCAAAGGCGACCAGTCTCTTCAAAATGACTGTCATTTCATGCGAACAACAGGATGGTACTTGCTCATCTGCGACGGCATTAGCCAGGGGGATATGGGGCACGTATTTTGCGCCCTTGACGTGAGTTCATCTACTTTACTGTGATCTCTTGCTGACGCTGCCTGGCCCAGTTCCTCACCTTCTCATTCTGGGGAGCGGGGGCGACGAAATACGCAAACGAGATGCTAGAAATGGCATGCAACTTTATTTGCGAGTTCCCGCCCGAGTTGAGGGTCGCCATCATGAACAACTACGTTGTCAACCCCACCGGACGCCCCGGTCACTTCCAGGAGCTCGATTTTCTGCAGGAGCACTTCAACAAGGAGATCAAGCATATGTTCACTGAGAAAGCGCACGACTTCGGCGACGCGCATATTGCGGAGGCGATAGCGCTCAACATCAATGGGCTGAAAGCCCTGCGACAGATCGTCGCGGAGACCATTAGCGTCAAGCGCTCCGGTACGCGACATGCAGCCCCCAACAAGGCGCCAGACATCAACCGCCTCGGCGCCCACTATCTCCTAAACCATCGCTTGGAGTACTGCGCGCGGCGCACGCAGCCTTACCTCGTTCCTGATGAATTCTCGGCTGGCTTCGATATTCTCTTCAACGGACAATTCGATACTTTCATCGAACGTACAGCGCGCTAGTACAGTGGATAGGGTTCGTTCTTCTCGCGCATGGTGAGCGCGACTTCATACACAATTTGCGGTACTCACCAACGTTTGGAATGCAGCGAGGCTATTTCTTTTGGATCCTCCGTTTCTTCTGCGCTGTCGACGGACTTCTGGACGGCGAGCGGCGCTTTGAAGAGGTGCGGGAGGGGAGGAAGGTACGAGGTACGTCGTTCTCCTGTGATGATGTGCTCCTATCGCTGAGTCGCATGGGCAAGTGTCCGGGAGGCTGGATGGGAGCGAGGGGCAAGCGGGCGTCTGGACGGGGGTCCAAAGGTGTAGTCAAAGGAGAGGGTGGAGGCGAGGTGGTGGACGCGGTGGAGACGAGGCTAGAGTCGGATGAGGACACCGATGAGTCTGTCCGTGGTATTGACAATGGTTGCGAGGATCCGGAGTGACCTGAGCTCGACGAGTCGGACTCGGAGTCTATTTCCTCCACCTCCTGAAATGCCGCACTGTTGACAACCTCTGACCACAACTCGTCGATTTGCTCCATTGCATGATGAAGAAAATCGAAGAGCAGCCGTCCGTACTGAGGCAAGTATCGCCAGTCCGAAGCAATGGTTGCGAAGGCGTCATAATCCGCGCCACAGACGTGCGCCTTATCGACGAGTTTTTGGATTATCGACGTGGGGAGGAAGAAAGGGGCCGGTAGTTGCGACTCGGGTGAGATCTTGTACCAGGTCGTCAAGCGCCAGCTGGTGATTAGTTCAACGAGCTTCTGCTTGAGCAGGGACGACTTGATAGGCTTGTACGTGCCATCGGAACGGACAGTCGCGCGCTGGGGCTCATCATTCTGAAGCAAGTCAAGCCACTGCTGAACAAGCGCATTGTGAGCAGCGTTGTCGCCAGGCTGGTGAGTCTCGCATAAGCACTCCGACCACGGCTTGTCAGGTGGCCAGGTATCGCCGTAGATTTCTAGATCGACGGCTCGGGAACAGCGCGCTGTAGTGGGATTGCAGTACGCCAATATGTCAGGGTCCATCTGGCGTCGCCTCTCGAAGTCCTCCTTTGCCTTAGCAGTCGTGAGTGGCGATGCATCATCAGCAGTCGAGACCCAGCGTGGGGAGTATAGGATGAACTTCCCGGGGCCTCGACGGCCGACACGCCCACGCCGCTGCTTGAGGACACTCTTGTCCTTGACGAGCCCGAGGGAGATCGCAGTAGACAAGTCGAGGTCAAGGCCGTACGTGAAGCTCTCTGTGACGATGCCGATACGTATGGTTCCATTGTTGAAATCTTCGACCCACTGCGTGCGCTCCGCCTGAGTCAATATGGAGTTGTATTGACGGACGGCGACCTTCCTAGCCTCGTCATGCGGCAAGCATCTGTCGAGGAGACTGTCAAGATATCGCTCGAGCTGTAGTCCATCCTGAGTTATTGTATCCACAAAGACAATGGCTTGCGGTATATCTGCGAGCGATTTTGCTGTCGGAGGGATGAGCCAGGAGAGATCGTGAAAGGTGCCTTGCGTCGTGGAGTGCGAGAGGAAGCGAGTGATGTATTTGACGTGTGGTAGATCCTGGGAATAGCTTGCGTCGACGTAGTAACCGGGCAGGAAGCCAAGTTTTCGCGTGATAGAGGAGCGGAGAGCAGTAGGGACACTTCCAGATACTGCCGCCCAGACCGTTTCTCGACGGAGCACTGCCCGGAGATTGCACAACAGCTCGTAGTGGGACCGAAACACAGTGTCGCTCATGACAAGATGTGCTTCATCTGTTAAAAGCCATCGAACCTGCAGATCAAATAAGACACTACCAGCACATTCATTCCAGTGCTTACCTTTGCCAAAAACTTCGGCTTCAGTAGTAATTTCCTGAGCCCATACACAGCCATCTGCGGGCTAACTACTGCCACGCGAACATCGTCTCCTTGCTCGAACTCTTGAAGCGGGTCAGGCCCGTTACGAGGGCGCACGGTGTCTTCGTTGATGACGATGCTTCTAATTCCGTACTTTCGTGCAGTTTCCGCCTCGAAACAGCGTCAGCGCATCCATGTACCCCATTAGAGAGAAGAGCATACATGCTGCTCAGCGAGTGCCTTTGTCGGGACTATCAAGATGCCTGCTGCCTCCTCTCCTCGAGCTTTACTCGCTATCAAGCCTGAAAATAAGACGAGGCTCTTCCCTCTCCCAGTCGCAACCGAAAGGAACACGTCCTGATTGCGGACAGCGATCTCATAGCCTAGATGATCCTGAAAGTCTCGAAGACTGCTGTTGCCGGAGGCTGAGCAGAGGGTCTTCTGCAGCCATTCGTGCGAGTTAACGTCGAGAGGTACTTCTTGACTCATTATCTACGCGCATATACCCGGCGAAGCAGAGAGTACAATGGCGGTGAAAGGCAGAATCAATTGGCTACCCGAATAGGTAGTAGCTATCTCCGGCCGGCCGTCGGCATGTCGTCGGCACCTTGGATTTCAAACTCCGATGCGATCCTCTGACCCTCCCGCCACGGTCGGCCAAGACTAGAAAATTCCCCGGATTGCCAAAGCGGTGCAAGGTTCCAAATTTCCCTTTCAGGGAAGCGTTATTCTTGACCTCAACTCCGACTCGAACACTGCTCGTGGCGTGTCGCTCTTGCCACTCGCGCGCTATGCTGCGCGGAGCTCTGGGATCCAGCTTTTCTTGCTCGAGTCGATAAGGGCCGCTTCGCTGAAATAACACCCTCCGGACCTATACTGTACTCGGAAATCGAAGCTCTTAGTGGGCGTCATGAGCCTTTTTGGATGTACCCGGCTTGGATTTACTTCCTCGTGCTGACCTTCTCCATGCGCCTGACCGTCTTGGCGCCTATCGAAGAAAGCGCTTAAAGTCCACCGTATCGATCAGTCCACGGTTGCGAGTCTGCCCTCTCTTGATTCTTTCCACCATGTCTGACGACGCGAGAGCTCGAGAGACCGGTACCTCGACCCCTGACCGTCAGTCAACCCGATGTACGTGCAGAACTCGAGCAGTACCGAGTTCACGGCGCTGATGAACGTACTATACAGTCGCCTCGACCGATGAGGACGTTATCGTGTTTCGATCCATCGACGGCACCCTCTTCAATATCCATCGCTGTAATCTACGCTGCGCGACAGATGGGCCTTTTGCGGAAGACTTCCCACCCACGCCGGGAGAGAAGGTCGAGCTAACTGAGGACGCCGATACGCTCGAGACCCTGTTCTCCTTCGTCTATCCCGGTGTCTACCCAACGCTGGTTGACATGCCCTTCCACAAGCTCGCGCTCGTCGCCGAAGCGGCGGAGAAGTATCGCGTCGCATCGGCGATGGCTATGTGTCGCGTTACAATCCATTTGGGGTGCGTCTGGTTCATCTTGCGTCGTTCACTATGCTGAGCCCACATCAGAGCGTTATATAAAGAACATGCGATCGAGGCTCTACAGTACGCTTATAAGCACGGCTACGAAGACCTTCTGAATCTTGCTGCCCCGTATTCTCTCAACACGAGCGTTCGGGACGTTCGCAGAGTCTGGCCACTTCCCCTTATTGTGGCATGGGTGCGTCTGACATATGTAACTCTCGGGTACTTCTCATGATTTTACCAGGCGGAATGCAAAGAAGCGTGGCTACGCGCTTTTCGCGAAGATTGTTATGAGATTCGACATCGTTTCCAACATCACACTGGTGGTAAATGTATGCAGTGGTCCAAAGTGGTGAGCGCTGTCGACGAAAGGGCGTCCGATGCAGCTTCTCGGGCCATATTTGTGGATTTGGATGTCTTGTTCGACGGGGCGTCCGAAGGTGTGGCCTGCATAGGAGGAACATACGACTCTCAGAGTGTTGCTCGGTCAAAATGCTACATACAATTGTATGAATGGAAGGAGCTAGTTCGACAGAAGACCTCTGCTATACCATCATTATCCACCTTTATCTCGTTATCGTAGTCTTAATTAACACCATTGCCGCGAGTTCACAGCCGTAAGATCCTACTAATAGGCTAGCCAGTATTTGAAGTCTCCCAACGCAATATTCTTCACCCTCCCGAATATCTCTGTCGTGTCAAGGACTATGGATATTAGGGGCCCGCGATGAGGGTTCACGTAGACTTAGACTAATCTTGTGGGTCCTTATGATGCCCGTCACGTGCGTCGCGCGAGACGCCGGCGGACGCCGCATCTGATTCTGTCTCCCGCGCTCATTACTGCCAGCACCGCTCAATGATATCCTGCTGGCTCCTGTCCTCTGCATAGGCATCTCCGTGACGTCTCAACTACTTTGTCAACTCTTGGAACGAGATCACCAACATGCATAATCTCAACGTTCTTCGCGACACGATGGATTCGTACACCGTCGAAAGGACGTAGCCTCTACTTAACAGACATCTCGAACCCGCGATACCGTACTTGATACACTCATACCTGAACCTAATCTCTGCGCCGAGCTTCTACGAGCGCCTGACCATCGCGGCGCCTATCGAAGCGAGCGCGTCAACGATCTCTCTATCGATCGGTTTACGACAGAGCCAACATCTTTGCTCCTGCCACCATGTCAGAAGAGAGAAAGACTGAAACGGACGGGTCTCCAGAAGCTGTTGACCGCCAGTCACCGCGATGTACGTCTTTTCAACCTCTGCAGGCTTGTTTTCCGCCCTGAGAATCGATATTACCATCTAGTCGCGTCCACCGACGAGGACATCATCGTCTTTCGCTCCACGGATGGGACCCTCTTCAACATCCACTCCTGTAACTTGCGGTGCACAACGGACGGTCCGCTTGCCGAGAACTTTACCGCTGTGCCGGGAGAGAAGGTTCAGCTCACGGAGGACGCGAAGACGCTGGACATGTTGTTCGGATTTGTCTATCCGAGTCTGCATCCGTCCCTTGTGAATATACCGTTCCCCACTTTTGCAGCCGTTGCCGAGGCTGCGGAGAAGTACCACGTAGCGCCGGCGAGAACGGTGTGTCGGATCATCATCCGAGTATCGTGAGTCTCCAGCGAGCGGCCGATGGTGCTGGCTGATCAAGCCCTAGAGAGCTATACAAGGAACATCCGCTCGAGATACTCGAATTCGCTTTCCGCCATGGTCATCACGATCTCCTCGATCACGCGGCTCCATATTCTTTGAGGGTGGAGATGAGGAAAGCTCGACAGACCCTATCCTTGCCTCTATTTGCTGCCTGGGTGTGTCCTTGTCCATCAGGACGCGGTATTCTTGAGCTGACGAATAAATCATAAGGTTGACTATAGGCAGGCGTTCAACGACGCCTTCTGGTGCTCCGACATACGCTTTCGCGACTGTCACGAGGGCAGTGGGGATCCGTGTCCATTCTGGCCCGAGGTTGTCTTCGCTGTCGATAAGACCTTGGAGAAACAAAGGGGACACTCTCCGTTGTATGCCGACCTAGACGCTCTTTTCAAAGCTGGGAAAGTAAGGAGCGTACAATGTAATGTCAAAGGAAGTACAAGCGGTACCGGCTGTTCCGAGCAGTTATTGGCCTGGAGGGAGAGCTTCATCAGGGAAACGTCATCCGTTCTGCCATTGTCACGTATTTTCGCCTGTACTAACTGATTGCGTGCAATGATATATTGAGGTACCATCGTAGACACCAATTACACCTGGCGAACGCGAGGGCGGTGGTGAGGGCTTTGTATCTGGATGTGGGCTAGCGAGAATGCAAAAGGACAGGAAGGGTTGAGTGGTGATGAGGACGATGACGGAGGGACGTGTTCAATCGCCAATCGACCGCTACCTCTCCTGACACAACATCACCCGCGAAGCTCCGCTGAGCCCACCTGCCCACGCGACGAGCTCCTCAGCTTAACCCCTCCCGGACCGTGCCCAGGAAGTCCGCCGCGAGGACATCAGCCCCACTAGACCCGGCACTAATGCCAGCAAACACGCTGAAAGGAGGATACTTGATCCACCGGATTCCCCGCCGCATAGTTCTGACGGTTATACATGAGCTCCAGCGCTTTGGAAACGACAGAGTCCCTTGGTATCCTTTTTCTTGACCTCAACTCCGACTGAGACACTGCTTTTCCTCTGCTAGAAGCGTATCTCTCTGTTTTCTCTCCACCTCTGATGTACGGAAACCTTGGTACCAAATAAGGGTCGCTAGACAAGGGACCCTTCCTATACGACCACTATCCGCATTTATACCAGAATGAATTTTCTGTGCGATACTTTGCATCGTCGCATTAATACTTTCACGACTTGGACGTGTAGGTCCGTGTGTATGGATGGCACGTGCATGACGCAAGGCACGTGTGGCGCCGATGGAATGCGCGTGGCGCGCGATAGACGGTGGCGGGCATCGGTTTCTTCTCTCGCACAGTCATCTCTAGCAACATAGCCCGGTATAATATCTCTTAATCTCGCTCCCTTTGCTGTTCTCCTAGACCTGTAAACGAAACCAAACGACACTGTACAATACCGGACATAAACACCACCAACAAGACTGGCCGCAGCTTCAGGCCATCACAGCATCTCGCGCTCGGACCGCCGACATCATAGCGGATAGCATCACAGACAAGGAACAATAGAACAAGGACAGAACTATCTATACGCTCGCCCTTTATCTCGACTCTCGACGTTGTACAACAGGAATGCACCCACCAAGCACAATACACACGACGCCACCCCCGCGCGCGCCACACGGGGTTCACCCTTCGAGCTCGCCGCGCGGTGCCTATGGCTCTACGCCACCCTACGGGATGCATAGGTCGAGCTCGGGAAGCACAACGATGTCGCCGACACCTATAAGCCCTTTCTCGATCAACTCGCAAGCAAGCGAGGCGACGTCCGACGGTGCGTGAACTAGCTCTTCTCAAAGAGCTTCTCACTGACATTCGTCTCTCCCTCTCCCTTACCCTTCGATCATATACGGATACTCCTCATGCGCCTCCGCCTGCTCCGACCGTATTTGGACCGCTCTGGATGACCCCCGACGCCGCACTGACACGGACCTTCCCCTTCTCCGTGCACTTCTGCGCCACTCTTCCCTCGGACGGGAAAAAACCACAGAAATCCCCGACCTTGGCGCCTTCCAGAGCGTCTTCCGCGAGTTCACGCACTTGCACTCGGTCTCGCAGCGATTGCTGCGCGTCCAAGGATCCAGCGACGACGGCCTCTCATCCCTCCATGTGCCCACCGACCGCGAAGTCGCCACTACAGACCACGAGCTTTCGAGCATAGACCGCGAACTGTCAAGCATAGACCGCGAACTTGCTGGCGTGGACCATGAACATGGGAATGCAAGTCACGACCGCGCCAGCACCGACCGCGACCGCCAGTCCACCATCCTTTCCTCCCTCGCCCCACGCTCGACGGACTCCCCGGACTTCAGCACGGTGTGGGCGAGACAGCCGATCGCGCAATACTTAGAATCGCGCACGGCGAGCGTGGACCCGGAAGCTTTCGCGGCCATGAATCCGGACCGCTTCGCGCCCGTCGGGCATCACACATATACGGCGAGCGTGGACTCGAACGCGTTGACAGCGAGCTCGGATGCGCGTACGACGAGCTCGGACGCGCGCACGACGAGCATCAAGTTGGACACCCTGACGCCGACCGACGTCGTGGGTCGGGGGGCCTTCGCACCGGGTCGCGATCCCGATGCGTTCACGCCTTCATCCTACGCCGCGAGCATCGAGCTCGAGGTGCACACCGCGTCGTCGGGTGCGCCATCGCCTCCGCGGTCGGCCACGCCGACGTCGACGGCGGAGGGCGGGACGGAGAGTCTTTCGGTTACTGAGGAAGAAGATGAAGATGTGGAAGGGGAGGAAGACGAAGAAGAAGACGAAGATACGGAGGAGGATGAGCTTGGGACTGAGGAGGATGAAGAGGCGGAAGATGAAGGAGGCCGCACGATCCTGATAGCGGAGGAGTATCGCGGCGGGCGCGGGGGCTACGATGGCGATGGACCCACAAACTACGGCGCCTACGATGATGCGTCATCTGTTACCGACGACACCGACAGCGTCGCGGAGGACGATACGACGCGGCCTTCGCTGGGCTACTTGGACGAGGTGCTGTCTTTCCTCGCTGCTGAGCGCACGCGTGCGGCCGCGCAGCGGGAAGCGAGGCTAAACTCGGCGTCCGTGGATGCAGAGGGAGAGGCGGCCCCCGCACCTGAAGGACGTTCCCAAGCACTTGACGGACGTACTGCAGGACCGGCTTCATCATCTTTGACGGCCGGCGAGCCGTCGTCAATCGACCTGCCCGAAGGCTACCGCCAACTTCAAGAAGCGCTCGCCTCCCGGGAGCGCCGGCGGCACAAGCGGAAGAAGAGCCGGACGCTGCTCGCTGCCGTTGACACGGGGCGAAGACGCGGACGACAGTTCATCGTCGGCGCCAGCGGTGGTGTCGTCGAGTAGCGCGGGGAAGGGGATGAGCTCGGGCAGTGGAGGGAAGGGGCTCAGCTTGGGGAAGGACGTGAGCTCCAGTAACGCGTCGGCGAAGAAGACTGGGAAGACCTCGCGGCTCGCGTCAGCGCTGTCCTCGCACGCGTCGAAGTCGACGCCGACGTTGGTATCGGGGACTTCGACGATCATTGGCTCCACGGCTGGTGGCTCGACAACGGGCCTAATGAATGTCACCCCTGATGGGCTCGAGGCCGCGACGACACCCGCGACGCCTTCTCGGCGCCGTAAGCTGAAGGGCCGCGCGCATAGCGTCGAAGTATCGACGCATGCGAATGATCATTCTACGCCGAACAATCCCAACACGACGACGAATGCTACGCCAACCGACCCTGCCAAAGCTCGGGCTGCACGCCTTACCGCGCTCGCTGCGCATCTATCTCGCGCGTTCCCCGCGAACGCGGCCGCGGTGGAGAAGCAGGCGCGGCGGCTGGCTTTGGGGCCGATTGCTGGGATGAATGTTGGCGCGAATCTTGATGCTGGCGCGCCGTTGGTGGGGACGAGTGAGGATGCGGTAGTGCATGTGTTTATCGACCAGTGAGTGCTCTCCTTCTATCTCTTCTACATGCCTTTCCCCGCTTTGGTGCATGATACAAGCTTCGACGTCGTCAATCTCTTCCTGTTCGCACTCCCAGTCATGCCTTGCTGACCATCTCTCGCAGCTCGAACATTCTCATCGGCCTCCTCAACTGGCTGAAGAAGACCCGCCCGACGCGCGGACGCACGGATGGCAAGCGTTCACAGACAGACAGCGGTCTGAGCTCGCCCAGGAAGCGCCCCAAGAATCCGATTGCGGAGAGTAGCAGCGACAACAAGGACCCGAAAACTAAGATCAAGAGCACTGCAACCGTACCTCCCGGCTCTCCACTGAAGAAGGGCGCCCTTCTTCCAAGCGCTATGCCTGCGACGCCTCCGCGTGGGCGCCCACTCCCGCAGATACCGACCATCAACCCCAACACGGTAGCGACGCCTCTTACTCGACGACCCAGCAGACACCTATCACACGCGGCGCTGGCGCTCATTCTCGAGCGCGGGCGGCCCTGTCGGTGGCGCGAGTGCGTGGCGAGCAGCCCGCTGTATCAGCCGATGGATGGGGCTCGGGAGGCGGGATATCGGGTGACGGTTTTCCGCCGGGTGCCAGTCGAGGTGGAGGTGCGGCAGGCAGCGGAGTCCGGTCGCTTTGAGGAGCGACGCGACCGCGTGAGTCGCTCGCCGACGAAGAGCAAGCGCGCGAGCTGGTACGCGGAGGGCGTACATGGAGCAGGGAAGGAGACGCGGCTTGCGGCGCCGAGGGAGAAGGAGGGGAAGCACCGACGACATGCGAGTGTAGACCGGCCAGTCACGACGCAGACAGCACGACATGCGAGCCCGGTGAAGAGTCGGCATGCGCGCTTTGGGAGCGTAGGGAATGCGCACGGCGTGCTGCAGCACACCAACACGAGTCCATCCGTGATGATGGGGCGCAAGAAGCCCGGGCACTCGCGTGGGGTGTCAATGGGCGATGCGCGAGGTATGGCGACCGGAGAAGGGAGGATGGATGCCGGCACTAGCAGAGTCGCTGCAGCTGAAGGTAGCGGCAGCGGCAGCGGCACGCCGAGTCGACTGAAATACCGCGAGCAGGGCGTCGACGAGCTCCTGCAACTTAAGCTGCACCAAGCGATGGCAGAGGCCGAGGAGGAGGCGATGCGTGCGTTCTTGAGCGCGGAGAGTAACATAAACAAGCGAACCTCCGTCTCGCTTGCCGAAGCCGCCCTCCACCCCGCACCGCCTGGCGGGACGATCGTGCTCGCGACAGGAGACGGTAACCCGGGGGACTATCCTCCCTTCAGCGCGTTCGCGGGAAGCGATGCCAGCCCGAGCGGCGCGGATGTGCGCGCGGCAGGGTTCCCGGGCACGGTTCGCGCCGCTTTGCGGAGGGGTTGGACGGTAGAGCTTGTCGCGTGGGCGGGTGGTCTTAGCGGGGCGTGGCGGGCGATGCTAGAAGAGGAGAGGCAGCGGCCGAAAGCGGGTGAGGAGGAGAGGTTTAAGATTGTGGAGTTGGAACCGTATGCGGAGTGGTTGTGGGAGGAAGGGTGGTTCGAGGGGTAATTAGCCATCGTATGTTGAAGGGACTGGCTTAGGAAGGTGATGACATGCATGCATCCTCCGCTGCATCTTAGGCGTCCGCATGGATATATCTGTAACACTCGAAGTATAAACAGGTGAGGTAAGACATTTAAGTATCTGAATGTCAAAATTGCAGTCCATGAACATAGATTATGCATTTCATCGTATATCAAACGCTGTGATTTAGCGACGACGCTGCCAATTCAGACTCACGTCTTCACATCCGGGGACAGGAAGGCCGAAAACATCGGCAAGGCAGAAGCTTCCGCCCGTATAAGCTCCTCCCATTCATCCACCTGTATGTCGCATCTTGAACACTGAGATGCCTCCTTGGGTCCCCCCACACTGCCCACGAATGAGATATGATCTTTGCCTTCAGAAAAAATGGCATGGGGATCCCTGAGGAGGGTGTCATATCCCAATTCGTATACCCTCTTTTCGATGACAGCGACTACGCAGGGCCAGTATCGGCATGCTGAGATGTTTCCATAGTGCACGGCTCGAAATCGAATTTCGTGGCATTTCTGTCGGAAGACGTTGATCCAGGTATCTCTGTATTCGACCTACAAGATAGAGGTCGTTTAACTAAGCGGACAGGATAGATGAAAATTACGCACCCAAGCAGCGAATACGTGTATAGAAAGCGTCGCGCGGGCTGCTGCAGTCGTCGCGTCTAGAGTGTATGGAGCCGCGAGGTCGAGCAGCTCCCAACGATTGTGGCGATCTGCATGCTGGAGTATCTCGAGGGGGTGATCCTTGTAGAGAAATCTAAGCGGGGAAGATAATTCGGATCAGTAGGAGCGCCCATCAAGGGGGACAAGAGTATGCCTTACTTGAGGTCAATGATAAGATTACATACGCTCAACGCCGGTGCGATGTGATACTTCTCTGCAGCTTCTGCAATCTTCATGAACGCGTCGATTGGCAGATCCTTCAGGGAAGGGGGCGCGCCCGGGTAGACGAACGCGAAAAGCGTCTCGAGCGTGTCGCCATCCTCTGTAAGCTCCACCTCTTCACCGGCAATAGCAGGGAAGTCAGCGGCAAGGGGCCCATCCGTGGTGCACTTGAGATTGCAGCGGTGGATATTGAAGAGGGTGCCGTCGCTCGAGCGGAATACGATGATATCGTCGCCGGTCGAAGAGACTGGGGAACGCATTCACGGCGTCGGTCAGTCCTCGAAGAATAGAACTGTACAGACGACGTACATCGTAACGACTGCTTATCAACTGTCTTTGAGTCCGAGATTACTGGAGATTCGTTGACTTCAGACATGGTGTTCAGAGGCAGGAGACGCGGCGTCTTGCCGTAGGCCAATCGATCTGGTGGGTGTTGAGCGTCTTCTCGATAGGTGCCGAGAAAATCATATTAAGCCAGTGCGAGTAGGTCATATGCGCCGAAAAGCCCGCCAGGGAGCGTCATTCAACACGGCCGAGTCTATCTGCGCAGGCTTCGATTTCCTAGTACAAGAACATATCCATTCGAATTGACGGCGACCATTATCATCGCGGGAGCGATGTCCGGCCAATGAGAGGCATCACATACGCAGCCTCAGAGCGTAGACACAAGTGACTTGCGACAGGAGGAAATGCCGGCGGTCAGCATGAGTATAAGACCGAGACAATGATTGCTCAATGGGGAAGCCCGGAACTATATGACTCCTCGGCGAATGCCGGGACACGAGGCGATCCTCTGTACCTACCGTCTTCAACGACCTGTGAATATCTGGCCTTTGGAGGACAGCTCCCCTGCGAATGACGCGTCTTGCCGAGAAATCTCGTACATCGCGCTCGCGCTCGACGTGGAGGCGCGCGCAAGTTCAGGGTCTTCAGGCCCTCGCTGCGCAGTTCTTTCACGCATTGGCCTTTCCTGTAGGCGATCATGGCATTGTTTCCCTTGGTTCTTTTGAATGCAGAGTAGACGGCGGGGTCCCGTGGCCGACCCTTCCATCAATCGTCCATGCCCATGATGGTACTGATCACATGATGGCAACGTTTTGTTGATGTCGGCGCCCGCCGCGCTTTGCTGTGATTGCTTATGTACATTCATCTCGCATTCGACTCTTCTTGTCCCAAACCGCCACCCTCACCTTCGCATCGCGCGCCCTCCGGCAACCTCTCCCTTCCACCCCCATCTCTTGTTGCCACACGCTTCGCATACGCTCAGAGCAACCATGGATCGCCAACCTCAAGCGCTCACAAGAAACGGCTCCTACAAGTTTTGGTCTGCCGAACAGTCCAGGCCACGTTTACCATCCATCGCCGAGGAAGACTACTCTCCCAACAACCAGATCTACCGCACTGGTTTCCTGTACCGCGCTGGGGTATCCATCTGGCAAACCATGGCGCGCAACCTGCGCCGCGAGGGCTTCCCATACGACGGGCCGCTGGCATACAGCAAAGGTGATCGCCCCGCGCTTCTGCTTTACCACCGAGTCCCAAGAGGTGGCCGGCCTATATGTGTTGTCTTCCTCCTCGCGACGTTCGGTGGCGCACAAGAGAACGATATCCCGAGCTCGTTTCATCCATTCCTCCTTCGCGCGCGTCCAGCGTGTGCGAGATACACGAACACGCCACTCCTAGACACGGACCCGGTGCCCATTCATAATTGGGTTCGGTGGGATAGCTATGTTCTCGCACTCCCGATCGAGCTCGATGATTCCGATGTCGACACCTCGCAATTGAAGTCATGGACGATCGGACAAGATAAGACATGGGTTAGCCGCGAGTGGCTCAAACACCTGCGAGAACTGGGGGAGAAGAACGCGGAGAAGCTCGCAGCGATGTGCCAGGGAGACCCCGATTTCATCAAACGAGTCAGGGACGAGATGGTGCGTGACATGGCTGCGCTGCACGGTATCTTCTGCTCACTTATTCGTGTTGATCAGATTGCCGCGAGAGGACCGGAGCGCCGGCTCCCTGAGATCACCGACACTCAGCCTTCTCAGTCTTTCTCCTCCGCGGGTCATCCCGCCCTGGAAGCATGTGCTCGGTCTTACCTGAACGCCGCTATTCTGCAATACGGTCTCGAGCCTACAGCAATCAAGCTCCTCCCCCTCGACGTGCACGGCATCCTAGACTACCTCGAGGCCCGCAAAGCGAAAGGCAATGGTTCCCGGGCTCTTGTGCCCTACAAACCTCAACACGCGGATGCCTCGCAAGAACTAGAAGAAGGCGAAATACCCGGGCTCACATCGGATCTCGAGCTTCGCGCCGCGCGGATTCTGCAAGGGGAAGACCTCGACAAGTTGTTCTCAGGTTTGCCCATCGAGTTTGACGACGTTGAGGTGCCCGGTCTTGACATGGCGGGACCTCAAAAGATGATCGCTGCTTCGCCACCGTCGGCAATGACGACTGACCCGTCGTCAATAGCGTGCCCGTCCACGCCGGTCAAGTACTCGTTTGCGCTGGCGGAGGGCCCGATTACGCCGATCGAAGGTCCGTACACGCCGGTCCAATACACACCGACTACATGTACGCCAAGCCAAGCGTTGCACACGCCCCAATACCTCAAGGCGCCTCTTGTCAAGCGCGACATGTCGCCGGAAGTCGAGGAGCGCTTATCGGAGAGACAAAAATTGCGTAAATTGCGGGAGCAGGCGCTGGCCACGCGCAAGGGCCTTCGATCCTCGCGCAAAGGACAAGGTCTGCCCACAATCATGGAAGAGGACCCGTCGATGTCTATGACCCCTGACCGCTGGAGGCCACCACCGCCTCCCGACCGCAGACGGCGCACGAACGCGACGCCAAGGACACCGATGAAGGCGATAACGAATACTTCGACGGACACGACGCCACAGATGCCGATGGAAGCAGCAACAAAGTCGCCAATGGACGCGACGCCGCTGACCCCCAAGCGCGGCAATGAATCGGCCTGCATTCCTTGGACGCCGGAGACGCCGACACCTCTGACGCGTTCGCGCTCGTTTTTGGACTCGCCGATACGTCCGACGCTCAAAAGGACACCCTCATCTCTCAAGAAGACGTCCTCGTCGTCATCTTTCAAGGCTCCGTCGCTCACTTCGCGCGGACAGGGTCACTACGCGCCGTACCCTAAGCTATGCTCGCGTCGACAAGTCGAGCGGCCTGAGTGACTACAAGATGGCTTCTATGACTATGTTCATGAGATGCTTTGGAAGTCAGTCGCGCGCAGGATTACCGCTTCCGTCGCGCTCAGCGGGGCTTCGTCCTTTGTGTTGCCGAACGCACCTCCCTCGCCTCCTTCGAAGTTCTTGCCGCTCATCGCCCAAGCCTACTTCGGACATCTGCCTCAAGCAAAACTTGAAGCGCTTGCGTAAGCGCTAATGCTATGAAATGATCGGGCTGTATCATATCTCTTCGCCCGATATATCTTTTCTCTCCTACATGCTCGTAGCCGCCTCCGACGTCCTGTTGGCGTGCCCCGATTTCTGAATCACGACTTATGGTCTTTCTCATTTCTTCTCCCCTTATTCACCTGTGATGTCTTATATTGAGATCGTCCTCTATCACTCATACTCACTCGTTCTCGTCTCCCTGCCCTCAATGCCGCTCACTCATCTACTGTATTTATTGTGCCCCGATTATCTTCACTTGGGATTGCTATCTCGTCTACCCGAAGTCGAGTCGTTAACCTGTTCTTACTCTTAGTCTCTTCTTGCATACACTAGTCATTCGTTCATATTTAGGCATCCATTTTCACGGCACAAAAGGATTCGCAACATGGGGAGAGTGCGTGACCCGTAACGTTGTCAATCACGTGCATGTTGAAGTTTGAGAGAATTTGTGGCGCACCTCATGTTGCGACCTGCGCTGATGAGGCGCGATGAGGAGCAGCAAACTTTGTTCGCCCTTCCTAAGCGATTATGGCTTGCCACGATCTCTTGCCGGATGCAGGAGATGCATATCGCAGCCTCATACGTGGTCTTACAGGCTGACCTCGTGTGTTTACCAGGGCAGCTGCGGGCTCAGCCCCGTTCCCGAGTACAGGGAAAGATCGTGCGATGTAACTAGGTAATTCCGACGGCGACGAGATAGTCATTCACTCTTGACAGAGCTTTTGCTCCGAGTCCGTCGCAAAGGCACCAGCTTCCATTGTGGCATGCGCAGCGCGGTGACTCGAAAAAGGTCCTGGTCGGTGCCGAGACAATGTTTCGCCCTTTTGGTGACTGATGGTTCAGCGGAGTTCGAAAAGCGGCATACATAAGCGGTGCGTGCTTGCGATTTGATGGACTTTCTCTCTTGACTCCGACCGCCATCTCCGCCACCCGCAACCCCCCTTTACCAACCTCGACAGCCCGCTCTCGATACCGAAACCTCTGCCTTGATGACTTGCAAGCGTCGTCAATGCTCTCGATGGCCGGCAAGTGCCGTCAATGTCCTCTCGGGCTAGCCCAATGCGACGACGAGCGGGTGACCCAATGGTACGCCACTGGTTGGATGTGGTATGCTTGTGTCGCTCACTTCGTTCACTAGATATCCTCGACATGCACATGTATCCTAAGCCTGCAGTTGCTCGCAAGTGCCGGCAACATCTCACGAGGTGGCCCAATGTCAGGGCGCCCGGGTCCCTCAATGGTGCGCCACTCGAACTTTCAAACACGTTCTCGTTGCTCACGTCCGTTGTAACCTCCTCAAGTCCTCAGCGCTCGATCTCCTTGGGCCCTCGAAACGTACTCTAATCAAGTTATCGATGCGTTGTAAGCGCATCAATGTCCCACTGAGCTCGCCTAAACTCACTGCAAAGGGCTGCTCAATGGTGAGCTGCGTACTTTCTGTGCGCGCTTTCGATGCTGACCATTGTCGATAGGTTCCCTTGGCATCATCTACTCATCGCTCGATGTTCCGCAAGTGCATCAATATATCGCGGACCCGCCCAATGTCTCGGCGATTGGGTATCCCAATGGTAGGCCACTCGATTGTTTTGCGCTCTCCGCTGGCTTTGTCTGCCCCAACAACTCAAGCCTCAGCTCGTCGACCTGCGCCCACCGATGCCACGACCGGCAATGTCGATGCTGCGCAAGAGCATCAATGCAGATGCCATGCAAGAGCGTCAATGCTGATGCTACTGGTAACTCAGTATCCCCGCGACGAAGACATCGATGCCCGCGCGAGCTCGCCCAATGTTACGGAAATCGGGAAGCTCAATAGTGCGTTGTCGCCGTTATCTCCTACGCTAGTCAATAACCTTCGATACAGATCTGTCGAACATCGCTACTCCACCAGGTCGACGCGCCTCACGTCCAAGCCGTCAAGTGGCAATGTTTGAAGAAAAGCTCCCTCGCCCCACCAAGGGTAAACAGGTGCGTTTGCTCGATGATTTCCCCCGGCACGGACTGAAGCCGGTCTAGGGCTCTGCCCAAGGGACTGAAGATCAAGGACCAACGCCGCTTCAGTCCATTTCTCCAGCTCGGCGACGCGATACACTTTCTGCGCAGCGGCCCAATGTATTCGTCTCGTGCAGTGGCGCAATGTATCTCCCTCGCACGGCAGCGCAATCGAACTCTCTCGCGTGGCGACGCAATGAAGTCCGCGGACCGACGAACTCCTTCGTCGAGATGTGTTTTCACGAAGGACTGCAGCAGCTCTTAAGTCGCAATGTGCTATCCCCCATCCTCAGGTCGCCGCTGCTCAGGTCATCGCGCCAAGCCCAAGCCGTTGCGTCGACTTGAAGATAGAGGAGGTAGGTGCGTGTACTAGTCTTTCTTCAGTTGTCGCTTGCGCGCTGACATTTTCTTCAGAGAGATAGAATGACGCCTCCCAACACCGCCTAACGGCTTTGCATCGTCCTCGGTATAAATTCCGCTCTGCCTATCGTAGGCTGACGTCTCTATCTCTAGAACATGTACTGGGAGCTTGTCCTGGGGTGCGACCTCTTACCTGGACTATACCTTCGCCTCATTGACCGAACTCTACTCTCGCGTCAACGCCGGTGGACATTTCTTCCCTCCACTATCTCCTTCTAACTCGTCTACATCATCTAACCCTCCAGCAGATCGATTACTCCGGCGCCGTTAGTGCGTTTGAAGGGAAGTTCGTTTGGACGAGGGAGCGGTCGGGATGGCTGAACGGGCATAGTGTATGAGGCTATGGGGTCGGATGTATTCCTTGTGATGTGCCTTGTGTATCATCTTGTATAGCAGACTTTCATGGTCTACGGATAGATTCATGAATGGACTCGGAACTGGAAGCGTGACTCAGACGTGCGTGATGAGGCGAACTTGTCGATCTACAGCGGCGTAGTAGACGGAATACTCAGCGGCCATGATAGGAAGGCCTCAACATCATAACGGATTTACTTGCTCTGTTAGATACGTGTGGCTGGTCATGCTCCCTCGGCCAGCCACCACGCAATGTGCGAAGCGCAGATCAGGCTCAGGCAGCGAGCCGGTAACGTGACCGCCATGCGAGCTGATATTGCAGCGGAGTTTGAAAAGTGATCTACAGAAGCAGTGCATGTGCGCGATTTGATGGGCGTTCTCTCTTGTCTCCAACTGTCATCTCCGCCACTCATAGTTTGCTCTCGTCCGACTACGCCAGTCTTCTCTCAACTCGGGACGACTCCGCCTCGATGGCTTGCAAGCGCTGTCAATTTCGACGGTTCGCAATTACCGTCAATGCACTCTCAGGCTCTCCCAATGCCACTACGAGCGGATCCACAATGGTACGCCACTCGTGTGTCGTGGCATGCTTTCGTCGCTAACCTCGGTGCTAGTCTCCTCGAATTCTTCGCGCTAGCTCTCCCCAAATCTTCAGTGCCCGATATCCTCAAGTCCTCGACAAGTACTCCGAGTCCCACAATGCGTTGCAAGTGCATCAATGCCTCCCCGAGCTGATCCAATCCCGCGGCCACCGGGAAGCTCAAAAGTGCGTCATCGCCGACGTTGCGTGTCCTCGTCGCTGATCATGGTCACCCCTCGACGTCGTCTAGCAATCTCCCGATGCCTTGCAAGTGCATCAATGTCTCGCAGACTTTCCCCGTGCCACGGTGATTGCGCAGCTCAATGGTGCGGGACTCGACCGTCCAACATGCGCGCCTCGCTAACTTTTCTCGCCTCATCCCCAGGATCAACTGCTCGACCTGCAGTCAACGATGCCACGAGTTTTGATGCTGATGCTACGCAAGAGCGTCAGTCCCGATGCCATGCAAGAGCATCAATACGATGCCACGCAAGAGCGTCAATTTTCGATGCCATACTATTACAAAAGCATCAATGTACCCCGACGAGGACCTCGACGCCCCCGCGAGCCTGCCCAATGCCGCGGAGACCGGGTTGCTCAACGGTGCGTAGACGCTGTGTTCTCACCAGCTGAACACTGACCGCCTTCACTAGATCTCTCGGATATCGCCTCTTGACGCTTCAATTCGAACATTCCGGCGCCTCAAGTCCAGGCCGTCAAGTGGCAATCAGCTGCCCATGGACATCGGGCGCCCTGCGCAGCAAGAAGAATACATGCTTGCTCCCACCAAGGGTAGACAGGTGCGTCCGCGTGCTGAGTTTCCTGTACGCTGGCTAACGTCACTTTCAGGCTCTGCCCAATGCTCTCATTCTCGACATCAGCCTTTTCCTTTCCGACATCGATCGTCAAGAACAACGACAGCGACCGTCGAGAACATTGACTATGAGGGCGAGAAGCGAGGCAAAAGATTGAGGACCGGCGCCGCTCAATTACCTCTCCTCACGCGGCGATGCGTTGCATCTCTATCTCGCGACGGCGCAATGACTTTCCTAGCGTAGAGGCGTAATGATACAACCCCCGCGTGACCTTGCGAAGATCTTTCTCAGCGCGGTAGCGCAATGACTACCTTCGACGCGGCGGCGCAATGGGTTTCCTCCGGCGCGGCGGCGGAATGAACTCGATAGGCCAATGTGGTCGGCAGGCCAATGATTTCCTTCATCGACGATGATCGACAATCCCTATCCCAACGAGGGACTTCGGTAGCGCTCAAGTCGCAATGCTCCAGCTTGCCCAATTCGCAATGCGCTATACAGTACACTTGCGATCAAAATGATTGCAAGATCGCCAGGGGAACCCTCGAGCTCCTCCAGCCTTCCCCGTGCCCCGTGCTGAGCGACACTGCGTATATAGCGTGCTGGTGCATTAAGCATTCTAGCGCTGGGGTCTGGCGTTGGCATTCGGGTAGCGCCGAGGAGATATCCACAAATGGACGAGCGACGATCTTGCAATCATTTTGATCGCAAGTGTATCAAGCTCAGGTCGCCGCGACAAGTTCAGGTCGGCGTGTATGCACGTTGAAGGTGCGTGCGTGGGTTCTTGACGCTTACTCGCGTATCAACATCACCTCCAGCGTCGTTTGAACCGGATCACTCGAGGCCACCGCTTTTGCATCGTCATCGCCATCGCCTTCACGTTATTCTTGGTATGCTCTCGCCCCGTACCACGTGGGCTGATGGTTGTCTTTCCAGAATGTAACTCGCAGGCTTCGCCTGAGTGTGTGGTCTATTGCTTGAGACGAGGCACGCTCTCACCACTGGTCACCTCGGTGGCGCTACAAGACACCGCCGCCTTGGTGACCAGACTCCATGACAGTGAACCTTTTGCCTTTCGCTATATCCTTCTACTTCGTCTACATTATCTAATTCTCCAACAGACTGACTCTTCCTGAACTGGTCGCGCGTCCAAGGGCATTTAGCAGATGGAGGAAGGGGTAGTCTGGATGAACGAGGGGGCGGACTGGATGGCTAAGCAGGCATGTGCATGTATGGTTTCAGCTGTATCGTCAGTGTTGCGTGTTGTGTGTATCATCAGACTTTCAAAGTCTATGGGCCTATTCTCTGAGGGTACCTGGAGCTCGAAGCGTGACGCGCGTGCTGTGTTGAACTTTCCGAGCTGCGGCGGCGTAGACGAGATACTCAGTGGCCATCAAAAAAGACCTCAGAATCATGTCAGATATATTTGTTCCTGTCGAATACGTATGGCTGGCCATCTTCCTTAGTCGACCGCCACGCAATGTGCGCAGCGCATTTCTCGAACAACGAGCCTGAGGTGGTAACGTGACCGCCATGCGACCTGATGGCCCGGCGGAGTTTGAAAAGCGATATACATAAGCGCAGCGTGCGTGCGATCTGATGGGCATCCTCTCTTCTCTCTCACCCTCATCTCTGCCACCCATCTACAACTGCCTGCCTTCAACCCCAGCCAGCTCTCGACCCCGGCGCCTCTACCTCAATGGCCTGCAAGTGCCGTCAATGTTCTCGCGAGCGAGCTCAATGCCTCGACGAGCGGGTAGCTCAATTGCACGCCACTCGTCGGCCGTGTTATGCTTTCGTCTCTGACATCGACTGATAGATATTGTCGGCGCTTAGATTACCCTCAAGATTCCAGTGGCTCGCAAGCGCTGACCATAAATCCCGAGGTAGCCCAATATCACTGTGCCCGGGCTCCTCGGTGGTGCGCCGTGCGATTAATCTGCGCATCCACTCGACTTACCTTTCATCAACAGATCGACTTCGTCTTCCCAGCCCCACGATGCCTCGCAATCGCATTAATGTATTTGGGGGCTCGCCTAATGCCTCGGCTGTCGGGCAGCCCAATGATACGCCATTTCATATTCCTTCCTGTTCTCTGAGCTGACCTTCGGCTTTAGATCTCGTCTATGTCTAGTTTTCTGATCCCAACGCTGCGGAAGAGTTTCAATGCCGACGCTACGCAAGAGCGTCAATGCCGATGCTATGCAAGAGCATCAATGTTCGCGAAACAGCGTTAATGTATCCGTGAGCACGCCCAAAGACTGGACAGTTCAGTAGTGCATTACCGTGGTTGTATCGTGTACTCGCCGCTGACAAGCGCCAGATATCTTGGACGGCGTCTACTCGACCTAGGGATGCTTCGCAAATGCATCAATGTCACGCGCTCCCGGACTCGCTCCATGACGCGGAGATCGGGCAGCCTCATGGTGCGTCGCTCGACCGTTCAACTTGTTTGCGTCACACTGACTACATCATCCTCAGCTCAGCGTCCAGCTTCGCGCCCTGCACTTATCGATGCCACGAGTATCAATGTCAATGCCACGCAAGAGCATCATGCCGATGTCGAGCAAGAGCAGCAATGTGCGTGCAACAAGAACATCAACTTTCCGCGAGCTCGCCCAATGTTTCAGAATTCGGGAAGCTCAATGGTGCGTGGACAGCGTTGCTCCATGAGCTCACTCACTGACTGACATTATTGACTATTAGATTTCTCGGGTGTCGCCTCTTGACCAAGTCGACGCGCCTTCAATTCGAACGGTCATCTCAATCTTCCGAGCCGTCAAGTGGCAATGTTCAAAGGGAAGCTCGCTTGTCGACAGGTGCATCCGCATGGTGAATTCTCTGCCACTCAAGCTGACGCCGCTCAAGGGTTCTACCTGGTGCTTTCGTTCTCGACATCGACGTATTCAGCCTCGACTTCGACCTGCTATCCTTGCCTTCGACAGTCGACCTCCGGCCTTCTATCCACGACATCGATCGCCAAGTGCATCCGAAGGCGAGAGGCGAGGTAGAAGACCAAGTACCGCGCGGCAGCGCAACGATTGTCTTCAACACGGCCGCGCAATGCATTTATCTCGCGTGATAGCGCAATGAATCTCGCCGCCGCGACGTCGCAATGGGGCCGGCAGGCCAATGAGGTCGTCGGACCAATGATCCCTTTGGTCGGCAATATTCAACCCCTTTCTGGACAAAGGGCTGCGGTATCTTGCCCAAGGACTCCATCAGCGCCCAAGTCGCAATCTAATATGCCTCAAGCTCAAGTCGCCACGCTTTTCTCAACCTCACGTGAATCTCAAGGCGGCGCTTTGAACTCGAGTTGTCGTCTCAATCTCAAGTCAGGGCATCGGCACGCTGAAGGTATGTGGGCGGACTTTTAGACGCTTTCTTGGATATCGCCATCGTCCGCAGAATCACTCAGACCGGATCGCACAAAAGCGCGCCTGAGTCGCTCATGAAATGCTCTCAACCGCGTTCATCGCCTTCACCTTGACACACACTCACCGCCTTTTCATGGCGCTCGGTATGCAACCTCTCCACCGCTCGTAGACTGACAGCCACCTATTAGGACTGAACTGCGAGCTTGCCTTCTGGTGCGCCCTTGTGCGCGGACATCTCGGGTAGACCATTGCTTTGATGACCGGACTCGCTTCAACGATGGTGGACATTTTATCCTTCGGGATCTCTTTCTAGTCTGCATACATCATCTGACTGCCTAGCAGATCTATTCCTGCGCTGGTTGCGCGTCTAAAAGGCCACACCACTCGTGGAAGGACGAGGGATGAAGCAGTCGGGATGGCTGAGCGGGCATGATACATGAGGCTATGGCGTCGAATGTATCCACTATCTTGCGCCTTGCGCGTTTTTGTAGCGGACTTGGATAGTCTGCGGATTGATCTATGACTGTACTCGGAAGTGGAAGTGTGATGTGCGTGTTGAGTTGGACTTGTCGATCTGCGGCGGCGCAGACGGAACACCGTGACTCAGTGGCCATGATCAAAAGGCCTCAGCATCATGTCAGATGTACTTTTTCCTGTCGAAATCGTGCGGCTGCAGTGGTCATGCACCGCCACGCAATGTGCGCAGCGCAGTTCTCCCTGAGCTGGTAACGTGACTGCCACGCGAGCTGATGGCCCAGCGGAGTTTGAAAAGCGATGCATAAGTGGCGCATGCGTGCGCTTTGATGGGCACTTCTGTTGACTTTGACCGTCATCTCACCCTCACGCTCCTCCCCTCCCCGACCTTTTCCTCTTCCAACCTCGACCGACATAACGTCCTCGACACGAACCCCGACAATCCGACGACTTGCAAGCGCCGTCAATGTCCGAGCGAGCGAGCTCAATGCCACGGCGAGCGGGTAATTCAACGGCACGCCACTCGTGGATCGTGCTATGTGTTCTTCGCTGACTTCGACTGCTAGATATCCTAGGCGCTCAGATCACCCTCAAGACTTTAGTGACTCGCAAATGCCGTTAAAACCTCCCGAGGTAGCCCAATAACACTGCGCCCGGGCTCCTCAATGGTGTGCCGCGCGATTGTTCTGCGTGCTCACCCCTCTGACCTTGATCGACAGATCGACTTCGTTTCCTCAGTCCCACGACGCCTCGCAAGTGCGCCGATATAGGGGCGGGCTCGCCCAATGCCACAATGACCGGGCTCGCCCAATGCTCCGATAACCGGGAAGCTCAAGGGCACGCCATTCTTCATATCTCTTCATGTTCTCTGCGCTTACCCTCTATGTCAGAACTCGACAACGCCGAGTCCCGACGCCGCGCATGAGCGGCAATCCGGGCGCAACGCAAGAGTGGCAATCCTGGCGCTACGCAAGAGCATCAAGCCCTCACGAGCTCGCCCAACGTCACGGCGACCGGCAAAGGACAATGGTGCGTCATCGCCGGTAGCGCGCGCGCGCCCTCGTCTGACGATAGTCGCCAGGTCTCCTCGACGTCGTCAGGATCACCCCTCGGACGAGCGCCTCAGCATCGTCTAGCGACCTCTCGATGCTGCGCAAGTGCATCAATTCCACGCGCTTTCAGACTCGCTCAATGCCACGCGCTCCGATTCTCGGGCTCAATTACACGCCGTCGCGGGCTCGCTCGATATTGCGAAGACCGGGCTGTTTGAGGGTCCGCGACTCAACCGTTCTATATGCACGCACCACTGACATTGTTCGCCTCAGCTCAACATCCAGCTCCTCGACCTGCGCTCGCAGATGCCACGAGCGTCAATTCCGATGCTGATGAAGAGAATCAAGACGATGCCATGGAAGAGTATCAATGCTGATGCCACGGAAGAGCGTTAATGTCGATGTCATGCAAGAGCATCAATACGATGTCGCGCAAGAGCATCAATACGATGCCATGGAAGTATCAATGCTGATGCCACACAAAAGTATCAATGCTGATGCCACGCAAAAGCATCAATGTCAATGCTACGAAAGAACCTCAAGCCGATGCCACACGAAAGCATCAATACCTCCGCGGCGAGGGCCACCGACGCCCCGCGAGCTCGCGCAATGCCGCGAAAATCGGGTCGCTCAATGGTGCGTGGATACGGGGTCGCTCGATAGTGCGTGAATACCGTGTCGCTCAATGGTGCGTGGATGTCGATTGCTCATGAGCTCACCACTGACTGCCGCCGTCAGATATCTCGGACATTGCCTCTCAAGGACCCCGACGCCTCAGCTCGAACACGGCACCTCAACTCGAACACGGCACCTCCACTCAATCGCCCGACGTCTCGACTCGAACACGGCACCTCAACTCGACCAGCCCGGCGCCTCAACCCAATCGCCCGACGTCTCGACTCAAACCGCCCGACGTCTCGACTCAAACAGCCCGACACCAGTGCCCCAAACCCCACTGGCAGCCGCCAAGTGGATGATTCCGCGCCGTGGATAGCAAGAGATCTGGATACAGGACCAACACCGTCCAATGAACTTGCCTCTCGTGGCGGCGCGATGGATTTTTCCGGCCCGGTGGCGCAAGGTATTTTACCGGCCCGGCGACGCAATGACTCTCTTCAGCGCGAGAGTGCGAGAGCGCAATGGATGTCGCTCGCGCAGCAGCGCAATGATTTACGCCAGGGCGGCGGCGTAATGCAGATAAAGCGCGTAGCCGCAATGATGTTTCCAGCGCGGTGGCGCAATGATGTTTCCAGCGCGACGGCGCAATGAGGCAGGCGAGGTCACGGTGGCGCAACGAGGCAGGCGAGGTGACGCAATGAGGCCGGCGAGCCAATGACTTTTTTCGTCGACGATTCCTCAACAATCCCTGTCAACGACATCCAGAAATCCCAATCAACGATTTTCAGCAATCCCTATCAACGATATCCCACAAGTCCACTCCCCACGAAGAACCGCACTCTTCCGCCTTGAGCAGAGGCTCCATCAACGCTCACGAGCAATGTGCGATATCGTGACGCCGCCGCGTCAACCCCCAGTCGCCGCATCAACGTCAAGTCGCCTCATCAGCGTCAACTCGCCGCATCAACGTCAACTCGCCGCACCGACAACAAGCCATGGCATCAGCACGACGAAGGTGTGTGCGTAGATTCATGGACGTGTACTCGGGACTCAACATCGCCTCCAGCATCGTCTGAGGCGGATCGTTCTCAGAACGCGCACGGGCTGCTCGAGACCGCTCCCTGGTTGCTCAAAACCGCTCCCTGGTCGCTCACGAATGTGGTATGCTCTCGCACGGCATCTTGTGGGCTGATGGTTCTCTCTCCCTCTCCAGGATGGTTTTCTCTCCAGAGTATATATAGCTCGCGGGCTTCGCCTGAGGGTATCCTCGCGGGCTTCGCCTAAGAGTATACTCGTGCTCCAATTCCTCGTCGCCTCGGTGACCGGACACTACTCTTGCTTTGACGGCGGTGGACACGTTTTTGCTTCACAATCCTTCTGCTCTGCCTACATGATCTGACATGACACAAACAGATACGATTATCTTGCGCTGTCAGCGCGTCTAGAGTGCAGCTCATGGATCGTAGGGGGAGCGGGCTGGATGGCTGAGTGGGCATGATGCATGTATGGCTTCGGTTGTTATCCTGTGTTATGCGCTGTGCGCTGTGTCTATCAGACTTCTACAGCTTATCTATGGATGGATTTCGGACTTGGAGCGTGACGTGCGTGCTGAGCTGAACTTGCTCATTTGCGAGACTCGGTGGGACATTCACATGGACCCACAAAGACGATCGCCCACACGGACCCACAGGTACGCACGTTCTTCCTCGGCATTTACCGAAGTTCTCCATTGAATCCCAAAACGTGCGCTCCTCCGCCACCTGCCCTGCTCTCCCGCGCCTCCCCGCTGAATACTTCGATGCTAGCCCCCTCTGCGCTTCCCCACCCGCGAAGGCCTGAACCGGATCGCGGATACCTGAACAGGCTTCCAACTGGTCGGCAACATAGCGAAGGCTCCAACCCGTCCATTTATGGCCATGACATTCCACCGATGACATGCCTTCGCCTCGTGGCTGGGGCGCGGGCTATGTGTGTTATCTTCTTCCAGCGGTCATGTTCTCCTTGCTCGACATGCGCTCTTCGCCGCTGAACATGCTCCCGTCACCACTATGTTGGCGGCGCTCGACTATGATCGTCGTCCTCACGCTACTGCTCGCCCTCGGCACCCGTGCCGCGCCCGCGGGGGAGCCTGATCGCGATCGGCGCGGGGTGACGCTGCGAGCCGATCTGCATCCGGGGCTGCTCGCGTTTGGTCCCGCGGCGGCGGTCGTGCTCGCGAGGGAGGGGGAGGGGGAGGGGCTGGCGGGGGTGCCGTTGGTGGGGAGGAGGAATCCGGTACGAGGGAGGACGAACACGAAGGACGAGCTGAGGGGGAATGGAGAGCTTGAGGTGCGTGGATCATTGTCGGTGTGGGGGAAGGCGGTGCTGATTGGTGTGGGGCGTAGGGGAGACAACGCGAACCCGTCAGCGTCAACATCGTCGACGAACGACAGATCCAGGATCCTTCTTCCGATAATGAGGCGCCGAAGGACGATGGGCAAGCGGGCGATGCGCCCAGAGACGATGATGCACCCAGAGACGACGACGCGCCCGAAGACGACCTCATCCAGCCAAAGGCGCACCCCGGTCGGCGAGGGATCGTGGGCATTGTGTTCCTCAGTCTGTACGTCGGTCCACGTCCGCCGCCCGCCCTCATCGCTGCTTCCCGTCCTCGCGCACCTTCCCTCTTCTCCCCACCCCGACTCCCTTGGCTCCGCTCCCTCTCCGTGTCCTCTCTTCCTCCCCGTATCCTCTCCTCCTCTCCGTGTCCTCTCTTCCTCGCACCGCCACCCAACGCTGACCCTTCCCTCGCAGAACCCTCCTCCTCACCCTCTTCCTCGCCGCCTACCCGCCCGCCCGGCGGCGGACGGCGGTATACGCGCAGAAGACCGCAGCCCACGCTCGCATCATCGCCTCCCACGTCCACCTCCCCTCTATGATATCGCGCATGCACCTCCCCGCCGCCCTCGCCTCCCTCACCCACCCCTCCTACCACCGCATCGGCGAGAAAGTCGGCAGCCTTTTCCCCGCCAAGCCTTTCGGTACCATCAAGCCCTTCGGCACCGTCAAGCCCTTCGGTACGCTCTCCCGGACGTCGGGAAGCAAGCTCGCGCGGACGGCCGAGTCGAAGCTCGTCCGCTGGGCGGAGGAGGACATGGGGTTAGACGCCGCGGACAGCCATCTCGCCCTCGACGACCTGGAGAATGATCATTTCTTGAATGAAGACGTCGCCGCCTCCGATGGCGCCCTCTTCGCCGCCTCCGATGGAGCCCTCTTCGCCGCCGACGAAGACCTCGAACTCGCCGACGGCGAGTACATCCCCCTGCGCGCCGCCAAAGGTCGCGCGAGGGTGTATGGCACGGTCGGCGCGAGGGTGTATGGCACGGTTGGCGAGGGCGAGCGGAAGGCGGCGGGGAGGCGGTGGTGGTGGTAGAGGAGATGGGTGGGGTAGATGTGAGGGGTGGAGGTCGAGAGGGCATGGTGGTGGAGGTAGAGGAGGTGGTGGTGGTGGTAAAGGAGATGAGCGGATGCGCGAATGCACCGATCCCTGCGCATATATGCGTGGTGGGTTGTATCGCGAAGTGGGATGCATGCGCATATATGCAAGTGCGGACGCATATACTCAACTCGCGAGCGCAATACTCGGCTCGCGAGCGACGGATAGGCTGCGATTTAGACTGACTCCATGTATTACTACCTTATGTTCTCTTTTTTGCTTGTATCTCTCCGTGTACTGATTGGCCGTGTACCTCGCGGTCTACACAGTAGCCGTGTACCTCGCGCTCTACACTTTACTACCATCTCATCCCTTGATCTGCTCACATACTCACTATGTACGACTATTCTAGACGAAACTGTATCCAGCGCGTAGCGACAACCCAACTTCGACTGATCCGAGTCAAGGGCGCAGACATGGGTTGGGCGAAGAGACATGAGTTTACAGGAGAGTGCGTCGAGATGTGCTTCGCGAGACTGCATGATCTACGAGGTTCTGTATGGTTTACAACGCTGCATGGTTTACGACACTCTGCATGACTTGCGAGACTGATCAACGAGCCTAACCAGCTGCACCGACACTCAGCATCCTTGCCTGAACGGTCTTGTGAGCCATTAAGACACCTACACCTACACCTACACCTACACCAGTACTTATGTCTCGTCAATCGGCATGCACACTGGACTGGATTCTGGGGCCAGCCGTATCAGAGTCTGCAACCACTGTACCGCAGTCTACAAGTGCCGTACGGCGCGGGAAAACCCGAGGGTGTTGAAGTTGTACGCCACCTCGGAGATGGTCGAGGCACTTGGTGGGAGGGGGATGCGGTTTGGCGTGCGAAAGGAGAGGTCACGCAGTTGATTAGACGACGATGTTTGTAGGTCCAGGTGGATTGTTTGTAGGTCCATGTGGATGTCCAGGATACCCACCGAGTCGACGCCGCCGCAAGTTCCAACACATAACTCGGGGCTGTATTCTCCCACACCTGGCCTTACGCACCGACGATACATGACTTGGATCCAATACCATGCACGCGTCCAGCGCCATGCACGCATCCAGCACAATGCGCGCCACATCTGACGCCGCGCACGCATCTGACGCCGCGCATGCATCCGACCCTATCTACGTATCCGGCACTATACAGTACATGCATCCCACCCCTTCAGCCCCCCACGGGCAATCCCCTCTGCCAATAGCCCGCATAGGTAGAAGATGTGTGAGGAGAGCATCAGATGCAAGTAAAGAGAAGATGCGGATGAAGATTGTGAGGGATATCTACCCATCGCTGCCGACTCGATGACGGGGTCTGGTCATCGAGGCGGGGTCTGGTCATCGAGGCGGGGTCTGGTCATCGAGGCAACGGTCGACTCTAGCACCAGAACACCAGACGCGCCTGGTTAGCGAGCTAGTCAGGTGCGAGGGACCACCCATAGTACGAGGGACCACCCAGAAGTCGATCTCGCAGGGGATCCTCTGAAGAGAACTGTTAGCCTTCGAGCGGCGGTGCGGGCGGCATACCGAGGACGATGTGAAGCCCTTGTGTGAGTGGGTCGGTGGATATTGACTTATCGCTCTGAAGAGAACGTCAGCGCGCAAGCGACCCCAGGAAAATCAACGGTACACAAACATGCCATCCGCCAGCTGACACGATGGCTAATACTTGGCTCGATACATTGAGCTTGAAGGGAACTGCGATGCCTTGAGGTCGGTGGCACATTGCGACTTGGGCGTCGGTCCTTTCAAAATCGCAAACTGAATGGAGAGAGGAGGGCATTGGCCGGGCGAGCTGATTGGCCCGTCGGCCCCATTGCGACGCCGCGCGAGAGAAATCATTGCGCCGCCGCGCCGGAGAGATTCATTGCGCCACCACGCGAGAAGATGGCATTGGACGGCGTCGGTCCTGCATCCGCGACCCAGTCGGTCCTGCACGCCCTATACCCAGAACTCATGCTATCCGCGACGATGAGTCATTAAACATTGCCACTTGGCGGCTGTCAGTGGGGCTCGGGGCACTGGGGTCTTCGAATGGCATCGGGCGCTCCGAGTTGAAGAGCCCGGCCGTTTGAGTTGAGGCGCCGTGCTGTTCGAGTTGAGGTGCCGGGGTTCTTGAGAGGCGATGTCCGAGATATCTAACGACGGCAGTCAGCGGCGAGCTCATGAACAAACAGCATACACGCACCATTGAGCGGCCCGGGATCCATGCATTATGAAGTGACCTACTATCCACGCACCCTTGAGCGACCCAATTTCCACGCACCACTGAGCGACCCGGTTTCCGCGGCATTGGGTGAGCGCGCGGGGCATCGAGGCCCTCGCCGCAGAGGTATAAATGCTTTTGCGTGGCATCAGCATTGACGCTCTTCCGTGGCATCGGAATTGACGCTCGTCGCTGTGAGCGCAGGTCGAGATGCATGTTGAGCTGAGGCGAACAAAGTCAGTGGCGCGTGCACATCGAACGGCCGCGTCGCGTACCCTTGGACCGCCCGAGGCATCGCAATATTGAGCGAGCCCGAGAGAGCGTGGCATTGATGCACTTGCGCAGCATCGGGAGCTTGAGCAGACGATGCTGAGGCGCTCGTCCGGGGGGTGTTCTTGACGGAGGAGACCTGAGCTGGTGATTTCAATCAGTGACGAGGACGCGCGATGCCGGCGGTGACATTGAGCTGTCCAGTCACCACGACATTGGGCGAGCTTGTGAGGACGTGATGCTTTGGCGTAGGGCCAGATTTGGCGCTCTTGCGTGGCGCCAGAATTGTCGCTGTTGTGTAGCGCCGGGATTGCCGCTCTTGCACGGCGTCAGGACTCGGCGTTGTCGAGTTCTGACGACGAGTGTAAGCGCGAAGGATATGAAGGAATATAAAGAATGGCTTACCATTGGGCTGCCCGATCACCGTGGCATTGGGCGAGCCCGACATACAAATTGCATTGACGCACTTGCGAGGCGTCGTGGGGCTGAGGGGACGAAGTCGATCTGTCGATAAATGTTAATAGAGTCAGCGCGCAAATCAGCCGCGTGGCGCACCATTGAGGAGCCCCGGCGCAGTGCTATTGGGCTACTTCGGGAGATTGCGACAGCGCTTGCGAGCCACTGAAGCCTTGAGGGTACTATCTCTAGCAGTCGGAGTCAGCGACCAAGACATGCCACGACACACGAGTGGCGCATCATTGGGCCACCCGCTCGTCGTGGCATTGGGCTCGCTCGCGAGAACATTGACGGCGCTTGCAAGTCGTCGGATAGCCGAGGTTCGTGTCGAGGACGGTATGTCGGTCGAGGTCGAAAGGGGGGAGTGGAGGCGGGGTGAGATGACAGTCAGAGTCAAAAGAGAGTGCCCATCAAATCGCAAGCACGCGCCGCTTATGTATATTACTTTTCAAACTCCGCTGGGCCATCAGCTCGCATGGCGGTCACGTTACCAAATCAGGCTCGTTGTTTGAGATCCGCGCTGCGCGCATCGCGAGGCGTTCGACCCGAGGAAGATCGCCAGCCGCCCGTAATCAGCAGGCACAATTATATCTGACATAATGCCGAGCTCGGTTCATAATAGCCTCTGAGCAGTCCGTCTACGCTCCTGCAGGTCGCCACGTTCAACTTAACAGGCACGTCGCACTTCCGTTTCCAAGTTCACCCATAGATAAGCCCATCGACTTTGGCACACGGCACACAGCGCACAGCACAGGAACTACAGTCGACACTAGCCTCATGCACACCCAGCCTTCTAGTCCGCTCCCTCCTCCATCCGGTCCGCTCACTCGCTAATTCACAAAATTCCCTTTAGACGCGCTATCGGCGCATGGATAGTTGATCTGTTGGAGAGTTAGATGATGGAGACGAAGTAGAAGCAGATCGCGCAGGGAAAAAATGACCACCGGCGTCGAAGTGAGTGGGGTTCGGTCACCGAGGCGACGCTCTAGTCCATGTGTGAGGGCGCACCCCAGAACAAGCTCCCAGTAGATGGTCTAGGAATAGAGCTGTCAGCTTACGAGCCGCAGAGCGGAAGTTTACCGAGAATGATGTGAAGCCGTTGCGCGGTGATGGGAGGCGTCGATCTATCTCTATGAAGAAAATGTCAGCGCGCAACTTGAAGCGACAACTGCGGAGAAGATAATACACGTACCTACCTTCCTCTATCCTCGAGCCGAAGCGACGGCTTGGGCTTGACGCGATGACGTGAGCAGCGGCAACTTGAGGTCGAGGAGAGATAACATTGCGACTTGGGCGCTGTTGCAGTCCTTCGTTATACCCCATCTCCACGAAGGAAATCATTAGACCGCGGGCTTCATTGCGTCGCCACGCGAGAAAGTCCGATCGCGCTGCCGTGCGGAGGAGATACATTGCGCCACTGCACGAGACGAACATTGCGCCGCCGCGCAGGAAATTCATTGCGTCGCCGCGCTGGAGAAAAGGACTTGGGCGGCGTCGGTCCTTGATAGTCTCCCCCTTGGGCAGAGCCCTAGAGAGGCTTCAGTCCGTGTGAAGAGGAATAATCGAGCCAAGCGCACCTGTCTACCCTTAGCGGAGACGGGCAATTTTGCTTTCAATCCGAGCCATTTCCACCTGACGGCTCGGGCTTGGGCTTTAGACGGGCTAATTAGCGATGTCCCAGAGATCTAGCGAAGGCGGTCAGTGGCGAGCTGGTTGGAAGACAGTGTCTAATCACCATTGAGCGGCCCGGTCTCCGCGGTATTGGGCGAGCTCGCAGGGCGTGTATGTCCTCGCCGCGAAAGCATTGATGCTCTTGAGTAGCATCGGCATTGATGCTCTTGCGTGGCATCAGCATTGAGACTCTTGCGCAGCATCGTATTGATGCTCTTGCGTGGCTTCGTGATCAACACTCGTGACTGTGAGCGCAGGTCGAGGGGCTTGCGAGGTTGAGCATACAACGTCGAGGGGCCCTGACAATGATGGTCAGCGACGAGGACATGCACGACAGTCGCGTAACGCACCATCAAGATACCCGTTTGAGGCGGCATTGGGTCGGTTCGAGAGAACATTGATGCACTTGCAGCGCATCGTGGGCTTGATTGAGCTTGACCAGCGTCTCAGCGCAAAAAACTTGCAGACCCAGCGCGGATGACTTGGTGAGAGTGATAGAGCCGAGGTCAGCGGTGGGAGCGCGCATGATGGCCGGGCAGCGCACCATTGAGGAGCCCGGACGCAGTGATATTGGGCAATCTCGAGGAATATGGTCGGCGCTTGCGAGCCACTGTAATCTTGAGGGTAATCCGAAAGTTGAGGATATCTGGCAGACAAAGTGAGCGACATAATCATGCCACGTCCGACGAGTGGCGTACCATTGGGCTGCCCGCTCGCCGCGGCATTGGGCAAACCCGAGAGAACATTGAGGGCACTTGCAAACCATCGGGGTAGAGGCGCCGGGGTTGAGAGCGGACTGTCGTGGTCGAGCGCAGAAAGTCGTGGACGGGTGGCGGAGATGACGGTCAGAGCCAAGAGAGGATGCCCATCAAATTGCCATTACGCGCCGCTTATGTATATCGCTTTCGAACTCCGCTGCTCGCATGGCGGTCACGTTATCGGTTCAGGCTCGTTGTTTGAGATCGGCGCTGCGCACATTGCGTGGCAGTCAAGCGGAAGAAGATGGCCAGCCTCCCGTATGCAGCAGGTACCATAATATCTGACATTATGCCGAGGTCGGTTTATAATGACCTCTGAGTAGTCCGTCTACGCTGAAGCAGGTCGGCAGGTCCAACTCAACAGGCACGTCACACTTCCGTTTCCAAGTTCACCCATAGATAAACCCATCGACTTTAGAAGTCGGCTACACACGGCACACAGCGCACAGCACAGAAAGTACAGTCGACACTATAGTCTCATGCACACCCAGCCTTCTAGTCCGCTCCCTCGTCCATTCAGACCGCTTCCTTCAGCATCCACAAACTTCCCTCTAGACGAGCGACGAGCGCAGCAATAGTCAATCTGTGGGAGAGTTAGTTGCTGATAGGTGAAGGAAATGGAGATCGCGAAGGGAGAGATTGCCCACCGCCGTTGAAGCGAGGGTGGGGTCCAGTCACAGAGACGCCCGTGCGGGAAACCGTCGAGGCGACAGTCCATTGAAGCACCAAGCTTGTCAGGTACAAGGTGTATCGGAAGGCGAACTCGCAGTGGAGGTTCTAGGGAGAAATTCGTCAGTTTACTAGCGACGGAGCGGGAAGCATACCGCGGACGATGTGAAGACGTTAAGGGAGATCGGGAGGCATCGTTTGAAGAAGAGGCCAGTTTGAAGAAGAGGCCAGCGCGCAAGCGACAGCTAGCAGGCGGTACGCACACCGACCGTCCTCTCCCTTAAGCTGGCGCGTCGTGGTGACTTGAGCTTGAAGCGAGGACTTGAGCTTAAGACAGCGACTTGAGCTTGGGGTACAGCGCATGGCGATTGGGGCGCCCTAGAACATTGCGCCTCGGGCGCTATTTCAGTACATCGGCGGAACAGGAACTGACTTGATGGGTCGATCAAGAAGACCATTGCCACACGGGCCTCATTGCACGGCCGTGCTGACATTGCGCCCCACGCGAGGGTAAAGTCATTGGGCGGCGCCGCTCCTTGGTTTTCTGTCCAGGACCTTGTGTTGACGGTCAATGTTTCTGACGATCGATGTCGAGACTTAAAGGTTGCTGTCGAAGCCGAGGAAGAAGACGTCAAATTCGAAGTCGAGAACGAGAGCGTTGTACAGATCAAGAGCGGCGTCAGACCGAGCGGCAGGAACTTCAATGCGCGTACGCACCTGTCGCAATCCATCACTCAATGACTCGGAAGTTTGAGGTGACCCTTTGGACTTGGGGTGCGTCGGCGTAGTTGTGAGGCAATGGCAGAGAGATCTAAGAGTAACAGTCAGTGGGCGAATCTATGGAACAATGCGGTCCACGCACCATTGAGCTTCGCTCTCTCGCCGGAGCAGTTCCCAATGTTCGCCTACTACCTCGAGCCCGTCGTCCCGGAACGCCTCTCGGACGCGCCCGAGAACTCCTCCGCCTTCCCGCCCTCTCGCGAGAAACTTATCCTCCCAAACGCTATCGGTGTTAGTTGGAGCTCCCATTGTTGGATGCGGTGGGCATGGAGGTCATCAAGGGCCTCGGCGATGCGCTAGCCGCCTATGCGTCCGACGTCGACGGTCAAGATCTGTCTGGATACTATGTCTATCCGAGCTATGTGCTTGCGGACGTGCGAATGGAGGATATATATGGGGAGAATATGAAGAAGATGAGGGAGGTGCGCGAGCGCGTCGATCCCAACGGACTGATGGCGCTCGCTGGCGGCTTCAAGGTTTGATTGAACGATGCGATACCGCCATAGTAACTTTGCGTGTCAAGCAGTTTGTAGCATTGCGATTTCCAGCCGATCGGTACATAAATTTGCTCTTGAAGAAAGCGACCCGAATTCTGTGAAGCATATCTGACAGAAGCACCAGTAGACAATCACCCACCGCACGCGCGAGCGCAGCGGGCAAAGGCGTAGGCCGCAGAGCGCCCCGCGGTGAAGGCAAAGCTGGCGGTGGCGGCAGCAACCTCTTCGACGCGGTTGACTTCTCCGTCAAGTTTGACTTCTCCATCGCTCCTTTCACGCGCTGTGTTAGACGTTCGGTGAAATTCAGTTCTCGACAAACGACCCAGAGGGCTGAAGTTAGCACGAGTATACAGCGGTAGTGAACAGAGACTCCATCCTTGTAGCCAGCGCGCGGTGCCCTGCTAAAATGCTTGCTGCTCGCAGCAAACACAGATGGATGTTAGGAAGTAGAAGCCTGACGCACCGAACACGAGCACACGTGCTTCCCGCATGAGCGGCGATCGCCGATCAGGCCGCACGGCGCTTCCGTCTCCCCTTTGTCGGGGACATCCAGCGCTTCTACTGCCCGAGAATGAGCCTCCGAGTGCGTATTGCTCCTAATTCTCAGCCGATAGGTGCTGACTCTCACCATGACAGCACCCTATACGCCGCCTCTCGTTAGAGGAACGCCTCGATCGTTCGGCGTCTGTCGCGAACCTCGCGATGCTGCGTTCACATTGCGAGCCATCCCACATTCAGATCCAGACGATCAAATGGCTTACATTCCTCTTGGAGGCTTATCTCAGAATCCTACCACCGGATGACATCCCCACTCGCACGAGGATCCTACACCAGCTGGATATCAACCGGTCCGTCCTTGCTCCCATCCGCCGCCTACCCGTCGAACTCTTGTCCTACATTTTCTCCCTCATAGTGAAGGGATCACCACTACGTACCGTAAACATTTCCGCCACGCTCGCGCGCATCTGCACATCCTGGCGGGAAGTTGCGCGTGGGCATGCGTCGTTATGGACGACGGTGGTCGTGGACACTCCAAACGGCTTCGATGAATACCGCGAGCTGTTCCTTCCTCTGACGAAGGACATGCTGCTCGATCTTCGATGCGATAACCGTGAGATCCTTGGGGAGTTGTGGGATCGCATGGCACCGTATGCGTCTCGCTGGCGCCGCATCACACTCGAGGCTCGCCTTAGCATGCTCTCAGATCTCCAAGTCGTCTACATGGAGAGACTCGAGCGTTTGGTCGTCTTTGCATACGACGCGCCTGTCTCCACGGAGCTCAGTGTTCTCGACTTCGTCGTCGCACCACGCCTTCGCCACATCGCGCTAACGCTTGACGAACTGCAGAGCGAGCGTCAGCTACACGTCCCTGTGGCTCGGAAACTTACGTCCTTGGTCATCGAGGCGATGTCGCCATTTCCTATCACTCACACTCTGCCTCTCTTACATGCGTGCGCAGACACGCTGCAGTCGCTCACTATCAAAGTACGGCACCCCTTGGAAGGCAGCGAAGGTTCATACCCGACAAGCACGTCTGACACCTTCGTCATGAAGGCCCTTACCTTCCTCAGCCTCATCGATCCCGCATGCGCGCTTCTCAATCACATCAGTGCCCCGCTCGTCCGGGAGCTCATCCTCGGTAATGTGCCTGCGTATGGTACGCAATCCCTACTTGGATATTTGACGCGGAGTCGGGCCTCGCGTTCACTACGCATCCTAAGGATCTATAGTGTGGAAGAACGAGACATATACGCCTGGATCCCCTGCCTTCAACTCATGGATAGCCTCATAGCCATGCACTTCGACGACCTGCTGTCAAATCGAGAATTTTTGAATATTATGGTCCGACGCGCGGACAAGCCTGTGCTACTACCTTCGCTGAAGGCCCTCGCCCTTGATCGAGTGGATGAGGAGCATGGGGAGCTTCAGGGAATTATTGATGAAATGTGTGTATCGAGGGCGAAGCCAACGCGATTTCCAGGATGTGAAGAAGCGTATGAGTTGCTCGGTTGGATTAGGGAGGATGAATTTGGAATCCGTTGGAGATAACAATTGAATGTCCAGGCTGACCACCGTCATGATACAGATGCCGTCTCTTCAAACCTTTGTATCTTCACGTACGCGTCTTGTCGCCTCGGCGTCGGGGTCCTCGCCGCGAAGGTATGGACGCTCTTGAGAGGCATCGCATTGAACTCTTCGGGGGTATCTGCATTGATACTATTGCGAAGGATCGCATTGATGCTCTTCCATGGCATCGGAATGACGCTCGTGGCATTTGTGTGCGCAAGGCTAGGAGCCGAATTCTGAGCTGAGGCGAACGAAGTCAGTGGCGCGTGCGTATTGAGTGGTCAAGTCGCGTACCCTTAGATCGCCCGGTCTTCCAAAATTGAACGAGCCCGAGAGCGCGTGACATTGATGCACTTGCGGTGCATCGGGGAGTCAAGTCGACAGTATTGGGGGGCTCGTGAGGTTGAGCATACGACATCGAGGTGTCCTGTCAATGATGGTCAGCGACGAGGACACAGTTGCGTGACGCACCATTGAGATGCCCGTCTTCAGTGGCATTGGGTCAACTCGAGAGAACATCGATGCGCTTGCACCGCATCGGGAACTTAAGTAGAGTAGCTGCCGAGGTCCGTAGGAGATTGAGCGCAGAAGACTTGAGGATGTCCTAAAGGAAAGGCTGAGAAGGTCTGACGCCGCGGTCAGCAACGAGAAAGCGTGTGCTAATCGAGAAGCGCACCATTGAGGAGTCCGGACGCAAATGCATTGAGCAACCTCGGGAGAAATTGTCGGTGCTTGCGAGTCACTGTGAGCTTGGGGATATCGAGCATATCTAGCACTCGAACTTAGCAACAATGCCATGTCACGCCGCGCAATTGACGTACCATTGGGCCACCCCCTCGTCGTGGCATTGGGCTGACCCGGCGAGAGAACATCGACGGCGCTTGCACGTCGTCGAATTGTTGGTGACCACGTCGAGAACGGTGGGAGATATGTTGACGTGGAAGAGGGAAAGGTCGGGGTCGAGGGGTGGGAGTAAGATGATGGTCAGAACCAAAAGAGAATACCCATCAAATCGCACGCATATTCCGCTTATGTATATCGCTTTTCAGACTCCGCTGCGCTTGGCAGTCACTTTACTGGCTCAGGCTCGTTGTTGAAGATCTGCGCTGCGCACATTGCGTGGAAGTTGACTGGAAGAACATGGCTAGCCACGCATATTCAACAGGAACAAAACTATATGACACGGTGCTGAGGCCTTTTCATTATGCCGCAGGTTGGCAACTTCAACTCAAGATACATGACACACTTGCAGTTCCGAGTTCGCCCATAGATAGACCCATCGAGTAAACACCACAATACACAAAACATGGAGTAGATTCGACACCGAACATGCATCATATTCCCTAGCATCCACAAATCTCCCTCTAGACGAGCGACGAGCGCAGCAATAGTCAATCTGTGGGAGACTTAGCTGATTATAGAGGTAGAGGAAACAGAGATCGCGAAGGGAGAGATTGCCCACCGCCATTGAAGCGAGGGTGGGGTCCGGTCACCGAGACGCCCGTGCGGGAAGTCACCGAAGCGACAGTCTACCGATGCACCGAGCTGCTCGAGGCGTACCCACAGGCGAGCTCGCAGGGGATATTCCTGGGATAGATCCGTCAGTCTACGAGCGGCGGAGCGGACGGCATACCGCGGACGATGTGAGGTCGTTAAGTGGGGAGGCATCGATCTACCGCTCTGGAGAACATGTCAGTGCGCAAGCGATGACTAGCCAAGGGTACGCACAGTCACTATCCTATCCCATGAGCGGGCGCGTCGCGATGACATGAGCTAGAGGCGATCGATGGCTTGAGGTTGACGCGGTGACTTGGTCTTGAGATATAGCGCATTGCGAGTTGATGCCGCGAGTACGTCGGGAGGGGCACGCTAAAACATTGCGCTTTATACGCGACTGAAGTCCTTCGCCCCGATGGGCTTGTCGGATCTTGTTGACGAAGGCAACATTGGCCTGCCGACCTCACTGGCCCGCCGACCACATTGCATCGCCGCGCTTGAGTCATTGCGCCACCGCATTGGAGAGAGTCATTGCGTCGACGCGCGAGAGAAAATCATTGCGCGGCCGCGCGGGAGAAATCATTTGCGCCTTCGCGCGCGAGAGAACCATTGCATCGCCACACCGGAGGTGTCCATTGCGGCACCGCGCAGGGGAAATGTATCGGAGCAGCGTCGGTCCATATTGAGCTTCTGCCCCGCCTTTCACCTGTACGGTCGTCATCCTGAACGCTCGCTGTCGATGTCCTCGACAATCTATGTCGAGCGGAAATACATCGAAATCGGAAAGGTCGATGTCGAGAATGAGAGCAGTGAGCTGAAGCCCTAGAGCGCCGTCAGTCTGTGGCGGGAGTTTCATCGTGGAGACGCACCCTTCTTCCCTCGGTGGGGGCGAACGAATTTCTTTGACCATTGCCACTTGACGGCGTGTATAAATGAGGCGGCGATCTGTTCGATCCGAGAGTACTGACAAAGTTGGTCAATGACGAGATCATGAACAGACGAATTCCACGCACCATTGAGCTGCTCGGTCTCCGCGCGATTGAGCGAACTCGCGGGAGAAAGACGTCGTTGCTAGTACATCGATGCTTTTGTATGAAATCGGCATTGACGGTCTTGCGTGACATCGGGATAAATGCTCTTGCATAGCATCCGAGTCGTATTGGCGCTCTAGAGTCGCATCGGCATTTCCAGTCGTGGCATCGGTAAGTGCAGGTCGAGGAGGTGAAACTTGAGGCAGGGAAAATAGAGTCAGTGACGCGAGCATGCTGAATGATTGACTGGCGCACCGTTGGTCTGCCCGGTTGCCGAGGGATTGGGCGAGTCCCCGATACATTGATGCACTTGCGAAGCATCCCCGAGCTAAGCACACGACGTCGAGAGGACCTGGCGACCATGATTGGCGACGAGGACAAGCGAGTTCAGCGGTAACGCTCCATTGAGCTGCGCTATCGCAGTGGCATTGAGCCCACTCGGACGGCCATTGATGACGCTTGCGTGTCAACAGTATTGACGCTCTTGCGTGGCGTCCAGATTGGAATATTTGGACGTTGTCGGGATCTAGATTCGAAGGTCAGCGCAGAGGATGCGAAGGGATATATGGATCGAAGTACCATTGGGCTGCCCGATCATCGCTTATTGGACCGCCCGGCCGCCCCGGTATTGGACGGTGCGCGATATATTGATGCCCTTGCAAAGCATCGAGGGCATCTATTGATGAAGGTCAGCGATGAGAGCACGCACAACCATCGCGTAGCGCACCATTGAGCTGCCCGTCCGTAGTGGCATTGGGTCAACTCGGGGAAATATTGATGCACTTGCGACGCATCGGGGGCTTGAGAAGAGTCCTCGGCGGATACTTGAGATTCAAGCGCAGAAGACCGGCTCTTCGGGGAGGACTAAAGAAGATATCGAATAGAGGTCAGCAACGAGAATGTGTATCGAAGTCGAGTAGCGCACCATTGAGGAGCCCGAATGCAGTGGCATTGGCTGCCTCGCTGGAGATATATTGTAGGCGCTTGAGAGCCACTGCAAGCTTGTACACGTCGAGATTATCTGGCGATTGAGATCAGCGACGAGTGAAATGCCACAGGACACGAGTGGAATACCGTTAGACTGCCCGCTCGTCGCAGTATTGGGCTCGCCCGCGAGAACATTGACGACGCTTGCAAGTCGTCAAACCTTCCGTGCTTGCGTTGGGGACGGTATGTCGAAGGTTGCAAGTGGGCAAGGTTGAAGGTGGCGGGGGGGCGGTAGGGTAGGATGGCGGTTAGAGTTGAGAGTGGACGCCCATCAAATCGCGCACATGCACCGCTTAAGCATGTCGCAATTCAAACTCCGCCGCGCCATCAGTCGCATGGCCGTCACGTTACCGGCCTAGGCCTGTTGGTTGAACGTTCAAATTGAGATCTGCGCCACGCTCGTCGTTCGACATCCAGTGCGCTGCGCACATTGCGCAGAGGCTGGCTGTATGAGCATTACAGCTGCCTAGACGCGCATTGCTAGCCGCTGGAATTTAGCAAAAATTGTTGGGTTTAACATGATAGTACCATAGCACTCAGATCTCTCGCCAGCGGAGTGGGGGAGGGGCAATTACAAGCTCAGAGCGGGTCGAGAGACTGCACATTTGATTTATATCTTCAGAGTCTGCGCGACCTTCTCTCAATTTTATGGTCATAAGTCTGGGGATGCTATGGGTTGAAAGAGCGTGAACAACATTGGCCGAGGATATGTACAGAACGCAGGGCTAGTCGAGCAGGAAGAAGACGCGTGCATATGGTGGGTACATGAGTGCATATGACGGGTATATGGGTAGGTATATGGGTGAGCATGATGGGCATATGGTGAGCATGGCTGCGACCAGCGCGATAAATAAGAAATAAATTAGTATGTGCGAGTGAGAGTGGGAGAAGAGCATGAGGAAGAAGGATAGGAGGATGGTGTAATGAGCGTGAGTGGGAAGGGTGAGATATAGACACAGATGGGTGCTCTATGCGAGATACGGATACAGTGCACGTGGACGACAGACAGGAAATCGGGACAAGGATAGTGGATGGGCTACAGGGGATGGAGATGACGAAAGATGTCGAGTGTGTGCAAACACGAGAGGTTAAGCATTATACCAAGCCTGAAAATCAGGTAGTCGGAAGAACCGAGATTATCGACCAGTCAAGCAGTTGTTTCCCGAGCACTCTCTTCCTCCGCCCCGCGCAGCCGCTTCGTAGGATTCTCGGATGGGGCGCTGACCGATTTACGCTTCTGAAGGTTTTGTTCGTCAGTCGACGATGGCTTGGCGGTGGACGTCAACGATGGTCTGGCGACATAGAGAGTCGTCGACGCAGAGAAGGAAGACTGGGCCCAAGCGAAGGAGGAGCACGCTTCGGCGAGCGTCTGGGTGATTACTGGAGCCTCAGGCTCGGGAGTCGACGAGGTAGCCGCTGGCTGAGAGAGTTCATCGGCGGGGGCGGACTGGGTACCAGAGGAAGCGGGGTGGATGTCGGCTATCTTCAGCTGCGGGTGGTCCACTCGCTTGTCGCTCTCGATAGACCTCAAGCTCTCGGAGGGCGGCGTCCGCAGAGGGCGCGCCTTCAACGCAGATGGGCGATGCGACACCAGCATAGGTATCTTCTCCATCGACTTGCCAGGGTGAAACCTCTGCATCGAATCGCGAGCGTGGAGCCTTTCCATCGCTTCCAACATCGTACCCGTATGACGTGGCAGACCTGACACGAGCTGAGTTTCCCGACGAGGAGTTGTCGACACCGACGCTAACGTGGATATCTCCTTGACTCTGCGCGAAGCAGGCGACGGTGATGGCGATGGTGACCGCTCGATTCTACGAGACCTCCAGCCGTCCGACCTACGTTTCGAGGGGCGCGATGGGAGGAGCGTGTCAGAGGAGCGCTTGGGCGGCGTGCGAGGGGCAGGTGTGAGCGGAGCGTGCGAGAGCTTCGTCGGCGTGGTGGGCTCATTGTCCACGGCGGTGGAGACCATATCAGCGGAAGAGACAAGGTATTCGTCTTCGGCGTGGAATGCAGGACGACCGAGGACGAGCGGCGCCTGCCTCTTGAGAATCACCGACGAAGTACTCTTCGGCGCGGGAAACACACATTGAGCCGTCGGCGTAGTTTGATTCGGGTGATCGCTCTTGGGGATGATGGGGATCGGAGGGAGTGGGCGACGGGGCCGGAAGGTTGGGATCCCGGGTGGAGGGGAGGCGGCATCGAGGTCATTAGGGGCTGTATCGCTCAAGTCGCGAGGTATGGCGACAATATGGCTAGTAGAAGAGGATGAGGATGAGGAGTCTGTGAACAGCTTCCCGGCGTGGTAGTGAGTCGCTTTCAGCGGCGCGAGAGATATCCTGGACGGGGGAATAGGATGACCGGGCGGGAGAACAGAGAGATACTGAGCGAGTAGTTATCAGTCAATGGTCTACGTCGCACGAGAAGCTAAGGAACTCACCATCTCATACCTCACACTCTCCGCAAAATCAGGGTTCTTCTTCAACTCACCGATGAACGTGTCGCGATTCTTGTCCGCGAACTTGATGAGCGCGCGCAGGGTAGCTTCTGATACGAAAGCTTTCTTGGTCGTTGAACTATTCTTGTTGATAACGCTATCGTAGTACGGAACTATAGACCAGATATCGGCGCCGGCGGCGATGATGTCGAAGGGGAGGGCGATGACCCAGGACGTCGAGCAGTCGAGGCCGTTAATGAGGACGGTTCCGTCGAAGGTGAGACTAGAGTTGTTGGGGGTCGTGTCGACCTGATCATCTGCCTGCCGCGCGCGAAGAACGTAGTCCTGCAGCGCCCAGCTAATATGCTTCTTATCCTTCTTCCGCCCGAACGAGGCGATGGGCAGCACTGTAAGGGCAACGACTTCGTTCAACTCGTCCATCGCGCATCGAAGAACAATTGCCGGGCGCGCGCCCTTGGCGTAATGCAGATCGGGCGAGTCGTCGTAGCCCGTCTTCTTGAGAGCCGCATGGACCGGCGACCAGGACGAGAAGCGGAGGGCAATGACTTGGCCGGGGCAAACTGGGAGGATGGCCTGGCGGCGGATGGGAGGGGCGGGTATGTGTGTGACGGAGCGAGGAGCTGGTTCGTGGGTGGCCGAGCGACCGGCGAGCATGTCCGTGACCGATAGAGGCCTTGCGCCGGTCGGGAGGAAAGCGCCGGCCTCAGTGGGAGGACGGGTAGGATGCAGAGCGATCAGATCGCTGGAGTGAAGCAGGTGAGAGCGCGGGACCGGCATCGGGGGTTTGTTGTGCTGTGTGCGACGGATGTTCTGCTTTGTGCGGTGTGAACCGAGACAAAAATCGAACCGAACGGGCTGAAAGACGTGATTGCTGGCTTTGAATGAGGGCTGGAGACGAGCGGCGGCGGCTGTATTTGTGCGTGATTGGAGCGAGAGGCCGGGCGAACACAACGTTGCGCTCACGTGATCGTAACAAAGACTGCCGAAAAGGGAAGGCGATGGTTCGATGAGCAGATGCTTTGAGGAGGTCAAATGTGACACGCGACATAAGCCGTTAGTTGCAGTTTCTCAGTTATTTTGTAAAGCGTCGTCGAAAAAGAGATCCTCTGCTATCGCCCTGCATCTGGTTGGGCCAAGAGAAGCGCTCGACCAACGGCCTCATGAGGGCTCGCTTTAGCGTTCGGCGCTCCTCGTCATTGAGATGACTTGCGTACGTTGTTATTATCCGCGGAAAAATCATGAGGCCGGGGTGGTAGACGAGGAGAGGGCGCGGGATCAAGGGCTGGCCCATGGGGCAGTGATGTAAGTTCTTGGTAAAGACGCGACATTCGAGGCGGCATGACGCAAGGAGGGCTCTCGTCTGAAAGGAAGTAGAATTAGGTGCGCCTTTGAGCAATCCGCGACTGAAGCCGACAGGTCAGAGCGTTGGGCGCAACTTCAGCAAGGCATTCTGGGGAGGTCGCTTCGCCACGTGGCATTTGCGCTGATCTCCGGAGAGGAAGCTTCCGTTGACGGACCTGCTTTTGGCATTCCTTGTTCTTGCCCTGACATAAGTCGACACCGGGCGACAAGGGCAGCAGCGAGGTGATAGTGGGCTCGCAGCCGACAACCTGGAAGACCTACGAAGCATGTCCGGTGTGCTGTCTGCGTCAAAACCGCTACTATACGGGCTAGATTCGCTAAGATTCGCCAGTCCTCCCTATGCCGCATTTCCCGAGTCAGCTACTCACGCTCGCTATCTTTCTCTCAAGCCGGGCTATCCGCCAGCTAATCGAACTCGCACATGCCACTTTGCATGCGCTCATTGCTTGAAGCGTCTTCCAGGTGACCCTCATCACCTTCTGCGATTGCCGCATGGGCGATTTCTCGTCCCGGTCTCGAATGAAAGTGTGGCAAGAAGCGCCCACACTCACTTCATTTCCGGTATGGCCATTTAATTTGTGTGTGTCAAACGAAAATGATGGCTTTGAGCTGCGCGTCCTTTGTTCTGTAGCGCTCGCCGCCTCATGGTGCGTCCATGTCCCGCGCAGGGAATGGTATATAAGCACGACCGCTGATGACCAGAGTCACTCAATAGCCCCCACCACCACCCCCCACGCCACTCGCCGATCACCAGTACGGTTCACATCCCTGCGCTCCTCCAACTACCCAAACATGGTGATCAGCACCGGCTTTATCTCGTACCTATGGTTGATTGACCTCTCCGCCACGTTCTACCCGACGCCATCTGTCTCCGCTGTGCTCTCCCGAGATCACCTCGTCAAGCTCCTGCACGCTGCCTACAAGCTTGAGGACTGCAAGCTACTCCAACCCGACAAGGGCCGCCGCATCGCCTGCGAGTTCAAGGACTGCCTGTCGATCAGCAGCTTCGACGCGCAGGAATGGCGCCACCGCCCCGACCGCGTGCGCCGCGAAGTCGCTAACCACGTGCAAGGCCATCTCAGCGCGCTCGGTGGCGACAGTATCAGGACCCCGGTCCTCTGGAAGGACGTCCCGCTCGGGCGGTCGAGCGACGATCTCGATATCTTCCCCTGTTTCTGGCGGTGCATTGATATGATGGAGGCCCCGAAGGGCGCGCAGCTGCTCGAGCATCTGGTGCGGGACCACCACCGTGGCTACGCGATGTACAGCTGCCCGATGTGCAAGATGAACTTAGCGCTCGAGGCAGAGGCGGATGTGCCATCGCACGTCCGTGCGAACATGGTCCTGATTATCACGCCGCCGAATACCACGAAGACCGTCGACGGCCCCGATGCCCAGGCGCAAGCGATCTTGCTCAAACACTACAAGGAGGGCTGCCCGGAGTTTTCGCCGAGGACATCGCCGCTTTGGGATGACCTTCCCGACAACGTGAGGCAGCGCTTGGACAAGAAATTTGAGGCGCTTGCAGCCTTATCATTCTATGTCGGGAGGCAGAGCGCTACTATTCGCTGTCATACGATACTATAGACCACTTAATTTTGACCTCGCGCTCGTCAACGGTTATCATATGGGAGATATATGTCCGACCCTACTCGATTAGATGGCTCCTAGTAGAGAGTTCAAGTGGGCCTAGATGATGGACTTTGAGCAGAGGAGGTTGTCGACGGACCGGGAAGAGTTGCCTGCAGCAAGTGACAAAGTGAGCGAGGCCATTTACGTATCTGGAGACAGCGCTCTGCCGGGAGACAAGGCCACGACAATCGCTGGAGATTGAGGACCGACTTGAGAACAAGACATTCCGAAAGCGGATTGAGACGTCCCGCTCGGGGATCACCGGTTTCTCCACGTGGCGGGTGGCAGCGAAATGATTTTCCAGCTATGCCTTGCTTCCGACGCTCTCATCCGTCGCCTTCATGGGCGACTCTGTTCAAGGACCGCCATAACCCGCCTCTTCTGACCTGGAACTCTCCTCGCGTCGTGCCACGTCACAAAGCTTGAGACTTCCAATGTCGCGCGCGTTGTCCCACTCTCGACCATGGTTACCGAACCCGCCGATCATCTATACACGTTCTGTCGCGATTCATACGTTCTCCTAATCCAAGATACAGCATAAATCTATGTCTACTCAGCTCCTTCAGCCCCGACAAAGCGCAGTCGCGTCGCGCTTTGTCAATGCCCAGCAAATTTGCATTGTCGCCACTTTCCTGGTGGCAATGCCTCTCATGTCGCCCTCGCCCTCGGACTCCTCCTCCTGCCCCTCACGTATGCGTCCTATCGTAGCATCCAGCACGAGCACGGTATGCTTCACAGTCCAGCTCCCGAGCGCGTCGCTGTACTGCCCTTGTCAACATTGCGTCACTTACCCCTGTCAACGCGTGCGATCACATGACGTATTTGAAATGTAGCGCGACGCGACGCGTCCAGTCGTCTCGAACCGCGATCAGTGGCAAGGTGGCATGTCCCATTCCCGCTCCGTGTGACCTTTGCTGACCCCGGATAGTCACACAAAACTCGTAACAATACAACAAAGCAAGCATGCCGGCCGTATTCATCTGTTTGGGTGGAAAGCCACCCAAAGCCACCAAGCGATTCGCGTGCCCCAGTGCGCGCTTGCGCACTGCGGATCTTCATGGCTATCTACCGAAACCGGGGCAGCTTATTTCTCTCTCTGAATCAGCCTGGGCTCCCGACCGCGTCATACTAGTCGACGCCGGGTACGAAATATCCCCATTACATTTTGGGAAGGGCGGTCGGCCTGCTCTAGTACTCGGATACGTTGAAAACAAGGCGGGAAAAACGCTTGTCGAGGTCCTACTGCTGGCGACGTTTGGTTTCGGACCCGCGGACGCCTACAACAAGGATCTGATTCACCCGGCCCTCCGGGACTACGTTGCTCACGCCCGAGACGCGGATGGCTGGCATTGGCCTGCCGATTCTGTGCCAATCTATAACATGAATTGTGCTAAGAACTGGGTGATTCTCTTGCCGCTCGCTGTGGAGTTCGATTCGCGCCGCCCTCTCGAGCGCTGGCAGGGCGTGTCCCCGGCCTGTCCCCCCTCGGTCTCGGACGAAACGCTTGAGTGCCTGCGCAAGTGCGCGTACGAGAACTACTATGAGGTTCTGAGCAGAGTGTACCAGTCTCGCGCTGAAGCATTGAGGCTCGTAAAAGCAATGGTACGCGCTAACGGCGCCTTGTCCATTCCACCCCTCATTCATCCATTTATCCCCTTTTAGTACGACGCCACCCTTCCCCCCGGCACAGCGCATCCCAAAACTCAATGTCCTCCGCCCGGGTTCCGCTTGCCCCTTGAACAAATGCAACGTACCGAACCTATGCAACCTGTCGACCTCAATTCCAAGAAGCGCCACGCACCGTACGCTAGTTCGAAGCGGAAGAAGCCCGCGGGCGCGCGCGAGCCCGTCCTGCCTTTTTGGCAACAAGTAATGCAGCTCAGGGCCGAGATCCACCACTGGACGAGTGTGCCGGGCGCCCCGTAGGCGATTTTCCTCTGTCCGTCTCCGCCCCGATTGTTCCCTCCCCTCTTCGCGAGTGGGGGTCATTGCCTTTATTCGCCCTAGCGGCGATCCATTGTCACGTAGCGCGCGGCTACCGTTGCGCTGTCTGATGCGCTCTCGGTCGCGGCTCTGTCGGCTCTGGTAGTCGTGGCTTTGTCGACCCTGGCGGTTGCGGCCTTTGTCGACTGACGAAGTGTGGCCGCTGGATGAGTGCCCCACGCAACGACCAGTCGCTTCCACGGTCTCTGAACCGCTCTCGTCTCGCGCACTCCCGAAGCCGCCTAGATTGCGCTAGCTACGCGTTGCCCGGGCTCGACGACCCACGCCAGATTGCGAAGACTCGTGCCAAACCGCGACGACGGATCTCGCTCCGGGCCTCGACGACGAGCCACCTTAGACGGCTCCATTAAATGTCGACGTCGACGACTCCTCGCCCCGCGCTGTCGGTTATTTATGCCTGGCGATTCCTCGGACTCGCGATCACCGCCTTCTTAGACTCGCGAGCACCGCCTCTTCTAGATCGGCGAACAAATCTCTGCTCTTTATGAGCTGCCGAGACCAACATCGCGCATGGGTGAGTTCTGGTGTTCTGCTCGTTTCCGTATACTAACGACTTCTTAGTGTTTAACTACCACGCCGCGCCGCCGCGTCTCGTGTACCCTACACGTGTCCCTCGGCTCCTATCTCCCAGCCTCCTTACTGTACCATCACTGTATCTACCTAATTTCGCTGTCCCCATTCAGTCAAGCAAATCGCGGCGCGCGTCGATTACATTGTATCCCTTATCTATGTATCGCTAGAATCTAGTCTCTATTTCCACGCCGTATCGAAGTATACTTTTTGCTCTACGTTGCTCCGCGACGGTCATTGTGAGTAATTACACGAGGCAGCACAAAGGGCGAATAAATCTGCCCAGGCGTCCGATCCTGGTTGACTATCAGTTGCGTCCTGCCTCTCCTTGTGCACCTCGGCATCTGGCGCAACCGTCTCGAGCTGCCCCAATGCATTAGGCGCAAGCAGCCTGAGCTGCCGCTCCAGATGCTCCCTCACGTCGTCTGGGAACTCCTCCCAGCGTGGCGCGAGGATTGGCATGATTGCAGGGCAGCCGAGTTCGTAGTGGTTGAGCAGGAGGATTTGCGCCTTGATGGCGGACATGTCTTGTAGCAGATCGTGAGTAGCTTGGGGCTGAGAGAACGTAGCATCGTTATGACCGGCGGTGGCATCGTGACGGGCGATTGCATCGCGAGCAGTTTCTAGATCTTGGGTGGCTGGGTGAGGATTTCTCGGGAGAGGAATCGTGGATAGCAGGGTCAGATCCTTGCGGATGTGTTGCGGTACACCCTCCTCCGCGTCGAGCGCGAAATCCATGTTGCACAGCGGGCAGCTGTACATCGCATAGCCATCATAGTGTTTCTGCATCAGATGCTCGGCGAGCTTCGCGCCTTTTGGTACCGTCTCCAACGACCAGCATCGGGTGAAGCAGGGGAGTACATCGAGGCCCTCGCTGTTACGCTGCATGAGGGGGACTTCGTGCCACAGGCGCGCGCGCGCCAGCTTGTTATCGTCCAGCTTCTTGAGGTGGTATTTAACATGTGCCTCGACTTCTATACAAACGCGTTGGGGGTAGAGCACATCGTTCCAGCTGCGGTCTCGTGTCCATACACAGTTCTTGAACTCGCAGGCGAGGCGCCGGCCACGGGTGGGCTCGAAGGGCAGGCGGCAGTGCGTTGTTTCGGCGTGGAGGAGCTTGAGAAGAGTGTCGGGGGAGAGAATGGGGGAGATGGACGCCTCTGGCAGGACTCTAGTAGATAGGTCGACCGTCTTGAGGTATGCGATGAAGTCGTCGCTGACAGTCGTCATTGCGGGGGCTGTAGAAGCGGAGCGGTGTCGAGCGGGGACGGGTGGTTCAATGACTTACTGCGCTCTTCCATTGAGGCTTATATACCACTCGCTTTTGTCGACATAGACGCGCCACGAGGACTTGAATGCCACAGGACAAAGGACGCGTAGGTCAAGGCGATGCATGTTTGTGATGCACCGTTCATATACCGGTCAAAAGCACTGATGGTTGTGCGCTTCGCGGAGCCAGACTTTTCGGGAAAAAACGCCGCCTGAGAAGATTGCATTCACTGCCACAGGCGTCGAATGTAAGCGACAAAGACCTTCATTCTCGTCGGAGATCGCGGCTGGCCACTCGGAGAACAATGAGCGGCGTGAGAACGGCGCGAGTCACTGTAGCGTCATCTGGCCTCGGGTTTCTGGCTACTAGGTGGAATACGCGGGCGACAAGGATACATGAAAGGGATTTAGCCATCGGAGGTGCCGTCGGCGAGGTGGCGAAAGCCAGCTGTTGCCACAAGATCCACGTGTTGGGTTCGGTAAGCTCCGGCTAGAATAGTTCCGCTGATGGATCCGCTTTTGGCATGTCTTGTTCTTGACTACGGCGGCGGACCGGCGATTCTTCCCACGCGGGCTATTGTCCTAAGTGAACCGCAGACAATACTCCCAGAGGACCCTTGTATCTGGCTTGTCTTGACGAAGGGGCCATATCGACCTTTGGGCGCTTACAGGAAGCCGACCCTCCACTCCCATTTGACTGTGAGAGCGAGTGAAGGCATGCAGCGAGATATCAGCCGAGGTTCGACATTCACGGTGTGTGATAGGCGCGCGCTTATACTCTCGGGGCTAGCGAGTGACTGACCTCATGTCCAAATGGAGGCGAGTCTTTGTTCTTGGAACAATATGAAATGCAGGAGTTTGTGTCGGTCGCGTTGACCAGCGCCACTCGGGCACCGCCTCCGTCGTATAAAGAGGTAAGAACAAAAGATATTTGACTTCTCTTTCTCCTCCCACCATTAACGCGCATCCGACTCACCCATTCCATCCGCCACCTTATCTTGCTGCCATGGCTTCGCAAGTCCCACCTCCTGCGAGGGCGCGGCGGGCTCCGCATCCGAAACTCATCTTCTCGATGTCGGGATTTCTACCCAATAGCGAGCGCATCGCATCACTACAGGCGGGGTATAGATTGACTAGGGCTGAACTCATGCCTTACCAGCGATCCCCTCGCGTGCACTGCAGTCTCAGCAAGGGGACCTGCAACTGGTCGGAGCACGTTGACGTGGGTAACCCGCAGACGGCGGCCAAGCGCCTCCGCGCGCACGCAAAACAACATCTCGCCGACGCGGTGGAGAAGGAGGCTAAGACCGACGCGAGCGCTGGCGCCGCGTCGACATCGAAGCAGGCTCACAACACACCGACGTCGAAAACAGGGCGCCCTATCAAACCATTACCATCGGGCCACCAACGCATCACCTGCGGTTGGGACGGCTGTTGCACGATGCTGACCAGCCGCGCCAACTTCGCCGCGCACGTCCTCGGCGAGCACTTCCAGCCTTGGACATCCTATACGTGCCCACTCTGCGCGAGGGTGATCGCGAAGCACCCGACCCTGAAGGAAGACCAGCCCTATGAACCGGTACCCGTGAAAACTCTGTACGGAGGCCGACGACGATGGATCAATGCCACTGACGATGGGAAGGGTGTGCTGCAGGATATTCTGCTGGAGCACTATGAGCTGGCAGACGAGCGTGGCGAGCATGAGTGTGGCGTGCTGAAAAAGTACATGCGGAGGGACTATGGGGTGGGCGACGTGCTTCGCGATGGGTGGCTGGAGGACAGGCCTCCGTATCGCTTGAAAAGGCGGCCTCGCGCAGCCTTACAGGCGCGGCCGGTGCCTGCTAGATGTTAATGAACGGTTTCTCGAGAGTTGACCTACATATCTTACTCTTGCCGCGTTGTAGACCAGTGGCAGCTACACGGCCGAACACTAATTCGATACCATTTTGTGCTCGTACTCGTTCAGAACCCGTGGTGTCACGAAGCGAAATGATTTCTCGCGAACCGAAAATCCCTCAACTCCCGCCCATCTCGCGCACCGCATCGTTGATCGCCTGCGACACAAGCTTGCACGCGACCTCCATCTGCGCGCGCATCTCGTCGTCTACCACCGCCTGTAGAATCCTCCGCGCGGCCCACTTGTCCGGGTGGAAGCGGAGCCTCGCGTTCTTGAGGAACGTCCGGTACTCGTCCGCGGTCATGATCGTCTTCATCGCCTTGGTAAATTTCTCGACCATATCCCAGGTAAGGGAAGCAAGTTCAAAAGCGGCGGGGTGCGCGAGGACGGGCCAGGGCACGCTGCGCGCGACGAGCGGCTGAGTATCGGAGAAGGGGGTCGCAGGGGAGTCGAATTCCTGGCTGACCGCCAGGAAGCGGTCGCGTGCGTTCACGACGGTGAAGCTGGAGAACGGCCATCGGTGCGGCCAGCGCGCGTCGCGGAGGAGGCAGCGTTCCTCTTCGGCGGCGGCGGCGGCGCGTCGGCGAGCCTGGCGTTCCTCTGCGCGACGCTTACTAGCTTCCTCCCGTGCGCGAAGACGTTGTTCTGCTTCCTCTGCTTGACGCTTGGCGTAGTCCGCTTGACGCTTCGCCTCCGCCTGCGCGCGTCGCGCGTCTTCTTCCTCCTTCCGACGCTGTTCGGCGGCCTCCCTGGCGAGACGCTCCTGCTCGGCTTTCGCAGCTCGAGCTTCTTCGGCGCGTCGTCGCTCCTGATCAGCGAGAGCATCGCGGAGAGCGCGCTCAGCCTTCGCCGCGCGAGTTGCTTGTAGTCGCTCCTCCTGCCGCGACGCCTCGAGGTCCATCTCCAGCATCTTCCGCCGCGACTCGGCGACGTCGAGCTTGTGGAGCGCCTCGTCGAGCTTCGGGAGCGCCTCGTCGCGTTCGCCTTGTAGCCGGTCACGCTCGGCTCTCAGCTGGGCACAATCGCTGACCAGCTGCGCCCGCTTCGCAGCCCACTGCGTACGTTCGAGCTCGAAGCACTTGCGTTCCGCCTTGGCGGTTTCCTCGCATTCCTGCAGTTCGATGGAAGCCTCCGCTTGTGACTGATAATGACAGGCAGCGTTGTGTGCGGCTTGTGCTTGCCAGTATATTCGGTATTGAAATTCCGAAACGACGATAGCTTCGAGCTCAGCGAGAGCGGAACCCTGTATTGAAGATTGCATAAGGGGAAAACCTGTCAGAAAGTAGATTTGACCCACATATGTATTCCCATGAGTGCTCGTGTTGCGACGGGTCGAGCAGGAAGGGCAAGAAATCGGTGTAACCCAGTTTGAGTCGCCGTACACCAAATGCAGCGGTCGATCCTGAAAGACCTTCCCGTGGTTGGCTCGAATGGCTGCCGCGGTCGCTGCATGGTCTAGTCAGCTCATATTATTAACGTGATCAATAAGAGCTCTACCTGTGTTCGTGGTAAATGTAATGACCGCAGTGCGACTGGGTCTTCCGCGATACTTTTGAACGGGGTGCATATAGATACTGCGAGCACATCAATATTCGTGCACGCCTGAGTATCCTCTGACGGAGCTTACTTTGCTACGGTCCCGTGCTGGGTAATTGGGCGTCAGGAGTCATCGCCACGGGGCCAAGTCATGAGGTAACGTACTTTCTCAAAGTGTGTCCGCAGTTTGTCCTCGGTTACTTTTGGCGACAAGTCCTGGCAGCATGTCAGACGACGATCAAGGAGGGTAGTACACGATGGCGCACCGTACAGAACAGCTTCTTCTCGTCTACCGCTCGCATCGATACCTTCTCTCCCAGAATAAGCAGCTGGCCCCAAGCTGCGTCCCTCTCCGCCGTCTGCACCGCCTCCGCAGTCGAGAAACGGACCAGCCCGCCGATATGGTTGAAGATATTGACACCTCCAATTAGCCCATATTGCTTGACTGTATCGAGGAGTACGGCTTTCGAGGTTCCGTTGGGCAGCGGAGAGACGATGCGCGAGTATTGCGGAGGATCGGGTAGTAGTTGCTCTCCATCTGCGCGCAGAGGCTCCAGCGCAGCTCCGTTGGGGCCTATGGGAGTATCTCGGAGTGAAGAGATGGCTTTGTCGCCTGTAAAGAACGATTAGAAAAAGACAGAAGACCGAATGTGCGAATGCGCACGTAGATTCGCTGTACTGAACTAGATGAAGCCCTCGACTTCGGCTGTCAGCCCAAGGTCTGCAGAGCTAGGGGTGATCGGCGCGGTGCTAAGAAAGTAGACGTCTGAATCTATGCCAGTGACGCGTTCTTGCAAGGCGCTCAGCTCGGACATGGAGAAACTACCGCGAAAACGGATACATGTGGCGAAAGACATGGTCGAGGAAGAAGACGAGGCCGTTTGTATGGGCGCCTAAATTTTTGGATTTCTCGACGGGCGCTTAGGGTCCGGAGGGGACGTAAGATGCGCGGGAATGTGGAACGGCCTGAGAGGGAGCCGGGAAATGACCGGCCAGATACCCTACCATGCCTTTCAACATCACAGAAATGGACGCTGGCGGTGAAGGCTCACAATTGGGAGCCTCAGCTGAGAATGAGACCATTGTCAACGTCAGGGCATATCGAGTCATTGTGGTTGAAAGCAAGGAGTCGTGCGAGTCCCACTCGGAAACTGCCGCACTTCGGACATCGGTGACCCCTGAGCTCTCGCTCATGCAACCACGAGCACTTCTTGCGGGGATCGGCACTGATATGAATGTACGTTAATGGACATAATGTGATGATATTTTGGTAGATATGCTCGTGTATACTGTGCGAATCCGCGAAGCGCTGCACTTTTTCTTAATCAAGGATTCACTAGCACCCTCCCATCTCGCGCACCGCATCGTTGATTGCCTGCGACACAGTCTTGCATGCCTCTTCCATCTGCGCGCGCGTTTCATCGTCTACCACTGCCTGCAATATTCTCCGCGCCGCCCACTTGTCTGGGTGGAAGCGAAGCCTGGCGTTCTTGAGGAACGCCCGATACTCAGCGTCGGTCATGATCCCCTTCATCGCGCTGGTAAAACACTCGACATTTCCCCAGGTGAGCGAGCTGATATCGAAGGAGGCGGGGTGCTCGAGAACCGGCCAGGGTACGCTGCGCGCGACGAGCGGGTGCGCGTCGGAGAAGGAGTTCACCGGCGAGTCGAACTCCTGACTGACCAACATGTACCGATCACACGCGTGTTGGGAAGTCCAGCTGGTATACGGCCATCGGTAAGGCCAGCGCGCGTCGCGAAGAACGCAGCGCTCCTCCTCCGCGGCGGCAGCAGCCAGCCGACGCCTCTGACACGCGGCCTCTTCCTCGAGGCGCCGCTGCTCTTCCTCCGCACGGCGTCGCACCTCGGCTTCCTCTGCAAGCCGCCGCTCCTCTGCCTCCTTCGCAAGGCGGGCGGCCTCCGCCTTTGCGTGCCGCTCCTGCTCCTCCTTCCGCCAGCGCGCGTCCTTCGCCTCCTTTGCCAGGCGCTCCTTCTCGGCCTTCTCGGCCTTGGCTTTGTCGGCCTTGTCCTTCTCGGCATGATTGCGCGCCTGTTCGTCACGTCGACGCGTCTGCTCGTCTTGCTGGCGCGCCTGCTCCTCCCGCAACTCGCGGAGCTCCACGTCTGTGCGCGTCTGCAGCGCGCGGTACTTCTCCCGCCACATCTCGAGGTCCATCTCGAGCATCTTCCTGCGCGACTCGGTTACCTCGAGCTTGTGCAGGGCCTCGTCGCGCTCGATTCGGAGCGCAATTCGGAGCGCATCTCGCTCCTCGGCGGGGCTCGCCCAAGACCTTTCTCCAGCTTTGCGCTGCCAGGAAATTCGCGTCTTGATCTCGGCAATGAACGCAGCTTCGAGCGCCGCGACGTCGGCAGGGGGGACGTTGGAGGATGAAGGAGGCTTGATACATGTCCGTTAGAGCGCGTTGAAATGAATATGTATGGTTACTCACAGCCGTCGTACTCGCATTCGCTTTGTGTGCGTTGGACCCCCAGTTCGCATCACTGAAAAATAACCGCAAAGTGCGGTCGAAGAATATATTTCCATTATTCGCTCGGATAGCGGCCGCGGCTGGCGATGGTGTCACTTCGAGATACCTCTGGATCTCAGTGGAGGGCTTACCTCCCGCGGCCAAGCTGAAGCTGACTACTGCATAGCGGCTCAGTCGGCCACGCGTCTTCTTCTCGGGATTGAGGTAGATGCTGGGAAGTACGAATGAGCGGACGATTGGTGCACGTTCTCGGCTATAACTCACTCAGTGATGACTCCGTGCTAATGAACTAGTATCAGTACGAGTAAGCCATGGAAGAGAGAAGAAGCATACCGTTTCGAATAACGCGCGGAGATCGTCTTCAGAGACCCTGGGCGACAGTTCCTGTGGTCATTTGTGATATAATCATGAGCAGACATCGAACGACGACTCACGGAGCAAAACACCCTCTTTTCGTCTACAGCACGCACAGTGACCGAGCTGTCCAAGATAAGCAACTTCTTCAAGGCCGCGTCGTCCTCTGCTGCCTTCGCGGCGTGCGCTGATGTAAAGCGCACGAGCCCACCGATGTTGTAAAAGATGCCGGCAACGCTGTCGGCTTCGTACTTCCTCACCGCCTCCAGAAGAATGACCTTCGACGTTCCGGGAGGTAAAGGTGAGATGATCCGAGTATGCCACTCGGGGACGGCGCATGGGCCGAGCGGCGTCCCGTCGACCCGAAGAAACTCGAGCGCGCTGGCTTGTGGACCCAAGGGTAGCCCACGTAGACTATCTATGACCAGAGCACCTGTGTTTCCAGTCAGCGGGGTCGCCAACACAACAGACGAGGTGCGCACATAGACCCGGATTGCTGAATTGGATGAGGCCCTCTACATCATTTTCAGGTCTCGCATGGGGAGAGACATGGATTCGAGAGAGAGAAGTCTGGAAGGTAGCGCCTTTGTCTATAGATGTCACTTCTAGCTCGAGATTGTCGAGTTCGTCGAGAGTGAAGCGGCCGCGAAAACGAACACACGTCGAGAACCCCATGGTTGTGGGTTGGGAAGAGCTGCGCAGCTGGGCGCCTAGATTTTGCAAGGTAACGGGCGCCTATAGCCAAGGTACGATGTAATAAGCGGGCGGAAGAAGCTGGGGAGGATGAGACGGAGCCGAGGTATGGTCATTAAAGTCCTTTTCCCGTGCCCTTTCAGACCAGAATCAGGGCCAACTTTGAGAAAAACAACATACATTATCGAAATTGCCTACCAAAGGATGAGATAGAGAGAATCATGGCAGCCCACGCCCAAGGTATGTTGGCTCATGATGGTCGGAAGTAAGGAGGGCTCGTCAGTCTACCGGAAACTGCCGAATTATATCAGGCGCCGGAACTTGCCGGTGTCGTAACTTAAACTCTTGTCCGCAGCCACCATCTGCAGGGTCGTCATTGCTTTGATGAAAGAGTATCGCAGTGACCTTAGCGCTGGGATGCACTATCTCTGCGTCTTTGTCCGAAATAACACCTTCATTTCGTCCTATCATCCTCGGTGTCGACGTCAAGTCGTAATGACAGTAGCTCCAGCCAGCTCAATACATCGTGTACCGCTGGTCGATTGCGGCCCTGCCTGTCCCTCGCGACACTTTCAGTCTTAAGGCTATCTCGAACGCCACGTCCAGCTATCTGTTCGCGAGCGGATTATGGCATGGGGCGCAGCCTAACCGATGACGATGGCAGGCTGTATTGGCAGACTGCATCAACGACGAGCTAGACGTTCGGTAGCCTGCTGCGTGCTTCCCTCTTCCTCCCCCAAAGACTCTCCCTCTTCATGGCACATTCATCCAGTCTCGAGAGCACCGACAAGAGTGTATCCGAGCTTACAGAGGCAATGAAGGACTACGGTATTGACTCCCTAGTGGAGAAGCGCCTCAGACGAAAGCTCGACTGGCGGTGCGTCTTCCTTGACCCTGAACCGACGCCCTCTCGACTAACCGATCTTCGTAGAATACTCCCTATAGTCTCCATATGCTACATGTTCCTCTTTCTGGATGTGAGTCCGCCATTACCAGATGGCCATTCGGTGTATCTGACCCTTGCACTAGCGCACAGTCAGTGCATTTCTAGATCGCTCTAAGGCTCGCTGATCGCACCTCAGAATGTCGGGAACGCGAAGTACGTCGTCCGTGCATCGCATGTCTCTTAACTGACACTCGATAGGTCTGCGGGACTCGCTGAAGATCTGCAGCTGGGAACCTACGACTGTACGTCTATATTATTCGACCCTGACGTCTGGTTAGTCGCTCATGTGTACCTTCCCAGTCAACATCGGCGCGAGCCTGGTACGCTATCCCAATACCACTTCCTTCACCTTTTCGTCACTCACACTCTGCCAGTTCTACATTGCCTACATGATATGTGAAGTTCCCTTCGCCCTCCTCATCAAGAAAGTTGGCTTTCACCTGGTTCCTATCTCGTACGTCGTCCTTTGGCTTCCCCGCTAACTCAACCATCGTGTACTCATCCATTTCAGCATCGTCGCCTTCGGTGCCGTCACCATTGCCAGCGCGTTCATTCACAACAAGGCCGGCTTCTACGCCACGCGAGTCTTCCTTGGGATTAGTGAGGCGGTATGCTATCCGGGGATCAGGTACGTACTCGCTGGCTCGATTTCTCCATCGCTCAGCGATGGGTTCAATGACTGGTGCTCCATGCCAGACGTGCGCCTGCAATACATTCGTCACGTGCTGATATGGAACTGACAGCTATCTCCTCTCGCGCTACTACCGGCGCCATGAGCTGACGAGCCGCGTCGGATGCTTCATGCTCGTCGCTGCGGGAGGTGCTGGAGGATGTGCGTCAAGTAACCCATTCACTCTCGCCGTATGCTTACGTCTATCTCCCCAGTCGGCGGACTCCTCGCTGCGGGTCTATTGAGCGTCAGTCATATCGGGAGCCGCCACTCGTGGCAGAATATATTCCTTGTTGGTAAGAGGGCTCGTCCGCCTGCCGTTGCTCAAAGCTGAGCGCTGCTTCCAGAGGGCATACTTACCGCCGCTTGCGGGCTCACCATGCTCTTTATTTTCCCGGCGGACCCGGAGCGCACGCACATGCTTACGGAGGAGGAGCGCAAATTAGCGATAGCGCGCCTGTATGCGGATCAGCCGTCGGTCAGTCGAGCTCGTCTTGACGTGATTTTGATACTTGGCTAACGGCTACGCATAGATCGCTGTGACGAAGGAGCGGACGACATGGTCCCTTGTTAAGCGTGGCATATTCAGTCCGACGACGTTGGCTTGTAGCTGGTGAGCCTTTGTGACCTCCCGTTGGCCGTATGCTGACGCGGTGATATTCGTAGGTTTTTCATCACTACAAACATCTCCGTACAGGGGCTCGGCGTCTTCCTGTTAGTGATTAAGTATTGTTGTCTTCGCCCTTGTGATCCACGCATATTCTAGTCCATCGATATTGAAGCTCGACTACCCGAACGTGTCGACGGTGCATATCCAGCTGTTGATCGTTCCGGTGTACATGTGCGTCGCGATCTTGCTATTGCACCTGCCAATTCTGATAAGTAATTTCTCACCTCAACAACAGCGTGGCCATGACCATCGCCCTCGCATGCGCCGCCGGGTGCGTCAAATATCGTGTCCACTGGCCATTCATGCTGCTTAGCGGCGCTCTGTGCTTGACCGGATGTACGTTCTAAGTGCAGACCGATGCTTGATTCAACCGTTCACGTGGCCAACAGACACCATCTCGCTCGCCGTACCTCAGACGGCAGCAAAGGCGCGCTACGCGGCGTGCTTTCTCAGTTTGACAGGCGGATTCGTACGTCGACTCGCTACAGTCTTCGGCTACCGCTCAAGGCCGAACTACACAGATCTCAGGACCCATAGCCGTCGGCTGGGCGGCTGCAAATTCGTCGCCAGATACAATTCGCGCCATGGTAGGTGCCGTCGTCACCGGCATCGGGAATATTGGTGCGATTTTCACAATTCTCGTCCGTGCAAATCGCGTACTCAAACTCTTCCTTCGCCTATTCACCCCTCAGGCGCCATCGCAGGTATCTGGGCCTACGTCGCTACAGACGCGCCGACCGGCTACCATAAGGGCAATTCGTTCAACGTCGCGATGGCGGCTTCGCTCTGCGTCTGCTGCGTCGGACTGGCTCTGTATCAGAGGGGCGAGAATGCGAGGCGCGAGAGGGGTGGGAGGGACTATCGGTTGGGGCGGGAAGGGGTGGAGCGGTGAGTGATCAGGAAGGGTTGTGGCGGATGGATGACGGAGCTGATGAGATGATGCAGATTGGGGAACCTTCATCCGGCTTTCCGATATATGACCTGATAGATGCTACGCCTGCGAGGACTTATTTAAAGACGTGACGAAGGCTTTCAAGGGCAGCATGTTCGCCGAGCAAATGCGCGGACGATATGACATTATGTATACGCGCGAACGAGTTCGTTAACGATGCGTATGCAATATGTCGCCAGGCTGTGACGGTACCAGCCAAGGAAGGATCTGAAACTCGAATTGCCCAAGGTGTGATTTTTACAAATATAGATGACAGAAAATGGACCAGCCTTCGAGAGTCTCTTACGACGACAGCCGCATTGTTGCTGCAAGTGTACATGAGACTCTATCAACCGAAGGACGACATAAACACACCTCAAGAGGCCAAATTTCTTGCGACTGGTCGTTGGAGGGAGAAGTCGTATCTGAATGGCAGAGTGACCTGCAAGCTCGTTTCCCCCGCGTAGCGGAGCCAGGCCGCGATGCTCGCAATGTGTGGGCCTTCGAAGTTGACCTCACGTGTATCCTCGAGGTTCACTTGTCGGTCCATCGCCGTTAAGCTTCTGTCGTCCTCTGTCCCCTTCCCTTCGCCTTCGTCTGGCGCTCCCTCAGTCGCGCCATCTGCAAGAGTGGAGCTGCCATCATCTTCGTCTTCCAACGTCCAGCCGAAATTTCCATCCGGCGTTGGAGGATTGCTGAGCTCCACCACTACGAGCACCGACTTCGGGTTCGGACTATCTACCCGTCGCGTGACGGTGCGCGTGATCGCCTCGAGGATTTTGTCTTCATTGCGCTTCACTACATGGAACGCAAGCTCGATGGCGAAAACCGTATCGGCGAGAGTGACACCATCTAGCAAACACCCGTCAAGTCATCCAATGTCAAGGGCGAATGGGCGACGGAACGATTGGACTGGACTCGGAAGACCGAATGAGAATTGCTTACCTTCGAAAGTCCACACGCGGCCCGTTCTGCTGCAATCATTCCGATGACTGCTCTTCCAATGTTCGCGTTGGCACTTCTTCGAGCAGTAGAACACCTCCCCACATGGACATGCGCGCACCTCCCCCTCGTGGGCGTCCTGAGATCATGAAATAAGATCGACAATATGCGCACAGGTCATAACATCTCACCGTGTTTGTATTGCTGCAGGGTATTAGGCGTTTCCAGGCGTTCGATTCCCTCCAGCTTGTATACTGTTGCCACAGCACCCGGTACGTCGACAGAAGGCTCTTGAAGCGGTTCTCGATGAACGTCCGACGTTCATCGGGTTGCTCTATAGGATGCAAGAGATTGCTGTGCCGACGATGAAAGGCGCGGAGTGTGCCAAGCATCGTGAGGCTGTCCTCGAGGTGCTGAACGGAGTTGCTGGAGAGCTCCTCTCCTTTCCCCCAAGCACGCTCTACGTCGAACAGCACGTCGTACACGCCAGATCGAATGGCGCGGCGCAGGTTCGTGGGGCGCAACGCTAGGCAGACAAGGCCGTCAAGTATAAGGGTTGCGGACTCCGACATCAGTATCATGCTCTCATTGTCGGGCTGATCGAGAGCGCGTCGGTACCCCGTGATGATGGACTGGAAGAAGCAGTGGGGCGCAGTGATCCCAATAAACTCTGGGCTCTGCAGCACGCCTGCCACCAGCCCAAATTGGTCCTTCCAGACATATTCCCATCCGCTTTCCATGTTAACGCTACGGAGGAACGCAGTCTGTTCCGAGATGAGGCGGAGGATACGGCGATGGTGTCCGCCGACCATGTGGAGCAGGCGCGCGACGATGTAGTCTTCACCTCCGTCCGTGGCGGCGAGCCCGTCAAAGATTGCGACTGCAGATACGGTGATAGCACACAGGGTTGTCGATATTTCTTCGCTATATTTCAGGAGGTAGCGCGGATAGTGTAACCATAGATCCATCACTAGTGTAATAACGTGCGGGTCTTTCCACGCAAGCTGAATCAAGTCGTCCGTCTTCATAGCGATACTGGAGAATAGTTTGGAGATGGGTGCAACCATCTGAGCGTAGGTAGGACACTTCGGCGTAGGGATGAGCCTGTCATTCATGGGGTGCACAAGATCGACCCAGCGAAGCATCGTTGCAAGCTCGACTGGTTTTGTCTCGCGTATGGACACGTATTCCGGTCGGCCTGAGACTTCCATATACAGCGCGTATGTTATCATGGCCCGCGTCATGACGTTCGCTTGTGAGCCGTCCATCGCCCATGGGAGATCTGGACGCAGGTAGTCGTCGTCCAGTACTCGAAACGTGGTCCCACCTCGCAGGAGAGCTTTGACCCTGTAGAGGGAGGATCTGCGCGCTGCAACGGAAGCCTCTGCTTCAACCATCCCCAATAACTCCTTCCTAAGGGCGTCGAGGTCGTCTAGATAGTCTTCGTACTGGCGTACGAGGACCTCTGGATCGAGACTCAGATTGTGGGCCATGTCGAGGAAGAGCTCTGAGTCAAGCCGTCACGGTGAGAAAGCAGTCACTTATCATGGGCATAGTGTACGCTCGACTCACCTCTGGCATACGGGTTGCTACAAGCTCATCGATCTCAGATGATATCGACGTCGCCGCTTGAGTTCAGAGTTCTCGGCGCTCGCCGAACCTATGCATTCAATCTGTTTACCAGCGTCGTTACAATCATACAATGGCCACATGTGCAGCTTGGTTCTTGCCATCATCGCAGCATCGGCATCTTCCGCATACTCTGCTTTGCGGCTTAGCCGAGTGACCGATTCGACTTGCTGATCCAGTCGAAAGGAAATCTCGGACTCATCTTGGACCTAGTGCCTGGCTCCGAGGAGAAATTCTATCCGAGTTTGACGGCTATTTGCTCTACTGTTCTTATTCGTCATCACATCGAGAATTCTACGCACATTCAGGTGCTTTGCGGAATACGAGAGCGTCACAGTCTGAGTACGCCTACGGGATTCCCGCACATCTCGTCCGTCACCAGTGCTTGATACAAAGGCATAGACGCGTAGACGGTACGCTCATGCTATTCGACCGACCTTATTCGAAAAACTGATAGAGCCATTCTCTGTAGCCCTTTCTCATGGTCAACCTGACTCGGGAGACCAAGGACGCCTACGTACGACAGTATGAAGGATACTTGGAAGACCTCAACACGTTCAAGGCGGAGCTGCGACGGATGCTCGCGCAGACATCTGTCGTGTCTCGCAGACCGGCTTTGCTGAAGCTGAAAGCCATTCTAGCTAAGGGAACCGCCTTCAAACTGCTAGACGAGGACTTCCTGCGTCCAGATCTCCCATGGGAGATGGATGGCTTCCAAGTGGACGTCCTGACTCAGGCCATGTCCGCGTATTCGCTGTACATCGAGGTCTCGAGTCTGCCGGAATACTCGTCCTTGCGAGCGACGAAACCAATGGAGCTCGCCGACGTGTTCCGCTGGATCGACATCGTGCACCCCATGAACGGCAGGCTGATACCCACGCCGGAGAAGCCCACCTACGGCGCAATGGTCACGTCCATCGCGGGCCTGCTCTCCAGCATCACCCGGAAGAAGGACGGCGACTTCGCGCAGCTCGCCTGGAAGGATCCGCATGCCATCACCCTCGTGATGGACCTGTGGCTATACTACCCGCGCTACCTCCAGCACTACAGCGAGGACCTCACGGAGACCGCGACGACCATCACCGTGTCCGCGCTCGCCACCCTCGAGAACTTGGCCGCTACGGAGGATGGTGAAAAGTACTTCGTCACGCGCTTACTCGCCATGGTCGGCGGACGCCCCAGCCGCATCCTGCGCCTCATCGCAGAGCAGACGGCCTTCCTCGACAGTATCAACATTAAGAGCAGGTGGAGCTTCGTCTGGAAGATCCACTATGCGCTCGTGGACCAGCTGTCGGAGAGCTCCGAGTTTCTCGGCGTCGACGCGCCCCTCTGCTTCTTCGAGTCCATCGTCGTTGGCTGGCGGCGCTGCCTGGAGAAGCCAACGGACGAGAACATGGCCGCCGCCGCGGAGCAGGCGACGAACGCCGTCGGCAATTTCATCATGATGGCGCTGAGCACGACCAACCTGCGCCGCGCCATCCGCGCTGGCGTGTACGACGCGTTCTTCGATGTACAGCGCGCGTGGGGAAAGGAGAAGAAGGAAAGCGCGCTCTACGGTGGCATTGCGCAGCATCTTGCGAACAGCCTCACGATAGCCAGCATCCTCCGCGCCTTCCATCGACGGAACGCGGACCTTCTACAGCCTCCAGAAAAACCCGACGCGCGCCGATCATTCATTGAAAAGCGCTTCGAGAGCCTGCTGTCTACGTATAGGATTATGTGGCAGCAGTATACGGATGCGAGAAAAGCACCCACCTGGAAGCGCTTGTTCCCATGCAACAACGTGCACGCTGTATGTTAAATAGCATCTCCATCGCGAACTTGCTTAGCTGACCCAGTTGATTACAGGACGTTCACGAGGCAGAGGTGCGCGCGTGCGCGTGCGGCCAGGCTTTCTACTGCTCGAAGAAGTGTCAACGCGAGCACTGGAAGGCCAGCCATCGGGAGACTTGCTGGCATCAGGACGGCGTATGGGGCTTTGAAGGTATAGTAATTTCACTCGCCGTCCACCTCGGTTATCTCTTCGTGTTCAGTAGTGGCGCTGACCCGGAATCCCGTAGGTGATATAACGCTTGACGATGCGATCTTTCTTTTCGAGTCTGCGCTTCGCGTGATCAAGCGCAACGAGGATAAGATGGCAAAGGATCTCGCGCATACGGAATATCCGGATAGTCCACTCATCATGGTCGATCTCGCCACGTCTCCGTCGCCGGACGGGAATTTTGAGTGGACGTTGGACGAGGATGCGAGCGACTTGTCCACTGACTCGGACTGGTCTACCGATGATGGAGGCAGCGAAGACGACGAGGAAGCCGGAATGGGTGAGGTGGAAGCGAGTGGAACGCAGGCCAGGGATGAGGCAGCGGCGAAGGACCAAAGAGGGCACGTGGACGAGGACGAGGGACCACACGTCGCTACAATTTCCGTCGCGTACTGCGTTGGGGAGGTGTATCCGGACGAGAAGTTGCCCTTCAGGTACGACTTCGCTCTCAGGCGCCTCCTGGCGAGGGATTGAGGTATCAGACGTGCGTCTCGTTGTATATCTCTGGCGGTATCGCACTTGTTACCGAGAGATTGAAGCGCCGCCGTGCTGATCTAAAGTGGTGACGCTACATATGGCAAAATATACTAACTAGATATCATTCCGCCTAGCGGCTGTCGGATCATCCATTCCTCGGGCCTCAGAAACTTCAACTTTCAGCGCGGGCTCGTGGTACAGTAGTAGCACGTTCACTTAGCACAAAGAGTAATGCCTGCATCGTTATCATTGAATCTGCACTGAGGTAAACATGAGGAAGTGGGTATATGATCGGCGTCCTAGTAGATAGATGGATCACGGTGAATAGCGTAGCGTAATGCATCACAGCGGCTAGCACAGTGTAGCGCACCACGGCGGGTAGCATGATAGATATTGACGGCCTTCGCGCCTACTTCTTCTCGTCTTCCGGTCTACGAATGGGTCGGATGGCGTAGGGATTCAGAAGTTGGCCGTTCATGAAGTCCTCCACGGTGCCTTGCTCGCTTGCGGGGACTGTATATTGGGGCGCATCAGTGAACGGTGGAAGCATGAATAACCGGGGGGAAACATAAGTAACCAAGGGGCGTACAGGCATCCCAGAGGACGCACAAACAACCAGGGAAGCACAGGCGACCAGAGAACGCAGGAACATAACCCAGCCCGCAGTAATATAACGAAACGCAGAAATATCACAAGACACGCACCGTACTCGTACCCCTCCGGCGCAGGCTGCGAGCTATGCCGCCACTGTGCCGCAGAAAGCCGCAGCGCGAGCGACGCGCGCGGGCCGGGTTCGATGGGCTCAGGCATGATGTCTGCGTAGCGTAGGCGCCTGGGTGGGCCTTGCGAGGGCGGTGACTTCGGCGGTGAGGGTACGCGCGAAGATGCAGACTGCGTAGGTGACTTCGGCGGCGACTGTGCTAACGATCTTTGCGGCGAAGGCATACGCGCAGCAGAGCGCACGGACGGCGTCGAAGACGTGGCTCGTGGCTGGCCTCGCACGATGACCGGCAGCGCAGTAGAGCTCACCTCTGACTTCGCGCCCGCCGAGCGCACAGAGCCGGAAGCACTGGACAGCCCTGGAAGCGCGTCAAAATACTGACTAGATGAGACACGAGGAAGACCTACGTTCGATGAACTTCGACCCTTCCTTGCCGAGTTTGGGGCGCACCGGAGGCGGCACAGGCAAGATAGTCTCGGCGCTGACAGGTCTGCTCCCTAGCAGCGGGAAGTTTCCACTGGTCAATGACATCGTGTTCGAATCCCGCGGAGAGAAATCTGCGATATAATTTGTGAGCGGCGCGAAAGAGGGAGATTCAAGGCAACGCACGCTCATGGAACCGAGTCTCCTTCCCTTCAATGAGCATTGGGGCGCGGAGGTGGTGCTCGCCAGTCGAGCGGTGAAGTGATTCGGTCTCCGTTGTGTGGGTTGATGCGGACGAGTGGTCGGATGAAGATGTTGACACCCGAGGGTCATCTGAAGAGCGCCTGCGCTCTTCTTGTGCGAGCGATTCCACGTCCGCTGCGGTTACGAGATAGAAGGAGTCGTCTGTGAAGGAAAGTCAGAAGAGATGACGAGGGTCGCTTACTGAAGCATCTGTTACTCACTACTTGACGCAGCTGGCGACGCCGCTGAAGGCAAGGCTGCAGTGTGAACTGGTTTGCGCTTCTTCACCAGCTTCCTGGGTGGCGAGCTAGGCGCTGAGTGAGAGAGTGCGTTGAGCTTCATAAAGGACAACAAGCGAAAAGTTCACTGACTAGGAGATCTTGGCGACTTTGCGCGACTCGGAGGCCGAGACATAATTGCCTTCAAAAGTGGCGCGCGAAGGAGTAACCGCGCGTAGGAGTAGAGAGGCAGGAGCAAAGCGTAGCAAAGTGACCAAATCAAAAGGGTATAAGGGCGAAAAGACCATGTCTCGTGGTTTGGGCCGGTTCGTCCAGGAGTAGAACAATGGGAAAAAGAACAATAGGCTGAAAATTACGAGGCGGCCAGTGCCAGAGCATCAGGAAACACCGATTCAAAGGCCTGCCGAGTCAGCCACAGGAACGGTGAAAGTGCGAGGGCGGTCTATGCCGAGAGCTTTCCGGGTATAATCATGGCGAGATCCAAGATTTGAACATGCGACAGTTGTGTACGACTAGGGACGCAGCCAAACAAGGCAAAGCTGGAACTCGGCAAACGCCGAAAACGGATATTTCGGCAGAGCTGTGGCGAAGACTAGCGGTCTATCGTTCCAAAGCAGAGAATTAGACCTGGATACTAAGTATTCTGGCAGCCACCAATCGGAAGATCATCCAGCTGTACGCTGCAACGAGTAGCGCAGCCGCTTTACCTTGCGCACGCGCGCGAGGACGCCTACAGAATAGCAGTGAGCATTTGTCAATCTGTTAGTAAGAAGCGCGTACCCTTGGCATTTCAATCCGTTGCGACGGGGCGCTTGAGAGAGAAATCGTACTCGAAGGGCAGTTCCTCATCAGGATACACCTCCCCCACGCAGTACGCGACGGATATTGCAGCGATGTGCGGACCCTCGTTTCCATCGCCCTTGTCCAAGTGCCTTTCTCGATTCTCTGCTTTCTTGTACATGTCCTGCGCCACATCCGCTTCCACTCCATCATCCTCGTCTTCTTCATTCTCACCGCCGTCTTCATCGGTAGACCAATCCTCGTCACAGGACAAATCGCTCAATTCTTCGTCCAGAGTCCACTCGAAATTCCCGTCTGGGGTCGGAGGAGTTGCGAGATCGACCATAATGAGAGGTCTATCGGGATAGTCCGTGCGCGCGAGATCCTGTGCCATCTTTGCCTCGTCGCGCTCAATCACACGAAGCGCCGACTCGAAGAGGAAGACCGCATCGTCGAGCGTTATGTCTCCTACGGAGTTTGGGTCAGCGTCATTACTTTATACGTAGAGAGCATCCGGACAGGGCGATTTAGAAGGCGAGAGGGATTTTCATACCTTGGAAGCCCCACACACCGTCCTCATGGCAGCAAGAGTCCCGATGACCAGCCTTCCAGTGCTCGCGTTGGCACTTCTTCGAGCAGTAGAAAGCCTGCCCGCACGCGCACGCGCGCACCTCTGCTTCGTGGACGTCCTGCAATCCACTGAGTCAGATACGCAAGTCGGCCATGAAGATGCTATCCGACATACCGCGTGCACGTTGCTACAAGGGAAGGCGCGCTTCCAGGTGGGCGCCCTTCTCGCATCCGTATACTGCTGCCACATGATCCTATACGCGGAGAGCAAGCTCTGGAAGCGTTTCTCGATGAAGGATCGACGCTCGTCGGGGTTTTTAGGAGGATGCAGGAGGTCCGTGTGCCGTCGATGGAAGACGCGGAGGATGCTGGGTATCGTGAAGCTGCTCACAAGATGCTGCGCGATGCCGCCGAAGAGCGCGCTCTCCTTCTTCTCCTTGCCCCACGCGCGCTCGACGTCGAACAGTGCGTCGTACACGCCCGCTCGGATAGCGCGGCGCAGATTCGTCGTGCTCAGCGCCATCATAACGAAGTTGCCGACGGCGCCCTTCGCCTCTTCCGCCGCCGCGGCCAGGTTCTCGTCCTGGGGCTTCTCCAGGCAGCGCCGCCAGCCCACGACGACGGACTCGAAGAAGCAGAGCGGCGCGTCGACGCCGAGAAACTCGGAGCTCTCCGACAGCTGTTCCACGAGCGCGTAGTGGATCTTCCAGACGAAGCTCCACCTGCTTTTGACGTTGATGCTGTCGAGGAAGGCCGTCTGCTCCGCGATGAGGTGCAGGATGCGGCTGGGGCGCCCACCGACCATGGCGAGCAAGCGCGTGACGAAGTACTTCTCGCCGTCCTCTGTGGCGGATAAATTTTCAAGGGTGGCGAGCGCGGACACGGTGATGGTCGTCGCGGTTTCTGTGAGGTCCTCGCTGTAGTGTTGGAGGTAGCGCGGGTAGTATAGCCACAGGTCCATCACGAGCGTGAGGACGTGCGGGTCGTTCCAGGCGAGCTGCGTGAAGTCGCCGTCCTTCTTGCGGGTAATGCTGGAGAGCAGGCCCGCGATGGACGTGACCATGGTGCCGTAGGTGGGCTTCTCCGGCGTGGGTACCAGCCTGTCGTTCATGGGATGTACGACGTCGATCCAGCGGACTATGTCTGCGAGCGCCATCGGTTTCGTCGCTCGTAGGGACGAGTACTCGGGTAGGCTCGAGACCTCGATATACAGAGAATAGGCGGACATGGCCTGCATCAGGACGTCAACTTGGAAGCCATCCATCTCCCATGGGAGATCCGGACGCAGGAAGTCCTCGTCTAGCAGTCGGAAGGCATTTCCTCTAGCTAGAATGGCCTTCACCTTTAGTAGAGCGGGTCTGCGAGACGCTACAGATGTCGGCGCGAGCAAATTTCGCAGCTCCGCCTTGAACGTGTTGAGATCGTCCAGGTATCCTTCATACTGACGAACGTAGGCGTCTTTGCTCTTCCGAGCTAGGTTGGCCATGGAGAGGAACTATGTGGGGGACGCCGAAGGTATGGTGATGGCAGGAATCAAGCAAGCCATGTGGCCGTCCGGCGAGCACCGAGAACTCTCAATTCAGTGTGACGTTGATTTTTTTTTAATTTTTTTTTAAACTCTGCACTTCTATACCGCTACAAGCTAAGGTGAAGCTAAGACGCGGTCCTCCGCCAGTACTCCCTCCATCCGGAAGCCCGGCAGGGCCCTTCGCATACCCGTGGTGATAATCTACAAGTCCCGAGGCTGCTGCTCGTACTGCTGTCCGTCGCGATACTGTGGTTGAGCTAAATGGTGATATAATAGGTAAAAGCACTGTGTGCGTGTGTCGTGTGTCTCGGGGGTGTGACGTTGATAACATCGGTCAAAGGTCGATAACCTGTTCAGACCTGTATTTCGAGACCTGTGTCATATCGGTGAGTGTTGCATATATCCCTCTAATGAGCAACGTTAGCTATCTTGCGCGTGAACAGCTCTCCATCGTTATGGCCGATCGCAGAGACAAGGAAGCGCTCGCACGTCTGTGCAAAGGCTATCTGAACGACCTCAAAACCTTCAAGACAGAGGTATTGAGGCTGCTCGATAAGACTTCCGTAGCAGAGCGCAGGCCCTCAACTGTCAAAGTCAAAGCTATCTTAGGAAGAGGGACCGCATTTCGACTGCTGGACGACGACTTGCTGCGTCCAGAGCTCCCGTGGGAGATGGACGGCTTTCAAGTAGACGTTGTGACGGAGGCCATGGCGGCCTACTCGCTATATACCGAGGCCTCCAACCGTCCAGAATACGCGTCGTTACGCGCGATGAAACCGATGGAGCTGGCCGAGATGTTCCGCTGGGTCGATTGCGTACATCCCATGAATGGCAGGCTCATTCCTACACCGAGTCGACATACATACGGCCCCATCGCCTCATCCATCTCTACCCTGTTCTCCAGCCTCACTCGGAGGCAGGACGACGAGTTCGTGCAGCTCGCGTGGAAGGACCCGCACATCATCGCGCTTGTGATGGACCTGTGGCTGCACTATCCTCGCTACCTACTGCACTACGGTGAAGATCTCTCGGAGACCATTTGCACCATCACCGTGTCCGCGCTCTCTACGTTCAATGGTCTCGCCGCAACTGAGGGGGGCGAAAATTACATCGTCATGCGCCTGCTTGCCATGGTCGGTGGACGCCACCGCCACCGCCACATCCTCCGCCTCGTCTCGGAGCAGGTAGCGTTCCTCGATCGTATCAACATCAAGAGCAAGTATGAATTCGCCTGGAAGCTGCAATTCGCGCTCGTGGCTGCCGTGGTGCAGAGCTCGGAGTTCGTTGGCATCACTGCTCCCCTCTGCTTCTTTCAGTCTCTCATTACAGGATATCAACGCGCCCTGGGCCAGCCCACCGATGAGAGTATGATCGCTCTCTCGGCGGATGCGACCGAAATCCTCGACAATCTTGTCTGCATGGCGACGCACACGACGGATTTACGCCGCGCAATTCGAGCCGGTGTGTACGGAGTGCTCTTCGACGTCGAGCGCACGTGGGGAAAAGGAGATAATCTCTTCAGCGCCTCGGTGAAGCACCTTGAGAGCAGCCTTACGATCGCGAGCATACTCCGCGCCTCTCATCGTCGACACGGTGAAGTGCTGCATCCTCCAGAACAACCCGATGCACGCAGATCATTCATCGAGGACCGCTTCAAGAGCTTGCTCTCGACGTACAGAATGGTGTGGCAGCAGTATACAAAGGCGAAGAGCGTGTCCACTTGGAAGCTCTTGTTTCCCTGCAACAACACGAACGCGGTAGGTCGGATTTCCCGTGCGCTAATCATATGCATTTTGGTCTCACATATATCCTTCAGGTAGTTCACGAGGCGGAGGTGCGCGCATGCCCATGTGGGGAGGCGTTCTACTGCTCGAAGAAGTGCCAACGCGAGCACTGGAAGACCAGCCACCGCGATCAATGCCGTCGAGCGGACGATGTATGGGGTACCCAAGGTACTGTACCTTTTCACTTCATCGCTCGCCGGCTATCCGTACCTTCCTGAAGGTTGACGGCGACTCCATAGGTGATATCACCCTCGGCGATGCGGTCTTTCTCTTTGAGAGTGCGCTTCGCGTAGTAGTGTGCAACGAAGAGAAGATGGCAAAGGAACTCGCGTGCACGCGATGGGTGAACAACCCGAACCCGAAGTCGGGGCTCTTCATGATCGAACTTACCAACCCTACGACGCCACTGGCAGATGGTGACTTCGATTGGACCTTAGACGAGGATTCGGACGACGGTTCCAGTGATGAGGATGACGAGGGCGGTGAAGAAGAAGATGGAGGGGGAGAAACCGGTGCGGCCAATGATGAGCTAAGCTCGCCGCGGAAAGACAGAGGAGTCGAATCGGAGATCGGGCGAACGGACGACTACGAGGGTCCACACATCGCAGCGATCTCGGCCTGGTACTGCATCGGGGAACTATATCCAGAGCAGAAACTGCCCTTCAAGTACGACTTCGCCCTCCGACGTCCCGTCGTGAAGGATTGACGACTCGTGCGTATGTTCACCGCTACTTTATTGTACATTCGATGACGACGGCGTAGGCGTGACTTCAGGATAGCGACCTCGCGGAATTCTCCCTCACCCTAATCCATAGCGGCCCCGCCATCGACGGAAATCTAGCACATGAAGATCTGAAGGACTCGACGCATCAGGATGGACACTCACCGTTTGCCCTGCGTAGTGATCATGGTTGATAAGAGTTGGTAAGAATGAAGAAGATGAGTCGGGGCTGTACATACCTGTGATATATCCTGCCTCTTTGCTGGCTAGGAAGGACACGAGGGCCGCGATGTCTGCGGGGAGGGTGTGGCGCGGGATGGCAAAGGACTTGGCCCACTGTAAGAGGAAGCCCCTTCAGTTGATCACATGAATCAGACAGGAGGACGGAGTTGCGCACGCTCTCGAGGGTGATGCCGGCGTGCTCTCTCATCCCGTCGACGACGGCTTGAAGGGTAAGGAAGCGGGCTGGGGAAATTATTGACCGACAGACGTACCCATCGGAGTATCAGCGAGACCTGCGGTCACATCAGTCGTTGTAGGACATGATAGTGCAAGCATTACGCACCAGGTGCGTACGCGTTCACGGTGATCCCGTACTTTCCCAGCGCCAGAGCTGGATGACTGGATTAGATTTGTGATGCATAGGCGATACTGATATCAAGCTCACCCGCGCATGAAGTCATTCCTCGCACAGCGTACTTTGCAGCGACGTATGAGGTCAGACCGGGCAAGGCTAGATCGCACGCCAACGTCATCACTGTCTCTTCACGCCGTTGGAAAGCAACAGAACTCACGCCTCTTGCCCCCGAACGACGATGCGCCTATGATGCGCCCCTCGCCGTGCCCCTCCTTGATCATCCGGCGCCCAGCATGCTGATAGCACAGGAAGGTGCCGGTCGAGCTGACGGAGGTGACTCGGTTGAAGCTCTGAAGGGTCTCGTCGAGGAAGGGCGTGGGCAGCAGGATGCCGGCGTTGGCGACCATCTGGGCAGGTATCGTCGGTCAGCAGTACGAAAGGTGCCTGCACGAGAGCCACTCACCACGTGCAGCCCGCCGAGCGCATCGGCTGCGCCGTCGATGGTTGCACGGACGTCGCTCTCCTTCGTCACGTCGCCCGTGAAGACGCCGGCGCGTACGCCGTGCTGCTCGACTTGATGCGCGACGTCCTCCAGGATCCCCTTCTTCGAAGGCAGGTCATTCAGTCCGACGTGGTGGCCGTCTTTGGCGAGGCGGAGGGCTATGGCTTTGCCGAGGCCCTGGGCAGCGCCGGTGACGAGGGCGACACGGCGTGGAAGGGACATGACTGGATGAGGGGAAGTATGCGGAGGAGTGCGAGTGAAGGTCAAACGAAGAGACAGAGGGAAGAGAGCAGAGGATACTTATACAGGGAAGAAGGAGGTCATATGGCACAACTTGAAGGGAAAGAGGGCGCACCCTTCAATGTGTGAGAGTGAGAACATCACTCAACGCGCACTAAGGCCAACAGATGTACAGCAGCGGGAGACTCGCCGGAACTCTACGAGCGCACGGTTCCAAAAGTTATGTGGGCAGGCTGTAGAGCTTGGCATGGGTAGATCACACGCTTGGGCGGCCAATGAACAAGCGCCTATGTCACGCGCTAACGCAGGATGCAGGTTTGGGATTGCAGTGGGGATATCAAGGGGCCGTGAGGACGACAGTGCTGCTGATATGGTGTAGAGGGGACAAGAAGACCCGCGCACTACTTCGTGCGGATTGAGTGGGCTTCGCGCCTCGCTCAATCTATCCGCGCACCACCATCGACTGAAGGCTCTCGCATGCCTCCCAATCAGAAGATGCCGCGGTCGTCCGGTGAGTGCACCATTGATCTCTTTCATCTATGGGAATGTCATTCGAATGGCGTACAAAAGTCGAGATAGCCGAAGCTGAAGGAGGACGTAGATGTCTCCTTAGTCCATGTGCGCGCCCCCATCGATGGAAAGCTGAATGTCTGATCAGCCATAAAGCCCCGGGGAAGGACAAGCAGCAACGTACCGTCTGACCTGAACACGCGGGCGGATGCGGTGAGCACGCAGCGTACTCGGTAGTCAATGTGTTACTCACCAGTCATATATCCCGACTCCTTGCTCGCAAGGAAGGATACGAGGGCAGCGACTTCGTCCGCCTGCCCGACGCGTCGAAGGGGTGCCACCGCGCTGTACTGCATGGGCCAGTCAGCCCTGGTAGACGAAGCCCGGCCGCCTCCACGAGCACAAGGAGCAACGATGCATATGTGAAGACGTACTTTGTCGAAGGCGAGGTCGGTATGGTCTTCCAAGTGCGGGGTGAACGCTGTGAATGACAATGAACGAGTCGCTCTTTTGGATAAGACGTCGCGTTTACCGAGAGGGGTGTCTATCAGGCCTGCGTATACCCATCGTCAGTCATGTCATACAGTATCGGGGAGGGGTGACATACCTGGCGCATAGGAGTTGACTGTAATCCCGTAAGGACCGAGGGCCAGGGCTACATTGCTGTTCAGGGAGGGCTTATACGACACGAAGGGACGAACCCGCGCTCTGCGTAAGCCCACGAACGGCGAACTTCGATGCCGTGTACGAGGTCAGACCACGCAAGGCTGCATAACAGCAAGTGAGCGACGTGTTGTTGAACAGGGATGATCGATAGCTTACGCTGCTTGCCACCGATTGAAGAAGCGCCGATAATTCGCCCATCCTTCGAGCCCAACTCGATCATCTTGCGTCCCGCGAGCTGGTAACAGAGGAACAGCCCCGTCGTATTGACGGACATGACCTGGTTGAAGGTCTCGAGGGACTCTAGAGCAGGGTCATTAATCTTGTGAAGCTCGTCTCCATCGAGGGTACGAACTCACCCTCGAGAAAAGGTGCAGGTCTAGCCATGCCGGCATTGGCGACCATCTAGGGCGAGCGGTGAGTATGAGAAGTCAGCAGAATACCTCGAGCCTTGGTCGCATACTCACCACATGGAGTCCGCCCAGCGTTCTCACGACACTGTCAATCAAGTCCTGCACGACCTCCTGCTTGGAGATGTCGCCGACGTGCACGACAGCGCGCCCGTTGGCCTGCACGATCTCCTTGGCTACCTCGTCAAGCGCGTCCTTCTTCGATGGGATGTCGTTGAGACCGATAGCGAGCCCATCCTTGGCGAGACGCAGAGCGATGGCCTTCCCGAGGCCTTGGGCGGCGCCAGTGACGATAGCAACGCGGGGAGTCAAAGTGTGGGACATGGTCGGGGTAAGAGACAAGATGGAGGTGTGGAGATGCAGCTACGGTGCGCTTCTGGTGTGGATACATCGTGGGCGACCCGGGGGAGTACATCTGACCTCAAAATCAAGAACCCTGCAAGGAAGTCGCGGCTGGCGCCGTTATCGTCATCGAGCACGGCACCGAGGTGGATATCTATGCTCTTTCCATGGTCTTTGTGCTCAATGCTAGCATAGAATGAAGCGATAGAATGATAGTCATGGTGGCGGCTGGAAAGGTGAACTCCGTCACAAATTCCATGATGGTCACGGTCACAGTAACACCATTTCGGCAAGTCCCGCCGGGCCTTCCTCCTTGTTCCTCGCACTCACTGGCGGCATTGCTGAAATGTGTCTATGGACTCGCGGATGCATCTTCAGGCTTTCTGCATAGAATCAGTCACAATGTAGCTGCCATTCTTTCCTCTTGTGGAGGCAAGCGTCTGCAGCTGCGCTCTCGTTTCGTCTTCACAGGGGATGGTCTCGACGTATGGTAATCGCCAAGCACTCCGGATGAGAGGGACAAAGCAGATCCTTCCTTGTATGTCTCTCACCGGACTTGTACGCTCTAGCCAAACATATATAAGATAGCGACAAACGCTATGGGATCCCTAATCCGCATCTCAGTTGAGCTGGCAAGTTTCTATGCACTCTCGCGCCCTCATGACCACCGACTACGCTAACGAGAGCTGAATGCGGAATCAACATGGAATGCATGAGTAGACGCAGCGCGTCGTCCGAGGATTGGCCTACGCGATCCCGCGCGTAACGACGTCGGTCTCAGCGGAAGGTATGCCCATCGTTCGAAGGAACTGTGTAAATCATGCCTTCTTCCAGAGAAGTGCAAATCATGCCTTCTTCCAGAGAAGTGCGTCGTTTGCACGCTCTTTGATCCCATTAAAGCGAGCCTGTTTAGGATACATGTGTATCGATATGGGACCCATGTAGCCCCGTTGAACGGTCAGTCTTTGGTCTCTGCGCTGATCCTTCCCTAGTCCACCAAGATTCGTTCCGTACGCACAACTGATTGCCTTAACAGATCCGCCCTTGGCTCGTTTACTGGACTCGGACACCGCCTCTCCGCCGCCTTTGTACACTGAGCTTCCACTCTCGCAGCGCCATCCGAGACCTTTGACGCGTAAACCCCATTGCGTGGTCAAAGCCGTTCCGCGAGTATGTACGTGGCAGTACCTTCAGTGCCTCAAAGCTGCTCCGTCAGGGCCACGTTTCTGCACCTTGTCGATAGCCACGACTTGTTGGTTGACGGCCACGACTTGTTTGAAAGGCCCCATTTTCCAACGGAAGTGCGTGCGGACCTGCAGGCGGCAACCGCGCGCCCTTCCGATTGGCTCGTCGTCTCTTTGGAGTGCATATGCGTATGCCAGGGAGTACGCGCGTCCTCTACAGCCTCGAGTTGTGGTCCTTCTTGCATGCACGTGTAGGCGGGCAAGGCAATTACGCCCATTCAGGCGAACTCTAGCAGCTCTTCCCCCTCGATAGTCTTCACCAAGTCGCTAGTTAGCATCTGTCTAATGCATTCCCGTTCTCCCATGGGCGCAGAAAGCTCGGCTTACCCCTTTCGCTGAATTATAGCCTTCGAGGCCCTGCGCTAGAAGTAAGCATGTGCTTAATCGCGCACGTGGGCTGGGCGCCTAGAGAAATTCAAATAAACCGGAATTCGTAGCTTGTCTTCTGCCACCACGAACTGTCAACCCATCCCCCATATTCTTGGCGTCCATAATGTCGGCTTGAGCTCGCTAGTCGAGTTCACTGTCCTCGTAGATTCCAATGGAACCTGCGGACGAAGCCCAGCAGAACGAATTCACAGCGCTTAAATCCATATACGGGGACGACTTTATCGAAACCTCACCCGTGAACGTCTGGAAAGTGCGTAGCGCGCGAGGGGATGCTAGCTGTATACTAATGAAGTGTAGGGCGCTGTCAAACTCCGAGAATTCTCTATCCGTGTACGCCACCCCGACCCCAATCATGCCGACAAGATATTCTTCCACCTTCATGTCAAGTGCGTCGTGTGCCGTCTTTCGTGAACCGTTCTGACCGCATACAGGTTTCCGAAAACGTATCCGACCCTAGCATGCCCCATCTTCACGATCGAGAGGCCCATGAGGGGCATATCAGACGAGCAGTACACAAAGCTCAATCGTGTGCTGCACGCGGAGGCGCAAGCTAACAAGGGCACGGAGATGGTCTTCCAGGTGCGTTGCACCGACTTCAGCTACGGCCATCACAACTGTGCGCCCTTCCCTTCCACATTGTCGCCAATATGATCACTCCCCTATCGCTTCGACGCGACGACTCGACGGGAACGGGCGTCAGAAGGTCCCCTCGCCGAACAAGTACACTGGCATAGGCTTCTATCTGGGCAGCTCTATCTCCGTGGACCTTCTTCGAGAGAGGGCCTGATAACACTCTGCCATATCGTGTGGTCGCGCTGTGGCGGAAGGGCCGGGCGCTCGTATCAGCGATCATTCTCAGAGAGGACGCGCACAGTTGACCGTAGCTACATGACTCGAACTCCCTACTGACTCACGTCTCCAGATCGTCAGCTTCTGCCAAGAGTGGCTCGCCGCGCACGTCGTCCCACCGAAGGAGATCTCCGGCTCGCTCGCGGTGCAGATGAGCAAGCGCGCGGAGGAAGAGGAGCGCGAGCGCAAGCGGCGCGAGGACGCCGAGCGCGAGGCCGCGCACGAAGCGGAGGCGATCCGCCGCTGGCAGCTGCAGACACAGATCCAGGCCGAGCAGCAGGCGCAGGCGCGCGAGACCGAGCTCGTTTTCCGCTCCCGGCGGCGCGCGGGCTCGGAGGCGACAGAGGTCCCCTCCGCGGCGACGAGCGAGATCCCGACGGAGACGTTCCCTGCGCCCATCAACTTCGCTGGCCGTCGCTTCGATACGGTGCGCATCTTCCACCCACGCGCCGCGGGACGGCTGGGGATGGTGTACATGGCGGATCCGGTCGAGGAGGGCGAGCCTGTGCCGCCTCTGGAGCTCTTCGAGGCGACCTTCGACGGGCCGTACTACTCGAGCACGCAGGGGCGCAAGAAGCTCAAGCAGCTCGCCGCTGAGGGGTCCCGCTTGACCCAGATCCGACATGCGAACGTGCTGTCGCTCCTCGCAGTCAAGCTCCATTTACCCAACTCGAATGCCCCTCCCCGCCTCGTCATCCTTGCAGAGCAAGCCCCCGCCGTCGCGTTGCAAGACGTGCTGCAGGACTGCGCCGCCCTGAGGGACGATCGCGCCATTGTGAGTCATACCTCCGTAGCCATGTTCTCCCTCTCATACGTCCGCAGGACTATCTGGGGCAGATCCTCTCGGGGCTGAACGCCATTCATCTCCAAGGTCTCGTTCATCGTGGTATCGATCCTCACTGCATATATCTCGCCCCTCGTGACCCTGCGTCTGGACACCCGACCAACGCAAAGCTCGTTCGCATTGGCCGAGTCGGGTTCCATACCAAGCTGCGCGACCTCTACCGCTCCAACCCGTGGGGCCTGCCTCCGAACACGTCCGACACGGTGAACTTGGACGGCGACTCACTCGACGACGCCGAAGACGCAGTGAACGAACTTCCGGAAGGATGGTGCGTACCTTCGCAGTGCTGTTGACCCAACACTGACCAGGCTTCTTTGATCTTCGTCTCATCTGACCTTTCGTATCTGCTGTCGTCGACGTCAGGCTATCGAAGGATGTGAAGAACGAGTCGGCGCTGGTTTACACCGCCAGACGAGACATACATGCTGTCGGCATCGTGTTTCTGCAGATGCTGCTCGGGCTCGATGTCATGCAGAAGTTCGAGGACATCCGCAGCGCGGTGCATTCGCGTACGTGTCCTTCCTTAATTTGCCGGACTTTATTCATGAATATCCTCCAGCGTTCCTTCCGCCCGCGGCCCGCCATATTGCGAGCTGTATGACCAGCCAGCACAAGAAGAGCGTCACCTGCATCTCCCTCCTAGCCGAGCTCGCATCCAGCTCGAAGGCCGTGCCCATTCCCCCGCGCTCGCGCGGCGACGGTCAGAACGGGTATCATAGCGAGAATGGCACGCCCAATGGCCATCCTATCTACAAAGCAAACGGCACGCAAGGCTGGACACCCAACGAACTCTGGCCATCGCAACCGAATGGGTCTACGCCGTTGAGCACAGGCATTGATCGCAATGGGTTGATGAACTGGAGTGGTGAGTTTTGCAGACGCGATACATGAGAGGTGGCTGACTCAATGTATAGACCAACGCACTCCGGGGACGCATGCGATGATCAGTGGTTCCCCCGAGAGCGGTTACTTCCACGCGCCGGTGCCGCGGGTACAGCAGTCGAGTCGTTGGAAGGAAGATTGGATAGAATTGGAGATACTGGTGAGAATCAGTATGCTGTAAGGCGGCGCGGCATCCGCTGACGCTTGTTGTTTAGGGTCGTGGAGGCTTTGGTTCTGTTGTCAAGGCTCGCAACAAGGTCGACCAGAAGGTGTACGCGGTGAAGAAGATCAGGTTGAAGGCGGCGCAAGACGACAAGCGCATCTTCCGCGAGGTCAACGCGTTAAGCGTGCTCAAGAGCCAGTTCATCGTACGCTACTACGGGACATGGGTCGAGATGTTCGACGACGCGCCGAGCACCGTGGCCTCGGATGACGAAGAAAGCGGGACGGGCTTCACCCGAGGCGGGGACGACGACCTCACACACGATGGGAGCCATACGCGCTCGCGATCCCGCACAAACAGCGCGCCGATCAGCGTCGATATGAACGCCCTCGACCGGACGAAGTCACGCTCGGAGACCTTCGAGGGCATCTTCTTCGAGAAGTCTGGAGAAGGGCAGGAGGGCGAGGGCAGCAGCGACTCTGAAGGTGGAAGCGACGAGCTCGGAAACGATGATAACCCCAGAGCAGTCCGCCGGAACGGTAGCGATGGGGATGGGCTGTTCGTGCGACCGCAGAGTCAGGTATCGGAGGAGGTCTCGTCGCTTCCACCGCGAACGCTGTATATCCAGATGGAGTTCGTCGAGCGGCAGACGTTGAAGGAGCTCATCCAGGAGGGTATCACCGAGCAGGAGTCGTGGCGCTTGTTCTCGCAGCTACTGAGTGCGCTGGTGGAAATGAGGAAAGAAGGGATCCTGCATCGCGACATTAAGCCGCAGAATATCTTCATTGGTATGTTCGAAACCCTAGGAAGCTCGCATGTCCCTGAAACCTCTTCCAGACGCGCAGGGCAACTGTAAAGGCACGTGTTTCGACGAGGATAGATCGATTGGGATCTGACGGGGTCTATAGTCGGCGACTTTGGGCTTGCGACATCTAGTCTCGCGGCTGTGGATCCGTCTGACGTATCGCCGGCTCTGCGCTTGACGGACGAGGTTACCTTCAGTAAGTGACCGCCATTCAGGATGTATCGTGTCTGACTCGAGCCGCAGACGTCGGCACGTACCTTTACATCGCGCCCGAGGTATCGTCGAAGCGCAGGGGCTCGCGAAATCACAGCAAGGCGGACATGTATAGCTTGGGTGTATGTTCTTCTTGATGACGATGATTCGTGATGTTGTGTGCTAACACCCTCAACAGATCGTCTTCTTCGAGATGAACTTCCGCTTCAGCACCGACTCGGAGCGTATTGCGACCATCAGCAATCTGCGTAGACCGGAGATAGTCTTCCCCGAAGACTGGGATGTCAGGCGAGAAAGACAACGACAAAGTAGGTGTGCTCTCCTTCAGCGTGGTGCTCTGGCTGACTGGATGTGCAGTCATCACTTGGCTGCTGCAACATGACCCCGACGACAGACCGGACGCCGTCGAGCTGTCGCAGAGCAAGTTGCTACCTCCGCGGGTAGAAGAGGAGTATCTGAAAGATGCGCTTGAGATGATGGGTATGTCAACCCACGACTACCCTTTCTTTTGCCTAATCTTCCCCAGCCAAACCGGACTCGCTTCATCGCTCTGCTGTACTGTCTTCCCTATTCAACCAGCCGCCACGTCCAGCACGCGCCTACCTCTACGATGCAGATGTCGCAACCCCCGATCACGCGGCCCTCAACTACATCGCGGAGGAGCGCCTATCCGCCGTCTTCCGCCTCCATGGCGCCATCGACACGGAGCCGCCTCTACTGATGACGGAGACGAGCGCGGACGATAGTCATGCAACGTTTCTGGACCGCTTCGGTGATGTTGTGATGCTGCCCGCCGACCTTCTCGTTCCCTTCGCGCGGCTTGCGGCTAGGAAGAGTTCAAACCGGATCAAGCGCTACCATATTGGCGACATCTACAAGTCGAAGTAAGCTTTCTCGCCTTCAGCTACTTGTGCATGGGACTGATTGCCTTCGTATAGTGGTATTGCCGGCCATCCTAAGTACTCTAAGGCGGCGGTGTTCGACATCATTTCCAAGGATCTTAGCTTGGGTCCTGTCGCAGCTGGCGTCGAGATGCTCTCGGTCGCTTCAAGTATTCTGGACAGCTTCCCGAACGTCTCCCAAGCATACGAGATTCACATTACGCACTCGGAGAGTCAGTGGTGTCGCTTCGTGCTGTGGAACCTTTGCTCACCGTTTCTTCGTAGTCATCGATTGTGCGTTCGACCGCGTGCCGCAGGAGTTGCGCGCCTCGGTACGCGACATTCTCCTGCAGCATCGTTCGTCGACCCCGCAAAAGCGGTCAGCGTTGGCGAAGAAGGGCATCAGCAGCTCCGTCATCCAAGAGCTTGACCTTCTTGTCGACCCTGGTACGTCCTTCGTGAATGAGTCCTGTCGAAGTTGCTGACCAGGCCGATAGAGGCGGATATCGACGAATGGATATCAAAGTTGGAGAAGACATCGCCGTTCTTGCTTGGCTCGATCCGCTCTGCCCTCGACGAGGTCAAGAACACCCTGCAGTTCGCAGCGGCAACCGGTATCAAGAGGCCCATCCTCTTCCGTCCTCTCATGCTAAATCAGTTCGCGCGAACGTTTGAGGGTGGCGTCGTCATCCAGGTCGTCCGTCGGAACAAGCGCCAGGATGTGCTTGCTATGGCGGGCAGGTATGTTCGCCCCTTCGAAGTCCTTGTGCATATTCTGACCATCCGTGCAACAGATACGACCACCTCATCTCGCAGTTCACCCCTCCGAATGTGGAGTCCGAGCCGTTATGCGCGTACGGGATGCAAGTCTTCGTCGACCGTATCACCACGGCCCTCGTCGACTACCAGATCTCGTCCGTTAAGACCCTCGTCAAAGAACAACGATCGTTCGGTTTCTGGAGTCCTCGGCGCTGCGACGTCTACGTCGTATCATTCCATCCGGGATACCTACAAGATCGGCTTGACATCGTCGCTGACCTCTGGAACAACAACATCAGTGCCGATCTCATGTATGATGCGGGGTTGCCGACGTACGAGTACGAGAGTGCGTTCGACGTGTGCGCGCGGGAGGGTATTTTGTGAGTCTGGCGCTCTCGACGATGGACGTAGCACTGACGCGACGGTAGATTCACGGTGTACCCTCGCCCTCGAGGAGGGAAGCGAGATCAGCTAGTCCTGAAGGTCAAGAGTTTGCTGAGGGGCACCGAGTATGAACGTGCGTTGCTCGTCGGTCTCTTCTTTGCGCTATTGCTGACCAACGTGCAGTCTCGCGTTCCGAGCTTGTCCCTTGGCTTCAGCAGCAGATCGCAGAGCAGAAGCGCGTGGATCTCGCAACGTCCGGCACACCGGTGCTCTCGGATACGCAGCTGCCCGCCGTGGCGAAGGAACCTTCGACCCAGCAGGACCTGCAGCTACTTCTTCCTGTCGACACCAAGAAGCAGCGCAAGCATGTGAAGCAGCTCTTTACCGATCGAGGTTAGGCTTTCCGTCAAAGCTGAAGAGTTCATACTCACCTCGGCCCGTAGCATTCGAGACGGGCATGAAGGTGAAGACGTCCGCCCAGACTGGTATGCCCACGCTTGCCGTCGACCTCCCTGCTGCCGTGTTCGACGCCATGGTGAGATCGTCGCAGTGGATCACGGACGAAGAAGCCTGGCGTGGCATCATGTCGCTCTTCCCGACGCAGCACTCCGCCTATGCCCAACAAGTCCGCGAGGCGGCGGCCAAGAGGAAAGAGGAGGGCTACGCGTATATCCTATTGTACGCGGTGAGGGAGGACAGGATCCAACTGCTGGCGCTCGCGTGAATATGGATGTGCTTTTTATGTCTTGATGTTTTCTCTACGGTCTTTCTACTCATCTATTTCTGTTCACGACCTCTGTCTATGAGCTTATATGAACGTACTTATGTGCTTGGTCTACATACTATAACGCCTCCTGTATTACCATCGGTTGTGTACAACACGCAGCGTAATTATGACAATTCCGTAGTTTCTGAACTTTCGCTGGACGGGGCGCATCGAAGCGGTTTCGAGTATACTCTATGCTCTGAGGTTTGAAAGAGGGACGTTGCGTACAATAAATATAGCGAAAGTTCACAAAGCAGGGAACAACGTTGTGGCCGACGTATATACGATAGTCATGCTCGAAGAAATACTATCAATGTAGACAGGAACAAGCTCCCCTACCTGCGTGAAGAATTTCTGCGCTTCGGAGGCCGCACGCTCAGTGTCTGCCAGTCTCAGCATAGTCAGGGCACCACCGCGGCGGATAGTGCGCTGCTTGATGACTTCGTATAGGTCCTGACGCATCTCTTCTCCAAGCTCTGTTAGCCCGAAAATACCCAGCTCGGCTAGGTGCGGTACACGCAAGACGGCGTTTGGACCTTGTGGTTGCAGTGTAGTCACCAGGTAGCGCGAGAGGGGAACCCAAGGCGCATTGTCGACAGCCACGAGCTTCTCCAGTTGAGGCAGACCGTCCAGCACACGCTCGAGGTCCGCGGCTTCCATGCGCATGAACGAGAGATCCAACTGCTGAACGCGCGCTTTTGAGCGTCGCACGCAAGCAATCAATGCAACCGTTTGCTTTGCATCCCACTCCCATGCTTGAGCGGCGGAATATCCTTGAAATGTGATGGATGCAAGCGCGGGGGCAGTGAGGCGCGCAAATATGGTGGTTTCCCCAGACATAGCGCCTGTGCTAACGACGAAGAGTCTGCGTAGGCAGGCGTGATGCACATCGGGATACGAGATGCTGGCGTCGACCGCGGCATCTGGTCGGTGGCTGACGCAAACTTCAAGTCTTCGCAATATGTGGCAATTCTGAAGGATCACATGCACAGCTTGCGGGGTGACTTCTTCTGAAAGTATCAGGGATGTAAGTTGGCCCCAATTGAGGTAGAAGTCAGCCTTGGGATCGATACACCCTTCGAGGGCGCGCAGTCTGTCCAGTCGCATTTGTGGTGTCCACGTTTCGACAGTCGGCAGCTTGAGCAAGCGCAACTGTCCCAGCTTGATGTGATCGACGTGTGTTATCAGGGCCATCCAAGAGGTAATTGCTTCATTGTCCGTTAAGCACTCCTGCCAGCGATGGGCTTGGGTGAAGAGCGGACGAAGGATACGCTGAGAGCTGACGCCGCGTCCGATCCGCAATTTGAGCAAGGATGTCGAAGACATTATGAGATGGTGCAGCACAGCCTGACCTATACGCTCCCAATAACCAGCTGGCGTTACAGCAGAAGGCTTCTCAGTGATGCAGATAGATGTCCAGAGCTCGCTGCTAGACATCACGCGCTGCCTCCAGCGCGAGCAGACGTGGGAGAGCGTCGTCGGCGTGGATGTGGCGTTCTCGAGAGAGTAAGAGAAGGTACATTTATCGGCCTCCCTGTTGACGACGTGGGCGAAGATGACATCGAGGAGCTCGAGCGGAAGTCGATTAAACGGAGTGTTGACCGAACGAAGGCGCGCCATATAGGTCTCGGTAGCTGCAATCTCGCATTGCAGCTCACGCTGAAGGCTCACTGCCCGCGCGAGCTCGACGCGAAGGCGGGTTCTAGCGCGTGTGGCGTTGAGTATTTCCTGTTCGACGTTCATCGGTGGGCCGGTGCCCCGGAGGACGTTCAGAACTTCTTGATCGAAGCGCTGCCCGACGGGAAGATCTCTAGAGCAATCAAGGCAAAGGACGGCGGTGGAGGAGTTCATGATGATGATGGTGGAGGACAAGGAGAGAAAAGCCTTTTGCGGCGTCGATCGTGATGGTTATTAGGCAGGCGACCATGTGTCAGTCACATGACAAGTTGAACTTCGTGAGTTGCCAGCTACTTACTCTTAAGGTTTCCCTCGGTATACAAGCCCTTCGGAGGTGGAGATTCATAATATGCTGTCCTTGATCTTATAAGAGGAGATGGCGCAGGCTCCCTCATTCGGACCCACGGCCAAAGCAGTAACCCACGGACACCTTGCAGATCTCAAGCAATGGATGTGATTGATATACAGGCTTTACACCTTTGAAAGAATCTCACTGATAATCCTCAGTGCGCACACCGAAGTTTGAAAAGTCAGATGAGGATTTGAACGTGTTCACCACGAGGTCGCAAGGCGTGCGAACGCGGACACACCGCCCCGGCTTCGCACCAACCGTCATGAATTGAAGAGAGACTATCGCCTCCCCGGTGCAAGGTCCCGCTACCAAATAGCACCGCTGCTCGCAGAACCCGGGCATTACATGTGTCGCTCTGCAATGCGGCTTCCCAGCCCAAAGCCACTCATGACCACTTCGATCACTTCCTCTCTACTGCCCCAGCGACTTCGATTACTCACGCGGATCTCTGTCTCTATCTGAGAAGTACTTCCGCAAACTATAGACCCCTCAAGCCTATCGCGGTCATCAATTGACTGACCTGTTGGCGCACCGCTCAATGCTTCGCGGACCAATCGAAGGCCCGGGAGATCGCCGTCTACTTCCATCTCGTATGTCTCTTTCATGCTTCTAAGAGGATTCCTAGGATAAACATGCCTTCAGCCACAGCTCCAACCGCCGGGCATAAAAGCCAACGACTGGAGTAGGCCAGCCCAACCCCACAGCGTGATGTCTGCCGCTCGCCGCGTTGCTTTAGTTACTGGCGCGGCTCAAGGTCTTGGGAGAGCTATCGCTCTGCGCCTGGCAAAGGACGGCCATCATGTGGGCTTGAACGACCTTCCCTCCAAGCGTCAAAGCCTTGAAGATGTCGCGGATCTCGCCGAGAAGAACGGTGTGCGCGCAGCCGTCTTCGCTGGAGATATGTCTAGGGAAAGCGATGTCCAAAGTACGGTCGACGGAGCTGCTGACGCGCTGGGCGGACTTCACGTGGTATGCATTTTCGCAAGCTACTACCAAAACTCGGATTGATGCCAAATTACTTGCAGATGGTCGCGAACGCCGGCATCCTGGCGCCAGCACCCTTTCTCGAAGGTAGGTTTCTACGCCGTCTTTTCAGCTTGTACTGATCAACGCATTCCCAGAATCTCTCGATAGCTTCAATCGTGTCTTGACGGTCAACACCAGCAGTGTCTTCCTATGCTATCAGCACGCAGGTCGCAGGATGATCGCCGAGGGTCATCACGAGGGGCGCATTATCGGTGCCTCCTCGTACGTCGGGAAGAGACGTGAGTTCCCGTTCGACGCCTTCCAGACGGACTGCGAGACTAATCCCTTCCATTCAGCCGCTCCATGGCTAAACTCTTACGGGGCCTCCAAGTTTGCCATTCGAGGTCTCACGCAGTGCGCCGGTGAGCTCTGACGAGCGTCTTCTTCAGGCTCCTTGATTGACTCACTTCTTTCAGCTCAAGCCCTGGGATCCCATGGGATTACCGTCAATGCATATGCTCCTGGTATGATCCTATAATCCTACTGATCACGCTGGGAACTGCTCACTTATCCTTCCCAGGTCTGACCGAAACCTCAATGGGTGCGTGTATAGCTACCCACTCAGCTCCATCTTCTCATCGCTCTTAGCAATCCAAGAGGGCATGGCGACGGCGGGGAACACGCTCGAAGGCGTACGTGTTGAGCCCAACTCTGCTCTGTTCATCTTACGACTCACCAATTCGCAGTGGGCGAAAGCCTTCCCCATGGGACGATACGGCGTCCCTGAAGACGTCGCCGCGGTCGTTTCCTTCCTCGCTAGCAAGGATGCCAGCTTCATTACGGGTCAGACGGTGTGTTGGGTGCAAGCGCTCTAATTGAAGACAGTCTTTAACTGCGCACTAGATCTCCGTCGACGGAGGAGCTGCTATGGACTAGTAGATGGGTGGAACGTTGATATTTGAGCCTGCCCCAACATACTACCCGTGTATCTGTACTCGTCTTGTAAACTGTATCTTTTGAGTCGCTCATGGGTCTGTATCGTTCACGAATCCCATACCTGACTTTTCCTCGAAGATCACCGCCCAATTGTTTGTACATCAGTCAGAGGATTAGATTGAGCATGAGCATGAAAGGTACTAGTATGTACAGTCCGGATTCGCGATCCATATAGATATCCAAGTCAGTAAATAGATAAGCAATCAAACGAGGGCGGGTCAGTAAACGATAGGACGCCTGTCGCAGGCATCGTCTGTGGTGATAGGTAAAGAGGCATCATGCGCGTCAGTTACATGGCGGTGTCAGAGACCACAAGCGTAGGGTGATCAGAGACCTCAAGCGTAGAGCGTCGCATCGTACACATGGGCTGCCAGAGTCTGGAGGGAACTAGCGCTTATTGCGCCGCCTTAATGATGTCGGCCGCCTTCTCCGCGATCCCGTACAGCGTCGCGGACAAGTGCGCGCTGACCTGGAGCGCGAGCACGGACGCATCGACGACACGCACGTTCGCGGTGTCGTACACCTTGAGGTCGGAGTCGACGACACCACCCAGCTCCCTCTTCATCATCGCGCACGTCGCGATCGGGTGGTGCACGGAGGAGAAGCCGTTCTTGACCCACGATGCCCAGTCGTCGTCCGAGGCGTCGTCGGCGACCTCGTCACCGGGGATGGTCTCGCCGACGGAGAGGTCGCTGCAGGAGTCTTAGTGTCACGAAGCAAATCAGGGTATCGCTGAGTAAGTATCGAGTCACAATAGATACGCACGCCAATGGAGAAGTGTTGAGCACCGTGCGGGATAGCTTCGCGCCGGCGACCTGGACGTCGAGGTCGAAGTCGGCGGCGAAGTAGTTGACGTTGATAGTGGGCTTTTGGAAGGGGTCGGCGGACTGGAGAAATGTCAGGTAAGGTCACGATGTGCGAGGAACAGGAAAGACGTACGTCGATGAGGACAGTGCCACGGCTGAAGGGGAGGAGCTGCCACATGTCGATACCGAGGTCGCTGAAGGGAGTGAGCATGCTTCCAACACAGGAGCAAGAACAACAACATACTCAGGGTAGCCAGAGTCGAAGAAGAGCTCGACGAGGGGGGCTGAGAAGGCCCGTTAGTCACCATCAGGTTAACCAACCCGACCGTCCCACACACCCTTGTCATTAACGATCAGATCCGCCTGAACACCAAAGATCTCCTTCAGCGCATCCTCCGACAGCGCCGAGCCCGCCAGACTCTGCGCATACCCCGCAACCGAGTCCTGGATCTTCTGCTTCTTCGCCTCCGCGTCCCCACCCCACAGCCCGCTCGCGTCCACATACGCGATACACCCCGACGGGCCCCTCCCGCCCTTGTCGAACCCGTTCCCGTGCGCGCCGAGCGAGTTCATCGTCTGTTCTTGCAGGTTCTTGCCCACAGTGGGCAGGTCGACGACGGAGTCGATGCCGAGGGCGGAGAGGTGGGACGCGTCGCCGACGCCGGAGAGCTGGAGGAGGGCGGGGGACTGGATGGCGCCGCCGGCGACGATGACCTCGCGCTTGGCGGTCGCGGTGTAGCGGGTGTCGCCGCCGCTCGTGGGGGCGAACTCGACGCCGGAGGCGGTGGCGGGGGCGTCGGTGCTGGACCAGGTGATTTTGGTGGCCTGGGTTTGCGTTGGAAAGAGGTAGTGGGGATGGAAGATGGGGACGTACAGTATGCTCGGTAAGCGTCAGCCAGTTCGTGCGCGCGTCCTCCACGGGTGTAAGGTAGGCTTGAGGAGACGAGGAGCGGTAGTCGTTGTCGTGCCAGTTCATCATCTATAGGCGGTAATAAGCAGATGGTAATATGAAGGGAACCTTAACTGGCGACACACCTGCGGGGTATACGCAACGCCTAGCGAGTCGCCGCCGTTGATGTCCGCAAGGTGCGGGATGCCCGAGACGTTGGTGATCGTGTCAATGAACGCGCCCTGTTGAGGGCCGCCGTACATGCCATCGGGAAACGTGGCCTGAACCGGCCCCTGGGTGCCGTGATACTCGACCACGGACTGCGCCCCCTTCGCTTTCTGTTGATCATTGGGTGCAGACCAAGTCTCCGCCTATAGCAAACGCGCTTTAGCGAAGTCGATCATGGGCCAGTAAGTTGCCCACGCACCTTCTTCATGTACTCGAAGATGCCATCCCAGGTCCATCCCTTATCCTGCGCGTCGTTGAGCAATCCGAAGGTCTTCTCGTACTGCGACTGCATCCCACGCGTCCAGTGCCCTCCGTTGATCGACGAGGAGCCACCGAGCGTCTTGCCGCTGAGAAGCATGTATCTCAATGAGGCTGTTCAACGCGTCTATCACGCCACGCACCCAACGATCGTGCGACCCTGATCGGCCTGCCACGCCCAGTCAAGCTCGGTCCCCGCCGCCTGCCCGTAGTTGTAGATGTCGTACACGCGCGGGTCGTCGCGGTTGTCCGCGCCGGCTTCGATCGTGAGCACCGTGATACTGGGGTCCTCAGCAAGGCGCGCGGCGACGACCATGCCTGCGAGGCCTGCGGTGCGTCAGATCGCGCGTTCTACGATGGAAGGGGACGATACACGCACCACCGCCAACCACGATGTAGTCAAACTCCTGGCCATCCGCGCCGTCTGCCGAGTTTGTGACGCCGGACGCGCGCCGGGTGAGAGGCGTCGCGCGCGCGTAGGACGCCGCCGCGAGAGCGAGCGACAAGAACCTGAGCATCGTTCTCGTCCGGTCGCTGAAAGGAAGTACGATGAGGGGGTAAAGTAAGAAGATGCGGGGGGAGGGGGATGGCTCCATTCAGCGCGCGCCCCCGCCGTTATATGACACAATCAGTGCCCCGTCGCCGTGGCTCCAGGCCGAGTGTTTCACGCAGCATGCACTTGATGCCCCCGACGGTCGGGCTGTGGTCCCCGCCGTTCGCGGCGGGAGATGGCTGCCCGGTCGGGTCTCGGGGGCTGGTCTGAAATGCGGGCGACGTAGCGCGCCACTGGCAGCATGATTTCGTATGACTTTCCGCGCCGGTGTGTGGTAAAGGTGTGATTGGGACGGTCATTGCATTGCCACAGTTCGAGTTCGGGACAAGCTGCGACACGGATTGGGATGTGCCGAGGTCCGTCGCGTGTAACGCACGTGGAGGCACGCGGATATCTGCACGTGAGGCGTGGGACAATCAGTCCTTATCAGGTCGCGATTACCGAAGTTCAACCTAGTTCAACCACCAGTCAAAGAGCTAGAATCCTCCATCATATCAGGGGAAGGCTAGAATTTGTGTACCCATCTCCGTCTCTCCTTCACGAGGAGCCCTGAACCACATTGTAGCTGCCCTGAAAAGCAATTTAGCAGTTAGCGCTGCACTGCATCGGCCAGTCTTGATACCGTGGCCTTACGCGCCTCATCCGTCGGCTTACGCACTTCCCATCCGTTGCCTTACGCACCTTCCATTCCCTCCGGGCGCTGATTCATCCCCTCCGTGGTCGATGACTCTCCTACTCTCCCTCTCGAGGCTTCGCCACCCTCGACATCGGCAATCGAAGCAACCGAAGTCTTCCACGATTTTCCAGGCTCGCGCGCCAGCTCTTTTGGGCCGACAGCGCGCGGAGTCTCGGACGATGACAATGGAGTTCATTGTCGATGACAACGGAGTTCATTGTCCAGGGACAGTCTACGTCAATGGCTCTGCCCCTGAAGAACGTTGGAGTCACCGAACAGCCTTTTGAGGCGCAACCAAACCTCTTGGGCGCAACTCATCCTCGCGATATTTTGTCGTCGCCCGCTTGCCTCTTTGGCTAGATTGCCCTTTCTTTTCGTTAACCCAGTACGTTTTCGGGCAACGGAACGCTGGAATACTCTTCTTGCATATCCCTCGCCATGCGTGTGCATACTTTGCTGGCGACGTCGACCGAGTCTTGCTTATGTCCGAAACGGACAACGGTTTTTTGACAAAGTTCAATTCGGACCCTATGTTTGACACCGGCGTCGCCGAGCCCTTTCCCTCACGCGGTTCTGAAAGACATCCCTCGCACAGTGACCAGAACTGTGAAGGTGCATCGTCTGCTCGCCAGAGTGGTGAACTTTGAAGCTTGATGCTCGAAGCTTGAAGCTTGACGCTTGACGCTTGATGCAGTGCTGTCGACTCAGACTAGACGGAAAATCATCGAAGTTCGACGTCGTCATCAATCCTGCGCCAGTGATTGTTATCACTTCGACCGCGCGCCCGCGCCACCCAGGTGACACCCTCCTCGCGGCGCGCTCCCTTCGTCCCTGGAGGGTGGTGAAGGGTGCGACTGCACTCCCCTTGTCCCTGAAAAAAAGAGAGAGTGCGACTGAGAAAAACTGGAGGGTGCGACTGCGCATAATTAAGGGGGACATGTGCATGGTGATCGAAGAGAAAGCGAGTGGATTGAGGAGCTAGAGAAAGCGAGTGAATCGAGGAGAAAGCGAGCGAATTGAGGGGAAAGCGAGCGGATTGAGGAGCAAGCAAGCGAATTGAGTGAACCGAGGGGAAACTTGACCTGAACTTCGAGGACGCACAGCCGGGCAAGCAATTCCCAGAAGGCAAACCAAGGTGGTATTGGAGCGAGGAGGCAGTGGGGGAAACAACGTGAGGCACTGGAGGAAGCACCGTGCGGCACTGGAGGTCACAACGTGAGGCACTGGAGGGAAAAAGAAGCTGAGAAGTAAAGCAAAACACTGACAGAGCGTACGGACGGATGCGTGGGGGTTATGCTACAACAAGCATGGCGTGTATGTGCTGCACATTCTAGGCGGGTGAGCGAATTGGGACGACGAGACGGCGGTCAACTCTGGGATACGCTAAACGGAAAGTAGGAGAAAGAATAGTAGGGTAGTAGAAGTATATGTAGAGTAGAGGGTCGGGAGGAGCGGTAGAGCTATAGAGGGGAGAACTGAAAGTAGAGCTATATAGGGGAGAACTGAGCTATGGATATATGAGAAGGTATGTGATACAACAAGGTCCATTGCTTGGGGGGTCGGTGTGTGTCTTTTGCGGGGCGATAGCAGGATCGAAGGATGAGAGATAGAGGTAGCGAGGAGGAGTACGGTAGCGAGGAGGAGTACGGTGGCGAGGATGAGTACGGTGGCGAGGACGAGTACGTTGAGTACAGGGTAATTGAGGGCTACGGAGGCAGGGGAAGTAAGGACTGCGAAGGCGGGGGTAGGGGACAGCGGACAAAGATATTAAGCGACCAGCGACGCGACGGAGTGAGTATAGGATAAAAATCAAGAAGACGACGATAGCGATGACGACGAGAGGGTTGAGTGCCGTGTTGCTGCACGACGGCGAGTCTATGCGCAAAAGGGCGGACCACTGCGCATGAAGGAGAACGGACTACTGCGCAGAAAGGACGGACAACTGCACAGACAAGTCCGGCGAAATTCCTGCGCGAAGGAAAGGGTACGAATGGGACCAAACGAGAGCACCAGTATGCAAGACAACAGGACGCGTCGACGCGATCGAGGACGTTGGGCGGCAAGACACGTCGAGACATAGACGTCTCGCCTCGTTGTCAGCGCTGTCGGTGTCTCGCGCGTATTATCTGCTGCCACTCGCCTCGCTGTCCACGGTGTCGCGCGCGGACCCAAACACGGACGCAAATTCCACGCGCGGTGGCTTATTTGCGATCGCGCTGCAATCGGCCTGTCGCGCAGTCGGGTGGTCGGCCTACAAACTGCTCCCGCCGTCGCTCCCTCGGCCGAAGGCGTACTGCGCATCGCCGGGCACGCCGGGCGTGGCGTGGGCGTCTGGCGCGTCGTTCTGCATGGCCTGAGCGCCGGGGTGCATGTCCTGCGCGTCGGGGTGCATGTCCTCGGCGCCGCGCATATATTCGTCTCCCTGAGCGCCGTCGTGCGCGTCGAGATTCATGTTGTGATCGTTACGCATATACTCGCTTCCCTTGCCCGTGCCAGCGAAGGCGAACGCCTCCGCCGTGTGTGGCTGCGGGGCGTTGAGGGTCGTCCAGGGGAGCTGACCACCAGCGTAGGCCATCGGGTCCGTATATGCGCCTCCATCGTCGGAGTAGCCAAGCATTTGGTGGCCGCCGGGAGAAAGAAGTGGGTGACCGCCAGGCGAAAGCATGGGATGACCGCCTGGGGAGAGGAGTGGGTGGCCGCCAGGCGAAAGCATGGGATGACCGCCTGGGGAGAGGAGTGGGTGGCCGCCAGGCGAAAGCATGGGATGACCGCCTGGGGAGAGGAGTGGGTGGCCGCCAGGCGAAAGCATGCCATGGCTCCCAATGGAGAGACCTGCGGGCGAGACCATCCCCGACGCCAGCGCCGGGTGGCCCAGTGCGCCCGGCGAGTCGATTGGTGAGCGCAGGGAGGACGAGCTGGTGGGAGGGGAGGTGGTTGTTTTTGTAGTTTTCGGAGGAGTGAGAGGGCGAGGCGATTGGGGAGGTGATCGGGCGAGGGGGAGATGATGATGATGCGAGGGGGAGAGTACGGGTAGAGAGGAGGAAGTGATGATGATGGGAGGAACAATCGTCGAGGGCGATGAGGAGAGCAGCAAGCAAGCAAATAATTAGTCTTCCTCGTCGTCGCCGCGCATACATGACCAATGACGTACTACGAGCTTGTCCCGCTGCCGCCGCGCGAGTACGTCGCGCTGCCCTCGTGCGAGTACGTCGCGCTGCCCTCGTGCGAGTACGTCGCGCTCCCCTCGTGCGAGTACGTCGCGCTACCCTCGTGCGAAAAGGCCTCCGGCGCGGACGCATACATCTCAGCGTCGGGCGCGGATGCATACATCCCTCTTCCTTCGGACGAGCAGCTGCTCCCATCGTACGAGCCGTCGTCAAAGCCTCGGGTGCCGTCGTCAAAGCCTCGGGTGCCGTCGTCGAAGGAGGCCCTTCCTCCTTCGTTATATGCGCCCTGGCTTCCATCATACGATCCCTCCCGGCTCTGTCTCGCGGATGTCAGCGCCGAGCCCATCCCCGACATCGACATCGACGCCGACGACCCCATCTGCGCGCTCACCCCTCCCTGGCCCAAACTCGGATACCGCGGCGTCAGCCCCGGGCTCACCGCGTCCGCGCTCAGGCTGTGCCCGTGGCGGCGGGGGGTGTGGTCGTCGTGATAACGTCCGTTGGTCTCGCCATGTCGCGCGGTGTGCTGCAAGCCGTCGTGATGACGTCCGACTCCATCGATGGCGGAATGGTGGCCAGCCACCGCAGAGTGGTGCCCCTCGCTCTCCAACCGATACAGCAACGACTGCGTCTCCAATCGCAGATCGGGCGGCCGCGGGCGCGAGCCCCCACGATGTTCGCCCATAGAGAGGGATAACCGATGCGGCCTGGGCAGGGTCGGAAGCGACATCCGCTTGTTCACCTCCTTCTGCAGGTGCGAGACCATGTCGGGCGGCGTTGGCGGCTTCGTCGACGCCGCGCGCGACATGTCGGCATGGGACTCGGGCTGGTGAGCATTCGCCGCGCCCTTTCCTTCCGACGAGGTCGAGGACGCCCTCGGCTGGCTGTTCGACGCCCTCGACTGACTATTCGACGTCGTCGACTGACTATTCGACGTCGTCGACGCCGCCCGCGCCGCCTCCGCCGCCTGCTGCTTCTTCGTCTTGTTCGGCCCGCGCGTGCGGCCCTCCTTCGCGTACTCGCACGCGAGGCCGCGCGCCTGGCAACGCTTGCAGGACGGGTGGTCGCCGGAACACTGGGAGGGGGATGAGCATAAGGTCGGTGATGATTGGAAGATGAGTGATGCAAGAGAGGACGAGGGGGGATGGATGGCAGGGAGGTGAGTGAAGAAAGGGGAGGAGGAATAGGTGATGGAGAAGGGAGGTAATGGAGAAAGGGGAAAGGAACGAGAGATGGATGAATGGTCGCTCTCGACTCACCTTTGCTTTCCTCACTCTACACTTCTCGCACGCCTGCGCGGTGCGCAGGCGCGGGTGCTCGGGCGATCGGTAGAAGATGCCACCCCCGGGGCCGTCTAGCGGACCCCCTAGGGTGAGGCTGGACGATCCCCCTAGGGAGAGGCTGGACGATCCCCCCAGCGTGCGCGACGTCGGGTGCAGCGAGGGGGGCTCGAGGCGCGGCGGGGGGTGCGAGGAGCCCGCGGGGAAGCCGTCGAAGGGGGGGAAGGCGGTGGGGAACGGGTGATCAGAGGGGCGGAAGTGCTCAGAGGGGCGAAGCCTTTGCTCAGAAGCACGGAATGACTGTTCAGAGGCCCGGAACGACTGCTCCGGCCCCGGCGCCCAGCCCTGTGGCTGCGCGTGGCCCATGTGCAGCGCGTCAAAGTGCGCAGGCGCGGCGAAGAGCGAGTGCTGCGTGTGGCGCTGCTGGGGCTGATACGCGTACTCGCCGTCGTAGTAGAAGTCGCCGCGGAGCTGGGGGTTGTCGTGCTGAGGATGGTGGTCGTCGGCGAACCCGGCCGGCTGGCGGGGGATGTGCGGGACCTGGGGGAGGACGAGGGTCCGGTGGTCGAGGGGATGGGGGTGGTGGTCGAGGGAGGGGTGGTCGAGAGATGCGTGGTCGTCGTAGGGGAAGGCGCGCCAGGCGGCGGCGGAGGACGAGGGGGCGGGGTGCTGGTACGGGTCGTGGAAGGACATCATGGTGGGTTGGGACAAAGGGTGGTGGCGGCGGGGCGCGTCTCAAAAAGGCGAACGGCTGGAGGGCATCCGATCTGAGCAGGCAGATGAGATCGCGCGCGCCGTCGATCAGCTTATTATAGGAGCGCCGCGCTCGCTTGCTTTTGCGCCCGAATTTGTCTCCGCGCCGCGCCTGTCTCCATGTCCGCCAGGTCAAAGGCCACATCCAAGGTCATTAGAGGGAATTTGGGGGATTTCCAAGCGCAGCAACAGAGAAAATACTGCACTCCGGGGGCCTCTCCAGCCAAGACAGTCGCTGCTAAATCGGGGTTCGCCCGACGTCACAAGGCAGCCTGCAACGGCCACCCTCCTGTCACCTTTTCCCACGCCCCACTTGCCCCATCCGGTAAAATGACGGCAGCTCCCAGCCCCAACCATGGCGTATACTGTATCCCCGCGCCCCATTTTCGACGACGAGGGACATCCCTCTCCCTCGAAAGCTTCGTAAGTCGCCCACCACCGCGTTATGCGCGAGGAATGAGCGACGGTCAGCACTGCACCCACCACACGCACCCCACCCACCCAGTCCTTGGCAAGTCGACTCGGTCTGACATGCGCGGTACGTATTCACAGACAGCGTCTGCCGATTTCGAGCGCGCTCGCGCGACTCTCATTCAGCCAGGTGCCTTGCCAGACGCTTTGAATCCGGTTAGGAGCCCGTAAGCTTTGGCAGCTGGCTAGAACCACCACGCACTTCGCATTCATGAAATCTCGAGATGGGGGCCACACCAAGAGCCGCGGTACCGTCTGCGCGCCTCGTGGCTTAGTCGCACGTCGCGCGGTGCCGTATGAGCCTTCACCTGACCAGCGCACTGGACGTGTCCTGTAATCCAGACAGCAGACGAAGGCGCACCGGTGAACAATCTCTGAACATAGCGCTGATACTTGTTGGAAGCCGCAGAAATAATAAATGAATTCCCTTCAGACAGTTGCGCCCCGCCACCGTCCAGCAAACGCGCCGCCACCATACGTCTTCGCCACCAGCACTGGTCCTCGCTGCCGAAATGTCACCATGCCTCCTCGAGAAGGACTATCCTCCCTGAGAAGGACTATCCCTCCCTGTCCTTCTCGGGACAAGCTGGAGGATTTCCCGATCTCAGGGAAGGAATTTCCTGATCTCGGGGAAGGCCCTGCCTGAACGCGACGCCCGAACGTGGAATAGACTTCGTCCGAGCAACGTCCGGGGCGTGGCGCGTGCTCTCGCTAGCTGCCGCGCTCGCCGGCGCTTACGGTCATCCTTCGATGCTCGACGGACTTCGGCCTTCTGGACAGTTGTACTCACCTCTGGGGAAGGAGTGCTAGAAGCCCGAGCGCCCCAAAAAGGTGGCCCTTCTGACCTTCGCCAGTCCTCGTTGATCGCCGTAAGTCGTCACGAGGGCGTCGTAGAATGGTGAAAAGCGTCAGACGTGTATACAACAATTCTCAGGATCGGCCTGAAATCATCATGCATGCGTTGTCGACTGCCCTTGTGCCACCTGAGTCGTGCTCACCCCGTACAAAAGGCATGATGCCGGCGTATAAAGGGACAGTTTGCCCCATGTACGGAGGGTCACTTTACCCCATGTCTAACACGTACTCGGGGCGTACTTACCAAATCCAAGGTCCGTAGTCGTCCTCTTGTCCACTTCAGGATGTACGCGTCCACTTCAGGGTGTACGTGTCCCTTTCGGCGTGGTAGACTTGCGTACGAGAACCTCGAGGCGCGGGCTGATCCTCGGCCAACAGACGATGGTTTACGAGACTAGACAGACCGGCGAATTGGGCTAGGAGGCCGATTAGAAGGGCGAGCTGATAGCATTGGAACGCGAGTGAGCTGATAGCACTGGAACGCGAGTGAGCTGATGTCAATGGAAGGCGAGTTGATCAAGTAGAACGTGGGCGGGGGCATGATCAGTGGACGGCGAGTGATCACTGTACCTTCTCGTACAGTATGCACTCGAATTTTGCTCACGGACCATGGGCCTGGCACGCGCAGAAACTTACGAGCCCGTATCACAGTCCTAGTCCTGGCGCACGCACGTAGGTACATGAGGTGGACGCCAGGCCTCCGCCGAGCGAGGAGGAATACGCGCTCTTGTCGAGATGTCGAGACCTCGTAAAATCCATCGCGTCCATTCCTTCCCGAGGAATGTTCACATCAGTCCGTACGTAGGCGGAGTCAGCGAAGGGGGGTAGCGAGCTTGGAAAGCAGAGTACGTGCGAAGGTCCAATTCGCAGTCCGCGCCATCGTACCAACTCGAGCGCAAAGTGCGATTAGTAATCTGGGTACAGACCATGCCAGAGTACGACATTGTAGGCCTGCCAAAACACAACGTTGCTGGGCTGCCATAGCACTACGCTGGCAGTAAATCTGCCAAAGCATGAGCATCCTGAACGCGTCGGAGCCGCGAGGTATTTCAGGAATATCCTACTTACTACATTCATCGACTCGAAGGGACGCCCTCACTCACGCACGGCAATATCCGGACGCCGCTCGAAAGCTAGCAACGTCCGTGTGCTGATTGACGGTAGGCGGGGTTCAAAGTTTACTATCGAAGGTCAAAGTTATCACCGAAGGTCAAGGTTTACTTGCCGTAGTAAAGCGCCAGAATGGCTTGATCGCCGTGCGTAGGTCGGAGAGTAGCAGATAGCAGCTGCGTCCATGATGAGCGGGCTTGAGGTGAGGTGGTGTAAGATGAGAAGTGAGATGGTGTAGGATTGGATGGTCAGATATGACGGTGGAGTATCACCTCACACAACGCAAACAATCAGTTAAAGCTTGGAACGACTGATAGGAAGCCGCTGAGAGTGTAGGCCCCGACGAGTGCGATTCGAAGTCAAGATGCAGCCGCCGGCAAGGTCGGTGAATGCGCTTTTCTGATGATAATGTCCGAGAGGGCAAGCCAGTGGCAGCAGCACGCACGGCGTCATCGCGGCGAAGCACCGCGCGAGGGTTCATCCATCATCAGCAAATGCGCTGGACGTGCGGTCTGCGTGCGTCATATCAGGGCGATATCTCCTAGGTCAGGGCATCATTACTCAACGCGCAAAGGGCAGGGTTAATATGAGCCCTAAAGGCGCGCTGAACGCGCCCCTGCACACCCCATACCTCAATAGATGGCCGATTATCGTGTATGGGAAACCGTTTGTAGCCGTAAGTTCGTGTACCATGAACAGTCGATAGTACCCCTTATAGACGCTCCGCGGAGGTGAAGGGAGATCCTAGGGATGGACGGCAGGCCGCCGCAAAGGCTATGGGATCGGAGATGAAGGTATCACCTAGCGAGTTGGGGATGAGGGACTGAGGATGGCGCCTGTCGGGTCGGTGATGAAGGCTGGTGTTTGGTGAGTCGGTGGTGAGGCCTAGCGCATATTAGAGCGGCGATGAGGTGTGACGCCAGCGCGAGCGCGGTATGCGGAGACTAGAGACGCGCGGGTTAAGATACGTGGTCTGCGGCAACTTGAGAGAGGCGTATAACCTACCGCCGGCATCTTGTCTGACAGAGTACGGGATGGTGTCGTGATAGTCGGTCGCCGTCTTGCTGAGAGACCATGGGTGTAAGTTACGCATCGTTCTAGTCGAGAAATCGATGATCTAGTTCAGTAGTGATGTCCTAGGTCAGCAATTGGTGATCCAACGACTCGATGATCCAGCCGAGGCCTTCATAATCCCGCCACCGCAGTCATCGTCCTGCAGGAGCGTTTGTACAAGTTCATAGCGGTCTGCCAGCCAAACCTCGGGTGCGCGACGTCCAGCGACGTAGACGCATCAGTTCATTAGCGTGACGCATCGATGACAAATTCAACCGTGACAGGTCAGCTGCTGCGTCGGACTTACCGGCCGAAGGCTGCGGAGTTCGCCGGGCGGACTTCGCGCTGACCGTCAGCTGCTGTCTCAGCGGAAAAACGAGGGGCGAGCGCGCCCTGACTGACTGAGATAATCAGCCAAGGGGAAGGTGGCAGGCTGACCAACTTCCAGTCCAGCTGTCAGCAGCACCAGCACCCCCACAGCCAGTCGGAGAAAAGAGAGACCTTATGGCACAGCAGCAGACAACAGAGAAATAAATTCAGGACGCTTGGCGCGCGCGGTACCGCATAGATTATCCCATTTGTGGATTTGTGCCACCGCAGATCGCGATGGGCGTCGAGACATGAGCAAGACATCGCAGAAGAAACTCAAGCAACTGGGTACTGCACAGCATTGATTAAACGCGCGTGAACCATGCCTCCGCGCGCTCCTGTGGCGTGCTGCCGGAGGGCGAGGGCACGCCTGCACCTGCGCCCCAGAGGCCACCCCTGAGGCCAAAGCCGAGCGGCTGACCCAGCACATCGAAGGCGAACTCCGCGTCTTTGGGAGAAGACGTGGATGGCGAAGGCGTGCGCGAGGGTGCGTAGAGCGGACGAAGGGATACGTAGTGCGCGAGACAACACGAGAAGAAGAGGCACAGAAATCGTTAGTATCGTGACTTGGGCTAGGACGGCGCCACACGCACTTGCTAGGTCGGGGTCTTCATCCGTTCCACCCACCCAAAAGGGCTCGGACGCGTTTCCTGTCGGCTGTGCGGTGGCAGCGTCAGTACAGTAGCAAAGCCAGCTAGCGGAGCGGAGGGCGAGCAAGTAGGGCCCGCCGGCCATCAGAGCACCACGAAGACAGCGCGTGCGCCGAGCGGGAATAGCAAGGTGATTTCATGAAGAGGAAGGCGCGAACTAAAGCAGAAAGGTCCGAGAACCGAGAGCCGGGAACCGAGCGGGCGTGTTGATTAGGTTAAGTGCAAAACGTGTGCGCCACAAAGCCCGACGTGCGATCCAAGGAGAGAACGAGGCGCGTCGAAGATGTGGCAAGGGGGGCGACAAAGCAGAAAAAGCCGCGGAGCAGAGGGAATGCATGGCAAAGAAGGTAGCGAAGGGACGATGAGCGCTCGATGCTGCGCCGAGCACGGAGAAAGGGAAGGACAGTTTATGGGATCTGCGCGACGCTGGAGAGGACGAAGCGATCCTGGTACAAATCGAAGAATTCGAATCGCAAGAGCGTGTGGTAACGGGAACAATTCGAAGGAAATTCGAGAAGAAAAGATGACGCACCACGCTGTCGAGGATGGTCACATTGAAGATACCACCATCGTAGTGCGCCAGCTTGATGTGTGTAGACCATACGCGATCCCACCTGGCGAGCAAGGTGGGAACAGACGGGTCGATGACTCCAGGCAGCAAGACGTCTGCACTCTCGCGGAGTTTGCTGCAGTCAGAAGCCTCGATGCTTGCCGACACGAGAGCGTCCTTCGGGCGCCTATCCTGTAGAAGCGCCTGCGCATTATTTCCAGCGAAATTCGTTTGGGTGTCCTCTTGTTGAAGCGAAACCGCGTCTTTGGCACCCATCGAACAGAAGAGGAATCGACCGTAGCCAGGGTTGTCATACCGTCCGTCGAGTCCGGAGGGGAGCGTCGCATTCTCGGGGCGTGGCAGCAGCTTGGGCTTCTCCTCGCGCGCCTTCAGAAGTCTCGATTTCGCGCTGAGGTGTTACGTCGCGGTCAGAGGTGACAGGTCAATTACGACAAGATTGCAGAGCACGGGACCGTGCGATGAAAGTAGCGTGCGGGGAAAGCGCTCGTCAGGGAGATTCGAAGACAAGTTGGGAGACAGCAGACGCACCGACCACTCCAATCTATGGGCTGTAGACCCAGATGCGCGTCGACGATACGCCACTTGATCACCTCGTGCATTTGGGTTCCGTACGTGTCGTCGTTCACGAGGACAGCAAGGCCAAACTTCTCATTTGGGAAGCGTATGATCTGGGTGCGGTAGCCTGGAGCAGTGAACCGTTAAGTCCTCCATTCCTAGGCGTTAGAGCAGTCAAGCATACCAGGAACCGAGCCGCCGTGCTTCAAAAGGTCAGCAAGAAGCTGGCGAGGACTAGGAAATTCCGTATACCTCAATATATTCTGTGGCGCGCACGCATTAATTCAAGGCTATCCAGAAAAATCAGGGAAGACTCACCATGGCCGCGGTAAGTGCTCCGCATCTGCCCGCCGCCGTACACGACTGGGCCCAGTTCGGGATATGGCCTAACCCCGGAATAGCGTGAGGGGCCCGGTATAATAATCGCCGGGTCGATTTCGAGTGCGCGAGCGAATATCCAGGGTCATTGAGTTTGTTCGGTGGGTTTAGAGGAGGGTTCAGAGTGTGTAGTAAGGGTTGAGGACGCGGCGCGAGCATCGCGGGAAGTAATCCAGAGCGGTGGACATTGAGGCGATGCGATGAGCCATACAAGGACAGTAAACAGTAGTTAGTGGTGTTCATGACCTCCGAATGACGAGGACGTGTCACTCACGCAGCTCCAGTATCGACCGTGATGCCAGAGGCGACCTTACGGATGACATCGGCGGGGATAACCGACGCGTTAGTGCGTGGGTTCCTGCCCTCGAGGAGAAGCGCTGAGCACGAGTACGGTGGATGGAACGGTGAGGGCGGAGAATAGCATAGCGAGCGCGGTGACAGGCAGGCGCGATGAGGTGTGTGAACCTAACGGTGAGCAAACGGCAGCCCTCATTTACCGAGATCGAACCTTGAAGCCACGTCGCCTGGAGACCGTCAGATTGCAAGCGTACAGATGACCGCGAGGCGCCAGATTTGAACGTGGGAGGGCACGGATTCAGACGTGCGAAGTTCCAGAAAGGGACAAGGAATACGTCAGTATAGCATCGATAGCGGGCGTACGGGACCGGCGCACCATGTCTTTCGCGCTACTAATCACGCCCCCGGCGCCTGAGTTGACTGGGGGTGCGGCGTTAATTCCTTCGCGCTCAAAAGGTCATAGCAGTTAGGACCACTTACAGCCCCCTTCTTCGTCCGTGTCGATGAAGAATGGGTAGACGCGAGGCGTGCCTTTGGCGAAAATATCGCCGGTGTAGTTGACTTGGCGCGTGAACGCGTCGGCGAGGCGGCCAGACTTGATGGCCGCTCGGCTGGAGTAGGTCGTGTCGTTGAGGCCAAGTGGGTCAAAGATATGTTCCTTAACATAACGCGCGATAGGGGGGTGCGATGGCAGCACGAGAGATGGGAGGTAGGACAGAGCGCCATACATGACTACGGAACTCAGTTAGTACCAATGCGGTGGAAGAGAGACCACTGACTATTGTTGTATTGCCATGTCGTGCGGAACTCGGCAGACGGCTTGAGATGAGGAAGCTTACGGATCTGACCGCCGCCGCCTGGTCAAAACTTTCTGATCAACAGGGAGGACAGCGTTCTTACTAACGACGGAAGCGTCTCGTTCTTGGAGTATCCAAAATCATGACGCGGCAGCCCAGTCCTGTGTGACATCGCGTCGGTGATCGTGGTCTCCGCACTAGCGAAATGGTTGGCCATCTCCCACTCGGGAATGACCGATCTCAGCTTGGTGTTCCAGGTGAGAGGCGTCTCCAGCGACTTGTTGCTAATGAGAAGCCCGGCAGAAATGGCCGTGAAGAGCTTTATGAGTCACCATAAGTCAAGGATACTGGGGCACGGTAAGCGCTCAAGATACCTTCGAATTCGACGCGATGGCGAACAGCGTGCTCTCGTCGACCGCACTCCCATCGACCTTGGCGCGTCCGTACCCCTGCGTCTCAACTTGCCATTCCCCATTCTCTAGCTGCTGCACAAATGCGACCGCAACCCCGCCCGGGCTATTCCACTCGCTGATGGTGTCGAGGACGAACTGCTCGATGCTGCTGTCGAGAACACGTCCTGTGGAGGTCACATATGGTTTCTTCTCTTCCTTCGCTACTGGAAGCAAGGCTCCCAAGGCCGTAGACACGGCAAGAGAGACGAGGAGAGGGCGCAACATGGCCGTCGGTATCAAGAAGCGAGTCGGGCTTTATCGCGTGATTGCCATCGGCGTCGGCGTAATTGATATCTCTGTCTCTGCAGAGATATATCGCCATCAGGGCCGCTTCTGATACTCGCAGGCCCTCATTCAGGGCAAACAGCAGTCGAGTTCTGGGTAAAGGTCGAGGAGCGCAAAAGATCATTGGTTCGGAAATCGCCGGTCTACTTATTCCCACAGTCCGGATGGCGTGCGCATGCCAATGCGGTCGTAGTCTTTGACCCGGCCCGCCTCAAGAGACTCGTGGACGGGATCCATCCTGCCTTTGACATTGTATGGTCACACCTCACAACGAATATCTCCTTTTTGACGATAACCCTTTGGAAGATACCAGATTTTCGGGACTCAAGGCTACCTGCGCGCCGCGGCGGAAACCGATGGACAACTCTGCCATCAACCTATGCAACAGCTGCGACGCAACCTTCAGGATCCCTCGCCTGAGGTTCAGTGACGATGATATTCTCGAGCATCTACGCGCTATCCCAGGCACCTCTATACCTCTGTCGGGCGCTGCCGAAGAGATCCTCGCCGTTGAAGAGATTGTACGCGAGCTTCAAGAGGAAATAGACGGCGTGACGGGCCTACTCAAATGCCTCAACAGGAATATGGTGTATCTGCACACATACTTAACTCGTGTTCGGTCGACACGTGCTCCCGTGCATCGCCTCCCGAGCGAGATACTGAACGAGATATTCTGCTTCGTTATGGATGGGGACTACTCGCTGTACGACATGCAATCCACTCCTTCGACTCTTTCTCAGGTCTGCACGCGTTGGAGGGAGCGCATCAATTCGAATGCCGCTTACCGGGCGTCTATCGCATTACGGGCGCCTACGCTTTCTTCGCTCGACGATGATCCACACGTCGGCGAGTGTACTGGCAAACTGAAGGTTGCAATCTTGCACCTTGAGAAATCCGTGACGGCGCCTCTAACGCTGCGAATTGGACGCCACGCCGACCAGGAGAACGTCGTTCTGCTGATGTCGCAGGCGTATCGCTGGAAGGACTGTTCCATCCACAACGAGGAAGCCCTCGACTGGCTCTCTGATCCCGAGAACCAGCGCGAGCTGCGCAACTTGGAGTCGCTGAAAATCGGACTCAGGGGAGAATGGAAGCTCGACCTGGGCAAGATTGCTACCTTGCGCAGGTACACTGGACCCAAGATGGGTGTCGTGTTGCCATGGCAGCAGCTCACCTCGTTGACGCTCACCAGCCCGGTGAACGCATCGCAAATCCTTGCGTGCTTGCAGCAATGCACATCGCTCGTGTCGCTTGCCGCAGAAAAACTACGGTATCAGGACCCGGATGAGGCTTGGGTTGACATGGAGGTCAACCATCCGTGCCTCCGCCGCTTGCGGATTCGAGCGGAGGGAGGTCACTCACTAGATGAGGGCCCTCTCCTCAAGTGTTTGACAGTCCCGCAGCTATCCTCCATCGAGCTGCATGGCTGGCACTATGTCAAGCAGTGGAGTTGGGACGACGAGGACGTCGCGGCGTTCGGTAACTTCCTACGTCGAAACAGCGCTCACGTCCGGTCACTCTCCCTGTGCTACATTCAGTTGGAGCAGGAAGAGACTGAGATGCTGCTGCGCAGTCTCCCCGAGCTCGAACGCCTCGAGATGACTGACGTCGAAGCCGCCAAAGGCCCCGGAGAGCTTCTCACGCGGAGCGTTGTCAAAGGACTTCTGCTGGATGGTGGCGGCGCGAGACTAGTGCCGCGCCTCGCCCACATCAGCCTCACCTCCTACCGCGCATTGGAAATCGAATTCCTGTCGCTCGTAGCTGCATTGGCGGCCTACCGATCCGTTCGCCAGGAGGGGAGCCTCTGCTCCATCACGCTGTCCGGTGCAGTTATGCACTGTCCGACGGAGGCGGCGAAGGGTGTCCTTGGCTTGCTGGAAAAGCTGGTCAACTTGTTCATGCATCCCGCGACGTACGATCTAATCTCGTCGCCTGACACTTCCCTCCATGATTATATCTGACATCTTTTTCTATCTATCATGGTTCGCTTTAGTCGTCCTCTCGAATTGGGTTACACAGTAGATGGTTACATACAATGGGTGCTTTGACGTACAGTCATATTCCTGCCTTTCCACCACTGTAGCTTATCCCTTTCGTACGAGGGCTGCATGACCGGCAGACGCTCCGGAAGGCCGCGAGCTAGAGCTAATTCTCCTCATATGTACTCGCCTCTCGAAAGGAGCGCCTAAGTACTATACAGTATTAGTAGCATTGGCCGCACCGCAACATCGTCCGCGGGGCGTCGCGATCCCAAGAACTGTAGTGTTCTTGCTACAGAATACTCAAGCGTTTGATGGCATTCGAGTGCTTTTGCGTACCCTGATGCAAAGGAGAAGGAGCGGAGGCGTGCGTAAGCAGGCAAACACAATTAATACGGCAATCTCCGGCAGGCGTGGCTTGCGCGTGACAAGATCGCCGTCACGCCATAATTGTTCGGCTGTCACGCTTCGAAGGTCTTGACACCGGCCACCATCTGCTTCCCAAAGTCTCAATTCTACGCGAGCTCAGGACCCAGGATTGCTCCTCAATGTGAGTGCCTTATCTCGCTCTGTAGTATTATGGCGTTGACGAATCCACAGTTGTCTGATAGACGCGCGTTCGACTTAGACGCCACTTCCTGACAAATGAAATCTGGCGAAATGCAGTCTTCAACCATCACCCTCTGCGACAACTGTCACGCGAGCCTCTCCGTCAGCCGGAGATACAACGAAGATGTCCTAGAGCGTCTCCGTGGTCTCTCCGTCGACCCTTTGCCCGATATCGACAAGGAAGTCCTCAAGAACGAGCGCGCCGAACGCGATTTGCAAGAACAAGTCATCAGAACCGAGCGACTTCTTCGCGATCTCCTGCGCCAGCTTACAGCTACACAAGACTACCTCCGCCGCATCCGCTCCGTTGACTCTCCTGTCCATCGCCTGCCCTACGAGATCCTAGACGACATATTCGCCCTCGTGATCGCCGAGAGCGAGAACGCGTACTCCTTCCACGGGATGCACTCGATCACTACCCAACTCGCCCACGTCTGCACGCGCTGGCGGCAACGCGTCTTGTCGAGTGGGGCGCTCTGGGCATCTATCAGCATCCAGCGCGTCCACCTTCCCCCGCCAGTTACTCCATACGACAAGGAATACATGCGCAAACTGATCGACGCCGGTGTGCAGCGTCATCTTCGCAACTCGCAGGGCGCGCCCCTCCGCCTGCATGTCGGCAGCTTCGCGGAGCCCGAGCCCATCCGTTACCTCTTAGAGGCGGCGCCTCGGTGGCAGGAGGTATCGGCGGAGCACGAGGCGATGTTCGAGGCGCTGAACGACGCGAAGGTGCAGGGCAAGCTTGACAAGTTGCGCGCGTTGCAGCTTGTCAGGATCGGCCCCGCGCCGCTGCGTCTCAAGCTGGACGGTCTGTCTGCGCTGCGCGTGTACAACGGCCCGCATATAGGCGTCTCGCTGCCGTGGCAGCAGCTCACGTCGCTCACGCTGCCCAAGGTCCTACAGACGGCAGACCTGATTATGTGTCTGAAGCTCTGCCAGGCGCTGACCTTCCTCTCCGTCGAGAGGCAGGCGGCCACGCTTCCTCCTAATGTCACCATCGACACCGTGGTGCACCATCCGTGCCTTCGGGAGGTGCAGCTGCGCACCAAGAGCACGGTGCGGCCGGACGCCAGCCTTTTCACATACCTCAACGCGCCCCGGCTCTCCTCGGTCTCTTTCGGCGGCTTCCATGTCGGGCAGGCTTGGCGCGGGTGGGACGCGGCGCACGCTGAGGCGCTTAAGGAGTGCTTGAATCGCTCCGGCGCGCACTTGCGATCTCTATCCTTCATGTACGTCCACGTCGAGCCGCCGGTGCTCGAGGACCTGCTCGATGGTCTGCCTGAGCTCGACTTTCTCGAGATCAAGGACACGACAGACGCCGGGCTCGTGATGCCTGGCATTGACGCGCCCCCGCCCGCGACTCCTCTTACCCACAGCACCATCAAGGCGCTCCTTCCGCACGGCCCAGCCAACACGCTACGCGCGCCCCGCCTTGCGCATTTGGCGCTGACGGTCGTAGAGAAGCAGCCGTTCGGGAAGGAAATTCGCTCGGCGCTGCATAACGTAGTCGAGCGGCGGTCCATTCGTCGTGGAGGAAGTCTGCTCGCCCTTTCGCTGTCGTCGACGCTGAACCTCGAGTCTGCGGTCACGGCAGATGAGGTGATGGCTTTCTTGCCGACCGTCGAAGACCTGGTCGACGCGTATACCGCAAATCGCCGTTTCCCGCCGCGCGTGCCAGTGAAAAAGCCTTCGTACGAAAAGCTCAAGTAATGTTGACCAGATACTCGCCCAGAAGTGTAATACACGCGGAGAAATGCAACTGTAGCATAGCATGCTCTTCTATCTCAATACTCTGCTGGCCGAGCGTGACAACTGAGTGTGACCCGATTCGCGAGCGAGGTCTTCCTGTACAGCCACATAATTTCTCTCTTCCTTCCTGCCACCATCTTTCTCAGATATCTTGCTTCTCGTAGCTAACATCCGGCGGTACTCTCGACTCGGACTTAGGGCCGACGTCTGGGAACTTCCTTTGAGTTCGCTGCCGAATATCGGTCGGTGGCTGCACTCAGATGCGCATATATCCACCTGCAATGGTGCTGACTGGCACGCGTAGCTCTTGCTCTCGGATTTCTCATTCGTTCGCGTCTTTCAGGCCATGCTACTAGTCGTTTCATCCGCTCGGCCTCCAGAATTGGCTGATTAGTGACAAATATAGGTAAGCGCCTTGTTCCTTACCACCATGTTCTTTCCTCAGTCAGCGTATGCCCTAGTGACTGCTTTCTCTTCACCTGCTCAATCCCTTCCCTTCCCTCCTCCCCCTTGCTCAGCTGCTGTGTGGCTCCTTGAATTGAGGTCATCCAGAAGGGAAGCTCGGCTTCACCCAATTATATTCATCCATCAAGATGCCTCTGCGCTCGAGACGGTAATCCCGGTGTCAAATCCAGCTGAAAGAAGGACTCAGAATAGCAATGGCCTCTAGGACAATTACACACCCCGAGACTGTTGCTCTAGTAAAGTCATCATCACTCGTACAATAGCTCCGGTCGAAGGTGAGCAATGATTTTATACCGTTTGCCTCTCGCCTCCTTTGACTATGCTACCCCCTTTCCCTGTAGCCTCACCTCATTCTCCTCCATCTCGCATCTCTCTTACCGCCTTCGGGTTTTCGCATCTTCCCGTTGTTGTGGGCTGTTTCGGGCGGTGTCAAGAAGGTAAGCCGCATCGTCCACGCTCAGACCTTCAGGTCATGTTGAACCCTCTCTTCCCTGTTTGACACAGCTTTACAGGAGCCTTCGCGTCTTTCCTCCACAAGTACGCGATCCACCTACGATGCAAAGGCGGTCAGCCATACAGCTATGGGTGGTGGTAGGCGCAGCTCACGTGGCTCCACATGTTTCGCCGCCGCTGCTGTGCGATCTCGGACAACTTCCTCTGCTCGGCTATACCACTCCCCTTCCTCCGTTGATGATCTCCTCAACTTCTTGCTCCCAAGGCGGTCCAGGGAGACCGCGCCCTGAAGGTTCTCAAGGACGCGCCCGACCGAAACTTCCACTTTCGACGCGTCTCAGGCACCGCTCACGCGCGCTCGGCGATCACCGTGCACACCTTGGAGAGCCTGCGGTCACTTGTAAGTCACCACGATGAGTGTCAGACCTGTACCCATATAACTCTGTACTCCCCAGCGCGTCTCCTTCACTTTCATCCCTCAGCCCATGCGCGGACGCTCGACATAAGGTCCCAGCTTGAACGACACGCCCACTGATCCATCCCCCTTCCCGACGCGCAGTCATGGTTCACCTTGGAATCAAGGACAAGATCCTCTCCCAGCCCCCGAGCTTTGCGAAGAAGAAGCAGTATGAACAGCAGGAAGTTCTGGGCACGGGCAGCTTTGGCAAAGTAGTGGTGCGTGGACTACATTGCAGGCGTTATACGAATGCTCACGATCGGTACAGAGAGCGATATGGTATGTCCCACCTGAGCAGGTCGGGCTCGCCGAGCGCGGCGCTGCAGCCGACCCCAACCCCTCCCCCGGCCCCCCTCGCCCCTCGACCCTCACCCCCGACTCTGCATCCTCTCCCGCGGCGATCAAGGCGCACAGCGTCATGACGAAGGAGGTCGCGCTCAAGATCATTCCCAAGAAGAAGGTCAAGGGCAACGAAGCGAGCGTCTGGGGCGAGATGGAGGTCCTCAAGGGCCTGGATCACCCGAACATCGTGCGCGCGCTGCCCGTCCTGCCGAGCGATCGACACACTGACACCCTCCCCCAGGTCAAGTTCTACGAGTGGTTTGAGTCGAGGACGAAGTACTACCTCTCTTTCGAGCTCGCGGTTGGCGGCGAGCTGTTTGAGCGGATCCTGCAGAAGGGGAAGTTCACGGAAAAGGACGCCGTGAGCGTCGTGAGGTGCGCCATCTCGTCCGCAGCACGGGCGCTTGTTCCCGTCGCTAACGCGCGCACCGTCGCAGGTCCATCTTATCGGGTGTCGCGTATCTGCACGACCATGATATCGTCCATCGCGACCTCAAGTGCGCATCCATTCCCATCCCTCTCCCGTCTCTACTCACAGCTTCACAGGCCGGAGAACATCCTTTACCGCACCCGGGCACCCGACAGCGACATCGTCATCGCAGACTTCGGGATGTGCGTAACAACTCCAATAGTGCCCTTCTGCGGAGGTGCTGACGCCTGGCATGCAGAGCTAAACATCTCCACTCGCCCGAGGAGCAGTTAACCTCTCTAGCGGGCAGTTTAGGCTATGTCGCCCCGGAGGTGCTCACCCACCAAGGTCACAGCAAAGCGGTCGACATGTGGTCGACTGGCATCATCACCTATGTCCTTCTCTGTGGCTACTCCCCCTTCCGCTCCGAAGATGCCCAAACTCTGCTGAAAGAGACCTCCGAGGCCAAGATCGAGTTCCATGATCGGTACTGGAAGAACGTCTCACAAGACGGTGCGTCTATCTGTCTGTACTCCCTTCTTCTGGTGCTCATCGCCTTCCAGCGAAGGACTTCATCAGGCATCTCCTGAATCCGAATCCCAAGCTGCGCCCAACAGCGGTCGAAGCGCTGCACGATAAGGTGCGCATTGTCATGACGTCATCCTAGTATCCTGTACCCTCTGACCGACCCTTCCAGTGGCTGACCGGCCTGCAACCCGACGCCGAGCACGACCTGTCCGAGGGCCTCCGCGCGCACTTCAACCCGCGCAAGCGCTGGAAGAGCGCCATGAGCAGCGTGCGCGCGCTTCGTCGCCTAAACTCCGGCGCATCGAGCAAGTCCGCGAGCAGCGGCGGCTGGCGTGGCGACGACCTCGACAGCGATAGCGACGAGGAGCCAAGGCTAGGTGGTCCGGCGAATGAGGAGAACTCGGACGCGCTGGACAGGATACACGAGGACCACGCAACGGTGGCGGTGATGACGCCGGAGGAGACGGACCATGAGGTCGAGTTGCAGAGGGCGAGGTTGGGCGGGGCGGCGGGGGATGCGACTGCGATACCGAGCAACCCAGCGCCACCGTCCCCTGCAGAGGAGTCAGCGCCTGCACCGCAAGCCGCACCGCCGCTGACGGACAAGACCTCGTCGCACTCCCGGAAAGCGTCGACCGTGAGCTTCAAAGATGGGCGGGAGACGCCCTTGGCCATGCCGGGCACATTCTACGACGACGATACTCCAGCGCAGAACCAGAACCACGACGAGGGCGGGCACTTGTCGTGGGTGGAGATGTTCAAGCGACTGCACTTTGGGGGCGGTCATAAATAGTATTGGCTGGTGCTTTTGGACGTTTGTGTGTCTGGCCTTCTTTTCTTGTTCGCGCCAGGCTTTCCTTCTGCCCGCTCGATTATACCTATGCAACCTCTTTGCCCCTTTGACGGCGCTTTCTTTCCTCAACCGCGCCTCTTCTCCCTTTTGTACATTCGACTGCACCCGCTACTCTCGTCTGCACTCACTTCGGTTTTCACATCTCAAAATCGGACTCTGCACACTCTGTTCTAGCTATCTATCGCGGAAGGTATGCCGCATATTCGCCTGGTAAGATGCCTTGTTAGCGCTGCTTTTTCCCCTTCTACTCTCGCCCTGCGCTTCTCTTTTCGCTTTTACCCTGCGTGCCCCTTTTCGCTTTCGGACTGCATCTCCCCTTCCGCTTTCCTTCTTCATTCTTTTAACGCCTATTCTGCCTCGTTCGGCTGGGTACATGGGATGGACTGATAGAACAATTGTACTTGCAATCTACCTCTGGCTCACTTCACGATGCGGTGACTCCAAATGCCAGGCATCGCAGCGAGGGATGATGGTCTAATCCATGGCGGCACCGCCGTCGACGGATATCTACGAGAAGTTAGGACTAGACTGGGAGAGCTATCCTCGACGTACAGTTTGTCCTGGAATAAAGGTTAGCGAATGTACGGCGATGAACAGACGGAAGTCTACCTGTGATATAGCTAGTATCCTCCTTTGCTAGGAAGGAGACCAGGTTGGCGACATCTTCCGGCGTGCCGTGTCGACGCATGGGGACTTGGTTGGCCCACTAGTCGCGAGGGAGGGTCAGCATGCAGACACAAGCAAACATGAGATGGATATGATATAGAGCGCGAGATACACGAAGCTATGCACCTTCACTAGGGTATGTCCACCGACGACGTCCATGCCTGACGCGGTGACTATGGCAGTTGAGTGCGGCCCCTCTAGCTGAGCACATTGAGAGCGTACCCATCGCGGTCTCCATCATCCCTATACAATATAGTTCAGGAACTTAGCGACCGGCAGGAATTGGCGGTACACACCCGGTGCGTACGCGTTGACAGTGATACCGTGAGGGCCAAGGTTGAGCGCTGCGATGCGGTCAGGTGCGTACATGATCTTGGAATATGGTAGGAGCATACCTGTACACGAGGTTAGACCCCGAACGGCGTACTTGGTGGCTACATAGGACGTTTGGCCGGTCGCGGCTGTTTGCAGATACATTAGACTGAGAAGGCAGCGAGGCGTCGAGGTGAGGACTTACGTCGCTTCCCTGAATGCGAGGAAGCGCCAATGATACGCCCTTGTCTATGGCCCTTCTCAATCATCTTGCGCCCTGCGTACTGATAGCAGAGGAAGCATCCTGTTATGTTCACATTTGAGACGCGGTTGAAGTCCGCGACCGACTCTGTGTACGAGTGAGCGCCAGCGGATAGAGCCTGCTCGACGATGGACACCTTCGAGAAATGGCGCGGGTATCAAGATTCCTGCATTTGCGACCATCTGGCGAAAGTGCAGATGGGGGTGGGGGTGAGCATGTCTTCAGAGACCCCCGCAGTCACCACGCACCACATCGAAGCCGCCAAGCGCATCCGCCGTACCATCGATCATGGCCTTCACATCGCTCTCCTGCGTGACGTCTCCGGGGAAGACAGCAGAGCGCACCCCATGCTGCTCAACGAGACTCGCGACCTCCTTGAGCGCATCGGCCTTCGATGCGATGTCGTTGAGGCTGACGTGCAAGCCGTCTTTGGCGAGACGCAGCGCGATGGCTTTCCCGAGGCCCTGGGATGCACCGGTGACCAGAGCGACGCGGCGAGGATCGGACATGATAGAGTGAGCCAGAGTTCAGGCGGGAGGAAGACGGAGTCTCTTCCTGAGAAGGCCAAGGCCCTTAGCTTTTGAAGGACCGGAAGATGCACACGTCAAGATTCCGGCTCGGGGGCCGCACTTGACTTGTGAAGGAAGGAGGTAGCGAGACCGTATATAGGAGATTGCATTTTATCGATGAGGGTCAGTAGATCAGTGAAAAGCCAGGGAGAAACTTTTCAGACGAGGAGATCCCTGAAATCATTGTTAATCAAGCAACAATGACCTTCGAAGGGTCATGCGCTGCGCAGCGTTCGCTAAGCGGCTGCTGGGGAAATCGGTAAGCTGACATAACTGTATAGAGAAATCCAGTCATCACGCTTTGAAAGCGAAATGAGCGATATCATGCCTTGCGCAAGCGATGAACATTCATGATGGCTGCTGAGAGCAAGGGGCGTGCGAGCAAGTTACGGATTTTACCGGAAGAAATCGTGATTAACACGTGACAAAATGTTGGACTTTGACGAACTAACAACACAGCCGTAGCATTACAGCCATAGTCTGTTCAAACTCAGTGTAAAGGCTAGCTGAGTCCCAAGTGCTCCCTGAGTACCGTCCTCGCAAAATCTTCCACGGTGCCGACCGTTACGCCGAGCGCTTCAAGGCGCTTGTCGGGTACGTTAATCTTGGGGACCAGTCGAACTCGGTTGTTGCATCGTACTGGACGTGTTATAAGCATTTTGGCGTATTTTTCAACTTGAATCAGAAATCCCCTTTTAGCGATACTCACCAGCTCATCCATCGCGGGATCGCCCGTCTTTGCCAGACGCCTGACTTCTACGGGTTTTTCGAGGCCTGTACGATATCAAATTGTTATTTTGACTATGAGTGCACCCCTTCCTGAGTATCCGCCAACGGAGAGCTCGACCCACGCACCTCTGGCCAATCCTTGGGCGAACTCCTCCGTCGTTGCCCTCTGGCTGCCGAGCACAAACATCTTCCTGTCGATCTCGTCTAGCCGCGTCTGATACTGGGTGAAGAGCGCCACCACTGCGCGTCCCATATCGCGTCCAACCCAGGTCTGGATGATAACGCATCCTTTGGGCTCGTGGGTGTTGAGGACGTAGCCGGTGTCGGTCTTCTCAAAGGGGCAGTCGAGGAATCTGAGGGGTGATGTATGGATGAGGACCGCTAGAAAAATGGTACGATAGGGAAGGGAAAAAGACACGCACCCTCGGGTTATGTTCTCCATAAACGACCCTGGAGATATCGAGGCGCAAGGTATTGGGGATGTCTCTAAATACTTCTGAACGGAAGCCTTGTCTGGAGGGTCCAATCAGTGAAGGTCTAGCAAAGAAAGAGCGCGTCACTGACCTTCGAATTCAGACACCTTCGTATACTTTCCATGCGACACATCTCGTAGTCTTGGGAGGGTGCTAGGAGAGAGATATCGTCATGGCTTTACATAGCAAACGAGCTCATATTTGCGCACCTGAAGACGATGAACTTGACGCCAGCGCTCTCGCACGCCTCGACCACGTTGATGCCTTGGGTCTGCTCTGCAACCTCTTCATTCCAGCACAGCGTGACCTTCGGATTGCAAAATTGTTAATCTTGTTCCGCGGGTATACCGAGCAATAAGGATGCAAGAGCCTGGGAGGTGGTGCGAACACTGTGATGGTCACGGTGCAGTTCGTGGCGGCGGCGGCGAGGAGGGTGTTGCCCTCAGCGTCCCTCGTGAACGTCATTTCGTTATCGGGAAGCACGATGGTGGACCGGAAGGCTTTGAGGCTGCCGACTCACCAGAAATACACACTCCGCGCCCGTCACCGCCCTCTGAATCGCCTCCCTGTCATCGAACTTGGCCTCCACGACCTCACAACCTCTATCTACTAGCGCTCTAGCGGCGTCCGATCTCGCATCCGTCGTGACAGCGCGCGGGGTGAAGGTGCCGTCAGCGAGAAGCGCATTGACAACAGAGCTGCCTGAAAGATGATATGTGAGTCGGTCGTGTAGAGTTGCAGAGGGAAGAGCCCTCTACTCACCTTGCAAACCTGTAGCCACGAATACGGTAGCGATACGCGTCATGTTCATATGTAGTATAGTCGTCGGTGAGGATGGAAGGGTAGAAGAGACAGTATCCCCTCGTGCGACTTCCCGCCTTGGCTTTATACGAGCGATAGACGTAACAGTTTAGCACCTCTCGGCAGTCGGCGTCATCCAGAGGCCGTCTCGCGCTCGTCACCTTGTCCACTTCGCCGAGAAGATAGACCGGATATGCATTCCGGCAGTCAGGAGGGTGGTAAATAAGCATATAGACGTACTAGCCGGAGCATCAACTAATCGACGAGCAGGTCGACGTAGGTCACCTGGAGCACCATGTAAGGGCTGCCGACGATCTTCGCTCGTCTTCTGCGTGTCGCTCATAGCTCGTGACGCGGGTCAGGCATTCATCGTAGACGCAGGGCATGTAGCATCCGCTGGGATCTCGCCACGGGAGCAGTCGGGATCGATTTCTTCTCAAGGTGAGAGTACGCGTATGCTCGCGATGATGACGGCTGAAGGCAAGCAGACGCGCCAGCTGGTACGGCAGTTGCCGGAAGTTGTGATCACCACGTGAAGAGAATGTTCAACTCCTGAATTTTAGCTACCTTGAAGGGGTACGGACATTGGGTCCAGAGCACGTATACATCTATGAAGGTACATTGGATACGCCGAGAAATTCTACATATCTTTTACATATTCAATAGACCGTATTTGCACCAGGATATATTAGCGAATTTTGTACCAACCGCCCATAGAGAACAATGGGATTCGCGTGCAAAGTGCGTCGATATATATCGGTGCAAATACGGTCTAATCAAGACAATTGCCGCGCACCTTTCGAGTTCGCCTCTCCGCAAATCTGCCGCCGCTGTCTCCCGCTCGACTGTTCCACGCGTCATGTCCAGGCGCAATCCTCATCCTATCACCATCGCATATCGGGACTCCTTGAAAAAATATCAACAGCCTGTGAACTGCGCGGTCCGAAGTCGAGCTCCTGGGTCCCTCTCGCGTCATCTGCACTCAATGGCCCCCTTCATCACACCATCAGCGGGCTTTATGTCGGGCGGGAGCGCCGGGAGCGCGTTCCCCCTCTCCCCTGTCGAATCCTTCTCTTGACTTGCTCGCCGTCGAGCTCATAGATAACCTTCCGCGAGCCTTGCCATGCCCAATCCTCGTCCTCGTCGCGTTCTCGTCATCGGTGGCGGCGTCGCTGGTCTGGTGACTCTGCGGAACCTAATCAAGCTCGGTGAACAGAAGGGGCACTTCGATCGCATTGAGCTCGTCGAGCGCCGCGATGATGTTGGAGGTGTATGGTACGCGCTGCTTTCTGCCCATTTCGCTCATCCCCACTGTCCCCCATACGTCGATCTCGCCTTCCTGACTCCGATCATCTATCTTATCGTCCCCCTAACACATCTCTGGCCGCGCCTATCATCGACGCGTGCCCCCTTCCTCCACTGTGTTCACCATTCCTTTGCATGCTCACTCACACGCTACCAGGTACCTCGACAACCCACCTCCCAACTCCACCACCCCTCGCTGGCCATCCCCCGCCTACCCAGGCCTGATCGGCAACGTCCTCCCCGAGTACCTCTCCTACTCCGACTACCCTCCCTTCCCCACCCCACCCGGCCACCCTGAGCAGCCCTTCCCCACCCTCCAAGAGACCTACGAATACCTCAAAGGCTTCGCCAACTCCCTCTCGCCCGGCCGCATCCGCCTCAACACCGAGGTCGTGCGCGTCGTCGAGAAGGAGGGGCCCGTGCAGAGCAAGGACGGCGGGAACGGGTGGACTGTGGTGCTGCGGGACTGGAATGAGGGTGGGAAGGAGAAGGAGGAGGAGTGGGACGCGATCGTGAGCGCGGTGGGGTACTATGATACCCCTGTGTGGCCGGACGTGCCCGGGCTGGATAAGGTGCGGGAGGCGGGGCTGGCGGAGCACGCGAAGACGTATCGGGGGCCGCAGGGGCTGGAGGGGAAGGTGAGCCGTGCCTGTCAAGTATCGAGAGTGGGCGTGCTCATTCCTCTACCAGCGCATTCTCGTGATCGGCAATGCGAACTCGTCGAACGACATCGCCGCGCACGCCGCCCCGATCGCGCAGACACCCGTCTACCGCAGTATCCGGCGGCCCGCGCTGTTCAACTTCCCCAGCCTGCCCGATTCGAGAATCAAGGACGTCGCGCCCGTGCGGGAATACGAACTGGTTGAAGGCGATGGTGGAGCGAAGAAGGTGAGTAACCGACTGCTTCCCCCTCCACTCCCTCGACGCTGATAACACCTCCCAGGTCCGCACCACCCTCACCGACGGCACCGTCATCGACGACATCGACGCCGTCCGCCTCGGCACCGGCTACCGCCCCTTCCCCGACTTCATCCACGTCCGTGCGCACCCCGCAGCCATCCCCTCCACCATCGCCGCCCCCGCCTCTCTCATGTCCCCACCCCCCTCCCCGCACCGCATCCCCGCGCTCCACCGGCACATCCTGTACTCCCCGAACCCCTCCCTCGCGTTCAACGGCTCCGCGATGTCGCACACGCCGTTCACGATCGCGGACATCACAAGCGCGTGGACCGCGCTGGCGTGGACGGGCGAGATCGCGTACCCGGAGAGCGTGAAGGAGCGGTTGAGGTCGGAGCAGGAGCGGCTGCAGTGGATCGAGCAGGCGCGCGCGAAGGAGGCGGCGGAGGCGCTGGTGAAGGCGGCGCACGTTGGCGAGGCGGAGGTCAATGGCGCCACCACCAACGGGACCACCACGAACGGCACGAACACAAAGACCACTCTAAACAGCGATGGCACCATGCCTGGCGCCGCGGCCAAGGACGCCACGACCGCCTGGACCTCCGGCCCCTCCGACGGGCTCACCTACAACGTCTTCGGCGGCTACGAGCAGGAGTACGCTGCGGGCATCCGCGCGGACATCGTCAAGGCGCGCCCCGAGCTGCATAGGGTGCTCCCGGAGTGGGACGACGAGCGGACGAGGCAGCGCGAGGCGATGTACGCGCTGAAGTACCAGTCGCTGGAATGGGCGCGGAACAAGCGGGAGGCGGAGGCGAGGGCGAAGCAGGAAGCAGGAACGACGGCGTAGAAGTAGGCGAGAGCAACATGATAACAAACGGCCTTGGCAGTTGTGGCGATGGCGTTGACTGCGTCTCGGGCATGCTCTTGACTATCACCTACTGTCTATTTCGTTCATAAGCGCCGGTATCCATGTTTGTGGCTGCCACTCACTTGTCTATAGGGACGTTCAAAGTTGAAACCGAAACCGACGGTTGCGGTTCGGCCCCAGGTCCGAGGACCCGGAGGAGGGTCGCGTGCGCTCACGTGTGGACCTACAAGCATATATACCCTTTTTATAGGACCCCCCGTACACCTTCCCCCTTACATTCCGCACCTCTCAAAAAACAACCGAATCCTTGTAAGTTATAGCACTATCTTACTGTACCATAATTTACTCCGCAATTTGTCGTAGGTACAAGACGCGGTATACAATCGTATTATCCCCCGTGCGCTCACGTGTTGCGCGTGGTGATGACGTGTACGTTGATCTTCGCATGCACCAGCCTTCGCCATGCCTGCAACGCGGTACATACAGGCGGTATGTGTAGATGTGAGCGCCTCAAGCACCAGAAATACTATAGCTACTTGCTCGACAGATCACTCATGCGACTGAACGAGTAGGACGAGCGCATCCGGCCCTCGGTAAGAGTGAGGACAGTGTAAGCGCAATTCATACCGTTTCATTGTAATAAAGTTAGTAAGGGGACGTACACAAGTTTTGAGAAGTGCTACATGCGGATGCGCACCGTCAGTAGGATACAGCCCGCCGTACTCAGAGCGAACCGTAAATACAACGCCACGCGAAGCAGGCAGCCCCCTTCGGAATGTGCCGCGAGGCCTCGGACCTGGGGCCGAACCGCAACCGTCGGTTTCGGTTTCAACTTTGAATGTCCCTTATGTCATGATTGCCTCCGTCAAGTGCATGTTGAACAGAAACTGTCAAGTTGACAGGATCTTGACGTCGAGTTCAGTCCTGGGAACTTGACAAGTTCAACCTGAACGCTTTTGTTCTCTGCGCTCATCGTGGTTTATTCACAACATCACGAGGCCCGCGTGCCACTATCGCCAGGTTGCCGCCTCGTGTCCGGACATCGAGCATGTCAACACTCGCGTTCTCCGCCCGCGCCCTGGCGCGCAGAAACACCATCTCCCACGACCGCGCTCCCCCTCAGGAATCCTCAGACCCAAGCACCGTGTTGTACACCGAGGCGCGCGATTTGCACCAGAAGCTATTCTTGGACTCCCTCTTCAGCGCGTCGTACACGCGCAAGCTCGCCGAGTGCCGCTGGCGGGACTCAGCATCGGAGACAGCGACGCAGACCTCGCAGGCGGGCTCGGACGACGAGAGCGAGGCGTCGAGACCGCGGAGGACGCGGCGGAGACGGGCGCGGACCGGTGCGTTGACGCGTGCATGTGCTCAGGGAACGTGTGAACTGACGGCGCGTTGGTCAGGCGACGGGGGGCCCGCTTCTTCTCGTACGACGACGACAAGCCCTACACCCAAGACGACAGCAGCTTCACCAGCCATGGCTCGCCATACGTGGATCTCGCTCTGGTTCCTCATCACCGCGCCGGTGAGTGGCGTCGCCACATAGAACGACAACATGCTCATGTTCCCTCTTCAGATCGTCCTATGGGACTCAGGATACCTATTCCTCCGGTGAGCGTGACTTTCAGTGCAGGTCGCGCACGGTGGCTAATAGGGGCATTGCAGACCGCGCTCTATGCTTGTAAGTGCGCCACACTGATCGGCGGGCTGGGCGCTAAGCGCTTATGCAGGGCGGTGACCTACATTGGATCTGGAGCCCGTACGAAATATACCAAGAGGTGCGTCGCCACACCATATCGTCTGTACGGATGCTCATCATGCTACAGATCGACTGGGTTTACGGAGTCAGAGCCCTTGAAGATGGCGATGGTGCGTGCCAAACCCCTTACCCTCTAGCTCCATCCTAACTCCTCTCCCAGGCTTCCCCAACGCCCAAGCCTTCCTCAACGTCATCGAAACCGTCCTCAACCTCATGTATCTCTACCTCGCACACATCTCCGACTCTCCCAAGGCCCCCCTCATCGGCTTTGCCGCTGCCGCCATGACGTTGTGGAAGACCGTGCTGTACGGGCTCCAGGAGTTCTTCTGCTCTGGCGCGGGGTGCATGACGGCGCATAATAAGTGGCTGGATATGGTGGTGTTCTATTATTTGTGAGTGGGCATGTGCTCGTAGGACGGCGGGATGGGATCGCTGACGGAAACTTCGTTCGTGTTTTCCCCATTCTACGCTCGACCTATAGACCGAATGGGTACGTTTGCGCTCCTCACTCTGCACTGGTCCGTGGGACTAAATAGCGACTTTCGTATAGATTCTGGCTCGTCTTCCCGAGCGTCATCGTATATACCCTGGGCAAGGACATAGCCCACTCGTTGTGGGCAGCGTCCCGCTTGAGCGATGGCGGGCGCGCGGGTGGGAGGAAGGGAGCGAAGGTCGAATGAAGGAAGTGAGGTCTCTTGTGGTCGCGTCCTATGGCGCGCGATATGTCGTGCTATAGGCGCGAGGCGGAGGATATGGTGAGTGCCGCTTCACTGGCTCTGCTCTCTGTCCGCTCCGCTTCCCATGCGATCTATTCATGTCAGTGTACAGATGCTGATTCTCCTTGCCACAGAACTCGCGAAGGCAAAATCTCATGCGAAAAGTGAACGCTATCGGTATATGTGGAATGCATGCTCGCTGTAACTGTTATGTTTTGTACGCTCGTGCTATGTACTTGCTTTGGATTGGAGGCCGGAGTGGCGAGTTGCTGTTGGGCAGACGTGATATGTGGGAGGTCAGGTGAGTGGCAAGTGCGAGCCTCGAGGGGCGGGGGACGGCTAACGGTGCGTGGCGAAATCATGGCACGCGAGGCCTGAAATGCCAACGCAGGGGCAGGTGGGTTATTGTGCACGGTGAGGTGCCGTGCTGGAGCGAAGAAAGTGGCTCTCGAGGCAGAGGCCACGGAGAGGACGACGATGGAACGAGTGGCGAATGTGTGGCGGGTGTGACGGCTGGCGTGGTGGCAAAAGTCGAAGTTGCGTTGGGCGCGTGAGGCGATCCAGGACCACCTGCCAGGTGACGGCTACAGGTATTCTCGCGCGTATCGTGAGCGGGGACACCGTACACCGGCGCATGCCAGCAAGACGCAAAGGAGAGACTGCTTGGCCAGAAACTTGTATCCGGGAAGTGGCGAACGCATCGCAGGAGGGAGACTAACAACGATATCCAGAAGTTCTTGGAAGAGAGGTGTACCTCTCGCTGGATGTTACGCGACGTAAGATGAAAAGTACCGACAGCGACCACTGACAAATCGAGTATCCTGCCTTGTCTTTGGCGACCAAAGGGGATACCCCTCCACCTTCCTCTAAGCCACGATAATGGAACACGCCAGCTCCACGCTGTACCGCGAACTTCTACTGTGCGCCGGGCACAATCTAGAGCGCCGGTACGATGGAGAACATCGCCGAGCCAATGAGACCGCAAAAACCTTTCACCGCGCCATTATCCTTTTCACCGTAAAGACCTCCCAAAGGATTGGGTTGCGTGCCAAAGGGATGCCCATAACAGGAAGGTGCGAGCCTCGAGGGCCGTGAGATTTCTTCCGCGCTGATTTTGTGCGGCGAGTTCCGGGCGGCGCGCTTCCTCTTGTACTTCTTCAGCTCCGCCTACGCTGATTTGCCATTCTTCCTGATCCAGGAGCACGCTGACTTTCCTGATTGGTATGGTTCCTCGGCAATGTCCCCTCGGTCAAGGCGTGGGCGTTGAGCTCTCGAAGTTTCATTTCGGCGATCCACGAGGAGTCTCTCGGTATTTTCCGCTGCGGCGTCCCTCGATGATCTGCTTGTTCATTTGCTTTTGGAGAGGTGCTTCTTGTTTTCTGCCAATAGGCACCACTTGCACTTGGACTCGGCGCCCACAAAGCTCTTGCAAATTGCGGGGCAGTCGACGCTATATAAGGCCCAGCTATTGCGTCTAAGGCCCTCAGTCTTCATCGTCGTCCAATTTCCCTCCTTTGCTTTCGCCACCATTGACGACAACAATGGGTCGCCAAACGCCACCCAAGCCCAATGCTACGAAATCCCAAAAACAGGCAAAATCACCCAAGCTTAAGATACGGCAAACGCCCAACGCGTTCTTCCTCTTCCGCACCGATTTAGTGGCCGAAATCAAGCGGAAGAAGGTTGACATTCCGCGTCAGTCCGATGTCAGCAGGCTTGCTGGTACGTTATTAATGCACCGGTCCCCGTCAGCGTTGTTCACTCGTCGCTAAAGGCTTTTTGTGGGCAGAGGATATATCCCATGATGAGAAATCGTACTACGAGGACGAAGCCGCCGCACTCAGAGAGAAAGCTCTCCAGGAAGAGCAAGCTCGCCAGGAAGAACAAGTTCGTCAGGAGGCAGATCGCAAGCGACTTTTCAAAAGGAGACGCAACGGTGCGTGACTTGCACTGCGGATGGTCAAAATGGGTTTCTGAGTACTTGGCAGAACGGTGTTTCAGCAACACTGATAGCGAGGAAAATAGTGACGAATCAGAGGATAGCGCGGAGGATGAGTCACGACTAGCTTCGAATGCACGCACCGTCAAACGCCGAAAAGTTCTACCTAAAAGAGAACCCTTGCCACCGCCTCCTACCTCTTCTCGGAAACGCAAGGCTAAACGGCCAGCGCACCCTGCGTCAGGTCATACCTCTGCGCCGTCTCGCAAGCATACTCCGCATCCCGGCGACGTGCAATCAGCACTAACAGCGGAACTTTCATCATCGGCACCCAAGAAACCACCGGTTGATCTATCGTTCGTGCCTACTGTAGTCGATTTCCTTGCAAAGCTCCGCGCTCAGGGCACAAACGACGGCGCGGACGCCAATCCGTCGCTCGAAGATGATCACCCTGTCAAGCCCCATCAGGCTCAGTCAATGCCATCATCGCCTGCATATAGACCGAACGAGATCCCACCGTCAGGCGAGGACGCCACGTCGTCGGGCTTCTCAGATTCCGCATGGGACTCGATGCTACGCACTCTCCACAACAACGAGGACGCCTTAAATGAAGCCACTGACGACGCCGATCTATTCGAGGATAATTACTCTGTCGTACCTCGACATCCTCTATCTGACCTCGACGTAGCAAGTCATTACGACGTGCAGCCCGCGTCGTCTGTATCGGCAATGCCGCAGAGATCGCCTCAGTACGAAGACGGTGGGACGGCGCCCTCGGGCGTGGGGGCAACATCGTGCCTCCCATTCTCCAAATGCATCCCGAGCACGCATGCACACGTCAACGACTCAGGCGCCTTGGACGCAGCCGAAGAGGCCGAGACCGCCTCGGATGGCACCATCTACGACCAGGTCAACGACTGGTACCAGAAGAGTCATGCGGCGGACCCTTGCTGCAGTGGCACGGACTATGGCGTAGCAGCAGACAACAACTTCGATCTTCAGGAGCTTAGCTGGTTGCGCTCCCAGGGCCCTTCGACAATGCCGGTGGAATGCTCTCATGCTTCCGACGATCTGCCCTCGATGGGCGTGTCGCCTCTCCTAGAGGAGCATGCACAAGCGCCGGTGGGCGGCGGTGCGGCGGTTGCGGATTCCTCTTCACTTCTAGACCTCTTTCCTCTCCCTGAAAGTACCAGCTTCTCACAAGCTGTCCAAGAGTGGCGTCTTGCATCGTCGTAACCTCTGCATTCATCTCGTGTCATCTCTTCTCTTTCACCTTGATCTTCATCTTGATTTTCAGCCTGATCCGGACGCTCACTCTAGAACTCTATTTCTGATTGTCGTACCCTATTGTACCTTGTAGTCACCTGTATACCCATTTCCCCTGTCTTGACAATGCATAATCATTTAGCGGACGATTGCTCACACTGCGTCACCTGAATTGACGCACGTTTGCGCACCACGACATGAGTATCGATGCAGTCAAGGCATGTGAATTGGGATCCTTCCTAGTCCATATGCCACCCGCCGTCGATGGATATCTGCATCTCACAAGATCAGAAACCTGACGACATAAAGCTGGACAATACTCACCGTCTGCCCCGTCATATAGCTCGCCTCCTTGCTTGCGAGGTATGACACCAGATTGGCGATGTCTTCCGGCTGGCCAATACGCTTGACGGGCACGGAGTTGGCCATCTACGAGACAGCGATGAGAATCGGGGCTGATAAACACTGTAAAGTGTCGCACGCCTTCCATCGTGAACCCACTTCGACCAGTCGCCAATGAGACGCGAGCTAGGAAGGTATTGGTGTGGCTCAGAGAGATGATTTGCGAACGGCTCTCACTCATTTCCGTATCAATTCCACCTGCGTTCGTTGTCATTCCCAAATCCGTTGAAAGGGTCAAAGAATCGTACCTGGAGCGTACGCGTTCACAGTGATCCCATGCGGACCAAGTTCATGAGCTGCGAGGATAAGTCAACGTTAGACCGCCCAGCAAATGATCCAATTGAGACCTACCGGCGCTCTGCGTGATCCCTCGGATGGCAAACTTGCTAGCGGAGTATGCCGCGGTGTTCGTGTAGCCTGTTCATGTGCGATGATCAGCCGTGCAGACCATTGCCTTCATGTCGTATTCCGAGCGTGTACCCGTTTGAGGGTGTTCTCTTACCGTGTTTGCCACATATTGAGCAAGCTGCAATGAGGCGGCCTTCGTGATGCCCTTGCGCCAGAATCTGGCGCGCGGCATGCTTGAAGGCGAGGAAGACGCTGCGCGCGTTCACGGCCATTTGTAGGTCGAAGCCCTCGCTTGTCTCTATAGGTGACTATCTCAGTTACAAGTAAGATAGGGCCAATGACATTAGAGACTTACCTTCCAACAACGACCTCGGGATGGAAATACCCGCGTTCGCGACTATCTGGTCCGCAAGAGGCGCCAATAAATGGCAAAGCAACGAGTCCCGCGAGACTTACCACGTGAAACCCACCCAACACCTCCGCCGCGCCGTCAACCATGTTCTTTACGTCCTCTTCGACAGACACGTCGCCGGTAAACACTGCCGCGCGCCCGCCGCCCGAGTTGATCAGCTTAGCTACATCTTCCAATGCCTCCCGCTTTGCCGGAAGGTCCGAGAGTGCGATGGCGAAGCCGTCAGAGTTCAGGCGCAAGGCAATGGCTTTGCCGATGCCTTGGGCCGCGCCGGTGACGAGGGCGACGCGGGCGGAGGTCATGATGTAAGTTTAGGAGGGAAGGAAGCAAGGGAGAGCCCGAGACGCTGGGAGGGAGGAGGAAGGAGGAAGGGGTAAAGAGGTTGAGTGGGTTATAAGCATGGTCGCATCATCGATAACGTTAGTATTCGACACGCTGCTGATACCGATGGTGATGGGAGTGAATGCTCCGGGAGGTACCTTGTGTGACTAGGAACACAAAGGCTTGAGCATTCCTCGTAGCCCACATATTCGCGTCAGTCGTGCCCTTATACGCAAGACAAACATTCGAACATCATCAACATTATTACTTGGGGGAGAGTGAGCGAGCCATAGGTCTCGGCGGTCAGAACGCAGGGAAAAGCAGTAAAGCAGTTGGACATGGCATTGACCGAGCACATATCCAGGAGACCTGCGCAGCGGTACTTTCTCAGCAGCACATCAGCACAGAGAGTACAGAGGGATAAACGAATAAGGCAAGAAACCAAAGGTGGGTCCAGCTTCGGAATTTGCCGAACGACCAGCTGATTGTAGTTTGTGTCACGTGGGTCAGCCACTCACATCACGATTTCTGAAGCTGCTCGTCGCCGTCGCCATCCTCAAGCTTCAAGCTCACCTCAAGCAGCCTCAAGACCCAACAAAAATGGTGAGCAATGAGAGCGCAAGGCTCGGAGCCAAGCACACATTCCTTGGACGATGAGGATCGTGAGGTACGTGGCAATGTCATCCTGCTATCTCTGTCGTCTGACGATCGCCAAGGTCTCTACGATCTCCCCATCGTTCCTAGCAGAGTTGCCTACTTCATGTAGGCAATGATGACGCTATCTATGTGCTGGGCCCGCGACTCTCGTGGTCGCGGGCGTTAGAGCTCCGAGTCTCGCAGTGTTATCCTTGCGATACATTGTGCTGACCCGTCTCAATGACCAGGCACCCAAGAAAGGAACTGGCAAGAAGCCCGCCGCCGCCCCCTTCGGCGCCAAGGCCTCCACGAAGGCCAAGAAGAACCCTCTCTTCGAGGCTCGCCCCCGTAACTTCGGTATCGGTGCGTCTCATACGTGTCGTCGAGCAGTAGTGCAGGAGCTGACAGCGCGACAGGCCAGGACATCCGCCCGAAGACCGACCTCACCCGCTTCGTGAAGTGGCCCGAATACGTCCGCCTCCAGCGCCAGAAGGTCATCCTTGCCCAGCGCCTGAAGGTGCCCCCCGCGATCGCCCAGTTCTCGCACACTCTCGACAAGAACACGGCGACGCAGCTGTTCAAGCTCCTGAACAAGTACCGCCCGGAGACGAAGCTCGAGAAGCGCACCCGCCTCGAGCAGACCGCCACTGAGGCCGCCGCCGACAAGGAGAAGAAGGTGCGTCTGCGTGCATTTTGTGTCCATCTGACTACGGGTGACTAACGTTGCGTTTGCGCAGGATGACACCAAGAAGCCTCTCTTCGTCAAGTACGGCTTGAACCACGTCGTTGCGCTCATCGAGGCCAAGAAGGCGAACCTCGTCGTCATCGCGCATGACGTTGACCCCATCGAGCTCGTCGTCTTCCTCCCTGCGCTCTGCCGCAAGATGGGTGTCCCGTACGTCATCGTGAAGGGCAAGGCCCGCCTCGGGACGGTCGTCCACAAGAAGACCGCCGCCGTCCTCGCTGTCCAAGACGTCAAGTCCGAGGACCAGCGCGAGCTCGCCACCCTGGTTTCCGCCGCCAAGGCTAACTTGTACGTCGATCTTATCTCCTTCGTCAGCTCATCCGCTAACGTTCTTTCAGCTCCGACAAGTACGAGGAGCAGCGCCGCCAGTGGGGCGGTGGTGTCCGTGGCTCGAAGTCGACCCAGATGCTCCGCAAGCGCGCGAAGGCTGCTGGCCAGAACATCAACGCCGCCACCGTCAACAAGCTCTAAGTTGTTGACCCGCACTCGGTCTAGGCTGTCGGTTATCTTGAGGTTGTTTATGGGGGCCATCGTCCACTTATGCTTTTGTATGCAACATCATATGTCTATGTAACACCGCTGCTGCATTCAGCACACCATCTTATTGCATTGCGTCGAGCACCGCTCCGTAATTCAACATGTATTGTCGTGTTCGACGTTGTCTAATGTCCGTGCTGCCATGGTACGTTGAAAGCAAGGGCCTGCGACGACGAGGGGTTTTCTTCGGATTATTTCCTCTGACCCTCCGGGCCAAATTTAACCCAAGATTCTGGCAATGACCTGGTGCATACCTGATGCTCTCTCAACAGCTGAGCAACCCTCCGCCATTGGCATCCCTTGAGGGGATGGGTCCTGTGCAAAAGGGTGGGTTCACTTGGAACTCAGGAGGGATCTGCCAGCTGTCCTGAAGATGCGACGGGTTTAAATTCCCTAAAGGGCGCAAGTTCGGCCCTTTTTGCTTCGGTTTGCTATTTTCTTTTTTGTCCCTGCCCTTGTCCGTTGGCATCTCAAGAATGCATGCAAGCACAGCTGGCCACGGTTTGCGAACAGGATGCGGTAGCGTGAACGTCTGCTGCTTCTTGTGATCACACCGTTTACTCCCGTTTGCCCCCGCCCCGCTTCTTCCGATCCGATCTCCTATTGACGCCCGATCTGCAGTCCCTCTGCATCTTCGAGGTCACTTTGCCTTTCTTCTCTGTCAGTGTACCCCTTCTCGATGTCATCTCTCGAAAACATGAGCGCGCCATCGTTCTCCCCGACCTTGACCCTCAAAGATCGTGAACACAAAGCTTGACGCCGACATGCGCGCCCGCGTCCTCCTGTTGGCCGGCACGCCTCTCGCCCTTGCTCAAACGACGACCTCGATTACAGACGCTTCGGCTTCAAGTTCTTACGCGCCTTCCTCGACTAGTTCGGCCTACTTGTCCTCCTCGACGTCCTGCACCGACTCGACGAGCACGCCTTTCCTCGGCGGGTCCAATAATCCTTCTGGATTCTCCTCCGACTCGTCGTATGCGTCAGGATCCTCCACGGCGAGTTCCAGCGGAGCATCATCCATGTCTGCATTCTCCGACGGCGGCGATCACACGGTAAACACGACCTTCCTCGACGCGCTCGCCGCACATCTCGAGCTGTCGGGCCTGACGACGCTCGCGGGACTGGCGCGCGGGAATGCGAGCGCGGTGCCAGGCGCGAGCACGACGGGCGATGCGACGCCGATACAGGAGGTCTTTAGTGTGATGGCGGACGAGGGTAGCGGGAACGCGACGAACGCGACGGGCTGGGTGTTGTTTGCGCCGAGTAATGAGGCGTGTGAGTGGTCCGGGGTTGTCTTGTACGGGAGTGGCAAGCTGATGGGCGAGGAATTACAGTCACCAGCGCCCCGAAGGATATGCTGTCGGACGCGGGACTGCTGGCACGCGTGCTTTCGTACCATATTGTGCAAGGGAACTTCTCGGTCGGTGCGTAGCTTTCGTCGGGCAGTCGTTTACGCGTCTAACCCGTCCACCTAGGAAATTCGACCACCCCTCAACTCTTCACCTTCCCGCACCCCTACCACACCATCGGACGTACCGTCCTCTCCGGCGGCTGCGCCAACTCATCGTGGGCGCACTGCACCGCGGTCAATCTAGAAGCGGGTCGTGCGCAGGTGGTGATCTGGACAAACGCGACGATACCGGCGCTGAAGGGGAATGACGACGACGCTGTGACGCAGACGGCGGGCGGGAAGAGAGATAAGATGGCCCTCGCCGCGAGGGGCAACGACGACTCGAAGGGCAAAGAGCTGACCAAAGGCGCGGCGCAGATCTTGAATCAAGGGTGCGTAGGCTGCAGTCTGACATTGTTCTCCTTGAACGGTGGGCCGACATGGTTCACAGCGCCGTCAACGTCACCGTCCTCAATACCACGCTCTTCGGCACGAACATTCTCGTCAGCACCGTTGACGCTGTTCTCCACCCACCTGGACCTTTGACGCAGGTACTGAACCAGCCGGAGAACAATCTCACGAGCTTCGCTGCGTTGTTGGATAATTGGAATGTGACGGGGGATATGGGTGGCGCGTGGGTGGATGGAGGGAAGGATACGAGTGGGGATCCGGCGTTGATGGGGTTATTCAATCGTGAGTCTGAACTGCTTCGGCGGCAGTCGGGTGGGGAGGGAAGGCGGGAAAAAGACGCTGACGATGACTCAGATTCCGCCGGCTATACGGTCTTTGCGCCGACGAACGAAGGACTCATCGCGGCGGGGAACCAGCTTTCGAGTTATGCGAAGAACGATACAGCTTTCGATGTGTTGGTTGAGAATCATGTAAGCTGCGCTCCTCTCTTCCGCATCACTCCTCGCTGTTCAGCACCTTTCTATTCGCCCACGTATCTCCAGTTATCCTCCGTATACTAATTTCACCTTTCAGGTCATCAACGGCACGACGCTCTACTCCTCGGAGCTCTTCCCGCCGCCGACGCCAGAGGGGATCGTCATCCAAGGAAAGCTGGTGCAAAACTACACGACGGGTGCAGGGGAGACTTTGAGCTTTACAGCGAATGAGACGGGGAGGTATGTTTGGAGTGGTAAGTGGTCGTGGCCTTCCTTCAGTCGTGGCCTTGCAATGGCTTCATCTCCGGGAACGCGGCGAACGTTGCGACTAGGCTGATTTACGAACCTCTTGCAGGCGACCCGCCGTCCGCGAACGCGCGCATTCTACATACGGATGTCCTGACGGATAATGGCGTGGTACATGTTATCAGCAATGTGCTGTTCAACTTTGACGACGATTGGGGGAAGGCGAAGGATGCGTGAGTGACGGCTCTTTTCCTCTCCTTTTCTCCCCCCCTACCTTCGCTCTCTCCTTTCTCCTTGATCCCCAATCCCCTCGCGTTAACAATCGACTGACTAAGCACATCTCTTTCCAGCTACACCGCCGCCACCGTCAGCGCCGCTGCCGCCACCTCCGCGCCCACAGGTCCCATCGCCATGAGTACCTCCCTCAGCGCAACCGCGACGCCGACGAGCTACTACTTCGACGATGGGTCGGGTAATGGGGTGTGGCCGAAGTTCGGGGATATGAACGGGTCATGGGCGTATTTGATTGCGATGGTGTGGTTGGGGATTGGGGCTGCTGTGGTGGTGTAGTTGGGAAGCTTTCCCGCAGCCCGCAGCCTTTCATTGCAGTGGTTAGACTGGGAGCGTCGCTGGTCCAAGGCCAGTGCATATAACGACACCTCTGGGTGTTCGGCGAATGCCGAACCACGTGCAATAACTTCTTTGCTTCCGAATCCGCATCCGGTAGTCTTTGTGTTGAGCTTTCCAGGCGGTTGAGTGTGCAAACCTTCCGCACAACGCTGCGTTCAGCCTCATGGAATATGATAACGAACAGAGGGAATTTGGGAATACGATCGCACCTTGAGACGACGGCCTCCTGTGAGACCCGGCTATAAAATGGTTTGTCTAGCTGTTCATTCCCTGACGTCTCAACGAGCACTTCGGCCAGCGCTACGGTGGTGAACCAAACGCTCTTCCCACTGAAAATAATAGATGAACGCCTGGAAGCTCCCCGCGCAAGTGCAGTCTTTGAAGGCATTTTGTACGACAGCGTCAAGGATTCGTGTACCGCTCTCAAGACTCCTTAGTTACATTGCGGATCAATAGTCTTACCTACTCCCAGCCCCAGGCGAGGAAGAAATCTCTGGGATGGAAAGTATCAGCTGACGTGTCAGTACCCTTTGTGGGTCCAGATCGACAATTGCAAATTCCCCGATCTGGGGAAGGTGATCGCGGCGTACCCGAAATGTCGAGATCGCGCCTTGTCCTTCGCCACCATGTTTCTCTGAGTTTACGAACCCCAAGCAACCTGTTAATTCTACCCGATTACCCTCACGTCCTTGGCTTTGAATATGTGGTATCCGTCCCCGCCTGACCCGGTGAGCGCGAACCCTGCAGCGTCGTCGGGCAGTGCTGACTCCATCGCAACAGAATCCGGGCACGGCTGCACCGAGCTTGCTCTCTCTGTCGATAGCGGCGGAGACGGCTGCCCCGATCCCGGTCGAGGCGACGACGGAGACCCAGGCGCCTGGTTCGGAGGCGACAACGGACGGCGGCCATGATGCGGATCAGCAGCAGCAGGGCTCCCTGAGCACCAGCGTCGGCGCCAAGAACCGCAGGCTGTCCGCTGTGACGAGGGGGAAGCGTCTGAGCGACGCCAAAGAGGCTGCCATGCGTCCTTCGTGCGTTGATCACTTATGCGGGTGGCCAGCAATCGGTGACTCACCCTACCTACAGCCCGGTCGGATCCCTGTCCATGTCGTCCCTTTCCATTTCGTCTTCCCCTGGTGCTCCTCACCCACCGGCCGCACGTTCCTCGTCCACCCATGATATTCCAGTCATCGAGGCCACGTCCACGTCTGCTTCCCCGCCCGCGGTCACGGCACCCATAGCGATCGGTCACGGCAAGCACGCCAAGAAGCGCGGGTTGGAGTACAAGTGTGAGAGCTGCAGCAAGGTGGGTGCATCTGGAATATATGCGTGCCGAGCTTCGTCGTTCCCAATTTCCGGAGTTGCTTGGGCAAGGTCGCTGCGCGGGTACGCGTCGGCGCTCCGCTAATTCATGATGACGAGTTAAGGCCTCGACTGTTCTCTTGATGGCTATACTCTTGGGTACAGCCCCTTGTTTATTCGACGAACCATTTCTCTTTCACCCTCATTCGACCCTTCTCCGCGGTCTGCTGACGTCTCCCTCAGGTCTATCGCCACCCCTCCTGCCTCATCAAGCACCGGTGGGAGCACACGCCGCACTGGCGTGAGGCTTCAAAGTACGTCCTCAGCAAGCATCAGCAGGTCCAGCTGCTCGAGGCCGCCGCGATCCTCTCGCACATCTCGCCCTCTGCGCAGGGTGGTACCTCGCTTCCGGAGGACAGATCGCTTTGGCCGAGCTTCCTCACCGGCGGCAGCTTGCCGCGGGAGGATAGTGGAGCTGCAGGCGGATGGGGCGAGGGGTCGGGCAGCCTGCGCTGTGGGGAGCCCGGTGGGCGCCTGCGGCACGAGGAGTCCTCGTCTCCGCAAGGTCCGCACACGTCAGCGTCCGCGCCCATTCGGCGCGCAGGCTCGACGGGTCCCCGTCTACACGACTATTCGGTCCCGGAGGCTGCAGGCGGTATTACGCATCTGCGTCCTGGTATCGTGGGCGTGCCCACTGGTCCGCCTGCGGTCGAGGAGATCTGCCTCTCGCCGTTCGGCGTGACGAGCGCGCCAGTGCGTGTCTCTCCTGTTAGCGCGCCCGAGCGTGCTGTCAGTGCTGCGTCGTCACCCTCCCATGCTCCGCCCTCGAGCGCGCCGGCGCAGGCTTGGGGGTACGGCCGCCAGTCAGTGCGCACGCCCTCGTCGCTGTCGCGCTCTTACTCGGGGAGCGCGAGCGATGACGATGAGAGCGTCGTGGTGGACATTGACGACGACGCCCACAACGCGACGGGCGCGGGCAAGGGATCGCACAACGCGTATTTGGGCAGCGTTGCCAACTCCTCGTACTTGGGCAGCGCCAACGCGTCGTACCTCGGCAGCGGGCCTCCCTACGTCGGCCAATACGGCTACCTCGGGATGGCAGGCTATATGAAGCCGGAGGATGATGATGACTTCCCCATGCGCCAGGACGAGCTGGATCTTCGCGCGAAGCCAGCGGTGAAGCAGCAGGACGAGTGGGGCGGTATGGACGTTGATATGGATATGGATTAGGCGGGCTGGTGGAGGAGGGAGATGAGGTCGCAGAGGTGGAAGACGAGGTTGTATGCTCTGACTCGCTCGGTTGGTCCCTATACGTCTCTCACGAACTTGTATGCTCCTCCCCTCACGACATTCATGCCTTACCTCTTCTCCTCTCACCCGCCGGCTCCTACGAAGGGTTCTTCGCCAGTGCCTACGCAATATTCGTCTCGCTTGTTCTCGATACCTACCTACCTACCTATTCTCGCTACTTGTTATTCGCTCTGGAAATGTGTACATATCTATTCACGAAGTGGAACGTCTCGCAAATGTTACCGCGCTCTGTGTACATATATTCGTGCGGCTGGTCGCCAAGAATGGACAATGTAAATATATACTCGATCATGATGCTGCCTGAGTGTGAGGGTAAGGGAATCATGCCGCAAAGCACTTGGGAGCTCACTGCGTCCGCGCCACTTCCTCGTATTTAAGCCATGGCGTTCGGGAGGCGATCCGCGCCGTTTTTTTTGGTACAGACTTCCGCTTACCTTGTCCCTATGCGATTGTTTCCTGCCCTTCGTAAATGGACAGGCGTATCTCACCGTATAGTTATGGAATGGGGAAAGCTTACTAGATAGCAGGAAGCAAAGTCTATGTCAACGTTGATCAAATGCTCACGTGCTTCGGCTCTGAAGCTCCTGGTCTTGGCGCAATGTTCCAGAGAAAATGGCGCCCTCAGCGCACGGGAACCTTTGCTTGCGCGCCTCCACAAGCAAAGCAAAAGGGAATGTCGGTAGCAGGATTCGAACCTGCGGCTTCTCGGCTGAAATCGACCACAACGAGATGATTTCACCCCTAATCGATACCGACTTGGTGAACGGTCGAAGCAGAACAATCTCTACGCCTTAAGACAGCATCCTGCTTAGTGGTAAGATCCATAGCTCCAGCCTGTCCTGATTTACTATCACATACCCTGCTCACCTCTTCCCACTCAGAAACTCAGGTGCTGTATGCCTTGGACCAACCAGCTCGCTCCATAACTTGAAGCAACTGGACGCCACATGGCCGCCGGTTTCTGATCACCGTCGAGCGCTTATCTCTTTCGCAGACACATCCGCGGCGCGCTATGGCGCTATTGATCATCGTGCCTACGCATCGCGTGGGCGCTGGATATACAAGGATGAGACGCGCGTCTTGATCCTGCCCTTCAGCGAGGTACAAGACGCGTCTTTATAGCTGCGAGAACAGCAATCCGCGGGCCCGCAGTAGACGCGTAAGCTAGCCTTCCTTGCTATATAGGCGTAAGTTCTGGGGGAGGGCTAATAACTGGAGTCTATTCCTTGCCATGTATGTTCGCGCATCGCTCCTCAAGGATTCTACACTGACCCAATCATTGTCCAGGGCGCCTTCGACTTGGGCAGACTTGCGGCTGCTCCCTGCTTACGCGTCGCTGGTATCCGTGATTGTCTATGCGCTCACGCCCATCTTGCGTGGGGAGCCGCGTCGGAAGGTGGAAGGGATAGGTGCACATGCAGCAGATGACGCGTCGGCGTACGCGTCCTTCATGTCCAAGGAGGTACGCGCGTACCACCTCTTGAGGGTGGTAGGATGTCTTGCTCTAGTCGGCGTCTCTTTCGCCTCCGCTGCAGCTGCGGGCTCGCTCGTCGAGGCTTCACTCTGCGCATCCTTCGTAAGTAGCTTCTCCGGGCATTCTACGCACCCTGACCATGTTCATAGTGCTATGCGACCGCCCTCGCGTGCGCAGCCATGAGCCGCAGGCCGCTCGCCCATTGCTCGACCTTGCACTTGACCGCGATACTACTCGTAGCGTTCGCGGTATACGTCGTACGCGACGTGGCGCCTCTAGCTTTCTACGGCGGTCGTCCGATGGACGCGACAGGACCATTACTATGGATCACGGTTGGACTTCTTTTGGTCACCGGGATCGTCCTCCCGTTAGTCTCCCTGGGGACGCATGTCCCCGTCAACACAGACGTAGGTACAAACCAGACCTTCCTCTATCTTGAGTCTGATCCCCGCTCAGGAGCCTTTGCCCCCGAGTCCCGAGCAGAAGGCGTCCGTCCTCTCCAAACTGACCTTCACCTTCCTCAATCCCATCATATCGCTGGCGCAGCAGAAGACGACGATCACCCTCGAGGACCTTCCGCCAATCTCGGACACGGACGACGCCGGGTACTTGAAGGAGAGGACCTTCAAGGTTCGCTGGGCGAAGCTGTCACCACGAACCGTACTGACCGTAGCGCGCAGACCCTCGACGTTCTCGGCGGCAAACGCAAGCGCCATATCTTCTTCGGATTGGCCAAAGTCTTCCGTCTCGAGTACTCCTTGTTGGTCTATTCGCTCGTGATCCAGGTCTTCGCCAACTTCGCTGCACCTGTGGGAGTCAACAGGATTCTCCAGTACGCCATCACTTACTCTACATTGAGCTTTATATCTGATAGACTTCCAGCTACATAGAGAACGGCGCTGCCGAGCTGATTGTACGCCCGTGGGTTTGGGTCGCCTTGCTCTTCGTAGGGCCGACTATATCGTCATTCGCGCTGCAGTGGTACATCCATCTCGCCGTGCGTCATCTCCCCCTTGCAACAGAACTTCGTACTGATCGACTTTTCAGACACGCACGACCATACGTGCGGAGGCCATTATCACGCAGCTTATATACGAGCACGCCTTGCGCTTGCGGACGAGCTCCGGCTCGGCCAAGCGGTCAGACTCTGAAGACGATGCCCAGCCTGACACGGACAGCTTCCTCGGTCGCCTCAACACGCTCGTCACCACAGACCTGCAGAACATCATCAATGGAAGGGACTTCGTCCTCATTCTCGTCTACATCCCTCTGAATGTTGTCGTCGGCATTGTATTCTTGTATTCCATCTTGGGGTGGAGGTGAGCAGGCATCTCATGAATGAAAGAGTAGCGAGTTGACGCATTTCAGCGCGCTTGTCGGCTTGGGCGTCATCATCCTCTCGTTGCCCCTTCCGAGCATCTCGGCGAGGCTCATACAGAGGCTCGATCAAGAGCGCCTCAGGCGGGTCGACGCTCGCGTGCAGATCATAACCGAAGGTACGCCTTCTCGATAGCTTCAGCGGGGGCTCCGTCCTGACGTGGCGCGTTCTTGCAGTCCTGAGCGTCGTCCGCATGATCAAGCTCTTCGGCTGGGAGCGCAAGATGAAGGACAAGATCTCCCAGCAGCGCCGCGAGGAGCTGAAGTACCTCCTTCGAAGGCGCATCGTGGAGAAGACAAGCGAGATCGTCGTATACTGCATCCCGATCGCCGTCATGCTGGCGACATACGCGACCTAGTCAGTAATGTCGGCTTCTTGGATTCTGGTATGATGCTAACCATTCCCAGTGTACGCTCGGTTACCCTGTTTCGCGCGCTTCTCACTAACATATGGCAGACTGCCGCCATGCACGAACCCCTCAGCGCGTCCATCGTCTTCAGCTCCATGACCGTCTTCGACATCCTGCGCGAGATGATAGGCCTCAGCATGTACATTGTCACGTCGGCCGTGACCGCGAAGGTCTCTCTGGACCGAATCGATACGTTTTTGGATCCTGCAAAGGTTTGTATATTCGTTCGTACCGCATCCGGACCACGGCTCACCTCCCACGTCGACAGTCGGATCTCCTGGATGCCCTCGATATCTCCCGAGATGTTCGGCCGCCTGCCGAGCCCCCGACCACTGATGCGATAGGCTTCTCTGACGCCGTGTTCGCGTGGTCGGACGATGCGGATGCGTTCAAGCTTCGTGTCGAAGGCGAGGTCAAGTTCAAGTCCGGCAAGGTCAACCTCATCGTCGGCCCGACTGGTTCTGGAAAGACTTCGTACGTCCCCACTCATGCCAACGACAGTTGTCGTTCTTATGATCTCCTCAGTCTACTAATGGCTCTGCTCGGTGAGATGCGGTATACACCCACTAGCTCCTCCTCATGGGTGAACCTTCCGCGGGATCTCGGGGTCGCCTATGCGGCGCAAGAGTCATGGGTACAGAGCGATACAATCAAGGTACCGTGCACCCGTTTTTCGATGATCCCCATACTCGGCTGACTTTGCTGATAGGACAACATACTCTTCGGCGCACCGTACGAGCCGGAGCGATATGAGCAGGTCATTCACCAGTGTGCACTCAAGCACGACCTCGATCTGTTCGACGCCGGTGATGAGACCGAGGTGGGCGAGAAGGGTGTGACATTGAGCGGAGGGCAGAAGGCGCGAGTGACGCTTGCGCGCGCGGTGTACTCCAGGTGCGTAAGACACTCAGAATCATGCTTCGAGTTCGCTGAGCGACGTGTGCAGTGCCTCGATACTGCTTCTCGACGATATCCTGGCCGCACTTGAGTGAGTCCTCCAACCTACATACGTCTCGCACTCATGTCTCACGTCCCTTACCTCCGCTAGCGTGCACACGGCGAAGTGGATAGTTGAGAAGTGCCTGGCCGGTCCTCTCGTCAAAGGGCGTACGGTGCTCCTTGTCGTGCGTAGTGCCGTTTATCCGCTCTCAGAGTCGGGCTCATTTATGCTTCCAGACTCACAACATCCCCCTCGCTCAGCCCCTTGCCGACGCCGTCGTGGCGGTCTCCGACGGGCACGTCTCTATCGAAGCTAACATAGCGGCTGCCATCAGCCACGATGCAGTGTTGGCTCAGGAGATCAAGCAGGACGAAGAGCACCTACACGACGTCCTCGAGGTCGAGCAGACCAAGGACGCAGACGACAAGACAACCGGCAAGCTCGTCGTAGAAGAAGAAGTGGAAGTCGGGCGTATCACCTGGGATACTTTTGCGACCTACTTGTACGCTGCAGCCGGCAAGCAGTTGCCTCTGTTCCTCGTCGTCTGGATTGCTGCCCTTGCTCTCGAAAACGTCATTAGTGTTGGGTCGACTTGGTTCTTGGGATACTGGGCGTCACAGTACCAGATACATGACCCAAGCGAGGTCAACGTTCCGAAGTCGGTCACCAATATTTCATCGAAGACCTTCACTAACGCCGTGGCCTTGTAGCTATCTCGGAGGGTACGGATTACTCCTGCTCGCGCAGATCATCGCTACTGCGGTAGCTTTTCTCATCTTCGTCTTCGGAGGCCTACGAGCGTCGAAGGTCCTTCACGCTGCATTGGCGAACTCGATACTGGATACTACGCTCAGGTGAAGTCATGCTTTCTTCCCACGCCTCTGCATGCTCACCACACGAACTAGATGGCTCGACCAAACACCGACATCAAGAATTATCTCCCGCTTCACCGCGGATATGGCAACTCGTATGTTACCCTGCTTGCTCTCAATGAGCTGTATTGAGAATATATATTTCAGTGGACACCGAGCTTCCTCACGATGTGCATTTCCTCTGCCAGCTGACAACCACGCTGGTTGTCAAACTGGTTGCCATTGTCGTCCTTACACCTCTCTTCCTCATCTTCGGCGTCGCTGTCGGGATTACTGGCATGTTCTTGGGCTCGGCCTACATGCGAGCCCAGATGCCTCTGATGCGCGAGACATCTAAAGCAAAGGCACCCGTTCTAGCGCAGTAAGGACACGCCAAGACCTAAATGCTGTTTTCTGATCGACTCTCTAGCTTTGGCGCGTCGATGGCTGGCTTGGGTATGGTGATAACTTAACAAGCATATGCGCATGCTAATCCGGGCAGTCTCGATACGCGCATATGGTGCTCAGAGGACCGTACACGCGACATCCATCCAGCATATAAACCAGTACACGCGCGCCGCAAGGATATCCTTCGACTTACAACGCTGGATCACGATTAGGTCGGTACTCGAACGCTTCTCTGCGGATTGTGGCTGATGAACATAGAATGGATGCCCTCGGGGCCGCATTCTCAACTCTGCTGGCGATCTACCTAGTTTACTTCAAAAAGAGCAGCTCAGTAGGCGCAAGTACGACAGGATTCTCACTCAACATGGCGGGTGCGTACTCGTATGATGAGCTAAAACATGTTTATCTGGACATCGTCTGCAGTTGGGTTCAGCAGCATGATCTTGTTCTGGGTCCGCATGATGAACATCGTGGAGGGTGATTGTGAGTAACCCGGTTGGCGAATATTATCCGTACTGTTGACGAAGTGGTCTCCTATCAGGCAACAGGTACGACAGCAGCCAGGGTCATTTCTCTTTTGGCTGATCATTGATAGCGTCGAGCGCGTCAAGCAGTACCTGGAGGTTGAGCAGGAGCGTCCGGCCACTCCGGAGGGGAAGCCACCCGCTTACTGGCCTGCCAGAGGCGAGCTGGACGTGCGCGGTCTTACCGCGTCGTACTCGAAGGGTGGACCGCGAGTTCTCCGCGATATCTCGTTCCATATCGCTTCTGGAGAACGCGTAGGCGTAGGTGAGGCCCGCTGTCTCATCAAGTCTATTCAATTGCTCATCAATTCAGTGGGGCGCACTGGCGCAGGCAAGACTTCGCTGAGCCTCGCCCTTTTGCGGTGCATAGAGTGCGAAGGGGAGGTTTACTATGATGGCTTGTCTACTGCGAGTCTGAACCTCGAGGTTCTGCGCAACAGTATCACCATCATCCCTCAAGCGGTACGTGTCTGCTTACTATAACTCCGTTCCTCGCTTTCTGACGTAGGGACGTGATAGCCCGACATGATCAGTGGTTCTTTGAGAGAGAACCTCGACCCCTTCGGCGAGCATGACGATGCGACACTCAACGATGCTCTTCGCGCGGCCGGTCTGTTCGCACTCCAGGAGCACGAATCAAGCGGAAACGCGCGCGCCAGCAATATCAAGATTGATCTGGACACCAAGATAGTTTCGGGGGGCTCTAATTTGTCCGTCGGCCAGCGGCAGATTATCGCTCTCGCTCGTGCGCTCGTGCGCGGTAGCAAGCTCCTGATCCTCGATGAAGGTGCGTACCTGCTTGAGTCTCGAGACCCGAGGCTTACGACAGCTTCTTCCAGCCACCTCCGCTATTGGTATGTCAAAGATAGCTACCACGCGCCATCGAGCAGGCTGCTGACCACCCCTTCATTTCTGCAGACTACCGAACCGATAGCATCATTCAGGAATCCTTGCGCGCTCGCTTGGGGAACAATGTAAGTCTGATAGTCATCGCACATCGCCTGCAGACCGTGATGGATGCGGACAAGATCGTGAGTTATTCGTTTGACTATTCAGCTCTTTGGATGTGCTAACGACCTCAAGATGGTTTTGGATACCGGGAAAATCGTATGTTGCTTGCCTTTGCGTGCGAACGCTAGTTGTGACTTACATGAATCTCGCAGGTGGAATTTGACCGGCCTCGAGCGTTGTTTGCTCGGCCGGACAGTGCCCTGCGCGCACTTGCGAAGGAGTCGAGCGACAAGGACTATCTCTATCAACTGGCTGGAGTCACTCCGTGAATCTGGGTGTCTTCTCGTGTACGACCTTGCACAGGCTGTCAGCGGCAATCTCATGTTACTATCGGCCGTAGCGTACGAAGCTACAATGATTCTCCTCTAATCCCCGTGAATCTACTTCAGCTATGGATCCTTACAAGACGGTACTCTACCAGCGGACCAGCGCGAACTGGGCCACGAATATAGGGGCCGACTGTCCAGGTTCGGCACGAAACCCCCCATTACTGTTTTCCCTTAACAATGGTTTGACATTGACATTCACGCCTGGCTGCAGGTTCCTGCAAACTGCGCTTCGCGGAGGTGCACGTCTCATCGACAGCACTTTCCAATTACAGCCTGACATTATCGCGTACTGCCTCTCGCTGATACCGTGTGCCGAGGCGAACGAATATCCTCGGGTCGGTCGAAATTCGGTGTACACAGCTGACCTTTGAGGACGAGCTTCGAGCAGGCCACCGCGCGCGAAGGTCATCCGCCGGGTCGTCGCGGCCCGTCAATCAGCTATTTTCCTGCACTGAGATCACGACTGCCCTCCACAAACGACACTCGGGGCGAAGCATCCAGGTACGCCGGCTTATTATCTGCTAAAGCTCGCTGTTAGGGCTGATGCGTGTGCAGGCAGTTAGTTCGTTTCCTCGCATCACTTACCCCGCGAAGCGTGAGTGATTGTTTTTGACCATGTATCCAGAAGAGAGTTCCCCCTTACGCTACCAGAAAGCACTGGTCCTCACCGAAGGAAGCCCACGTTGAACCGGAAGAACGAATGAGATTTTTCAGAAACAGTCGCTATGTTGTACGTGTACAAGTTAGCCATCGTATGGCGCTGGACAAGTGACGACGATGCCAAGCCCTCGCAAGATATTGGGGACACCCTTGCCTATCTCAGGACAGTCCTCGACCACGACACTGTCGATCTTGCAAGGCTTTTGCACATCCGACGTATCCTGCCGCTTCCGAGGGAGACGCCTGACAGGCCGTCGTGCGTTGGATGTCGCCGGTTGAGAGGATTGTACAAGATGTCCAGCTGCCAATGTGGTAGACGTTTCCGACGCTGTTTCTTTGACTACACCGTTTCGAAAGCGCGCGAACTGGAGCAGCACACGGCCTGTCGCGTCCATGCACTTCCAAAGCGCGATCTCCTTGAGCCGCGGACAGAACCGCACGCTGGTCACCGGTGTAGCCGCGGGCCCCTCGGCAGCGAAAGGCACCAACTCAATCGTCTTCTGCAGCGCCGTAAATATTGGGTCGACGTTGTGAACGTGTTCGAGAGTGAGGGAGACGAGTTGGGGTAGGTATCCGAGCAATTGATCTGCTATGCCTGGCTCGATCGTGACCTCGGAGAGTAGCAGATGCGTGAGGTGCTCCAGACGAGGGTCGCGGAGGAAGTTGTCCAAACACGCTGTGCCGCCGATGATCTCCAACCTTTTCAACTGCGCGATCTCGCATTGGCGTAACAAACACACGGCATCTTCTAGGCATGTGAGTGCAAGCCTCTCTAGCTTGGGCAGAGGCAGACAGCGGTATCCCTGCCATTCGCTCCCAGATGACACATCGTGTATGACCGAGATATCCAGATCCTCGAGCGCGGGGAAGTTGAAGAGATAGAGAAAGCCTTGGACATGGTTGTTCCCGGGATATGACCACTCAAGGCGGCGTAGATGGTTCAACGCTAAAGGCTTGTAATTGCCCGCGTCTAGCGGTAAGTCGAAGACAGGTACGGCGTCACATAAGACCAATTCTTCCAGTTGAGAAGTGTACCTCAAAGCCGAACGAAGACTGGAGACTGTCAGAGTAAACGGTGGTCGCAGGTGCAAGGATGGTGGATAAGAGGTGAGTTCCAGGCGCTGCAGCCCGATGTAGACCCATGAGTGCAATGATTGCATTGGTATTCTGCGGAGGCGCATGCTTCTGAGCAGGCAGGAGTCTGGGATATCTTCTAATATCCTGTTCCTGGCAGCAAAAAGGTGATCGGGGGGTTGGGTATCGGAGAGCAATGCAAGATCGAGATGTTTGATACTTTGTCGTACAATGGGAAAGTTGTTGATCGCATAAACTGCGGAATTCCCCAACTCCATTACTCCACACCGTATCAGAAGCGCTCTCAGTCTGCGGCATGGAAGTCTTTTCAGGAAATCCGTGAACGTGAGTACGGCCACCGCCTTCATGCTCTGGTCCAAATTTGTTGACGGTATTGTCACAAGCACATCGAGGGAACATGTATCTCCGCTGCGCTTCAAGAACGCCGACACGGAGTCATCGAGTGGCGATCTCACGTCACGAATGAGAATGAAGGACCAGAGCTCACGCGTGACAAGAGCAACGCTCCTCCATCGCGAGCAGACGTGGCTCAGAGTAATCGGCAACGCCCGCCGCCAATTCGCCACTTTGTCGGAGATGCTGGCAAGGTCGTGTTCGGCAGCGTCCGTGAAGATGCAAGCCAGCACCTCGTTTGGTAGCCAGTAGATGGGAATTGTTTCGAGCTCTAAGTCGTGCCGTCGCTCCTCCAGTTCCTGAACCTCCTCGTCGATAGATCTTTTGAGGCGCAAAGTCTCGTCAACGTCGCAAAGTTGAAGGCCCGCTCGCTGCAAACGCAGGGCGTCCAACTTTTTCGTGATCGCGATGAGTTCGGTGTCGGCCTGAACGACTCTAGGATGCTTCATGATCGGTTTTGTCGAAGGTTTACAGTTGCGCGGTCGTGCTTGTATAAACGGGAGTGGCGCGGACGCCGTCTAAAGGTCAGTAGGGATAGGACTTCCGGGAAGAGCAGGAAGATGAAGTAGCTGCAGAGTCTGAGGAAATTGAGCAGCTCTAGATGACATAGAGTAAACGTCTGATGCACGAACCGATCGCTCGTTCGACGCGCGGGACAAGGGACAAGTCATCAAACCCAGTCGCGTCACGGCCTCGAATCGTGTGAATTATATCGGAACAATCCGAAACACATCACGTGCGGAGTTGAAGATGAATCTGCTCGAACCCAGACAAAAGAGCAACGTGAAGCGCCGCATGAGGAAAATAGTGTGCGTCAATCATAAGAAATGCATGGTATCGGAAACTGGGCTCCCACCTTACGAGGAGGGCGTCGTGCCTGTTCATTATCAAGAGGCATATGCGGACCTTGAAAGTGGAGGTCAATTGATTGTGTCTATGTGCCACGGGCAAATCATTTCTCTACGCGATTCATCCATACGTTGGCTACAGAGAGATACCAGCGATACCAAGCCCTCGCAGAGTCTTCAAAACACCCACGCCAATCCCAGGACAGTCTTCCACCAGGATGCGCTCGATTTTGCACGGCCTTTGTGCACCGACCACGTCCTGCCGCTTCCCAGGGAGGCGTCTTAGAGCCCGTTGTGTGTTGGGCGTCGCCGGGCGAGTAGACAGCCCAGCACTTCTAGGCGCCAATACGGCCGACGCCTCCGATCCTGCTGGACCCCCCAAACCATTTCGAACGCGCACGACACCATAAAGCGCAGGGCCTGTCACGTCCACGCAGTTCCAGAGCGTAATCTCCTTCAGTCGCGGACAGTACCGCACGCTGGTCGCCGGTGTAGTCGCGAGTCCACCGGCCGCGCCTGGCACCGCCGTGTTCGTCTTCTGAAGCGCCACAAATATGGGATCGACGCTGCCGACGTGCTCAAGGGTGAGGGAAACGAGTTGTGGGAGGTATCCGAGCAGATGATCTGCTGCTGCCGGCTCGATATCGACTTCGGAGAGCAGCAGATGTGTGAGCTGCGTCAGACGAGGGTCCCGGAGGAAATTCTCGAGGCGTGCAGTGCCGCCGACGAGCTCCAGCCTCTTCAGCTGCGTGGTATCGCACTGGCGCAACAGACATTCTGCGCCGTCCAGGCATGTGAGTGCGAGCCTATCCAGCTTGGGCATCTGCAGGCAGCGGTACTCGGCGGGCTCTTGCCACAGCGCTAGATGCGGTGGCAACATCTGAGCTATAGTATGGTCGTACGAGTTGCGGACGGCCGAAATATCCAGGTCTTCAAGCGCGGGAAAGTCGAAGATGTAAAGCAGGCGTTGAACATCGCTACCCATCGGATATGACCACTCTAGGCGGCGCAGATGCGTCAATGACAAAGTCTGGTAGTTCCCCGCATCCGGTTGTTGGTCGAAGACCGGAGCCGCGTCGCATAGAATCAATTCCTCCAGATGGGAAGCGTACTTCAAAACCATACGGAGCCCAGAAACCGTCAAGTAGTACGCCGGAATCGGTGTGCGATGTGAAGAAGGTGGAAAAGAGAGCTCTAGTCGGCGCAGCCCAACAAAGAAACATGAGTGCATCGTCGCCACTGGTATCCTGCGGAGTCGCAAGCTGGTAAGCTGCGAAGGGCCCGGGTCTTCCGACTTCCTGTCCCTGGCCAGGAAAAGCGCCCTGCTAGGGACGGCGTCGCTAAGCAATGAGATATCGAGGTACTTGAGAGTTCGTCGTATGACAGGATTGTTATTGATCGCAAAAACTGCAGACCCTGCCAGTGACGGTTCCCTGCACCGTATGAGCAGCGCTCTCATCCTGCGACACGGGATCTTGACGAAGATGTTCATCAAGGAGACCTGAAGCTTCGGATCTGGCGGCGGCGGCATGATGCACACGTCGAGAAGACATGCATCTCCGCTGCGCTTCAAGAACGCCGAGGCGGATTTAGGCAAGGAGTGGTCCGGCGGCAAAGAAGCGGAGGCCACGTCGACAATGAGGATGAAAGACCAGAGCTCGCGCGTGCCCAGCGCAACGCTCCTCCAACGCGAGCAGACGTGGCTCAGAGCGATCGGCAGCGCGCGCCGCTGCGCCGCCACCTCGTCTTGCGCCTCTGATATGCTGGCGAGGTCGTAGTCGGCGGCGGCCGTGAAGACGCGAGCCAGCACTTCGTTCGGAAGCCAGCTGATGGGAAGCTTCTCGCGCTCTAATTCATGCCGCCTTTCCTCTAGCCCTTTCAGCTCGTCGTCTATCGATCTTTTGAGGCGTAAAGTCTCGTCAATGACGCGTTGAAGGTCCGCTTGCCGGCGATGCAGGACGTCCAACTTCGCTGAAACCGTCAAGAGCTCGGTCTCCGCCTGAGCCACCCTTGGGTGCTTCATTGTCCTTGCTTGCAGGTATGTAGAGTCGGCGGCACGTGGTAGACCGTGAAAGAGCCCTGACAGTGGCACGCACGCCGTGTGGGTTTGAGTTTTGAGGAGTAGGAGATCGACCGGCTATATGTGCTGAGAAGGGCGTCAGAATTGATGTGCGCCGTAAGACACGAGGGAAATTGGCATACCAAATACTGGTAGGACGGCGCGAGGGATGAAGAGCAAGTCAGGAAATTCCGCCGCGTCACGGCAGCAAAGCGTGGGAACGACATCGGATCCGCCCGGGAGCACGGGGCTTCACGTGCAAAGTTGAACTTGATCGTCCAGGATCGCAGCGTCCTAGCTCGCTGACCGCATATGACACTCAAAGTCGAGCTTTATGTGCCAACATGATAAAAGGAGACTCTATCTTTGCAAATAATGCTACATTCGATTCTATCTACAGAGCCCAAACGCTGTCTTGCTCAGGGTGTATTTTCTGACCCTATGTCAGCACTCCGGAAGGCGATCTGAAGCGCTCGCCAAACTCACCTCAATGTTTACACTTGCCAGCGCATCCAATACACCTTGGCCGGCCCACCGCTCAACTTGTCCCACCTGCTCAGGCGTGATGAAACCGCGCGACTGGCGTGCCGCAAAGATAATTTGAGCACCCGCAGCCCGGATCGTCGTGTCCGGCGCAGCGACGCGGGCGGCGACTCCGGTGTCTTTGTCAGTAGACTGCGACGCCGCCTTCCCCTCCGATATGCTGGGCTCCACGGGACCGGTGGCCAGCGGCGGCGCTCCGCTTGAGGCGGTCGTGCGCTTGCGGCCCCAGCAGCGGGCGAGGTGATACAAATGGAAGGTCTCCATCTGCGAGCCAACGTGCGTCAGAACGAGTCTGAATGCGGTGATACAACCGCAGTGGAAAGTGACGTACCTCGAGCGTCGCCAGACCTTCGACTTCGCGTAGCAGCCGTTCGATGAGACCGGAGTTGTGATCTGGGAATGATGTCTGACGACCTTGCGAGGAGTAGAAGCTGTGAGGGTAGGTAAGCGTCTTACGGTAGCGTGGGCGCAAAGCAGGAAAGATACGCTGTACAGAGACTCCATTTACCTGTCCGCCGACGCATTGACAGTGCCGCCAAGAATTGGAGCGGGCCAATCAGCAGGCTTTGCCGCCTCCAGAGCCGCTTGAACCTGCGAACAATAAGACAATGAGCGCGGAAGACAGGCGAGATGAGATGCTCACGATGTCATGCAATTCCTGGTCAGCGCTTGCCTAGAAAACACGTCAGGACAGGAATCTGTGCGCGTCGCAAAAGATCATACCGGCTTGCTGACCATATACGCATCTTTCGGGTTCTCTTCCTCGCAGTTCAGGAAATCGAAGTCGACGTTGCGCCACACGTTCACGCACGCGCGCGGTACGACAACGGTTCCCGGCTGGACATCGAGGAGGCCGCCGCAGGATCCGAGCCTACGATGAACATATCAGGCGAGGATAATTGAAGGACGGATATTACTGACCGCACGATCGCCATGTCGCCAACGACGCATTCGCGCGACTCGCGAACAAAGAAATCGAGGTTGGGCGAGCCCTAGATCTGGACATCAGTATAGGCCGCACAAATGGGTGCTTCGATTCTAACTCGAGTCCGGTAGAAGAAGGGCAGAGGAGCGGAAGAAAGGAGGGGCAATAAGATAAGACTTGCAGAGGCGGTAACTCACCATACCGATGCTCATGATAGAGATTGGGACGCCCTTGTAGCGCCCAGTGATGGTCAGGAAGCCACGCTCAGAAGCGAGCGTGAAGGGCTTTGGCGACGCATCTAACAGCGACGCTAAGGTATGCGCGCGCGAGGGCGAGCCCACAGTGACCTGTCGGATGTTAGGCGGCCTGCCACCACCATCCGACCTTGGCGGATGCTTACGATGCGGTTCGCGACCTCGCCTGGGCGGACGCCTAGGTGGTAGACACGCCCATCGGCAGTACGAGGGAAGTCTGTTGTACAATGGTTCAGCAGAAGCTCGGGGAGAAGCGTTGTGGCCACATACTGGCGTCCGTTAGTGCGTCCTTCATCACAATCAGGACGAAGGCGTAGATTCTCAGGGGTGCGATATCGGCGATTGCCAGCGGAAGATGCCGAGGAGGGCAATGACGCTTCGGCTAGGCGGTCTGGCTCTGACCATCATGGTGGATGATATGAACGGTGGATATGAAGTTCGCCCTGCTTCAGCACCCTTCCTCCTCTATCTAAGCTCGCAAATCTCTGTGACATGTCTGATGACCTTGATGTACTCGGATCCATCGCATGGTCAGAAACCAACTTCAGAGGACTAGGCTGGTGATGTGAAGACCTTCATATTCTGTTCAGCCGATACCCAGAATCACAGTCAAGCACCAGCGCTGCTCTCCACCGGGCCGGACGGGAAGCATTGCGACCGGGCTTCAAAATTTGAATGCCCATTCAACGTTGTTGAAATGCTACTGTATATTCCGGAATAAACGTCCTCGAGTATATGTGATGTCCCGATGGAAGTCCTTCACAATTCATTGAAGCGGGCGCCGCGCCTTGTACCCGAAAAGGGCTTGCTATAATGCGCTTTGACCGTCCAGCCGCCCAAAACGGCAACCAATATCACTGGACGAGGACCCGGCCCCGTCCGCCCACCACAGCCCAGCCGCACCCACCACGTCACCCTCTAGTAACCACGGGACCTGCAGCGACATCCCCCAAACCCTCTATCCCAGTCTGGTCTTCCCGCGGAGCATATCCTGTCCCCTACAGGAATTCTCCGCCTGGGAATGCTGCTGACCCCATCGCCAGCCCCCGAAATAACCAGCCAGAACTTCCCGCGCAAGACCGCGCCCCATTTCCACGCTTCTCTCTCGACCCTGTGCCCTGGGCGCTCTGCTTCCTCTGGTCTCATTCCGCTCTCGCCGCAGGCCCGCCCGCTCGACGAAGGAGGGTTGCCATACGCCGCATCACGCGCGAGAGATGGCGGCGCGGGGGCATTGCCTTCGCCAAGTTACCCGTTCCAGGCCCCGCCAGCAGCACCCAGCGCCCCAAAATTTGCCCGCCCTTGGACGGAGAGGAGGGGGCAGGCAAGCCGAATCACTGGCGCTGATGCCGCTCGCAGCGCGTCCACGGCAGCGCCCGCACGTCAACGGCGCGCCCCCATGGCAGCTCTTTGCCCCATCCCGATTTCTACTTTCTTCCGGGGCTCGGGAGCCAGATCTCTACGCGCCGCTCTTGCTCCTACGCGCTGAACTCTCTCTGTGCCGCCGACCGTCTGTGCACCCCGATCGCTGACCTCGCTCTCACCTCCAGCAGTGCGGCGCCGCGCGCGGGCGCCCCCAAAGAAGCCAGATCACTCCAGGGTAGCAACATCCTCCTGCGCCTCCCATTGGCCGGCAGTAGTCTGACTCACGCCGACATACGAACCGCCCTCGAACCCACTCCGAACCGTTCTGATCACGAGCCCCCGGGCCAGATCCGCTGAAGTCACCTCGCTTTTGCCCGCCAGGTCCCCATCGGTGATATCCCTCCCCCTGCGCTTGGCGCGGTTCCAACGCATCTGTGTCGTACGCGGCCTCTACCCTGGCCCCCTGTCATTGTACGTTGTCTGTCGGTGTCAGCGACCCAGCGTTGCGTATGTGCACGATCGCTCCGACTCGCACTCTGTCCTCCTGATATTCTCTGCATATTCGACCTTGTTTCCCTCCATCTCGTGCTCAGTCTGTAACAATTCCAGACCGCGCTTGGGCTTGGCACGTACAATTATAGTCCCGATGGCTATTTATCGGCATGCATCCTCGACATCAGCAAGTGCGGGCATCCGATAAATGGGTGCTCGGAACACTCCCCTCGCTCCCGTGTCATACAAATTGACCTCCGTCCCGATTTTTTGGCGTGGAGATACTTCTCGAAAGTTGAACTTGCGCCCCTGTCCTCTGCCTGCCGTATCTCCTCGCAACACTTGTTCCTGGGGGACCCTTCCCCTCACGCTGTCGCCCCCAGCCTAGTACAAGGTCTTACCCGCCTTGACGCCGACGCGCCTTCTCTCGCCTGTTAAACTTCACTCGCGATCTTCCAGAGCACGCGAGGCGCTTCTTCTCATGTCTTCTTCGCGCTGCGCATGTAAAACGTCTCTCAAGGTTCTGTGTCTTGGAAGCCTGCTCAATTGCCGCGCTTCCATTGGCCAACGCGATTGATCTTGCGCGGAGCCGCAGACGGCCACATTCATGCGCCACGGCCGACGAGCTCTATACGAAGCGGAGGATATCTGAGCGATTCTGCCAGCGGACGCCCCTTGAAGGATTCTGCCATAGTATAATTCACCGAATTCAATGCCCCCGCGATTCTATTACATAGTACCCGCTCTGAATAAACTGTCCGCATTTGGGTCAATAGGCGCTATACCTCAGGGTATACACATCTGCCTAATGACCTCAATACTTAGCTAGTGTGTAGATTAGCCTATGCATTCAGTAGTGATTATGCCGCGCTATGCTTGCTTGGCGGGCTGTCTTCGCTGTGTTGAGCGTACCAGATGTCCTTCGTCGGCGAATCTCGCTGAATTGGATCGCTAGCGGGGTAGCAGATCCCATAGACTCGGCACATTGCGCTGGGGGATGATGTCAAGGTAGCGAGCGCGGGCGAGAGGACCCACCATGGCCACGAAGTGCACACGCTGGGTGGGGAGAGTGGGGTGCGCGGCGGGGCCAATGAGGCGCACGTGCGGATGGTCGGTGGCGCTACGCCCACGCTGGGATTTTAGGTTCAGCGACCAGGGAGGGAAGCTGAGGAAGAGAAGGCGGCGCACCATGCTGGCTCTGACGGAGGAAAATTTGCCATCGGGTGGCGCCCAATGAGCGCATACGAGGGCGCTCGGGAAAACGAGGCCGACGAGGCTGGGAAGGTCGAAGAAAAAATCATACCACACCTCGCACCTGCTCGCGGCCGTCTTCAACAAATGACATTTGTTCCTGCGTTGGGATTGGACGTGTCGGCGTCGAGATCGAATTTGTTGCACCGCCGAATTTGTGTCTGTCGCTGCATCGATATTACCCTGTCGCCGCGCCGAGATATCATTTTTACTGCACCGAGATCGAATTTACTGCTACCCCGAAATGTCACTCCTTCCTGCTCCTCGATCGAATTTGTTGCCTTGTCGAAAGCGGACGTTTCACCGGATCGATGGACACTAGTTGTTATAAGACACAAGCACGATAGATAGCTCTACTATACAGGACGATCAGCAAGCACAAACACGACGCGCGGTAATAGATAATACGTAGCGGAGCAGGGGACACATTCACGGCGTAGGCAGAGCCGACAAAGCACTGGAGGCACGCGTGCCCGGCCGATCTCCTCGCGCCTACCGACGGTGATTAATCGACAGGCCGGGGTGACGAGTCGGGGACGGCAGGCGGGTCGGGACAGCAGACGCGGGCGGCGAGACAAGACGCAAGGGTAGAGTACGAGGAGGAAAATATTTGTTGGAGACAACACGCATGGGGGGAAAACGGCACGCATGAGTAGCGTGAGTATATGAAAACAGCGAGCGTCCATCCGAGCCCAGAGACCGTCCGTGTCCACACCAAGAAAAACCCGGGGAAAACGAGGAGGAGAGATAGTATGTACATGCGCGGTAGAATTAGATTGCGGCGGCGGCGGTGGTTGTTTGGTTTATTCGTTCGGTTTGGTTCGTTGGCTGAGGCGTTGGCAGTTGGTGTGGCTAGGGTGGGAGGCTGGGGAGCGGGCGGAGGGTGAGGACGTCGGCGATGGTTGGTGACAATGTAGAGCATGAACGCGTCGTCGAGGGACAATGGCGCCGCGCGGCTGACCAGAGCTGCGCGGTATTTATTATCACGAAACGGCGTCCACCATGTCTGGGCGTCTGCACGGTCGACGTTAGCCAGCCGCCCGGCTCCAGCCCGTCGATGATCGCACCTCGTCCTTCCTCGCCCAACATCGACCCCTCATTGCTCGCGCTTCGGCCACATCAAATCCGGCGCGGACGGGTTGTGCGGTGACGCGCTCCCGCCGCTCCCTGCGTACCCGCCCAGCCGTGGTAGCGGCGGCAGTCCCACACGTCCGGTGCCGAACAGTGAGTCCCCGCGTAGTGAACTGTCACTCCGCGCAGAGGACGTAGACGACGAAAAATCAGGCCCGCGCGGGAACTCTGTCGAGCGCGACGCTGAGAGCGCGGGGAGGTCACTCGTTCGCGAGACGTCACCACCCATTCGCGAGACGTCGCCGCCCATTCGCGAGACGTCAACGCCCGCCCGCACGGCGATCTCGCGCGCGCGAGCAGCGAGGTCGGCCGAGCGAGAGTGCGCGCCGTCGTACTCTGCGCGCGCCGTGTAGTCTGCGCGCGAGTAGTCTCCTCGTCCTCCTGCATAGTCACTGCTGCCCGTGCTGCTGCTGCCGCCAAAGTCGCTCGCCCTGTTGCTCCCGAAGTCACTCGCTCGCGTGCTGCCAAACTCGCTCGCGCGGTTGCTGGCAAAGTCACGGCTGAACTCCGACCTGTTGTACTCCGACCTGCCATATTCCGACCCTCTTCCGCCGCCCAGCTCCGAGGTGCGGCCGGCGAAATCCGAGCCTCGAGACGCATAGTCCGAGCTGCGGGAGCCGTAGTCACTCGACACGGGCGGGAGGAATGCGCGCCCGCCACCAAAACCGCTCCCACGCCCGTCGAGGCCGAAGAGTGAGGGCGCGGGGACGCCTGAGGAGCTGGAGAGACCAGAGGGAGAGCTGGAGAGGCCAGACGCCGTCGAACCAGATAGCCCTGACGCCGTCGAGCCAGACAGTCCAGAGGACCCTGACAAGCCCGACGACCCAGACACCGAGCCCTGCCCCTGCCCACCATATCCACCAAAGCTCGAGAACGCATACGGATCGTCGCCCGCCAGCGGCGCCGGCGACGCGCTGCTCCCCGCCAGCCACGAGCCGTGCGAGGACGAGGACGGCGAGTAGCTCTGCGGCCGCCTGCCCGCCCAGCCGCCCATGTACCCGTGCCCCTGGTGGTGCTGCAGCGAGCTCGGGCGGTGGAGCGTGAAGTCGCTGAGGCGGTCCGGGAAGTAGTCCGCCTCCCTGCGCACGCCCGTGTCCGGGTACGGATATGTGGCGGCGCGCGCGGGCGGGGTGTCGCCCGCGCCGTCGTCCGCGGGGCCGTGCGCGCCGTGCTCGTGCTCGTCTGCTTCTGGCGAGCCGCCGGTGCCGTCCGCGCGGCGGCGGCGGCGCGCGCTGTTGTTGGGCTTGCGGCGGTAGACGTACTCGGGGTACTTGGAGTTGAAGTTGTCCTTCAGGTGCTTTGCCTGGTCAAGGTAGAATTGTTTCTCAGACTGGAGGAGGGAAGTCAGTGGTTTGGGTGGGACGGTGGCGCGGGGGACCCACGAGCGGCATTTGGGTCCACTCCTTAGACAGTATTTTGCTGATCTCGCCCGTGCGCATGCTCTGGTTCGCGGCGGAGAGCTGGGGGCGGCGGCGGCGGGCGAAGATCATGAACGCGTTCATGGGGCGCTTCGGGGTGCCGTCCGCGTTGAGTGTCTGCGCGATGAGCGCGGCGTTGGGTTCGGCCTCTAGCAGACGTTATGTTAGTGGGCGCGGGGGGGAGAGGGGAGCGCACCCGTGTGGTGCGCGTCTCGCGCGTCTCCGCGAGGATCGGGGGCTGCGGGGACGTCTCGCGGTCCGGCCTGGGCATCACGAGCGTCATCGTCGCTGGCGGGGCGTGCGGGGGAGGGGGCGCGGCTCATAGGCTCGCGGGGGGAGGCAGGAGGGAGACGGAGAGCGCGCGGGTGGTGGAGGCTAAGTATGTGGCCGCGCAGATGTCGCCGGTTTCCTTTCCCAGCGCGCGGCGATGTTGACGTACGGGCGTGCGCCCGGGCCAGTCCCAGAACGGGCGCGGGGGGCGACCCGGCTCGCCATCTCGCCGCTCAGATCTCGCGAACCGTGGGTGGGGAAGCGGTCAGGTGTGTCCGCGCACAGGCACCGTCACGACGGACACAAACGAGACCATCACCCCCTCGTCGTCTCTTCCCTCTCCCGCGGCGGCAGCACCAGCAGCACCGTCCCCGGCGCCCGCCCCAGCATACACTCTGGCGAGAATATCGCGAACGTCTGCCGACCAACTCCCAGCCCAGCACTCGAAGGCGCTCGCCCAGATCACCAGACCTCTCGCCCGGAGACATCACCTCAATTCAACCGCGATCACGTAAGCACGAATTAAACTTCGCCTTAGTCACACGGAACCAAATGCAATTTTGATCGACTTGGAAAACAAGGCCCGTACCTAAAATTATCTAATTTCCAGCATTGCGGCCCATCACCGTGCATGTCTGTCACTCGTCCATCACGAGAATGTCGGCGGTGGCGGCTCTCGAAACAAGGTGGAGGCGACGAGCAGCGGACGCGCTGGCACCTGTTTTCCGGGAGTACTCGCCTGCTTCCCGGGCTCGGAAGCTCGGTGCTCGAGAACCTGTTTTCGCTCGAGCACTTGTTTCTCGCGCTCGGCAGCTCCAGCACCGGATCCCTCTCCCTGTCCTCGCTTCACGGCGCGTCGATCATCGTCCTAGGCGCCCCGGGTGGCGCGCGAGGGGTGTTTGGCGCTACCGGGGGCGCGTCTCGCGCTACCGGGAGCTCCTCGTGCGTCGATGTCGGGTCTCCGCCCTCGACGTCGGCTCCTCGACCTGCGGTGGCGCGGCTCGCTCCAGGTGCTGCGGCAGGACCCCGATTCCTGACTCCTCTCGCTGGTTCTGGTGGATTATCTCGGGTCGTTGACTACTCAGCTTGTCGCAGTCGTACTTTGGATCCCATACTTCTCGATCCATCAGGTTGCAGCGCTCTCTGGCTCTGTTCCCGACGTACTGTTTCGTGTCATCAACGATGAACCTTTCCATTTTCGTTCTCCAGGCAAATTCCCATCCGTCTCAGGCCCTCCATCTTCTCGTTTTGTTCTCGCAGGCCTTCATCTTTTCGTTCTGTTCTCGCATTCTGACGGCGGTTAACGGCAGCTGACGGCGCATCAAAGACCAAGACCCTCCAACAGCGCCGCCTGATGAGGGTTGGGGCGCGGCCTCACGAGGGTTGGGGCGGGGCTTCTCCGTCTGTCCTACATGCCCGTACTCCCAACAGGCTACACGCCCCGTGCTCCCAACGGGCTCGCGCGGGCGCAGGCCGCACTGGATGGCCGTGGTTGCGATGATCGCGGTCTTGTTGCCCAGTCCTCCCCGCAGATTATGGGAAGGGAGGCCGCGACCCGCGCCGCGGAACCCCCTTGTCAGCCATGGTTCTCCGCCTCGTCAGCCAACTCGCCGGCTCCGTCAGCTATCTCGCCGGCATCGTCACCTTCGTCAGCCATCCCGCGTCAGCGAGTCGGTGCACGGAGGGTGCCCCCCACGAGTCGGTGCACGGAGGGCCCCCCCACGAGTCGGTGCACAGAGGGCGCCCCCCACGAGTCTAGGATACGGGTTCGACGGGTTGCGGCGCAGGCCGGGTCCTTGCGACTCGGAGGGAAGGACCAACTCGGAGGGAAGGACCACGAGTCTACGACGCGCGTGCGGTGTATTTTGGACGCACCACGGCGCGTTGAGATCTTGGGGCTCGGAGAGTGGGAGCAAGGCGCCCCCTACGACGCGTGTGAGGCATATTTTGGACGCACCACGAGCCCCGGACACACCACGAGCTCGCGACGCGCACGCGCCCATGTCGAACCCGATATGATGCGGGGGCGCCAACCTCTTCGTCTCGTGGGCGCCAACACCCGTGCAGGTGTGCCGGCATGACGGACACAGTCATGTCTGGCGCCTGGTCTTCTCTCTCGTCACGATCAACTCTCCGGACTCGTCATGCTGGGCCGCCTCTCGTCATGTTGGACGGCCTCTCGTCATGTTAGACGGCCTCTCGTCATGCTGGACGGCCCCGAGGTCTCTCGTCACGCGCTAGTCAATCTGGGGACGCTCACTGACACGCCGGGGGACGCTCACTGACACGCTGCTGCGCCTCCGTCATCGCTGACCTCTGGATACCCAGCTATCGGGACATCTGCACTCTCGAAGTCCTTGGGGATCTTGGCGCAGCGGACAGGACTGGATGGCTATCAGCGCTTTGGGTCCCTGTACACGTCTCGCTCGCCTCATATGCGTTGTGAAGTCCCTCACACACATCCTTCGCGCCCTCACGCACACACCTCGCGCCCTCACGCAATACCCTCCGCGCCCTTCATCTCACGGCCGCGCGCGACAGCAAAGTTCAACTCACCGCTCCTGATCTTGTACGCTTCCCCGTGATCGCGCGGCGACAAAGTTCAACTGGCGCGCTCATTCCCCTTCATTCCATCGCCCGACACTCCCATCACTCGCTCAGCACCGTGATCACTCGCTCAGCACCGTGATCACTCTCTCAACACTGTGATCACTCGCTCAACACCGTAATCACTCGCGACCCACCTTACTCTTCCTCCCCCGGTTCCGTCGCAGAGTCGGAGCACTGGCCGTACCGCGCTCAACAGACTTGTAACCTGGTGCGGACAGACTTGTCACCGGGCGCGGGCGGGTGATGGTCGTGGGGTTCGCGCTGCGCCGGGAGGGAGTCATCGAGGAGGGTGGCGGTGGGACCAACACAGTGGGTGGCGTATCATGAGGAGGGTGGCGTATATCGGGCTGCTAGCGCGTCCCACAATTTCGGTGCCAATTTCTAAGTACGATGAACGCGAATATCAATACCTTCCGCGTCATCCACTGCGAACACCTTCAGCTTTATCTCCCGGTAATATTTCCGGTAATTCGTTGACACCAACCGCACTGAGTCGACGCCTGCTCTGCACGCTGCAGTACTTCTCTTTCCTGGCGGGATTCGGGCGCATCTCTCGCCGTGGCCTCTCGATGATTTCCGCTGCGACGATGACCCAGAAGGCGAGGCTCGACGTACGGTGTCAAGACAAGTCTCAAAAAATTGCACGCGCCGTCAGAAATTCTGCCCGCGCCGACAGGTCGTCCCTTCTGGCTTCCCGTCACTGCGCCTACGCCCTCTCGCCGGTTATCGCGGACGCTGCGCGGTCGTCTTCGCTCGAGCGAGAGGTTCTGGCTCAAATCCGCGTTGGGCAGGTGTGCTAGCAATCGGAGACCAGCAATTCTAGCAATCGGAGACCAGCATTTCTAGCCATCGGGGACCAGCATTTCTCCTAGCAGGCCCGCCTCAGCATTCCTTCGACCAGCCCGACGCTTAAAAATATAGATATAGTCTTTTGAAGCCCGACCTCAGCAACCCGACTCCAGTACTCCGACCCTGGCGGAAAGAAGACCTGTCTATGCGGAGTTCTGCGCGTGGGCCGACGTCGCTGGGCATCCTGGCGTCTTCTCTCTTTCCTTGGAATAATCCGTTGCGACGCGCCGGCCTTCTTCTAGGTCCGCCAGCTCTGGCAGGACGACGCGTCGGGTCACCGAGCTCGACTCGGACCAGGTGTGAGGGACGATTAGGTTGACGCGTGCGGATCGCGTTGGGTCGTTCAGTTCGACCAAGGGCCGTTTAGTTCTACCATGGGTCGATTCGTTCGACCATGCGCTTGGGTTGCCCGCTTAGCGCGTCCGGATCGCCTAGCACGAGCGACGCGCAGGACAGCGACCCGTCACCGTTAGCAGCTCGACTTTGTCATATCCAACAAGCTTCTCGCCGGGCGATCTGAGGATCGCCCTCGGCATAATCGTCTCCGGTCCTCTCGGGGGCGAACGAGGCGGCCCAGCGCAAGTCGATCCTCGACGCCATGAAACTCACCACGCAAGATTTACTGTATGGTGACAATATTATTCCTTGGCTTTTCCCGTGCAGAGTACTTCACTTCTAATATTTCCTGTGGTTGGGAGCGCGACTCGGAGGACGCCACTCGTCGCGACATCGTCGAGGTTTCCCAGGCTCAGCATTCTTCCCTGTAGCTCAGGATAGTAGCTATGTACTGTGATGCTCTTTTCATCACCTCTTTCTCGTCACTCCAATCATAGCGGAATGTGGCTTTTGGCTTGATTGAAGGCGCCATTGCCTCGCTCATAATCCTCTGGCTTGACTAGTCAGTCATCTCTGCAAACATTCAGAGCAGGTAGATGTAAGCAAGCACGCTACCTAGAAGTCTTCAATCTGCTTGCACGGACCTCACGCCGTGCACCCCTCCCATCCGCGCATCCGTAGGGTCGAAAAGGACGAAGTTCAACGTGTGGTCACGTTCTCGGCAAATGCCGAGGATCCGGACCGAGTGGTCGCCGACTGCCGACCCCGAGCTCGCTGGTATAAGACTCCATCACCCCTTGCCTCTTGCCATTCCACGACCTCCCTTGCGCGCTCGACCTCTGATAAGGTCCTTCATAAGCTACAAGGACTGCTTATCTGCTTCACGAGGACGAGAATTGCTTGCATACGCCACGAGGAACCTCACGAAGACCCGGTCTGCTAGTACATTCACACGCGCACCTACCTACCAACATGGCCCTCAAATCCTACGCCGCCCCGGTCGCGAACTCGACGGACGTGTTCCAGCAGAACATCTTCAAGGGCAAGGTCCTTTTCTGCACGGGCGGCGGCTCGGGTATATGCCGTGCGATGACGGAGGCTATTGTGGGTTGGATTTATTGCTTCGATGGACTGAGGAGTGATGTTTATAGATGCGCCATGGCGCGAGGGCGACTATCGTGGGGAGGAAGTGAGTGCCTTGTCTATTCTCACACATCCTGATGAGGGGAAGACCTGCGAGAAGAGAATATCGAATTCACGTGCCAGGCGACCGTCCTCGCGTGCCAGATGAACACGCCACGTGCTGCGGGCGCCTCTGCTGGTCCGGCAAGTCTCTCAAAGCCAGGCATTGACGCGATCTCCCCAGACTAGACCGCCTCACTCAGGCCGCGAAGGAGCTCTCGGCCGCGACCGGCCAGGACTGCCTCGCGGCTCAGGCGGACGTGCGCAAGCCGGAGACGCTGCGGGACGCGGTGGCGAAGACGATTGAGAGGTATGGCCGGATTGACTTTGTGATATGCGGTGAGTGCTCGAGTTGCGGCTCGGTGTTCGACTCTGGCTGGGATGGCGTGCGCGGGGTTGTGACTGCCTGAATGGGGTCAATGGCATGCGGTAGTCGAGTGGGGCGCGCGCCTTAAATGGGATCAATGACATGGGCTCCCTGAATGGGATCTCGCTACAAGGATGTCGCGCAAGTCTATCTCGCGCCTATGCAGGGTCTCGCGCTCCGAGATCTCCTTGTCTATTGCGTCCATGCGTATATGGCGCTGTATACACTCATGCGCATGGATCTCGTTTAGTAGCCCTATCACATTCCTATTCACCCATTGATTCTATCTCCTTTATCTCCTATGGTGGCTCGCTTGCTTGGCAGCGACTGTATGCTTGCCATTCGTCCTCTATGACGACTCTATAACCTCTTCATCATGTTATACTCCCTTCATGACGACTCATTGCCCTCAATAAGGCGACTCTATACTTGAATGCTGACCCTCCTTCTATAGGCGCCGCTGGCAACTTCCTTGCGCCCATTTCTGGTCTTTCCGAGAACGGCTTCCGCACGGTTATTGAGATTGATACGGTGCGTATATCTATCCTCTCGTTGTGGCCTTCTCTGCACGTTTGGCGCTTCTCTGCCAAGCGCAGCTCGTACATACAATGAATCCTTGCACGCGCGTCTGCGTATGCACGCCGAACCGCATGCTGGTTCATCTATGTCGGCCCGCTCATTCCGCTTCATGTTCAGTTGCCTTGCCGCTCCATGTTCAGTTCAGTTCCCGCTCCATGTTCAATCGTGTTCCCACTACAAATTCGTTGGTATAGTGGTGTTCCCGCCTTCATGTTCACTTGTTGATCCCGCTACTGAGTGGCTAAACCATCTTACCCGTTCTATAGATCGGCACGTACAACACGATCAAGGCCACGCTCCAGCACGTACGCGCGACCCATGGCGCGTACATTCACGTGAGCGCGACGTTGCATTATAATGGTGCGTCATATTCTTCGTTGCGATTTTCTTTGGTAGATAGCTTTCCTGTCCTGCTGTATTGTACTCTAGTCGTCGTAAGCTCGAGTATTGTACTGACGCCGTGTCTTCACATAGGTACGCCGTATCAGGTGCACGTCTCCGCGGCGAAGGCCGGCGTCGATGCACTCTCGGCAGTACTGGCCGTTGAGGAGGGTCCACATGGCGTGCGCTCGAACGTGATCGCTCCTGGTCCGATCGCGGGGACAGAGGGCATGGACAGGCTGTCGGCGAAGGTGCGTCAGAGCTCTTCCTTTGTATCGTCTTCAGTATCCGTTCGTCACTTTCTGACTTATCCTTCTGCAGGGCCCCGACAGGCCCACTCGCGTCGACGACCTCATGCCCGCGGGGCGCATGGGGGACCTTCGCGACATCGCGAACGCTGCGGTCTTCCTCTTCTCCGACGCCGCCGCATTCATCACGGGGCAGGTCCTGCCGGTCGACGGCGGCAGCGAGCATCTGAGGACTACGCAGTTGCCGTACCCGGCTTCAGTACTCGACCCGGAGGGCGTGCAGTCGATGATCAAGGCCCGGATGTGAGATGCTCGACGATGATGCGAGGATGTGGACGTGGGTGGGTGGGATCTAGGTAGGGTGCGACTTTGACTTGGTGGCCATCGGACGATATTCCCCATAGGGAAGGCTTCGTATACTGCCTGCCACATGCTATACAACGACATGCTCGTGTCAACAGCATGCTATTCCGATGACGCTGATCCGACTGAATTATTACATCTACGGTTTAGTATCAATATATCGTCAGCCCGAATACATGACGTCCAGCCCGAATGAATGGACGCGAGCGAGCACCCACCACGCGCTATCATGTCAGTGTTAGGCTGGACAGGAAGGACGTCGTCCCTAGCTCGCACGACTGCTGATGATAGACTTTCCACTAGGAAATAGCTGGGGACCCGAAATACGCTGCGAACTGAAGAGGATTTGCGCTCTTAGGCTGCTTTAGGCTGCCACAATCGCTAGTTCGGTGTGTAGGCGCGGGTCGGGGCTCGAGGCAGGCCAGCTCAAAGTGGCGCGTCGACTAGCGTGTCCGAGCAGTACGGGCTTCTGGGTCAGTTGTAGGTGGGAGACGTCCGCCGGATGGAGTCGAAGATGCCGACGATGGCTACTTGCGCGGAATTGCCATGGGCTCTGGCGTACGAGGTCCATATCCCGAGGGTCGACGGGTCCTTCGTCTGAGGTCTTTGGGAGGTTCAAGGCTGGCCTGCAAGATCCTCATCGTCGGAAGTTCTGTTACCCTTGGACGATGTACACAGGCGCGCTCGTACGACGTGGTCAGGATCTCCCTCCTGTCATGGGGGGCGACAAGCACCCTCTCCGGATTTGACCAAGCCTCGGGTAACTTCCCGGGCTGTCACGACCACCTCTTGGCGCCGACGACAGTGCGGCGACAGGGAATATTCAGAGCCCGCGCGCCACATAATAAATCGGAGCGCTCGGAAGGAATGAAATTCTTGGATGATTTATGGCACGGTAGGTACTTGCCTCAGAATTCTGGGGATTAGGTAGGGGTAACTTCGACGGCGAGTATCTCCTTGGATCAATCGATCGATTGGCGTCTGCATCTCTCGTACTGAGCGCATGTCGCGCTGCGGCGAAGACATAGCGATATTTCAGGATGAGGCGGACGTCATGCCCTCCCAACCCGTCCGAATCGCATCCTGGGGCCGCAGCTCGGGACTTCGCGCGGGACGGCGCAGAAGGCGCAGCCAGCATCCCTGCCCGAGCCACATTAGCGCACTTTCTACGCCACAGCTGAGAGCGTACCTCGGCGGGAGGCGGCATCGATAGGTGCTGACGACCGGGCGCTCTTCGACCGCCGTCATGCGCAAGCTTACTCGAAGATGCAACCGTCGATCTGCTTGAGTCGGCCGCCACATGCAGTCGTGTGCACTTGAATCCATATCTGACAGCCTTTGTGAATTTCCCCGATTTTTCTTCCGAGCCGTAAAGGCAAAATCGGGAGATTCCCTCGACCATCGGCGTCTCGGCAGAGTCAAAGACGACATGTCGCTGTTCTGCGCTACGGAGCCTTGTTCACTGCGTACTGAGTCATAAAGCTCATCGTCTTGGGAGATAATTACGAGAGGACGGACCTTGAGCGCAAAGACCTCGGTTTCCTCTATGCGCGAACGTGCTGATAGCACAGCTCGATTCTATGTCCGTTCGGTCATGACGCCGACGAGCTGAGCCCTTTGGGAGGCTCCTCACTAACGACGCTTCACTGCTCATAACATGACGTTTGAGGGGCGTGGAATGAAGGACGGAAGGTGATGAGCATGCCTGCGAAACAACAAGATCAGCATGTGATGTTGCGTGAGAGGACGGCGAATGCCTACCCCTGAGAAGGATCGGTGACGGCACCCTCGAGCATGTCTAGAGCTTGGCTGCGCCCTGTGCCAGCAGGTACCTACCGACAAGCGACGAGCCTCGACTTACCTAGCGACCAAGAAAAGCAGGAAGCGCGGCTAACATTCCGCGAATGATTACCCCGATGGGAAAGAAAGGGATATCCCGCGTGGAATGAATGTTGGGACCCACCGTTCACCGCCTCGACGGCTCATCGAGCGCAGTCTCAGCCTGCGATGCAACAGCCGTGATAATCGATCGTCGTGGAGACGCTGCTATTGGAACTGATGGACGGGCTGATACAGAGGATCCAACATTGCTGCGAGATCCGGAAAATGCGGTAGGAACGAGGCGGGCTCCATGTCTTCGTGCGAGCCAGCTCGCCAGCCCATGGGCGCGTCACTGCCCGCAAGAAGGGCTGAGCGTAATCTATCATGGCCGCGTTGGCGACGGGCATAGCCTGGGACCGATGTTCGGTGAGGCTGACGAGGGAGGCCGCGTTAGCGCGGCCCAACGATTGTTCATCAGCGCGTGACGAGACTCACCTCCGAAAATGCCTCCCAGCTTCCTAGCTGCACTGGTCGGTCTCGAACGGCGTATAATCGATGCTGATGACTCCTAGCTGTTGCAGGCTGGCCTGGGTATCCGGTGTCATCTGGGCGCAGCGGGGTATCCGGACGTCTTGGAATTCATCGAAAGGCGGCGGGGGAGGTGGGCTCTGCAAGCTCGTATCTGTCGCGGCATCGGAGCCGGCACCTCCAGTCGTAGAATAATCAATTGACATGGCTTTTCCCAAGGCGGACTTCCTGCGACTCCCCGGTGGCTCAGCCACCGTCTCCTCGCCCGGCTGCGCATCGTCTGTTGCGCGGGCGTCTGCGGAGGGAAGCCTCGCAGATTCTCGATACTGGCACCCCATGCGTATCGCGCGATGAGCGTTCGAATCCTGCGATAGGAGACGTCGCTCAGCCATGAGTGCATGGCCACCATCCCCCCCGATACAGTTGCGTCGATTGACTTGGGACAATGGATGAGGTCGGTAGGTGATCCCTCTCCCCTTCGCTGAGAAAACGCGGGCAGAAGTCCATCGCGACAGGCGGACTGGCTAAGTACGACCGGTGTCCATAACTTTGGCGTGTCTAGGGACATAGCTCTCCACCGCGAGCAGACATGAGATACGACGACAGGCGCGACATGACTGAGTTTTTCGGGGTTCTCTGCGATGTTGGTCACGTCGAATGAGGCCGCATCGAGAAAGACGTGGACCAGCGGTTCTATGAGCAGATCGTGTACGGTCGTCGACCCGTAGGCGGTCGACATTTCAGTATCTTGCTAAGAGTATGCCGCCATCTGGATCGTCAGGCTCAACTAGTTGGGCTCCGAGGCCTGTCGGTGTAGATCAGCGCCGCCTACGTTATGACGCACAAAGAGTTGGACAGATATCGAAACCCTACAAACAGTATAACTTACCAGAAAACTATGAAGCGTTTAGATCGCTGCACTCAGGTGTAAAACAGGTATGGTGGGCGAAATGAGCAAGATGCAAAGGTCGCTTGGGTGACTGTTACGTCCTGCTCGTGATGTGATGGCACGCGTCTTCCACGAGTCGCGGTTCGTGTACGTACCCTTCGTCTTGACGCCCATCTTGAACATTGGCAACCGATTCACATCCATTTACATGCTGAACATAGCATGAAGACACATTATGTCCTCTGACAGCGAAGGGTCCGATGATGCTCACTTCTGGAGTCGTCCGTCTTCACCTCATGAGACCTTCGACAACGTCGAGGGCGCCGATGCGAACGGTGAATGGCAGTCTCGTCATATTGGCTATCAAGTCGACTACCGAGGACAGATAATGTATATACCTAACTATTCAGCGAAATGCCTCCTGCTGACGTTTATCTGTAGACATGAAGTGGGTGCCATGAGCGTCCTTAACGCGCCTCTGTCCAATACTGACTGATATGCACTGGCTCCCAGGTCGATTGGACACCTTGGAAGCGTGCAGATGGATCGAGTACGACCTTCGAAAATGCAGCACTGACACAGAGTGATATCGAAGAGTGGGATGAAGAACTAGCGGAGGAGCGTTTGGTTGCAGCCAATGCCTCGATCGTTGTTGCTCCTGGGAAGCACCGAGACCCGCTGTACTCGCTCACCTGGAATCTTGATCAAGCGGTCGAGGAGAAGCTTGAGCGCTTGGCGGGCATAGAACACGATCCCGCCTCGGGCAGTAACATGGACGTGGATGACATGCGCGCGCCATCCCCGGTCAGGCCTCCTTCGCCGCGGAGGCGTGCGTCTCGTACTGGCTCGTCGACTCTGGTCAATTCTTCGAGGTCCACAACGCGCGATCCGACCTCTCAGTCTCATAGCAGCCGCTCAAGTACGCTTGCAGGCGGCAGCCGCGTGGTTTCACAGGCCTCTCGCAACATGTCCTCGAATATGGACACGCCTTCCCAACCAACGAGATCACCCGAACCGCCGACAGGCCGACGAACACGTCCCAAGCCCAGACGTCCTCTTCAGCCAGCTTCGTCCGCGACTCGTCCCGCCCGCGAGGTCGAGAACGATGTGGGCATGCAGACAATCCCAACGACCAGACAGCAGTCGGCTCTAAGCTCCTCGTCGGAAACTCCCTCAACACGCTTCTCCAATCCTGCGACGCCTCCCATCATGGCTGCTAGACCTGTTCAGAGTCGACCGTCCACCACATCGTCTCAAAGTCGTTCGTCCGGCACACCCGAGGGCCGACCCTCCGCGTCCTCGAGGTCGAAGGGAAAGGGCAAAGCCCGTGCTACGCCCTTGTCCATCCTCCGTGGCCAGATCGACGAAGAGGTCGAGCGAAGCGGGGCTGCTACTTTGGACTTCGTCAACGAGTTCGACGATGAGCAGCTTCCATTGCTCCCGGAAGGTTTCCGGTATAAGGAACAGGGATATGACCTGTGAGCATTTGCCTACTACTATCGCTGCCCGTTCCCCTTGACTACCACGTTGCAAGGCATCTTACTTATTTCGCTCTCTTTCCCTTTTCTCCAGGGGACCCGGCGTGCGCGAACCATCCTCAGCCTTCCTTGTCCACTGCAACTGTGCCACGGAAGGTTATCGCTGCCACCCTCGCAAATGCGACTGTCATAGGGTTGTAAATACGATCACGAACAAAGCAGGACAACCGATATTCGCCTACGACCGTGAGGTATGTTGGGATCGTGTTTTTGTTCGCCATCACGCCGTAGTCCATCAATATAAGGGCCGGGCCGATCGAATCTGATGTCGCTATAATAGAACAAGTACAGATTCCCCAACGTCGACGACTCGTTCGAAGTCCTTGAGTGCAATCAGGTGAATCTCATCTATGTCGCCCTGCGCTACGCTGACTCGACCTATACAGTTCTGCCCCTGCGAAGGAGACTGCCAGAACCGCGTCGCTCAGTTGCCGCGCAAGATTCCCATCGAGATATTCCGAACGCCAAATCGCGGCTGGGGTGTACGCAGCCCTCAACCGATGAAGGCCGGCACGATTGTTGGAACTTTTTCAGGGTACGTGCGAGCTGTCCATTGGATTCAACCGCCACTCAGCCCGTCTATACCAGGTTATTGATGTGCGTTCTCTGATGCAAGCGCGCCAGGTACAGTAGCTGAACAACTATTCTAGCAAGCGCGAAGCCGCTGAGAACGTCCCTGACGAGCAGCGAAGCTACTGCTTTGACCTGCGCGGCGCGACCGGAAGTTCGCATCCGGAGTATACTGTCAACGCCTGGATGACGGGTGAGTGGCCATACTTCCTGGTCGCCCCTTCGATGCACTCCCTTGTCTTGCTTTGACTGCGTTCGAGCAGGGACTAACGGCTTCGTGTAGGCAATTGGAGCCGATTCCTCAAGTACGACGCTCGCGCTGTCATGTAGCTCTGGTCATCTTGCTCACCTCGCTTTTGCAGCCACTCGTGTGAGCCGAATCTTGATACGTATCACGTCGTCTGGGACACGGTACCGGAGGTATGTTTGCGGTGGACTTCCTTTTTCTCGGTCGTCTCTTTCGTTGTGCTTCCTTCGTTACTTCTTAGATCCTTCCAACCATCCTGACACCACCCACCAGGAGAATCGCCCTTACATCGCCTTCGTCGCCAATACGGACATCTGCGCAGGCCTCGAGCTCACCCTTGATTACCACCCCGAGCTCGCTCACAACGACGGCGGGCAAGCCAAAAAGAAGCGGAAAAAGGTAGCTGAAGACGCCATGATTGAGTGTGACTGCGGGTCGACCAATTGTCGTGGGTGGATACCAGGATAGTGGACTTCTTGGTATCCTCGGAGGATAGTTATGGACGTTTATTTTCTTGGATACAGCATTGTTTTGTCCGTAAGGCGCAACCAGGCGCAGAAGTGTACAGAACAGAAGGGTACCGAGCTCAGACGGCGATCCCGGCCAGCTTGTAGAGATGTTCTTTGTCGCTCGACTCCTCTACAAGGGCGCGCAAGGCGCTGTCCTGCTGGGCGAGCAACGCTTCAGGCCGGTCGAATTCCACCTGGGGAAACAAGTATCAGTCACGCATGATAACTGGGCATCAAGGCAGTCGCCGCACAAGCTTCCCGGCGTCCAAGACCATCTGAAGTTTATCAGCAAATGAAGCGACTGTATCAGTGAGCGAATCCCTCACGATTTTGTCTGCGTCCATGACGGTCTTCAGGCGGTGTGCAATGACCATCAGCGTCACGTCGTTCCCAAGGTGACGGCGCAGAGATTCCTGGATGATGCTATCCGTTCTGTAGTCTACAGGACCGGCGTGTCAGTTGCCTTCCCTTTGACGCCAGGTTTGACGTACCGATAGCAGATGTAGCTGGATCACGCTATCGTGAGCTGTGGTTATTGGGACTCGATCAACTACGCACCTTCATCGAGGATGAGCAGCTTGCTACCACGCACGAGAGCACGCGCGAGAGCGACAATCTGACGCTGACCGACGGACAAATTGGAACCCCCTGATGATATCTTCGTGTCAAGGTCAATCTTGGTGTTGCTATCGCGTACGGCCCCGCTTCGCTCATCCTCTTGCAACGCGAACAGGCCGGCGGCGCGAAGGGCGTCATTCAGAGTCGCGTCGTCATGGTCGTCGAAGGGGTTGAGGTTCTCCCTCAGCGAGCCGCTGATCATGTCGGGCTATCAAGGCAATACGTGAGGATGGATTGGGAGCACGAACGGAAACTCTTCGAGCGTACCACTTGGGGGATGATGGTAATGCTAACGCGGAGCGCCTCGAGGTTCAGGCTTGCGGTGGACACGCCATCGTAGTATACCTCTCCTTCGCATTCTATACACCGCAAAAGCGCAAGACTCAGTGAGCTCTTGCCAGCGCCAGTACGTCCCACTAATTCGATCAGTGACGGAAGAGGTCGGATGGAAGGGTTCGCGCGCTTACCTACGCCTACGCGCTCGCCAGAAGTGATGTGAAACGAAATATCACGAAGAACCTTGGGTCCGCCCTTGGAGTATGACGCGGAGAGACCGCGCACGTTCAGCTCGCCGCTGGCGGGCCAGTGAGTGGGAGGCTGCCCTTCTGGAGTAGCCGGCCTCTCCTGCTCGACCTTCAGACATTGGTTGACGCGCTCGACACTAGGGGAGAGTTAGCTGAGAACAATGCTTCATTAAAGTTATACCTGTTGCCTAGAGACTCGTCAGTGAACCAGACTGGGTAGTCAACTGTCGAGAACTCACAATCGCCCTCGACGATGTTCATCATGCGTACCCAGAACAAGATCATGCCGCTGAATCCGACTGGAATGTACTTAGAAAGTGCCACTCGAGTCGTTGTTCGAGTACGGACCAGCCATGTTGTGGGAGAATCCTGTTGAGCTTGCTCCTATTGCACTGGTGTCCGTGAAGTAGACGAGATATATAGCCAGTAAGGTGGAGAACGCAGCTCCTAGCGCGTCCATCCTGCACCTTACTCAGCTTGGCCTTGAGGAGCGGTGAAGAGCGCGTACCTTATCGTTATCCAGCGCTGTAGATCGAAAGAAATCCTGGCTGCGCGCGTGTACTGGTTTATGTGCTGGATGGACGTGGTGATCATCGCCGCTTGAGCTCCGTACGCGCGTATGGAGACTGGTGAGGTCAGCATGGAATGCGCGCGTCATGAGGTGTAGCCAACCTAAACCAGCCATCGAAGCGCCAAAGCTGGGGCAGACGGTAAGCGACTACCGCCGCAGGTAGAGTGATAGGCCACTCACTGAGCAAGAACAGGTGCTCGCGCCTTGGACGTCTCGCGCGTAACTGGCATCTGTGCGCGCATGTACGCGAAGGCGAGAAGCACGCCGGCAATTCCGACTACGACACCGAAGACGAGCGCAAGGGGCGCGTTGATGACGATGGCGGCCAGCCTAACGATCAGCATAATTGTAAGTTGGCAGAGGAAGTGTGCATCGTGAGGGACTTGGGTGTCCACTGATACCACGATCAGCGAGATATTTCAATGAGAAGGAAGCAAATGTACAGGTAGCCATGTCCGAAGTGAAGCGCGTGATGATTCTGGACGCTGGTGTTTGGTCGAGCCATCTGACGGAGTAAATGAGGGACTGAGTCTATGACGGGCCGATCTCTGCACTTACCGAAGCGTTGCGCCGAGCATAGAATTCGCCAGCGCGTCGTGTAGAACCCTGGACGCTCGCACGCCCCCGAGGATGAAGGTCATAAACGACACGACAGTAGCGATGATCTGCGCGAGCAGAATCAGGCCAAAACTACCGAGATATCTGCAGTGTCATCTCGTCAGTCTTAGTCGTGACCATGAGAAACCACCGACCTCGAGACGTTCACTTCGCTCGGCTGATAATCCTCGTATTGCGATGCCCAGTAGCCCAAAAACCAAGTTGAGCTGACGCCGAGGATGTCCATGACGCCGAGGGCAGTGATCCAGACGACGAGGAATAGCGTCAGGTTCTGACCGGCCGCAGCGCGTAGGTAGGTGGCAAATGTACTCCAGGTGATGCGGCCTATCTCCACCTCCTCTTCTACGACGAGCTTGCCAGTTGGCGTTTCGTCCGCGTGTTTTTCTCCCAAGGTTTCAGTAGCTCCGTGTACGTGCTCGTCTTCTTCCTCTACCTCCTTCGCCAGCCTCGCATCATGGCTGATGGCAGCAGCGATGCTAGCTTCAAGTGTGACGTGGCCGCTGGAAACTGCGATGACGGTGCTTGCGAGGGGCTGAGCGAGCGGTATGTTGTGAGTCTAACATCATCGTGAGAGCAAGCTCGACAGTGGGGAGACAGTACTACGCACGACAAGGATGACCGTGCGCCCTTGGACGAGAGAACCGGCCAGACATTTCTCGACTACCCACTTCGTCGTGTGAACACTTAATATGGCGGCGTCAGTGGCATACTCATAGTGCATCGAGTTCTCTGACTTACTCCAGTGCAGCAAGGATATCGTCGAGAAGTAGGATCGATGCACTACATAGATGATTGAGCGACCCAAGGCATGATACAAGCCTTACAACACACCTTGAGTATACTGCGCGAGCCAGGGTGATGCGAGCCTTCTGCCCCCCGCTCAGCGTCACGCCCTTCTCGCCGACCTCCGTCTCATCTCCGGCGTCGAACAAAGCCAAGTCGCGCTTGAGCGCGCACTGGTACAGGACTTGCTCATAGCGATCCGGATCGAAAGGTGCTCCGAAGACAATGTTATTCTGATGAAAAGAGTGACTCCGATACTTCTGGTGTGGGATGCCGTGCATCATACCTTGATCGTATCACTCTGCACCCACGACTCCTGCGCAGCGTAGGCGACGCCAGCATCTCGCGGAAGGTTGACCCAGGAGGAGCAGCTCGTAGGCGCGTATCTCAACTCGCCGAGCAAAGCCATCAATAGACTGAGAAGGTGTCCATCAAAGTTCTCTTCCTTCATTGTTGGTGAGTACGCACGATGTCTTCCCAGACCCAGTTGGCCCAATAATGAGGTTGACCTTGCCACTTTTGAACCTGACCTCGCCGTCGACGCGTAGCTCGAAGGCGTTCGTATTGTCTGACCATGAGAAGCTAGCGTGCTTGAACCCAATCGCATCCCGAGAAGGTGGTTCGGTGGGCGGCTGGACGTCGCGGGAAATGTCGAATGCATCTAAGAGATCGGACTGTCGAGAGGAATGAGTAGAGTGTCCACAAATAAGTAGTTCTGCAGACCTTGGCTGGAGACAAGAATGCGTCGATACGGTCAAGCGAAACCTTCGCCGTGACGCCTAATGTGACGATGTTCATGCTCAAACCTATCATCTTGCGCAGGATGTCGAAGACGGCCATTGAGCTGAAGACGATGGCGGCACTAAGGGGTTCACGCATGACGGCGGTCTATCGCATGTCAAAGTCGGGTAGGTAGGATGTAAAAGGAGTGGGCGTACACTGAGAATGGTCAGCCTCGCGCTATGTAACAAGAGTCAAGAGTACTCACTAGGTTGCATAAGTAGCCAGCATGACAGCGATGGGGATGCAGTACACAATGACTTCGCTCGACTTCTCGACGATGCGCCTGCGGAACAAATACTGCAGCTCTTCGTCGCGCTCCTGCGAGATCTTCTCCTTCATCTTGCGCTCCCAGCCAAACAGCTTGATCATGCGAATGACGCTCAGGACTGACGGACAGCGAGGTCAGCAGCGATCCTTCAGTGAGGCTATCTAGCGGACGGACCTTCGGTTATGCTCTGCACGCGATCATCAAGCCGCTTGAGCCGCTCTTGATCTAACTTCTGAATGAGTCTCGCCGATAGGCCGGGCAAGGGTAGTGATAGGATGATGACGCTCAGGCCGACGAGGGCGCTGCGAGATATCAGCCCACGAACATCGAGTCGTAAACCCATCTCACCTCCACCCTAGTATAGAGTACAAGAAGACTATTCCCACGACAACGTTCAGAGGGATGTAGACGAGGATTAGGATGAAGTCCCGCCCGTTGACGACGTTTTGAAGGTCCGTCGTGACAAGCGTGTTGAGGCGACCAAGGAAGTTGTCCGAGTTGGGTTGGGCAACAACTTCTGAGGCCGATTGCTTCGTTGAGCCGGCATTCGTTCGCAAGCGTAAGGCGTGCTCGTATATAAGCTGGGTGATTATGGCCTCCGCCCGTATAGCGGTGCGTATCTGGAATTGGAGTTCAGCTAACGATGTCTGCAAGGCATGAGGGACCTACGCACCACCAGGTGAATGTACCACTGCAGCGCGATTGACGAGATCAAGGGTCCGACGAACAAGAGGCATACCCAGAACCATGGCCGTACAGACGTCCCCACGGCGCCATGTTCAAGGTAACTCAACATTGAATGAGCGACAGCTTACTGATTTGAAAGGATCAAATGTACGTACTTGAGAATGCGGTTGAGTGCCAGGGGCGCAGCGAAGCTGGTGAAGACCTGTACGACAAGTGACAGAACCAACGTCGCGTACTGCCAGCGGAAGACCTTTGTGAGCGCGAAGAAGATGTGCCGCTTGCGATTTCCGTCAACCATGTCGAGATCCTATATGAAGCCTTGGTATAAGTCCGACTTCAGGACGGGCAACTCACCTCAAAGGTTCTGACCTTCAATTGACCCGCGTCGTCCGTGTCCGAGATAGGCGGTAGGTCATCGAGGGTAATGGAGCGACGCTGCGCCAGCGATATAATGGGGTTCAGATAGGTGAACGTGCAGAAGGACATGATGGACGCCTTCTGTTCTGGGGTGGCCGGCAACGGATCCTACTTGGAGTCAGACTACGTACACCACGAGATGCCTTGCGCGTACCTTTGTATTGATGGGAGTGTGCTTCCCGGGTGTGAACAGCGGAATGAGTATCCCGGCGGTGAAGAGCAGGCTAATTGCGATCCATAGCAAGGGCCCGTCCCGGTCGGAAGGGTGGCCTCCATAAAGAGCAAGAGGCGCCAGGTCGCGAGCAGCATAAACCACGAATGTAGTGAGCAGTACCCCATTTAAGTGTAAGGAGGCGGACTGAGAGTACGGCAGGCCGCTCGTGGACGCGTAAGCAAGTGCAGTGGCGTAACACTGCGAGGCTGGGGTCAAGTCGCCACGAGAGGGAAATCGATGGTACGTACGAAGGGAGCAGAGAGCGCGGCATCCACGAGCGATCCTTCTTTAATCGCCGACGCTGCCGAGATGGCCGCGAGGGCGACACAGGAAGCTACTGTGGAGAGTTTGTATGCGCGCCCGTCTCTGGTCACGCACGATGGCGCGTCATTGGCTGCGTTACCCTGCTCCTCGTTTTTTGGACGAGTTAGCCCTCGAAAGAGGACCTTGGACGCCCAGTAGGTCGCAGATAGGAGAGCCGCGTAGACCGGTATGATGCGCACGTCCGTCCAAGGTATCCTAGTGGGTGCCGCTTTCGTGAGGCTACTATCGTCCAGCAAGTCGAAGCACGTACATGTAAAGAGGCTGCGTTCTGATGCTCACCCTTTCTCGGGATCGGTGCCTATATAGTGAGATCAAGGTCAGCTTGCGCGTCCACGGACTGCTATTCTCGCAGTTCTCGACGGGCGTGTAGGAGCCTCGATGACGGTTAGGATTAAGAATGCCTCGGGCCCCAGAGTGCGTGTCTCAGACTGGCATCAGGCATTCTGCGAGTCGTATACATAGCGCCCACGCGATCCAGAGGCACGGTGATGAATACAGGATGAATAGGGCTGAAAATCGTCAGATAAGCGCCCGGGCTTCAGGAATCGGCGGCCGTGTCAACGATTTGTAGCTTGGGGATCACGCTGGGGTCGTAGTGCAACAGGCTCGCTGACTCTAGGATAGTAAGTACAGCTACTTCGAGCTCAGTGCCATGAGGGTCGATGAAGTGCCATTGATGGTTTGGGACGAGTTACGTACGATCGCGGGTTCGACGCTGCACGCAGGAAAACCTGGACATGGGTTCGAATCCTGGCACTCCAGCTTGTTTCGCACTTCTTCAAGGACGCAAAGACAGAATTTGAGTCGCTCATGTGGTTCATGAGCAGGCAATGGGGTCACGACCCAAGACATGGTATACGGGTACAGGTTGTTGCGCATGCGAAAGCACCAGGCAGATAAATATCGTCATATAAATAACATGCCCTCCACTCCCCCACTCAGCAGTTCAAAGTGCTGAGGGTGACGCCGTTGTATGGCCCGAGCTGCATATCATGTTAAACGTGCATTACAGGGAGGAGGAACATGAGCTTACATGGTCACCAATGTCGCCGTCGAATACATTAGGCACGGTCTTAATCGTGCAGTCTTCATCGTCGGCATCGTCGTTGTCTGCAGCTCTGGTTAGCCATGTAATATGAAGGCTGTAGAGGCGGCACGTACCAGGGCACTTCACCCAGGTGGCATCGTCGACGATGTGGATCTCGCCCTCGGGGTGCGCCGAACCGAGTCCACGCCCGGGAAGGATGGGAATCAGGTCGTGCTTGTTGTCGACGCGCTTAAAGGAGTCGACCTATTCTCATGATCAGCTTACTTTCCTCATTGTTACCATTCACCGGCTCACCGTCGAGTCCACGACCTCTGCCCACGCCGCATTGCCCACGCGCGGCTTGCCAAAGGTGACAACATTGACGGTCGCGTCGGGGTTGTTCAGCTTGAGGAAGACTGAGTCCAGCTCCGCGAGCGCGCCGCCGAGCGAGTGGCCAACAGTCGTGATAGTCTTCGTGTCCTTCGAGGATAGGAGGTCACGCACGGCCGCGAGGACGGCGTCCGCGGTGGCGGCTTGCACGTCGCGGAAGCCGGTGTGCACCTGCGCCGCGGAGTCGATGTCGGGGAAGAGCGTCGCGTTGACGGAGTCTTGGACGAGGTTCACGTCGGTGAGGTCGGCCTCCCTGACATTGTTGTTAGTACGAATGCAGACCTGCCAAAGGGATTTACGCACAACTTCGTTGGATTAGTGCCCTCGTGGGCGACGATGATCGAATTGAGCGAGGGCGAGAAGCCGATGTAGTCTATACCGTCGGTTAGCGAGGGTACGGATGGGCCTTAAGTGCGGTACCTACAGTACTGAACCTCGCTGCCGTCACCGCCGGTGACAGAGAGCTCGAAGTCGCTGTTGGCCTCGCAGGACGCTAGTGCGATACAGTTAGTGTAAGGTCACACATCGACGAACGCACTCACCTCCGCAAGCCCAGGTATCGATACCATCGTGGCAATAGGCCGAAAGTGCATACTGCGCGAACGGGGTGAACCCGTCGATCTCATCCTGGGTTAGCTTGGTCGTCTCGCGGCGCGCTGGCGCGGGTCCAGCGGCGACAAGGAGCGGAAGTGAGAAGGCAGCAAGGAGCGACAGCATACTGATGGGCAACCGGGCTCAAGGCGCTTCGCAGACAAAGAACGTCGGAGGAGGGGACCCTGGTCCCGCGAGCTCTCGAAAGCCCATATAAATAAGCACAGCAGTGATAGATGACTGCCCCCTTGCCGTCCTCTGCCGTCCCCAGCCATCGCGAGACGTGTGGCAGATCAGCACGCAGATATGCGCGCTTATTGGTCGGCAAGGTGCGAGCGCCTTCGCGTACGAAGGGGGCTGCGGGGAAGCACGAGGGTCCCCTTTGGTCGGCGCCGCACGCGTTCGGGGTAGTGGCGGGCGGCCGTCCACGGGCGCATGTGGGTGGCGACGATGGGCAGGGAAGAGCGCGCGATGCCTGGTAAGATATGACCAAGACCGCGGGATGATTGAACATAGTGATGAATGATACTGACCTCGGGTGGCCTCGTACGGGAGGACAAAGTTGGCGTTGGGGCGCAGAGAACTTGCAGCTCGGCGCTTACCATGGTGCTGCGCATTGCGCGTCCGTTGCCTGTCCATAGCTGCTCTGCGGACGCTGCTATGGAAGCGTCACGGAGACCTGGCCTCTGACATGACTCGATGGGAAAATGGCAGGAATATGGGCGCGAGGATATCGCACAGCGGCACGGAGGTCTAGCAGGATCTAGCGCGCCGGGACAGCATCGAGCCCACCAAGGTCAGTGGCAGCGTCGCGGCACCTATTAACCGAGGTTCACTGGGGTATGGGGATAATGGGGAGGGACGTCTGTAGGATTGCAGTCGAGGCGCGGGTCCAGGACGCAGCCATCTTATACGTTCCAGACTATTTTCATGTTCGCAACTCGTTCGTCATACGGCACAAGCTCAGTATGGTGTTTTTCTTCCAGTGATCTTCTCGAGAGCATGTTTGGGCACTTCACAGGAGCTCCAACGAGATGAAGGGAGAGGGCAAGTTCCTGGATGAATTCTGGGTGTGACTACGTAACAGGCCACGCGTCTGACACGTGTCCCGTGACAAGGACAACTGATCGCCTCTTCTTGCCTTCACGCACTTGAAGATATCCCTCATCTCACTCAAGGACCTTCTCCCGCATTCGATGCCATTTGTGCAAGACCTCCCTGCCGAACTTCTTGTGGAGATATTCATGCATTGCGCCCCGCGCGATCGTGACGCCCTTTACAGCGAGCAAGGCGTGAACTGGGTGGCCCCTTCTCAGGTTTGCCGCCAATGGCGTTCAATCGCTTTGGCGTGCAAGAAATTTTGGGCCGCCTCAATACCGTTTGAACCGCCGTACTGGACTTATATGGCTCTACGTCGGGCGCGGGATGCACCGCTAGCGTTCAATATCGACTTGAGCCAGTCAGATATGCGGCACTGCGCGACCACTGTTGCTCTACACACCGAGCAGCTAGTCGAGCTCGCTATCTCTGGCTCTAGATGGGAAATCAGGAGGATGCTAGCCCAGTTCGTCCAAGACAGCGCGCCGCGGCTCGAGGTGCTCTCGCTGAAGGTCGAATCGCCGTATGACCATCACAGTACAGCTCCATGTTTGCCTGACGTCTTTCAAGGGCATACGCTCCAGCGACCACCTCTTCTCAGAACGCTGGAGCTGGACTTCTGCTACCTTCCATTGACCTCGAACCTATATGCCGGGGTTACCACATTTGTCTTGCGGTACCCAAGTCCGCTGTGGAGTGTCGGTTTCATCCACGACTTGCTACAGACGATGCCACAACTCCAATCGGTCTGCCTTGCATCTGTTTACGACATGCCGCTCATCACACCTGGTCAGGTGCTGGTCCTGCCTAGGAGTCTCGCCAGTATGCGTTTTGTGGCCAGCCCTCGAGCGCCCTCGCTAGGGGAACAATGCGCATTCGAGCTTTTCTTGCAGAGCCTCAAATTTACTGCGGAGAGCTGGGTAGTTGTGTGCGAGGTCGCGGAACTGTTGCACACGGTACCCGTTCTGCACAGGTTCCACGACTACGTAGGCCCTTCTCCTGTGGAATTGGAGCTCGGCGTGGAACGCTCTTATGACGACGAAGGCACTGTTGCGGAAACGCTAGATGTACGGCTGCAGTCCGGCACTGGCTCGCAATGCCAAGCGATCGTCCTCAACGTATTCTCTCCATCACCTTCTATTGCTGAAGCCCTGCGACGGCCACTGGAAATGATCCGCCCATTTCGAGTCGTGGACTTCAGCGCCCGTGGTTTTCTTGAAGACGACAACTCTGAGTGTGCCAGCTACGGCAAGCAACCGTTGTGGTGGAAGAACAATATGCCTCATGTGACGAATTGGACCGTCGATGCGCTACCACCGGCCTTCCTACTCGAAGGAGTCGTCGTCCGCCTCATGTTGTCCATCGGCGTCGACACGCGTTTCTGCGACCGTCGCGCTGTCTGCGACGAGGATGGGCATGTCATCCAGCTATTCCCAAACCTCCAAAGCATACGTCTCGTCGGCATAGACCTCTGGACCCCACTTGTGGGGTACTACAAGGCTCGGGTTGCGGAAAAAGAAGCATCGGTTCTTCCGCTCATCCTGATGATTGTCTGGGCATGCGCTGAGCGCCAGCGTCTCAAAGTCCCGAACAGCCACGTCCCTCGAATTTTCATCAAGGATTGCAAGGGCGTGGATGTAGGCGTCGTTTACGCGATGCGCGGCCTGACATCCGTGGAATGGGACGGGATGGGGCAAGCGTCGTGGACAGACTACGAGGACGTACGCACGGCGGTCTTGGAGGAATACACCGAAATGTTTGCTGCCGAGGAGGAAGAGACAGTGTAAGCGTCCACGCGAACTTTTGTGTCTCAAGGCAGGCTGACATGCGCTCTAGACGCGGTTTCACGATGCCAGATATCGATGAGGATTCGGCGGGATCCTCATCATGATCATGTCCTTGAACGCGAATCGCGAACGGCCTTGACGCAGTAGCCTAATGGTCGATGCAGCTAGATGGTCACCTACGCCACCGAGCAGTAGGGGAACCAGGTTGTACGTACGAAAGTGCGTGAAGTAAAGGGCAGAAGAGGCGGAGATGGGTGCAGAAATACTTTGAGGACGTGAGCGCCACCAAATTTCATGTTCTATGGGTATATCCGCTGTATGCTCTTTTGGTTTCTCATATACACATATTACATGTTTGATGCTCTCCGAGAGAGAAGCACGAGAGGTTCGCACCATAGGCATAGCATCTCTTCATAGCGATACTCTTCCCAACATTCAGCACGAGATAGTGCTGATGTAAATGCCGGCGTAAGGACCAAGCTGACAGAACCTCGGTTAGTGCCACAGTCGTCGAGGATGTAAGACAGGTCGCTTACATGGTCGATAATGTTGCCCTCGAAGATGTTGGGGACCTGCGCAGGACCAATCGTCAGCGAGGGAATCCTCTCGGCGCGCATATTCTGAACATACCGTCTGGATAGTGCACTCATCGTCATCCGCATCATCGTTTCCTGGGCACTCGACCCAAACTCCATCCTCGACGATGTGCACCTCGCCCTCGGGGTGCGAGAACCCAAGGCCGCGACCAGGGAGGATTGGAACTAGATCTGCGCGAAGTCGTCAATTTCCCTCCTCGAGTCTGCATCTCCAAGCAGCCGTACCCTTCTTGTTGTTAATCCTCGTAAACCCGTCCACCTTCGCATCCACAAACTCCGCCCACTCAGGATTCCCCACCCGCGGCTTGCCAAAGGTAACCGCCTTCACATCCGCGTCCGGGATATTCAGCTTCAAGAACACCGCGTCAAGCTCCGCGATGGCGCCACCCAGCGAGTGTCCGACCGCCGTCACCGAGTTGGTGTTCTGCGCAGTGATGAGGGCGCGCACGGCGGCGAGGACGGCGGTCGCGGTATCAGCATGCGCGTCGCGGAAGCCGCCGTGCACGCGCGCACCGGAGGGCACGCCGGGGAAGAGCGTGGCGTCGAGCGAGTCTTGGGGGAAGTCGATGTCGGTGAGGACGGATTCGCTGGGGTTGGGTGAGATAAATTGGGGATGAAAGTCGCGGATGAATATAATACGCACAATTGGGTGGGGTCTGTGCCCTGATGCGCGACGATGATAGTGCTCAAGGAGGGCGACCATCCGACGTAGTCTAGACGGATGGTCAGTGGCGAGAATATAATCCCCAAAGGTCGGCGCACAGTATTGGACATCCCCACCGTCCCCACCGTGCGCAGACAGCTGGAAGTCGCCCGTTGCGCTGCACGCATCTGAATGTCGATAGTCAGTGCAGAATTATTCGATAGTTGACCATCAACGCATACCACCGCACTCCCAGTTCGCGATACCGTCCGGGCAGTACGCAGCTGCCGCGAACTCGGTATATGGCGCGAAAGACGCGATGGCGCCTGCGGACAATGTGGTCACAGCACGGTCTACCAGCGTCGTCACATTGCGCGGTAGCACCAGGGAAGGGGCCGCCGACACGGGCGTGACCACCGCGAGCGCGAGCAGGACGGGCAGAGGCAGCAGCTGGAACATAGTGCTGCAAAGTGCGACGATGTGCTCTCGAGGGCTGACGCGAGCGCGGGAGAACACACGGAACCCCAGCGCATTTATACGCGCGAGGGCACCTCGGTCAGCCGCCGCGAGCACAGTCGGTCCTCAGGGCTGCATCAGGGCTGCTGATGTGTTGGGGACCGCCGATGAAGCACACAAACAGACATTCCGCCCGAGTCACCGCGCCGCCAAAAGGACGCAGGACAGCTCGGATGGTCAGCTGGCCTGCGGGCGCGCGTGGCGAGGACTGGGGAGGACGCGCTTCCATGCGCGGGGGCAGCTTGCTATCGCCCGAACGCGCTATGCTTGGCGGATGCGCGGGTCCCTCCTCCGTCAGAGGATGAAAGGAACGTGCATCTGATTGGTTAGGGATCTCCTGAATCGGAAGACCATATGAGCGAAGGTACAGCGAATGATTGACGCAGCAGACGAGGTGGTCAGGCGAGCTGGATGATCAAGATCAGGCGGGAAATGAGTACTTCAGCTGTAGAGGTACTCGTCATCGCGCCCACGCTTCTTGCCACTATCCGGATGTTGGCGATAGCCGCAGGACAGGTGAATGGACTCAGAGAGGGAGGCGTAGAATACTGCTGATCGTCTGACGGTCTTTGCCCGCTGGACACCGAGGAAATTGATTGAGTCAGAGGCTGTGGTAGCAGCCAGATTGATCTGGGAGACAGTGAGCGGTGATCACTTCCAAAGACCAAAATACACAAAAGTTATGCACCGAACTCTGCAAGCGTTTACGGTTCGTTCCAAGCAGCGTCCAATGATAATAATGCTGATTACCCATCGGAACCGAAGGCAGTGGACGATAGCCGTCGGGGTTGCGCAGTCAAGTTCGCAGAATCATGCTGAAGACGAGAACACCTGCAAGGGGTACCACGGACGGACAAGCATTGGCTCGGGTCTGCTGACACCTCGGTCGCCTAAAGGGTGCCGAATCCGAGGTCCTGCTGAGCGCTGGCGCTCGCTGCTACTGCGAAGATACGGCCGCTGTTGAAGCCGCATGATATGAAGACACGTCCCTCGCCGCTAGCTCATGTGTCCATTCAGAAGGACAGAGGTAGGTACAGCGGGACTTGGGAAAAAAGAGCGCCGTGGCGGTGGCGCGGAAGACCGGCCCGAGGAGACACGTGCGACTGTAAGTGAGCAGTCAACTTCCAGCTCCGAGTCCCAGAAACCGAGGTCAGACCTACCTTTGAGGAGTTGTTGGACGGCAGGGGTTGAGTAAGACCAAACAATCCTTACCCGAAATCCATCTGTCAGTGAGTCAGTCAGGAGATGAAGCTGGAGCGCATACATAAGTGAGCGTTCACAGATGAATTCGTTCAGTCAAGAGGCCATGTGAAGAGGTGCGTCGGAACATTTGGTATGAACAGGAGGCAGCCAGTGCACATGTCGCTCGTGTACTTGATACGAGGCTACCTTCGACCTTCACGTTTCAGACTTCGCGCTCGGATTGGGTCTATACTGGAGGTGGGATCGGCGTGCGTCGCCGGCTGATATTACAGGGATGCATAACGTATGTACTGGTGCATATAAGTATGAGGTCGTCGTGACGGGTTTGACGCCAAGCCTATGCGAGGGAGAGGACATTCCTATGTGAGGATGGGCGGGAGGTTCTCCCAAAAGGGACCGAATGACAAGTGGTCTTGGACAGAGACGATGAGAGCACATGTGGTGAGTACGCCAGCCCAATGAGGTGTTGGCATAGGTTTTAACACCTAAGGGGTGATCAGAGTCGTCGTAGAGGAGAGCAAATGATTGCACGCACCTCGTCCTTCTCCGTCCCCCATTCTAGATGGACAGCGCCCCGTGCGCGCCATTACCACCTCATACCGGAATCATGTTCTCGCCCCATGTCCTTACAGCGAAGATGCCCGCGAGGAAGACGGTGACGCCCGTGAGGATGCTCAGGTTGCCGGCAATCTTCTCTGGAGAGGTGATCTGGGTATGCGTTAGCACTAGTCCACCATTTTCCATTCAGCCGTCGACAGCGCTCTCGTTCCGATACTGCACACTGCGCGACTTCAAAGTACCCATATACAAAGGAAGTCGTGGCAAGACGACGAGGAAAGTCATTGTCCTCCTCGCCCTCAAGACGGTCCCGTTCGCAGCGCCGCCGCCAGCATCTCTAGCGCATGCGAACTCCTTCTGCGAGACAGACAGAACGCTTCCAAAGCCCACTGAATCCGGAACATCCTTTCCCCAGCACCGACTGGAAGTACGCAGCCAGACACTCACCTCTTCCCGGATGAAGTTCGTGAACGCGTTACCGTCGTCCGCAGGGCCGCCCGCGGCGGGGATGCGCCCGATGTACGCGGGGCCAGAGTTGGGAGGAGCAGAGCGGCGTGCCATAGCAAACGAAGCGGACGAGGGAGGGAAGTAAGGATGAACAGCGACGCCTTGACAGGGTGAGGATGAAGACGGACAAAATCGAGGAGGATGACGCGCCGATTCGAGCGCACGTGGTGCACGTGGCAGAACACGTGGACTGGACCCACAAGTTCAACTTCTTATTTCCGACTTGCTCGCTTTGCCTTTCTTGTCTCATACCTGGGTGCAAAAGATTCTTTGCTTGCATACACCTTCAGATATCTTTGGTATGCCCTGAGAGTGCGGTGTATCGATAGATGCTGCGAAAGGTCCCTAACAAAAACGCCAATTGTCGCCAATATCGCATGTCCCGATATGCAAAGCAGGTAACCCATACGCGGTCGTCCACTAATCGAGGAGAAAGAGACAAGAGGCAGTACCCCGTGCTAACGACAAAAGGAAGACATACGCCTTGTGTCACAAGAAACTCGCAGAACGATAGCGAATAAGATTTCGACGCTGCGCTTCGTCCAGACCACGGCGATCTCGCTGCGGCATGTGTGAGCAGCCGCCTATGTTATGTGCCAGCGCAAGACATGACAAGGAGGAACGGCCACTCGATGGCATACGCGACACATACAACATGGCAAATCGATCAGAAAGACGCAATAACCTTTGAATGGCTTTTGTCTAGAGATCGTCGAGAAGGTCAACGCCCTCAGTTGACCTTCATTCATTACTGCTGTAAGGCCCTCGCCGGAGGCATCCTTGAAACCTATAGCGCTTGGCGCTTTGCTCCTGTGGCGCCTACTTCATCATGATCTATGCGCTGTCACAGCCTTTGTCTCCACACTCAAACGGCGCTCGGGAAATGCTCCATCAAGGAGGAGATGAAGTTTGCTTGCAGGCTCACGGGGAGGATGGCGTCGGGGAGCCTTTATGGCGCTGAACTTTGAACGAAAATACGAGCGGACGGGAGCAGAATTCTGACGTGAGTCACGCGCCGATCACGTTGTTCCCAAATTGGGAACAATAAAGTTGAACAATGGGTGGAGGTCCAAGCGCGAAATGGAGCTTTTGCCTCGTGGAATCGGCAAACAATGGCCGTTTGACACATCTTAGGTCCTCCCATCACGCCTATAAAGTCACGACCTGGTGGGAGAAGCTTCTCTTGCCCTCCCGCTCATTTTCTGACCAGGACCATAGAAGAGTCCGTCGCTGCGCGATTTCGACTGCCCGTTCACGACCACCTGTAGCCTTAATACCACCCCACACTAGATCCACGACCCTTCCCCATCTTCAACAATTCCCAGACACATAACCAACATGTTCGCTCTCCGCTCGCTCCTCCCCCTCCTCCCCCTCGTCGCGCTCGTCCCGCGCGCCGCCGCCCACGGCTACATCGCCAGTGTCTCCATCGACGGCAAGGAATACGATGGCCCCTACTTCGGGGAAGGTGCGTCGCATGCCCGTGATCCCCGCGCCCACCGCTGACACCGCCCCAGACGGCGGCGGCAAGTACCCGATCCGCCCAGTCAACACGATCGACCCGCTCAAGGGCGCGGACAACAAGGACCTCTCGTGCGGGCCCGGCTCGTACCCCATCAGCGGCGACGACAGCAAGGTCTACGCAAAGGCCAGCCCCGGCAGCGCGATCGACGTCAACTGGATGAGCGGCGACGGCCAGGCCTGGCCGCACAACGTCGGCCCTATGCTCACCTACCTCGCCCAGTGCGACGGCGGCGACTGCTCGACGCTCGACGGCAAGGACGCCAAGTGGTTCAAGATCGAGCAGACCGGCCTCAAGGACGACGGCAGCGGCTGGGTCCAGGAGGAGCTGAGTGAGTGGCGCCGAACCAATCATTGATCACGCACTAATGCATCTTCTAGTGCAAGAGAAGCCCGCCTCCCTCACGCTGCCCAAGGACCTCGCGTCGGGCGCGTACCTGCTGCGCCACGAGATCATCGCCCTGCACCTCGCCAGCGAGGAGGGCGGTGCTGAGTTCTACGCCGGCTGCGTACAGCTCAAGGTCGACGGCGACCAGACTGGCACTCCGTCCGACGACGAGCTCGTCTCGTTCCCTGGCGCCTACAGCGACGAGGACAAGGGCATCCTGCTTGACGTGAGTACCTCCTCAACGCTCCTCTTCTCCCGCACCGTCTCCATTTGTGGTCACTACCTTTGTGAACCTCGTTCTCGCCACCGGCCTCTTCGCCATCTGTTTTTCTTTCCCTCTATCACTATCCTCCCTCGTCTACCTCACGCCGCTGCTAACTTTGCTTTCAGCCCTTTTCGGTCAGCAAGAGCGACTACGTGTTCCCTGGACCGAAGGTGGCCGAACTCGCGGATGGTGGTTCCAACTCCGGCTCCTCTTCGGGCAACGACACCTCCAACGGTGACGACAACGACTCTGGAAACTCCAGCGGTAGTGGCTCCAATTCGTCGTCTGGCAACAACAACAACGACGGCAACACGAACTACGGCAACGGTTGGACGAAGTCTTGCGGCCTCAAGAAGGCGAAGCGCTCTGGCACTGTCTCCAAGCGCGCGGCACCCTCTGCCGGCGCTGATGAGGAGCGCGTCGTCGACGCGAGCGCTCACCGCCAGCCGCGCGTCTACAGCCGCATTATGCGCGGCCTCGACTGGCGCAGCCTGTAAGCGCGCCACTATCCCGTGTTCCGTGGACGTGGTTCTCGCTCAGGTGTCTGTCTACCGCGCATCGCTCGCGCTCCTCCCTCCTTGCCACCCCTCGTTCATTCATCCCCCACATGCTGCATATGCACGACACATGCCCATTAAACCTCGCCCAACACACGCATCATGACCCGTCTCGTTTCCTCACTAATTATTCACGACGCACCGGACATACCGGCGCCGCCGAGCGCGGTGGCCTCGCTTGACTGTGTCTCGCGGGGCTGCGATCTTACGATGGCTGGTCGCGTGCGACCAGCTCATAGCAGCGCTACTACTTACGACTGGCTACGTATCCACTGTATCTATAGCTCCTGCATCTGTATTGCGAGCCGTGCTCGCCTGGCTTTACTCTACGGTATACTCTAGTATACGTGTTCTATATATTGCGTCCCGCGAGCGTGCTCGCTAAATGCTCTTCTTTGTCGCGGTCATGGTCTCTGTCGTTCTCAGGGTGCGTTGATTCAAGCTGCGTTTACCCAGGAAGGGTTGTGTTTTGAAAGAGCTACCGCTGACGTTGGAGGTGAGTCCTATAGACTTGTGTGCATGGGTATGCGTCCGGCCCGCTAACCTTTCGGATCGCAGGAGTCCCGTACGCGTCAGCATAGATCGTGTCGATGAGCGCGATGTTCCTGCTCGACGCCGGTCAACATCTCCCAAGCAGAGTCGTGGGCGCAGGTGCTTCATCAAACGTGGCGCTGTCATCTGCTCAACAAGAGCGCAGTACCGGCGTTCACCTCAACGCGCCGGCCGTCTCGGTTCCCTTAACCGAGCGAGCGCCCATCCTCTAACCGTCGTTATGGACATACTTGTCGCAAGTGAGGCTCCAGAGTGGCAGTTCAGCGCATAAGCGAAGGGTAGGTATAAGAGGAGGACTGTCCTTAAGGTGAGCATAATCAACTTTCCCGTCTCTTCATCCGTATATTAATCCTCTCTCATTCCAGTGTCCATCCTTTCTTTCGTAATAGCTCATTCTTTCTGGGACTACTGAATCTGTGCTTCGACGACCTGCCCTCTATCCGACTACTGTCCATTCATCAGCGGCAAGGTCCCTCATCCTCAATAAAGACAAAGCCATCCCCATCATGAAGACCATCGCCCTCGGCCTCGCCGCCGCCCTCATCCCGAGCGTCGCCGCGCACGGCTACGTCTCCAGCATTACCATCGACGGGGAGAAACACAAGGGCCCGAACGTGGCAGATGGCGAGTCTGGTGGGTATCCGTTTCTCTGTTGGCCTTCTCCGCTCCTTCTTCGTTTCGTCTCATCTCATCCCTCCATCTCACCCATCTTGTCATCTCACCTCCCATCTAAACCCAACAACCGTCATCGTTGCTTCTACTCTCCCTCCCTATTTACTCGACTTACTCACCTCCCTTTCCCATAGGCGGCAAATATGTCATCCGCGCCGTCAACACCATCAACCCCGTCAAGGGCGCCTCCAACCCGGACATTCTGTGCGGCCCGGGCGCGAAGGCGACCGCTCAATACGCGGACGCGAAGCCGGGGAGTGAGATCGAGGTGCAGTGGGTGGGCGGCGGCGGGCAGAAGTGGCCGCATGAAGTGTGAGTCCGGTCTTTCTGCTCGACGTTTCGCTCAGGCTACATTGCTTCACTCGATGGCGTGGGGCGGGCCGGGATGGGATTGCTGACGAGATCCTCAGCGGCCCACTCCTCACCTACCTCACCGCCTGTCCCGACTCGGCGTGCGACTCCTGGGACGCAAATGACGCGCAGTGGTTCAAGATCGACGAGCAGGGGATGAGGGAGGATGGGACGTGGGTGCATAAGGATCTGAGTGAGTGTTGGCAGTCTATGACGTTGATCTCTCACTAACCCCATCCCCTCTCAGTGCAAGGCCTCCCCGCCAAGCTCACCCTGCCCTCGACCCTCGCTTCCGGCGCCTACCTCCTTCGGCACGAGATCATCGCGCTGCACAATGCGGTGAAGGAGGGCGGCGCTGAGTTCTATGAGTCTTGCGCGCAGATCAAGGTCTCTGGGGGTGGAGCTAGCAATAGCACTGGCGACGGGGAGGATGGTGGTGACGCGGACGAGGGGAATGGCAACGCCGACGATGAGAACGGTGACGATGAGAAGATGGTGAAGAGGGAGGAGGGCAAGCCGGACGAGAGCGAACTGGTGAGCTTCCCGGGAGCATATAAGGACGATGATAAGGGGATCCTTGTTGATGTGAGTGCTGTCCTTCGTACCCTTCCACTTGATATGCTGACGCCATGTCTCCCCCTCAGGCCTATGACCTCGCTAGCCCCAAGGACTACGTCTTCCCTGGCCCGCCTGTCGCGAAACTCGCGGGCGGTGCCGGTGGGAGCAATGGCTCGGTGCCCACCTCGAGCATGGGAAGCAGCGGCTCTGCCAGCTGGTCGGCGTCCGGCGCGCAGTCGTCCCCCACTGGCGGCGCATCGTTCCCGCCGGAAGGCTCCTCGCCAACGACGAGTGGCGAGGGCAGCGTCCATACTTCGTTCCATTCCGGCGGCGGGGTGCACACCTCGTATCACTCCGGCAGCGGCGCATCGTCTCCGACCACGAGCGATGAAGGTTCACCGACCACATTGGACAGCTCGCCCGGCGCTTCCTCGCCGACTAGCGACGGTGCTTCGTCCCCGACTAGCGCACCCGCAACCACCAGCGACGAGGGCGGCGTGAACACTTCGTACAACTCGGGCAGCGGCGTGCATATCTCGTACCAGTCCGGCAGCGGTGCCGAGTGCTCCCCGACCACCAGCGACGAGGGAAGCGTGCATACTTCGTACCACTCCGGCGGCCCACACTCCTACTCCCACCACCACTCCCACCACTCCGGCGGCGGACTACATACCTCGTACAACAGCGGCAGTGGGGCGTCGTCGCCCACGAGCGGCGGTGCTTCCGCACCGACCAGCGGTTCTCCAACAACCTTGGACAGCTCCCCTGGCGTGTCCATGCCGACCAGCGACGGCTCTGCCTCTCCCTCGGCAGACGGCACCACCTCAACCACCGAAGTCACCCCGACGACCTCGCCAGCCTCGTTCAAGAACCCGCACGCGCGGATGGTGCGGCAGCGGGGGCATTGAGAGGTAGGGCGACGTAGTATCCTGAAGATACGATCTCCGAGTCGACGTGTAGAAGGAAGCGAAGTCTAGAAGGAAGCGAGGTGCAAGGAAGAGATGGAAGGGGGGCACTAGTACTGTGCTAACGCTCCTTATGGCTGACGATCCTTATTATTTATTCTGGCCGTCGTGGCATGACTGCTGGACTCTAATTTATGCTGTTGTATGCGCTATGTTGGGGGTGGCGGAAGATCATGAGGGCCAGTAAGACGAGCTAGCGCAGGCGGGCTACTAACGTAGGGCCACAAGCACTAGCTAGGTAAGACTCAATGCGCCGGTCGCTGGTACACCAGAGCGCGCAGATCGCTGAGAGCTCACGAGCACGCATATATGAGCGTCAAAGTGGTACCCCGAGGAAAAGCGGATGCACTTCCCCGCGGGGAAGAGACCATGGTGGATTCAGAGTGTCCAACTGTGGAGGCTGTCAGAGGCGCGCATGATCGCGCGGGTGTGGTGGGGGTGGCGGGAACGGTGGGGTCGGTGGGGAGGGTGAGGTCGGTGGGGAGGGTGAGGTCGGTGGGGAGGGTGGGGGAGGGTCCAAGGCGGGTGTTCAGGGGGACGTTTGTTCGGTGAACCAAGGGGTCCATTGTTGTCCAACCGTATTACCGAGGGAGGGCACCTCACCTGACTCCTCTCCAACACGTACACCCAAAACGGACGCTCCGTTGCAGTACACATCGACTGTTCAGGTTCCCCGACATGGGAGAGCTATTGCCTCATACTATTACATGTGTAACTAGTGTTTCATAGTTGTGTAGCTAGTGCTTCATAGTTGTGTAGCCAGTGCCTCATAATTGTGTAGCCAGTGCCTCACACTTGTGTAGCTACTGTGGTCCCTCATAGTTGTGTAGTTAGTCCCCCAGAATCCTCGCTACGACGGCGTCGGACGCCTTCCGGGCAAAACGGACTGTGTACCCATCCTTCTCAGCCCGAGTCGCAACGGGAGCACGCTACGCGTCTTGCTCTCCGCTCCCCTTCGCCAAGCACGGAACACCATAGACCTGCGCCCGACGGCGCCCCGAGACAACTTGGATTACGAACCGGACAAGGTGCCACAATAGGAAATGGAAAGACGGTGTCAAGGTAGGAAACGGAGAGACGAAACCAAACAAGCGCATACTCAACACCCACTTGACCAAACAAATGCACACAGTCCGAACCTCGCCTACGTCTTCACGCAGGGGCCCCTTCGAGTTCACTGACCTTCATTAGCGATCTCGAGCGCTTCGCTAGCGGCTTGAAGCGCCTCCCCAGCAACTTCGAGCGTTCCCCTAGCGACTTCGAGCGCTTCGACAGCGACCTCGAGCGCCTCCCTAGCGATCTCAAATTGAAGAACCCAAGAGTTCAACTGGGTAACACGACTAATCTTTTCTTCTCAACTCTCGACTATAATCATACACACTACCATATATGTACACAAGCGCAGACAAACAAAACGATACTGTACTGTAATCAAGCGTGGGACGTGGACAACGAATATGCGAGCGGGATGGGGTGGGCGGACTGGAATGAGGACCGCAGCGATGGGGCTGAAGACCCAGACGCGACAGAATGGAGGACGTGGAAAGCGTAGGTAAGGCAAGGAAGGCACTGGACGTAAGCTATGCAAGTGCACTGAACGTAGACTATGCAAGACACTGAACATGGGAAGGGCACTGAACGGCCAGGTGGAAGGGGAAACGCAGCGGAGGAGGACCAGGCCGTGAATAATCTCGAGTTAGTTTGTTAACGGCGACTCTGAACCGTGCTCCTGCGTCTTGAACCTCGGCTGCTCTGCTCCTTGAAACCTCGTACTGACGCTGACCATCTCGCTCGCTTCGTTCGTTCGGGTATATCGTATCGTAGTCGTAACAAGTTTGTTTCTGTCTCTTCAGCTGCTTCATCTCCTAGCGCACATCACCTCTCGACGGGGCATCACCTCGCAAGGGAGCCAGCCGGTCGAGGGGTCCGGCACAGAACCCCCTCAAGGGAACTGGCCGAGGACTTGCGCATTCTCGCGCCAGATGATGGGGCCAAGGGGCCTAGAAATTGTGATGAGACAGGCGATTAACACGGATACATTCGAGGTCCACTCACCAACCGACCAACTCGCACAAGCCAATGCCGTAGGCAATGAACGCCGTGATGACGCCCGTAATGCCACCTGCCTTCGCGATGCCTGTCCGGCCCGTGAACTCGGACGCGGCGAGAAGGACGAAGGTGAGCCAGAGCATGAAGAAGAGCGCGGGGAAGGGTACGGGGCGCTTGAGGGAGGCGATGCTGGAAGGAGGTCAGACGGCTGCCCTTTCGCATGAACAAACGACCTAGCGCGAACTCACCCAATAAAGAGCGTGACCATCATCCACATAATGAGGTAGATGCCGAGCGCGTCAGCGAGCATGGCCTCGCCGCCCTCGAGCGACGTGTACGCGGCCGCAATGCCCGAGGAGGGGATGAGAATGGTGGCGTAGGACAACCAGAAGGCGCCGTAGGATGTGAAGGCGGTCGCGCCGAATGCATTTCCGCGGGGGAACTCCCTGGGAGGGTGTCAGCAATCTTATCGAATGCGGGGCATGGTGGTGGGGGCTCGGCGGGGGATGATGCACTGGGCGATATTGATGCGCCAGGGCCGCGCGTGGGGAATGATGGCGGCGGGCGGGGACGATGCGGGGCGTGGGAGCGCCAAGGGTGATCGACGGCGAAAACTCACCACATGCCGGCAAGCAACTGGGCGAGCCCGCCAAAGAAGAGCGCGAGGCCGACGACGACGTTCGGCTCGCTGATGTCGCGCACGCGGGCGTTGTACATCGAGAGCACGAACGTCGTGCTCGCGAAGGCGAACAGGCCCAGCGTGCCCGGGTTCGCGATGTGGCTGCCGGGCTTGGGGCGCGGCTCATATCGATACTGCGCCTGGGACGGCGGGATGGCCTCGACCTGGCGCGTATCTTCGAACGCGCGCCCCTCGCCCTTTTCGATATCCTGCTTCATTGACATGGTGGGTAGCGCCGGTGGGACTGCCGAGGGACTTGGGATGGGCCGGGGTGCGGGGGATCTGGGCTCTGAGGACGTGCCGCGCAACAGGGACGGGGTCTCGCTATGGGCCGCTCGGCAGGGAGGTGCAGAGAGGACAAGGGGACGGCAGATGGGAGTGCAGAAGGAAAGCCCGCTCGGCCAACTTTCGTGCCGCCCGAGGTATTTAACTTTTCCCCGACGCCGCGGCACGGCACGTCACCTGTCCAATAGCCGCACCCGGTCACCTGCCCGCTCTTCTTCTTCCGCGCCGATCGCGCGCATCCAAACAGCCGTAGACAAGCGCCCCCAACCGCGCCACCCGCCAACCATATCCCTCACAGGATGTTTATTGACCGCCTCTATTCGCTTGTGTATTTTTCTTCGCTTTCCTTCCCCTCTACCCCAGCTACCTCTCACCTAAACATACCCAGGTACAGACCCCTATCCCCCTCCCGCGCGCGGTGATGCTCCTCCCCGCGACCCGCGCTTGGGGCGCGTCACGCGGACCGCCAACAACACAGCAATCGTCTTGGGGTTCGCGCTGATCACACTAGAATTTCTGTTGTATTCTGCAATTCTATTGGCTCTCCTGGGTGCTGTACACTCCATGCCGTACACTCAATTGACCAGCGCCCAATCATCCGCTTGGGATGACACCACCCGAGGCTTGTCCGCCGCGTCGCACGAGGCGCGTCCGCTCGTCGCGCCCTGTTCGCCGCGCGCCCTAGGGCTGTTCTCGTCCACCGGAATTTGTGGCACGATGAGATGAATTTCCGGAACTCCTCGCCTCGCTTGCTCTCCATCCGCCTAGTATGCGCCTCTCGTTAGCTCGATGCATCCCGTTCGCACCTCAGCGCCTCCAGCTCACTTCCTCGACGCCTCCAGCTTACTCCCTCGACGCCCCTCGGTCGCTCCCCGACCTTCGCTTACTGTATTTTTCAGCCGCACTTCCACCCTGCGCCACATTTGCTTGATGCCCGCCAAGCGTCCAGCCCAAGCGCGGGCTACGCAAGCGTCAAGTGGGCACTATCCAAGCGTCAAGCGGACACTACGCAAGCTTCAAGTAGGCACTACGCAAGCGCTCTGGTGGTCAGATGTCCCGCTCGGAGACCATCTGCCCGTCTTGGTCGCCTTGGGTGGTGCGCGCGGGTGTCCGCCGCCCGTCTCTTCGTCTTGGTCTACGTCAATTCTCTCAGGCCGTCTGCTGTCAATTTTCAGCCCGTCCGCTGTCAATTCTCAGTCCGTCCACTATCATTCTCAGCCCGTCCGCTGTCAGTTCTCCATCCCTCTCAACCGCTACTCCGCCATTGTCCATTCTCCCAGCCCACCATTCCTCGTTGTCAGCATGCCTCTCCATCGTTGCATGACACCCCCTCGATGACCCTCGTGGGCCGACGACGCGTTCAAAGTCAGACGCATCGCCGTCAGGCTGTCCTCCGTTTCGGTACTTACAACTGCCAGTGCTGACTGTATTCGATATACTCGACCCCTCCGCCCGCTTGCCGCTTAGCCGCCGCCTTCCTCGAACTTCCACTTCCTCGAGGCTCGAGCTTCGAACTCGCTCTGCCACCGCCAGACCGGATGAAGGTGCACGCCATCGATGCGCTCGAGGGCGCGCCGTCCGATGTCGAAGGGCGCCTCGTCCGATGTTGAAGGGCGCCTCCCGCTATCAGATACGTTCGAGAGCGCCTCCTGCCATCAGATACGCCCGCCGCGCACGTCGACGCCGCCGCCGCTCGTTGCCTACCTGCCTAACTGGAGTTGCAACTGTCCCGTCGGCAAGCTGCCTCGTAAATACACGCTCTCGCTCAGGCTCTCGCTCTGACTCTTGCTCGGACTACGCGACGCGCCTACCATCTGCGAACCACCTATAATCTGCGAACTTTACCAGCAATAAGCATCGCTTCTCACCCAAAAACAACACGAAGGCTTCCTCGGTGCGCGCGCATGGTGCGGAAGACTTCCAAATCCTTGCATGGTAAAGAAGACTTCCATGTCCGTGCGTGGGCGTCGCGAAGACACGTCCTTTGACTGCGAAGCTCACTCGGTTGCTGCGCAGCTCTTGTAAAGCGGTCGAACGCCCGCGATAGGGCGTCAGGAAGGGAGGGGATGGCCGCGATAGGCTGACGACTTTTGCGATAGGCCGACGACTTCCTTCTCTCTCAAGGGGAAGACGCAGAGCTCGGGAGAAGACCTCAAGGGGAAGACGCAGAGCCCGGGAGAAGACCCCAAGGGGACCGACGATTGGGCGACGGAAGGCTTTCGGGGGACTTCGGGCGTGTCTTTCTGCCCCTTGCGGCGTTGTGTCCATGCGGTCTCTGGATACGACCTTCATTCATCTGGCTACGACTCACTCATATCTGGCTACGACCATCCCTCATCTCTGGCTACGATCCCCCCTCTGTATGTACCCGCGTCGAGGGCCTACCCCATCTCCGCGAATACAACCCGCTTCGCCTCACACGCACGTGACAAGTTGAGTGCGTGTGCTTGGCCTTGTTTGTCCGGCTCTCGTACTTCCCCATTGGTCACCATTCCCCGCCTTGTCTCGGGCGACCATGGACGTCCGTGTCTTGGGACGGCTGAATAGGCGACCGTCTGCGTCTCGGGGGACCGGGGGCAAGCCACATTCGTGCCTCGGGACGCCGTCGACGCGATCGTTCAGCGCAGGTTCTGTCCTGAATACGCCCCCGTCGCGACTCGCTACACATCGACTGAATATCAGGACCTCCAAGGGAAGCCGGTATCAAAATTCCTTGATAACGTTGGACAAGACGGCACCGGACGCCTCCCACTGATGCATTTCCCTAGAATCACTCCCAATCATTCCTCAGAGTAAACAGACGACGCCCCTCTCATCCCGTGCATCCTGTGGCAATACATACTTCAAGATGGTCACTTCCACGAGCGTCTGAGTCTATGAGGATTCATGTGAGGACCATAAGGGTCCATTTCAGGACGAAACCAGGCAGGGCGAACGGCCCGCGTTTTCGTCCTTCTTCCCAATCGCTCCAGGTCTTCCAGCCACTCACGCGCTGGGCATGTTGTTATTCAGTCAGTATAATCGTGATCGCTCTCTAATCGTGGACATGCGCGAGTAGAGGTTGCTCTCGAATAGTAATCGAGAGCGAAGAGCAGCTGCCCTCTACTCCCGGTCGTGATCTCTCACAATCCCTGACCCCACTCACCTGCCTCGCGCACCGGCTCATAATTTCCCTCCCTTCGCGCGCACGCGATTATGTACCGTAGGTCGGGCGTGCGCTCGATATACTGCGTGCACTCGAACAAGTCCGGGCAGGGCTCGATGATGCCGATGGAGACGACGTGCAAGAGGATGCCGGCGGAAGGGAGATGTCGGTGCCAGTTGGGGTCCGAGGGGCGGGCCCAGAGGGAGATGGCCACGTCGTCGAGCTCGTTGCCCATGGATGACGGAGTGCAGAGCGCGATATGTGGGATATATAAGCGCCTGGTGGTGGACGAAGGTTGGCTGTGTGAAGCACGTGTCCAACAGAAGCCTGCGAAGGGGTGTGTGCTTGTGTCTGTTTGGTCGATCGGTCACTTGCCTCATCAGTCTGACACTCACAAAGCATAACATTGCACAACACTGGATGTGATTTCGCATTCTGCGGTGCCATTCATACCGTTCGCTCGATACGGAAGGAAAACAGCCCCGAGAAAGTATGCTGATCGATGATAAATAGCAGTCGCAGTGAGCGGCGCAAATAAATACAAAAGATCGACAGTGAGGCGTAAAGATTGATCGGCGTGCGCACGGTCATTCAACAACACTTCCTCGTCGCTCGTTCACCGCCAAATTCCATCGCCGCAGCCACCATCAGCCTCTCAGAACCCGTGTTGACCGGGAGGAAGCCTGCGCTTGCCAGGTACGACGGTGACGGTCGAGCAGGGGTATTGCGTGCACTGCGAGGGATCCGCGGGAACGAGCTTCCGGGCGACGTCGTGCAGACGCCTGGCGGCGGCGGCGGGATCGTCCTCGCGCTTCGCGGGCGGGTGGTGCGGGTCGTCGCACGTGAGCGTCGAGCACTGCGGGTCGGTGGCGCGCTTCGTGGGCGAGGCGTGCCAGTGCCCGTAGGAGGAGGACGCGGGGAGGTCGTCGCGCTTGGCGGGCGCGGTCGACGCGGGGGGGATCGCCATGGAGCTCGGTCCCGAGTCTGCGGAGCCCTTGGCTATGGCGGCGATGGGCGGCCCGGGGTAGGGGTATTCGTTGGGGCCGAGGGAGGAGGCCTAGAAGGGAGGAGGGGGATTAGCAAAAGGGTGTGTTGTGTTGTAAATGTGACAGAGTGAGGAGCGAAAGCACTTACGTTGAGCAGGATCCCCTTGTCGGTATCGCTGTACGCGCCGGGGAAGCTGACGAGATCAGAATCGGCCGGGACGTCGCTGCCGCCGTGCTCGACCTTGATCTGCGAGCAAGAGGCGTAGAAGTCGGCGCCACCCTCGGTAGAGGCGTTCCCGAGGGCGATGACCTCGTGACGGAGGAGGTAGGCGCCTGCGGCGAGGCCTTCGGGGAGGACGAGGGAGGCGGGCTTGCCGGCGGCTAATTGGGATGGGGTGGTCAGCATAACCACAAAGAGATGGATAGGTAGGGGAGCTCACCTAGATCCTCCTGCGCCCAGGTCTTGTCATCCCGAATGCTGATCTCGTCGATCTTCGCCCACTTGGCGTCCGTAGCCTTGAGCTTGCGGCACTCCAGGTTGGGACAAAGGGCGATGTAGGAGATGAGCGGACCACTGCGGGAGGGAGTCAGCAAATCCTCCAGAGACATGATCCGCTCAGCGTCTCAACGCGCTGGATGGCTCCCTCCTCATCGATGAACGAGACACTCACGTCTTATCCTCCCACGCGCCGCCATCGCTGCCGACCCACTGCACCTCGACCGTGCTGCCCGGCTTCGCGCTGGCGTACTCGGAAGCGGGCTTGGACCCAGGGCCGCAAGCGGTGTCGGGGTTGGAGGCGCCCTTGATGGCGTCGGCGCTGCTGACGCTGCGGATGGCGGATTTGGCGTCTAAGGGGAGGTGAGTATGGGGAGGAGAATCGCGGTGAGCGAGGAGGATGAGGTTGACGAAGTTGGTAGACAGCGATAGCGAAATTGGGTAACGGTGATCAGGAGGAAACTCACCCGAATCGTCACCGACGCTCGGCCCCTTGTACTCCGTGCCGTCGATAGTGATGCTAGAAACGTAGCCCTTCGCGGCGATACTGGGGAAGAGGGCGGCTGCGAGGCTGAGGAACGCAATAGTCTTCATGGTCGGAGCGATAGTCGTCAAGTCAGGTAAAGAATTGGCGGAGAAGAGAAAGACTGCGAGTGCACCGACGCCGATCTGGGAGTGGGAATGAGAAGGAAAGGAACTGAGGATTTCCGTCAATCATAGCACGCTTCTTATACTGCTCGCGTCTTCCTGAACGCGGTGCTGATACGCTTAAGACCACAGAATTAGAGACGTGGGCGCCCATCATCGGTGGAAGCAACCGAGACGGTCGGCGCGCTGAGGTGGGCTGCCTAAAATGGGCTGTCCGAGTCGGGATGGCTATTGTCCGAAAGAGGATACGCCGCCGTGTTTGATGGGAAGATGAGCCCCGCGTTTGATAGGTGGGCGCAGATCATGAAGTCCAGGGAAGCTACGGACGGCTGTACTATCTCAAAGTACTGTGTACTGTGCAGCAATAATTGGATGCGAAGAAGCTGAAAATTGGAGCACACCTTGTAGCACGGTTTCCACCTAACTCAGTTGTCACAGACGTCGTCAGCTACTTGGAAACAGTTGCGCGCCACATACCAGGCGCTGCTACGCCGACCTGCCGGGACGGGTCGGCCATTGTTCAAACGTCGGAGGGCTCGGAATACTAGCTATGCTAATGTATGGTGATGCACAATGGAGGATCGGCGCTTCTTCGCGCGAAGTGAGCCCTGGTCTCGACTGATGAGAGAAACAGTCAAGGGGCCTGCCCAAAGAGTGCCCGACAGTATGGCGACCGCGATCTGAAAGAACTTTGCGAGCGACTGCCTTTGAGCTTCCATCTTCTTGCTTGAATGATCTTTAGAGAGAAAATCATAAGCAGCAGCCAATTGAGAGCAAAAGCAGTGCAAGGACTCGGCAAAGACGGCTGCGCAGACGATGTGCACGATGATAAGACCGCAGAGTCCAGAAATTACCGAATTAGGCATATATTGAGACACGTGGTTATGGACCCACAATCGCGAGTCAGAGGCAGGGCCACAATTGGCGCTCTGTCGATGTTCCGAAAATCCTACTCATGCACTTGCGGCGCGTGGAATGGGTTGCAAAAGCAGCCGCGGTTGTCCTTTGGTGGCGCGAGTATAGCGAGCCTGCGCGGAGAATCGTTGATTGAACTCGCTTGAAGGAACTCCTGCGATAACAGTGGCAGGATCAGCTGGTCAAGGCGGCGACCACAGGCACATATCTATTGCTGGAGGAAGAGAAAAGAGAAGGGTGGGCTACAAGGGGTGGCTGAAGGTCGTGTACTGTACACCGGGTGATCGCTTCGTAATGAGCCCTGCAACCTATCTGATTGAGCCATGAGCGAAACTTGTAAACTGAATCGTGGTCCTCACCTTCACCGGCGTTCCACGAAGCGCGTCAACGCCACCATGAACAGCATCGCCAACATCGCACCAGCGAGAAAGCTCTTCGCATCGATGCCACATGAACTCAACGCCGCCGAAATCCTGTTCTTTTTGTCGCCCTTCTCGCCGGCCCACTCCTCCTGCAGCACGCCAACGTTGACGAGCCGCTCGTTCACCTCAGGCGCAATTTGCAGAGCGGGAAGCCCATCGAGGCTCTTGAGACTGTGCTCGCGCCAGTACTTGCGCAAGTGGCTCTCGCCGTCGTCCTTGACGTCCGCTTCGAATTTGACGGAGATACGCTCGAGGAGCGTGCGTGGGCCCCCGTAGGTGAAGAAGGGGACGCCGTAGCCACAGGACTATGGTGAGTACTAGTAGGTCAGACGACTTCGTGGATGAAGGTATGCACGTACCGCGCCGACTTTGTGTATATTGATCTCGATGACGGCGCGCGAGCCGGGGCGTCGTTTGTTCGCCGGGATGTATCTTTCGTAATCTGAGGTGCCGAACTCGTGGACGGTACCTATCGAGGTCACGATTAGTATCCTGAGCGCAAGAGAGGCGAGTTGTGTGCTAACACACCTGTTCCAAACAGGCGACAGATTCTGGGTGGCTTGTCGAGGGCCATGAGCATGATGGTGATGCGCCCGTTATCGCGCAAGTGCGAAATGGTCTCGACGCCTTAGATGGTGATGAGCGACCTGGCCACGCCCTTTATGCGGAAGCCCCTACGTACCACTGCCGGTGAGATCTTCGTACCAGACCGTGTGCGAATCGACGACGTGGAAGGTCCCTTCGACGCCTGGGAAAAGTCTTGTGAGTACTTGAGAAGTCAAGGGCCGAAGCACTTCGACAACTGAAATGCTGAAGGCGATCACTCACCCTTCGGCGATACGTTGACGTGGCCGTCCGTCGGCGCTGTCGCTACAAAGAACAGATGCTGCTTGGCAATCCAGGCCATAAGCCAGTCCGGCATCTCGTCGTAGAAAGAGCCCATGTCGTCGCAAAGTACTTGCTGGAGTTGGTGGTGGTGGTTAGAGGAGAGGTGAGTTCGCGGAGGTAGTGAGGTCAGGCTAGTCAACGAGACCAGGTTAGCGCACCAAGCTCCGAGCTGATCGGTCAGAAGGGGGCTATGGTACTGAATGAAGTCGGCTGATCTGGAGAAGTCATTCACGGCTCACACGCTCAATGACATGAATCGGGTACTGGACGGTGTGTTCAAGGGGCCTGTTGGCCCAGCCGTCGAGCGCAGCGACGTATCGAGAATTGATACTGTTAATAGCACTTGAAAAAAAAACGACGCCGCGCGCGTAGGATCAAGGGCGGACATACAAAGCAGCTGGCCAGCAGTGCCGCGACGCACAGGCATAAATCATAGGTGCGATAGGATAGACCAGCCGCAACTAGTCGTACAGTACGTTACACGCACTCCTGACAAACCATCAGTCTGGCGCTTCCTGGTTGAGCGTGGATCACCCACCATTGACTACTACACACAGAACGCATCCACGCCAGCATCATCAGCGCCGTCAAGATCGTCCCCGCAAAAAAGCTCCTCGCATCAATCCCATACCTCTCCAACCCCATCTGTATCTTACTCTTCTTCGTATCCCACTCCTCTTCCAGAACGCCGACGTTGACGAGCGTATTCGTCGTGCTCGGTGCGACTTGAAGCGCGGGAAGGCCGTCGATGCTCTTGGTGAGGTGTTCGCGCCAGTATTTGCGCATAAAGTTGTCGCCGTCGGGCTTGATGTCGGCCTCGAATTTGGCGGTCTTGCGCTCAAGCAGGGTGCGAGGGCCGGCGTAGTTGTAGAAGGGGACGCCGTAGCCGCAAGACTGCAATGTCGACGGTTAGTGTCGGAGGATGGGTAAGGGCAAAGGAGATGTAAACTGACCGCGCCGACTTTATGTATATCGACCTCGATGACGGCGCGTGAGCCTGGGTGGCGTTTGCCCGCTGGGATGTACTTGTCGTACTCTGGGGTGCCGTACTCGTGGACAGTGCCTAGAAATCCAGTCAGTGGGTTTGGCGTAGACCCAGCAGCGAAGATGGATTTTACCTGTGCCATAGAGGCGGACGACTCTTGGTGGTCGATCGAAGGCGACAAACATGATGGTGATTCGGCCGTTGGTATCGCGTAGGTGAGCTATGGTCTCGACGCCTCGAATGAAAAAAACTCGTTGAGCGCGCAGCAACCAAGCTGGTAAAAACCTCATACCGCTTCCGCTCATATCTTCGTACCAAACGCTACGCGAATCAACGACATGGAAGGTTCCATTCACACCTTGCGAAGGCAAATAAGTGATCGTCCAGGTGCGCATATTGGCCGTAGCTTACCTTTCGGGGACATGTTTACATGCCCCTCCTTCGGCGCTGTCGCGACAAAGAACAAGTGCTGTTTCACAATCCAGGCCATAAGCCAGTCGGGCATTTCTTCGTAGAAGATGCCCATGTTAGTATGACTGATGAGTGAGGGCTATGAGAAGTGTGAGGGTGTGGCGAGCCCGTCGATTAAACAATCTGATGAGGAGTCAGAGGTTGAATGAAAGACGACTGTAGTCGGGAGGATGGTGAGTTGAGGGCACGAGCGACGACGCAGATCCTTCCTATATATACTGTGGAGGCCGAGGCCACGCTGAGACTCGGCTGCGTCGCAAGTAAAGGGTGCTGACGTTTAGAGTAAAGCAGTTGACGCACTGACCCACGCGAGGATCATGCCATGATGGAGACCTAACAGGTTCTAGTGACACATGTTGTTGCCCCCGACAGAGCACTGAGGATCTGCGTATTTTCCATCTCCTTCCCTGCAACGAAAGCAAATGGGAACGGAGCCGGAGTTGGACTCTGCATTGGAAAGGTGTTGGGGTTGCGAGAAGTGATCAAGCGAAGTCATTGAGTTGGGGTCCCAAAGAGACGATATATCGGTCTGATTGGCTAAGAGTACAAAGTCAGCAAGAGACAGGTGCTCTGGACTTGCAGAGAAGGTGGACCGTCTCGCGCAGGCTGCCAGCATGAGGGTCGAGAGCAAGTCAAGGACGGAGATCTTCCGCGGTGGTGATGCAGCCCGGAGCGCCGGTGATGGCTCGGCATTTGCCGAAGGGGGACCCACAACGACAATTCTGAGCCGACGTGGTACAAGCTTCGTTGGGTAGGTTGACTCGTTATAGGATAGGTAAGTACAGTTACAATGCAAGCTGACTCGAATACAATACTCAGCTACACTTCGCTCATGCTCGCTTGAGTGGTACCCTTCGTGCTCGCGCTGTCACGGGTACACTCCGCCCATGCTCGTGCTCGTCATAGAATCTCTGCCCTGTCATGCCGGATATTGCACCGGGAACGTCATCGCAGCGAAGTCCGCCACATATATCTTCGTCTCCGCGAGAATGACAAGGCGCCCGGGGCCCGCGAAGACCATGTTGGCGGAGAGTTCGCCGAGGAAGAACTTGCCGATGAGGCTGGGGTGGGTGGTTAGCGGGATAGTTTGGCGAGAAGTGAGGAGCGTGCTCGAATCTGAGAAATTGGAGGCGAAGGAAGATGGCAGGGAACGCGAAGGTTAAACTTTGCAGGAAACGCGAAAGTTAGAAGGCGCGGGAAAGGGCGATCACTTACTTTCCCCTCCAATCCCACACGTGCACCCCATCCCCGCACGCAGAGTATACGTTCCCCCCTTTGTCGACCTGGATGCCGTCCGGGATAGCCGCGTCAACGAAGGCAAAGAGCCGCCGGTTGGTGAAGGTATGCGTCTTGGGGTCGACGTCGAAGGCGTAGCTGAGGACAGGAGTAAGCAAAAGTTGATGACGTTAACAAAAAGACAGCAAAGAAGGTGTTGAGAAGATATACAGGCGCGAGGGGAAACGCAAATCGTGCACACTCACATGGCTGACGGTGCAGAGTGGACGGTCTCACGGAAGCCGTTTGCGGGACCAGTGTCAGTTCTGAGGGACATGCGTCAGCATGAAGGTCGGCGAAGCGCGCACGAGACTGCGACTGGCACTTACACGTATGCAGTCTTCCCGTCGCGCGAGAACGCGAGCCCATTGCACTTGTGGAAACCGTCTGCTACCGCGCGTACTGCGCCCGTAGCTGGGTCGAGGCGGTATACTTGACTAGGGAGGGTCGGATCCGGACGGAAGTCCTGCAGATAGCTGGATTGCGCGGCTGAGGTACTGAATGCTTGTAATTGCGCGACTGAACGTACCCGTAACTGGATCGGAAGGATGTTAGCGCGACCGAGGGGCTCATGGCGTGAGCAGAGAGAAGGGCTTACATCGTATCCGTGAAGAAAATCTTCCCGCTCGGATGGATCTTCACGTCGTTAAGGGAGTTAAACTGCCGGCCGTAGAAGTTGTCGAGGAGGACGGTGGTATTATACGGCGGGGCAGGGTCGGTGAGGGTGAGTGACGATGGGCGATGGCCGCGTCCGGAGTTGATGAAGAGCAACTGTCCATAGTAAGGCCCTGTTCCCCCGTTTGTCATTTGCACGGTCTCCGGCAGGTCGAGCTGCGTACCCGTCAGTCAAGTCACCTCTCCCCCGCAATGCAAACCACCCACATGAGTCACCGGCAGGTTGATCGCCGTCCCATTCAGCACCTCCCTCCTCAGCCCCTTCAAACTAATCTTCCCCACCCGATTGTTCGCGTGCAGCCCGCTCAACCCCAACGCGCCCCCCGCGTTGCTCGCGAAGTACACGTCCTCCGTCTTGGGATCCCAGATCGGCGCCTCGTGCGCGAAGGCGAAGGAGTCGTTGCGCGCGACCTCGGTGATCCGGGCATTCTTCCCGAGCATGTGCGCGAAGGTCTTGTCAAAGACCTGAAAGAAGGGCGGGGAGGTGTTGGTGGGGTTGAAGGGAGTGTCGAAGGCATGGAGGCGCCAAGGGGCGGTCGCGCCGAGGGCGGCGGTGGTGCGTTGGTCGATCCACTAGGGAGTGGAGGGAGAGGGCAGGTGAGTGGGCTTAGATGGGGGGAAGGTGCAAGGGTATGAACGCACCACAGCCTGAGGGGGAAGCTCAATCGTGCGGGTGCTGATGTACCGCGCGTATAGTGCTGCACAGAGGGCGATGACGGCTATGGTGACCAGGTTTATGGGGAGAACAGCAGATTTTGGTTCTGCCTCCGCACGAGGCTTGGGCGTTTTGCTGCGAGAGGATTCCTTCCCCTCCATGTTGCGGTCAGCCAAAGGACGTAGCAATAGTTCGTGTTCTTGCTCGAGAGGGATAGTTTGCGGGCACTCAAGATGCCCCAGTCCGAGGAGAGCTGCTGTTCAGATGAAAGGGCAGGAGCAAGCCGTAAGGCGCGCGCCCAACGCGGGGCTGAGATTTCAATCATGAGCGCTAGCGGCAAGATCAAACGAGCGATGTTGGCTCCGGCGTCCATCTTCTTCACCCCACGACGGCCAGATGACGGCGCTCATGCCTCCTGTGTATACGCTCACTTCCTCGCACTCGCTGCACAATGTCTACACGTACCAGAATAGCAAGCCAATGGCACAATGTCCAGCGCCGACCTAGCACACGAGTTCTGTTCCCATGATCTATACCCCTTATCGCGCTTGACTCACGCCTTGGGGAGCTTGCTCTCGACGACGAAGGACGCATCACTTTTGACGACGAGGACTAGCTTTGGACGGCACGAATCAAGGCGTACCCGGACGACTAACGCGTACACAAAATGGGCTCCTTCTACGATGAGATGCCGGACTGGCTCATGGCGTGGCTTGTCAAGCAGCACATGTTCTTCGTCGCGACGTCGGCGAGGGAGGGGCACGTCAATGTGTCGCCCAAAGGTTCGTGTACTGCTAGTTGAGTAGCGATACTGCGACTGACATTGCCCCCTCCCCTCGCTCCCTCAACACCACACTCCACCTTTTCCCCTCCACCAGGCATGGAAGACACCTTCCACATTATCGACAATAAGACGGTCTGGTACGAGGATCTGAGCGGGAGTGGTACGTCACGCCACTGACATCCTCGTCTCCTCACTAACTAAACCCCCATTGACCTCAGGCGTCGAGACCATCTCTCACCTCCGCGAGAATGGGCGCATCACGATCATGTTCACCGCCTTCGACAAGCCCCCGCGGATTGCGAGGCTCTTTGGAACTGGTGCGTCTCTGAGCTGCTCATGAATATCAATGGCTCTGACCGACACTGCGCAGGCACGGTCTACGAGTACGGCACGCCCGAGTATAACCAGTACATCCCCGCGGAGAAGCGCAAGCCCGGCTCTCGCTCCGTCATCCTCGTCGACATCCACAAGGTCGGCTCGGTGAGTGACAACTGCTGCTTCCTTGCCCCACCATTGCCTATCACCCACTTCCTTCTCCCGTCCCTCCTCTCGACCCCGACTGACTTTCCATCTAGTCTTGCGGCTACGCTGTCCCCTTCATGGAGTTCAAGTCGCACCGCAACGTGCTCGAGCAGTGGGCCGCGCACCGCGAGCGCGACGAGAACGCGGGGTCCGGGAAGGGCATGCGCGAGTATTGGCGCACCAAGAACACGCAGAGCATCGATGGGGTGCCCGGGCTGCAGTATGCGCACGAGACGGAGGGCGAGCTCAAGAGCGTGGGTGTGCCGCCGTATGCGAGGGTGGGCGGCGTGGGGGAGGATTTGAGTGCCTCGGGGAAGTATTCGAGGAGAGCTGGTGAGAAGCTGGGTCTACAGGTTGCCGTCCAGAAGGCGGAGCAGGTTGCCGTTCCGCTTGTTCAGGCTGTTGATACTCACTATGTTTTGGGATTGCTTTCGGGTGCGATAGCTGCGCTGGCGTACGTACGCTTCTTGAGCCCGCACGCTGCCTGAGGGAGCTATCCACATGACTTTGGTGACTCTAATTACAATCATGATGTATGTGTACTTTGCAGTCGTTTTCCTGGAAATTTTGGCATGTCAAACAGGGAGATGGCCTTCCGGACATGCTCGACGAAGGAATCACGTTGCCCATTTCGCGAAAGGTAGGTGTTTGTTTGTTCATGCTTGCCTGATCTTGTGTGCCTTTGGGTACACACCTGGGGCAAACACGGACAAATCATCATTTTCTTCTCTGCGACCTACCACCATCATCCGCTACATAGTTCCAGGATTGACTCTCCCTGCCGCTTGCAGGAAATACTTCTGCTGACATTGCAATTATGAAGCCCCCCATTGTAGCCATACTGTCCTCAGTCAAAGCCCAGACGGAGCAAACCTATCCTCCTCCAGTCACTCAAGCGTACCCAGGCCCGTCAACTTCCTCTTTGTCGGTCGGCAGTGCCGTGCACGAACTCGACAGGAGGTCGTCCAGCCAAAGCGTGAAGCCGATGCCATGCATATCAGCTTCGGAAGCTTTCCAAAGCCCCCGCAAGTGGCGTAGCGCTGGAACCTGCTCTCCAAAGACGTGCTCAACGTTAGGGACGAGGGAAACCAGACGACAGATATCGGTTGTCAACAACGTTTGTGCGCTCGTCCAGGCCGCCTGGGTGACCACGGCCGGCTCCCTCGTTCTCCATTCCTCCTTCATCCATGCGCTGATGATACCGTCCATTCTAGTGACAGTCGGAGCAAGGGGTCCAAATGACCGGAGGAGAGCCAGAAGGTCGGGAAGGATCGTACTCTTGAATTCGCGCCTCAGTGCGGCTTGTGGGCTGTCTTGCATAAGTGCGAACATGTTCCCGACCACCACGTCTTCTCCCAACTGTGTCCCGTACTCGCGGGCCGCGCGCATGGCGATTCGGTAGTCCTCTGCGTACATGCAGAGGTAACCGATGAGGTAGTGGAGATACTCTTGCAGATGCGCCCGCGCGCTGGGGTCTTGCAAGCCGGGGGTGGCGAACTGCGTCGGAGGCCCAAACCCGGCATCGTTTGCGGTCGAAGGGAGATTCATAAGTGCACCGTCGTCGTCGTAGCCGAAGTTGGTGAGTGGCATGCTTGTATGCGAAATTTGACCCGCTCTTTATAGGAAAGCTTGTCTTTGTGGCCTTGAAAGGAAGGTATGTCTGCTTTGACCCGGACCAGGCGTAGCGACACTTCGGCAATCAGGTTGCTCGGTCCGTCCTTCCACTGTCTCCGCGGCAAAGAACGTAGCATTTGCAATGGTTCGGGCGTTGCACGTTGACGGCCTTATCTTATCCGATATCTGTTTCCTATCCATCGCCACCTCTTGTCTTCTTTCCCTACCCCTAAGCAGTCTGCGCTTACACCGCTACTCTTACCATGGGTCAGTTCTACGACGAGATGCCGGATTGGCTGATGGCGTGGATCGGGAAGCAGCACCTCTTCGTCGTCGCGACGTCTCCGAGAGAGGGTCACGTGAACTTGTCGCCGAAATGTGCGTACGGCTTTCGATCGACTCGTCGTTCTTGTATCCGTCAACATGGTCGAGATCATAAAGGGCAGCTATACTAGTTTCTGACACTCGGAGTAGGTGCAGACGGCATGTTTCACGTCGCCGACTCCCGGAAGGTCTGGTACGAGGATCTGACCGGTAGCGGTGCGTACATGCCAGAGGTTCAACTATTGTCGATGTTTTCCTGAATCGATTTACTGCCAGGCATCGAGACCATTTCTCATATCCGGGAGAACGGGCGCATCACCGTGATGTTTATGGCCTTTGACAAGCCCCCCAGGATCGCACGTTTGTTCGGGACAGGTCTGCCAGTCGTACGCTGCTCTCGGGGGCATCAGTGACCGGGAATTGTCCCAGGGATCGTGTACGAGTACGGCACTGAAGAATACGATAATCGCATTCCCGCAAGCAAGCGACATCCGGGCTCGCGCGCGGTCATAGAGATCGCTGTCCACAAAGTCGGTGCGGTGAGTGCATGGTTCAACAATCGCGTTCTTGTCATCTCCAATTGCTTATAACGGCTCGCATATGCACGCGCAGTCCTGCGGCTACGCCGTCCCGTTCTACCAGTATCTCGGTCCACGAACGTTGCTCGAGAGTATGACCGCGCGGACCGAGGCGTCGACGACGAAGGAGGGCGAGAACGTCATGCGCTACTACTGGCGCGAACACAATAACAGGAGCCTGGACGGCCTGCCGGGCTTGCGCTCTGCGTTTGAGGCGGAGCGCGCGCTCGTCAGTGTCGGCGCGCCGAGGGGGTCGAAATGGGCTGCGGTGAGGGATTGGACCGTGGCACGGTTGGTTGCGTGCGGGATAACTGACATTTGGTGCTTCCTGGTTGGCCTTGTGAGCGGCGTGTGTGTTATGGTCCTCACCAGTGTGTGCGCGCGGCTACTGGCGGTACAAGGTTAGTGATAATGAGCAAAGACCATGGGTGACTGTTAGTGTTGTCCAGGCCCTCGACGGACTATGATCATGGAGTCATAATGATACTTCCCCATCTACGTCCACTTTCCCACCTATCTTGGTGCGTGGGTATGGCGGCGCCGGGCCTTCTGCGAGCACGTCCACATGACTATGACAGCGATTCACTGCGTATCTCCCGACCAGCTTGACTCTCGCCTTCACGAGCAGACTTGACTTTCGTCCCTCACACTGAGCTTGACTCTCGCCTTCACGAGCGAGCTTGACTCTCGTCTCGACTAGCAGGCTTTACCCTCATAGCCCACGCAGTCCCCACCATGGTCGTCTACTTCGATGAGATGCCCGACTGGCTTATGGAGTGGCTCGTCAAGCAGCATATCTTCTTCGTCGCTACCGCCGCTAGAGACGGGCATGTGAACGTATCGCCAAAGGGTACGTCCTTGTGCTATCCATGGACCAGGACCCCTTCATTGACACGGCATCCAGGACTCGACGACACGTTCCACATCGTCGACTCGAAGACGGTGTGGTACGAGGACTTGTGTGGGAGCGGTGCGTCATCCTCCTCTTCGAGGCTTGTGCTCGTGGCTGATTCCACCGATCCAGGTGTCGAGACGATCTCCCACCTTCGGGAGAATGGGCGCATCACCGTAATGTTTACTGCCTTCGATAAACCGCCGCGGATTGTGCGGCTCTGGGGGACAGGTGTGTTTCAATCTCCTTGTCATCATACGCAAAAGTTGATAGCGGCGTACAGGTCAAGTATACGAGTACGGAACCCCCGAGTACGCAAAGTACATACCTGACGAGAAACGCAAACCGGGCTCGCGGTCAGTCATCCTCGTCGATATCCAGAAAGTCGGCTCGGTGCGTTGAGCCTTCCTGCTTCCGATCTCTTATTCTTTACTTATTCATCTGTTTCCCTCCTCACCCGTGTCCCTCCCCTTCATCCAGTCCTGCGGCTACGCAGTCCCCTTCTACGACTTCATCTCCCACCGCAGCACGCTCGAGAACGAGCTCGCGCTCTTCGAGCGGCGCGAGAACGACGGCACGGGCAAGGGGTTGCGCCAGTACTGGCGAGAGTGGAACACGAATAGCCTCGACGGACTTCCTGGGTTGCTGAGCGCGTATGACACGATCGGGGAGCTGAAGAATGTTGGCGTGCCGGATTACGGAGGGAAGGAGAATCGCAATGGCAGCGCTCGGCCGGGGAATAGGAAGGTTGAAAGGGAGGGAGGGCAGGGGAGTGTCGCCTTGAGTCAGATGCCTGGCCAGAATCTTTTGTTGGGCGCGATGACGGGAGCTCTTGCTGTGTTGGCCTATAGTCGGGTTGTAGCTGCGAAGTGAAATCCTTAGGAAGAAATTTGAATTGCATTCTCCTCTTTCCAGTGAAAGTTGATTGAGAATTCTAGGAAGTTACCTGTAACACACGCACAAACGCTTTCCCCTTGGCAACCGACAAGGCATTAGTAGGTCCTGACGTCTTACTACCGGATAGGGAACAAGCCACCGAGCCGTGAGAAAGTCTAAGAGGGCCGGACATACTGTAAGCGGGTTTGACACGTGCGCCCTCGGCCCCGCCGCCGTCCGTCCCGATAAGCTCGCCGCCAAGCCCGAAGCCAGCGGCAAAGTGCGGCACATACGCGCCATAGTGAGAGGCGCCCACAAAGGAATACTCCTCGCCGAATTCGAACAATATCCCATCACAGAATATTCAATGGACAAACTCCTCGACCCCCGCTATACTCCTCGACTAACGCCGTACTCCTTGCAGTACCGCAAGAGTAACGTTAGCGCCGCACACGCCATAAAGCCACCGAGGGCGAGGGCGGCACCGGGAAAACGACGGCTGCGAGAGAAAGCGACCGGTATGAGGCGAAAGCAACCGGGATGAGGGAAATGGGCCTGAAGGCGCCCGCGAGTGAGAGTGCCAGCGCCGAGTACTCGCCAGGTTGTGATCGTGCCCGCCTGGTGGTGATTTGGACAATGGACTCTATTGCGGGACGACGCGCTCTGTATTGCACGACGATGCTCTGTATTGCGGATGATACACCCTATTGAGCCCTGCCAGTCCAGACCGGCCTTTTCCCAGCCGATAATGCCCATCGCACCCTATAGCCCATCGCGACATTGGAGAAGCCCGGAGAGTTACTGCGTCGACTGGCCAGTGGCGAGCGCGCCAGCCTGCAGGCATCCTGCGCGCTAGGGCATCCGGGGAAGCACTCGGGGTGGCTTGCCCTCCTCCGAGCTCTGATGACCATCATCTGACCCGGTTATCAGGTCGCAGAGGTGGGGAAGGCCCGACGGCGAGAGGAGGATAAGAGTCGTGTTGGGATAGCGCCATCGCGTCTGGTAGCTAGAGGCTGATTGGAGGACCTAGCGCGTCCTCGACGGGCGCGGGAGGTAACGTACGCCGCAGAGCCAGGTAGGGGGCCGCAGAGGCCGGGAGGACCACGGAGAATGGGGGGCGCTGATAAGAGGTGTGCTCGTGCTGGTCTGCATGATCGCCAGTAGACTCGTGGTTGCTGCAATAGAGCCAGAAAAGCGAAACACCAGCTTGGTCTGGCAAGCACTATTGAACACGCGGAGGGAGGCGAAGGTCGTGCGGATGATGTGCCCTCCAGCCATTATGCCAGCGTGACCAAGATATTGCTGCGGGAAGATATTGCAGACCTCCTCGTGAACGCTTGATCATCAGATTCAGTACGCTTGATTATCCGAGTCAGTAGATTCCGCTCTATTATCCGAGTTAGTTTGCAGCGGCCTAGGAAGAGACGTACTCCCTTGATCATCCGAGACGCACTCTCTTCCGAGCTGTATTCTCTTGATTATCCGGACGTATACTCTTGATTATCCGCACGTACTCTCTTGATTATCCGGACGTATCCTCTGGATTATCCGGGCGTACTCTCTTATTTATCCGAAATAGTTTGCCGCTTCGAGCGTCAGGAGGGTTTATTGACAGGGACCGAGCGGTTACAGTAGCGAGCGTCGCAGCCGTCCTTCTGAGCGTCGCAGCGTACTTCCAAGCGTTGCAGCGCACTTCCAAGCGTGGCAGAGCTCTTCCAAGCGTGTAGCAGCGACCTTCCAAGCGGGGTGGCGTACTTCCGAGCGTCGCGGGGCCTTTCTAGAACGCGAAGGCCTGTCTGGTCGAAGAGCAGACACCTGTTGTTGAGTCAAGGTCAGGGCGCTGCACGAAGTCGAAGCGAAGGCGCCTGGCATCGAATGAAAGGGTCGGCGCCTGTCGTTCAGTCAAAGGGAAGAAGTCTGCCGTCCAGTGAAAGGAAAGAAGTCTGCTGTTGAAAGGGCGCGCGCCTGTCGTCGAGTCAGAGGAAGCGCGATGCAGGACGCGGAACCGTGATGCAGGACTCGGAACCGTGAAGGAACGGCCGGCTGCGAGCGAGAAGGACGGTTGCGAGCGAGAAGGACGGTCGCGGGCGAGAAGGACGGTTGCGAGCGAGAAGGACCGTGACGGTGGCGAGAGCGAAGGGCGCTGCACGAAGTCCACGGACCCGAAGCGCACTTGAAAGAAACCGCCAACGCGGGCAGGAAGTCTGAGCGAGGCGCCCGATCGATATTTGCTGTACTCTATGCATGTAGAGCGCGCGCCTGATTTCCATCGACCAGACGCGCTGATTTCCATCGCAGAGCGCGCTTGATGTGCATCGCGTAGATGCCTGGGTGGGGCAGGGTGTAGATGTTGAGATCGATGGCCTCGTGCGACTGCCCCTCCCTCAGCCCAGTCGCACAGAAGGGGAAACAGATCGGGGACCACTGAGATACCAGTTTGGGGACCGCGACGATGAGCGCCTCGAGGCGCGCGTGGATGTGTACAGTTCCTCGAGGCGAGCGCGGGTAGGTCCTTGCGCGAGGGTAAGCACCTCGAGGCGCTCGAGCGTAGCACCCTATTGTTCCCCGGGGCGGGCATGGGATGAGGTCCTAGAGGCGCTCGAGCGACGCTGTATGTAGCGCCACCCTCGACGCAGTAGCGTCCCTTCCAACGCAGAAGCGCCACCCTCAACGCAGTAGCGCCCCTTCCAACGCAGTGCACAGGACCCTCCATCAAGTCTTCCCATTCCGAACGCACAAGGCTCTACCATTCCGGGGTCGCCTCGCGTAGGTAGAGACAATGCAAGGCGTGGGGCGAGGGCAATGGAAGAGGAACATCCATGACCATCGCGGGCGCGGACAGGAACGACGCCTCAGCGGAAGAGGCGGCGGCGGCCAGCAGAGCCCACGAGGGAGGCGGATGAGGGGCGGCGCCAACAGCCACGCAGCGGGAAGCGGCGGCGGGCGAGGAACAGGGGTGACTGCGGAGGCTTCCTGCAGGCGCGCGCCTGCATTGTCCCCGGCCCCCTCGGGACGCGACGTGGCTGCGAATCCGTACCACCTGTGAGTCACAGGCGCCTTCCCAAGAGTCAGACGCGTCTTCCCGGAGAGCCAGGCGCGCCTTCCGGTGCCGCTGAGTTTGGTGAGAAGCAGGAAGCGCACCGGGAATAAGGTACGCGTGGGCGGATGGGGATATCACGCGGCGGCATAACGAGACGCGTGCAGAATACATACGGTTCGCGTGCAGGGCGCGGTTACGGTTGCGAGTCTGATCCCGTATGCGCAACGACGGCGGGATCGAGCGACGCGGACATTGGGGCCGGGAGCGTCGAAGGACATCGGAGTGGGTGGCGAGAACACCAGGGCGACGAGGGAAGCACATGGAGAAGTCAAGACACCCAGGGCGGAGGAGTCAAGCAGTATAGAGGAGTCAAGGCAGGGCAGCGCGAAGCCATGCCCGCCGAAATAGATAGATACACGGTAATAGGTAGTGCTCTAAGGATAGCGGGTGGTATTATAAACGATGGCCCAGGGGAATACCAAAAACACAATGTCGGATGGAGAAGTACGCGGGTGCCCAGGAGATAGGAAGGTAAGGAGAAGATGCAGGATGAGAGGGTAGGCGGCAGATGAGAAGTAGGAGGCAGTTGAGAAGAGTAGGAGGCGGATGAGAAGAGGCGGCGGCAGATGATGTCTATGCGCGAGAGCGAGATACGGAAAGCGAAAGCAAGAGGAGGGGATGGAGGGTCCTACAAAGTCCCTACATGGGCCCGAGTCTATAGTGGAATGTATAATATTAGGATGGCCCTCGGCGGTGCGAGAAGGCGTTCATTTTTTGGTCTGGAGGGATGGAAGTAAGCGCCTGCGTGCGCGGGAGGGCTAGGAGGGATGGCGATAGGAGAAGTACGCACCGGTTTCCGCATCATGACCGTGGACGAGTCTGAGCCTGTTGACGCTGTCTGGACGTACGTCAGGCCCAAGGGGAGGAGTGCTGCGGGCGTGTACGCACTGGAGTCGAGTACGGTGATCCCGCAGGGATATTTTGTGATGCATTGGACAGCGCCTTCTTCAACTACATAGGCGCCTTCGTTAGCGACGCGCCCCGGGCCGCGGCTGAGGGGACGCACCTTGGCCTCGCTCTCCTTGGCGCGATTGGCATACATATTGTGATGCAGCGCGACGCCCTGCATGCTCGTCGCTTGGTGTAATGACGAAAGCGAGGAGGAGACGCTTGGGAATGCGACGAGGGGTGATGGCTTGCTGTCGCGCGAAGACATGGTCCCAAGAAAGAACGGCAGCCGCGTCCGAAAAGAAGAGAGATGAAGAAGGAGAGAAAGAGAAGAAGGAGACGCGAGCGCGGCTGGCGCTGTGCGCGGGTGCACAAAGAAAGAGGGTGATGAAAATATTGGGCGGGATGAACTTTATAGGCCCGACCGCATGGACGCGTGACGGCCCGCGTTCACGTCACCCAGGTCACCCGGAGGCAAACTTGGCTTTCAATCTGAGTTGCGCGCTTCCTATTACCTGATGAACTCTCACCACCACGATCCCCCTCCCGATCCATCACAGCGCGGTCGCCATGTTGCAGATTATCCGTCGCTTTTCCAGTCGCTTTTCCATCGCTTTTCCATCGCCCGACGGCCGTCGTCCGCAGCTACCGCCATCTGTAACGGATCCCCCCGCCCCCTCTGTCGCCTCCCTCGCTCGGCTAGCGCGACGCACGCTGCCCTTTCCTCGCAGAAGTAGCCGCATCCTTCTAGCTTGACCGTCCCCCAAATATGCCATGATATCATGTAAGTGCTCGCCACACCGTCCTGCCTCGCCGTTTCTAGCTCCCCGTTCACGCCTCTGCAGCACCGACGTCAACCGTCAGCTGACCGTCGACGCTGCCCGCGAGAGACGCCGAGTATACACACCTGCGCGGCGTCCGTGCCCTCCCATCACCGCCTGACTCGTCGAGCGGGTGACGAGATGCCGTACACAGTTCATCAACGCCGGCTGGCCTCGCGGGCGAGCTCGCCATAGCTGACACGACGCTCAGGACGCCGATCAAAAGCTGGCGATTGAGTCCCGCCGATACAGCTGCCCATCACGCGCACGTCGAGCGTGGTAGCGGCATTGCCGTTCTGAGGAGCACTCGGGCACGATAACGGTGCGCCCTTCTCGCAGTCATCTCACGGAGGTGGCCTGGCGCTGACGCACTCCCAGCGCCCTCACCGGACCCGCAATCAGCGCTCCCTCCGGGCGCGCAAGTTGGTCAAGTCCGGGATCGAAGGTGGCCCTACTGTGGCGCGCGCTCGAGGATCGGAATCTCCACTCGGGCGACTAAATCTCCACTTGAGCGTCGGGATCTCGTCTCACCGAATCTGTACCGTCTCGAGCTCAGCGGTCTTATTTTTCCGCTTTTCGTCCGCGCCTGGCTTGGTCGTACGAGTCTCGCTGGATTATCCGCACGCTTTGCCTGCTGGCAGCGTCCGCAGCCAACTCTCTTGGCTTCAATAGCTCTCATGTCTTCATAACCGCTCGGCACGTTTGTTCAGTTACTCCGTCAGGTCTCTTGAATTACTTCTCCGGGCCTTTGGGATCACTCGACACGTCTCGTCAATCACCTCGACTTGCCTGCAGGCCTCACGATCATACCTGGGGACCGCCGCTGGACACCCTATACTTCCTGAGCGACACCCCGTTCCTCTTCTACAGCCTCCGCGGTCAATTCAAACAAGGTCACCGCGTCCATTCAAATATTCCCAACCACGCTTTACTTGAACGGCAAAGCGTCATCCGTCTATGGAAGCGTATGCAAGGTCATTCTTCGTGCCTTCGTGGCACCCTCCGTGCCCTTGTCACATCCCGAAGAGTACCTTCGCTACGGTCACCTGTCTATCCAGCGTCTCCGGCAAGTACCCTCGCCACGTCCCGAGGGCCCCCGTCATAGTCCTTCTGCTGTTGCTATATACCTCCCGCTGCTTCTCGTCTATTGCGATCCGTTCCCGTGAGCACTTCTATCATCCCCTCGCACAGTTCTATCTGCCCCTCGAATGCTCACATCGCGCCCCGGGCCCTCGCCACAGCTGATAGCAGCCTTCGCTATAGCTGATAGTGTTCAGATGCGGCCCCCGATCTCGCACCGATCTCACCTATCTCATACCGCCGCGCACCTCTAACCCACCTGACGCACCTCTATCCCACCTGCGATGCACGGCTATCCCACCCGCAATGCACGGCTATCCGACCCGCAATGCACCGATCTCACCTATCTCGCGCGCCACCGCCTGCGTCTCTTTTACGTCGCTGATTGCCATGTGCGCGTAGACGTCGTTACAGAAGGAGAAAGATGAAGGCTTCTTACCGACGTCCATGAAGGGGCTCTTTGCCAAATGAGTTGCCCTCCTGCCGAATGCGTCACCTTCCCGTCGGGCGTGTCCCTGTCTTCTTCCCCTGGCTCTTGCGGTAGCGAATCTTAATTTCCCTGACGAGGCCGTACATCTCCTGACGAACACTCCTGACTGCCCTTGCCCATTATCTAATCGCGCTGCCCGCTCGACGAGCACTTGCGACCATGATCTAATCGTCCTGCGACCATTGTCTAATTGCGCTGCACCCTATGGCGCGCGCCTCGCGCTACTCAGACGTCCGCGGCAGCCCTCATACGTTCATATCCCCGGGATGAGACGTACCTCCTGCCCGGTGAGACGTACTTCCTGCTCAGCGAGACGCACCTAAAGCTCTCCTATGCTCTCACCGTCACCCCTCAACGTGGCCGGCAGTCATAACTTTGACATGGCCGTGATGGACTTTACTTGAACGTGGTGTAGATTCCCCTCTTTACCGGCGGCGATGCGCGGCTCGAGGCGCTTCCTGATGACGAGCGAGGCCTAATCTGATGACGAGGGCTAATCGCGACTATATGCGTCCGTACTGTTACTGTATGCTCAGCCGAATCGCGACTACATGACGAATCCCCCTGAGGTCAGTTTGCAGCCTCGAGGTCTATTGGCGGCACGCGGCCATGTCAATGCAGGCTGTCGCTTCACAACAGCGTGTCGGTGCTTCACGACATCGTATTGTCGCTTCACGACAACGTGGGCCTTGTCCACGCCGGCTTGTTACTTCAGCGCAGCTCACCTGACTCTATGCTCTACGTCGCAGGGAATACACCGTGCATCGTGGGGGCTTTACCGTGCTGCGGGAGGGCTTCACTGCGCTTCATCGTGCGTAGCGGAGGGCTTTACCATGCTCCTGCCACGCATGATCCTGGCTTCCATGTTACTTCGCTATGCCATGCTCTCGAATTACTTCCCTATTCGCTGACATTACTTCGCTATTCTGCTGGAATTGCTTCGCTGTCCTCCGGTCGACCTCAGCGCTTGGTCTGCCGCGTCGCTTTGCCGACCTCCGTCCTGCCATATCACTACCCCATCCCAGACGGTATCTATACCCCATCCTCCCGCGTCGCTTCCCGGGTACTTCTCCGGGCTTTTGTGGTCCTTCCCCAGATCTTCGTGCTACTTCCCCATGCCTCCGCGTTCCGTTGGCGTGACTTCCCCGCTCCACCTGGCTTCACAAGCCCATTCAAGGCGGACTACTTTGCATGTTGCGCTCATAAAAGCGTCACCTGGTCTCCTTCGGGAATCCTACCAGGGACTCTGACTGTTGTCTTCCTTCAAGCGATGTCCTGATCTCGTTCTCGATACCTTGACTGCGTGCAAGCGATTCGCCCCCTATTTTCCAGGAGACGGTAGAGTCTCCGCGAATTGTGAAGATGAAAGCTATTCTTCGCGAGGGGATACTGCGCAACACCAGCCCTCTTGCCAACCGGCTATCTCGACCTACAAACGAGTCGCGCATCTGACCTTTCGAGGCTGGTCTCACCCGCAGGGGTCGTGCGCGCCACCGTGTCCTGCGTACCGGTACGGCCCGCGTTGCCGTGGCAAATCCTCAAGTTCTCGCTACCGTTTCACCCTGTCCTGGCGACCAGCCAGTGACCCTCGAGTCGCAAGCGCGCCATCTCGCGTGACGCCACCGACCTCCTGCCAACCCCGAGAAGATCCTGCATCCTCCAGACCCTCTCACGCGTACTCAATCACGGGAACCGCGCTTCGATGCGTTGTTCCCTGGCCAGAATCCCTTCCTGAGTTGCCTACTTGCCTCTTGTGGACGCGCGCTGTTCACGGGTAGTGCGAACGGACGAATTCCAGTGGCTCCAGACCGCATCGGCCTCGGAAATAACAGACGCTAACAGTAAAGGTAAGATCTCGCTAGCAGTACTGCTCAGGGTAGAGTTCCTCCTGCGACGCGTGGGTTATCTTTCAGCTGCCGGCACCGATCTAACCGAAATTGTTGGACTTCGCGCTGCGAGCTGCCCCGTCGGAGGCCACGTTGGCTCGAGACACCGCGCAGGTACGCAGAGTTCATCTCAACAAACGGCGACATAGGCGCGTCCGCCAGGCCCGGATCGATGTTGGCGAAGCTGGAGCTGACTCACGGCCGCGATGTCAGCCCCCGCGCCACAAGCGCTGGAAGATTGGGATGAGTCACGACACGTTTCGAGAGGTTCGGGCGATGTGTCTGGCGTGCCCCATTGCTGTAGGTCATGGAGGTCCGTGTTCCCCACTTATCGGTACGCGAACGTAAGGTAATCGACTGCGCAGAGGTATCTTTACGAGGTTCTTGACGGCCGCGCGCGGTGTGGGCCTCGAGGTAACCGTAAAGGTCTGAAAGTCGTGATCAATACCGCCAGTAAATAAGCTTTCATATTTCCGTCATATTGCGAGATGCGCTACAGCGGTGACATAGCGCGACGCCGCCCATATCCTGAGCTGCCGCAGCCTTGGCCGTCTCCGATGAACCACCGGTATGAACGAGCATGCGAGGCGACGGTCACGTACGATGCAGCCACACGCTGAGCTGAGCAGTTATGTGATCCATGAGCCGTCCGTGCGAGATAACAGCCCCCGCATACGCAGCGTTTGTAACTGAGGGCGGTGACGCGCGGGGTCAGCAGACGCCAATGACTGCGTAGATGCGGGGGAAGGGTCGAGGGGAGCGCGCGGTGGCGTCCTCGAGGCAAGCGTCCGAGGGGCTTCGACATATGCGGGATGGAGGCTTGCTGGCAGGCGAGGGTGAAGAAGAACAGCGCGAAGAGTTGAGGTCAATGGCCAGACAGGTGGAACTTGGTCCGAGGAGAGCTGACGAAGGGGACTTTCGCAAGGCGAGAGCGCGGAAATGAAGGGAAGATATAGAAGAGACATAGACGAATTGATCTGACGCGGTCAGGCGCAGCGACTCACTGAATTGAAGTCGCAGCAACACGCTTCGAGTAGGGTGGCCAGGAGACGGCTGTACGAGTCGTGTGACCAGTGGGTCCATGGTACGTGAACAGTCAGAGTGTGCCACGTACGCCAAGGAAGCCATGTGCCTAATGCACAAGCTGAAGGCCGCAAGTTGGTCTTTGAATTATGCATTCAGGAGTTCTGGTCGATGGCGACAAATTGGCGCCATTAGCACGGGAAAGATCAAGCATATACTCTGGGGAGGAGGAAGTCTCCAAACGGCAGTCCCAGCACGATTACTTGGCGCCAGGATGACGCTGTTCATGGTTGAAAGCAAGAGACGGCGGAAGACATCACCGGGTTCGTCACGTCACGGGGACTGCACGTGCAGTGACGGTTCGTATCCAGCAGCCAAAATGAGTGCTTCCCCCGTATGTCTACCATTGGGATGCGCGCGTTCTCGTACTCTCGTGGCTTCCGCTTGATGGGGAAGCAGGGTGCCAGGGCCCACCGATGCCTATAGTCTTTTTCCGAAAGCGGCCTGCGCATTATTCTGTGCCCAACTGCGTCCGGCGCGACTTCGTCAAGCGGCGACTCGTATGCATCCTCTCGAAATCGCCGTCTACTCCAAGCCTTACGTGCTGTAGAAACCAGATATAGTCAGTTCTACCAGGGGGATTTGCCAAGGCTCGTCGCACGAGCCCATCCTGCGTCACTCACCAGGTTTGACAGGATTGCGCAGCTGTTGACTCGCAGTTGAAGGAGCACCTTCACCGGTTTCAACGTTGAGCAGGATCGTCGTCCTCCTGAATGTGGGTGCGTAAGAATCACGTCTTCAGTGCGAACGCGCGAGGATCACCGACACCAAAGGTGACGCGGGGCGCATCTCACAGTCTACTACCGTGTAGTAGATCAGCTTCCTGACGAAGCGATGGTCCCTTGTCTATGTATACATGGTGGGAGCGCCTGTTGTACATACTTTAGCCGTAGCGGACGTTCGCTGGACTTGTTACAACCATCTTCGACCCTAGTTGGAAGGTCGCGCTCTCATCAGGAAAAAAGTTGGGACCTTGGTACACGGTCTATTCGACCTACGCGGCGCTATTTTGGGCTATATAGGCCGAGTAGACCGAGTAGACCCTGTACCAAAGTCCCTCTACTGGGGCTACGCGCTGCTACGTAGCATTTGTAGCAGAATTTTTTCTCAGATGCTAACCTCAATCGAGATGGCCGCATTCCGACCTAGGAGTGGCAGTTCGATATTCGAACGTTCGGCGGGATTGTTGGATGGAATTCTTGCTGCACTGAAGCGGTACCGAAGGTTCGAGGGTCGAAGAACATAAAGGGGTTTTGGAAGATCTGCTATTGTTCCATCTTGGGCGGAAGCGGCCTTCGAGATATACACGGTATAGACGCTGAATCGGTGACAGTGAACGCGGATGCATGTCCACTAAAGACAGCGCGCATCAGCCCTTCGGACGTCAAAAATCTGCAAGACGGACTCACCGGGCACCCGCCTGGTGTCAGATGGCCTATGGAAGCGCGTACATCTCCCGTGAGGTAAATTGAGCGCTGCTTGGCGATGGAAAGAGGGAATCGGGAGATCCAACCCTCGATCCTGCACGTTGCCTCGATCCTGCGCATTGACTTCAGGCATGCCCATTCATTGCGTCCACGCATGCCAATCGCCGTTGCCTTCAGACGTGTCCATAGTGGTCTGCTGCGTGATCTCCTGTCTGCTAGTCGATACGCATACCCGCTGCGCACCTCTGAACTCCCTCGCCCTCACCACTCAATCTCCCCGCCGCGCCGAGCGGGAACCACCCTTAGGCAGCGAGAGCCACCCTGGGGCAGCGGGAGCCACCCTAAGGCAGCGGTGCCGCTCTAGAGGCAGCGGACCGGCTTTAGAGGCCAATGTGTTGACGGCGGGTGCCGAGCTTCGGTAACCTAGTCTTCGATCCTTGGCTGTTGAGTTGTGATTGGGCTACTGATTAGCTTTGGAATCAATCAACCGGTATATCACCTTAGTCGACCGGGATATCACCTTAATGGATTCGTATATCACCTCAGTGAAGGTATGATGCCCGGCGAAGCTCGGTATAGGCCTGAATGTAGGCTTGGGAGAAGAAGCGTGCCTACCCTGGGCCTTCATGTAAGTAATAGAATGGGTAGGTAATAGAATGCGCGTACGGATGAACAGCGTGTTATGATGGATAGCACGCTGCGACGAATGAACAGCACGCTATAGCAACCATTAAACCGCGATGGCAGCGAGCTTCCGTGATTGAGGCGAAGAGCATCGGATGGTTGGGCAATGCACATGGGATGCATGGGCGTGGTCCTGAGGCGGTGAGTTCCGAGTCCTGAGGCAGTCAGTGGACCTATTAGCGCGTCTAGCCATGGCTGCGGTGGCGGGTTCAACTGAATACCTAAGCAGCACGTACCGGGAAGAACGGGAACGCCCATCGAGCTAAGATTGTGGCCAGTACGTAGAAGGCTGTTGGCGATCTGCGCCCAAAGGACGCGTCGAGAAGGCTGCATGTTGCTGCGGTACCTCTCGGAAGGCATGTTCGAAGGTACGTTCTCAGCAGAGATGAACTAGTGAGGGAGATAGGAGCGGGTCCGCCCGCGAGTGCAAAAACCTTGAAGTTGCGGTGGCAGATAGACGGCGCCGTAACGGACGGTAGCGGTACCGCGCAATACAAGCAAGGCGCGGCCATAGAACCGATCGTCACAAATAGAGCAAACGTTCACGCCCTATACGGGAGATGAAAGCAGAACCATGTAGGGTAACACGTACAGGGAAGAACACTAGCAGGTGTGAGTATCGTGCCTCGACAATAACGCGCCATTCGCGGGCGGATTCAGTATGGTAGTCAGCAGAAGCCTCCCTCTCGCGCTGCAATCTAGGTTTCCTATACAGGCATCAGCCCCACGCTGCCGTCGTGCTGGATTAAGACGATTAGCAGGGCGGTCGAGACCGCGGGCTGGGAATACGCGCACCTGTAGTTGACGATAAGGTGTCCGTCGGTGGCGAAGGACTGTGAGAACGTTCGGCGTGAGTACTGCGATTCGGGCCCGGGGCCGTACTCTGCGCACCTTGAACAGGTTTGAGACTGTGTCGTCCGGGGCGGGCGAGAAGGCGAGGTTGATGTAAGTGAACTGCAGGGGGGACCAGTAAGTCCGAGCGAGCGTGAGAGGCAGATAGGGCAGAAGCAGCATGTCAGAGTAGCATGAGGATGGGCAGTGGCACAAATCAGGCAATGTAGGCCTAGAGGGCTGAACTTACCAAAGGGTCGCCAGCTTTCCACCCGAGTTCTTTCCGCAGGAACTGAATGACCGCCTGGAAGCGGTTGGAAGACGTTATTTTGTAGAAGTTCTGCTTCATTATTGGCGCGTTGCCGACGGCCTTGAACCGTACGACCACTGACAAATACAGTCAGAAACTCGTTGACAGGCATGTGAGATTGCGGAAGCGAACCTTTGGCAGGGTCTTTCTTCTTGTACGTTTCTAGCGCCTTGAGAGCCTCTTCGTAGTGTTCTGAATCCCCTTGAGCAGCCCAAGAGGGGATTGAACGCGGCGCATCAAGGCTTGCCATGTTGGCGCGGTGGCGAAGAGCAAGAGCCGCTCGTGAAAGCGGACCGGCGCTGGCTCAAACACGTGACATGCTCAGGTGGACCCATTGGCGCAAATATGAGTACATAAGTATCTTCGTTCGGTCTGACAGCATCTTGGGCGACCAGGTATCTCCGGTATAGATTGTGAGTGAGCTACATGCTAGCATAATGATTCTACACATTCCTCCTGTCTTGGTTTTTCCTCGAAAAAACAGATTTCTGAACGGCTATTTATGCCAATGGACCACCATTGTAGGGTGTTCATTGCGCGTGAAGCGCAGAACAAGCGTCAGTAGAGCGCAAGAAGCATATACTGCAATTGAAGATTCCATAGCAGCCTGGTTGGATTAGCCCCAAATTGGCGAGTGGAGCAGACATACTGAATTATGATTCTGGTCGGGCACCGGGCCAGAAAGGATCGGCCGTCACAGATAGAGTACGTGTTAGCGCTGCCAAGGAGTAGCCAGTACAGTCGGTACCGCTACACAGAGAGCATACACCATCGGAGAGTTCACGAACACCTATTTCATCATGCAAGAGGCTGAAGAAGGCCCGAGGAAAGCATAAAAAGGCTTCCGACATTGATCACGTGTCCAGCGAAAGTTCAACAAGGGCGTGACAGAACGTGACTCATACTATTCTCTTACCTTTTCAAAGGCTCTGCGATGTCGGTGCGAGGTTCAATAGGTGGAGACAGGCGAGCGTAAGTGCGAACAAAGGGAAGGTACAAATACGGAAGACTCGGACTGATGAACCCGGCCCGCCGAACTCCGCGCCTTTTTCTTTTCGGTCAGCCGTTCGAGTCACGATGTTTCCGCGGATTTTATCGCGCGCTCATCGATCTGTGCTTTACAGCCGACGAATTCTACCCATTCGCCGAACCATGGCGTCCCAGGTCGACAAGACAGCCGTTCCGTTCGACAAGACCGCGCTCGAGGGCGTCCTGAACCGCAGATTCTTCTACGCCCCCGCATTTGAGATCTACGGCGGTGCGTGGCCAATGACCTGCGGGGGATTGCATGCTGAGGCTTCTCAGGTACCGCTGGGCTCTACGACTATGGCCCCCCCGGCTCTGCGCTGCAGGCGAACATCATCGCGGAATGGCGCAAGCACTTCATCGTCGAGGAAGGCATGCTCGAGCTCGACACCACCATCATGACCCCCGCGCCCGTGTTTGAGACGTCTGGTCACGTCGCCCGGTTCGCGGACTGGATGGTCAAGGACACGAAGACGGGTGATGTCCTGCGCGCCGATCACCTCGTCAAGAACGTCCTGGAGGCGCGGCTCGCGGGGGACAAGGAGGCGCGCGGTGTCGCAGCGCAACCTGCGCCCGAGGACGAGAAGGAAAAGAAGAGGAAGAAAAAGGCAGCGAAGAGCGCGGCTGTCAAGCTCGCCGACGAGGTCGTGACGGAGTACGAGACGGTACTCGCGCAGGTGCGTCCCCCTACTCCAGTCACCCACTCACACTAACGTTCCCCTTCACCAGCTCGACAACTTCTCCGGGCCCGAGCTTGGGGAGCTGTGCCGCAAGTACGCGATCCACAACCCGGACACGGACAATGAGGTGTCGGAGCCCGTGCAGTTCAACCTCATGTTCCAGTCGAGCATCGGGCCGACGGGCGCGTACCCGGGCTACCTGCGCCCCGAGACCGCGCAGGGCCACTTCCTCAACTTCTCGCGCCTGCTCGAGTTCAACAATGGGCGCGTGCCGTTTGCGTCCGCGCAGGTCGGCCGCTCGTTTCGCAACGAGATCTCCCCGCGCGCGGGCCTCCTGCGCGTGCGCGAGTTCACCATGGCGGAGATCGAGCACTACGTCGACCCGGAGGACAAGTCGCACCCGCGCTTCGCTGAGGTGCGCGACACGCGCATGGTTCTCCTCGACCGCGGCACGCAGGCCGGCGGGCACACGACCACGCGCGAGCTCACGATCGGCGAGGCGGTCGACCAGGGCGTCGTCGCGAACGAGACGCTCGGCTACTTCATGGCGCGCATCCACACCTTCCTGCTCAAGATCGGCATCAACCCCCAGCGGCTGCGCTTCCGCCAGCACATGGCGAACGAGATGGCGCACTACGCGACGGACTGCTGGGACGCGGAGATCCACAACTCGACCGGCTGGACAGAATGCGTGGGCTGCGCGGACCGCGCGGCGTACGACTTGACGGTGCACAGCAACAAAACTGGCCATCCTCTTGTCGTTCGCGAGGCGCTCAAGGAGCCGATCGTCGAGGAGAAGGACGTGCCGGAGTGGAATAAGAAGGTGCTCGGCAAGACCTACAAGGCTGACGCCAGCAAGATCACCGAGGCCGTCGAGAAGCTCGATCAGGCAGCGCTCGCCGAGGTGAAGAAGTCTTTGGAGGGCGGCAAGGCCACCGTCACATTAGCAGACGGTCGGCAGTTCGACTTGACTTCCGAAGTCTTGACGATCCCTCGAAAGACGCTGAAGACATCAGGTATGTTACGCCCAAGGCCCTCAGGTGTTGTTGTTGCTCAGGCGTGTAACAGTGCGCGAGTTTACGCCAAATGTCATCGAGCCATCCTTCGGCCTCGGTCGCATCCTATATACCCTTCTCGAACACAGCTTCTGGATACGCGCCCCGACAAAAGACGGCGAGCGCGCCGAACGCGGTGTACGCGCACCTTTATATCCGATTTGCTCCTCACTGACTAGTTCTGCACAGGTCCTCTCCCTCCCCCCTCTCGTCGCACCTACCAAGGTCCTCATCGTCCCCCTCAGCGCAAAAGAGGAATTCGACCCGCTCGTGGCCGAAGTTTGTGCGTACCGTTCATGTGTCCTTCACGTCTTCCCCTCTGCTCACCCCTTCCCCTCCTCCAGCCGCCAAGTTCCGCAAAGCGGGCATATTCTCCCGTGTGGATGACTCTAACGCGTCCATCGGCAAGCGCTACGCGCGCAACGACGAGCTCGGCACGCCCTACGGCGTCACGCTCGACTTCGCGTCCGTGCAGAAGCGCACGATGACCCTGCGCGAGCGCGATACGATGGACCAGCGGATCGGGTCCATCGACGAGGTCATCGCGACCGTCGCTGACCTCGTCCACCACCGGATCGACTGGGAGGGTGCGTGCGCGCGGCTGCCAGCCTACGATGGTGTGCAGGCGGTTGAGTAGATGCCCTTGCGCTTGCCAACTGCTCGAATAACTACCCTGTATATTATTGTCTGCCTCCCCTTGCCAAAGATCGGACAGCCACTCACGACCAAAACTCGGAGTATGGATGCAGTGGAAGAATTCCATCGCATCTCAGATGCGCTTTGCCCCTGCGCAAGTTAAGACGATCGAGCTGCTTTCTCGTCATGAGACTTGAGTACGGTGTCACAAGAAGCGCTCAGTCCTGCTTCCCGACTTCATAGAGTACGGCCGCCGGTTATGTCACTTGTTCCGCATCGGGAAACCCTTGTCGTGCTTGGGCAGCCGAATGGGGCGAGACTGGTGCCTCTTGCTCTCGACCATCATCTAGTCTCTCACGCAGCTTCCTCTTCTTTCCTCACCACCGTAAATTTGGTACACCGCCCACAAAGGCTCGAAGTCAAGGAGAATGGCAACGCACACTTGGAACACCACCTTTCTGCGCGGCGATGAGTCACAGGCGCGCAATCGCGCACTAATTATTCTGAATCAGCCATTCTCGGTTCCACTGCTGGAGAACCTGTGGCGGTCGACATCTTGGCATTGCTGCGCTGACGGGGGCGCAAACCGACTCAGCGATGTGCTAGGGGACAGGCGGCAAGAGTAAGTCCTGCTATGCTTCCAAACAGAAGATGAACAGAATGACGACGGCGAGCACTGTTCGGCAGCGGCTCATTCTGCTAGAAGGGCTTATGGAAATTAACTCGCGCATGTGCGACATCCTGCTCACTTTCAACGCAGATTACTACCAGAGCTAATCAAGGGAGACCTTGACTCGCTGCGCCCTGACGTGAAAGAATACTACAAGCAGCTGGTGCGCATCATTTCAGTGTTCAAGCGCGGAAAAGAATCAGCTCACCAGATATGATAGGGCGTACCTGTCGTTTATGACGACGACCAGGACTCCACCGACCTCATGAAGTGTGTGGCAGCTTTGGAAGAGAAAGAACGCGCCGAGGGCACAGAAGTAAGGCGGTCCTCGCTTTCACATATCGGTCTTCGCGTCCACACATCACTGTGGGTCTGACTTAGTTCCTGTAGCAGCACGATATCATCATACTCGGGGGGCTGTCAGGCCGCCTCGACCAGACGATACACACCTTGTCGTACCTCCACAAGCTGCGCCACAAACGGCGCCGCGTATTCGCGGTCACTGATGACAACGTCGGCTGGGTGCTTGACTCGGTGCATATTCTCCTTTGACCGCCTCTATTGTTTATCGCTCTGAACTCCGCAGCAGGGCGAGCATGAGATCACGATAGACCATACTGTGCTGGGGCAGACGTGCGGCCTCCTGCCCGTAGGGATCGACTTCACCGTCCTCACAACGCGAGGCTTGAGGTGGAATCTGAGTAAGTAATCATCATTGTCCAGGCGAAGTATGACATCGACGGCTCACGCTGCTATAGCGGAGCACAAATCGTCCTTCGACGGTCTCGTGTCGACGTCCAACCATTTGGATCCTGCCCACCAGACCGTCTACGTGAAGACGACGAAGCCGATCTGGTGGACGGCGGAGCTGCGCTCGTAGTTAGCGTTTGTTCAAGCATGCGACGAGGAATGAGCAGGGAAGCCTTCAAGGTTTTGTGGCGGGGACTTTCGGCGAAGGCGTGTTGACTGACCTCCGGCTCACCCGCTGCTGCCACGAAGACCTGACGGCGCCCCTTCAGCTTGAATATAGATCATAGATTGACTAGAGCTGTATCATGCGATGGAGAAGCTATATCACGGACGGGTCGTGCGCGCCAATAGAGAAGTATGTGCACGATGTCTCCTTACTCGCGGCACCGTGTCGTTGTTGCACTCGCGCAGCTTCGGGTGAGCTCTGTGTGCGCCCGCTTTGAGCGATGTGGGCATATCCGCTGCTTATGTTGCAACCGGTTGTGACAGGCGGTGGTGTCTGCCTCTGTAGCGGACGAGCGGACCTCAGAATCGCTCATGCCCGCGGTCGCGCCTTCCAAGGAGGCGCAGCCAGTCTTCGACAACGGCCATTGAGATCCATCACGCGATACGTCGGTGATAGGCGAAGCGCACCCGTTCAATTGATGGTCAAGTCCCGCGGGACTTGATACGGGAGCTTTCTCTGTCTATTGTTCAGGTTTTGGTACCGCGGCCATAAAGCGATCATTCTTCTTGTCCTAGTCTGCCTCGCGCGTACCTCATGTTGTCTTTTCCCCCCACCGCTGCAGGTCACAGTTCGAGAGTAAAACCAGCTTTAGCCAGGGGAAAACTGGGGTCCGGAGTACGCCCAGTCATCATACATTTGTCGGCGACTACGGGCGCCGATCACACTGGTTGCCTTGCCAAGGACGGTTGACCTTGCGGATTGGTCCCCGCTGCCCATAGCCCAGCGCGCCTTTTCTTCCCAAACTCCCATTTTCTTCTTCTCCTTCAACGCCTGGTGGGGCGAGAGCAGCAAGAGAAAACACCGTTGAGAGACCGCTTATTCTCAGAAATGGATCCCCCGCAAAGCCCCCGGAGTCCGACCTCCCCAACGAGTCCGACAAGCCTCGACTTGAAGGTGCGTACCGCAGAGCTTACGACGACGAGGGGGAAGCTGAGATGAGGATGACAGCGGACAGATACACTCATGCATAGAGGATTCAGCATGGCCGATCCGTACGTCTTCGATCGCATCGTAAGCGCCGGGGGAAACCTGACGTTCTCTGCAGGGTTGCCGCGCGGCGCCGCCCTGGCGCCAGCTTCGTCAACGCCGTGCTCGCCACAGCGCTCTTCCGCTGCTGGCACATCCTCATCTTCTTTGCCGCTTGGGCGACCCTGATCACCGTGCTGAACCACAACGGGTACGGAATATGGATCGAGTCAACGCTGCTTACTGTGTGAGTTCCCCCACACCTATTCCTCTTCCCCGAAGCTGATTAATTGCGACAGCATCGGTACCGTCCTCGGTTTCATCATCTCCTACCGCACCACGTCTTCGTTCGAGCGGTACAACGAGGGTCGCCGTCTATGGTCGCAGATCATCTTCGCCAACCGTACCTTCGCGCGTACTATCTGGTTCCATGTTCCTAGTATGTCGCAGACACCCCCTAGTCTTTTCCTCCGCTCATTCCCTTCTTTCAGACCCGGAGACCACAGAGGAGCGAGCCCGTATGATGATCGAGAAGAAGACGGTCATCAACCTCCTCGAGGCCTACGCCGTCGCGGTCAAGCACTACCTCCGAGGCGAAGGTACGTACGCTCCCTTGTCTTCTAGCCCCCTTCCCTTTCTTCTCCATCGAACCCGTTTACTCATCAACACGCGCAGATGGCATATTCTACACGTATGTTGCGCTACCCCGAGCCGTCTTGGCAGCCAGCTCATGATTTCGCAGGGACCTGTACTACCTCGTCAAGTTTCTTCCTGCATATGCACTGCCCTCCGGCATTGCGTCAGACCCGGACCTCACGGGCATCCAGCACTCGGAGAGCACCGGTGCCCAGCAGACGCGCCCCCGTGGCTCGTCTTCAGCGTCTGCCACCCAGGGCTTCCGTCGTCCGTCCAATGCGTCCAGCTCGCGCGCTCGCGTCCCGCACCGAGGCCCGGGCCTCCCGACGCCCGTTACGCAGCCGGCGGCTCCCAAGCGCACGCTGACCGCCGTGCTCGAGAACATCGGCTTCGGCGGCGAGAAGTACTCGGACTCGGAATTCAAGGACAAGGACTCTAAGAAGGACGTCAAGCTCAAGAGCAAGAAGGACAAAAAGGACAAAAAGAGCGACGACGAACCGGAGCGGGCGAATGTGCTCAAGCCGTCGGACGAGGAGTACCTCTTCCCGGCGAGCATGCCGCCCAAGTTCTACATCCTCGACCTCTTCCTCTTCTCGCTGCTGGTCAAGTGTCTCACGGAACGCGGGCGTTCGCTGAAGGGCAAGAAGGCCGCGAAGCTCCGGGCGAAGATGATCAACAGCACCGTGTCGCACAACTTGCCGCTGGAGCTCTCTTTGTACTTGGTACGCCGTCGTCGTCCTGGCCATGTCTTCGCAATAGCTGCTCATCATGCTCGCAGAGCTCCTACATTTCCGCGCTGCAGGTTCGCAAGGCTATCGACGTTCCGACGATCAGTAAGTGTGATTGCTCGGCTTGACGTTGTATCCCTAACAAGACTGATAGACACCATGATCGCGGCTCTCAACCAGCTCGTCGATAGTTTGACCGGTCTCGAGCGTATTTTGACGACGCCGATCCCCTTTTCGTACTCCATCCATCTATGGGTCGTGCTAATTCTGTACTGCTTGGCTTTGGTATGTTGCCCGTCTGTACTACGAACTACCAAGCCTGACTCGTCGTCTAGCCCATCCAGATTTGGCACTACCTGACATGGGTTACGATCCCGGCGACCATCATTATCGTACGTGCTCTGAAAACACTTTTCCAATTGTACGAACTCTCATCGCCATCTTACAGACGTTCATCTTCTTCGGCTTCCTCGTCGCTGGCGAGGAGATAGAAAATCCGTTCGGGTACGACAAGAATGACCTCAACCTGGACCACTTTACCTCAAATATCATCCGTGCGTAGTCCGCGCCCTTCCTTTAGGCGTCGCAAGGCTCACATATGCTCTCTGCAGGTAATGAGCTGCGCGCAATAACCGCGTCGCCGCCGCCGGACCCCGCTCACTGGGCGTTTGTCCCTCAAAATGACCTGCTGTTCACTATGAACACGAACGAGCGCGTCACGCCCGACGAGTGGCTCCGGCGCGGGTTCAAGCAGATGCAGCACGCCCTGCACAACTAGTGTGCTAGGCGCGCGCTGCCCCCTATGTTCTCCTCTCATCTGCTTCTTTCTTCTGTTGTGGCCATTCCTCTCGTATCCTCATACGCACCCCATTCGCGCGCACCTCTCGCCGCGCCCACGATTGCGTTTTCTGTCTCCTCTCTATTTCTGTCATCTGTTCCCCCTCATCACACTGTAACACCACCTCCATCTTGGGCTTTGTGGACTCACTGGCTTCCTTGGTTGTACTCTCTCTGCTGTTGTGCACTCACTCTGTTCATCTGCATGCACCGGACACTGGATTATCCATCTCTCGCCCCACCCCCCACTTGGCGCCTTACCTAGATATTTTGCTACACTACCATTGCATATATTGCCCCGCTCATTTGTTCCATCCTGCACAACACACCTTGCACATTCTGCCCGAGTACAACATCGTCACTTCGCAGATTTCGTTCTCCCGCTCATCCATCATCGATATTTATAACCGCACGCCACCATTTCTTCCCTGCAAGCGCCTGTCACTGTAGATAATCACCCTCCTTTCCCCCATCCTCGCTCGGCGGTGTACTGATGGACACTGCGTACTCACATGCATCGCCAATTATGCCTCCTTATGCGTACCCTTCCCGACCTCTACCAATCGACGCTTGTGCGCTGCGGTGCAGTGACTCATAACTATGCGTGATGCTTCTCAGGAAAGACCATCCATTCATCCATCCAAGGACCGTAGTGACTACGAGGTATGCCTGCAAATTTGACTTGAACTTGCATGACGCTCGGGAAGACGCCAGCATCAGTGAATTTCTTCTGACTTTGTTTGCGCTGGCTTTTCGTCACGTCGCATGTGCGGATATACTGTAGATGTACATTCTCCAATACCAGATCCCAAGAGGGAACGCAGTTCCCGAGCGCCTCGACTACTACGGTTGGTCCTTGTAGAGATGCGCAGCCTTGCCCGTCGCTGAGCGCGCCTTCGTCAAAGCACTATGCGTGTATCAACCGTCACGCTCGCTCCCGTCCAACTCGAACGAGGTCCTCTGTGATTGAAAGCGATGCATGCGTGAGCGCGACAACATACACTTCGGCGAGCACGACGCGGTAGTCGCGCCTATCGTCTATCGCCAAGGCCGTCGTGACCATCCATCCAAATTTCCCTCCGGGAGCCGGTTTGGGAGGCGCGTTCGATGCCTAACCATTCGCGTCTTCACCTTGTAGGTTACTGCCACAATTCTGGCACAGCATCGTCATGCGTAAACTTGATGTATGCCGCTGGAGACGATGGGCATCACGCCCGAGCTCGACAGCGTTATGCGTGCTGGTCAAGTTCGGTATCGGACTGTCTAGATGAAGATAAATTGCGTACCAGTGGAATGTGTCCTGCATTCTTGGTCAGGGTCTCCCCCATACCGCGACCCCACCAGGCCAACAACTCAAGCCTTGTATCTGCCTCCCGTACGAGATTCACGACCCTGACGCGTTCCTGGTCAGGAAGGAGGCGGATATTCATGATTTTGTCCTGAGGAAAGCGCCCTGGTATGCCCTGCACAAGCATCATCGTTTGCGACAGAAGCGCCGTGATGTGGCCGATGCGCTCGTGCAACGTCTGGGCTTCTGCTGCGAATTCCAGGAGATCACGGTTCTCTTTGTCGACTGGAGAGAAATAGTCGACAACGAAAGCAAGACAAGCGAGGATGGGATCGTCAGCGAACGGGGTCCACTCTTCGACGGCCTTCCTGAGTGTGCGAAGTGTAGCATCTGCAGCGTTCCGGGCGTCTAGTGCTTCTTCGATGCGCGAGTGCACATAGAGTATCTTCTCCTTGAGAAGGGTGGTGTAGTTGTTAAGGGAGTCCGGCTCGTCAGAGGCAATGCCTTGGGAGATGAGGACGATGACGTCGCGAAGGGCGGTGAAGACGTTGGCGACATGGACGGCGTAGGCGCCGGCGCTGCGCATGAGCGCTTTGAGAGGGAGGCTCATCGTGAAGAGCAGGCCCGCTCTCGACAAGTGATCCTGTACTGTGAGGCAGGATTCGCGCAGGCGCGTTATGGGACCGCCGGCCCAAAGTTCGATCTCGGGAAAGAGAGCCTGTGGTGAGGCGTGAGCACCAGCATGTCCGGGACGAGGACATAGTCACATATAGCTGTTTCTCTTCCAAGGCTCTCTGAGCGTCGCTGGCGAACATAAGGAAGGATGCGCGAGCGGCGGCGGTGACAACGGCGGTCGAAGGCAAAGGGAAGGACGAAAAGGGGTAACGGGCGTGCGGATCACGGAGTCGTCGGCGCCATCCATAACATCGTGAGCCAGCTCTCTCCGGTACTGTCACCACCTGAAATTCGCCAGCTTTTCAGCGCAAAGCGTCGCAGAGCCGGTGTAGACATTGCGCTGACTGGATAGGCTCCTCTGGCATCAGCCATGCCGCCGCCTCAGATCACCGTCCTGTACTTTGCGGCGGCTTCGACAGCGACGGGTCTAACGTCGGAGACGATTGTGCTGCCCTCCCCATCTCCCTCTGCAGAACCCGCTTCGGTCATCTCTCCCAAGGAAAACATGTCTGATCAGGGACAAATCACCTCGAGTACCTCTACCACGAATGCGCCTCTCGCTCCACCATGTACTCCTCATGCATTCCCCCTCACTTCCCTCCCATCTCTTTTGGCTTCGCGGCACCCTGGTACGAACCTTGCCGAGATTTTGCGCGACAGCCAATGGAGCGTGGACGCCGAGATGGTCGAGGATCCGGTGAAAGTGGCGCTGAAGGGAGGTGGCGATCATCTGCCCCGTCTCAGGAGGGTGACTGGACTGGCCAGGCGGCGGTAAGAGAGCTCCCCCCATCGTTTGGTATGCACGTCCCTCTCCCTCCCCGTCCCCCTCCCCCTGGCCTCAATCGCCGATGAGTGCGGTGGGTGCACCTCCCATAGGTACCCGCCCTTTGATAATGTCTGCGAACCTTCGTAGGCCCCAAACACCGATAGATAGTACCTCGCCGACATCCCCGATGTAGTAGAGTACACCGAATACTATAGAGCTTTTGTGACAGCATCACCCGCGCGTTTGACGATAAGATGGGCCGAGGACATAGGATGAGGGGCTATTGAGACCTCAGAGACTTGGGAAGAGGTTTGTTTTCTCCTCATTTGAGCTCAGTGATGCTGAGAACGATTTCATTGAACTCTCAAGACAAGGGAAATGCATTGTAACTAACAAACTACGACGGGGGAGGCACCCCTCCCCTCCTCGGAGGGGGAGGGGGAGGGGGCAAGTGTCTACGAGCAAGCCATCATGCTGGACGCCCAAGCAGCCGCCCTGCGTGGGGAAGGGTGCGAGAGGGACAGTAGACGATAGCGAGACGGTCAGTAGCCACGAACGTCGACGTCGACGACGAGTCGAACCGACGTGAGCGTCGGCTCCGAGCGCTCTTGACGTGTTGAAGTCGGTGGAAACGCGAAAGGAGGGGGTTGGCGGGAGGCGCGGGGAGCTCGGGGAGCGTCGCAAAGTCGATGAAGGAGGGCGGGTGCGATGGTGAAGACCTAGGAGGAGGTCAGTAAACGGATCTCAACTCAGGTAGGAGGCGCTTACCCTCGCTCGGCGGACGGCGATACATATACTCATCGCCTAGGGGGGCGGGAGGCGTAAGGAAAGCGTGGGGCGGGCGAGGACGAGAAGAGAGAAGCGTGCTCTGATAAACAGCTCAGCGAGAAGCGCAGGAAATGCAGGTGGAAAACGCGTACCCTTGCTCGCCGGACGGAGATTCGTTGCTTCGGAGCATACACGACGTCGTCCTTGAGGGTGGCGAGTGAGAACTGTGCTCAAATCAACTGTGACCACGATGAGGGGCTCGACAAAGCTAGGGAGGAGGTAAAGGAGAGAAGAGATGGGAAAGCGAATGATGAAAGCAGAGAAGGGTGCACGGAAGCACGCAAGGGAAGAAGGCGAAGGGGGAGACGCGTAAGGGGGGAGGAACAAGGCTCAAAGGGCGTCGAGAAGTATGAAAGCGATGCGCAAAATCCGTGGGGTGTGGGAGGCGAAATGCACAAGGAGAAGGAAGGGAAATGGCGGACCTTCGCCTAGTCTGACAGCAACGTACAGCGAGGAGGAGGCGGTCTACGGAGAAAGAGGCTGAGATGTTCTTCACGGCGCTGACAGCACATCTAAGAAGGATGAGCTGCGAGCAGAACACATGATATCGCGCACTCACCATGCATTGCATCGCATGACAGCAACGCACATGGCAGCGCTGCGCGCCGCCCCTCCTCGCTCCCCCCCTGACCTCCTCGACAGTCGCGACGATCACCTAGGACTTCTCGCGCGGACCTCGGTGCATTTGACGCCCGTTCGCGGTATGTTTTCGTGTAGAAACGCCTGAATAACTGTCAGAAATGAGGTGTGAAATCGAAGGAATGAGACATACGTGGACACTCGGCGGCGCTTCACGCCGCTCCGACCCCCTCCCAGCACTCGCGGCTATCATCTAGTACTTCCCGCGCGGACCCCAGCGCATCTTACATCTTACATCGATTTGCGATTTTTTCTGTCATTGAAGGCGCTTGAAAGATGTCAGGAATCGTCAACAAACGACGATGTCAGCGACGCACCTGCAACGCGGCGCTCCGCCCCGCGCCTCGCGCCGACCCCAACCTTCCTCCCGTCTGTCTCCGGGTATCGTCTCGGCGATCAGCGAAAGATACCGGCGCGGACATCGGCGCAATCGACGTCGATTTCGCATTTTTCGGGCCTTGGGGAGCCAGTGAAATTACTACGAAATGAGCACAAAATCGGTCAGAAACAGCTGATATGGGAGGTCCTGCATACGCACCGGAATGACCGCAGCCTCAGACAAATTGATGGGCGTGCGAGATGAGCATGTTGGAGCAGAACTACGCGGGAAAGGTCAGCAGACGAAGGAGGTGGTAGGATCGAGCAACTCACCGAAGCGCAGACTCTTGTTGCGGAGACGTTCGACTAGATTTCTGACCAGATGAAGTCGCCAGTCGAGATGCGAAAGGGTGGCGGCGGCGGCGGCGGAAAGTATGGGGGCAGGGAAGAAAAGACCATCCCTCCGAGACGCGAACGAGTATATACACCTGTCATGAAATTTGATCAGTCGTCCGATATCCGCCTAGTATAACGGCACTGATGCCTGCTGCGCACCTCCAAGCTTTCTCGCTTCCACTCAATCCTCGGACTCGGAGAACACGCGGTTTGACTATTTTCGCGCGGGTGACTCGAATACGATGCCCCGCATGCAGATATACAAGGAAAACTCATGTGGGCCTGCAATGTCAACGCCCCTCGACTCTCGGTGAGCAAAAATGACAGCGTACTCAGCATTAATTTCGGCACGCTAACTCTCGGCGTGACATCCCACAAGCCCCCAGAAACCTGCGGCTATCAGATTGGGTCCTGAACGAAACCATACCGTGAGTTCAATGCGGAGACCCGCGTCCACCAGCGCGTACCTTTAGAACTTCTGAACGCGCGGATTCTCCGCCTTGCACTGGCACTTATGTACCTTTCCACCGCGCTGCCATTCCCAGATGCCGGAGAACCACTGGACAGCGACAAATCTGTTTTCGCGCACGCGCGGGCGAGAAGACGAGGACATGCGCCCTCTCCTGCACTTGACTACACCTCGCCTCGATGCTTTTCTGCAAAGCGCAGGGGAGTCCGCTATCGCAGAGAGGTTGAAGACCAGTCGCACAAATGACGCGGCAAGCGCGAGGAACAGTGTCTGCGCCCATGTCGCTGCCGCCGCCGCCTTGCAAGCTCGACGAGCATTCAGTTCAAAGCCTTCCGAATCGGGCTCAATGGACGAGCTCGCGTGTCCTGAGGCACAGAGATAGAAGTCCGGTCAAGTCGCAATAACAGAGTGCAGATCTTGACGTATAGCTGGCCTCGCCGCTTCCGTTGCTCGTGCTTTTCCGAGGTCGGGTGAGTTGAGCTTGATCGCGGCCTTCTCGAGGCTCTCTGCGAGCAGGGAGAGTCAATTATATCGTCATATAGCATTACAAAGGGCCAGGTAGGTCGTTCAAGCAGTCAGCACGGTGCCCGAGCGTCGATGATGGCGGTCAAGGACAAGAAGGACAGGTTTGTGGCGCCGCCAATCAGGGACCGGAGGGCGGCCCGTCAAGTCCGTGCGCCCGCGCGCCCCGGGGCATCCTGTCCTCCACTTTCTGTCATCCATCGCGGCAGTCCGCCGTCTCGGAATAAGCGCGAAATGCGTCGAAGTACCAATCGCTACACACCTATGTACCAGTTACGGAACAGCTGCCATGTCTGCGCGCGACAGAAGCCATGCCAACTTCACCAAGACGCGTGCCCCGAGACTTGGAGAGGTCTACAACGTCGCGGGGAGCCCACGATGGGTTGTAATCACTCAAACCACAAGCACCATGTGTCCAGAACCCGTCCCAAGGTTTGCGATGGGCGAGATATACGTTCTGGCTTGCAGGAAGTCGCCAGAACCTGTAGAGATCCTGGGAAATTGCGCCACGTGCAGCCCCACTTATTGCCGTTTGCAGAAAAGTTTGCCACGGCCGCTTTGACACGAAATTGATGGCAGGCGAGCCATCTGGACTTGTGGAGGGCATGAGTCGCGCATATCGCGGCCTAAAATCATGAGAAATATATCAGTAGAGTCGTATCGATGTACTGTAGTGCACTGTGTGGTTTTCGAAGCGCACTGGCTAGTTTATGTGAGGGATATCTGGGGGAAGGCTCTTCCGGCACTGTGGCAGGCATAGCGCGCGTGAAAGGGGGTGGAATGACTCGGGAGAAGCTTCTGCATGCACTATAGACATGGCCCTATTGCATAGGGTAGCTCTTCGATTTTAGGCGCTCGACAAACCAGGTCATCGGGGCATCGCTCGTGCGGTACTTTCCTGCCGTGGATTTCTCTGTCAATCTGAACGTGTAGGCGTTCAAAGATGCGTTCATACAGATAAGGTGATGTTCTGTAGTTGGTGAAGTACTCTATGGCTTCATCGGAAGATCTGGGGCAGCCCCTTCGAGGCGACATTTCTGGCTCAAGCCCCGCTTATGTAAGCTGTTGCGCGCCCCCATGCCGACCGATTCTAGCTAGCAGCGAAAACGGGATCTTAGAATAGAGGGCAAGTATGCGTCGGTAAAAGACCTCTACGAAGTATACGAATGCTGGGAGGTGCTTTGGGCCCGGAACTTGTTTGACGAGATAGGTAAGGTGCAGCTCTCGTGCTCGGCAATTCTGAGATATGTTTTCGGTACAGTAAAATCGAAAAGCTAGCCTATGCAATAGGGCCATGTCTATAGTGCATGCAGAAGCTTCTCCCGAGTCATTCCACCCCCTTTCACGCGCGCTATGCCTGCCACAGTGCCGGAAGAGCCTTCCCCCAGATATCCCTCACATAAACTAGCCAGTGCGCTTCGAAAACCACACAGTGCACTACAGTACATCGATACGACTCTACTGATATATTTCTCATGATTTTAGGCCGCGATATGCGCGACTCATGCCCTCCACAAGTCCAGATGGCTCGCCTGCCATCAATTTCGTGTCAAAGCGGCCGTGGCAAACTTTTCTGCAAACGGCAATAAGCTGAGATCTCGCGCGCTCCAAAAGCGCGGCTGTCTCTGACAATCTTTCGCCTGCTGCAAATTTGAAGTCAACTCACAAAACATAGCTGCATTCGGGATATGATACCATACGTTACGCGTGCTACGACAAATTGGTAAGCGTCATCAGCCAACATATACACAAGGGCGAATGACCGTACCAGAGGGATGTAATCTGCATTCTGGATTAGATTCCTCCCCAAACCGCGACCCCGCCAATCCAACAGCTCGAGCTTTGTATCGGCCTGTCGTACTCCACTCACGACCCTGACGCGTTCATCGTCCGGGAGTTGGCGAATCTCCACAACCTTATCCAGAGAGAAGCGCTGTGGGATGCCCTGCACAAGCATTGTCATTTTCTCCAGAAGCGCCGCGATGTTATTGATGCGCTCTTGCAGCGTATGAGCCTCTGCTGCGAATTGCAGGGGATCGCGATTCTGGTTGTCAACTGGGTAAATCCAGTCAAGCACAGGATTAAGGAAGGAGGCACAGGGATCGTGAGCGAACGTGAACCGATCTTCGACAGCCTTTTCAAGTGCGAGAAGTGTAGCATCTGCAGCGTCCCGGGCATCCAGTGCCTCATCGATGCGCGAGTGCAGGACAAGTCTTTTCTCCCTGAGAAAAGCAGTGTAGTTGTCGAGGTTTGCCGGCTCATCGGAGACAATTCCTTGGGATATGACGGCTACGACGTCGCGGAGGGCGATGAAGACGTCGGCAACATGCACGGCGTAGGCGCCGGCGCTGCGCATGAGGGCTCTGAGGTGACGGCTCATCGTGAAGAGCAAGTCCGCATTCGACAAATAGCCCTGTACCCTGAAGCAGGATTCGTGCAGGCGCGCTATGGGACCGCCGACCCAAAGTTCGATCTCGGGAAAGAGAGCCTGTGATGAGGCGTAAGCGCCGGCATGCGCGGGACGAGGATATAGTCACATATGACTGTTTCTCTGCCAAGGCTCTCTCAGCGGCGCTGGCAAACATATGGAAGAATGCGCGCGCGGCGATGGCGGTCGAAGGCAAAGGGAAGGACGAAAAGGGGTAACGGGCGTACGGATCACGGAGTCGTCGGCGCGGCCCGACAGGCACGACATCCATAACATCAGCTCTCTCCGGTACTGTCACCACCTGAAATCTGCCAGCTTTTCAGCGCAAAGTATCGCAGAGACAGTGTAGACCTTGGGTGCATTGGATAGCTTCTCTGGCATCAGCGATGCCGCCGCCTCAGATCACCGTCCTGTACTTTGCGGCGGCTTCGACAGCGACGGGTCTAACGTCGGAGACGATTGTGCTGCCCTCCCCATCTCCCTCTGCAGAACTTGCTTCAGGTGCCCCTTCGAAGGAGCAGTTATCTGACATAGCCCCAACCACTCCGAGTACCTCTGCTACGCACAAGACGCAACCCCATCCAGCGGCGGAAGCGTCTCATGTACCTCTCGCCTCACCATGTACTCCTCATGCATTCCCCCTCACTTCCCTCCCATCTCTTTTGGCTTCCAGACACCCTGGTACGAACCTTGCCGGGATTTTGCGCGATAGCCAATGGAGCGTGGACGCGGAGATGGTCGATGATCCGGAGAGAGTGGTGCTGACGGGAGGGGAGGAGGTGGCGGTCATCTGCCCCGTCTCAGGAGGGTGACTGGACTGGCCAGGCGGCGGTAAGAAAGCTCTCACCACGACGCAAAGACCGGTGCTAGTTGCTCATCACATATCCAGAGGTAAGTCAACCGTGCGCGTGCCCCTCATTCTGAACAGTAATAACCCATTTCTACAGTGTATTATACGAGAGCATTTTTTCATGGAGTTACCTCCCTGCGGGTGTTGTGGCAGTACGGGATCGCTCTGTTGGTATCGAAGTCAATTCTGAGGGAGGGCGAACGCGGGATGACCTTCTCGGTGCCTTCTAGCACCTCGACAACGCACGCGAGAATTGTGCTTAAACGAGTACGCTGATTATCCCCACTTCCCTGGTGGTACCGATGTGTTTGGCACCATGGGTATGGTGTCATTCGCCGGTAAATAGCAGTGGCTCCAACAGCGACGAAGACCCCGGTTCCCAATGTGCTCAGCATTAAATTACCGGCACGCCAACCTTCGCCGTGACATCCCACAAGCCCCCCCCCCCCCCCCCCCCAACCTGCGGCTATCAGATTGGGCTCTGAAAGAAACCATGCCGTGAGTTCAGTGCAGACATACCCCCAGAAGAACGCGCGGATTCTCCGCCTTGCACTGGTACCTTTGCACCGCCCTGCTATTTCCGGATGGCAGAGAACCGCTGAGCAACGGCGAGCCTGTTTTCGCGCACGGGTGGGCGAGAAGACCACGACGTTATGTGCCCTCTCCCGAACTTGACTACACCTCGCCTTGATGCTGTTCTGCAAAGCGCAGGATGGTCCGCTGTCGCATCGTAGGTAGGTGGAAGGCCAGTCCCTCAAGTGTGACGCGGAGAGCGCGAGGAACAGTGTCTGCGCCCATGCCGCCGCCGCCGCAAGCTCGCAAGCTCGGTTCAAAGCCTTCCAAATCAGGCTCAATAGACGAGCTCTCGTGTTCTGAGGCACAGAGCTAGAAGCCTGGTCAGGTGGCAATGACGGATTGCAGATCTTGACGTATAGCCGGACTTGCTTCCGTCGCTCGTGCTTTTCCGAGGGCGGGTGGGTTTGGAGCGCGGCGTTCTCGCTGGGAGGGTCAAGAACAACATGGTATATCATTGCAGAGAGTCCAATATGCCGTGCACACAGTGAGCACAGTGTCCGAGCGTTGATGATGGCGGTCAAGGACAAGAAGGACAGGGTTTGTGGCGCCGCCAATCAGGGACCGGAGGGCGGCCCGTCAAGTCCGTACGCACGCGCGCCCCATCTTGTCCTCGACTTTCATCCATTACGGCAGTCCGCCGTCTCGGAGTAAGCGCAAATTGCGTCGAAATACCAATCGCTACACATCTACGAGTTACGGAACCGCTGACATGTCTGGGCGTGACGGAATACATGCAAACTTCACCAAGACGCGCCTCCCCAGACTTGGAGAGGTCTATGGCAGCGTCGCAGGGAGTCCCACGATGGGTCGTACGCACTCAACCCACAAGCGCCATGTGTCCAGAACCCGTCCCAAGGTTTGCGATGGGCGAGATATACGTTCTGGCTTATCGTTCTGGGAGGTCGAGCCGCTTTGTATGCGGAACTCGACGTCTTCCCTTCCATCTTGCGCGCACATCCCCAAAAATACTGCCCGACTAAAATCGACGCGGAATATCATTCTGATCAGGTTTTGTATACTGAACCCCGCCTTCCGCGCCTTCGTCGTAGTGCTATAGCGCGACGAAGGTGGTTTTGAATTTGTGGCGTCGCTTTTGGTGCGTCTCCAATGCTGTCGCTTCGGGCTCTCGCGGGCAGAAAAGTACAGGAACATGAAAATTACTCACATGTCGACGGGGACGAGCGAGTTGCCCAGGGGGTTGACGATGAGGGAGACGACGTAGCAAGTGCCAGTAGCGTGACCGTCCGAGCGAGAGACATCGACTTCGGTGACAGGGAACTGGGAAAAGGCGTCGACGGAAACGATGTTGAAGAGGATCTAGACATGGTAGACGACTTCGACGACGATGGATATGCATCAACGTAATGTGCCTACAGTAGCTACATCACCAAATCTCGAATCATGTAAAAGTTCGCCATTATGAATTCGTTCACGCTCTGTATGGCGCCCGGATGCCTTTATACGGTTGAGGTTCCCTCTGGAAGGCAGCACGCACGCCCGACACTCTTCGCTCCCAAGCACACGACCAAATTACGCGTGTGCAAGATTTACAAGCTATTCACGAGCTGACCCGGTCTTTGTGGACGGGCCGCGCCGACGCTTCCGTGATCCGTACGCCCATTACCCCTTTTCGTCCTTCCCTTTGCCTTCGACCGCCATTGTCCCCGTCGCCGCGCGCGCGTCCCTCCACATGTTTGCCAGCCACGCTCAGAGAGTCTTGGCAGAGCAACAGTCATATGTGACTATATCCTCGTCCCGCGCATGCCGGTGCTTACGCCTCATCACAGGCTCTCTTTCCCGAGATCGAACTTTGGGTCGGCGGTCCCATAACGCGCCTGCGCGATTCCTGCCACAGGGTAAAGGGCTACTTGGTGAAAGCGGACCTGCTCTTCACAATGAGCCGTCAGCTCAGAGACCTCATGCGCAGCGTCGGCGCCTATGCCGTGCATGTCGCTGACGTCTTCATCGCCCTCCGCGACGTCGTAGCCGTCATATCTCAAGGAATTGTCTCCGATGAGCCGGGAAACCTCGACAACTACACCGCTCTTCTCAGGGAGAAAAGACTTCTCCTGCACTCGCGCATCGACGAGGCGCTGGACGCCCGGGACGATGCAAACGCTACACTTCTCGCACTTGAAGAGGCCGTCGAAGATCGGCTCACGTTCGCTCACGATCCCTGTGCCTCCTTCCTTAATTCTGTGCTCGACTGGATTTACCCAGTTGACAACCAGAATCGCGATCCCCTGCGATTTGCAGCAGAAGCTCAGATGCTGCACGAGCGCATCAACGACATCGAGGCGCTTCTGGAGAAAATGGCAATGCTTGTGCAGGGCATCCCACAGCGCTTCTCTCTGGATAAGGTTGTGGAGATTCGCCAATTCCCGGACGATGAACGCGTCAGGGTCGTGAGTGGAGTACGACAGGCCGATACAAAGCTTGAGCTGCTGGATTGGCGGGGTCGCGGTTTGGGGAGGAATTTAATCCAGTATGCAGATTACATCCCTCTGGTACGGTCATTTCCACTTGTGTATATGTTGGCTGATGACGCTTATCAATCTACCGTAGCATGCGTGACGTATGGTATCATATCCAGAATGCAGCTATGTTTTGTGAGTTGCCCTCAAATTCAACACGTATTACTCTGTTCTCGTCGGTTCCTAGTCCTACTTGGACTGCGTCAAGATGAATACTATCTTGCGTGTTCCTGTATTCATCTCGCCAGTCTGAAGCTGTTGACGTGCCGAGGTTGCTATGTGTTCCACAAACGGCAGGTACCTATGTGGCTTGCGATGTCTCTGACTTCTGCAGAGTATTGACAAGGTGAGGACCGAGGCCGATAGAACACGACCGCAACGAGGTAATCGGCGAGTTCTTGACTTTTTGGTGACGTCTACCATCTCATGAGCATGCTTCAGAACTCGGGACTCAACGATTGACCGCATCTATCTTTCGGTATCTTGCGCCGTCGACGACCGCAACATCCTCCGAGAGAGGTCCTCGGCCCACCTTATCTGTGTTTCGTGTCTTGTACGGCGTAATGCCCAGGTCATTCGAGTGCGCCAAGGAGGACCTGCAGGGTCCAAGGAGGTCACGGATAATGCATCGTCGCCTTCCCCGCACCCTCACCTCCGTCTCGTGAGCATTGTTCTGAATTGCGACGAGGACGATTACGCAAAGACACGACGGTGTCTGGATTTTGGCGACTGGCCAGCCGACGGGGGAGGGCTACGCGGAGATGGGAGGTTCGAGCTGGCGTGCGAAGGGGGAGGATGAGGACAAGAGGGCCATCGAGTGCGTATCTGCTGTGGCTGGCGCGCAAGACCGCTAGATGGCGCGATAAGCATGCAGAAGTTCAACTTGGGCGTGACAGGGTGGTTCCTAGCCGATAGGGCGCAATCGTCCCCGTCCTGTTTACCTTTTAGACTTCTGCTATAGCTTCCATGTCCCCCTCATTGCGAGAGAAGGTCAGAACCTCGGTCTCAATGGCCATTCGTCACCTGTCCGTATTTTTGAGACGAGGGTGGCAAAGGCGCCGAGGCGGCACCGACTCACATGATGCAAGTCACGCGTCACGCCAAGCCCCCTCGGCACGTATAAAGGTCCGCACCGCCCTCCGCGACAGACAGCTTTGCCCCCCGCCAGCGCTTAACGTGAATGGGAGAAACCTGCGCCTCTGATGTCTCGAGCAACGTTAACAGCGTGCACGCCCGGCCTTCCTCGCAGCTTCCAGCCGCAGTCATCGCGGAGGACGACGACGAACCCCCTAGTAGTGGCCCCAGTTACCGGACGCCTGAAGTGACGACGCCTCCGGAGGGAATCAACTTCGTGAATACGCTCAGCCTTGCGACGGACGGCGCGACGCTCGCGCCGACGCTCAAGACGCTCCGGGAATCGACCTTCGACGAGAAGAAGATCCCCTTTGCGCGCAGCGCCACCGAGAAGGTCGAGGACGATGCGGAGGACCCTATCGGGCAGCCGCAGAACAAGACGAAGCTTATCCTGGGGCGGCTGAAGACGCTCTTTACGCCGATCAAGCCCCTGGGCCCCGAGCCGACGTACGCGGCGTCGTTCAAAGCGACCGTGCGCTACACGCCGCTGAACTTCTGCCTGCTCTTTATCCCGGTGTCGTGGGCGCTGCACTACACGCACCAGAGCGCGACGCTCATCTTCGTCTTCTCGTGCTTGGGCATTATCCCTCTCGCCGCCCTGCTTGGCTTCGGCACAGAGCAGGTCGCGCACCGCACGAGTTCGACTGTGGGCGGACTTCTGAATGCGACACTGGGAAACGTTGTGGAGATGATCATTGCGGGCATCGCTCTCAGCGAGGTGTGTGGAATGTCTACTGCTCCATGTCAGTGCACTCACGTTGTACCCCAGTGCAAACTCGAATTGGTGCAGAGCTCGCTTCTTGGAGGACTTCTCAGCAACATGCTCCTTGTCCTCGGAATGGCCTTCATAGGTGGGTTCATCGATAAGCGCCCATACACCCTTTGTCATTAACCGCAGCCTCTAGTTGGCGGCTTCCGCTTTCATTCGCAAGAGTTCCAGCCGATGGTCGCACAGCTCAACTCATCCCTGATGACCGTATCAGTCATCTCTCTCATCATCCCGGCTGCCTTCGTACGTCTCGCAAAGTTGTTGAATTGCGCCACGACTAACGTATTCGTAGCACGAGTACTTGGAAGATCGTTTGCAGCCGGGCGCAGAACTGCCGATATTACTGCAGCTTAGCCGTGGCAGTGCGGTTCTGCTTATCCTCATGTAAGGGGTTCTTCCATCTGAGTCGTTCCTATCTTACCGTTTCGCAGTTACATCGGATACCTCGTTTTCCAATTCTACTCCCATAACCATCTGTTTTTGGACACGGAGTCGGTGACCACTGCCACCCTCGGCAATCGGTCGCTCAGCCGAACGACGACAACGACGACGACTGCCTCCTCGGAATGCCCGGAGACGGTTACACAGGCTGACCCCGAGGCTCCCTCGCCCTCGTCCGAGGTTCAGCACCTCAAGCTCAATGCCGTGTTCTCCCTCATCCTCCTCGTCGCGGTCACCGCCCTCTGCTACCTTACCGCCGAATGTCTCGTAGACTCCCTCGAGGGTCTTGTCGAGGCGCACCCGAACGTATCCACGGAGTGGATTACGCTCATCATCATCCCCGTCATCAGCAACGCCGCGGAGCACACGACCGCGGTCATCGTCGCGTGCAAGGGCAAGTTCGACCTGGCGATGAGCGTCGCGATCGGGAGCTGCATACAAATTGCGCTGTTCGTGATCCCGGTGCTGGTGCTAGTGGCGTGGGGGATGGGCAAGCCGCTGACGCTGCTGTTCGACCCTCTGGAGACGCTAGTGCTGTTCTTTTCGGTCATCTTGGTCAAGTTCTCGGTCGAGGACGGGAAGGCGCATTGGATGAGTGGGGTGGTGTTGGTTGGTGAGTAGGGTTCGACTGAATGGCTTATATGCGTGCTGACAAGTCCATAGGTGTCTACTTCCTCCTTGCGCTGTCGTTTTGGAACTTCCCGGACGCGCCGAGGATGCTGCAGGGCAGGGAGCTCATGTGTAGCTGAGGTGTTCCTGTCAAGGGCATCAGTGTATCACTGCATGACGGTTCTGACGACGCCTTGCTCATTTACGCAATGCTTCAGTCACTTTTCATGATCTCAGTGTACATCAACGGCCCCTCTTCTTCACAAGTTTCTGTACTCCTTCAAGCTTGATCGCTGTTTAGCCCCAGTTCCGCCTTCGAGAGCATGCTTTACCTCGGAGCGCCTGATGTGTTCGTCTTCGTCGTGTGCATACTTCCATCTGTACTTACGCTCAGTTGCAACGCGCTTCGCGCCGTATACAAAGTGTATCACTAGGCAGACTCGTAGCGTGGCCTTTTTGTGCTTTCCTCCCACCGAGTGTACTTGTGATTCGAGAGGCAGAGACGGGTAGCCCCGCGGACAATTGCGATCAATCAGATAGACACGCGTCAATAACGCGTCTCTTTCAGACTCCCATCAACATGTCCCCTCATTCGAGTTCATTGTCCGGCATGGCAAGCGATTGGGGATAGGGCCCTTCCTGCTAGGCGCTCAGGGCTAGTAGCTCGAATGAGTTACGAAGAAGCAGAGGGACCAGGCGCCGGACGCGTGCTGCCCTTTGTGCATGGCCCGTACCCTCGATGATGGCAACGGTGCGTGCATATGCGCATTGACCTGCGCAATTGTGCTGACTGGTACTTATAGAGAGCGTTGCCTGCCTGCTCCTTCACCTAACCTCTGCGGCCGGCGCGGTCCTGCTTGACTGCTTCCTGCGCGAGAGACGAGACTCACAGAGAAGACTTGCCTGTGCCACCCCATACCGCTCGATTAGGACCAGTATCCTGTCAACACCTGGTTCCCCATACGATGTCCGAAGGCAACTCGCCGATCTCGTCCTCCGATACGGCGAGTGCGTGGCTGGCGCCGAAGGGCCAGGAGATCGACTTGAATGGCGTGTCAGTGCAGGTCAGCTACATCGTCTGGAATACCAGACGTACCCTCAATAGCCTCACCGCGACTACGTGCTGATGCTCATTTGTCTACAGCTCCTTGCCACCCGGATCATCGCCATGCAATGCGAACTGGAGTTCGCCTGCCGCGAGCGCGATCGGTACCGCGAGAACTGCCACCAGCTCGTCGGCGAACGCGATCACTATCTCCAAGAACGCGATCAGTGCACTTGCGAGCGCGACTGCTACAAGGCGCAACGCGACCACTACCGAGCTGAGCGCGACCGCTACCGCGACCAGCGCAACTACTTCCGCGACCTCCTCAAGCAGGAAATGGGCAACAAGGAGGCAGCTAAGCGCGCGGAGGAGAAGCTGGCGGCGGTGGGGAGGAGCAATGGGCGCGGGCGAGGTGGCGTGGTGGGTGGAGAAGAGATCGTTGGTGGAAGGGAGGGGACAGCGCCGATGGTGTGGGAGGAACAGGTTCTCGGTGCTTGGGCGCAGGCGCCGGTGTCGAGTGTCCGGGACGAGGACGAAGAACAGGAGGACGCACCTCTGGACCTTCTTTGGGATCCTGCCTCGCAGGCCTTGTCGTCCTCGGTCGCCGCGAGGCCTGCGTCGGATGAGCGCGAGGACGTTCCTTCGGCATCGCTGGCCTGGGAGGAAGAGAGGTCGGCGATGGTAATGGGCGAACTTGGGCTCTTTGACGAGGACGATGAAGACAGCGAGGGGGAACGCGAAGACGTACGCGACAAAGTACGAGGACCGGGCGACGACAACGACGCGGAGGAAGGAGGTGCACCTGTTCAGGATGCCTTCGACACCAGCTACGAGGATGACCTGTATGTGGACCACGGCGACGACACGAACGCAAGTGAGCGATCCGCAAACTTACACGCCCGCGACATCGATGCAGCCTCAGGAGCATCCGCTGCTCCTCTAGAAACCTCCGAAGCCGATTTCTCCTCATATCCAGTCCTGGACTCCTCCATGTACCCCGCACCAGGTGCCCTCTCCCCACCTTCGCCAGAGGTCTCCTTACCTCCCTCTCCTACTGCGTCTGACGAGTCATCGTTTGTGAGCTCGGCTGCAGGGAGCAGTAGCGAGGAGAACCGTGAAGAGATCTGCGAAGAGGATCGCGGCGGGAGTAGCGAGGAGGACCTCGGGGGCGGCAGCAAGGACAGTCACGGAGGCTACAACTACAAGATGTCGTTGCAAGAGCGGCCCTCGACGCCAAGTCTGCGGCGCTCGCTTCCGCTGCGTCTGAGGGATCGCGCGGGCTGGGGGATGCGGGACGAATGGGAGGTAGATGGCGACGAGTGGGAGGCAGACGGGGCAGACGAAGCCGTGCGCGCCCAGACGAGGATGGATGCGCGTCGATGCGTGGAGGATAGCCTGGGAGAAGATTACCGCGAGGGTCACGGTGAAGAGTACCCCGAGGACTACGCCGAAGATTATGCAGCTAGCACGGACGATGAAGCTCACCCCGCGGATGAGGACCCTCGGTCTGCGGACGACCACCACGTACCTGACTACTCGCTCGTGCTCGATGGCTTGGAGGACTGCTGCTTCGGCGCGCCAGCTGGAGGCTCTGACGGGATCAACGAGCGCGTAGGGCCTGGTGGGCCGTCCGACACTGCAAAACACGTCGGCTTAGCCGACAGCGTAGGCCCCGGCTTCCACCACGCCAGCGCCGATGACCAGCTGCTGAGCCGCATCTCGCTGAGCTCGCTCAACCTCGGAGTTCATTGTGACTTGTCGGAGGATATGGAGGCGGACGGGATGGGAATGGCGCTGCTGGGTATGGAGGGTGAGTCGAGGCCCTCGAACGCGAACCCTGTGTTCTTTCGCCCGAGCGCGGATCTCGTGGTGAGCACGAACGCTGGGTACTATCAATCGCGCGCAAACAACAGGCCCTCGCCTACACACACGGATGCCTCCACGCCTGCCGACGCAAGCAGCGCCTCCTCCGGCTGGTATGGGGCCGATGCGCAGATGCTGAGGGGTGGCCGTCAGCAAGCTGAGGCGAAGGATCGTCCGCACCAGGCGAACGATATACTGTATCAGACGCGTCGAAGCCCGATCAACAGCACTCGGCACCTGGTGGGCACCGCACAAGTCAAGATGGCCGATGTCCTGTACCAGACGGTAGGCGACATCTTGTATCAGACGAATGGCGTTCAGCCTCGGCCAGCCGATACACTGTACCGGACGAGCGACGTCCACAATCAAGCAGGCAGTCCTCGACCCCGGCCCGAGCTAGGCGATGCACTGTATCAGACGAGCAATGGCCTTCAATCGCACCCCGACCTTGGTCAGAAGATGTGGCCGAGCGGGTATACGCCCGAGAACTCGAACTGGTTCGAGGATGGGTATGATCCGGCGGAGGACGTGCGTGTCGCGGCGGGGGAAGTGGATGAGGCGGAGGATGTGTGTATCGCGGCGGAGGATGCGCAGCATGGGCAGGTGGATGGGTCGGAGGAGGACGACTACAACGAGGAGATGGATGAAGATGAAGACGTTCAAGCGGACGAAGATGGAGATGTTCCGGCGGACGAAGACGGACACGTTCAGGGAGACGACGACGATGCAGCAGGCATCAGGGCCGAGGCGGACGGTGAAGCTGTCGAAGGCTTCGTCGACGATCTCGGTGCTGGCGACCACTACGACGATCCCGTCTGGGAGAACGAGGACGTTATCGAGGACAGCGCAGAGGCCGACTGGGACCTGCCGATGTCTCGCCATGGCTGCATGGGTCGTGCGCCCCGCGGTTCAGGCATGAACCGTGTGTGCTCGACGCAGTCGCTGTGGGATGCGTGGGATAACGCTGGCGATGACGATCAGGGTTGGGATGAGGAGGGAGATGACAAGTCATTTGTGACCTGTTAGTTCTGAATGGACTGCGGTGTAGTTTTTCGACTGCGTCTCACTTCTGTATTACTACTGCAGCAATGAGTATATGACTTATGTGTATCAAATGTGGCTCTGGCACTGGGCAGCTATGCTCGGCGGATTCCATCAGGACATCTGTGGGTGCGTGCTGACCGGGATTGCTTTGTCTCCTGCTGTCGGCGGCGTCGACGTCCCCATGCGGATCTCTCAAGATAAAGGTACAAGGTGGCGGCCCTTGAGATTGCCACAACTTCCCTGAATGCACGGATACGGTGTATTTGTGCCTGCCGTTGCTCAGTGGAGGCAGCTTGGCTGGGCGTGACAAAGCTGTGGGTCCACTTTCGGCATCTGCCGGAACGGTTGAATGAGTGGTGACGCATGCCCTCTTTTCCAGTTCTTCCACCATGAACCACATCAACCACTTGACGACGTTTGTGGTCTCATTTCGTCTCTTGAAAATGTACCTAGCCTCGGACATTCTTCAACATATACCTTTGAAGGCGCTAGATGGCTGATTTTCGCACCTTCTGAACCTGGGCATCCACCATGTCTTCTAACGTCAACTTTTTTGGTGCTTCTATCTGCGCTCATATGGCGTCTCTGCGACTTGTCTACTGCAACGCGCTAGCTCGAAGGCATCTGTCCCGATCCGGTCCTCGCTGTCTTCGGAACAAAGCCTTATGAACTTCAAGATACTGTCACCGGACACCATACTTCCTACCCTGCTTGCTTTCCGAGGGGATGTATCCAGGATACTCCACCCTGACTATCCTTGCTCGACCTGACCATGGTACGCTCGAGCGTACCTAGACCGTCGCGACGCGTCTCGCGCGAGCGACATGCTCCCGGAGACGAAAATCCACCATAAAGATCGGCGTCAGGAAGCGAGGAACGCCACAGAAGCATCAAGAGTGGCCCGGGCCGACGGTGACGCGCCTGTCAAAGTAGCTTCGCATTTATGTCCTTTGTTTTCCCAAGTTTGTCCTTTGTTTGTTCTTGCCGGCGGGGATCGAGGGACGCGCCAGGTCCTCTTTCTTCCCGCCATCTCGAACGGCCGTCTTCCTCGCGATATCCCTCTTTGCGGCTGACCGGGTCGTCGTTTCAGTCGTTGGCGACCTCCCCAGACGCTCGTAACTGAAGATCCTCGACCGTGATGGGCAGCACATTCGACGAACTCCGGGCGCTGCACAGGCTCATCGGGACGTCTCTGGACTTCATCGAGCGCAAATTTGCCGATGCGACGCGTATACCCGACCTAGACGACGATATCCTAGGGCCGGATGACGAGGAAAGCCAGTATGGGGTGCGGGAAGGACGAGGGTTGTACAGGGCCACAAGCGCCGACGAGGATCGCCCATCATTGCGATATCCCTTCGAGGCAAAGATGCGCGAGAATCTCTCGAACGCGTACGCGTCTCCCCCACCCTCGCCTAGCACGTATGCACCGGAGGGGCCTGTGACGCCTCCTGCGAATGGCCCTCGTTCACGACTTTCGCCGTCCATCACGCGTCAGCATAGTAGTCCCAATGTCCACGCAACCCCACGACACAACCCGAGCAGTTCCCGGATAGACATTGCGTCGTACACCCAGAGCTCGCCATCTCTTCTGCTGTCTCGTGCCGTGCGCCAGGATTCTCCCCGCCATCATCATAACGAGTCGATCTCGACGGATTCACTAACAACCGATCCTTCCATGTACTCCCAGCCTTCTCAACCCGCTTCTCCTGTCACCCCAGCGTCCCCGTTCTCGCCTATGTCTCCAGCAGACGGCGAGAATGTATTCGGCTTGTTGGACTTTCCTTCGTTGAACGCGCCGATGGACCCGGACTCACCCGCGGAGCGTATGGTCCAGGAAGCTGACATCGTCGACGCTATCTGTGAGTCAGAGCGCTGATGAGAAGTTGCTCAATATACTCATCCTCAACCTTAGCACGTATCGCGGGAGCTTGCGGTCAGATTAGCGCCACGGTGCAGCTGCCGTTTCTCACTTTATGCGACGCTAGTATGGCTGTACGTGCTTCTCTACACGTATTTGCCCAGAGAAGGTGCTAATCCTTGTCACTTAGTACCATCTGCCGTCTTGTCTCCGGCTGTTCGAGGCGGCGCATATACCCGAGATTTTGAGGGAGGCGGGCGAGGAGGGAATGGAGACCAGCGATATATCTAGCCGCTGCGGTGTTGAGGTGAATAAATTGGGTAAGCGGGGCGCTTTTCTGCAGGAATATGACACTCACTCTCTGATCAAGCCCATATACTTCGACTTCTGGCAACACACCACTTGTTGATGGAAGTCAGACCAAATACCTTCGCCAACAACCGAATATCTAGTATGATCGACAGCGGGAAACCGTGGCGAGAACTCGTCGCCATGTCCAAGTATGTGCTCGCTTCGTTCATCTAGGAGCAGCGTGTGCTCACCTCATACCAGCGCGGAGGCGAAGTACGAAGGCAAAGAAGGCGGCATCGCTGCGTTCGTTGGCATGTGGTACGTCTGATTAATCATCCTGATAATCCTATGCTGAAGGTCTCGTAGCACGGACGAGCTCTTCAAGGCGTCATCGTATATGACCGAAGCCTTCTTGCTTTCGCCAAATGTGACCACCACCCACGGCCGAGAACCGGAACACGCACCCTTCACGTTCGCCTTTGGTTTGTGCGGCGGGGAGGATACCTATTGCAGGGGCAATGCCGTGTTCTCTGGAGACGGGCGAAAGAAGGGGAGCCCGAAGGTCGTTGAGGAGAAGATTCCGTTCTTTCCGTGGTTGGAGGGGCATGGCTTGTGAGTGCGGGTCTGCCGGTATCGGACGCCACTGACGATCATCCCCAGAGACGCGACTGGGGGCAGCAATCCGAACAGATTTAGGTTCGCGAGGTTCGCCAAGGCGATGGAGGGCACTACGAGCTGGGAGACGCCTGGCGCCATCCTTCAAGGTGGGTCGCGCCTGCATCCAACCTCCGCAAACATGTTGACTTTTCATCTCCAGCCTTCGACTGGAATATGCTCCAGCCGGGGAGTGTCGTCGTTGACGTTGGAGGCGGAATAGGATCCACAACGGACACTTTGGCGACGGCCTCTGAGAACTGCGGATGGGGGTTACGCTTCGTTCTACAGGATCGCGAGGTCGTCATTGAGCGTGCGGAACAGGTATCTGTCGCATGTTCTCTCGCAACTGGGCTTTCTGACCCTCGCTTAGTATTGGAAGAAGAACTGGCCTCATCGAGTCAGCTCAGGCGCGGTGACATTGCAAGGTACGTCCACGTTGCACAGAACCAACCCATGCCTGACGAGTGTCCAGTGCAAGACTTCTTTCAGCCGCAGGCCGTGAAGGCACCCGCTGTGTACATGCTGCGAGTCATCCTTCACGACTGGTCGGAAGTCTTCGCCAGGAAAATCTTGCTGCAGCTGAGGAGCTCCGCTGGTCCACATACGACGTTGCTCTGCGGTGATTTCATCCTCCCGTTGGCTTGTCCGGACTCTTTTGGCGTCAGCGGTTCGCATCCTGGCGTCGACGTCGAAGGCGCGGTCCTAAGTCATGCGCCAGCCCCGCTGCTTTCAAACATGGGCAAGGCGAGCGCCAATGCGTTCAACATGGACCTCACTGTGAGTAGCTCTCTTAGCTGGATCTGGCCTCGGCTCATCGAGTTGTAGATGCAATGCACGTTCAACTCGCAGGAGCGTACGCTACGCGAGACGTTCGCGCTCATGGAATCGGCGGGCTGGAAGATCACGCGCCTGAACAAGTGCCCGGGGTCCTGGTTCTTCTGGATCGTCGCCGTTCCCGCGGAGGTGCCCGATCCTCGACTTGCGCGCTCTGGTAGTCGGTCGACGTTTGGCGGCTCGACCTTCCCGGAGCGCGCGGGCATCAACGACGACTTGGACGACCTGTTGCGCCGAGAGGAGTTGGATCTCATCGGGCGATCGAGCTCACGGTGCGGGACGCCGACCTTTGGCTCGAGGATGGACTTCCCCTCGTTGGCGCCGAAGGGGCCGATGTCGAGGCTCTCGAGGGGTATCTTTGGCAAAGGCGGCGCGGCGATGCGGAAGTTTGGCTTCGGCAGACCGTCGGCTGCTCTGGCTGCGCAAAGTGGGCATTCTGCGCAGAACAATGCACTGAAGCAGCCGGTCATCATTTCTCCGCCGAAGAAGAAGAAGCCGTCGCCGCTGACGTTGTCTTCGCCCATTGCGCCGTCGTCGCCTGCTCCGAGCTCACGACTGCAGCCCGCACGAGTGAGGGGATTGTCGATCTCGCAACCGACCTCGTCATCATCGTCACCGGCGCCTTCGCAAGCACCTCCGACACCGGCATCGCCACGGTTCCCCTCCATGCTCCGTCGGTCGTCGCACGCGCATCTGACTGGACATCATGCAGCAGCTGCTGTGAGTATGGTGTCTCTTCGACATGGGCCAGAGAAGCGACATGGGCGTAACCCGAGCTTGACGTCCACCCTGATGTCGGAGGCGCTCGAGGTGCCGCCATCCCCTGCGCGCACGACGAAGACGGTGACGAGGCGAGGGTCGTTCGCGACGCTGTCGGACCAGATTAGCTCCATCATCTCACGGACGACTGGGTCGGGGACGCCTGAGCCGCCACGGTCGCCGACGCTTTTGCGCAAGTCTGTGTCGAGGCGTGGGTCTCTGGCTCACTTGACGCCGCCGAACAAGGACGAAGTCCCGCCGCTGCCCAAGACCATCAACATCTCTGGTCCCATCCATTTGGGAGGCCTACCTACTCCCAGCTCGCCGGTGACCGTGCGCAATCTGTCGACGTCGCCTTCACCGCCGTCGCCCTTGTCCTCTCGACCGCGAAAGTCGTCCGTCTCTCATCTGACGCTGACACCGAAGTTTAAGATCGGGGGAAGGAAGAGGAGCGAGAGTATCCTGAGCACGAATGTGCCGGCGGGGGCGTCGTTGTTGGGGAGTGGGGGGAGGCTGGACTTCGGGAAGCTGGTGGATGAGGTGGAGGAGAAGGGGCTGCCGCCGTTGCCGCAGGTGGGGGCGTTGTTGGATGCGCCGCCGATGTTGGAGGTTCCGTTGGTGTCGGGGCATTCGTCGATGTTGGGCCCGCCGCCCTTGCTTGGTGCATCGGCCGCGTTGGGCGCACCACCGTCGCTGGGTGCACCGGCTGCGCTAGATTCGCCTCCTGCCATGTTCGAGAGGGAGAGGAAGTGGTCGAGTGGGGCTAACAAGAGCCCGAGGACATGAGGTGGCAGCGTCTCCGCTGTCGTGTTTTGTATTTATCGCTTTCGCTTCGCTCTTCGTCTGTCGTATCCTGACTGCCATCAAGTCAGTGTTTTATTTCACGTATACTTGTTTTCGCTGTTATCGTTGTATCTGCCGCTCGTATCGGCGTACGCTACCGCTCGTACCATTGTACGCTATCGCTAGTATAACCGTACGTTGTCGCTCGTTTGACCATACGCTTTCCTTGCATCTTCTGTCGCATATTCAAGCTTTCGGTAGTTTATAGCCGCTATAAAAGACTGGGCTCGGATCCGATTGTATAAGTACACTTTACTAGGGTTTATGGCTATCTGGATAGCATTCATAGAGGTCGTACGCGACAGGTCCGGTGGCCGACGTGACGCGAAGGTCTACGAGTATCGAGGACGGCTAGCAGAGCCACGGTCCGATGGCCTACATGCGAATGTACGTATTCTAGAGGATGTGGAACGCATAACTGAAGCTTATCGTAAGCATCGGTGCGTATCATGTCCACCAGAGAAACATGGACTTGCCTTTTCACAAGCACCACCAGTAGATGATCAAGCCGCATCTGCCCCTCTCCGCAGCCGATTGAACTTGGGCAGCATCTCCTTCAGATACTCGGTATGCTTTCTCCTCAAGTCAGCCTCCTGCACCTTACCCCTGCCGCTCCACTTTCGGCGCTCGGCCGCGGGGCCGTAGATGACAGTAAAGTCGTCGAGGATCTCGTCGTCCGTGGGGGCGAAGAGGCAGCCGGCGCTGACGACGCAGAAGCTGGAGATGCGCACGGTGTGGTGCACGCGGGCGCGGGTGGATATGGTGTTGAAGTTGCCCATGGAAGGGCATTCGACGCCTAGGAAGGGAGGAATGGGTTAGCTATTTGGGACAGGAAGGGCCATGGGAGAATAGGACGGTTAGGAGAGAGACGTACGGCACCCGATTTCGAAGAGGTTGTCGTCGCCGATGCGCATGACTTCTTTTCTCCTGCGGAAGAATGAGAGATGAGACGTGTGAGGGGAAACACGGCCTGGAGTCAGCTTACCGGTTGACGAGAACGACGTTCTCTTCGATGATGCAACCGGCGCCTATGACTATAGGTCCGGCAATGGCGAATATGGTCGCCTTGGGGTGTACGATAGTGCCTTTATCTGACCTCAGCAAATGATTATATGAGGAATGAAGGCTGAGAAGGTACCAGAACCGATGGTAATGTCTCCTTTCAGCTCGACATCTTGGCAGACGACGGCTTTAGAATGGATAGTAAATTTATCACGGCTGTTACGCTTATTAGGATAAAAATGACGTTCACAAGCGCAGGAACAGCTTACATGGGCGGCATGAGACAGTATTCAGGGCGCTGATGCGCCTCAAAAGGTCGACGGTGGAAGTTGAACTGAGGCACGCGGCGCTCAAACAGGCATGTACGGGAATTGCCGACAAGTGGTACAAGCCCGCACAAACATTGACCTCCATATCCCCCGAACTGCACAAATGACACATGAAATTCTCTAATGAGCGCAAGAGTTAAGAGTAGTATGGTTCCGTATCTATATCCACGCGCAACAAGGGCTCAACTTCGTTTGAAGGAAAAAGAGAGAAAACACCAGGGGGTGGAATCAAGAGAAGAGAAGGCTAAGCTACCGATAGACCAGGTTATTATGACGAGAAGTAACAGGACAAAGGGAAGGTGTATCTACGACACATCACATCAAAGCATACTCGCTCCAGCCTCCGCTTGCTTCTTGGCCTTCTCGGTCGGCTTGTCGCCCAGGCTGGCGATGAAGTCCGCGACGCAGTTCCAATAGCCAGGTTGAGCGCACGTGTCGTCTGCGAGGGGTATTAGGAAAAGAGACCGACTATGGGAAAGAGGAAGACAACGGAAGCGTCACTCACTATGCGTCCCGTTCGGAAACTCGGCAAACTTGACTTTCTCGTTGTCGCCCTTGTCCCCCTTACGCGCGACAACGAGCTCAAAGAGGCCGCGCATGTGCTCTGGCGGGACGAGCTCGTCGCGAGAGCCGCTGAGCATGAGAATGGGAACGGAGGACGGTATGAGAGGGATCTTGGATGCGGAATCCCAGCGTTGGTGGCAGAGGAAGGAGACGGGGCCTAGGGAAGGTCATTCAAGCTTTCTTGAACAGACGAAGGCGTGAAAATGTACACACCCAGGAGAGGCATAACGTGCGGAACAAGGCTACGCATGGACATGAAGGTGTTCTCCAAAACCATGGCAGCGATCTTATCGGGGTTCTTGCTCGCGAGATCAATGGACACGGCGCCTCCGATGGATTGGCCGTACAAGATCTGCAGTCAACCATCGTGTGAGATGCTATCAAGCCACGGTGAAGAACCGGCGCACAATTGGGGTTCGCGACAGCAAGGGGTCTGAGGTCAGGTAATCCAGCGCGGTCTGTGCATCGGTGACAAAGCCTGAATTGCCGTTCGTCAGATACATCACTCCCAGAACGCGACGCTTGATGAGCAAGGTTTCTTACCCTTTTCAGATGGTGATCCATCCGAGAGACCGTATCCGCGGTACGACATCATGAGCACGTTGCAGCGCATCTTGAGGTAGAATACGCGCGCGAGCGGGATGCGGTGGCCGTGGTTGCCACCATTGCCGTGGAACATGATGACTGTGGGACGGCTCGCCGTAAACTGAGCAAACATTGCGTGAGTATGATATGTGAGAGAGAGCGGGCGAAGAAGACGGTAGAAAGTGATGGCAAATTTGCCTCAAATGCGACGGAAACTTGCCACCAATGGCATAAGGAAGTGAGGAACCAATGCACTTACATCCTCGTCACTCAAGTCCGGGTCCACGTCTTCGTCAATATGCGTGGCGCCGACCTTGTTGGCACCGAGGTCCTTGTGTTGCACGAGGAGGTAGCAACGGAGAGTTACGCCGTCAGGTGTTTCGAGGTCGAGGCTGTCGTAATCAAGGTTGTAGTCGGTGGGGACGGCGACCTCTACAAAGAGTATTTTAGCGATGATGCCTCAAGTAGACGGAAGGCAGTTCTCAGCAGAAGAACGATGGGGATGCGGGATATCAAGGAGGGAAGACATACATACCTACGCGAGAGCCGGAGGGAAAGGCGGACGGATAGATGAGGTAGTTCTGCCCGTAGTAGAGCAAGCCCATGCCTGGGTACCAGAGAAAACGTCGTTCGTCGGATCAAAAGTCAGCAACGACCACGCGTTCGTTAGAAGGTTCGAGTAGGTTTGAATGAATAGTCAGTTCAGTCCACGCACAGAATGCTGACGAGCAGCCCTTCTTACCTACTGTACCAAGAGCAGCTGCTGTAGCAAACGTACCCTTCGAATTTCAGTCAGGTTCATCACAACACATATAAGAGCGAGCACGAAATTTCTACCTTAGCGAAGGTCTCAACAGCGGGAAGCCATCCTTGCGCAGCGTCCTCCATGCCGTCTTCTTTATCCTCTGTCTCTTCCCGCCTTTGGGGAGACGCAGTATTAGGTTCTGTCCTAGATAAATCCATGTTCAGCAGCTTTACGAAGGAGCGAAAGCGGGTGCGACTCGCAGTTTGTGGGGCTGTGAGAGCGAGGCAAATTACGCCGTCGAGATGATTTGTTGCAAGGAAAACGAGAAAATGTCGCTGAGTGTGTTGCGGAGAATGAGCTGTATATCCAAACGTATCTTGGCGCAGTTGAGTGCCACGAAGAGAGCTGCGGTGAGTGTACAAGTCAAGGAGGTTAAGGTCAAGGTCAAGGTCAAGGTGCTGGCATGTGACAATGATTGGTTATCCACGTGGCGTTACTCAACTTCAACCATGCACGTGATCGAATGCCTGTGGCCATTCTGGAAGTCCCTTGCGATCCACTGTTGTCTACACGGCTCTCGGGAGCAAGTAGAAGCAAGCGGACACTCTTTTGCACAGTATGAAAGCATTGCTATAGATGGAGTGCGTGCAGCATAGTGCTCATACTCTACTTCGTTTGACAGACCAGTGACCAGCCTGAATATCAAGCACAGACTAAAGCACAGAAGAAACCTCCCATCGCACAAGTATAAAAATCCAACGTAGGTTGCGCAAGAGGTCAATGCCCCCAAGAAAGGTATCAAAACTAAACGTCGGGAATCCCCTCAAACTCCTCGTAACCCAAAGCAAGGTTGAGGTTCTGCGGGTCGTGGATGAGCGCGATTCGAGCCTCAAAGGAAATTCACCTACTTGCATGCACTGCGTTGCAGCACCTTTCAACAAGTTGTCCAGACCGCCGACGACCACTGCGCGCTCGCCCGAGCTATGCACCTGGAAGCCGCCCACAGTCCAGGTGTGCTTGTCCTGCAGATCGGCCAGCACCGGGACCTCGCGCTTGATCCTGATCAGCTTCTCGCCGACGTACTTCTTCTCGTACGCGTCGACGACCTCGCGCGCCGTGAGCGCATCCTTCAGCGGCATTGACAGCGTCGAGATGATACCGCTGAACCACGGAGCAACGGCGGGGACGAACGCGACGCGGAAGCGCGGGTCCGCAGAGGGAAGCAGCTTCGAGAGATGGAAACCCGCCTCGCGTTCGTGGATGTGGTCGGTAAGCGCGTAGGGCCGAACACCGCCCGCCAGGCTGTCGGGAGTGACCTTCGGCGCGGAGGCAGGGCGACCGTCCGGGTCGGTGACGGTGACGGTACCTGCACCACTATATCCAGAGATACCAAGCACCGTCGGCGGTGCGGTCGAAACGGCGTGCGGCAGCAGGGGCGCGATGAGCAGCTGCGTGGACGTCGCGTAGCATCCCGGATTTGCGATGCGCTTCGCTGCGCGGATGTTGTCGCGGCCATATAGCTCTATTTGCGAGTATGTCATGGGATATCAAGGGAGAAGAAGTACATTGTTCAATACATATTTACACAGCGGAGGGCGAAGAAGCCTCACCCGGAAGTCCGTATGTCCAGCCCTCCTCGAAGCGGTAGTCCGCGCCCAGATCGACGATCACGCTGCCCTCGCTCTTGCGCTCCGCCGCGCCGCGGTCGACGGCGTCCACGAACGGCTTGCACACGCCATTCGGAAGCGCCATGACCCACGCGTCGACCTCGCCGTCGCGCTCCATGCGCTCGACATCCGTCGGGGACAGGTTCGTGTACGTGACAGAGGACTTGTTGTATCCCTCGAGCGCGTAGCCGGCAAGCTGGCGCGAGGAGACGTGCGTGAGGTCGAGGTAACGATGGTTGTTGAGGAGATTGGTAAGCGCCTGGCCCGTGTAGCCGCGCGCGCCGATGACAGCGACGCGCTTCGGGTCGGTGATGGGCGTCGGCGCCTCCGCGGCCGCGGTGGCGTAGCCGCGGGAGGGGGCAGCGCGGCGAGCCATAGTGGAGAAGGCGCGGGCGCCAGAGGGGGCAGAGCCAGTCGCGGCGTGTTCCTTGCGAGGGCCGACAGGCAGGAAGGCGCGCGGGATGCGGCCCTTCTCTTCATACCCGCGCACGATGCGCTCAACCTCGGCAACGTCCTGAATACCGTACCAGAACAAGCTGTGTCCCGCGCGCGTGAAGCTTCCGTCGGCGCGCTCAAAGTGCCAGCTCCTGTTCTCGTCGTCCGCGGGCGCGGTCCAGAACAGCTTGCGGTGGTCCTTCTTGATCGCCTTGAAGACGTTGTCCGTGACGCCGTTCAGGATACCGCTACGGGACGCGAGCATCTTCGTCATCACCGGGATCTCCCCCTCGGGGCGGGAGACGATTGCAACGGCGTCGAGCGGCTCGTCGCCGTAGATCGTGTACGGCGTCTTCTTCAAGTCGTTGAGCACACCGGTGATGCTCGCGGTGCCGGCCAGCACCTCCGGGTCGCGGTCGTGGATGACCTGGCGGAAGCGGTCCGGGCCAATCGTCTCGAGGTCGTTGGCCTTGAAGAGGCGGTAGCCGCGGCGGATAAGGGTTCCCGCGCCGCTGTCCGTGAACAGCTCCTTCTGCAGGTGCTGCGTCGAGATGACAGCGACGGAGGACGAACGGGGGAGGTGATCAAGGAGCTCCTTGAATTCGCGCAGTTTGAGCTTCGTTCCGTATTTCACCCACGGCTCCTTCATCAGCGCGTCGTACTCCTCATCGAGGTTGATGACGTCGAGCTTCTCGCCGGTCACGCCATGGAAAAGACCACCCTTCTCGTTGAGGAAGATGATCTTCATGGGTTCGAGTTCTTTCGCGAGCTCGCCTGCGGCGATGTCCGCATTCACATTGAGAATTTGCCCGGCCTCGGACTCGGACAGGCTGGTCAGGATAGGGAGTGCGCCGGCGCGGATGGCAGCCTCGATCGGGCGCTTGTCGATGCGGGTGACCTTCCCGACGAGGCCGTACTTGTCCTTATCGAGGTAGTCGGCCGTGAACACGCCCGAGGTGATGGGGCGCGCGCGTGTGCCGAGCTTTTCCAGCGCGGCCACGAGACGGAGGTTTTCCTCGAGGAAAACGCGGCGCGCGATTTGGAGGGTGCGTACGTCTGTATGGAGTTGAAGATTAACAGAAGATTCATATCTATGGCCAAAAACACGCAACGCACCAGTGACTCGGATGCCGTCGATGTACTCGGGCACGACGCCTTCGCGCTCGATGATATCGTTCAGCTGCGGGCCTCCTCCGTGCAGAACGACGGGGTAGAGACCGAGGCGGTAGAGGAAGCTGAGACTCAGGGCGAGCTCGTCGATTTCGTCGAGCACGGCGCCTCCGACTTTGATCACTGCGAATTTGGCGGGCTGACTCGGTTCGGACGCGGACGAGAAGATGCGCAGGTAGCGCTCGACCTCCCGCTTGGAGCCGAGGGAGTACAAGAGCCTTGTGATAGTGTCCTGGACGACTGTGAGTGTCTATGCTTGTGAGGGGAATGCGCCGCGCACCCTATCTGTCTGCGCTACAGACTGGATTCCGCGTGTCAGAACCGGGCGCTTGACCGCGCGAACCGCAGCCTGGCTGCTGCGAGCAACAAGCACTTGCTTCGCGCCGCGCGCACATATTCTCAAAGCCGTCCTGGCTGCCAACATGATGGCAAGAGACAGGAAATAAACAACTGCTGTGAGATTTTTTGGGGAATTCCGCTTCGGCCGATTCATATGAAATAAGATAAGATTAGATAGCGATTAGATAATGCCCAGCCATCAGGTGGGCTGGTCGGCACCAAGACGACCTTTGCGAACGGTGCGTTTGCGCGAGTGCCACAGAATATGCATAGTGCAATAGAGTGACTTGGTTAGTGCGGCGAGCGCACTGTCAATCTTTTCGATGCCCTCGGGAAGGGGGCAATGCTGTCAGCTTGGAAGAGTGTCTGAACACTGCATCCAGTTTTCCACGAACTTCCAGCTAAGTCTGCGAATCTCAAATGCGCTTGTGCGTTCGGTCCAGATACCACGGAACCAGCCGGAAAAACAGGATGAATGTTGACTTGTCATGTGGGGATGTACATTGTATACCATAGAAGGCGCTTCCCTCGTAGATCGTGAGTGGGGAGAGGGGCCAAACCAACGACGCAAAAGGGTTCAAAACGGACGAAAACTTGCAGAACAAGCCTCCACCACCCATTGCACATGTCTTTGCAATAGAGGACAAATCTGCGTAGCAGATTAGGTACAGACTCACACCACAAATCTCAACGACAATGAGGGGGGTTCGAAAACCTTCACAACGTCTTCGACCGCGCAGGCCTTGTCGAAGGCGAGCTCAGATATGTAGGACTCGAAGTAAGGGACGCCTGGAATCAATGAAGTGGCGTCGGCATCGCGGACGAGGCCCCTAGCGCGACGCGCGCGGATACGAGCCTACGGCGAGATGAGCCAGAGAAGAAGAAGAGATGGACGGGTAACCGTAAGCACAGATGCAAGGACGACCCTGGAAAGAAAGGAGAACTCACATCGGAGTATAGCCGCGCATTCCGCATAGAGACATCCTGCTGCTGCCTGTGTCGCATGAGTCGAGAATTGAGCTCGCGCAGGCGCCGGCATGTTTCCCAGACATCCTCACTCAACGCTCGTGCCCAGTTTCCTGAGATATTATCGTCCAGCAGATCGATGTCGAGGTGAGGATGGCGCCGTGCAATAGCGTACACGACCCGTGTGGAGGCGGCGACGGGCAGAGAGAACACCCTGTCGGGTGAGGTGAAATAGACGGTATGTGTACACTCGCTGATCCGGAGGATGGCGACGACGGCGCAGGGGAGCTTGATGCGCCAATTGTGGCGGTCGAAATAGGCTTCCGAGGGGAACGGAGGGATAAGGGAGGGACGTTGGCAGGATAGGCGAAACGCGCTGTGTGGTGGTGGTGGTAGTAGATGATATGAAGGCGGTACATATGACCAGTGGGATGACTTTGTGTCGACTCCGACGCGCGAGCGATTGATGGCAGAAAGTCGTTCGACGACGTTAGAAATGACGCCCGGCACTCGCTGCGATGGTGCGAAGGAGGGGCGACCTTCGTCTGTCGATTCTGTCGCGGTGGCGCGGGTGGACTCAGTGGCGGGCGAGGAAGGTCGAGTGGCTTGAGCTTCTTGGGCCGTTTCGAAGAGAGACAGGTCTAGCACGTCTTCCAATGTAAGCTGAATCTCCCCGTAGTAATTTTGCTCTGCTTTAGCTGCATGTTGCGAAGGTCGCGACAGTGAAGTGTCACCATAGAGTGGCATCGCACTGAATCGTGCGGGTGATTCGAGGCAAGTGACCCGACGCGCCCTAAATACACAAGATAGACGACCAAGTCCACTGTGGCGCAGACAGGCGAGAGAATGATCATGACAAAGAAGACCATTCTTTGTGGTTAACTATCCGTGCGGACCAGACCATGCGAGATGGGACCCTTCCGCAGGCTGAGGAAAAAGAAGCGAAGGCAGCAATGAAAATTGAAAGGAGACGAGCGTGATGGCTACGAAAGAGGGTGAAGGTCCAGATGGACGTTCGAACGACGTTTTCGGCGGAACGGCAAGGGCCGGGACTATCACGAGGGCCGTACGGCAAACTCCGAAAGTTGAACTTCGCGCGGGCGTTATATTCACTCGATGCTTTCACCGAATCCAATACCGTCTATAATCACAGAATAGATACCATATCATAAAAGTCTATACCGAGCGTTTAGCGGGTGATTTGCAAAGCAAACTCCCATCGAAGCACCCTTACTCTAATATATACAGCTTCAAGTCTGGCGCGTCAAAGATCTTCGCAATATCCTCGCACATCCAATACTGCGGCACAGCAACCCTCTCCATGTAGTACTCGAAGCAAGGGACGTCCGGGATTAGGGCTGTGGGTTTGGCATCAGGGTACTGATTGAAAGCGAGGCCGGGAAATTCAATGAAGGTCTATGGTCATCAACCGGACGGGAGGTAAGGGACGATCAGCGTTCACACGAAGGAACATGCAACAAGGAGAGGTTAGACAGAGGAACAGATCACGGAGGCACGAGACTAACCCTGGAAAAATATCGCGCGTACTGGATGAACATATGCTGCCGATAAATGTGCTTATAAACCTGTCCGACGACCCGTCCGAGGGCTCTTGCGATCTCACACGCCCTCTGGGTCAGTGGCCGCGGATTCAGGTTGGAGGGGAGGTAGAACACGTCGATGCCGACAGTCGGAAGGCGCCACACGGAGGCGTACACGACGTCCCCCGAGACCTCACCGGCGCGTGTAAAGTAGACCGTTTGGGTCTCCTCGTCGACCATAGGTATGGCGACAATGGGATAAGGGAGATGGATATGGTGGGAGTGGCGATTGAAGTAGTTTGTGGGTCGCGCAGGGTCGGGCGCTGGGTGCGGCGTACGTTCAGGAAGTACTGGTAGGGGAGCTTCCGGTGAGGCACAGACACTGGCAGGGAGCAGATTGAGCTCGTTAGGGATGATGGGCGGCACTGGCTGAGGTGAAGTCGTAAACGAAGAGCCAAGTTGGCTGATAGATCTAGTGACGGAGGTGGGCGATGAGAGTTGGGCGTCTTCAGTCTCTTGACCCTCGGTACTAGACTCCGATGTTATCGACTTGGCTGTAGATCGATGTCGTCCTGCCCTGCTGAGGTGTCGCTCCCCCTTCGGGCGACGTCGCTCTAGTAGGTTGTGACGCGTTTCCCGGGGTCGCGGTGGTGATTTTGAGGTGTTGGCGTGTAGGGCCATCACAGTGCGCCGTGGGATAAGCGAAGCGCTGAAACATGCTTGCTGAGCGTCGTACTGTACCGGAGAGAGACTGACTACAAGGGCCCAGTCGATAATGTGGCCTGCAGCTAGCGAGGGTGAAGGGAGCCGATCCGCCAGTCTTGGCTTTATAAGTCGCAGCGAAGAGTAGATCACGGCTTGTGGTAGCGAGAAAGAACATCCTTCGCCACAAAGTTTGGCGCAGAGACGAGATTCTGGCCTGTCTTCTTCCATGCCACGAATCCATCTCAAGACGGCCAATGCAGATGACGACCGCGGCCAGCCGTCAACAGAAACTTGTCCACTACCTGTAAAACTCTAGAGCAGTGTGTAGTCGTCGTCTTCAGGGCGAGATATGTGTGGGATGCAGGAGCCGAACGGACAGAGGAAAAGATGATGAACGTCAGAAGGATGTTTCTGGCGGCGCGGCGAGGGCACGAGTCGGCTTGACGGACCGGTCGACGGCAAATGCCGCTGCAACATCAGTCGCGCCTGACTCGGCCTGAGCGCCACCTCAGAGCTCTTCCAATACCACCAGCCTCATTATCGGATCTCTCCCTAGAAAGCGCTACAACACGGTCAAATCTGAGTTGGTCGACGTCATCAACGACTCTTACGAACGCGAAGGATAACAGTTCATGTATGCTGCGACTTCCCGTTTGTTGCGAACTGCACGCCCTCAAGGTACAACACGAGATAGATATGCTGTACAAATGCAAGCTTGTGCGGAACCCCACAAATTGTACTTAAGCTACAAAACTCAGCTTCAAGTCCGGCAGGTTGAAGATCTCGGTGATATCCTTGCACATCCAAGCTTGCGGCTTGGCGTAGTGGAACATGTATTCCTCGAAGTACGGAATTCCGGGAATCGTGGTCGTAGCCTGAGGATCGGGAGTGCGAATTCTAGCACGGCGTTGATCATATAGGCGGATCTACGATCGGGCGAAGGAGGGGTGATTCAAGGCGAGGGATATGAGCGGGAGGACCAAGAGATACGCTGGCATAGACATACCGCGGAATAAAACCGTGCGTAATGCATGAACAGATGCTGTCGGATCATATGGCGGAAGATTCGCGTATTCAGCTGGGTCAGCGCCCTAAACACGTCGTATGCTTCCCTGGTCAGAGGACGGACATTATCTCTGGTGGGAAGTAGAAAATCCAGGCCGACCATGCTGTTGTGGGCCGCATGGGGGTATATGACGCGAGAGGTGGGGACGGCGTGAGCGGGCAGCCGGTCAGTGAGAGTGAAGTAGATGGTGCTGATCCCCTCGGAGACCTTGAAGACGGCGACGACCGGGCAGGGGACGTGGATGCGGTGGGTGATGCGGTCAAAGTAGACGGCTGGGGCAGGGTAGCTCCTCGAGAGGGGTAGACGAGTTGTCAAGGCTCGGGAAGGAGCTGCAACTGGATCCCAGGAGGAATTGAGGATTATGGCATGCAGTTGGAGGAGATGATAGTGCAGATCGGCGGAGAACGCTCGCTGCAGCACCTGCGAAGACACAGCTGGTTGAGTTTCGTTGCGCGTGGTGTCGGTAGCCGAGGATGGGGAATGGTTGATCTGCCGCGGCCGAGCCTCCGTGTCACGCCTGCTCGCGGAGCGCGGCGAGACACTACTGAGAAGTGGCATCGCAACTTGGCGTGACACAAGGTTGAGGATGAAGCGCATCGCCGCGGGCTTTGACCTTTGAAGCTACTGTAAGTCTCAAAGGAGGGTCAAAGCTAATGAGCTCGAGGATTTGCCGGCGGTCGCCCAACAGACCATGGGGTCTTCGTTTGTGAGCATAGCTCCTATACAAGCAGAAGTCAGAACTTTGACAATAATAGAGAGTGAACGCGATATGACAGAAGTATGTCAGCCTTGGATGATGGTGGTTATGGTCAAAAGGTCGCGATGCTCATACAGACCACATCACGTGGTCGCGTACTTGCCAAATTCGGATAATTTTGAGCACATTTCCGTTCTCTCCGCTTTCCACGACATGCAAACATGCATCCGTCCCTCCGTTCGCCGAATACTCACACATAGCCGCTTATGCGCAAGCAGGATCTCCGGAGGACTTAGAACTCTGCACACGTCAATACGACGGCCAGAAGAGAAACCCACTTCACCGCGGCCCGATCCCTTCACGTTCCTCACTCCCCATGTCTCCGAATTCCGAGAAGGACTCCTCGAGCTCCTGGGGTCGGGGAACCCAGGCCTGACGGAAATCTCAAGATACTACTTCCTCCGCCCCTCCAAGTATCTCCGACCATTGCTCGTGTTCTTGTTCTCGCAAGCGACGAACGGGCTCGGCAGCCAGTGGAGTCTGAAGGAATGGGAGGCGCGGAGCGGCGGCGAGGGCAGCATGGAGAACCTGAACAGAGCACTATCCCCCGGCGACGTCATCAACGACTGGAACCCCATCATCCCCCAGCACTCCGCCGCGTTCGATCCCGTCTTCCACCCGAGCCCCGCACGAGCGCACCATGTCCCGCTAGAACCACCACATAACCTCCCCTCCGCCCCTCCCTTGCTCACCGCGGCGCCGACCATACTACCCACTCAAATGCGGCTCGCGCACGTCTTGGAGATGATCCACGCCGCGTCGCTCCTGCACGACGACGTGATCGACGCTTCCCCCCTCCGCCGTGGCGTCGCATCCGCGCCCGAGGCTTTCGGTAACAACCTGGCCGTCCTCGGCGGCAACTTTGTGCTGGGTCGCGCGAGTGCTGCGCTCGCGCGCCTGGGGGACCTGGAGGTCGTCGGCCTCATTGCGAGCATCATTTCGAACCTCGTAGAGGGCGAGATCCTGCAGCTCAAGAGCCAGAATCCCAGCGACGCGTGGAACCTCTACCTGCAGAAGACGTACATGAAGACGGCGAGCTTGATGGCAAAGGGCGCGCGCGCGGCCGTTGCGCTCGGCGGGTGCAAGGAGGGCGAGGTCTGGCGGGAGGTCGCATACGCGTACGGCAGGAATCTGGGTATAGCCTTCCAGGTGAGTGCCAGAGCGCACGCGCAGATACATCTACCTAAACCCCCTCCGCTCTAGCTGCAAGATGACATCCTCGACTACGAGGTCTCGGACGCAACGCTTGGCAAGCCGGGCGGCGCGGATCTCCAGCTCGGGCTGGCCACCGGGCCTGCATTGTACGCGATGGAGGAGTACCCGGAGATGGGCCCCCTGATCGCGCGCAAATTTGAGAACGAGGGCGACGTGGAGCTGGTGAGTGCGGTCCCCCGGCGCGCACAGGCCCGCCCGCTCACGGTTCTTGACGCTTTTCTCGGTGCTGTTCATCTCCCCCGGCACTCCCCCCTCTGCATTCCCCGGCTCTTGGCCCACGAAAATATCTGGTGCCTTTTGTTCATCTCGCTGGTACGTGCTGGGTATACGTTGGCAGGCGCGCGACCTCGTCAAGCGGTCATCCGGTGTCGAGCGCACGCGGGAGCTCGCGCTGGCGTATGCGCGCGCGGCACGGGACGCGCTGCAGCCTCTGCCCGAGAGCGAGGCGAAGCAGGCGCTGGAGGCGCTCACGGAGCGGGTGGTCAAGCGGACTCATTGATAGACTATAGCTCGCGAAATGACGACTCCGTGAACCTGCCTTGCTCTATCTTGGATGACTGGTCCTCTGCCACTTGCCCTGTCGTCCTTTACGGAGGCGATGAAGGTTTGCGGCTGCATGGCTGTTGCTTTTGGTGAGGTCCCGTGGATACTTGTTGACTAGGTCGCGTGCTTGGCTGTCCTCGGTCGCGTGGTTCGACGCGGATTCCATCAGACCGACGATCCTTGTTCCTATTTTGGTAAGTAAATCCATCCGGTTAGGTGGCCAAATGGACAGCGAGGGATTGCAATCGAGAGCTACTTCGTTGAAGACATCCTGAAGCTCGCGAAGGGTGCGGGATTGCTACTGAAGAACGCGAAGTAGCTGACGAAGGATTCGAACCATGAGAGGAAAGATTCGAATACCGGCGACGAATATGGGCTAGCGCTGGCGAAGCATCCGGGCCCGCATTCACCTGACGGCGGGGATCTGCATTTTGCGTATACAACGTCGTTGACTCCCGTCGCTGTGGAGCCTTTTCACATGCTGGGAAGGCCCGTCTCTTGACCGGAACTGCCAGTCAGGCAGAGGTAAATGATGTCCACCCAAATAGCCTGCTACGGCGCCAAGGTACTCAGGAACCCGGATTTTCGGACGCTCCAAGTACGTGGATTTGCATGCCCTCGTCGCTTGGTGCTGAACTTCTGCCCGAGGTGCAAACAGACCTCTTGACTGCGAATGCGGTGATTGGAATATTTTGACGGCGGGAGTCGCAGCATACTGGAGTCTTGTTGAGTCCCCTGGCCTGGGATGCTCACGAAGATGTGGCGTGGGCATTTCCGAGGGTGCGTCGCGTATGAACATCCGAGCAATAGAACCACAACTCGTCGCCAGGAAGGAGCCGTCAAGAGGACAGCTCGTCCTTCGCGCCCTCGCCAAGCTTCGGTCCGAGCCACTTTGCTCAGCTTGGAGGGTAATTGATGATCGATGGACTCACAATCCTCTTTGGGGCATCTCTTGCGGAGCTCAGCCTCGATGCGCAAGCAACGCCTCCTCATCGTCGGTCAGGCGACGGCCACCCACGCGTGCCGGAGTCACTCCTGCTGTCCGGATGTCGCCAGCAGCTGCCCGTACGAGGCGCGGAGCCTCATTCGGCCGTGCATGACACCGGGTGCTGCCCGCCTTCGCCCGGGACAACAATGGGAGGGACACAGCAACCCGTGTCTTCGCCAGGCCCTCGCTGTCAGAAGCTTGTGCACCTTTCGGGCTAGCTTTGCGACTGTACTACTGTTCCTTCACGGATCTTTGTGGGCATGGTTCTTCGTCGTAGGGGTATATAAGCAGGGGAAGGGAGGTGTTCTGCTCAGCAGCAGAAACCACTTCTCCCGGCATGCACTTCCCCACACTCACCCTCCTCGCTTCGGTGCTTGGGCTTGTAGCTCGTGCTGCGCCTGTTAACGAGACCAGCGTCAAAGCTGACGCCGTTGGCAACCGACTGGTCTTCGCACACTTCATGGTGATTGCTAGTCTCATCCTCCGTGTTGCGGGAGCTTATTTCCCTCCAGATTGGCATCGCCGCGGACCGAACGAGCGCCAGCGACTACGACGATGACATGCGGCGCGCGAAGGCTGCCGGCATCGACGCCTTCGCATTGAACATCGGCATGGACCCATACACGGACGGCCAGCTCGAGTGGGCGTACCAGTCCGCTCAGAACAACGGCATGAAGGTCTTCATCTCCTTCGACTTCAACTGGTACGCGGTCCCGGACCCCGGCGCGGTCGGAAGGAAGATCGCCCAGTATGCAGGCCGACAGGCGCAGCTGCAGGTCGACGGGAAGGTATGCAATCACATGTGGTTCCCAACTTCCTCTCTCTGACTGCGACGTACCCCAGGTATTCGCGTCTTCGTTCGCTGGTGACGGCCTCAACGTCTCTGCTGTGCGCCAAGCGGCGGGCGTGCCTGTCTTCTGGGCACCCAACTTTCACCCGGGAGGCGGCGACTTCTCGCAAATCGACGGCGCGCTCAACTGGATGGCTTGGCAGAACAACGGCGCGAACAAGGCGCCCAGCAACGGCAACCTCGTCACGGTCAGCCAGGGCGACCAGGCGTACCTCAGCGCTTTGAACGGCAAGGCTTACATCGCTCGTGAGTGGCGGCTCCCCTCTCTGGCTATTCCTGTTCTCACACGGACCTCCCTGCAGCTGTGTCCCCGTGAGTATCTTCTACTTCCTACGAAGCTGAGCTTCGCTCATGTGATCGTGTTTCGCACATCAGCTGGTTCTCGGTCAGTGCCCTTCAAAGAGGCTTTGCTGAGGCGGTGTTGCTGATACCGCTCTACAGACGCACTTCGGTCCGGAGGTTCCATACAGCAAGAACTGGGTGTTCCCTGGTGACATGCTCTTCTACAGGCGTTGGCTCGAGATTCTGCAAATGAAGCCGCGCTTCGTGGAGATTGTCACATGGAACGACTATGGCGAATCTCACTACGTTGGTCCCTTGTCCTCCAAGCATAACGACGACGGCGCCTCGAAATGGGTGAATGACATGTACGTGCCCACCTTGCCTTTCATCATTACCTATTGACCTCTCTTCAGGCCTCATAGCGGCTGGCTGGATATGGCCAAACCCTTTATCGCTGCCTTTAAGGCTGGCGCGAGCACCCCCACCAACTACATTTCCGCCGACCAGCTTGTGTACTGGTATCGTGTCACGCCCAAGGCGCTCAATTGCGATGCGCAAGATACGACTATGACCGGCGCGAACAACGACAGCGGTAACTACTTCATGGGTCGCCCTAATGGCTTCGACTCCATGCTCGACAACGTCTTCGTCGTCCCTCTCCTCAAGACGCCCGGCACAGTCACCATCAACTCGGGCGGCACCGCATACACGTTTGACGCGCCGGCCGGTGCGTCCGCGTACTCTGTGCCCTTCCATGTCGGCGCGCAGGCCTTCTCGCTATCGCGCGGCGGGAGGCAGGTGCTGTCGGGGACGAGCCTGCGCCCGGTGCAGAATACCTGCCCGTGTGGGCTGTACAACTTCAACGCGTATGTGGGTACAGTCCCTGCGGGCCCGGCCGACGCTTTGGGCCCGGATGGGCTGAACCACTTTGCGACGGGGCTGAAGGCGGCGTGTGCGGCGCAGCCGTCGCTGCCGGCGAGCCCGCCTGCGGTGACCCCGCCAACGACGACGATTAGGGTGGGTCCGATCTCGACGGGTCTGCCGGTTTGAAGGGTGATTGTTGGGATCCGGTTTGGAAAGGGATAAGCAGAGACGCGGGTTGCAATGTAACATATATTCTATGCGTATCTAAGGATTGTTCATCGATCTCATGACCAAGTCGACCTGCGCTAGCGATCAAATTGACTGAGTGGAATACTACTGAAGGTAGAAATTGGTATCAAGCTTGTGGCTGGGTAACTTGACTTCGCTACTTGAAGCGCTACTTGGAGTGGTTCACACCGAGGGGTTTCCGCTGCGCCAACTATTCATTGGCATGTTTATATACAGTTTAAAGAATACAGTAAGTAGATGGCATAAGGCATAGAGGGCATGATGGGCGGAGCGGAGCCTTCGCGAGCGAAATCCAGAGAGCGTGAGGCCGGAAAAAATGAGCGACAGTTGTAGGCCGAAAGCCCGACCGAGTTGTGGCAGAGTGTCACTTTGGCGTTCGAGCTCGAGAGCGGGCGAAAGAACTTAAAAAAAGCAGCTTGAACCTGAAGACCTCAAGCATTGCCCGTCTTCTTCTTCTTGCGCTTGGGCTGGTCAGGCTCAGAAGAGACAGAGGGAGCAGAGCGCTTGTCAGTCAACTCGGAAGCAGCTTGAGCCTTGGCGAGCGAGCGTAGGTTGTAGCGGGAGTTCGTGCGAGTCGGAGGGGCCTGAGCGACGGGTTTGGCGGGTATGTCGACAGCAGTGTGCGCATTACGAGGCTTGGCCTTGTCGACAGGCGCTGGCGCGGGCGCCGGCTCAGTCAGAATCTCGCCATGAAGGCGGGATGACATCCGAGTTCCGCCACCAAAGAGGATATCGGGTATCTTTTCGTCCACGAGCGCCTGCTTCTCCGGAGTACGAGCTTCGAACCAGTCGCCCGTCTCAGCCCACAGGTCGTTGTATAGCTGTCGCTCCGAGCGAGAGAGTGGCTTCTTCTTGACGACCCGTTGGCGAAGCTTGTACGCGGCGTCCCAAAGCCAAAAGATAGGCTTTGTGTGGCTGACGACCTTGACGGGACCATGGTCGGGAAGCCAGTGTGTGTGAGGGAGCTTTCGGGAGGTCTTGCCAGGAGCGGCGGACAGGCATTTTTTCGGCACCTCAGCTGGTTTGATTACTTGGATCGCCGCTGCGAGCACATCGTCGTCGTAGGCAGCCACGCCAGGGTCCGCCGTGGGCTCACACTCCTCATTTTGAAGAGCCGCCACGTCGGCGGCGGTGAGGCTGTCGAGGTGGTCGTAGGTTCGTTGCTGCGGTCCGAAGCAAGTGATGGGAACGGCCTTCGAGTCGCTGAACACGTATGCCAGGTACGTGTATGTGCGGTTAGGGAACATCTGATAATGGATCAGCTACATCGTCCTCCGGGGCAAATATCAAGTCTCACCTGCTTGAAGTCGAGTCGCCCGCGGCCATCGCGAATGATCTCTAGACATTCAATCAAGTTCTCTGGAATGAGGAAGATAATCCCCTGCCCCAAACCATTGAGGACAGAGATCCCGTCGAACAGGTTATGGTGGGCGGAATTCACTACTCTCGCGGTGAGCATGCCATTGCGGTAAAGTTGTATCTGCCACGCACTGATGTCTTGATTGAACGAAGAATCCAGATTGAGAACCCTACGCAGGGTGCCGTCCGGGGACGTGATCCAAATGCCTACTGCGTCTTGGAAAAGGAGAAACTACAAGCAAGCCGTTAGAACGATTCAGGCCGCGCTGCTCACTCACGCACCAGCTTTGGATGAGATCGCCACAGAGTTCTGGGGACAACATGGATCATGTGCAGCGTCTCCGTATGATAATCGCCGTTGAGGAGGCAGCGAGGCGACCCCACCAGGAGGAGAACCTTCTGCTTGCCCTTCTGCCACCGATTGATGGCAGTCCGGCGCGCAGGAGTGTCAGGAAACAGAGCCGAGAGAACAATCGTTGGAAGATCATCGCTCTGCTGTGGCACATCTGCACTACCACCATCGTCACGTCGAGAACCAAGAACGCGGGCAATCTCCGACGACGGGGGCGAAACCGAAGACATGGTGGGAGGCGAGGAAGGGTTGGATGTCTACCGAGCGTACAAGTTACACACCTTTTATACCTGCGCAGGCATTTCCCCAGATTGACGGCGGGGGCTATGAGATGAGAGGCTTTGTCCAGGGTTATGTCCGAGTGGTATGTTCTTCATACCACCCTCCATTGTTCCCCGCAGAACAAACATGAAAGATATGCGAGACATTGATCAGTGTTGGCTGCGGGAATGGAGAGTCATATCGCATGGGGATAGGCATCTCGCTTCGTTCATTTGTCAATGTCACGGTTGAAGTTGAACTTGCCACGTTTGTTTGTTCTCACCCCGTGTGCAAATGACGTAATAGGCTGACCCCGTGACCCGGGCGCGCCGGTCTAAGCGGAACGAATCTCTTGTCTTCACAAACCATCATCGTACCGAAGTACTGCCAACAATGCCAGCCACTGTCACTCTTCACGCGAGGGTCAACTGCCCAATCTCTGGGCCCAGTGAAAAGATGTCTATCCTCCCTCTCATCGACGAGAATATCAATGAAGCCGACCCAGCTGAGGTGCGTTGCAGCGCTGCGGAGACGGATGGCCTGCCTGATCCTTCTTCTATCTCAGGTCGCATTCAAAGAATGGACGTGGGGTCTACCTAGAGGAGGCCTCAAAAGCTACTTGTCCTCCGACCACAACAAGTTATTCTGTGCGTCATCCACCTGCGGGCACTAAACTATTGGTTGACACAAGGACAGTGCGTCGTGACATCGCGCGAATGTATGCCAAATACGAATTCGTCCTCGCGCCCACTTTTCGCACCTACCTGGATGTACTCAGCTTCATCAACCGTGCCGGGATTATCAACAGAGATGAGAAGGATACTTCGCCGCGCCGTCCATTGACCGGGGTGCGTCACAACGTGCTTGCTATATAACTTGGGGCTAACACTCGCTTCTCAGCTCACATCTCCCAACGGTCTCTATCGCTATGTATTCATCCCTTTCACCGACGCGGCGCGCCAACTTGAGAAAGAGATCGGCCTGCAGCCGCAGACGGAGGACGACTCAAACGGTGGTATCAACCCTGCGTACGACAGGCCTTGGCATCCCGGAAGCGATCGGTATCGGGTCGTGGAATGCTCAGCGCACCCGTTCTCTATTTGCACCTGGGCCGAGCAGGCGTTCGACGCCCACAACCTCGGCAATTATATCACCGCTCAGTGGGCGGCATGCGCAAGCTTCATCCTCGAGCAATGGCGATGGGCTGGGGTCACTGTCCCGCAATGGTTTTTGGACGCGCCAAAGCAAAACGAGAACGACTGCGCTGTCTACGGCTCCGAAAAGTCGGGATATACCCTTCCCCCCGTTAACTCTGTCGTGCATACGGTCCCGAGGATCGAGGATATCCTCCGATACGATCATTCGGACTATCCGCAGCCTTGCGAGAAGGTGCTGGACTGGTACCCGAGGCTCAAGCCACCCTTCCTAAACCCCAACCGCGCGCCTCACATTCCGCGCCGCTCCGTACGGATAGCGAAAACCTCCAATCCGTACGCCCGACCGCCTCCCACCCCTCGCCGCCGTCGCAAGGTGTCTCCCGCTGCGCGCGCGTACCAACGCTGTGCAGAGGAAGAGGTGATGCCCGCGTGGATACAACTGAACGGCAACTTTCCGACCGAGCTGTTCTCCAGTACAGAATGGGCGTTCTTCTGCCATGGGACGTCGCTCGACGGCAAACTAGGCAAAATCAAGACGGGCAGCTAACCCAGGATCTTCGGGCCGTGCAGTGATGCCGGACTAAACCCAATCTCGGCTATGGATCGTCGTCGAGACCTCCATCGCTACCGCGAACTGCGCTAGCTCGTCTTTCGGCTGGCCAGGCATAATCGCGCCGCACTGTACCGCTACAGACATTCGAGCGAATGTGCTTGTGCTACAAATCTCCCGTCCGGCCGCCCAGGACGCGTCACTCTCAACGGAGCTCTGTCGCAGTCGGGTTGTCATCGGGGTCCATCTCTTGGGTCAAGCATCGCGGTTCTCCGCCTACTATCGCCACTGGCGTCTCCCTGCGCTATCAGCTGCAAATCACCACCCGCCGCTCGTCGTCGACGTCTCAATGACTGGCCCTCGCTTCGTGCCCTCGAAGACCCTTGTCGCCAGCCCGAGCTTGCACGATGGGCGTTCTATCCGCCTTGCGCATGTCCCTGCCTACATCTACCGCGTACTCGCCGCACAACATCAATGAGCGTTGCCCTGTCTATCTTGGGCGCGCCTAGTTGTAGTATATCGTACCTTCCCATCACTCTACCAATGAACAGAAACATTTTTCCGGGGCCTCACAATAAGGCCCTGATTGCCGCTGGACTACCACATTGTCTGAACGGACGTGCTCGAGCGAAAGAACCTCCTGTGTTTCTTGTCGCCTGCCCCAGCCTTGACCGAAGCTGCTCTTTGGATGTCATAGAAGGCCATGAACTGAACGTACGGCGAGCCAGCTGTGCACTGACCTGTTACGCGCAGCATCACAGTTGAGATCCTGTGGCAATCCCGTGACCTGCCATATTCCGGCGCCCCATTTCTTGCTCCGCGCCTTCGATGCTTCCCTTACGACCTCGTACTCTCCCTGTTCTCAGTGTTGACCCTCCCAAACCTCGTCGTCGGCAACTTTTGACTACAAGATGAATAAAAACAGTAAATGTACACGTCTATCTCCCACAGTACGACCGGCGAAGGTTGCGAGCTTTGGATTGGCAAGGGCTTGCCGTGCGAGAATGAGCCTCAAATTCCATACAGACGTTCGTCCACTCCGACTCATGCGCTGGCGTACTTGACCGTCCACTCCCTGCTGACGCGCTGCGCGTCCTTCTCGTCCTCCTTGTAGTGCTTCGCGACGTCGGTCGCGAGCGGGTCGTCGGGGTTCGGCGCAGAGAGTAGGGCCTGGTGGTGGGCATGAACGAGGGTCGGTGTGAGGCGGGTGCGTTGCGGTGGTTGAGGTTATAATGCAGGATTTGAGATGGCGTGTTGCGAAGGGAGGTAGCAAGGGGGAAAGAGGGTGAAAATGACGACGAAATGGGAAGGATTGGTCAGTGCCTGACGAGATGAAGGGACGGGCATGACGCACTTGGACGGAGAGTAGGACGGTGCGAATTTGCAGCGCTGGTGACCACTTGTCCTTCAGGATGTCGAGGCAGATGCGGCCGAGCTTGTCTGTAATGTTGGATACGGTGTATACGTTGAAATGATGAAGTGATGATGGTGTCGTTCATATGGCAAGTGAGCAGTGGATAGGTGTGGCGGAGGGTGTGGTAGGCACGAATCGGAGAGCGGATTGGAAGGAGAGATGTTGAAGCGAGGGTCGGCAGGGGACCCGAGGGCGTCATTCGTCAGTATCGGTGTCGTAGAGCGGCGCGCACATACGCACCGATGTTAGGATGGTAGATCTTGGTCAAAAAGCGGACCTTCGGCGGTGCCATGGGGTATTCTTCTGGCAGGAAGAGCTCGAGCTTGAATACTCCTCCTGCAAATATGATCAGCCATCGTGCCGTGTCACTGATATCGAGTATCGTAGGATGCGGGGTGGAGGGGCGGACGCGCTGCACGGGGGACAAGGCGGATTGTAACAGATCGAGCACCCTCTAATGGTCTGGCGGACTGGAGGATAGCGGGGAACTCACTCTCGAATGGGCTGCCATCTGGGCCCTGTATCGTCACGTCGAAGTAGCGGAGGTTATCGTCATGCGGCGCGGCGGTAATGCCAGGCGCGGGATCTGCGACCAGGCGCTCCGTCTCCTACTCTCTCGCGTTAGCGTTGTCCTCTAGCCTCAGTCCCTCCGTCCTCGGTGTTGTGTGGTAAGGAAACTCCTCGCCGTGCGCCACGGTACACCGCACGCGCCTGGGGCGCGTCCAATAGATGGACATCTCGTTGACTAGCTCCCTGCTTACCTTGATGATCCGCTGGGTTTCACAGGACACAGGTAAGCCTCAGGAGCCCCAATTACAGATCCTTGGGTCGCGCACCTTCGGAAGAGACATCGGGGTAAGGAGCAAGCAGCGGTGTGAAAGGGTAAGGGAGACTTCGCCCGATTCAGCAACAGGCGCGCGCTGACTCAGCAGGGTCGCCTTCAAGTGCCCCCGCTAGCTCACAAGAGGACCGACGTATATGCATCTGGCGCCAGCAAGTAATGGTCATATTCCCGGTGATACAGATGCGCATTCGCTGGCATTGAATACTGATGGTACAATACAGAAAGCGACGCGCGCGAAATGTAAGTACACAATGATTGGATTACACTCAGCAGATTAGACTTCGTTCGACGACCTTGCGCACGACAACCGCCTTAAATGGCTCAAGGTGATGCGACATAACGAGGGAGCCTGTCGCATGTAATCCAGAGAATGAGACAGGATATGAACGACTCACCATCAATAAACCGCAAGTTTAGTAGCGGCGTCCCGCCTGCCTCTGTACTTCTTCCCAATCTTCGATGGCGTTGCGAAGGAGCTGGTCAAGGATGGCCTCTCCTTCTGCCAGATCGTCCGGGTCTAGAAAGCGGTCAGTCAACCGATCATGGTAGTGCAATTCTATGAAGGATACGAGTTGAACGAGGCGCGTCAAGCCCACTGGGATGCGCAGCAACAGACAGAAAATAGAAATTTGGGGGAAGCATACCCATCCGTAGGCCGTATGAAGCTTGGAACATTACGCGATCCCCCCACCCTTCCTTGATAATGCTGTACTTGGTGGGCCTCTTGCGCGTGGGACCTTGGCCGGACATGATTTCTGCGCGGGCTGCTGGTGCAAGTTCAATGGATCAGTGTCTTGATACCTAGGATATCCACGAACCCGCCTTAGTATGCGATGGGGGTTCAGGAAAAGCAGAGGTAATTCGGTTGCTGCAAAGAAGTCAGGGTGACACAGTGTGACAAGTTCAACATGGACCAGCACCGGCAAACGCCGGATGTTTGTCCTCGACATCTGAATCGCTACAATTTAGGCTGCTACCTGCTGAAGGACCACGGAATGCTCAACCAGGGTTCACGTATGCAGTAGAAGGAATTTATGATGCGTACAGTAAGTAAACAGGGCGAAAGCAAGCTGTCATAGACGAGTATCCAAATCAAGACCGCTAGGGGAGTCTGCGATGGGCTCATTCGAGGTGCACATCCGGAGTGTTGGCTGGGATCCCATGCTGCGATATAGTGTAGCTCTCTGCAGACTTTCGACCGCCCCCGCGCCCCTGCTACAATGACTGGGTATATTTCAGGCTACGTCCACCGCGAATTCCTGCGTGGGCGCCTTTCCTCCCATTCGTATCATGCCCTTCCATACGTCTCGCATTGTGCATGCTGCTCTCAAGTCGTCTCGTGCCTCTTCAGTGGGCGAGGCCGGCCCGTTGGCTTCCGCCCACGCGCAATCTTCTCCGCCAGCCGCTCGACGACCCCGCTGTCGTCCTCTTCCTCCTCGAGCGTCTTCTTGATGAGATACTCCATGTTGAGGGATTCGCTGCGACTGTTTCGTTAGCAAAGTTGATCCATGAATGGGATGAGATAGCAAAACTCACTCGCCGCTGCCTCTTCGCCCTGGTAGGCGCATACTTGCGGGGAATATCGTTGGCGAAGGGTCGTACTCGGGCAGACGCTCGTTGATGAGATCAGAGCGACGGCTAAAGGGATGGTCAGCTATACGGACAGGAGAGCCGCAAAATAAAACAACGTACGCATCCTCAAACGACCGAATTGCGCGGGCCAACTTGGCCTCATGTACGCCGAGATGTGCCGGGCCACCCAGGCCTCCTGGCATGCCCTCCGCGCCCATGACTTCACCGGCACCATCCGCACCTGGCACTGCATCAGTATAGAAACCACGCCCCTTCCTCATCCACCACTGCTGCACTCACCATCCAAACTCCGCCCCGCTACGCCCTCCGCGCCCAGCCCGGGCGTGCCGACACCCAAGCCCGGCAGCGGGAACCCGGCCGCAAGCTCGGTCGCGTTCTCCGCCTCCTCGCGCAGGAGCTGGAAGACGCGCTGCATGCGGCCGACGGCCATGATCTTGTTCTTGATCTGCTGCCTGCGCGCGTTGATGTCGGGGGACATGAGCGTGCGCGCGTCTTCGTCTTCGTCCGAGTCGTCGCCATCGAGCTCCTCTTCGGAGCAGACCGAAAGGACGGCGAGCAGCATTTCGGTGACTGAGGGGTGGGAGTGAGTCAGCGATGGAAGAGTTGACGGTGAGCATAGAGGCGCACTCTTCATGCCGACGAATGGCAAACTCCATGTAAAGGCGTCCATGAAGTTTGGTAGCCAGTAAGGATGAGGGGATGCGTTATACTGTCGTATCGTGATACCTCGGTTAGCGTACTTGATGACCGCGCCGCGGTTGTGGTATACGTCGAGATAGTTGGGGGCAGAGAAGATGGTGATGACGGAAGGAAAGCGTTTGGTCGGCGTCTTCTTGTGCATGGTATATCTGGCAATTGTTAGTATGAGCGGTCTGCAATCGACAGTGTGACTATACCCTGCATCCTGCGCCTCGTGTCCTCGTATAATGCCTAACAGACTATTCCGTTCCAAAAAGGCACAAGCGGCGTCGTATCTGTAATCTGGGCGTCAGCAAGCGCGTCATCGAGGTCAAAGAGCAGACGTACGTGAAGAAGAAAGAGCACCCTCGTGTCGCGTTGTGTAGCCACATCGTGCCGGGTGGCAAGCCGGGAGTGCCCTGCACCGGCTCTTGCTCCCTTCCGAAGGTCGCGATAGGATCTGACCATAGCAGATCGCAGAGCAGACCGTGCGATCCTGGTTCTTGGAAGCGGTCTATCTGCGGCAAGGTAAGCTATGATCACGAACAAGAAGCCTGAGCAGGACGCGCCTTCCTGATGTCGTCGATGGTGCCGAGTTCCGGTGATAGCCCTCCATGGACGCAGAAGAAGCGGTTGTCTACGATCGCGGCCACCGGCAGCGCGCAAAATGACTCGATGCACGCCTCGTATATCCTTTCTGAGTACTTATGCAAGCCTTTGAGAGAGTATAGTAAGCGAAACCGGCGGTAGAGCGCGCGCGCCACGGTACGCACATTCCCGCTTGAACGTAAAGTACTCGGTGAGGTGTCTGCACTCGTGGTTGCCGCGGAGGAGGGTGAAGCGGTTGGGATACCATAGTTTCAAGCTATACAGGTACAAGAGACACTGAAAAAGAGGACCGCCGGGGTTTAGAGAGGGACTTACTCGGCGGAGGCGACCCGGACTGACCTCGATTCCAAAGCAGCCCCGATCGACGTAGTCGCCGAGGAAGAGGTAGCTGTTGTCGTGTATGGAGCCTCCCACGTCAAAGAGCTTCATCAGGTCGTACTGGCGGGGACATCATGTGAGGAGGGGACTGCTTAGCGAGCGTGTGCGCCTCACATATTGACCGTGTATGTCTCCACATACTGCAAGGGGACGATCAGCAGTGGCGACGCGCGCGAAGGACATGCGACGCACTCGTTACGGGACTCTGCACTTGCACCACGTTCGGCTCTTGCCTCAAAAGCGCCGTCGCGCGACTGAGGACAAAGAGCGCCTGCTCCTCCGTTAAGCGCCCCTCGCGAAAGAAGTGCGACTTGAGGAACAGCGGGTTCGGCTTGACCTCCCCATTCTCGTCGGTCGCGTAGAATTCTGCGTCCGCTGGCTTGGTCGCGATGGGTTCCGGAACCTGGTGCGCCACTCAGTGTCGCGCTCGGTCTCGATCCGTACACGATCGACATACGCTTGGCACCTGTCTTTGGTGTACCTGCGCGGTCAAGTTGGTCCCCTGCGACCCCGTCCTGCTGCTTATCTGTGCTAGAGCGGCCTGCACATAGTAATTGTTCATCGCCAAGAGCGAAAGTAATGGGAGAAGGTGGTGGGGGAGGAGGAGATGATGATGAACACGACAGAGATCAACTTCGTCCCAAACAGGTGCTATCCCCGGAAGTCTAGGCGCCCGGCGCTTAACAAGGGATTAATCCTGTGTCAATCCATGGCGACCCTCATCATATCTTCGACGACTTGGACTGAGGAAGGTCACGGCCCGGTCTCTGAAGCAGTGCAGTTCGGCGTTATGCACTTCAAGGTTCAACGTTCAGCCTCACAGCATGAATCTTTGGCTATAGAATGCGATGCAGGTACAGCCCGGTCTGAACATAGACATCGACCAGCTATCAAGATGTGGAGAGAGAAGTCCACGACGTAGGAGTGCGTCAAGACGATCTGTTTTCTTCAACTGAGCCATGTCGTGTACTTGTTATCCTCGCCCTGAACTACTTGGGCGATCTGTTGGGCGACGATACGGTCCGCCTGCTCGCTGGGATGCAGTTCATCCTGCCTGGAAGAACGATCATGAGCTAAACGGGTCACAGCCAGTATCCAATCCAGTTGCTCACTCACCACATATAACTATCCCTATCCGTGCCATTGACCACCGTGCAGGGCACCGTATCCGTCGGGTCCTCGTTCTCCTGCCAATCGCAGGTCCGGATTGCCGTGGTAACGTTCACCGTCGCCGTTCCGTTGAGATACTGCTCCGGGTTCGCAATCATGTCGTTGAAGAGGGAATGCGAGTCAAAGAGCGCGACGTGCGCGCCGTCGAGGGTAGGGACGAGCTGCTGGAGCATGAGCTCAGCGAGCTTGTTGCCGGCGGTGGTGAGCTCGTGGATCATGATGTTCCATTCGGTAGCGTTCTTGGAGGCGGTCCAGGTGCCCGTGGGCTTCCCGTTGCGTGAGTACATGGGCGTCTTCTCGAGAGGGTTCATCTGGAAATGATGATCAGCTTTGCGGTCTCTATTGTATCGCTTGGGAGAACGCAAAGCAAGGCAACTCATACTGACATTCTGGAACAGGAAATTCCTCGCGCCCTTGTCATACAAGGTCTTCACCCAGTTGACCGTGCAGGCCACCGTGTCGACCACCGTCACGCCCTCGGGCGCCTCACCGGTGAGGAGCGCACCCGCCCCAACGTCGTTCGTCCCCAACCAGATGCTGTAGAGCGTGTTATCCGGAGTGATATCACCGAGGACGCCGGGGGCAGAGCCATCGAGAGTGCCATTGGAAGAATCGTTATAAAAAGCAGGCAGCTCCTCCTCGAAGACGGACGGCCAGGGAAGGTTGTTGAGCGTGTGCGAGCAGATCCCGCCGGACATGGCGTAAGGGTGAAGGGTGAGGGAGGCATTGGCAGAACCGAGATCGACCTCTGCGTGTATGGCGATGGTGGCGCGCGAGGCGACGGTGCTGTTGCTGGTAGCGGTACCGTTGCTAGTAGCAGTCCCGTTGCCGGAGTCGCTGCCAGCGCCACTTTGACCAGCCAGATACTCTGCGACAGCGTCCGCGTACGCCTGATTGCCGACGACGCTGCCGTTCGTCCCGCGCACGGCGTTCACGTAGTCAAGCACGTAGAGCGGCCACGAGCGGCCGCCGTCACCGGCGAGAAAGACATCGGTGTACGAGTCCCCGAAGGTGATGAAGTGCGTAATTTGGTTGGGGGTGAGGACAGCGTACGTGGGGACCGCGAGGAGTGGTGTAAGTAAAAGAGTGACTAGGGGAAAGGAGTGCATGTTAGTGGCAATTGGTGGCGACCAAAAAGAAGTGAGAAGTAGTTGAGGTAGAATGGAATTCAGTAATCAGTGAGGGGATGATGGAGTACGGGAGGAAACAATCTTGCCCACCTCACCCCAATCCTATATCAAAAGGCGCCCCATGGCTTGGCGGTCGTCGGCCAATCTTCGCTAATCATACGCAGGGACGCAGCGCGCCCAAGGCTGTCAGCCTTCTGGGGGATGGCATGGGCAATTATGCGTCCAATCGGCATCGGCAAGTGCTGGAGGTCTTTTGGGAGGCAGTTCGAAGGCGCCGAATGCTGAGCGTTCAGCACAGTTGAGCACACTCACGCCCGATGCCAGGTAGTCCAACAGGCGACGCGCGCGGCCGAATGGCTGGGCTGGGCCGCTGGGGCGGCGTCGAACGATCGACTTGGGCGCTGGAGGCTGCTGCCAGCTGGCAGTTGGATACCTTCCGATGATCGTCACTGCCGCCTGAAGCGCGGGGCGGGCTTGTGATCTCCTCCGGCCCCCGACAAATACGTCGTCAAGGGTACGCATGAGGTCACAACAAGTGTAGCCTGTGAATCCCGAATCGGCGGTTGCAGGTGGCAGGATCGGGCAAATCGGGTAGGTATCGGGCTGCATGAGCAGCCTGATACGAGACCAACAGAGGATCCTCGTAACGTACGGCTGTCGGGTCATGCGAAGAGGTACTTGACAAAGCTCGACATTGGAAGGTGACGGCGCAGGGAAGAGCACGTTACGCGATCTTATGAAGGACTGTGTCCTCCATGTCGACGCGCTTGCGAGGAGAAAAATTCTGGCGTAAGACGATACAATCGTTATTCCGTCGTACAGGGGTCGTAAGAGTACATCAGTACATAGCACATCCTCCAGTCCATACAAATAACATACGTTAAGTTAAATAGCTCGTGTACAAAGTCCAGGAATACATTGCTCATTGTCGCTGAGCGCGCTCGCGCCGTCCATGAAGCTGTATGAACGACCTACGTAGGATGTGAATGAGACAAGGGATCGAGAAGTAAGATCGACTACCCACAGTCTGCTTTCGCGGGGCCTAGTCCTCGTATGAGGAGTATCCCGGCGAAGTCATCTCCGCTGCCCGCTCGCGGATGACACCCGAGGAGGCACCAGGTCGCACGACGCCGCTTCACGAACGAGGTAACGGAGGACTTGGCGATGAGAGCAATGTTGCGGAAGGGGGCAAGTGGTGATAGAAGAGCACTGCAGAGGTACGGATGATGGTCTCGATGTCTGATGTGCGGCTGACGCGGGAGATCGCTATTGTGTTGCACTGATCGTACCGTCAAGCCCGGTGAATTCATGGTCGGCGACTATAGCTGGGCCGGGGCGTTCGCGTGCATCACCTCGGCGTCTTGGGATCGGCTGGCAGTGAGGATGGGGTGGGTCTACTAGCGCCCACCAGGCCTCGGATATCGCATTTGAGAATTCGCCGCGAAGATGGAAGGACGGATGGAAGGAGGAGGGACTAGACTGCGCGGCGAGCTCAACCGGACGGCCAGGCTGAGGTCGAGAATTACGCGACTGCGACTGGCTGCGTAAGGGCAAGGTGTTCGTTGACCTGTAGCCACCGCGCGCGATATGCTTCTTCCTGCTCCGACCAATCCTCTGCGTCGAAGTCGCCAGCCCATCCATCGGATTCGTCGGCCACGCACACTTCCTTCAGCCGGGGGAAGGCCAAACGCATCACCTGAACCACGGGGTCTGCGTGAGGTCCCAGCCCGCAGGCTTTGGGTGACGGCATCCCAGCCATTGGCGCAGACGAGGGCGCAGGGAACCATGCCGTTATCGGAGAAGAGCCGACGCCCAGAGACGACAGGGACTCCTGCGGCCCAGTACAATGAACCATCGCGCATACGTCCGAAAGCGCGCTTTGAACACGGCGCATGTCGAAGACGACGTCGAGCTCCTTCAGCTGTGGCGTCTGCCGCGCGAGGGCGAGGACGCCACGGATCGTCGCATGAGGCAGCCCTCGGGCATGGTTGCACCCTGGCAAGGTGATGCACGTCGCGCGCGGCCACCAAGAGCCGATCTCCGCCAGCTCCTCGTCTGTAAACCGGCAGCCGTCCAGGGAGGTGACGCATACGTGTGTGAGGCGGCGAAATACGCGAAGGGGGGCGATGATGGGCAGATTGATCAGGTTGTCGTCGCGCGGCCTCTCGTCGTCTTCGAAATGGTTGCACGAGAACGCGACCTGCGTCAGAGTCCGCGGGTTCACGCCGCGAGCCAGCTCGGCGAGGATAGCGTGCAGATGCGGGGTGCTGCAGGCGCTGGTCGAGTGGCAGTGAAGGGTCTCGAGCGGGCAGCGGTCCATGGCGGCAAACAGCGACAGCGCGAAGGCATGGGAAGTGCAGATGACCTTCAGCTCCCTGAGGGCGGAGAAGCTCCCGCGGGGAAAGCCCTGGCCGGGCGCTGATTCGGTGAATTCGAGGGAGGTGAGAGTCGACAGCCTCGCGAGGTACTGCAGGCCGGCGTCCGCGATTCTCCCACTCGTGCGTAGCTGCCGCAGCGGGAAGCCCACGACAAAGTCCGCTAATTCCTGTGCGCCTGGGTCTACGCCCGACTCCAGCGGGGCTGACATGGTAGTATGGAGCCGCACACTCCCAAGAGAGCGACACACGGTCTTGACGGTGCGCAGTGCGTCCCGCGTGTTGGGCGCGTCCCATTGGCCGTGCAGCTCGATAGCCTGTAAGCTTGGCCGCACGAGAGCCTGAGCACAGCGAAAAGCGTCGCTCGAGAACGACAGCAGGCGCAGCTGCAGATAATCGAAGTAGGGCGAGACGTGGATGAAGTCATAGTCGAAGTCGATGGAAACACGGGGATCATACCCCATGTAAAGCTCCTTGACAAAAGCGGCGTAGAAGACGAGGCGCGCGGCTTCCTCCTGAGTGGGGGTACGGCTGACACTCTGCATGAGCTCGTTCAGCGCGTATCACAGCTGAAGCAGATGCTGTACTCACGAGCTCGTGTCGCAATCGTGACGCCTTGAGCACTCGTACTGTGTAGTGCTGCTCGCGCCACAGGAAATGAGGGAGGACTTTGACGAGGTTCACCAAGGTATGTTGGGTATACCATAGTGACGACAAAGCAGGTTCTCTGAAGACCTTTGCTGTCCGCGCCAGGGTGGCAAGCGCCTTGCGCGCTGCATGAGGATCGTTGCGATGAGAGAAGGAGTCTAGACGCAGAGCCTCGCAGATGAGGCCGATTAGCTCCGGGATGTAGAATAGCTCGTGCATCGTAAGGGACAGGAAACAAGGTGAGAGGGGGAGGCGCGCAGTGGGGGAATGATCGCATTCGCTGAGGCACCAAGCGCCTACATATGTATACTCGGATGACGGACGGCTATGGGTGTGTTCCGGATCATTTCAGGGCAAAAGAGATGAAGGGTCTGCAATTTCCCGTTAGAAACGTTGCGCATGCACTAATCCGGTGATTGGATAGGTAACAGGCGCTCCAAACGAACCCACTGAAGCGACCTGTTGAACCAGACGTTTGGTTTGGGGTGGTGTACAGTGCTGGGAAACGGAGGGAAGCCGCTGTACTCAAGGCACTGGTATCTCTATACTGTAGGCTTAGCAGCGCGTCGATAAGGGAAAATCAATGGATTCTCGGGCGTCAAATACCCGCTTACGGGAAGGAAGATGGTCGAGGGAAAAGACGCCCGGGAAGTGCCGTACATTGAACAAGAGCACGCGGACCGATTGCCGAGATCATTTCCCACCATCTAGCGTCATCCCTTCATGAGGGATTTTTTGATACACCTCGCCGACGAGACTGGGAGCCCTCTGGTGGACGTATGCAACGAAGGGCTTTTGAAGACCTTGCTTGATCACACAAATTATTGCTACTCGGCCGGAGACCAGCTTCCGAGAATTCACGGAGCACTGATGCGAGTCCAGCTGAGCGCTCAAAGGGCATGGCGCAATCCTGACGTTGACCTGCGACATCAGAAGATGCCTTCTTCCCATTCATTATATTGTTGTCGGGCCATGGCGTGACCGCTAGGCAGCTATCACAGAAGATGGCGCTTTTGTGCCCAGATGGGTACGCTATTATCTTGACTGGGAACGCATGGCAAGGCTGCACCCTTCAACCGGTGTCGATAAGTACGACATCTAGTTTGAGATCTTATCACGTCCTGCCTTTGAGGCTTGCTGGCATACACAACGTCCATAAACAGTAAATACGACCTGATGAATGCCGCCGGTAACTTACTATAACACCCAGGCATCAAATCCGTCATGGTTTCCAATACACGTCGGTGCGACCGAGAATGATTATACCGGGGGAACCAGAGTTGTAACAAGTGCGGTAGCCACCGAGGGCTTCTGGTCTGCCGTCGTATCGATTTGTGGCACAGCTGTATACAACGTTGGCGCCCTTGCCCGCGTCAGAAGGTGTCCACTTTTCCGAATACCGTCGTATTTACACGATATCTCATACAGTCTGACACCGGAGCAAGGCGGCAGGGCGCAAACCACGTCGAGCTGTCTAAGGAGGCGAGGTGACGGTCCAGTTCGGACCCGACATGTGATTTGTCACGTGACACAATTGTTCAACTTCACTCTGAAAAATTCCACTCAAAGGTCAGGAGCACGATTCTTGAGGAGAGATTCTCTCTTCTTCCTCTAGTTGTAGTATAGCTTATTGGATCATATATTCTCAGATGCAGCGCTACCTTTCGAGTGGCCAATCTCAAATCATGTCCCGTAGATAATATTGAGAGGAGCTCATATCCTTCCCGGCTGGTTCGCGCTCGATTGATCACGAAGAGCCAGTGCTCCCCAGTTTCATTGCTCTCGCCTGCTGGCTTACGTGCAGCGCATCATACCTGAGGCCAGATTCTCTGTCCCACCTTTTGTGGATGAATCGATGTCAGAAATAAGCGCGGCCCATATCCGTTTCAAAGCCCACAGCGGACACGACCGCGGCACATTCCCGATATGCTCGGAGATATTCCAGTGAGTATCCGCGCAACTCGGCCTGACAGAAAGAGAAAGAGATTCCCTGAAGGAGGCCGGCTAACTCCGGATGGGTGTTGTGATACCTTGCTTGTGTGTGTTTACGGGCTGTCACGGGCCGGCTTGTCACGTCACGGGCTTCGAACTTCCCGCTTCCGTCCGTCCATTATGTTCAGCGACCGACTATCCTCCGTTAAGGTTGCTTTCGCCGGCAACATTACGCATGGCACCCTGTTGAAGCGGCCCGTCTACGTCCCATGACCTTGGATGAGGGAGGAAGGGATGGTATAAAGGCGACTGCGAGACGGTCGTCGCGCGTGCAGACGGACGCCTGCGTCAACTCTTTGGTTATCTTCTGACGGCGTTATCTCCGACAAACCTGAGCGACCTGCTCTGTGACTAACGGTCATCCAGCTCGTGTTTCTCGCTAGGTCTGCGCAAGGCAAACCTTGACTATGCTCGCTATGCTCTCTTCTCTCGCTGTCTCTGGCGCTTTCCTCTGCCTCGCCAGACCATCCCTCGCATCCCTTTCCCCCAATACAATCACCAATCTCGTCACCTTCGGAGACTCTTACACTGACGTGCAGAATGTCGGCGACGGCGGCATCGCATGGCCGGAATACGCCGTCCAGTACGCCAGCGACGCGTCGAACTCAACCGTTACCCTATACCCATTCGCGCGCTCCGGCGCGACGTGCTCGAATAAAATTACCTACCGGCCATTCCCGTCGCTCTTCGAGAGCCAGCTGCCAGCGTACTATGCTGGACTGGATAACGGGACGGTCCCATCCGACGTTGATGCGGAGAAGACGCTGTTCACGCTCTGGATTGGGACAAACGACGTGGGGTCGAACGCGCTGTTGACGGGGCCCACGCGGCTGGAGGATAAGAGCTCGAATTCGACTGTCCCTTCGGATGCGACGATTGTGGATACGGTGGGGTGTGCGGTGGATTGGGTACAGGAGCTGTATGACCATGGGGCTAGGAATTTCTTGTTCCAAAATGTGGGTACAGCGTTGATTGATATTCGAATGCTTTCCAAGTCGAGGAATATACTGACAATTCCACCCCAGATGATCCCACTGGAGACGGTTCCGACGTACTCACCAAATGCGTATCCGACCAAGTTCTGGACGGCACCGAAGAATGCGACCGAATGGAGTGTGTTCATGCGAGAATTGACGACGTCGGGGAACAAAATCGCAGAGCTGCTGCTCAAGCAGCTGGCGCCGAAGCTGGATGGGGCGCACGTCGGTGAGTGTTGCTCACCTTCATCGCTTTCGAAGAGCGACATGACTGCACCTGCTGACCATCAGAATGACAGGCCTCTTCGACTCTCATTCTCTCTTCGCCGATATGTACGCTAACCCGGCGGACTACCTGAATGGCACTGCACCGTTCAACGTCACCGGCGCGGTCCATGCTTGCGTGTTCGAGGTGGGAGAATCGACGAGCGATCCTGGAGACTGCACGACCGTTGAGGGGACGGACAGGGATAGCTACCTCTGGTGAGTGCCCGAATATCGATCTGTAAGGTCACCTTACAGACTGCGCTTTCAGGTTCGACGAGCTACATCCGAGCGAGCAGGCAGACCGCGAGGTGGCAAAGCAGATATCTGAAGTAATCCTGGGCGAGGAGAACAAGTGGACGACGTGGCTCAGTTAAATGACTGGCAATACACGCTCGCAGCTCCTGCTGTACACTAGTCCTGGGATGGCCGGCACGCCGTGCATAGTCGCCGTCGCGGCGACTGAGGCGGTCTCGCCGGCCGGTGTAGGGGTATATAAGAGGCAGCGTCACAAGGGAAAAGGCATTTCTTCATGACCGAAGAGGAGCTCATATCCGCGCCATGTCCGCTGATGTCGCGATCGTCGTTCGAACCACCCACTCTACGTCCACGTTCTCCGACCTTGACTCCTCCCTTCATGACTGCAGTGAAGAACGCTGTGTCCCTTCCTTGACTGCAGCGAATACAATGCCCTCGTACTTCCTTATCGCGTCCATCACCGTGGCTGAGTGATCTCAACCTGCCTTGCCGGAGCATACGCTGTCAGATCCCAGGGACCTGCCGAGGGGGCATACGATGAGTCCACGATTACAGTCGGCACGCCGCCGTCGCCGCATCACGTTGCGTGTCGTCGTCAGGATCGCGACTGCATGAGGAACGGCTCGATCAGTAAGTATAGCACTCAGAATGGATAGGGGCGATCTCTCCGTCGAGACCTTCAGCCCCTCCTTGCTTTTGACCTTTGCAGCGCCTCGGCAAGCGTCCGGACTCTCCAGTGCTTGGGTCTTCCCTTCATCAGCCTGAACGCGCAGCTCTGACTTGCGCGTCATCCCGAACGTCCGACATCGCGCCACATCCCAACCCTCAACTCCGCTCTCGTTCTACCTCGACTCGCCCAGGCGTGAACGACGTCCGTATCGCTCTGCTGCGTTATCCATCCATCAGCAAGCCTCTTGTGATCGGCGGGTGCGTACCGTATAGATCGACAGGTGCGTCTCGGTGATCAGCGAGGGCGATATGCGAGGCTGACTCGTCTGACAGGCTGCTTCATCTCCCTTCTATCATCCTCCTCTCATAAAGCCCCCTCATTGCCTTCCACCGTTCTCCATACACATCGGCGACAGTGGCGACACGCTCTGGGACCTTCACACGAGTCATCCCGATCTCCATAAGCCACCAATATCGGGCTTAGACAGCGCTTGGTCAGATAGGCCTTGCTGTCCCACGACTTAGTTTATAAGACTGTCGTTCGCATTCTGACGACTTCCTACATCACTTCTTCAGTCTCCGGCATACGCCAATCATCTACGATGCCTCTCGCTCCGCCTCTTAACTTCAAGGCTTGGCTCGCCGAGAATGGCGATCGCCTTCAGCCGCCTGTGAACAACTTCTGCCTGTATAGGGGAGGTGAGCTCTATCTTTGATTGACGAGGGCTCGGACTGAGAAGTACGCTGCAGGTGACTTCATCGTCATGGTCGTCGGTGGGCCGAATGAGCGTAATGATTACCATGTGAACGAGACGGAGGTCAGTCGCTGGGTTCGCGTCGCGTCTCTTTCAACAATTTGGCTGCTTTCTGATCCCAGGAATGGTTCTACCAACACAAGGGCGCGATGCTGCTTCGCGTCGTGGATGAGGGGAAGTTCCGGGATATCCATATCGAGGAGGTACGTGCGAGCCAATCGCTTGCCATGCCGTTGTGGATTGCTTATCCTCTCTCGTTATAGGGCTCGATGTTCTTGCTCCCTGCCAACACGCCGCACAACCCAGTGCGCTTCGCGAACACCATTGGCCTCGTCTTGGAGAGGGAGAGGCCGGAGGGTAGCATCGGTCAGTAAACACGGGTTGATCTCCTTGAGAGGCGAGAGGTGGTAGTATGCATAGATACTCATTCTCGCCTTTAGATCGCCTGCGCTGGTATTGCAAGAACCCGGAGCACGCAGAGCCTACGATCATCTACGAGGAGAGCATGCATGTCACGGATCTGGTAAGTCATGGTCGAAGGAATTTTGGGGCACTTTGTTGACCTTCCCTCAGGGTACGCAACTCGCGCCCGTCATTCGTCGTTGGCAGGCGGAGGAGGATCTGCGGAAGTGCAAGGCGTGCGGGCAGGTAGCGAAGCCCAAGTAGAGGGAAGCCTCGGTCATCGTGGGCGTGTCGATCCCATAGGTCAACGTGGACGCCTCTAGGTGCATACAGGGGACGCGCCATAAAGGCGTGACGCCCAAGTGTACGATGAGGCATCGAATTTTATTTGTATGTACGAAGGAGAAAGATGATGAGTAGGACGGTCTATCTTGTATGTATGAATTACGATGTAGAATATCGAAACGCGCTGTGGGTCCGAAGAGACAGAAAAACTATGGACGCGGAATACACATGGGCAGGCACACTCAATCGTCGTCTGCACAAACCTTGCATAGAGCCGCCAAGACCAGAAAGATTTCCTCTACCGCCGCCATTATAGCTGGTCCAACCATTGCGGCTAGTGCGCTCTCTTTGACGGACAAGAAGTCGTCCTGAGTTATGGCTGTACGCAGGACCGCGGCCCCCACTGCTCCCATCGCAGCGCGTACGCCCATAATTATAGGCCACCGAATAAGAAAGAATGGGAGGACATGGAGGAACATAGTCTCGACTATGTACAAAGGGAAGAGGACAACCCCGCCGACAGCGCCAACGGAGGCAGCGGATGCGGCAGTGACGTCGAATGCGCTATGTTCAGATTTGAGAACTTGCTGGCCGATGAGAATAGCGACTACGCTGCTGAAGGAGGCCAGCGCCGCGGCTTCCACACAAAGGATTTGCAGGGAGATGATCCACTGCATATATGTGGCGACGGTCGAGAGGCAGCCTCGAGGGTGCTCGGGCTCGACGGCGGTGTCATCCGATGGCGAGGGGGGAGGGATTCCGGGTGGAGTAATGTTTCCTCCCTCGACGTCGGACTTCCCTTTGCGTGTGAAGGAAAAGAGAAGTTTTCCGGCGACGGTGCCGGCCAGGAGCTTCACCGCGAATGACGCGGGCGCGAAGGATTTTTGCTTCAACAAAAGCCCAAAGCCTGTCAGCGGCCGGAGCAAGGTGGTACTCTTCAAGGAACCGAAGAGAGGGAGTGAGACGGCGGTCGCCTGTACGCGGCCAGGGATGCGCTGCGCAGTCCCCGGAACTGGAGTGATCTGAGGCTGTTCGTTGGGGGTGGCGTGCTGGAATGCCGGCTGAGGCAAGGGATGCGAGTCGTGGGATATCGTAGACATGTTTTAGCGTCGGATGGTCGTAGGCGATGGTCGTGCGATGTAGTATGTGGCGGACGGAGGTCGTGAAGTGGGCGTATCTCCTTGCTTCCCTCTCCCCCTCAGAGACCTTTTGACCAGCAGCAAGTTCCTTTGCGGCATGGGAGGCGTAGTCAATGGTGACAGAAGACGAACACCTAAACAATAGGAAGACGCACGAATACCCACAGGCGTGGCTATGTGGCACAGGCGTGGTTATGCGGAACGAAAACTGTATGCTCCATGCAAGGCAGTCATTTCTGCTTTGTAGACATGGCATGTGTAAACTTCGCAGCCGTCTAAAGAGGAAGTTTCAAGGACTCACATTCTATCGACCAGAAAGGATAGAATATCGCATCCGCAATCGATTCGAGAAGCATGCAGACTCGCTATGCAGTCTGATCGACTATCTAAATGGGAGCTATCTGGCGTACATGAGCGGACTGAGGAAAGCTGAGCGGAGGAGAAAGCTTCAGAGTTTGCAGTCAAATCAATGCTTCGCGCGACGCGCGATGTGACAAGAGGCAAGGCGCTTCGAACTTGGCCGGCGGGCAACGCCGTTCCATGCACACGTGCAGAGCACGTGACCAGTTCGACTTTCCTTGAAGTTCGAAGTTCTTGGCGCCTGTGAGCATGCCAGGGCGCACGCTACTCAAGATACTGCTGGTATAAGACACTCTTTTCTCCCGCTAGTAATGACAGTGAAGCGGTCATGCTTTGGTAAGCGACAGCCTTCGCTTACATGGTCACGGTCGTCACCCCTTTTCTCATTGCCTTCTCTGCAACGCTACATGTCCCACACTCATATCGATTTTTTTTTCCTTTACAAAGAAGACGGTGCGACCTCTATCACTACCTGCAGGTGAGTCCTTGAAGGTTCACAAAGTCCACGTGGCCATGCCATAAAAGTCCACCCATCGTTTTGTCTCTCGCATGACCTTGCCATTTGACCCCTCTCATCTAGAATAGCATCCCTCCTTACGCCACATCCTTTGCTTGAGCACCGCGTCGACGCCAATACACATCAATCTGCTGACTCAGCCTCTAAATTGGTAACAACCCACATTTGATTCCGTTTCGGTCCTTACATAGAACGGCCATGTCTTCGCCACCTCCGCCGCAGTTGCAGCTCAATATACCGTCCAATTCGACGTCTTTCAAGCGCTCATTCGGTCAACTAGGTATAGACATCGAAGAAAACCCATCTCAGAACTCCAATAATGACGGCGGCGGTGATCGCGAAGCGAAGCGCGCTCGCAGCGCGAGCGTCGTTGGCGACGGCATAAACGACCCAACAAGTTCGGACGAAGAAAGGCCAGGGTCATCCTTTGCAGGTCCGAGCAGCAGTCGGCAGACAAGAGGAGACACAGCGCATCCCTCGGCCTTTGCACCGCCCGTCATGTCAGCGCATGATCAGAACAATAGCAGGTGCGTGGCCCGCCGCGAAACACCTATCTTCTCTTTCCCTGACATCTTCGAGCAGCATGGGGCCGTTTTCAAGCCGCGCCGCCGCTCCCTCCAACCTCAGCAGTAGCCGCCCGATCGATACACCCCCGCGGCTCCCAACGCCACCCGCATTCGATGTTGATATGCCCGCGGCGGACGTAGACGTGCTCGCGCCCTTCGGTCCACCATCTCCAGCGCTCCCTTCGCCTTCTACCCAGCAAGATCCGTATAGATCGTCCGTCGAGCGCTATCGCGCCTTCAACAATGCCCTTTCCGTTCTCCGCGACGATGTGCAGGCGCCCGCCGAGCCGAATTCTCGCGCGCGCCCTGCGTCGCCCCCACCAACGCTGCCGCCTCTCACGCTTCCGACGAACGAGTCCCTGACGTCCGAGCCGCCCCCGCGTGTAGACCTGCCCACCAATGAATGGCCGGCGCTGCGTGAGAGCGAGATAGGCTCGTTCCATTCACACCTGAGTTCGGCGCTCGATTTCCTGCGTCAGGATGAGCAACTGCCGCCCCCACCCCCGCCGCCTGGCGACAACGATTTGCATGAGGCGGGATCCAGTCGTCATCATCCAGAGGTGCATCCCCGTCGAGAGCCTATCCGCGTGGTTTCGCGGAGGCGGCCCAGGGTGCGCTCTCCATCACGTGGGAACCGCGTTGGCGAGCGGCCACCGACTTTGCCTCTCCCTCATCTGAGTGAGCCCCCAACGCTCCCGCTGCCACGCCTCAGCGAGGATAACCGCGAGTCGTTCCTGAGAGACTACGAGGAGCTTCTGCGGCGGTACGGCGTTGCTGGTGCAGGTGATACAGAGCAGCGCCAACCTTCCGACTCTTCCTCGGTCAGCAGGTCGCGGAACGCTGAAAACACATCTCGGGTCCATACCTCTGCCTCTCGAGTTGGCTACGACGACATCGACTCCGAGATCCCAGAACTGCGTCCCGTCTCCCCGAATTCTGAGTCGGCATCGCCTCGCATGTCCGATTGGTCTGATTCATCCGAGTCTGACTTCGACACTTACTCGCGGTCCAACGCATCGCGCTGGCGAGGCCCCCCGCGCCCGAGATATGACCATATGTGGGCCCGTATACTTGAGCAGTCTGCTACCACTAGGAGGGCTGATCTCAGTCGACGTGGCGGTCTTCACGAGGATGCGGTGGCGGGGTACCCTCGCGGCCTGGAGGACCGAGAGTCTAGCGCGAGAAGCAGGCGTACTGCAGGCGATCATCGTGAGGCGGGTGCTACTTCCTCTCGCGTCGGTAGCCTGGGGCGCAACAGGAGCACTAGCCGCGAACAACGCCGCGAAGGTCTTGACTACTACCCCTCCATCGACTCATCATTTGCGGCGCCCTCGCGGTTGGGCGAGAGTCGTAGGCGGAGGCAGGAGCTTGATATAATGGAGGGCGGACCGCGCAGGCCTGGGAATAGGAGGACCCTTGGTGCTGACATGCTTCGAAATATCGTTTATGACCCGTATACCGACTGGTCGGACGACGAGTGGTGGTCACCTGCTGGGGGGCCGGGGCCGCCCTCTGCTAGCGCTAATCGCCCGGCGACATCAAGTACTCGACGATCTGCATCTGGACAGCCTGGCGCATTGCTTGCTCGCCCACGGTCGTCATCGGCGCAGCGTCCCCCACCTCCCTTTCAGGATCAGCGAATCAATGCAGACGACCGCAGCGAGCACCTCGACCGCCTCCGTCGTTCTATGCTCTCCATGATCAGCGATACAACTGTGCCGTCAGGCTCGAATCAGCGAGCCACGGGAAGTGGCTCCAGAGAGACTGCCTCGGCAAGTGACAGCGCTAGCGCTCCCTCGAGGGGCAGAATGAGCGCATCCGGAGTCAGTGCGACACAACCGACGGTTGGCAGTGCACCGAATATGGCCGGAAGGGCATCGACCACGGCTGAAGACAGCACAGGAGCTGCCGCTTACGATGCCTTGACGCGCACCATAGACGCGAATCGCGAGGAGCGCAGAGTCCACTGGCTTGAGCATATGCTCTTCCCTGGGCCGCCACCCCCTATGGATGCTAACAGGCCTATGTCTCCGCGCCCGCCCTCGCCGAGGTCAACCCTTTTCGATGACTTCCTCACGGGACCAGCACCCCCTTCGGTGTCACCCGCGGTCTTGCCTGGTTCGACGTCGACTTCAGCAGGGCCGTCCTCAACGGCTAATTGGGAGGGCTCAGCGTCGTCCACCTCAGTTCAGCCGCCATCTGAAAGCTCGGTTTCTGTGCGACGAGGGTCTCGCGGCTTGCGCCTCCCCCCTGTGTACTCCTCGTTGAGCGCCACGCCCCCTCTGCCGACACCGGATTTCGGACATCCATTCGACGCGGAGATGTCTGGCCCCGTTCCAGGTTCAAACGTGAATAGCGTTGCCCGTGAGGATGCATCTGGCCCGCCATTCGAATCTGCCCCTCATGTTGACTCGGCCATGAACGTCGACATGCCGGAATCAAGTGCCAGGGACACGGACGTGACGATGCATGACGGGACGCGGACGGACGATGACGAGAGACTCAGCCTTCTGCGCGCGCTTCCCTCGTACGATAGTGTTGCTTCGGAAAGGCGTGAGATGTCGCCAGTGCGCCCAGTACCGCCGGCTGGCAGCGATGCGAGTGCGTTGCGACCACCTGCAAACGAGGACGCGCCCGCCACCCTCCTTCGCACCGGTGCATTCCCTCGGAGTCACTTGAGACACCAAAGGCCCCTGTTGCCCGAGGAGCCATGGCGCCCGAGACTGCAACCTGCGCACTGGGGCGCAGCATACCCGCGCGGCACTCCAGAATCCTCGCAGACGCCGGAAGCGGCGCGTCCGACCCCGAGGCGGTCGCTGATACCACCGAACAGACGCTACCCTGGAGATACCTCGAACTCCGCACAGCCAAGCTCTAGTGTACAGCCGACGCACAATGGCCTGGGCATGCAAATGATGCGCCGTCTTGCGGGCCAGGGTGTCACTGACGCGGAACGGGAGCGCGCGGCGCGTGCTTTCAACCCGCAGGATTTTGCACCTGGACCGTTCCGAACGACGATGCAGCGCTTGGCGGACAATACTTTGCAGCGTGCTGGAAGTGAGCGCAGTCGGGCCTTGCCCACGTCTACCTCACAGTCGACACCTACGAGTGCTGCTGGGCCGTCAACATCGGGTCGCCCTCTTAGTATCCCACCTGTAGACACTCAGGGAGGAGAGGACGTCTTGCTGCAAAGGGTATGTTATTGTGCGTTTCTCGTTGCTGATCTTTCATTAACCCACTCTGCAGGCTTTGCTGGAATCCTTCGCTAGTACCCGCAGGGGTCCCTCGGACAGCGAGGATCGCGCAGCAGTGCGCACGGCCGACTCGTCATCGAACCGTCCTCATCATCATGTGACTGCCATCGATCATGTCCCCACCACCCCTTCTGGAAGCCCTCCCGAGACCGCTTACTTGGATGCCCTTCACTCTCTAGGACGCGCGCAACCTGCCTCTAACATGTTGCCACCGTCGAGGCCCCCGCCTCCGTACGCGCCAAGTCTGTTCGGGTCTGAACCGCCTCGACGCCGCGTCCGCCCAACGTGGCAAATCACGCGAGACGAGACCGAACGTCGCACACTCGACTCCCAAGAACTCCCGCGTAGGGATCCTATAGAGAGGGCGCGAGGTCGGGAAGCCCCATCTCCAGAAGCCCTGACGATACCCCCTGCTTTGCGCGAGCGATTACTGCAAGACGCGCGACGAAACGCTGTGCCACCATCGCTGACATTTCGCCCGCTTCCAGAGGCTGCCGACTATGCGGCGGCTTATTCATCACATCCAGCGCACGCCGGATGGCCGGAACCCCCTCAGGGTTCTGACGTAGCGCAGCCCACCGTGAACCGGTCGTCAAATGAAAGTCGACAGAGGCGCGTACTCCCAAGAACTGCCCCTATGGACACTCCTCTGTCCCTCCTGCCACGTTTAGTGAGTTATTCGTACTTGAACAATCTGCAAGAGGTTTTAATTTAGCATGATTAGCAGCGTCTTGACGAGCATCTTCAACACCCAGTGCTGGATCTCATGCGGTTCGGCTCGTATGAACCGCGGCATCGGGGAACGCCTCAGGGCGTGATTGACGCCCTTGAGACCGCACAATACAAGGACTGGAAGAATGAAGATAGTGACGTTCACTGTCCGATCTGCCTGGATGATGTAGGTTCTTGTTTCTGAGTGAAGAGCGATTCACACCTGACTTCTTGTATAGTACAATGCCGAAGATCGAGTCACGAAGCTTTCCGGATGTCGCCATTGGCTCCATCAGCAGTGTCTACATGTAAGCACGCCGTCTTCATCTTATCATCTTATCGAAGTGCCACACTGACCGCTCTTCGTTAGCAATGGCTCCAGACCGCACAAACCTGCCCTGTTTGTAGGCAGCCTGTCCGCGGAGCAGGGCATCGCTCCGCCGCCGCCATCAGCGCCGAACCAGCAGTGATCAGTCAGCGTATACGCGACCTTGCTGCGCGCCGACGCTCCGAGCAGCGGGAAGAAGGGCGCCACTGGACCTCGGGCGATATCCCTGCCCGTCATGCAATCGAGACGCGTATGCGCAACCTTCGGGAGACGCAGACCCGCCGGGAGGAGGGCGCGCGGATGCGCCTTCAGGCGTTCGAGGATGCGCGCGCTCGTCTGCGCTCGTTCGAGTCTTCGTCGCTCGATGATTCGCTGCTTGATACAGTGCGCGACTTGCCTGAACGCATGCGCTATCCGATGCGCCGTCCTTCTGCCGCGGGGGGCTCGGTTGCCGCTCCTGGTCCATCGTCAGCTGGTCTTAACAGTGCGCCGCCGCCAACCTCTTCAGGTCCCTCGACCTCCGCGACCTCGACCTCGGTCTCGTCCCAAGCGCAGCGCTCAAGCAGCGTAGCCGAGATGCGCGCGCGAGCTTTCAATGGCTCTCGTGGCGATTTCATGGACATTCCGCCGTTCGTGCCTCCCCGACGCCTGGACCCAAGCTTGCCCGCCTCTATCTCACGCAGACAGCCCTTCATGCCCGGTTCGAGCCGACCGCCTTTGGGTCGAGATATGTTTGAACGCATGGGGATGGATGTTATGGAGGTTCGGACCGATGGAGCGTCGTCCGAATCGTGGATGGACACTATGCGCCCGCTGCCGGTGGGGATCGAGGTGCCGACGTCGGCGTCGGCGGTGAGGGGTTCACCGCTGCCTTTTAGGAACGAGCCTTCGGCGGTTCCGACTGGTCAAGCAGCGCCTACGTCGAGCGAGAGTGCTGGCCCGGTTGGCGAGGCAACCCAAGCGGTCACTGCGAATGCTGCCGGCTCCTCGACTATTGCACCTGCCTCCATTGCTTCTAACGAGGCTACGGCGTCGGGTAGCACTCGGCCGTCTGAGGGTAGCGACGTTAATCAGACCTCGGGCAACGCTCAGCAGGAGCACGAGGAGGTGCGCGCGATGATCGAGGACGCAGCCCCTCAGGCGGCGGAAGAGGGCAGCACGCAAGTGGGGACCGACGAAGGCACACAGACAGAGCCGGGCGCCGCAGGCGAACCCGAGCGAGGCTGGCCGCGCGTCTACCGGATGTGGTATGGCTAGACCAGGTGCGTGCGTCCGGCGACCGTATCGTTTGGGGCTAATATTCGTATTACAGTAGGTTGCCTGTTCCCTCGCGCAATGAAATCCCGACGCTACAAGTTCCAAACCAAGTCTGTGCTAGAACCAAATAACGCAGCGGGGCGCGTATCGACAAGACTGCTCTATCCACAACTCAAGCACTCTTTCTGTCTACGGACTCGGCCGGCCGGGCGTTGTACTATACACATCGTATTCGTTTTGTTCACGACTGCTATCTATTGCTCGTATCTCACCTAGGCACGATCCTTTTCCTCTAGTCAATCCTATCTTCTCGTCCTCTTCACCATAAATTATTTGACCATACGCCAGGTCATCATGCGAGTGCTTGAGCACTTGGTCCTCAACGCTCGTCGGTAGGTGTTTTGCATGCAAGTCCATGACGAAATTATGGATATCCTGTAGAAGTACTGTATCTCATACACGGCTAGATAAACAGCCAATCGCCAACGTCTATCTCCTCTTCCCTTTCGCCTTGCTCTTCTTTTTCGTGATGTACTCCGACACCCACTCATTCGGCTCGTCCTCTGAAGTGGTGTTGTTTTGCCCTCGCAAGTCCACTTCCACAATATCTCCGTACGGACGCGGTGGTGGCGGGGGAGGCGCTGCATCTGCTGCTCGTGATGCTGCCTCAATCTCCGCAGGGCTCACATCCTCGCCTCGTCGTAGTCGCTCAGCAATTTCGGGCGTGATGCGCACTTGGCGAACGCCGGTTTGGAAGCCAGGTGCTGAGGAGGAAAGTCAGAACTGAATGAAAGCCCAGCGACAAACATTAGGAAATTACTGACCTCCTTTTCCGATACCTGTCCTCTTTAGCTTGTCCGCAAGGTACCACTTGCGCGCATACCAAGACACGACGAGGATGAGAGGGGGGATGCTGTCATAAAGCTCGAGGTCAGCATAAGGGGCGACGAACAAGGACGCTTCTAAGCACTTACACGATGCCGAGGATGACGGGTAGGTTCGTCTCCTCATAGGAGGGCGGGGGAGGTGTCCGAGAGTTCCACGACATCCTGTGTCGTCGAACTGGCGAACGTGGAGGATTGAGAAGAGACGCGGCTGGGGTGGGCCGAGGCACGTGCGGTCTAGTAGGCGCCGCGGAGTTTTCCGGACCGCTTGCGTTTAGCGCCCATCTGGCGTGTTGACTCTGGCGACCACTTGAAAGGGCTTTTTGCCTGTTTTTCGCACCCTGGACCTCTCCTTCGCGTCTCTCAATAATTAGAGGATACCCCTAGACGATTTTAGAGAAGGACTGGGCTGTTCGTCGGGGCGTACATCAAGTTCGACTATTGGCCGGCCGCGTTCGTTGATCATCCACAAAAACACTCGACATCTGCCAGCGCACTAACGGCGCCCTCATCTGGAAGCAGCACTCACGACGGTTTGGCCAACCCTGCTCGACCATACTCTTGTTGACCCATGGAGTCCGCAACGGCTCCCCTCATCACCAACACCCTTTGGACTCTGTCTACGGCTGCCTTCGTCCTCGGGCTCTACGTGCGGTCGTACAAGTCTCGCGTCATCATCTTTTGCGCGCTTTCAAGTATAATCTACTACCAACTCGTGTACACGAGCACGGGTGATCCGCCCAATGTGAGTTTTGCAGCTTCCCTCGTTCGCTAGCCATGACTTCGAAGATACCTTACCCTCTCTTGCTCACCGGAAACTTCTCTATACAGGACTACTTTTTGGCCAGTGCCTACACCTCCATTTGGTTCATGGCCGTGGATCAGCTCATTCTGACCGACCCGCATCGCGCACTACGAGCGAGGAACCAGACCAAGCTTCCCAGCGAGATGACACCTTGGGACCGCCTGTGCTGGGCCCTCCAGCTACGCATGAACCCGCGCGGCATTAGCTGGAACTTCGAGCCGCCGAAGCACGCGCTGGCGCAGAGGCCGAAGTCGAAGAGCAGGTGTGTATCGTATCGTCTTATGAACCATGGCTCCATGCGATTTGCGGTTCAACACGGCTAACGCTCCGGCAGGCTCACCTTCATTCTCAACCAGCTGCTGGCTTCCTTTTTTGACCTGGTCCTCCTCGATGTCGCGAGCGTGATCTGCAGGAGCATACCCGAGCTGTCCGCCTCTGGGCCGCCGCTGGCCAGTGTCAGTATGGGCGCGTGGTGCCCTCTGCCCGAGGCGTTGGTGGGCAAGGGCATTCCCGTTGATAGCTACCCTTGTGGGTGGTTGACGCGGGTGGGCGCGGTCGCTGGGTGAGGAGTTTTGCTGTGTGATATAACCTCAGCTCATCCAAATCTGCAGCTACGGCTTCTCCGCCTACGCGGCCATCGGCATTGGACATCGTATGTTGAGTATCGTTTCCGTTACTGTGCGTACCTCTTTTTTACCGCTCCAAGGCTCGCTTCTCACGACACTTTCTGTAGCTCGGCGCCCTCCTCAACCGCTCCCTCGGCGGCTGGGGCGATCCCACCGAGTGGCCGCATCTCATGGGCCCGCTGGGTGCGGGCTGCACCGTTGGGGGAGTCTGGGGCTGTACGTGGCATCAAATGCTGAGGAGGGTGAGTAGCTGCGCTGTTTGCTCACGGCGTCGAATTTGCGTATTGATGATATTGCTCCCAGTGCCTTACGCGACACGCCGAAGTCCTCGTCTGTATCCTCTATGGACCGCCGGAGGAAGATGGTGGCAGAGAAAAGAAGGACAATGATAGAGCTGGGCAAGCGAATGGGAAGGCCGCGCAGGCGAATGGGAACGGCACACAGGCGAATGGGAATGGCGTGCAGGCGAGGACGAGCGGCGCGTCAGCAAACGGTGCGAATGCAAACGGAGTGCACACGGACAGCAAGGACTCGCAGGCGAACCACATCCCGCGCAAGTCGAGCACGCCGAGATCTTTGAGCGGCACACTTTCCTCGCTCTACGAAACCTCGCCCACCCCAAAGCGCAGCCGCTCCCTCGCGCGGGGTATCCTGAAGGTCTATGCGACCTTCTTTGTCTCGGGTGTGATTCATAGTAGTGGAGATGCGAGGATTTTGGGCAGTTGGTGAGTGGTGGGTTTGGCCTTGGGTTCGCTTCATGATACGGGGTCTTGATTTTAAGGGGTCTTGAGTCTGCCTGCTCGAGACCGTATATTCCGGGTGTCCTTCTTCCAAAACCACTACCGCGCGCAAAGGACAAACCGCGCGGAGGACACACTGGTGGAGAACAGAGCAAGCATGCTGACCAATCGTGCAGGTCCGCCAGCCGCGCCCTCCCCTTCTTCCTCACGCAGGCGAGCGCGATCATGTTCGAGCGCGGTGTCATTCATGTTGCGAAGAAGACGCTAGGCCTCAGGGATGCGTGGTATTGGCGGGTGGTCGGGTGAGTGGGCTTGTTCTCCCCCAATTCATAGTGCCTTTGCTTCTACTTCTTGCTCGCGGCCTCCCGCGATTTGTATCCATCATCCTTCTTTCATCTGCGTCGCTCTTGCACTGTCCTCCTATAGACATTCACCCTTATTCGCTTCCTCGCTTCCCTTCCTCAGCCCCTTCCGCCGCTGTTCCCGATTCCACGCTACCGAACTCGACTAACACCCTCCCCCCCTCAGCGTCCTCTGGACCTTCACCCTCCTCGGCGCGACGCTGCCCATGTGGATCGACCCGATCGCGGCCGCGGGCGTGATGGACGAGGGCGCGGACTTTGGCGCGGTGAATCAGTGGGTGTTGGCGCGGGTGTGGGGTTAGAGGGCGTGATTCCTTAGATGAGCGCGCACCTCGGGAAGGTTGGTGGGGGAAATAGGACGGGTGATGGGGGTGAGTGGGCGATGGGAGGGTGGTGGGAGAGGACGAAGGAGAAGGGGATGAGGCTGTGGGTCCGATATGATCGAGTTGGAGGACCACACACATTCGTATAGCAATGACGAGATTGGGGGTCCAAACAACGGTCGCCTCCACCGTTCACGTCGCGGTATGATGCGCTTGCACGCGATGCATGTCTTCAGTCAAAATTGCTCGCTTAGGCGCGATATAGATCAGTGACACGCTCAGGCGCGCGCTCGATAGATGAGTGACACGTTCAAGCGCGCGATAGATGAGGTACACGCCCTACCGGGCGTCAGAGTACATTGCCGCTTCGTAGTCTGCATACACACAAGAGTCCGATGTTACATCCGAGTCCTTCGCTTCCTGCCTTCTGTCGCCCCTCTTCGCTTCCTGCCTCCCAGTCTCCCTCATCCGTTCCCCTTATCATCTATCCTCCGTCCCCTCAACCTTCCACCCAACGATCCTGCCCAGAAAACGAGCCCCTAGCTCGACAGCGTCGAGGCCGTCGAAGGCTAACGGCTGGTGGCCACGAAGGCCACCGGCGGGTATACGACTTTAGTTGTTCTTGTTGACTGCGACCCCGTCAGCACGCATGTACGCGACCGTGAAAACTAGGTGAATGCGACCGAGAAAAATCAGGTACTCACAGAAGCCCTTGACCTGGTCGCCGATCTTGTCCGCGGTGGAGTCGTTCTGCGAAGGAGGTTAGTGGGAGGGTTCGCGAAGGGAGGCAAAGCGAGGGGGAAGGCGATGCGGCCGACGCATAGGAGAGGGAGAGGCGGATGGCGCAGAGCACACGCGAGGAAGATATGTAGCGCATGTATGCACGGGCAATACCAAGCGCATATATGCGTTGGAAAACCAAAATCAAAACTCACCAAGTTAAACCCCGCCTTCTCGGCCGCGTACTTGACGCCCTTGTCGTACGCGTCGAGCTTGGGGGCGCCCGAGGAGTTGTTGTTGTTGGACGAGTTGTTGGATGACCCGTAAGAGTCGTTGTCGTTACGGTTGGATGAGGAGTTGCCGTATGACGAAGAGTTGTTGTTGGACGAGGAGTTGTCACGACCGGACGATCCGTAGGAGTCCTTGTTCGACGATCCATACGAGTCCTTGTTAGAGGACCCGTAGGAGTCGTTGTCGTTGCGGTTCGAAGAACCGTACGACGAGTCGTTGCCCCCGCGGCCGGATGCGGTGTTAGAGGAGCCGTAGCTGTCGTTGTTTGACGACCCATACGACGCCTTGTTGCTGTCGCCGTACGACGAGTCGTTGCCGCCACGGCCCGATGAGCCGTAGGAGTCGCCGCCGCCTTGGCGGCCAGACGAGCCGTACGAGTCCTTGTTCGACGAACCGTAGCTGTCGTTGTTATTCGACGAGCCATAGGAGTCGGCGCCGCCCTGACGGCCAGAGGACCCGTAGCTGTCGTTGTTCGACGAGCCATACGAGTCACCACCCTGGCGTCCGCCCGAGCCGTACGAATCGTTGTTGTTGGACGACCCATACGAATCGTTGTTCGATGACCCGTACGAGTCGTTGCGTCCGCGGCCGCCCGATGAGCCGAAGGAGTCGCCGCCCTGGCGGCCTCCTGAGCCGTACGAATCGTTGTTGGACGAGCCGTAAGAGTTGTCGTTGTTGTAGGACATGGTGATCGAGTGCGGTGGGGTAGTAGTGGTGGGCGAAATGTGTGTTGGGTGCAGAGGTGCAAAGAAAGTGAAGATCACAGCCTTCGTCCGCTCCCTTTATACTGCGCACGACGTCAGGCGCTGGTCAGGCCCCGGTGGTACCCATCAGCCGGGGAGGGCCCGGCGCGGAAGGGCGAGATGGAAGGCAGATGCGCTCATCTGCCGAGGAGGGGTGGCGTACGCATCACTCGCTACTGGGGTGGTGCGGGTGCCCGGTGTCGGCGCCGGCGCGGAAGAGGAGACGCGGCAGGAGGATGCCGGCTGCAGGATGCCTGTCCAAGGGGCGCGGGGGCGGTGAGATGAGGGGACTAGGCGCGCTGAGTACAGCCACAGCGCGATGGCGCGCACCGAGTGGTGCTCAGCGCTCAGTTCTGGCTGACGAACGTGGACGTTCGGTACGGAAATGACGTCGCGCGCTGGTGGAGGGAGGCCGTGCGGGCCATATGCTGGCGCGAGTTTGCGGTGGGACTTAGTGGGAAGACGTATGCTGCAGAGGACGATAGGATTCAAAACGGAGATGAGCGCGCCGTCCTGAACTGCGGAGTACAGAGTAGCGCGGGAGGAGGAGGGGCTCGCGCCCTGCCTCCAGGTTCATGGAAGGAGAACGTGGAATCATGACGCGTGACGTCACTGTTCCAACGCGTGTCGTCATTCTGGCGAGAACGTTTGCGGCTGTTTGCAGGTTACTTCTCACCATCACGTTCGCCAGGAAGTCGAACATTGAGCGCCATCCGTCAAGTCGAGCACCGCATACTTGGCCGTTCTCAAGCTCAGTTTGGAGGAGTCTACGGAGTCCTTCCCTTATCTTGACCTCCTATGCTGCTGGTAGTGCCTAGGCCGAATTCCCGAATTTATGGCACGACAACATCCCTCCGAGTACCACAATAGCATGCCGAGACTGCCCTGCTCGCTCTGAAATTACGCCCTCGGCGGACAGTTTTGCCAGTGGGAACTATTTGTTGGACCATCTGCCTCTACCCGAACTCTATCGCTGGGAACCTACTATTCACGCCGACTTCTTCCACTTTTGCAGACAATTACCGTCGTGATTGCTATTGTTCCCCGGTCTGCGCACTTCGGATGGCTTATAAGGCAGGTCGAATGCTCCTCTCACCTCGTGGCTCGCCCTCTTTCCTTTCCCTCCTTTGCGCCACCTTTCTATCTCTCTGTCCTTCCTTCAGTATGTCACATACGTTCAATCCAAATTCTTTCTTCCCGGTCCCTCCTCCTCAAGCGCGCGAGGCTCATCCTAAAGGCATTCATACAACCTACTACCATGCGCACTCTGCAGCGCAGCCCGAGCGCACGGCGTGCTACGAGGATCCCGCCGACAGGTACACCGCGCCGCCGCCACATAGGAATTGGAAGAGAGATCACAAGCGCCACGAAAGTTCTGAGCACCATGAGAGCTCTGGCCATCACCACTATCACGGCCATTCGTGGCGGAAGGATGACCGCAAGCCCTCTTACAAGCACAGGCAGGATGGAGTCTACGATCTATCTTCCCTCCACGGTCAAGGCAACGGGTACACTCAGGACGACGGGTACACTCGCGATGGAAACGGGTACGCTTGCGACGGAAACGGGTACGCTTGCGACAGAAACGGGTTCGCTGGCGACAACGGGCACACTCAAGATAACGCCCCCGAAGACGACGACATCTATCTCGCCCGCCTCAACGCCCTGCGCTCCTTTGGACGTGCCATCCTCAAGACCGTCGGCTGGCTCCTCAAGTTCGTCGGCTGGTTCGCCAAGACGATCGCTTTTGTGGCCATCATGTCCTTCGCGGTCGGCTGTGGCGCGGCGGTGGGGGTCGTCCTTTTGATGGTGGGCAAGCCGTTGGTGGATTGGCTGGGCAAGCCGTCGGTGGATTGGCTGGCTGTGAGCGCGGTCACGGTCGGCTCGCTGAGTGATTCGGAGGACTCGGTCAACTTTTCAGAAGACTCGCTCACCGATTTAAAGGACTCGGCCGACTTTGCAGACGACACGCGCGCATCCCTCCCACCCCTCCACGTCGCCCGCGCGGGCGCCGTCGCCGGCGCCATGGCCTTCTTGGTGCCGGGGCTTCTGTTCTTCCTCACCGAGGTGACATTTGCGGGGAGTCACTTATTCGTCAAACCCAGGCGGCTCGTAGAGCGCATCCTACGGCGATTGTTCTTCCGCCATAGCCCTCAAGGGGTATTTCGCCACAGCTCCCCTCCTGTCTACGCGAACGACTTTGCGCGGGACGAGCGGATGGATTTTGTGATAAACGCGGCGGTTTATGTGCTGGCGACGCTGTGCTTTGCGGTGGGCGTGGGCGTGTGGGTGGTCATTCTGCCTCCGGGACTCGGAGGTGAGAACTCATCTCTGCCTCCGGGGCTCATAGATGAGAAGTCTCCGGGACTCGAAGACGAGAAGTCACTGGTTGAAGACGAGAAGCCATTCTTTAGCGCGATCCAGACAAGTCTGCTTGGGTGGGCGGTTATGCATGTGGGGTTTGCGGGGGTGCTGGGGCTGACGATGGCGGTGAAGACTGTGCCGAGGTGGGCGATGGAGAGGGTGGGGATATAAGGGTGAGGGGTGTGGGTGGTGGACGATATGTGCGTTCGTGCTACGTGGTTTCGTGCTATGTGGCTTTACGATATGCAACTTTATGACTTTATGTACGCCTATGCTATGAGTATGCTGTCCTGATTCCTACACTTTTCGAATGGGTTATTAAGCATACTTGAGTACTAATGAGTGACATAAGAGCAATAGTGGAGCAGGGCGCATCCACCGCAGGGATTAAGAACAATCGTGGGCGATTGCTTGACAGTTGTGGGTCCACTTCGGCAACAGCCTGAATCCACGTGGCAGAATATATCCTCGGTCGGATGGAGCAGTTCCACCTTCCTCAGCCTCATCCATAGTGAAAGCTAAGCCCGAGCTTGCGAGGACTTAGCGGGAGTCAAGCGAAGCCGTATCCAGTGCCCGGCCATAGCCGCGTGTCAAGCTGCCGCCGCGAAGAAGCCGGGGGCGCGATCGTGCGAGCGGAAAGCGCGTGGTATCGCTTCTCTGCTCTTGCGTCCATCGCGCCTCGAAGCTCTCAAACAGCAGATCTTTTCGGAATCCAGCTTCTCCACCGCTCACTGCTCAAGACCTCTAGACGACCTTTCCTCTTCTTCAAAAGCCTTTCTGACGAATTTCGACGCGCATATGCCCCGCTTCAACACAAGATGAGCCGCTCTCCGTCACTGACGTTGCCGAACTCTGGCTTCCCTGTCTCCCAGGGTGACCCTGACACGCTCGACTTCGCCGGTCGCAAAGCCGACCTTCCCGAGATCGAGCACTACTCGCTGACGATGCAAGAGCGCCACGATCTCAACTTAGCCAAGCAAGCTAGGAACAGAGCCAGCAGAGTATGGTGCGTGACACCTAGTCACCACCAGTTTGTCACAGTGGCCAAATCGGCCGCGCAGCGGAAAAATCGGCGTAAATTATATTGAAAATGGCCGCTGAGGGCCTCCGATGGGGGCATTCCATGGTCAGAACTAATGGGAGGTAAACAGGCTATTTTTGCGTCCACAGTTACCTGGTCCGAGGGTCTGTGAAGTCGATTCTGAGGTGAATAAAGGGTGTCGAGTGCACATGCTTGCACACGCCTTCCTGAGCTGGGTAGTCGGCAGGACCAGATACATGAATCAGGGTCATAACGCTATAAAGGTTGTTTACAACCTCCAACTGAATGGCATGTACGCCATACCAAACAGATGGAGGGCGCGCACATGTGGACCTACATGATTTCCCACCTTCCTAATTAGGAAGGTGGCCAATTCCAAAGGGACAATTTTTCGAAAACTCAACGTACGACTTATTCCTCTGACAGATCTGTTCCCCTTGCCCATTGCTACACTTTTGTCAGAGGAAAAAGGGAAAGCGTGACTGTGTCACCTCCAGCAGTGCTTGTACAAAAGTAGCGGTGACTAGGCGTCACGCACCATACTCACGACGAACTGCAAGAACGACCGCGCAGCCTTCCCCGACGTTGGCCCCGCCATTGAAGCGTACTACGCCTACATTTCGGTGGAGATCATGGAATGTTACGCCCTTCGCTTCAACTGGTCTACCTTCCCCAAGTCGCTTCTGACCAAGGTCGCTATTATCGACGTCAAGTTCATGACGAAAAAGATGGAGAAGCACGCCGAGACGAAGCCTCAAGCTGCGCTCTTCGGAAGACTCTTCGGCCCTCGCACGTACTTGCCGCTCGAACTCGACACCCAGACCGCGATGCCGGATGCTGTCCTCACGGCTATCGGCCTCGGTGTCTATCCTCCTCTGTCCTTCCTGTCCAACCACGAGTGGCCTAGAAGCCGACTGTCTGATGGTCTGCCTGCAACAATAAGGAGGGCGCTCAACAGCAATACCCGCCCTCTACCGCTGCTCCGTTGTCCGAGGTCCTTCTCGGTCCTGCGCCGCGGACTTTCGATTCTGGCTACCCGTTATCAGGGAGGAGATGTAGTAGGTACACCTTGCAATTGTTTGCGACCACCTCCGCGCCTCACCACCCACTCAGACCAGGTTGGTTTCTTGCCGTCCACTTCCAGCCATCATGATGGACCGCTCCTTTCTATCCACCGCCTTGAGTACTGTATATATTGGCTTCATTTCATGGACCCACAGGATCACGTGTGTAGGCTTCTATTGACCACTGCTTATGGACGCCGCCATCAGACATCACCAGTGACCAAGTCTGCCTTCGCACTGTTCCAGCAGGTTACAAAACGATAGGCGGGTCCCAAAAAGATGAGGTGGAGCCGCCGGTTGTCGGCCCGACGCCGGTAGAACGTACGGTGCACGACGCCTACACACTGTGTATGTCTCCTGTCTGGCCATCCAGATGCGCCTGCCGTCTACGGTGGCAGGCAGTGATATTCTCCTCGTTTTTGGAAAACATTCGAAGGTCAATATGGGACAGGAAGCGCGCATGCCCAAGGGTGCTCGTGACGTTGGCACAGCGCGCCGAGGGTGCCGACGCAGGGGCCACGCGGGAGGTGGGGCGGGGGCACGAGAATTAGACCCGCCTATCGTTTTGTAACCTGCTGTCATCTTGTTCACGGATCCCCCTTCGATCCTGCCCTGACGATTAGGCGGGATGGTACACTTTTTGGATCTGAACGATGACAATCTATGCGACATCGCCGCATATCTCTCGGTCAAAGATACGGTCGCTCTGTCTTCAACATGCTGCACGCTGCGCAGAACCTGCGAGCCCTTCCTCTTCTCCACGTGCCGGTGGAAGCGCTATGAAACGCCTCCCAGATCCCTATGGAAGCTCATCAAGTGAGCCTCTTGCGGTTCTCGGTCCTTCCTTCCTCTGACCATCGAGCCAGGCATCTGCACATCCACACCGATGCGCCGTACAACTTCCCAAAAAAAAACGACCTCTTCCATGATCTCAGCAGACTCGAATCGCTCCACGTCCGTGCCGAGAATATTCAAGTTGGCCTTCGTCAGATTCTTCTCGATGCACCTAACCTTCATACCCTCGATCTTGCACGCCTGTGTTGGAAGCTTCCATCGAGCGGTCGCACCGAGGACTCTGATGATGATCCAGACTCGGAGTGCAACTACTCGCTTTACTACGAACCCATCGGCCCATTCTCGTCTATCGCATGCAGTCCTCGCGCGCTCAAATTCTGTTCCCAGTTCGACATACCCTACGGCGATCGGCCCGAGGGGCTTTGCGCGAACAAGATGCGCGCAACACGCTCGAGTTTTGCGTCGATCCTGGTACAGCTCGGCATCGCTCACATAGAGCACCTCGAGGTCGGTGTCGAAGCACTTCACCTGCCCATCGCTGCAGCCTATACATGGACGTCGCTTCGCGAACTGGTTCTGACCGGATACTGGGTCTCGCCGGAACATCTTTCTGGCCCGTACGACGATCCAAGCTTGGGGACGCCATCGTGGGTGTTTGGACAAATATACTTGGGAACTCTGCTCGCGGCCATGCCGAAGTTGGTCGCCTTCAAGGTGCGTGGTGGCTAGCGCACCCAAGCCCCTTCGTATTGCCTGAGGGCGACCCCCTGCCTTCGTCCGGCTCAGTGATACCAGCACTCGAAGAGTTCGAGCTCTCGAACCCCAACGCCCGAGATGGCATATTCCCGCATCTACCGCGCTGTCTGCGCGCGCTTGCGTTGCTCACTCATCCCCACACCTCACACGAGATGTCTGCTGGAAACCGCAACATGCAAGCGAAGTTCACATTGACTCCATCCGAGGTCATAGCCGTTTTGTCTGCGGCTCCCTTGCCAGAACTGCGAGTACTACGCTTCTCCGTCCGCGATCTCGTTGATGCGGCTGTGAAGGACGTCTGCGAGCATGTTGCGCGCGCATTTCCGCGACTTGAGCTGCTGGAAATTCATCTTGAGGATCCTCGGGACAAGATGTGGTCCGCGCATGAGATGGTATGTGCCGATCTCTTGTACTTTATTGCACTGAATGTTCGTAGACAGCTTGCGCCGATGCGCTTACCCCGCTTACGCACTTGAGGTGCCTTCGCATCAGCACCTTTAATCGGGTGTACGGTGACGTATTTTGGGAGAAAATAAAGCAAGAAGAGTCTCAAGAGAGTGTCGAGTTGCATGAATGGAGCCGAGGGATGATGCCGCGACATCGCATCGAGATCGCATTGTTCGGCGAGGGGGATGCGGCCGGCACCCATCGTCGCTTTCCGCAGCTGCGCGAGGTCTGGCTGCCTAACACCATTCAGCTCGGCACGAGATTCGGGATGTATGGCCAACGCAGAGTTTGGAGGATTTATGATGTCGATTGCACTGAAGAGGGGAAGCGGTTCCTCAGAGTCGATCCCGGTCCGCATATAGAGTGAGTAACTATATGATGGGCGATTCGACAGCGCACTGACACTGCTTCAGTATGGTCCAAAGGGAGTGGTGAGTATACCTCGACCAGAAGGCGCTCGAGGATCGAAGGGTGCGTGGATGCGTATGACGTCCAAATGTATGACCTGATCTCGACATTTTCAGGCTACGAGGGATTGGGCGCATTGGATCTTTGAATGAGCACGCCCTCTCGGCGAGCACAATATGCAGGAGACATCACCCGAGATAGCGGGATTGCAATCATAAACGCTCTCTCTTCCGCCGCGACCTACAATGTTCGTGTTACTTTTTATTCAGAATAGCGTCTATCTTGCGCTTTCACTTTCTGCGTCGCGGTCTTCGAAGCTACCCGACTGAGCGGACGTGGGTCAGAGTATGCAGCGGCACGCCGTATCGGACCCACTCTCCCATCTTCGGCACAATTGACATACACAGCATCGAGGCCACAAGGCCACGGCTGTGCGACATCTGTGGGACAAAGCGCTCTCTTCCATGCAGGGAAAGGTGTTGTGTCGTCGTCATACACCGCTTTCTCAGTGGCCACAAAGGTACGTGTTGTTGCTTAAAAGCGTTGAGTGGGCGTAGAAGCGCAGTATCCCTCTTCCCCCCTACTCGCCACATTGCAGGGCCCGAGCACCGACATGTACAAGTCCATTACGCAGCTCCAGTCCGCCGCCATCGGGCAGCACACCCACGGCGGCATCCCACAATCGCCTCTGGCTCGCACCGGCACGTTCGACTCGGACTCGGCAATTTTGTGCGAAGTTCCGTTGCTTCCGAGGCCGGTACACCATGGTGGCAACAACCGTGGACGCAATTTTGCTCTTCATCGCCACAGACCCGTGACCGCGGTGGGCTACGTCGAGAGGGGAAAAGTAACACACCTCTCGGGCTACTACCCTTTCGAACGCGTCTACCGATCCTACTGTAGGAATGCTCCTGCACCCGAGTATCGCAGACGCACTCGGTCGCCCTCACCACTCAGGTCTTTCAGGTCTCCAACTTCCACCGAGAGACAATGCGGCTTCTTCTACATCTTCGTCCTCGTGACTGCCTTCAGAATGGGCATCGTAGTCCTCGCCATAGTCATTGGGCACCAAGTCCTTCTCTACAAACATGGAAAGGACTCATCGTGGAACGTCCCGGAAAGTGGGGTAGCGCGCGCTGGCGCCATCGGTACCGCCATTCTGTCCCTGCTCACGATGCATATGTGGAGGCTCCTCAAGAAGAAATATCTTCTCATATTCTTCCTGCTGAATTGCGGCCTGTTCCCGGCGGAGGGTGCTATCGGAGCTGCGATCCTTCGAGCCGGTGGGCATGTAGCGTTGATTGCGGCACAGAGCGCGATAGCTGCCCTCGTGGGCGGCCTTATGCTGGCATGTTCCGCTATCTTCTTTGTAAGTTGTTTCTTGTTTGGTTCTCAGTGACAAGGGCTCTGAAGTCATGAATACGGTACTACTTACGGGATCGACTTGCGGCACTCGAGTACATTTAGAATATGTTATTTAAGCTTCTGGCCCTGGAGGATACCTAATTACCATCCTTCATATAGCTACACTTAGAATCAATGGCTCCTCCTCCTCTTTGCAGTCACTATCGACTGATGATCAAGGCGTGGACGGATGTAGGCCCCAGTTGAGAAGCGCGTGGCTTTCACGTGCATTAGGATAGCGGGCGAAGCAGCGAGGCGTCCTTCTCCACCCACTCTCACCATCAGCGTCGGTTTCGTACTTTTGGATGCCTCAACCCTTTGCTCCGTACTGAACGCTCTGGATATGGCCTTGGCGCTGCTAGTCGCAGGAAGTAGTGCCGCGCTGCTCAACCTCTTGTGGCGCGTAGGCTCTATGTTGGCGTGTAACGTCGAAGCCAAGAGACCTAGCCGTGTTTCGCGAACTTGACACTCACTTCGTGACAAGGGATTGCGGGTCTGGCGCGCTATACGATTCTCTGCCCGCAAAAGTGACCCTTTGCTCGTGTGCTCGTGTGGCGGCCGAAGGTTTCCAACCTACTGTTCGTATCGAAGTATAAGCACCGTGGACGCAGACTAACGTACACCTGGTATAAAATCCCTCCCTCAGCTGGCTGGTACGCTATACAAGCAACGAGCCCTTACCAGCATAGTAAATCCTGCGCAGGTCGGACTGTACAGCCATGGCCGTCCAACTCCTCTTCAGCCTTGCTGTTTTTACGCTCTCGATGATTGCCAACGTCACTTTCGCCTTACTGCAGAAGGACCAGATCATCAACCTGATCACCTTTGGCGACTCATACACGGACGTTGACCTCGTCTGGGACGGCGGTCTTCCCTGGCCAAAATACGCCGTGCAGTACGTCGACGCCTCAAGGGTCGGCGACGACGGGAAGTCGACCACCAGCCTTGACCTATATCCCTTCGCCAAGTCCGGCGCTGTCTGCTCGACGGAACTCACTCCAAGTATCTATGACTCTCTGTATGAAAAGCAGCTGCCGGCGCTTTACGCCAGCGAGAAGAACGGGACGATCCCATCGACCGTGACGCCGGACAATTCCCTGTACACGCTCTGGATCGGGACGAATGATGTTGGGGCGTGGGGTCTGCTCACTGGGCACGAGATCGGCAACGCGACCGTGGTAGACACGGTGCAATGCGCGGTCAACTGGGTGAAGACGCTGTACGATCGCGGTGCGAGGAACTTCCTCTGGCAGAATGTGAGTCATGGAGGATGCGGTGGCTTCGAACTGAGGCGCTAACCGTTTCCGCAGATGATTCCCCTCGAGTTTGCGCCGATGTACCTGCCGGACGCCTACCCGAACAAGTTTACGACCGAGATCAAGAATGCGACGGCGTGGCACTTGGGCATGAAGGAGCTGACCTCGGCCGGGAATGAGATTGCGAAACTTCTCCTTGAAAAGTTCGTTCCGAGCTTGGAGGGCGCCCACGTCGGTAAGCTTCGTCGTGGTATTAGAGCATCTGTCAAGAAGTTAACACTTCGGCCAGGGCTCTTCGACTCCCATGCGCTCTTCTCCGACATTCATGCGCACCCGGAAGCGTATCTCAACGGCACCGCAGCCTTGAACGTCGTCGATCCTACGTACTCGTGCATTTACACCGAGCTGCAAGATGTAACCGAGACCGTGCCGTGTACCACGGTGGAGGGAACAGACCGGGATAGTTATATGTGGTGAGCCTCCGATGCAGTCTTTGTCTGGATGCAGAAGCTAGAGACTCGCGACGCCGGTGCCATCGTAGCGAGTGATCACTGACAATTTTCAGGTGGGATGAGCTGCACCCAAGTGAGCAGACGAACCGCGTTCTCGCGAAGCAGATCGCGCAAGTCATTCTGGGCGAGGAGAACAAATGGACGACCTGGCTGAGCTGAATATGTAGGCATAGTAGTGTGATGAGATTGCTTATGTTGGGTTACACCCTTTGACCAGTTTGGAAGAAGGCGCTGGTGTTCGACCGGCATCATATACTTCGTGTGCTGACGGCTCCTGAGGCGCTGCCTGTGTCTATAGATATATCATCGAAGCTTAGAGACATGTTTCTGAGTCTCTCATGGCCCTAGGGTGATCAATGTTAGCACTTGGAAAGCATACATCGAATCTGAGGCGGCTCAGGGAGTCGAACTGGCCACGTGCAAGTCAAGAACGCGACATGTCACACCACGTTGTCACAGTCACGCGCGCCCATTGTTCTGCGCGCTTAACTTGTCCGAAACCCTCATTGTCCTGAATGTACCTATCGACTCTCTGAGCTCAGCAATAATGCCTAAAGTACCCTCCCAGAGCTCCCTGAAAAGCCTAACGCAGTCACAATCCAAGCAAGCAAAGCAACCGCGAACAAAATCGACCTCCTTGAAGACCAAGTCTCTGAGTTCTGACGTCCTTGTTCCATCCTCTTCTAAGGCGAAGACGAAGAGATTTGATCCCCTGAGTGTCGTACGTGCACTTACCTTGTTGGAGGCGTAAGGCTTACGCCATCAAGTTCCAAGAAGTCATCGACGTCGATGCGTTGCCCGAACCCGCAAGAAAGCCTGCCTCCGCGCAGACGCGGTCTAAAGCGAGGCCGAAGGAGGTGGATGTGAAAGGAAAGGGAAAAGAACGTGGTGCGTCCTTGGTGTTTCTTGGAGAATACTAGGTGATTGACGCGACCGTCAGAGGAACTCAACGACAGTCTATGGGTCGATCTGTATGAGCCAACGACAGAGGTGGGCATCTCTGTCCTCTGATCTTCCATCTTCCGCTCCAACTCTGCTCCAGGAAGAGCTTGCGGTCCATGTCAAGAAAGTCGACTCCGTGCGGACGTGGTTCAGAGAAGCGCTGACAGGCGACAAGTTGCGCAAGTACCGGGTGCGTTAGCTAGCGCTGTTCATGTACCTCATGCTGATAGGATTGTAGCGCATACTTGTCCTTACCGGGCCCGCCGGCACGGGCAAGACGTCGACAGTCAAAGTCCTCGCGCGCGAAATGGGCTTCGACATCATGGAGTGGCGGAACGAAGCGAGCGCAGGCAAAGCCTACACGGACTGGGATGATTACGATCCCGATGGTGCGTCTCTTCCTCAGCTGCTGCTCGTTCCCGTCTCATTAAACATAGACTACGCGCCCTCTGCCCACGAACCTTTCAGCACCTTCATGAGCCGCGCCTCGCGGTGCCGCGACGTCTTCTCATCGAACGCGCGCCCTCACATCATCCTGCTCGAGGACCTTCCCAACATCTTGCACGCTGGCACCCAGCAGTCTTTTCACGAGTCGCTGCGCAGCCTGGTACAACCCTCGGACGTGGTCCTGCCCCCGATCGTCATCATCATCAGCGATGCTGGGCTTCGAGGGACGGAATTCGACGAGGTTGGCGCGATGCACGGACGCGACAGTGCCATCGACGTGCGCACGGTGCTGCCGAAGGAGATGCTGAATGGACCGTTCGTGACGCGTATCCTGTGAGCTGTCGAGGTCGACGTTCGCCCTGGCTCGAGCTGACCATCATCCTAGTTTCAACCCCATCGCGCCTACCCTGATGACGCGCGCGCTCAAGGGGATGCTTGCGAAACGATCTCAGCAGCCGTCGGGGGAGTTCCTCGACACACTTGTAGCAACGTCGAACGGTGATATCCGTAGTGCCATAATGGCGCTACAGTTTGCCAGCGTTGCTACGAAGCCAGGTACGTCGCTCGACCCTTCAGATACTTGATCCAGCCGTTTGACGAATAAACAGGGAAGAAAGGCAAGAGCGACCGCGCCGTCCTCGAAGCTATAACGCGGCGAGAACAAGGGCTTGTTTTGTTCCATCTTTTGGGGAAGATCTTGTACAACAAGCGTACGTTGAGCTTTCCGGTCGCTTCATTGAGATGCTGACCACCCCTGTGCAGGCAAAGGCGATCCACCGGGCAAGTCGCAGTTGCAAAGAGATATCCAGAAAGAGAAGGATCTCGACCGCACACTGAAGGATCCGCCGCCTTTGCCAGATTGGCTGTCCGAGCATGACCGGAAGGCGAGCCGGGTCGATGTTGATGTGAGCACATGAGGTTTTGCGTGTGGCTGTGGCTGCCTAGATGAAGACAAGGTGCTGATGAACGCTCTCAGGCTATATATGCAGACGCGCCGATCGACTCGTCATTGTTGTCGTTGTACATCCACCAAAACTATACGCCGTTCTGCGAGGATATAGACCAGTGCGAAGGCGTGTCGGAGTGGCTCAGCTGGGTGGACTCAAGCGGGGGAGAGCAGGTCAGTACGAGTAGGATCACGCTGTGTAGAATGCAACTGACGATGTTGCTAGTGGTATCAAGCAAACCCGCATCGCTTCCACTTGCTGTCTCTGGGCACGATGCATTCGCTGCCGTGTCCTGTCCCTCGAAAGGGCCACAAGATGTTCAAGCCATATTTCTTCGAGGCGCTGAACAAGGAGAAGGAGGCACATGATGGCGTGCGCGATGTACGCGGGTGGTTGGAGGTGCGCTCATGTCTACGTGCATAGTTGTTGTTCTCATCACGACCCTGCTGCAGGACAAGTGGTCCCGTAACGACGTTGTCACCTCGCTCGGTGGCGTGCTGAAGGCGCGGGATGTAGGACCACCTCAGACGCGCGCGCCACCAACTCATCGGCTATTCACGAACATGAGCTTCGCTCGTGGTGCTGAAGGCGGCGACGAGCAGCTGGAAGAGACGGATGCCGTGATTAGCAGCGAGCCGGCCATGGAGGATCAGGACTGGGACGCTGGGTATGGGACACAGGATAAGAAGGACGGTGGGTGGCTAGAGAGTGATGACATCGAGGACTTCTGACTGTGTAGGCCGTCTCTCGAGCTTGCGGAGGGGTGTCTACTTCCTCTCATACAGTGCTTCATCTCGTGCAATGAATTTCTTCAGTGCTATTGTCTTGTGGACCTGTCTTCAGCTGTCGATTTGACCAACTCACGGAAGATTCCCGGATCGGGCACAAGGCCTCGCCAGCAGCCGATCTCGCAACATGTCCCAGGCTTGTCCTCCACCGTTGTTCGTCGTCAGGCATCCACCAGGGACGCGGGGCCAGGCGCGGGTTCCTGACCAAATGAAGTCGCTACTCTTCCGGTGCGGCGCGGTATAAAAGGCTGGCGAGGCGCTTCCGCTGCTCACGCACATCTTTCCTTCGCTTCCCTTGCTTTCCCTCACAGCTTTCCTTCGTTGACCCTTCCTTTCATTTCGATCCTCCGATCGCTACACTATCCCGCGATGCAGCTCATCCCTCTGGTGTTCCTTGCCGCGTACGTGTCGGCGCACGCGACGTTCCAGGAGTTGTGGATTGGCGAGACGGACGCTGGCTCGTCCTGCGCGCGACTCCCCGCGAGCAACTCGCCGGTGACGGATGTAACGAGCGCGGTGAGTAGAGTCAGGTTTGACTGCACGACGAGAACTGACGGTCGTTGAAGGACATTGCATGCAATGCCGGCGCGGCGTCGAGCAGTGGAGTTTGCGCTATGGCGGGTAAGTACACTCATTCCGGTAACGTAACCTCGAAGGCTAAGCGTATGTTGTTGTTCAGCTGGCGACTCGATTACGGTCGAGATGCACCAGCAGCCGAATGACCGGTCGTGCGCGAATGAGGCGATTGGCGGAAACCACTTCGGTCCGCAGATGATCTACATGGCGGCCGTGGACGATGTGCGTGTGCTCAAAATGCTGGTCTGTCCATGATGTACTGACCTTATCACTTAGGCCACGACGGCTGTTGGTTCTGAGGCTTCGTGGTTCAAAATTCACGAGATGGGTCTCATGAGCAACAACCCGGATTACTTCGGAAACCGTTAGTAGACCTCCTTCCGAGGTTCAAGGCTGAATACTGACCTCTACTTGCAGAGGTCCTCAACGATAACTGCGGTCATTACACGTTCACGATTCCGGACGTCGCTCCTGGCCAGTACCTCCTTCGTGCGGAGACCATAGGTGGGTACATTGTCGATCAAGCGAACACATCTGACCATATCCTGTAGCTCTCCACACCGCGGGCAGCGAGGGCGGCGCGCAATTCTACATGACCTGTTTCCAGGTCAATGTTACCGGCAGCGGCACCGCGCAACCCGACACTGTCTCCCTTCCCGGCGCCTACAGCGCACAGGACCCGGGAATCCTGATCAACATCTACCAGCAGCTCGATGACTACACGGTCCCGGGGCCAGCGCCGTACGGCTTCACCGCGCCTGCGCCGATAAACTCGGCGTATCCGACGACGGCGACGTGGGATACGGCGCTGCAGCCCACGACGGTGCCGACGGAGGTCCCTGAGTACACGGGAGGCGCTGGTGGGGCGACGACGAGCGAGGTTGCGGCGACGTCGTCGGTGCTGACCTCTATTGCTGCGTCCTTTTCCGCCGCCGTCCCGACTTCTGCGGCTTCTAGCTCAGTAGCTGCTACCACGTCGGCGGTGTCCTCTGCTGCAGTGCCTGTGGAGACTTCCGTTCCATCTACTTCGGAGGTCGCTTCTACCTCTGCCGCACAGTCCACTTCTGCTGTTCAGTCAACCTCGGCGGCAGACTCCACGCCAGTTGCTGCGTCAACCTCTGTTGCTTCGACCTGTATGTTCATTTGGACAGAATGTACTTCACCTCGCTGACACACTCCAATAGCAGACGTCACCTCTGCGCCGGCCACTACCGTCGCATCCTCTGCTCCTGCGTCGACCACGACTGGCGCTATCGTCGACGCGAACACCTGCATGAACAGTACGTACTGACCCTACCCTTCTGCCTTCACGTAATTGACCCTTTTACAGCCTACAATAAGTGCATCGCCGCAAGCCAACCGAACCCGGACTGGGAGGGGTGCGGCGCGACGCGAGACAGTTGCTTGACGAGCGCGACGTACAACGCAAACATGGTTGGCCGTGCACACAAGCTTCGGCTTGCGCGCCAGCATTAGATGGCACATATATTCGAGATATGCGTGTCAGGAGTCCTGCACCTAGATGACTGTAGGACGACGCGGTCGTGGTTTTGTCGGAGCACGGGTGGCCCGACGCTCTTACTTATAGCGTGTCAGTGTGTATCATAGTTTCCTTGAACGAATGCAATCATGTGGGGAAGTCATTCTTGAGGACTGCCAGTGTAGTTCTCAGACTTTATGCAGCACACCAGGACAAGAGATCGCAGTGGTAATTATGGGAAATCTTGATGAGGCCCGGACCCTTCGGCCCGTGTCTCCTTTCTCATTGTTCCTCAAATCGCGCGTACTTCCCGCGTCCATCACCGTTCACGAGCACAGTATGCATATGCTGGTGTCCAATATGAACGTCAACAGGCATTGCTCTCTCTTCCGGTCCCTCATGCCGTAGACCTCCTGAAGCCCCAGGCCCTGATTTTAGTACTAGTATTGAGCCAGCGGCGTTGAACCACCGTCTGCAGGTTGAACATGTGGTATGGGAGGTTCGTTCCATCCCCTGGTTCGGGTGATAGCCGGTAACCCCTCTCAGCTCGGACTGAATGCTCCGCAGCAGGAGGAGGACCGTCAAGGCTGACACGAGTACAGCAAGTCTCTGCTCACAGTCGTCACCGTCTGTAATCCGTAAACCGGGCTATCAGGCAGCCCATCTCTTTCTCCGTGATTCAGCATATAGAAGCAGTCCTCATGGCCTCTAGGAGTCACTTATCGCTCGACATTGGAACCCAGCTGGCTTTCCAGACGACGGAGGCCCTCGGAGAAATGCGACGTGCGCTAACTGATATGCCGCATGAAATCCTACTGCAGTCGGAGCTAATGAAGAAGATCAACAAATTGGTTGGGGATATCGTGGACACCAGACTGGACCCAGAGACCGTCTCGACGCTTTGCAATGAGGTGAAAAGGTGCGAACTTGCTGAAATATCTCTACAGTGAAGTGCCTTGGTTTTTCTGGCTTTCCCGTCGTATCGCTTATGCCGTGTCGTCTTTCTGACTATCTCCTGTCATAGGCTTTCCGAGAAGCATACAAAGCGCATACATATACACGAGCGGAGCCTCTCGTTCAGGAGCGTCAATCCGGTCTTCGTGGCTAAAGCAAGACATAACGCATCACAAATGGAGACAATCCTCACGCAGATGCAGGTGAGTTCCTAGCGAGTTCTCGATGGACCACGTCAGCCCAGCGCTTGCTCAAACCTTACCAGGCTACCGTTGCCACCTTCCGCCAAAACACCTTGCCGCCATGGACCCCGGATGCGCTGTGGGAGAATTCCGACATCAGAACAAACGCAGGCGGCGCAAGGTAGGTTCTTCTACACTGAGAAGCCAGGACCGGGTGAATGTCACCCGCCGAGTCCCTAGGTATTCAGTGTAATAACAACCAGCTTGCGGTTGACAAACACCCGCTGTTTGGGGTAGTGACCAGTAAATCGGCTGAATATCCGGACGGGTGAAAGCCTGCACAAGACTGGCTTACTTTCAACTGTAAGTCAACCGGTCTGCTCTCGACGTTCCGACCGGTTGCATGTCATCCGTTTTATGGGGGAAACGCTACATTGGTTGATGTTAACCGTCCTGCGGTTGATTTTATTACCTGTATACCGGGTGAGACTCCCTTCGTGAAGCTCACCCGGCCGCTGGCGTAATTTCGCATGGTAACTCAGGCAATAGATGGTACCCGCTAGGTGGTGCAGTGTGAGCCGATAAGCAGAGGAGAGCATATACGACGCTTCATAGGATCTTCTACGCTACTATACATGGCGGGTTGTAGCAAATACGGAGGAAGGGGACCCATGCGACTGAGCTCGTCAACTTGAATGTCGGTAGCCTCGACAGCTGGGAGATAAAGGACAAGTATCAGTCCTACGCCAAGCGCGAGGGCATCGATGATCGCGCACCTGAATTACTGTCCATCCTGAGGCGCATCGAGATCAGGTAGATTATCCTCCTCCTCCGCCGCGTCCTCCTCCTCAGAGTCAGATGAGTCCGCAACATCCTTACCCGCTGCACGGGCCTTGCGCCGAAGGTATTTGCGTCGGTTGCGTGTGATGGTCTTGATCATCTCCGTTTGCGCCCAATCGTCGGGGAACCTCTCAGTACAGAGGTACTTGTGCTGCTGGCGCCCCTGCAAGGCACTTGAATACTTGGAACTTGTGAGATACGGGAGGGGACATACCGCTTGGAGTACGTGGCTAATTTTCTCAGGGCTCTGACGCATATACTTCTTCCAGGGGTCAAGCCCGTACTTCCAGATGTTGAAGCGCACATCAGCCTAGAAGCCAGCAAGTCAACAATCGGGGCGGCGTGGGCGATCATCATGCATCACGCACCTGGATCCGCTTGTAGATCTCATCCTCGTCCTCCAAACCCATGGCACGCTGGAGATTGAACCCTTTCTTGCCTCCGCCAGCTTCACCATCGGGCTTCTTCAACTCGATGGGACGATTATTCGTGGTGGGGCGATTTTCCTTGTCACGGGCTGCGTTGGCGGCAGCCTCTAGCGCGGCGACCTGCGCTTGAAGCATCGAGTCGACGTCAGCCTCTAGGTTCATTCAGTAAGTGCAATTGAACATAACTCACCCCGCAGAGCCTGAATCTGTACGTCTCTCTCATCCGACACGTCGAGATTGGCTTGATCACCGGTGCTCTGATTGCCTCTCGGTATGCCTTCGGTGAGCTCTTGATTGCTGCCCCGATTTCCTGACGAGAGTGGTGGTCGAGCAGCGCTTGACGGGTTCGCAGGCTGTTACGGTCTGTCAGTCTTTTGCCAAGCAGGCAATGATAGTCGTACCTGGGCTCGACGCTGTCCGGCATTGTTAGGCGCGCGTGCTTGCCCGGTTGGTGGAGAGCCTTGTTCTGGAGGAGATACCTGGCCAGACGGAGACGTTGGACCCATTGTAGGTGCGCCCGCCGTCTTTTGCTTGTCTTTCTTCTGACTGCCCTTCTTTCGTTTCTGACGCTTTTGCGCCTGCGGATCCTCTGACTGAGGGTCCTCAGCCGTGGCCAGGTTCCGCTTGCTTCTGCGCGGTTCGGGTTCGGGTGTGTTTCCCATGCAGAGCAACAATACGAGAGGCGATGGAGAGGTGCGTCGGAAGTCCTCGGAGAGAAATTGCGAATTTCGATCGGGAGACCTGAATTTGTGGCCACGTTCGTCGTGCATGGGGCTGCGACTAACCTCAAGCTTCCCTAGACCTGTCCTTGTCACCTACGCGCATGTCAAAGTACTGCGAGTGCTCAGACCCCCTCTTAGAAGCCGCAGGACTGCCCAAATGTGACGTTCATCCCGATATGCATTTCTTTCCTCGGCGCATTCCTGCCATCCGACGCAGCGTTACTGTTCAACACCACGATGCCACCCTTTCGGATGACCCTGACCCGCGCACAATACACGTTGGAGCTGCAGACCGTTGGTTAGGCGGCCGCGGGATGGACCAGACACCGATCTCTCCATTGAGCCATGCCCTATGGCATCGGAAGGATGTACGGCCAGGCGAGGTGCTGTGCTGCTTTGAGCGTGAACAAATACTGGTGCGTCGACAGTAATTCGGGTCTCTGCTATCCCTGATATGCACTCAGCTCAAGAATACTCAGTCCGGGGGCAGTAAATCTGTATTCTTCACGCTCTACTGCACGATCACCCCCGGCGAGCACGATACACGCAACCATCTCTTCCCCTCACGCTTCATCTTTGAGACTTACCACTGTGGACTCGATTGGCATGCCCCGAAGTGGGCTAGCTGGCCTACCTCTTGCTACGAGTTCGTCGATTCGGCGCTGATCGTTGCAGTCATGATCTACGGACTCATGTCGAAGGGCGGTGCGGTACGTGTATCTTAAATGTCTATTGATATCTCTTTTATCTTACCAACCTTGCTAGATGACCGTTAGTGGTGCAGACGAACGATGGGAGCCCTTGATATGGCTTTGCGTGGGTGGGCTCAAGTACCGCCTGTACATTGCTAATCGTGTTTTCACAGACCCGAGGCACTTCTTACACCGTATCTTTCCCCACTCTCGTACAACTGGCGCACCGTGTATGGAGAGAAGACGATGAAGCCTGGGAATCGGCGTTGAGGGCGCAAGTCACCGGAGTTCTGCTTCCAACCAGGTAGAACTTCCCAGTAATCATCACTGGCAGTACCCGCTTCAACAAATATAGCTGCCTATGATTCCCGTTATCCTCTGTTCGAAGTGAGAATGCACGCTATTGTCAAGATAGATGCGAGACGAGTGCCGAACGCGTGCTGTCACCTCGCGTGTCACCGTGACACGACGGCTTACTCCCTCCCATCACCACCCAGCTGAGCTGCAAGAGCTGCGCTGCAGGCGCACCTGTGGCAGTGTCTACCTCGTTGGTGGGGTCATTCCAGCAGCGCTCTCAAGTAACTGGGTGGTATATCTCGTCATGGACGTTGCACTCAACACGTACCGCTCGATCTCATATCGTTGCGAGACGCGCAATGACCTTCCATCACGGCAGGTGAGTCCCCATTCCTTTGTCCGAGTATGTTTATAGCTCTAATTTGCCCAGCAGATTTCATGACTGAAGCGTAACCAGTGCAAGTCACACCTCAAGTCCACTCTTCCCAACCCCTCACTCTCCATTCCCGAGCGCGTCAAGGGCGAACGTGTCCTGCCGCACCAGCTCTTTGACCGCCACACACACTCCCCTGCCCTGGCGAAAACTCACTGTAAGCCCTCGTCGCGCTGAGGCCTGCCCGACCCTTCATCATCCACCGCCGCTACGTTGCGTAAGCCAGCGCGCTTCAACACGAGGATACCCCCAATGTCACGGCGCTGCGAGGCCTAAGCCTCGACAAGGTGTCGCAGGGGCGCAGCAGGCCAACCTAACGGAGCTCCTCTTCGATCGGAGTCCGCTTGACCATAACGACACATGGCAAGGAGATGGGAGGACCAGGAGTAATCGGAGGGTGCATGCTCAAAAGCTCGCCTTCGGTATCTGGGTCTCATGCACGCAGCATGCCTCCCGCTACCCCTGCTCACCTCGCCGGCTCGCTCCTTGCTCTATATGCTGCGCTCAACGCCGCGCGCGCCTGTCACATCGCCATTACCGCCCGTACCGCTCAAGCCCTCAGCCGAGGCCCGCGCGAGCCACTGAAGATGCCGCGCGTTTACTTATTCCCCCCATCCACACCCTACCTGTACCGCTGCCTCTGCATATTCCCGTTAGGACACGTGCAGATAGCGCAGAGCGGCGCTTGCGGAGCGAGTGGGCAAGAAGGTGTCATGCGTGAGCTGGTCAAGTTGCCGCGTTTCACCGCCGCCCTCTCACATCCTCAACTCCATCTTCAACTTCTTTTCTGCCGTCGTCTCGCCCTCAGTCGTCCCCGCTGCTCGCGCGCTGCTCTCCGCCGACGCGTACTCGCGGGAGCGTGATACGCTCCGCCCATTCCAATCAAGCGTGATATGCCTCGCCCCGACCTTCGATGGAGAGCGGATACGCCAGTTCTCTCACAACCTCGACGACGAAGACGACGTTCACAATGCAACGCCAACAACCCCAGTCATTCGTTGTCGAGAAGCAGGACACGAACTCTTACGAATCTAACTCGCCACGACCCTCATCCACTTCACGACGTAGCACTCACGAGTCCGCCGCGCCTTTTTCCCCTAGTGCACCGGCCGCGACGGGCGCGCCAGCGCGCTCCATCCACCTCCTCTTCTCCTCACTCTCCGGGAGACGTGCTCTGCCTCCTCCTCCCCGCCCTCCTCTCCTCGATCGTCGCGGGTGGCGTCGCGCCTTTCATGACCTACGTGATCGGCCAGTTCTTCAACATGTTCGCCCAGTTCCCCCTCACCCCCAATCCCCCGCAATCCGCCAAGGACGCCCTCCTGCAAGCCGTCGGCATCAGCGCCCTCGAGCTCCTCGGCCTCGCCATCGGCTCGATCGCGCTCGGCAGCCTCACATCCTGCTTCTGGATATGGACCAGCGAGCGCAACGTCCTTGGCTTCCGCCGTCGCGTCTACACCGCCGTCGCGCATAAGCCCATAGCCTGGTTCGACACCGCGGTCGCCCCGGGTGAGGGTGCGGGGGGCATGATGGCGACGTTCGCGCGGGAGATGGACGACGTGCATGCCGCATCGTCCCTCAGCTCCGGCTTGCTCATCCAGCACCCCACGACGCTTGTCACCTGTCTAAGGCTGGCGTTCTCGCTCGGTGGTCCTCACCCTCGTTACCCTGTCCTCCTTGCCTGTCCTCGTCTTCGTGCAAGCGATTTCGCAGCGGTTCGCGGGGCTGAGGCTTGCGAGTAGTGATCAGAAGCAGAGATTCGCTATTGCACGCGCGAGGGTCAAGGACCCCGCAGTGCTCATCCTGGGTCAGTTCAACTTTCATTTTACTGACAACGTATGCTCACTTTCGTCACAGATAAACCAACCTTTGCCCTGGACATCGCCTTGCGCATCCTCGTTTTTGAGGCCATCAAACGCTGGCGTCTACCCCCCAGTGAGAGGGATATGCTTTACTCCCCGTCCACAGTCGCGTCCTCCATGCACACCGCCCCTCGGAAGACGCGCACGACCATGGTCGTCACGCACGACCTCTCGCACATCGATCAGGACGACTTTGTGTACGTGATGCGCAATGGCCGTGTAGCCGAGCAGGGCTTCCGTAAGGACCTGGAGGCGCGCAACATTTCCACGGAGGCCCGCGACTCTCGCTCGGTCGTCGACGACGAGTTCGATGGCGATGGCGAGTTTCTCCGCTTGCGCGATGCCCAGGCCGTCCGGTCTCCCGATGGGTCCGAGCCCGGCGCTATCGACGAAGGCTGGGAATGCGCGAAGGAGAAGCTTGAGGACTCTGACGAGGCAGAGGAGGCCGCGCCCGCTGCATGGCGCGCACCCAATGTGTTCAGCGGCGCGTTCGCCCGACCGGACTCCCTCGCGGCACCGAACCTGAGCAAGCGTTTGACGCGGCTGAAGACGATGTCGAACAGCTGGATGCTAGACGCCATCGCCGATATCACTGCTGCACCGGAGCGAGCGGAGGCGCCACGCCAGGAGAAGGAGAAGGAGAAAAGGAAGACTCATACCTCGAGGCATGCGACGTACACGGCTGCGCAAGCCGCGCGTCGTCGTCCGAGCATGCACGTCTCGATCCCTGTCTCTCCTCCGCCGGCATACGATCAGGTCGAGTACGGATACCGCCGGCGTCGCGGTCTGCAATTCACCCCTTCGTCGCCAACCTTCGTAAAACTCACACATAGGACGAGCGGGGAAATTATCCTGGATGAGGATGAGAAGAGAGGCATGGAAGCGGCGTCCAGCGCGCTACGCCCAACTGCACGTCCGGATCGCCGCAACAGGAATGCAGGCAGCGTCGACATCCGCGTGGAGGGGACCAAGAAGGCTTCCGACGAGCCACCGGCTCCTCGCCCGCCAGGCTTGTTTGCGACCCTCAGGGCTGTCTACCCGGATGCCCCTTACAAGCCTCTCTTCCTCCTTGGTCTCTTCCTCTGCCTTGCCAACGGCGCTATGACCCCAGTCTTCTCCTTCTTCCTCTCGCGCCTCATGTTCGAGGTCTCTACCGGTTCGACCAACGTCGGCCTCATCAACCGTGTCGGCGGCCTCGTTCTTGGCGTCACCTGTCTCGATGGCTTGCTCATGGGCACGAAGTACTTCATCATGGAGACGCTCGCCGGCCTGTGGGCCGACCGCATGCGCGCGATCGCCTTCGCCAACGTACTCGCCCAGGACAAGGCGTGGTTCGATCGCCCGGCGAACACGGTGTCGCGCATCGTGCAGGTGTTGGTGAAGGACGCGGAGGACGCGAAGCTGCTTCTGAGCACGGTGATCGGGCAAATGGTCGTAGTGACGGCGATGTTCGGGTCTGGGCTGCTGTGGGCGCTGGCGCGCGGCTGGGAACTGAACCTCGCGGGCTTTGCCGTGGCGCCGGTGTTCATGGGCGTAATGGCGATACAGACACAACTTGTAGGCGAGTGCGAGCGTCGCAACCGCCTCGCGCGCGAGCAGGTCAGCAAGGGATACTATGAGGTATGTATCGCGCATTTCGATGCTTGATGTGTGTCTGACCGGTCTTCAGACCATCTCCAACATCCGCGCTATCCGGTCTATGACCTACGACGATATCTTCCACCAGCAATTCGAGAAGGCAGCGGCGCAGGCGCTCAAGAGCGGTGTGCGCGGCGCGTTCACCGAAGGCTGCACGGGTGGCATTGCTTCCGGTCTAATCTACTTCGCGGAGCCGCTGCTGTTCTACATTGGCGCCGTCCTCATTGCCAACGGTCGCTACTCGTACTTGCGTATGGTCGAGACGCTCAACCTAGTTGTATTCATGGTCACCATCGGCAGTCAGATCATGGCTTTCAGTGAGTGATCATTTGATGACTTGAGGTTCAGTGAACTGAACATACTCTCAGCTGCCAAGATCAGCAAAGCCACTCAGGCTACGACACAACTCAATGAGCTAGGACATTTGTCTCCCCTTGACACGACTGAGGCGAAGGGCACTGAGTGCCCAGCCCTCTATGGCGATATCAATTTCCGCAACGTCGACTTGGCTTACCCAGAACGTCCCGATGCCCCCGTTTTGCGCGACTTTACTCTCCGGATCAAGGACGGAGAGTGCGTTGCCATCGTGGGCGAGTCGGGCTCTGGCAAGTCGACCGTCGCATCTCTCTTGCAACGGCTATACGAGCCGCAGGCCGGCATGATTTCCATCGGCTACCACAACATCCGGCATGTCGACGTCGACCACCTCCGCCACTACCTTGCCATCGTGAGCCAGCACCCACAGCTGTGGGATGCGAGCGTGCGCGACAACATCACCTACGGCACCCCTCACATGCCCGAGTTCCATATTCTTCGCGCCACGGCGGCCGCGCGCGCGCAGGAGTTCATCATGGAGCTCCCGCAGGGCTACGACACCATGCTCGGCGAGGACGCGGCGCGCCTGTCGGGTGGGCAGAAGCAGCGGCTGCAGATCGCGCGGGCCCTCGCGCGGCTCGGGGTGCACGTCGGGCGCGGAGTTCTCGTACTCGACGAATGCACTTCCGCGCTAGACGCGGAGAGCCAGCGCGGCGTGCTTGAGGCCATCACACGCGCGAAGGAGGGCCGCACAACGGTGATGATAACGCACAAGCTCGAGGCAATGCAGATGGGCGACCGGATCGTTCTTCTCAAGGATGGCCAGGTATGCGAGGAGGGGACGTTTGAGGAGCTGATGGCCCGCGCCGCCTCGTCTCGTTCTCGACGCGTTGGTTCTGCATCACCCCAGCCCATGTCTGGCTCCATATGGTCCATATTTTGACCCTGCTCACGCGCCCAGTAGCGCCGTTGGGGAAGCCAAATCATGGGTGGGAGATAGGTGAGGTGAGGAAAGAAGGAAGGGTGATGAGGACAGGATGAGAAGGGGAGGGTGAGGAGAGGGATAACCTTCCATCTTTAGTGAGCTCATGTACCATAAACATAAGAATCCATGTTGTTTTCTGCCTAGTAAACCAGGAGTTCGACTTGCTCTCACGTGACTTTGCCTCGGGCCGACACGAAAAGCACTTGCGATCGTCCTTCATCTTGTCAACACTTGTCTTTCGCGGTGGCTCTCCCATCCAAAGCTCACTCCATTCATGGGTCCCAAGCGACGTGAGGCGAAGCATATCTGCAGCTGTGGGTGCAATAAATATGTCACCAACCGCGTTGAGCGAAATCACCTTGGCGCCAACCCCCCGATGAAGGTCAAGATCTCGCGCTTCGCCCGGCAGCTTTTTGGTGGTGGGAGCGGATCCTCTGGTCAACCTACCACTCATCTACCTGGGCCCCCCAGTGGTCTTCCATCATCATCAACTCCTGATGACCTTAACCACGCTTTGCATCCTACCGCTCCGTCGCCCACTCGTCCATCTTCCACCCAGTCTTCGATGGTTCAAGATGTCGATGCGGGACTGTCCGTTGATCACGAAGAGGCCACGGACCAGCTGACGACAACCGATCTGCCTACAACCGAGCCTGTACGGCAGCGATACCCTATCATTGAGGTGGTGGAGGATGATGAGCCCACAACAGTCTTTGGCTTCGGGGAGGATGAGTGGATAGAAGGACAGGATGACGAGATCCCCCAGGATGAGTCAAACCCTGTGGAGGACGGCTGGAACTGGGATGAGGCACGCTACGACCCCGATGATGAGTTCGACTTTGATGAAGTCCTGATGAGGGAACTTATGGACTTTCGTGCGTCAATTACTTTTGCATCTGTGGTTTTGCTGATCGCATTGCAGGAGAGGAGCTGTCTGACCATGACATTGCCCTGCTGCGCCATTTTGCTCTGAAGAACACAACAGAAATGACGGAGGCCACCTTCGAAAAGCTGCGATTCGCCTTCCCCAAGTCGAATGTTGCCTCGTACAAGGTTACACGTCGCAGGGCCGCTTTCCTTGCCAAGTTTCAGCCCGTACCCTACGATTGCTGTGTCAACTCCTGCTGCTGCTATACCGGACCACACGCCGACAAGCAGAAATGCCCCTTCTGCAATGCCGATCGGCTAGACGCAAACGGAAACCCTCGCCGGCGATTCACATACATCCCCCTCATACCCCGACTCCGTACCTTCTATGGCAACCTCGGCATGATCGACAAGCTACGCTATCGCCACAACTTCACGTGCGAACCCGACTACGTCCAGGATGTCATGGACGGTTCTCACTACCGTACTCTGCGTAGTCAGCACGTCTCTGTCGGAGGCCAGACATTCACCCACAAGTATTTTGACGATGAGCACGATATAGCGCTCGGACTCTCGACGGATGGCTTCGCTCCTTTCAAGCGCCGCAAGAAGACTTGCTGGCCGCTCCTCATCTTCAACTATAACCTGCCACCCGAGCTACGGTGCTTGCTTGAGCACGTGCTGTGCGTGGGCGTCATCCCCGGTCCAAACAAGCCCAAAGACTTTGACTCGTACCTCTGGCCCTTGGTGGAGGAGTTGATACGTCTGGCGGGTGGCGTTCCAGCCTATGACTCTGCGACAAAGCAGAAGTTTATGCTGCGGTCATACTTGATCCTAGCGTTCGGCGACATCCCCGCAGTCTCCATGGTCATGAACATGAAGGGGCACAACGGCTTGCATCCTTGTCGCATGTGCAGCATCAAGGGCCTGCGTATACCTGGTCGTGACCGCGTCACCACACACTACGTGCCTCTAGACCGCACGCGCCATCCCTCCACAAGAGCCGATCCTACCGCGACGAAGTCCTATGATCCAGCTCATCTCCCTTCACGCTCACATGCGCAGATCCTTCAGCAAGGCCGCGCTGTACAGCTGGCTCCCTCGCAGGCGGCTGCAGACCGACTGTCCAAGAGCACCGGCGTGAAGGGGGTTTCAATCCTATATCAACTCCCCTCCATCCAGTTTCCCACCTCCTTTCCCTACGACTTCATGCACCTCATCTTCGAGAATGTTATCAAGAACCTAATCAAGCTCTGGACGGGTGATTACAAGGATATCCCCGAGGGAACCGGCGACTATCAGTTCGAGCGCACGGCCTGGGATGCCATCGGTGCAGCCACTGGCGCTTCTGGGGACACCATACCAGGTGTTTTCGGCGCCCGTCCACCCGATATCGCTCAGGACAACACTAGCTCCACTGCCGACACTTGGTCCTTCTGGATCCTCCATATCGGCCCCGCCCTCCTTTCATCACGCTTTAAACGCCCCGTATATTACTCTCATTTCATCTCGTTCGTCCGCCTGGTCAACTCGTGCATGAAGTTCAAGATATCACGTCAGGAGCTCGACCTAGTACGCCAAGGCTTTCGGGATTGGGTTGTTACATTTGAGAAGTGCGTGTTCCTTCTCTTTCGCTCCTTCCTGTCTTGTCAACAACTCATTGCTGTTACTTAGGCTCTACTACCAGCACGATCCCCTCCGCATCGCCACATGCCCGGTCACCATACATGCCCTTCTCCACATCGCTGACAGCATCGAACAGATGGGGCCGGTGTGGACGTACTGGGCGTTTACAATGGAGCGCTTTTGTGGGCGCGTGCAGCGCGCGATACACAGCCGTAGGTTCCCTTGGGCGAACATCGATGTCCACCTTACCGCGATGGCGCAAATCAATCAACTTAAGCTGCTTTACGGCCCAAAGATCGCGCAGGAGCTGTCATTGACGGCGCCACCGAAAGCGCGCGTCGAGGGAGAGTTCAGGCATCCATCTTGTGAGTGGCTCTTTCAAGTACTTTTCTCGCCTAACCAATTGGTACCAGACCCGACGTGCACGCTTTTACCGCCCATGCGACGTGCTCCCATCGACAGCTCCCAGCTGGACAAGATCTGCATACACCTTCAGACACGGTACAATGCAGATGCGGCCGACGTGCGGCAGCGCATCAACATCGACTCGATTCGTCAATATGGCCGTGTCCGCGTTCTCAATGGTGGGGATGACATGCGCGCGTCAGAGCTTGTCCCGCTAGCCAGTGACCGACGTGATGCGACGTGGGTCAAGGTGCGAGATATCATCCTGCCAGCAATGACCCTACTTACTCTCCTCCTACAGTATGACCTACTTGTAGATCGCAATAAGCACCGGCGTCGCGCGCCCGAAATCCTCGTGCCCAAGTCGTTCTTCGGGCAACTCATGAACATCTACGTCGTTGAGGTTTTGGCTTCACCTCAACTCCACCTCACTGAACCGGAAACCGTGATACTCGCTCGCATCCACTCATGCACGCCATGCAATACAAATAGTCTGGGCCAACTGTACTACAAGGACATGGGGAGGTACGAAGTTGTGGACATTCACACTGTGCAGTGCTTAGTTGGACGTGTCCCGCGCCGGTGGCCAAACCCGGATCTGTACGCTATCTTGGATCGCAGTAGTGACCTGAATCATTCCCTTTACATACCAGACACAAACTAATTGATTTACACTACTTTGAAAGTCCAATGCACTGACAGAGCGCGCTTCTACGCACGAGGACAAAGAGGAGGAAAGTCAACCGCTAACCAGGGTGTGTCTTCGTCGGGAACGTACCGGTTGACATTCTCCAGATCACTTTTCACCCATTGAGCAACCGCTGATCCGATACCCAGCGATACCCCACCGAAAAACGGATGAGCGTCACCCGGTATCGGGGTCACAGTGCTAACAAAGCTGATCTCGACATTCTAAGTAGCTCAATGGTCACAGCGATGCACAATCGACGCGTGGCGTGTAGAAAACGCTGGTGCCTGCGCTGGTCCAGTCTTGCCGGTCACAGCGCCTGTTTGATCTCCGACGGAGACCTACATACCTATGGCTGTGATCAAGGTTATGAATGGTGACGCTCTTCCAAGGGTCCCACGCACTTGCGCCTGGACTATTGTTTGTGATAGCTCGGCCTCTATTTCAGTAATATCATTTGTTGCCTGCATCGCTGTGATTCCCCATTTGGCTTTTTCCGCGTAATCTATCCGGCAGCTTCGTCGCTTTGGCCAGGGGACATCAGCCCATTTACCGAACAAAAAGAATGGGTAAGCACTGCCTTCCCGCGATGCACGTTTGCTGACTGATATGAACAGGATCGCTTGGCCGGCTTTGTCGCATTGACCCTTTGAACAGCATGCGCTGGTCAGGCATTACTAGTTTTGGATGGCGAACAATGCCAACGCCTCGCGGCAAACTGATGGTCAACGCGTTGGCCCCCAATGTTTGCCTTTCGGAGATATCGTCCGTGAGCGATATATAGGGCACTTGCGCTCGAGCACTGTCCCCAGCATCTCACTCTCGACCGCTGTCTCTGCCGCCGCCTCACTCGCGCCATGAAGTCGCTCACGATCTCCTACTCTCGCAAATCTTTGACCGAAGAAGAGTACGAGGACGGGGAGGACGAAGAAGAGGAGCTCAGCGTCGCCGCCGCCTTTGGCGGGGAAAGCCTAGAACCCGTCGAGGACGAGGTTGAGGATGAATCTCAGTATTGGAGCGGTGCTCAACCTAGGGACGACGACGACTACTGGATCGACAACGACTATGGCGACGCCGAGATCCAGACTCTGCGTTCGACGCCTAGCCACAGCAGCGTCGCCAGCACTGCCAGTGCCACCTCCAACTCCACGGTCTCAGAGGTCGACTCCGTAGCCTCTCGGTCTTCTTCGATCACTCTCGGACGCGTGAAGAGCTGGGGCACAGACAACTCGGATTACCGACAGCAGGAGCAGCGCGGGATGATGAACGATTACTACTACCTGAACAGACACTCGAGCGCCTTCTCGGAAGCCTCCATCGGCAACGGGTCCTATCACTCGCCTTCGCCTGCGCCTTCACCTCCTCCCCTTGCACATACCCCTGGCTATCCCGTCGGCTACCCCTACCACAGTGGCTACTCGCAGCCAGCTGGCCTGGGGCGGACCGATTCGGTCACCACTATCGCCACCGAGCCCGACGACTCTGTCCCTGATCGTCGCTCGCCTACCCCTCAACCGAGCAGCTCGGCGGCTCCCGCTCAGAGCACCAGGTTCACGAATGCTCGCCGCGCTGTCGGCCCGTCCCCTGATCCGACACGGTCAATCCGAGGCGTCGAGGCGCACCCATCCCGAGGGGGGTTGACCATGACGAACTCATGGTTCATGAGCCGGCAAGAATACAAGGCAGCGCAAGCGCAGATGAAGGCGAAGGAGGAGTACGAACGACATCTCCAAATGGCCCGAGTCGACCTTGAAGAAGTCTCCCGTCCTCGAACGAGGAAACCACCCCGCCGTCTGCAAGCTGGAGGCCACGGATCGCTCGTCCTCCCAGAACCCCAATACCGCGAGTGATGATGGCCTGCACGAATAATGGCTGACGCGGGCGACTGCTCATAGCACTCGTTCAGAGGGCTGCAAAGGGAATTCCGACAATCAGACTGATGCTTCATTGTTACAAACCATGCTTTCACTTTCCATTACATACTCTGTTATGCATACATATAGACTGGTTCCTATATTTACGACCCTCACGACTTATACGAATCCGAATCCGAATAACTAACTTCCTTTACGCTGCTTCGAACAAAGTATAACGACCAAAGACCAAAAACAACTCGTGTGGTCCACTCAAACTCCCCCCGACACGCTCTTCCTCACCGCGCCCGTCGATACCGACGAATCACCCTCCGTCGCCTGCGGTTCGTCCCCCTTCCTACCAAACCCGGTCCCCGTCCCGTCTCCCTTCAGCTTCTTCAGCCCCTTGCGCCCGCGATAGTACTTGCCGTGGCTGAGCAGATAGTAGAGCTTGAAGCACAGCAGCGCGAAGCCGTCCTCCTCCTGCTCGAGCTCGATGGGATACTCCGCGCCGAGACGCTGCGCGGCGGCGATGCCGGAGAGCACGGCGACCTCGTGCGCGTTGACGAGTGTCCAGCTGCCAGCGAAGGTGACGCTCTTCTTCCCGTTCAGAAGCCACATCCAGGGGACGACGAAGGCATAGTGGGTCCAGGCATGGCTATAGAGGGCGTCAATGTATGGCTCGAACGACAAGATAACGCGAACTCACCAAAGCTGGTGCCACCAATCCTCGCGGATGATCTTGTCTCGCTCTATTTCGTCGTACGACCACGTCTCACGGTGAGCCTTATTCAAGAAGATGGTCTAGAGACAATCATGAGACGACGCTGAGAGCGAGGCTGGCGTCACATACCTGGAAGACGTGCTTCTCAAATGGAAGGTCGCGCGAGAATTGCGCCTGATAGTTCGAGCAGTCGAAGCACATCTCGAGCTTGGCCGGGTCGGCGGGCGTCTGCTTGATGTAGTACATCCTACGAGACTGTCAGCATCAGACCAACCCTAAGATGAACGAAAGACCAGCGATGACTGGCAAAGGACGGAGAAACAGACTCACGGCTTGAATTCTTTTCGCCCGCGCTCCACGCGCTCGCTCTCATCTCTATCGCCTAGCGTAGTGACCGCCTTACCCTCGTCAAACCGATTCGTGTACCACTTCTCCATGTATGCCGTGTCATTGTGCGTCACCGTGATATCGTCCGAGAACTTTGCGGCTCCAAGGACCTTGCGCTCAACCCAGCGAGACTTCTTGCCGAGGATGCGCTTGGCCGTGTCTGCGAGAACGCAGAGGACAAGCTCGTCGTACTCCTCGTCCGTCTCCCGCTCGTCGACACCGCGCAGCTTGACTCGAACATACTTGTTGTCGCGCTCCACGACCTCGAGCAGCTTCGTGCTCAGGCGCACGGTGATGCCGCGCCGTTCAAGGTCCTTGTGCCAGTCTCCGTAGAACGCGCCGAACTCTGGAAAGACGACCATCGGCGGCTCGTTGCTCGCAAGCGAGCGCTTGTCGGGCGGATACCACATCCCGTACGTCGGACTCGTAAAGATGCGCTCGAGGATGATGGTCGGTACGTCCGGCGTCGCGTTGCCCGTGCCCAGGAAGAGCGCGATACTCGGCATGAGCATCGAGAGCACGAACTCGTCTGAGAAGCGCCAGATCTTCGCGAAGGTCTTGATCGGGACGACCGCCCAGAGAGGCTCCGTGCGGCGCACCCAGCGCAGCGCAGTGTTGAAGCGCGCGATGTCCTTGTGGAGCCTGGCGACGAGCTCGGTTGGAAAGACGTTGGTCCAAAAGTTGTCGCCCTTGCCGAATGAGACGTGCAAGTTGACCGGAGTGACGTCGTGCCCTTGCTTGCGGAACATGTGCATGGTGTGGCGGAAGATGTTCGAGCCTCTGCGTGGATAGTGAGCTTAAGCGGAACGGTTGAAAGGCGAGACGTACCCTTGAACGCCTTGGTTTAGCCAGCTGGCGCCGTGCCTCTCGGCGTCGATGGGGATGGAGAAGGCCTGCCCGCCACAATAGTCGACGGCGTCTATGAGCGTGACATCGAACTTGTCCGGATGCTGGGCGAGCTGGTGCGCGCAGGACATGCCCGCCGCGCCGGCGCCGACAACTAGAATACGCTTTACTGCAGGGGGAGGCATTGGGAAGGGACAAGGTGTCTTTGACCAGGTGGCGGGATCCCTCGAGCTAGCTGTATATTAGCCGTTAGGAGACCGATCCCAGCCCGTTCGTCTGACTCTGACGTAGGCAGAGATCGCGCCGTTGGCAGGTCGCTTCAGATGAGGCGCCATAGTCATGAGAATGTTCCCGCCAGTTCACAACGCGCATGGGTGTATACAATGGAGGCCGCAGGACAATGTCCAACTGTCGACGTCTTCTCGAGGGAGCAGTCTGTGTTGACAACGTTGAGAACGCAGACATCACTTCTACAGAGATGGCGCGACGGTGCGCAGAGTCGCAATGGATACATTCAGAACTAAGGGATGTACGGGGTTCGCCACGAAGGTGTCGCTGTGATGGGTGATGGGCTGTGATGGGAGTCGAAAGGAGCGTGAGAAGTTGTTGTTTCGGCAAAATCCATCCATCCAAATCAACCAAGCTTTGCCAAACAAACATCAACCTCTCACTCCTTCCCTACTCCGAGTGCTGACATTGTATCCATGCACACGGCGCGCGGTTCCACAACTTCAACGCACCTGACTGATATGATGGAGGGACTTGACCGCCTTTTCCTTGCCCTTCTTATTCGAGACGCATCTTATTCGGTATCGTTGCTTGACCCTTATCCGAGAACAGAAGCATGCCGCTTCGGTGAAGTTCCAAGGGCTTCAATACGCCACAAAGGTAAAGATTCTTCATTTACCCGCCTGGAGGAAGTCACTCTCCGTCGAAGACTCTCTTCCATCTCCAACAGCTTCGTGCGGTCTTCTTCGCCACAAAAGCCCTCCAAAGTCTTCATTTTACGCGCCCCATAAAAGGACTGGACGGGCTGCGGAGATCAGGTCGTCCGCCGCTTTCTCATCTGCCCCCCTGAAAGATCGCTACGATGTCTGCTGCTGATGATAGCGCCGACATCATGGTCGGTCCTCTGGTTCAAGGTGGTTCAAGTACCTGCCACACCCCCCACGACCATTCCTCCGACCCGATTCAGAGGGACCTGGCGTGGAATTGCGTATGTGCGTCAGTTAGCTGGCTGCTGACCTGGGCCTTTGCTGGGATAACTGGCGTCTTCGTCTCTGCTTCAATCGAGGAGCAGAGATCCTTCGATGCGCGATTCTCCCGATTACCCATCAGTCTCGCGATGATAGTCAAGGTCGGTGCCACCAAAGGCGTCAAACTTGGACTTGTCCTCAGTGCAGTATTCGCAACTATCTCTCTGGCCATGTACGGGGTTTCACGATGCATGAACGATATGTGGGCCATCGGAAGATGCGTGGAAAGGGCTGGCATCGTCATGCTAGTTTTGGGACCGATCGCTGGCGCTTTCTTCGTGGAAATCGTGGATCTTTACGAAGGCCCCGTCACCGTCGAGGTGCCTACATAGTCGCGCGGGCATGGTTGGCGCTACGGTCATCGCAGATTTCCGTTTGTACGGCTGCTGGGATCGTCCACGGTGGTTGTTGTGAATTCCTATTATCAAAAGGTACTATCTGCGTACCTTCTACTAGCTTGTATCAGATACAAAAAAATGACGTTCCTACTTCAAAGCTATATACCAACATGCAGTCTTTATCTGCGCGGCTCCGCGTCCAAAAGTTGAACATGCTGCGCGTGAGCGGCATCACCGATCTTCGGCCCGTGGCCCGACGCTCCGAGACCGCCACAATTGGCGGTCGCGGCGTGTCGCCCGCTGCCGCCCTTTCTTGTTCTCCTCCGCTCGTCTCATCACGAGAGCAGGTCAGGCCACCCCTCGCGTCGCTACTAGCCCGTTCCAGACAAGAGACAAACGCCGCTCTCGGGGTCACGCTACCTCCTGCCTCGAAGCACGCACCCCGCGGGCCCGGGCATGGGGTTCTGACGCGCTCGCTCTCTCCCTCCTTCCTAGTCGTCTTTTCGATAAGCTATAAGGCGTCCGAACGCGTCTGACTATCCACGATGCTGCATGCTGTACGCCCCGAGAGCAACTTTGAGCGCGAAGCCGCCCGTCTGGTGCGTTATCATCCCGCGGAGCGCGTCGTCAAGTGAAAGTCTCATCCGCTTCTCAGTCCTATGCGCGCGGCTCGTCCTCTTACGCCCATCCACAAGCTCCTCTGTCACTGGAGGCGCACCAGCCAACGCTAGCTATGCCCTTCTCGCCCTCGCGCACGCGCAAGACGCCCAGGGTCATGGTCGCGCCCCCCTCCCTCGAGAACACGCACTGCCAGCAGCCCGGATGCACGCACGTCGCCGTCAACGCGCGCGAGCTAGCCCACCACGTTCGCGCCGCACACGGCCTCGCTGCGTCTCCGCCGCGCAGCGTGTCCTCCCGTTTACGGCAGCGAAGCCCGCCCCCGCCGCGGCGGCCGGCTTCCTTGAATGCATCGCCGTCTCGCCCTTCATCTTCAACGCATCGTGGCATCATTCACCTGCGGTCTATTCAGCCACCGAGCACCTGGACCCCTCCCAAACCCGTGCGCCTGCAGGATGTCATGGAGGATGAGGAGATGGAGCTCGATGTGCGGGAGCAGGACGGGTGCTCGTTCACGCAAGAAAACGACTGGCGCTTGTCCGATGCGCCGTCGAGCGAGTACTCCCCGCGTTCCTGGGGTACGGCCGCATCTACGCCACATAATGCCCTCTCGCCATCTCCGGCCTTCAGCCTTGCTCCGGCGCCGGATCTCTCGCAGATTCGCTCTGTGACCGCGCTCGAGGCGATACCGGAGGATGAGTGGTCGGAGTAGCACGAAACCATGCCGCGCCGAGCGACTCACTATCGGCCCTAACGACTTCCTCGCCTTCTTGGTCCCAAACTCGCTGCATCTTCCAGCTTCTTCATGTTGCATTCTTGAACCAAACCCATCTCATTAGCCCACATCCCCCAAAGCTTGTCTGGTGACACGCCCGCCGCGTGCGCTACCTTCTTGATAGCGCACCAGCCAACCGACTTCTTTAGACCCTCATCGTACCCACCCTTCCCCTCTAACGAAGCTCTCATGCTATGACTCAAATGTATACTAGACAAGCCATTATTCCGAGCTATCTCTGGTCGGAAAGGTCCCCGCTGGCTATCTTCGCAGGCGGTTCACCCATCCGACGAGCGATAGCTCTTCATTATCATTCCACGTTATCGCCCTGCATCCTGACCCGTAGACTCACTTATGTATGTACGCCCTGGAAGTTTCATTGCCAACTTATCATTGACCTACTTTGACCGAGAAAAGCTGGGAGCGACCGTCCATGGGAAGCGTGGCACAGTCACCCCGAAGAGGAAAGTATTGAGTTCCCCATTCGGCATCATTTCCGGCTTCCGACCATAAAATGACATCATCACGTCACCTTGTCTTCCGCCCACGCTCGCGGCCCGCTCGCCATTGTTTTCCGCGGCCATTCTTCAATCGCCTTCGAGATACACGCTTCATACAGCCTCTGAACCACCCCCACCATCTATCCAAAGTCTGACGGCTACCAACGCACTATAGCTTATTGTTGAGGGTGGCGGTGAAGCTGTAGTTTGTGGCTGTGAAGTTAGCTCGTGGCGGGCTGTATAAAAAGCGCGTGTCCTTCGTCTGTATTCCCCGTCCGTCCCTCCTCCTTCCTCCATACTGTGAGCTTCCACATCTCTTGTTCGATTGCGCCTTACTAACAGTCCCTTCATCTCGGGATATCTTACGCTCTTCAGGTCGTCCGGGTGAATTATTTGCTCATGGTACGTCTTCCTCGCCTTCTTCTGTCTCATCTTACTAACGCGCTGCTTCTTTCGTCTTTCTCCTCGCCCTATCCTCGCGCCTCTTTCCGTCTTCATCCTTCCAAGTCGAGTCGAGGCAGAACGATCCATCTTCGTGCGCTCGTTGTTTCCCTTTCATCTTCTCTTCTCGCCCCACAATAGTTGCCACTGCCAATCGTCCTCGCGGACGGGTTTAAGGACCACTGACCCAGGAGAGCTCGCGCTATCGGTCCCCGCCTGTGGTCGTCTTCGGGCGCACGGCGACGATAGCAAGGCGGTCCCTGCGCGTTGGTGGTCGGTGTGCAGCATGTGGGGTTGCAGCGGTTATCTAATCTGCCTAAGGCGCATGGTACAATGAATCCATGTTCGCCTGAAAGCGGAGGGGACCCGCTGCGTGGTGTTGGGGTAGTTCGAGCGCTGGTGTAATATGCCTGTACCTTTCTGGCAGTGGCATGACATTCGCTAGATGGCTTTCTTACTGTTCGTTAGTATACACCGACAGCGAGTCAACAATTCTACCTAGCATCTGTGGCGCACAAGATTGCAAGTTGCTTGAGCATCGAAGGATCCAGGTACTCGTACAAGGGTGCTCAAAGGAGTGTGTATCATTGGCCTGCTACTGAATCAAAGACGAGCGGTAAAGTCTGCCATATCACTTCAGGCCCCAGGATGGCAAAGGCGCACAGCACAGGAAACCCGATGGCGATCATGTACACGCCATAACCGATGGCCCCCATGAAGCTAACCATCCTGACCGTCAGGACAGAGTCTTGACCAGACGCAGCCTGCAGAAGGGCCAGCCCGCAGGGTCCCGCGATGGCTCCGAGTACTGGGAATTCGACGATGACGACCAAGAGAGCATCGGCAACCATGAGCTGATTGCGAGACGCGCCCTTTTTGGACAGGATGTCGCAGATGAAGAGGTGAATGGGGCACAAAAGGAGAGTCAAGATGCACCCGCCCAGGGCGGCGTCCCGGGAGAGGATCCTGACTGTGCCGCTTGACGGCGCATCGGAAGTATACGAGAGGACGTGATGGCCAAGCAGGGTGAAACAGACGGCCATGCAAGATCCAAAAAAGAGAACTTGGATGAGCAGGCCGATCGGGCGACGGTGGAAGGGAATGCTTTTGCCATCCTCGCTCGCGAAGTCCCGCTCACTAATTGGAGAGGCAAACCTATTCGAGGCACCTCTGGCACAAGAGACGCTCCCGAGAGACCTAGCAGAGCGACGAGGCATTGTAGCAAGATTGGTAAAGCTGTTATAGTCTCGCCTGTGGGCTTGCTGCTTCAGAAAGACGCTGGGGACCCGCGGTAGTCTGCTTATAAGGAACGGAGTAAGGTGATTGGGAATAGTTTATGTGGCGCCGCGAAGCATTGCACGATACGCAAGGAAGTTCTTCCATTGAGAGAAGCACTGCTCGTATCCCCATAGAAGCGAGAGAGCTATTGAGTAGGCAGGAACACCGGTACCTGAGTCTGTCGACAGTGCAACGTCGACAACCATGCAGAGCGAAGCATGGTCAGAGCGCCTTTCGAGCGCGGCGCAGAGAAGCGGAGCGGAGGGAGGAGGGCTGTAGTCAGATGGTTCGGACTCAGGGGTGGTGTGGGAAGCACCTGAGAGCGAAGTATGGCAAGAGTTCAGAGGAAGCGGATGAAAGGTCGTGCAATTCAGGCAGGTCAGCTCCGCTGTTGATCCGTGGCGGCAGCCAAACAGGGACCCACAAGGACTCACAACCCAGACTGGTTTGCGCATGAGATCCATCGCGATGCGACGTAGGCTCATGCAGAGCAGAGATCGGTCACAAGTCGACAACAATGGCCGCGAACTGAGCATTAGAAGTAGAGAAAAGTTCGAGCGGCGCTGACAATAATCATGTCTTTCACGGCGTTCTCGTTCCTATTAGGTACAATGGCGTTATTGTTCCCACTCGAGCGACAACGGGATGTCGGTCTGTACCTTGTTGGGTTGCAAGCATACATAAGCTGGCTGCAGTATCAATCGGTCGCACATTCGCTCTCATCGAGCACTCGTTTCCGACGTGCCGCAGAAACCGTCCCATACGCCAAAGCAAGCATGTATCCACACCTTGGAGGTAGACGATGTGACGCCTCGGCCTTAGCCGACGCCACGTGCTCTGCCTTCACCCCTCGCGGGGGTATTTCCCTTGGAGTTCCTTGAGGTTCTCCTGGTTTCTAATGACTCGTATATATACTCCGTGACTGGTTATGACTACTTACAGCTGTAGGTATAAAAGGGCCCTCCTCCAAGGGAGGAGGGCAAGGTTTTTAATCGAGACTTCGTTACAGAGTAACCTCGTGGGAATCTTCTTCATCATCTCCGTGAGCCGAGCCCGGCCCGCTCTCCGCGTCACCGTACTCGCCTCATATTTTTACTCTCTCGCTCGACGTCCTCGATAGCAACATCGACTTCGACTTCGACAACCAGCAACCAGCAACTTGGTTTAGAGAGGGCCATCGCTGACGCGTGGCATACGGTGGGTTAGGAACTTCTCTGCTTTTACAGGCCTGCAGTTGTTTTTCAAGTTATGCCATAGATGAATATTTGTTGCTCGTTCACAAAGACGAGAGGAACAAGTTGTCGAAGCAATTCCGAGCTCTCCGTCAATCGTAGTCGAAAGCAAGAACGGGGGACTCGGGGTGGTCAGGGGAAGCCCAGATCCAGAAGAAAACGAGATTGACGCATTCAAGCTTGAGACCGTCGGTCGCGAGCAGAGAGCGAACTCCTATGGCTTGCGCTCGGGCATCGGTGGACGACAAGATCAGGGGAAAAGTTAAATCGCCACGCTTGGGTCTGAAGCCGTTGTCTTGGCTTGAGAATGGGCTCGAGGCCATTGTCCTGAACTGATTGTGGAGACCGCCGTCCTAAGGCTTTGAGTTGCACTTGCAAATCATATTGGTGAGACCAAGAGCGCTGGCTTGGGGGTGGTGGGCGGAAGGCCGAATCCGGGGAGAAAATGAACTCGGTGCGCTGGGGCTGAATGATTTGTCCTTGGGGCTCAAACTCGCACTCGTGGATGTCGCAGGGAGTCATCGGATGCGTAGAGCGCGAGCCGGGGGCGGGGATGGGGTACAAAAGTCGCGCAGGCATTTGATTGTTGAGTCTGCGTTGTGCGCTCTGAGATCGTTAGTAGACACTCAGATAGTCAGCCTCGAGCCGCGCATGTCGCTGCTCGGCAGAAACTCAAATACGCAGAGGAATCAGATTTTGCACGCGCGGGCTTGAGGAGATGGTAGGGTGTCGTCGAAGGCGTAGAACGCGCGTAGGACGCCCTCGGCTTGGTCTGAATCTTGAACACATGCTCAAAATCGTTGCTGGAGTCGAAATATTCTCCTTGAATGTTGGGGGTGGGGTTGGGCGGAGATTTGACAAGAAACTTCCGCGGGGACTCGCCGCGCTCTGCAGATCGGCCTCTGCTCATCCGTCGTCTTGTACGCGACCGGTAGCCGTCAGCGGACGGCCGAAACCGAGGAGGGAACAATGAAGCGGGAGGGTGTCAGAGAATGAGCACCAAAACTCAGCTGCCACACCCCGACCTCGGTTTTCCGGGCTCGAGAATCGCGTAGAGCCGGGGCGCAACAGCAGGTAGGGCGAACGTGATGAGGGCCGGAATCAAGAACCACACCTGTCATCACTTCATGCCTCGCGTGGCATCACATTCCCACACTGACTTCCCCTTCCCCCTCAACTCCCCCCACCCATTGTCGGCGACAAGACGCTCGGATGGACGAAATCATGATCCCCCCAGACTCGCAAAAGTCGAAAATACCCTGTCCTGCACTTTCCCCGTGGGAAACCGCCGAAATCTGCGCTTTCTGGCTCTCTGATTCACAACGACCCGCGGAATTCACTCAGCCGACACAGACTGCAATCGTCAAGGTAAGTCTGACTACCTAATCCCTTGTCTGACCATTTACTGCTCTCATCCTTTCGCAGCGCCCCGCCACGTTCCTCGGCAAACGGCGAGCTCATCGTCGCACGCCACAGCCATCACGACGTGACTTCGCCGCACCTCGTGCTGCAGCCATCGGCGCTTCCGCCTCGGTTCACGAGGCCCGAGACCCTCTCCAACCCCCACGCAAGTCGGTGACTGCCGGAGCGGGCGAGTTATGCCGCCGAGGATGAGACTGACCCCACTGCTCAGCGCTTTCGATGCGCTCGGGCATGTTCTCTCGATGTATGCCGACGACGGACGCGATACTCGTGTTCGCCGCTGCCGCTCCACAACCTGCCGGGAGGCGGGAAATCATTGGTGAGCGCGCAACGTGTGTCAATAAAGTCCGTGCTCATCGTAATTGACAGCGAGCGGCTTGCAGTGCACGTCCGCTTGCAGCACCGCTGCCTGCGCGCCCGATGACGTGACCTCTACGCCGCGGGGGGACGACTGGCGGTCGTCGTCTTCACCTGGAAATCGATGTACGTGATCGGTGTCGTTGTCGAACTCGGTCCGACTCGCGGTTCAAGACGATGACGACGAGCGTGCAACGATGAGCATAGAGCCCAGGACAGCACAAGAACGGCCATGTCGAGCTCAACTGCGTTCGCAAGTCTTGCGGCTCCTCTCAAGATGCACAAACTCGTGAGTTGCCGGCTTCTCTTGTTGCATATTGACAAGCTAACAAAGACTGACCAGCTCATTTTCTTCATGAGCCGCATCAGGACGCCTATATGCGCCACGCCCGTATGACTACATATGTCATCTCGGTGAGCACACCTGTTCAGTTCATGTTGGACTGCTATGAAAATGCGGCATTCACGCACTCGTCGGTGAGCCAAACACACATACCACGCATGCCCGGTATGCTGACGGCACGCCCTCAGACGCTCGTCTACCACTCGCGAGGTTGCACGCAAGCAGCGAGTAGCGCCTCGCCCTGCTCGCCGATTTACTCATCCTACGTCATGCACAGAGGAGATTATGACCCTATACTCGCGGGTCAGTCCGAGATTTATCGAGATGTTGTAATATCCCTCTAGCACTCGATAGGAGCGCATGCGGTCGCGCCCGGACAACCTGGCTCAGCGGCGCGAAGCGCTGCTCGTCGACATCCCCTCGCTGAGATCCAAACCTGACAACTTTGTGGGGTGTTGCTGATTGATTTTCAGGTGATGGTGGACGCGCTGGACCTTCCATGGCATGGAGGGGCGCCGTTTATGGTCAGGGGTGAGCACGTCGTGCACTGCACAATATGCTAACTCGTTCTAGACTCTGATCCTCGGGGGCCTTCAGGACAATCTCGCCCACTAAGAAGAGCTCACGCGTGCCTCGTCCGAAATGCCAACGAGCAGAGGCAAGGGAATCCATGCCCAAGCAGTCGTGTGAAGGCGAAGAGCGGTGAGTTGGAAGCATGAGATGCAGCTCAAATACGTTCTGACCTTTGTAGATGTCGAGACAAGTGCTATATAATTACTCGTAGATAGGCGCAATAAATAGATTGTTGACTTTAGTATATCGCTTCGACGTCCTGAGAGCGCGCGCGCCCTTCGCGAGCGCAGGAACTTGAGAGAAAGCGCCATGAGCTGGGAAACTCATGTTGCTCACTGCAGTGAGCATTCATGTTTTCCTCCACGATAAGCCATGCTTACGACTCTCATAGACCCTAACTACATCTTTCTCGTCTGCCGTCGTATCATACAACAGAAGGGGCCGAGGCGAGTTGGTTTTCTCTACTTCCCTTTCGTTGTCTCGCCACCCCCTTGTGCTCGCCGATGCCTGTCTCCTTTCTAACACGCCTCGGACTTCTGTTTCATAAACAACATTCTATTCTTCATTCTATCTACTGAAATCATGTACACGAGGAGCTACATCTACCTCAAGCAACTACCCTCCCCCATCACCCCACCCCTCGCCGTACCATCCTCCCTTCGACCTCCACCCACATCCCCAGCGTCTATGGGGTTCCCTTCGCCATCGTCCATCGTCTCGTGCTCTGCGCGCGCCACGTCGTTGTTGTTGGCCCCTTTCCTTCATTCTCGCCGCTCCCTTCTCCCCCTTACATCCCCATCCCCTCACCCTCGTCCTTTATCTGCTCTGCATCTTCTCGACCTCGCTTACGCGCCCGCAGATCGATACTGCAACGTCCGCGTACCCGTGCTGACCGCCGCTGCGACCCTTCGTCGAAGAGAGGGGAGTGACAAAGATGCCCCTCCCCTCACCCTCGCGCATGTGATGCGAGAGCGGCAGAGCGTTCCCCGCGTCGCTCCGAGTTTGCTTCAAGGTCAGTGAGCGGCTTGGAGGCACCTTCGCGCGGGTTCACGTCGACGGGCAGACCCCCACGTTGTTGAAGGGGGGGATGGTCTCCCCGTACTTGGGAGCGTGCTACCCCGTCGTGCACTTCGATGCGAGTGCGACGCGACGCCGTGAGCATGTCCCGCGTCGTATCTCCTTCGTTCTCCGTGCGAGTGCAGCGGGGTGAGGGTCTCACGAGGTCGGGGAGGGGGGATGTCTTTGCACCCTCGCCCGCCCCTCCCCACCTGCGCGGCACAGCGGGAGAAGCCCAATGTTGCTAATCTCGTCGCGCTTGAGGTGAGTCATCGTCGCCGAGTCGATTGAGCACGCGTGGCGATTTCACGGCGGTAGGGGGAGGAGGTGGCGAAGTCGGAGGAGGGAGGGGAGAGGCATGCGGCATAGATAATGAGCGGCGCGAGTTGGCCGTCTTGCGTATGACGCGATGCCCAACGTGCGAAGCCGCGGCACTGGCTGCGAGTGCGGGAGCTCGCGGACTTGTTCTAAGACATCGAGGGAGGGATGGGGGAGTTTGTGGCGTGCGCGTTCGCGGCGCCGCCGACTCTGCGCGACGTCTCGTCGGCGTGCGCGGCGTGTACAGACGGCGCGTAGGACGTCACAGTTAGATGGGGAGCCGCAATTAGAGGCGAGGGACTCGACATGGGTGTCCCTGCTCTCTTCGTGCTGCTCTCGCGCACGCGCGCGCGATCCCAACCCATCGCCCGCACCACGTCTCGCAGCCAGCGGGCTTGACAGGGTCCCAGGGCCACCAGAGAAAGACGCCCCTCCGGCCGCGCTCATGATCTCCACATCCGCATCGAAGGAGTCCGCACGAAAAGCAGTGACGTGACGAAGGCCTCAAACTACGCCTCGAGATCAGCCTCACGCCGGATGTTTCAGTTACGAAAACGCGCACCATGTCGTCGTCCGCATTCAAGTACTCCGTCAGATAGTACGGATAGCGCCCTTCAGAATTCGAGCCCGAGGTGTACTGAACGACGGGACTCCGCGCGACACCCATTGCCCACAATTTACTGGTCTATCATAGTAGTCATGTTCTTGACCCTCTCCCTGCGCGCTGTGGGGGCCCGGACCTTCTCCTGCCATGACGCTGCCGCCCGCACCGCGTCGAGCCGCAAGCGCCGGGCTCGTGGTACCCATCGAAGAGCGCGTCCTTGCGGTCAACCTTGTCGCTGTCAGTGGTGATTATTGTGATGCCGAGCGCCTTGACGTACACGGCGGCATCCTTGAGCGTGTGATGGATGCGGTCTTTGCTGAAAACTTGTTGGAGCGCTTTGAGGTGTGTTTCGTTGATTTCAAGTTTGTTGATGAGCGGGATGGTGACGAGCGTGTAGAGCATTGGTGAACGGTGGGGTACCTTCACTATGTCGCATCCTGTTCTGACGTCGTCGCGCCTGCCTGCCGTCGAGTGAAGGCGCACCGGCATGATTGATAAAGGTGGGGGAGGGCAGCTGCTGTCTGATGAGCAGTCGCTCTCGCGCTTCACAGAGGGAGAGGCGAAGGGGGAGGATAAAAGGGCAAGCGAAGGGAGGGGGGAGCGTGGGGGTCAGTGGGGGTTGAGAAGAAAAGGAAGAGGGAAGGGGGGATCAAAGGGGAAGGATATGCGAGGGGAAGGGGAGGGATAGACAAAGGGAGGGGGGAAAGCGAAGAGAGGCGAGAGGCGACGTTGTATGCGAAATGCGAAGGGAAGGGGAAGGACTACTCACATTCCTCCCTCCCTGCCCCTCGTGTTGTCAAGCTTCTTTCGAGCGTGCCGTCCGCTGTCGAGGGGTGCCTGCTCGCCCCTCGTCGTTGCGAGCCGCCCCCTTCGAATCGGGTTCCATTGCGCCAACGGGGCTGAGAAAGGTGGGGAGGGCAGCTGCAAGCGTCTGATTAGCTCTCTCGAGGACTTGGACACAATGGGGAGTGAAAGGGAAATAAGAACGTCGATGGGCGAGGGATGGGCGAAGGGGGAGGGAAGCACGAAGGAGAGAGATACGCAAAGTGAGGAGGGTAGGCAAAGGGTAGGGGTTGACGAAGGGGTGGGGGGAGGGAGAAACGAATGAACAGGTACGGAGCTCACCTCACCATCTCCCTCCCTCCTTCTTGCGTGCGGTCCTTGCTCTCCCCCTCATCCCGCTGCCTGTCGCCTCCACCCTCCACCTCCCTCTTCATCTCACGCCTCCACCCTCCTCCCCTCCCCTCCCATCTGCCTTGCACTCCCACCCACCCCCCCCGCCTCATTCCGGTGCTTCGACACGTCTGCACTCGCCCCTTACCCACCTCCTCCCTCCCCGTATATTGTATCGAAGAGTCTGTTCGTGTTGTAAGATCGTTGAGCGGGGCGAAGGGGAGGAGGGGGAAGGGGGAGGGGAAATGCGAAGGGGAGGGAGGAGGGGGAGGGGGAGGCGAAGGACCATATGGAGGGGGCGAAGTGGAGGGGGAGAAGCGAAGGGCATGGGCAGGAGAGGAAAGAAAAGCGAAGGGGAGGGGAGGGGAAGGGAATAGAGTGGATAAGCGAAGGAAAGGGGATGGGAGTAGAGGGGAGAGAGAAGCAAAGGGGAGGGGAGGGTGGATTTGAAATGTGATGGTGAGAGAGAAGGGAAGGGGTGGTGAGAGAATCAACGGGGGAAGGGGGGATGTATAGTAGTACATGAACAGTACGAACGCGTACCTGGACCCTTGCATGGGGGTGCCGTAGTTGCGCGATGTGCAGCCCTCGACCCGCAACGACATGCGGCAGGCCTCAAGCACGGCATGCCCCAGGCCTCGGGCGCGCCCTCAAAAGAAGCTTGAGTAATCGGGTATCTAGGCTAGGGTTAGCGCAAATGAGGAACGAGGGCGCGAGGGGGCATACCTTCGACCTTACTTGCTAAGCCCTTCGACCTCCTTGCTGGGCCCTTTGGCGTCGTGTGCCAAATCCCCATCTCCCTCGAAGGGTTCACATGCCGTCTGATTCTACAAACACATCAGCGGCGCGGTTGACGAACAAGGGGACGGCATCCGTACCTTCAGTTTCTCACACTATCGACGAGTCAGCCCTTCACGTGCAGACTCAGCTAGCCCGCCCTGCGCACGCGGGTTCACGACATGGTCTCGATGTCTGTGGGCATTCAAGCAACGGTCAGAGGGCTAGGTTTGGGTATCTAGGTATGGAGGTGGTCAGTAAGTCGGTACTGACTTTGTCAACGACTTAGTTACAATCGAAGAAAATTAGCACTACCTCGACAACTTTTGCTACGACGTGTACATATGCGGCGCGCGTGAGTCAAGGTAAATGCTACTGACCTGCCCTTCCTCGTGCGCCCCTCGAACGGCACCCTTTGACGATCTCGTGAGTACCTGAGAAATCGTCATTCCACGTAGATCACAATCATAACGACAGCCAAGCATACCGTTGGCGATAGTTACAGTGTGCTACGCTCCTATCAGAGCGCAGCCTGACAGTCTCCCGGCTCTACTGGCTAGCACGGTCAGCGGCGGAGCACGCAGACAAAGTTTCAATACGGAACTCCACCGAATCACTTCGAGGTTGTTTACTGAGTGATCCCACGCGAGCCTCCGGCAGTTCGGGGTCGTTACAAAGATATCTGTGAACAAGGGATCAGAATACGCTCGTGGAACAGGGGATTTCGGTGAAGGAAGGGGGTCCCCGGCGAGTCCTTCGCCTTCATAATCAGATGAAGCTACTTGTACTACGACCCCGACGACGAAGGGGGCAGGCCCCACAAAGACGTGGACCCACACGTCTTCGAATTCTTCACCAAGGGAGCGCGCGCTTGCCGCCGGCGGCTCGGCATTGACAGAAAATACCTGAAAATAAGGTCAGCATGCGCTTTGACACAACGGCGCGGTAACTCACCTGTGCATAACGCGCTGGCGCGCTGAGAGCAGCGGGGCCCATAAACGGCATCGCTGGGTGTGCGGGGATACACTAACCTTATCGCGTCGTTCACCAAGGGAGCCGCACGCGTGCCTCCAGCGCTTCGGGAATTCACAGAAATGCCTGAAAATGAGGGTCAGCGCGCTATTCAGCTCGCAAGGATCCCCGCGGGACGTAGAGGGCGTGGACAGTACCGTACTCACCGGTATACGTTCAGTGGGGCGACATGCTTAGCAATATTCTTCTACGCGTGCGGGTGGACGGGAGGGGTCCACCCTATCGTCGCGTTCTTCGCTGAGGAAGCGCACGCAGGCCTCCGACGGTTCCGCGTATGGAGAAAATGGAAGCCGCCAGGAGGAGGCACAGAGGAGGGCGGCGCGGTTTCCAGATGAAGGACAGGCGAGACAAGCCACGTGCCAGTGTCGCTCCTCGCTCCGTCTCCCATCACCTCTGGACTCGCTCGCAGCATGCGCAGCGAGCTCCTCAGTATCCGTCGTGATCGAGGGATCCACCTTGGGGGTCGACCGAGCATGCGTGGTCTGGGCCATAGTCAGTGAGCAGCACTTTACGAGTCATGGACCGCGCACCGAGTCGTTCTCGCCATCTCACGCGGCAGTCACGCAGACATTGCACGCCACGAGCGCTGCGGGTGTCCTCTTGCCCCCACGGCGTCCGACTGGGAGCCCTATCGACGGCCGCGCATGCTCCCCCGGTCTAACAGACTTGGGGTCCGCGTGAAGGGCGATTGCGCGGCGCAATGAGATGGCTGGCAAACGGCTGTGTTGATGGGCGTGTAGTTGACGAATGGCATGTGAGCGCAAGGTGGCTTCAGAGACGGGGCCAGAGGCGACAACGACGTGGCATGGGATGGTAGCGGGAAGGAAGGAGCACGGTCCTATACGCTCAGGTCGTACGCGTCAGCTGTAACATGCGGTGGGCAGTGATGAGAAAGCTTACCTTGACTGTTGACAGCGTTCTCGGCGTTCTCGTGACCTGCACTGAGAATGCCGGCATCGGTGCGGTCGTTGGCAAAGACAGGTCAGTGGGGCACGAGGCGCAACAAAGTCAGAACACACCGTCTTGACATTAACTCCGTAACCGCGTCGAAGGGACACGTTCTTAATTCTAGGACGGGGATTACAGAGAAGACGCAATGTGATGGTCTGACCGATGGAATTAGCGGAACACGAGGCACGACGAGCGGGGCAGATACTCACATGAAACGTGGGACGGCGTGTAAGTCGTCGAAGATCATGTCATGGGATGGCGTCCGGCGTTGGGAGAGAACAGCGGTGTGTTCTTGGCAGAGGCGCAATACCCTTGCTCATCATCTACCGCGGTGGTCAGCCCAACGCTACATGGCGTGGACGGCCTCAAGGATGACAATGAATATGTGCCTGCGTGCGTCGACTTCGCGTTGGTTGTAAGCTCGAGTTCGACATCTGTGGCGGCGAGCAAATGGATCGAGACATGTTGTCCGCCGTCTGCCTTGGCATCGCTGGCATCGCTGTGGTCGACGAAAGGCGAGATCGCCTTCAAACGCGTCAATTGTCGTCGAGAAGAAGACGAACATGACGACGCTGGGCAGCCCTTCCTCGGTGTCTGCTCATGGGGGTTGGAAGAAAGCTGCAATAGGTCGAGTCAGCAGAAAATTGGAGACATATCAAACTATTCACTGATTATGGTAATGACGGTCAAGCTGGAAATGAAGTCTGGTCAGTTAATATCAGACTCGAGCGATGAAAGGACTGACAGAGCGAGAAAGGACCTGATGCATATTGGTCAGAATGAGGCAGAGCGTCGAGGAAGCGACTTACGATGGTCTAATACGTGGTAGAGCAAGGAGAGGTGCAGGATAAGAAAGGGGAGGAGAGAAAGAGGCAGATTGCTGATTGAGAGGGGTTGCACCCCTGCCTCTTATACGCCGCGAAACGGCTATACTACGCAAGCGGCCCCCGTCAAGCCCGTCTGACAATGTTCCACCATCACTACGAGAAGTCAACGGGATCCTGGAGCCGAAGTGTGCCCAGGAAAAGTGGAAGATTTGGGGGAGTGGCGCGGTTCGTGCGCGTTCAATCTTCCGCTCTTCCCTGCACAAATGTCAGCGAGAATGCAAGCGATAAATCATGAAACGTACCCCATTGGATAGGGGAAGCCGCCCGTGGACTCGCGGAGGGGGTGGAAAAGGGGTAGAGCGCTGTCTCTTGGGCATTGTGCCACTGCTTGTATAATCCGTTCTGCATTGTTTTCGTCAAGAGCACCGGGCAGGATACAACACTAGAGAGATCGCAGACGATACACGAGGCGGTGTGTGACGCGTGACAAGGTCGGGGGTTGCGGGGAGATGCGGGGAGATGCAAGGAAGAAGGAGGAAGAGACAAACTTTGTGCCATTAGCTGGATCTCCATTTAGAAGGTGTTCAGCTTGTCGGCATGCCGCCGATGCGCATCGAGCTCACGCATTGGACGGCTTGAGTTCCGCCGGCGCTGTTACACATGTGTGCATCATTGGCGACATGTCAAGGGGGTATAGTGGGCAGGGGGGAGCGGAGGATGTGCGTATAACCAGCCGAGGGGGCGCAAACACCCGAGGTCGAGCGCGGCGCGGCCCTTGTCACAATCAGATGGGTGATACGAGCATGACTGGTGAGAGGGAGGGGTGAGGGGGGTGATTGACTATCTCTTGTAGGTACATTGTTCAGGCAGATCCCCGTAACACGCCTGGATTCTGTGGTGTGTGTGTCCATGTAGGGGCTGGACTAGCAACAAAAGCAGGTGAGATCCGAGATAACTGAGGCACGCTCGCCGCTCTCAACGTGCATTGCTGCACAACCTTGTAGAAAGGATCTGCGCGCGCATCTCTCCATGTCTCACTGCGGCGGAGGTGGCAGTGGCCAGATACGCGCGTAGTTTCCCTCCGAAATTGTGCGCCAATGCGTGCTGAGCGCTCAGCAGACAGCAGTCGCGTACATGGTCGCTCACTGGCATATCGCTGTTCGTCGTGAAGCGCACATCAAGCTGGAATGTGCGGTACATGTGGGGGTAAAATAAACACGCCTTAGAGCTGAAGAGCGCGCGAAAGCGCAGTAGCAGTGATGTTGGCAAGAGACAAGGAGCGCGAGACGCGATCGGAAAACGCGGCCGGTCACGTTCTCACGTGCCCGTACACGCGTACTCTACAGGGGCTTACCATATTGAGTCTTGCCACATTAAGTCGTGCCGTATTGAGTCTTTCCACGTTAGGTCATGCCATACTGAGACTGGCCACATTAGGCCGTGCCATATTGAGTATCACCAAATTGGTTCTTACCATGCTAGTTCAGCGCATAGGTGGTCACTTGAGTGTGGCATCACTGGGCAAGGGTTGCCACAAAATCCAGAAAGGACTCGACACCACACCTGAGGCCTGAAGTACCACCCCTTGAATAGTGTGAGCTTGGTCGGGAGGTTGGGTGCTCAAGCCCTTGTTTGATTATTTGATTTTTTCTCTCAAGAGAATGCTCAAGTCGGCCTTTGCACGCACACCATCCGGAAAGGTATCACAATCCAAAATCTACTACAAAGTCGCTATCTAGATCCTCAACAACTCCCCTACTCTCTCCCTTCATCCCAAAGCCATTCCCCTTGCCCTTCGAGATGTCCTACCGAGTCGAAGAGCAGAGGTTTGTGCATAATGAGTAAAGCAACAAAACTTTACACTTACCAGTTGCACCCCCTCGGCCGCGTGGGACGTCCCCTACCCCCTCTCCCTACCCCTCTCTCCTTTGACAAGACACCTATAGGTGTTGGAAAGCCGGAATCACGCGAGTGCAAAATCGAACGGCTCAGATGGAATCGGCTCCGAGCTGCCCTGAGCACGGTCGAAGGAGAGGGGAAGGAAGGTCGGCAGGCTGAGGCAGCGTTAGCCGCATGCACGGAGGGCGCGAAGAGACTTGACTCACTCCCGTTGAAGCTGTCCTGCTTCGTGAACGCCCGAACTCACTGAGAAGCCGCAACAAGGTCGTGAGCAGGGATTGGAACAAGAACCATCCCCCCAGCGGCCCTCCTTATCTTCGTATCGTCTTCCCTTCACCTTTTCGCTCACTCCCCCTCCCTCCCTTCTCTTCAACGTCTCTCCACTCTTCTCGGTCTCCTTCGCCTCCCCCCTCCCCCTCCCCTCCCTTCGCCTTGCTGACCTTTCTTCGCGTACTTGACCTTCCTTCGAACCTCGCTCGAGCACCCCTTCGAGAAACTGCCCTCCCCCATCACCTCACTATGTCGCTTGTATTCACCTCTTCACGCATTCTCACCCCGCATTCTCACCTCGCTCGAGCGCCTCCTCCCTCCCCATCACCACTACTGCTCTCCCCCATCCAGCCACTGACCTCTGTCCTTCTTCTCTTATCACGTCGCTTACACCCATGCTTCACTCTCCTTCTCGTCGCTCGACTCGCCCCCATCGTGCGCATCTAATTCTCGCCGTCGCACAGTCGTTGCACTAACGAGTCCTTGCAGCGTAGTCGCCCCCCTTAGCACTAGGTACAGTCACCTGCGCAAACCCCTTCTCGACACGGGGGCACTGGCTTGTAGGGTAGAAGCAAGATTAATTGTATTATGCTGCCTAATACAAGGTGTTTGTGCTACGAAAAGCACGTCCGAGGGCTCCTCCATCTCCCTTCGCGCGCGCGGTGCGCCTCCCCCTTCGCCCTGGTGCCACCATTTCCCATTTGCGCTGGCGCCGCTCCCGCAAGCAACTGCGCTTCTCCCCCTCCCTCGCGTGCCTCCCCCTCCCCCCTTCGCCATCCGAAGCTTCTCCCCACGCAGCTTCGCTGGCTTGACGACCTGACGAACCCCACCTCGTTCACCTGCATTGGCGTGTCGTACGTCTGCCAGTTGAGCGACATCACCTGCGAGCCGACGCGTCAGAACTTGAACGGGTTGGGGTTGCTAGGGCCGATGCGCGTGCCGCGGGGGAAGATACGGCGGAAGTGGCGGAGGTCATGGGCGACGAGGGGCGGAAGGGACGTGTGGAGGAAAGAGGACAGCCCGTTTCGGACTTATTACTGAGGAGGAGGTCAGCACAAGCTTTCTGTTGGGAGTGGAAGTGGCGCGCGAGTCTGTAGATGCACGGGGAGGGGCGCAAATCAAAGGCAGAGGGGTAGAAGGGTATGACTCACCTTCTAGCTCATTTTTTACGCCTATCCGGGATACTCTCCTCGAACTCTCAGCCACCTTGAATGACAAGAGCGAGGGCAGGGCGGACGAAGCTGAGTCCCGCCATGATCTGCCCCTCCCACATGTGTGCTAGCATCGCGTCGTATGTGCCGTGTTGCGTCGCGATCCCGAACCCCGAATCGGCGTAGTTGAAAGTCGGCAGTCGAATGTGAGCCTGCCCCTGTCGGCGACACACCGTGTATCGCGCGCATGCGGCAGCGTCCCGCATCTTCCCCGCCGTCCTACACGTCTCCGGCTCCGCCCCCACGCCAACGCCCGCGACATTGAGCTAGCACCCAAGGCGCAGCCCTCAGCGCATTTCGCATCGATTCGTGGGTTTTCTGGCTTGAAGAGGCGCACGTGAATGCGTCAGGAAAGAGAGAAAAATGGTTGAATTGAGGACGCACCTCGCACATTGTCCACGTTCACCCCTCCCTCTCCCCCCATCCGGCGCCAACCCCGCTGCCGCGAACCTCCTTTGCATAACCCACGGCCCCCGCCGCCCCTACCTCCCCTTCCCCTTCCGCGGCCGCCGCGCCCCGAGTCGCGGTTGTCGGAGGCCTGCTAGAGCTCGGGGATCGCGCCGTCTTTGGGTTTCTGGGCGGGAGTGGGATGGTTAGTCGCCCGCTCGATGAAAACTAAAGCAAGTGCATTCGAAAGCAAGTGAATTTGAGAGGGGTTGGGTGAACGTAAAAATCCAAAGCCAGCTTGGAAGGGAAAGTCAAACGACAAAACTCAAAACTCACCTCCCCGTTCCGCTCCAACCCCGCCTTCATCGCCTCCTCGTCGCCAAACTCGATGTAGATGATCTGTTGCGCGCGCCCCGTCGCCGTGGGCGGGTAGACGACCTTCGTGATCTGGAGAGGTGACAGGGTTAGCAAACCGACCGCCTCTTCCATTCGATTGAAGAGGTAGAGAAATTGAAGGCCTGACAACCTGTGAAAGGCGCAGCACGACTAAACGATGTCGAAAGACCACTCACCCCGCCCCTCGCCGGCCCGAGAAACTGCCTGACGTCCTCCTCGCTCGTGCCGATCATCAACCGCCAGAAGATCGTCCACGGGTTCCGCAGCGGCCGCCCCGACTTGGGCGTCCGCGCGCCCATCGACTCGCTCAGCGACTTGAGCTGCTCGTCGTCCGGGATGGGGGACGCGGCGGACAGCGTCGCCTCGCCTGCGTCGGATTTTGGGGCGTCGGGCTTGGAGGCGCCGGTGTCGGGCTTGCTCGTGCTAGTCCCTTCAGGTTTGGACGCGCCCTCGGCCTTGCTCGCGCCCTCCGCCTTCTCCCGCTCGGCCTACGCTGCCTTCTTCTGCTCCAGCTTCTTCTTCTGGTTCTTGCTTTTCTCCGGCTTCCCATCGCCGCGCGCCGCGCTCGGGACCGGGCTCGTCGCCGCCGCATTGCCGTTCGGTGCGGGCGTCGTCAGCTTCGTGCTGGTGCTACCCTCCGGTTTTGTGCTGTCACCGTCGGTCTTGTTGTTAGCATCGGGCGCCGGGCTTGCAGGGTTCGGCGTCGGGCCCGTGGACTTGAGGTGCGAGGGCAATTGGCGGTCGTTTGCAGGCGGTGCAGGCGTCGGGCCCTTTTTGGGCGCCAGCCTCGACACGTTCGTCGTCACGGCGTTCTGGGGATGGGGAGAGGCGGGGGTAGCCGCAGTCGTCGCCGTGCGGCGGTACGCGTAGTTGAAGCCTGTCAACTGCATTCAGTGCCAGAAATGATAAGCAGAACCCTAATTTCGCACCATGGCTCTTCAGCTCCGCGCTAACGCGCCCTTCGCGAATGTTGAGCGTGAGCGCGCCAAACGCCGCGTCGCACAGATTCCAGTTCCAGCATTTTCTACGACGGCCCGTCGCCCGCGGGAGGGGTGGCGGTATCCGCTCGATCACACTGAGCGCCTTCTCGAGCAAGACCCTCCGGTGCTCGTCGATCACGAGCTCGACCTGGTTCTTCACCGTCTCCCACACGCGCTCGAACAACTCCTTCCCCGCCTGCAGCTTGTGCCGGAAGCGCCACCCTTGTCCCCTCCCTGACCGTCGCGCCCTTAACAAGGGACTCCTTCGCGGACCTCAGCGCATTTTGCGTCAGTACGCCAAAAATTCGCGCGTCGGGCGAGTTAAAAACCTTCAGAAGACGCGTCAGAATCTGTTATTATTCTCGACAAATGACCCGTCAACACACCTGCGCCAAGGCCATGTCGGCACTGCGCACCGCTTCTCCGTCGAGGGGGTTCGCGCGTAACCCCAGCGGCTTGTCAACTGGGTACTTGTCCTTGAGGGCTGGGGCAGCTTGAGAGAAGGAGTAATCACCCACCCTCGTCTCATATCTCACCGAGGGAGCCCGCACGTGCCTCCGCTGCTAAGCTCGGGGAATTATCGCCTGAAAGAAGATCAGCATGCGGCTGATTTGGGCGTGCACCGTAGGGCAGAGCATGGGTGGGGGGGGGGGGGTGAGAGTAAAAGGCGAAGGGAAGGGAGGGAAAGCTCACTTTCTTGTATCCGTGTTACTCAAGAAGCAGGCCCGCGAACGCCTGCACTGACGTCCCTGGCACTCGGGGGAGCGCAGAAATGCGCGGAAACGGTCAGCTCTCGGCGAGACAGTGGTGTGCGTGCCACGTACGCTGCACGCGTCATTCAACTGAGCTTGTTCCCCTCTCTCCCCCCCTCCTCAGCGTAGCTCTCGATCGCAGATAGTCGACATTTTGTATGAACATTGTCCTGTTTAGTTCCTGCTGAGCGATCGGGGTCGACTCGGGGGCTCTCGGTAGGCACGGGCGCGACGGTCGTAATGGGAGTGCTGGCGAGCGCGTAGAGGCTGCGGTGAAGGGGATCGGACATGTTGGTGGGACGTTCGTGCTCGACGTCAAGAACAAGATGTGCCAATCGTTCGTCGGCGCTGCTCCGTTCGGGTGAGCAGATGACATATTCTGCGCCGAGGTCGCGCGCGACAGTACGTCCGTCGGGGTCTCAATGCGCGGGAGGGCGACCTTCGATTGCGCTGTGGATCGTGGAGGAAGTAGGGGAAGTTGCGCGAGCGTCGGCGCTGGCACAGGCGCTGGCGACGTAGTGGCTAACGACGTGGTCTTTGTCGCGCGTTACAGCCACGCGTTGCTCTTCCTCGTGCCGGCTTGAGGACGAGCTGAAGGTGGCTCGCACGGCTGATCGGGCAGGTCGCGCGGGAGGAGAGGTAGCGACGGGCGCTTTTTGCCTTGCGACTTCCTCTGCGGCGTCACTCCTTGCGTGATCAGGCGCGCAGGGGTGGCAGGAGGTTGGGTGGTGCGGAGGCGGGCTGGCCGCGGACGCGTGTTGGCATGTCGAGGGGCGCCTTGCTGATTGCGAAGGAGGAGGATGTAGCGCGGGGGGTGAGACCGTATGGCAGTGATGTCGACCGACACGGTCAGCGATAAAGGGAGGGAGGCCAACACAGATGTTATCGCGGAGGGGAAGGGTAAGAAGGTGAACGATGGTGAGGGACGCAGGAAGAGTAATGCGAGATGACAGAGATGCCGAGATGCCGATTATGACAAGAGCGCAAGGGTGTCAGCGTACTTTCGCATAACTCGTCTTTGGAGGTTTCCGAGTGTCAGATTTTCTCACTAGGCTACTCAAGCAGGCAGTGAAGCTCATATTCTGTCTTTTTCCTGAGGAAAATGGCATCCCTGGCGATGGAATAGCGACAAGAAGGAAGTGTGTACGAGATGTACATGACGAGTTTCTGCCGAAATGCCGGAATGCCGAAATCTCCGGCATTGACCAAACATTGCTCGGCATGCATCAAAAAACTTGAGGGACGCCTAGCACAGCAATCACGACCTGAGCTCCCAACAAACTTCATATTACGATAGATTGAGGTGTTCCGTACCGGCTTGATTTTTCTGAACGAAATCCATCCGGCCAAGCGTCACTGAAACCCCGTCGAAAAGAGGGTCGGACCGACTCGACCGGTGTACAAACACAGGAATCCGAAAAGTGGTCGCGTTTCTGAAGCGTCGCAGCGCATAAAACGGTGGTTTATCCATTTCATTACATTTCATTTCATTTCATTCCTAACCCACCAAAGTCTTCACTACCTACCCCTATTTCCCCCGCTAAGGCAACGGACTTGATCAACCCGGCACCCTTCGCGGCTTAATTACCCTCCTTCCCTGTCGACAATCTCAATGGCGCCAAAAGCTCAACCTCTGCGCGATTCCAGCGGACGTTTCCGCCCTCGCGCAGCGTCGGTTGACACCGGTGAGTCTCAGACCGCGTGGCGTGGTACTGACGACTCCTTCACTAGTGCACTCTCGGACAACGAGTCCGACTCGGGCACGGCGGGCGCTCAAGATGCGCCGCCTGCCACCGCCGATGACCAGGTCATCGAGCATGCGACGGTGCAACACGACGTTGTGCCGTCGTCGGGTGCTTCCGCCACGACGGTGGGGGTATCCCGCCAGGTGTCTGCTCTCGACGGAGCAGACCCTGGAGAGGGCGAGTGGTCGGCCGATGCCGCTGCTCAGTCCCCGACCCACGCGCATGCCGCCGACGGCCTCGTGCCTGAAGCTGGTGCTCAGCCGCGTGCATCGGGTGCTGTGGGCAGTCGCGCTATCGCGCCAGAGTCCACGGGAGTAGTTAGTACTACGAATAAAATTTTCCCTCAGTATGATGAGAACAGCGAGCACGAGGCTCGCGAGTCCGAAAGCGTGAACGTACCTGAAAGCTCTATCCCCGGAAACAGTAGGGACCGGTTGGATAAGGGCAAGGGGCCGGATCTTCGCAACTTCGGAAACCTCAATTTCGATGAAATTGAGCATGATCCCGAGATTCAGCAGGACATCCTGGATGCTGCAAATCGAGCTCGCGGATCGCGCACGGACGTGCCGAATCAGGGGCCGAGGGTGTCTTTGGCAAATCTGGAACCCTGCGCCGCCGAAAATAAGCAGATCGCCGATCTGTTCGATGCACTCCACCTCAAGACTGTTGAGGCCGCGGACTACGCCGCCCTCAATGCCAAACTGGCGAGACAGGTCAGCCAGCTCAGTGAGAGATACGACAATCTCGTCGAACTCCTCACGGATGGGTCTGGCGCCGCACGTGAGCGGTCGGTGCCGAACGAAGTTCAACCGGCACGTGACCTGAGCGCAATCAAGCGCGAGACCGCGGAGGCCTCTGTGCCCCCCGCGGTGCCTCGTGAACGTCCTTCGAAGGCTTCTAGCCCCGAAGACAAGCTTCGTCCGAGCTATGTAGCTGGGGGCGAGTCCTACTGGGACAAGTACATGGCTATGATCAGAAGCCGTGTAGTTGGTCTTCCGAGTTCAGACTCGGACGACGACGGTCAGTTTGACAGCGCGGGTAAGGCCAGCCGCCTTAAGCCGCAGCCTCCTGAGTCCTATGATGGCCGGGAGGACGATGAGGCCTTCTGGACCTTCGTCATTGATTCTCTTCAGTATGTTACTGATGGTCGAGTGGCAGCCACTCGGCAGGCCGATGTTGTCTCGCGTTGGCTCACTGGCAAGGCCAGAAGGTTCTACAAGCAGAACTACATGCTTAGTGCTTCTCGAAGCGCAAATCTAGACGACTTTTTCAGAGATTTATTCGATCACTGTTTCAGTCTAGACTACAAAGACAAATGTCGTACTCGGTACAAGTCCTGTATCCAAGACAATCGCGATCTCCGCGACTACATGCACGATCTAGAGCGCTTCTGGGTGGTGCTGACTGAGGAGACCAGCCGAAACCGGGTCTTGAAGTTTTGGGAAGGTCTTGACTCTTGGCTCGTGAAGCGCCTGATGGAGGACGGCTTCAGCAAAGAAGTTGATGAGTTAGAGCCTACGTACCGACGTGCTCTGCAGCTCTGGCAGGCTAGCTACGCTGCCCGAGCCCAAGCGAAGGGCAGGCGCCCTGACGATCATGGTGGATCGCCTCCCAACCGCGGAAGCGGCTCGGGTGGCGCATCTGCATCGTCCCGACGTTCTAGAGGCGGGAGCTCTTCTGCTCCCTCCTCTAGGCCGCCAGCAAACGCGTCTGCTGCCGCTGGAACGCGCACCTCGAGCTCTAATGACCGCTCGAGGACCACTGGAGGTAAATTCAGTAGACAGGCAAGGGGGTCACAACGTACCTCCGCGCCGAATGGAAGGAGCGCGAACGCTCGCGCCCCTCCTAACCGCAAGCCAGGAAAATCTCCTGAGCTCCTGAAGCGCCTCCGTGAAGAGGGGCGCTGCTTCCGCTGTGAGTCTAAGGACCATATAAGCCGAAACTGTCCCGAAGCAAACCACGTACCTTCGACGTCTTCTGGACCTCCTGGTCTCGCGATTCACTCGGTGGCAATTGAACAGGCACGTCTGCTCGACCAGAGACGTGCTGGCGTCACTAACACGACTACATTGTCAGTCAATATGGTTCAGTTCGAACCCTCGCACGACTCACCTGGGTCCAACCCGGACAGTACACGCTGCACGACGTGCTCACCGCCGTGGGCAACACACGTCCTTGCGGACTGTCCGCTTGTCTGTGGCGACGTTCCCGGACGCCCCCACCTCTACGTGCAGCCGCTCTTCGACTACTACACGCGAATTGCGCTGCGCGCGAGGCGCGAGCCTCCAAAGTTTTGCTCGGGCGACGACTTGCTCGCCCTCTGCGAGACACCCGAGTATGCCGATTTTATCGGTCGCGCCTGCGACCCTTTGTACGTCGGCGACTTGGGGCAGTGGCGTGTGCGTGGTGCGTTCGCGCTGAACGCCGTGCGCGCTTGGCCTGGCGACGGCGAGAAGCTGCGCGATGCGATGTTCCACGACCTCGCGCCGCTCTCGTATCTTCGCGATGGCGCGCCCGTCCGTTTCCTGCCAGTCCAGACCCAGGACGATTGTGTCTCCCTCTTCGAGACAGTTGAGGCCGAAGCTGGGCGTCGCGAGCTGGCCCCACTTCGCATCCCGAACGCGTACTTCATCCGCGAAGGTTTTTCGATGGAGGACTACGTTGCGCGTCAGATATGCGTCGACTTCGGGATGGACACCTCGCAGGCTCGTCGCATGGCGTACCTCTACTCCACGGGCACTACCCTCGGGGATCTCGTGCCCGAGAGCGTCGCTTACGCCCTCAACTGGGCTGTCAGACGCGTAGTTGGCGAGGAGCAGCGTCGCGCTGACCTCTCCCGCTTCTACGCCTTCCGGCCGTACTCTGGCTCGCCGGTCATCCTCGTGTGCGACACGCTCCTGGGCGTGTCGTGGGGTCTTCGTCTCAAGGACATAGACGCCGGTATCAACGTCTGGTACTGGTACATGTATCAGCGCATGCGCTACTTCGTGGGTGGGCATCAGAACACGACTCACCCGAAGCGCTATATGTCGCGCTGGTTCGAGTCGCCTGCTGATGCCGCAGCGCGTCGTGGCTTTGACGTCTTTACGCAGCCTGACGGCGCGTTTCCCGCGCGCTGGTTTCGCGAGCCCGCGGAGGACCTGATTGAGTCCGGCTTGTTCGCACAGGCGTGGGCAACGATGGTGCGCATGGCGTCCAACGTGCCGGTACGTTTCCCAGCTTCGCGTCTTCCATGGCGTCAGCTGACGGTCTTCGCAGTATCGAAGGGGCGCTCCGCGCCGTTGGCATCCTCGTCCGCGCGCGTTGCGCAACGGACAGCCGTCTTCCCGCGGGGGAGCGGCCGCCGCATCCCGAGGCCCATTGTCCTCGTCGTTCATGTAAGCGGGCATCCCTGCAAGGCGTTAGTAGACTCTGGTTCGTCAGTAGATCTCGTGAGCTCGGCTCTCGCTACTCAACTGCGCCTTCCGCTCATTGAGCACGATGGCCAGGTGTCCATGACGATGGCAGTGAGCGGGTCGCGCTCGAAATGTAACTTTCATACGTCTGTAGATTTCGAATGGTCAGCTATACATGAGCAGCGCGTCTTTGACGTCTTGAACCTCGCGACTTACGACGTCGTCCTCGGGACTCCGTTCCTGTACCAGCATTCCATCTCGTTCTCCATCAACCCGCCGAAGATCCTCATTGGGAGCGTTGAGGCGCTGCCGCTTGAGGGGCCACACGTCGTGTTAGAATATATTCATCTCTACGCATACACAAGCGCCCACAGTTTCCTATTTAGGTTTTATCTCCGTACATACGTCTCCGATCGTCGATACACGCCTCAGCTTTTCCCTTCATCGCTGAGGCGTAAGTCCTGATTTATATACATACTAGACGCCTGTACTGACACTTCTGTAGTCACACGGTTCTCGTACAGGTACACACAATCTATATAAAAGCTTTTCCCTTCATCGCTGAGGCTCACACGGTTCTCGTACAGATCCGTGCCCGCCGACTCCGTATCCTCCCTCCCCCGTCGCTCGCATCCTCCGTCAGGTTATGAGCCCCGACTTCCCAGCCATGTCTGCTCAGACGTTCAAGATCGAGACCCCGCTCAAGTGCAAGGACGACGGCACGAACTGGCCGCGCTACAAGGAGGTCACGCTGCAGAAGATCAAGAAGACCGCAGGTCTCGCACGCCATCTCCGCGGCTCACCTCGTCCCCCGCACCCCGTCTACAACCGAGTAACGAAGGCCTGGTACAAGAGCTCCGATCTCGGCGATCCCGACTCCGATGACTCGGACGATGAGGACGAAGACGAGGAGGAGGAAGAGGAGGAGGACGAGAACGCGCCCGCCACGGCAACTGCCACGTCGACGAGCGTACCAACGCCTCTCACGGACGAAGAGCGCGAGGCTCTGGAGGACAAGCTGGACGAGTGGGAGCAGCGCGAGGCCGCGATGCGCGACATCATCTACACGACCGTATCCCCGTCTACGATGACCGAGATCAAGGGCGGCAAGACGGCGAAGGACGTGTGGGACGCGCTGGTCAGCAAGTTCGAGAACGTCGACAACGTCGCCATCCGAACACAGCTCTATCGCCAGCTCGGCAACATGAAGTGCGTCGAGGGGGAGAACCTGCGCGTGCACCTCGCGCAGATGGACGACCTCTTCGATCGCCTCGAGCAGCTCGGCATGGAGATGGACCACACGCAGCGCGTCGAGCACATCAAGGAGTCCATCCCCGACTCGTACCAGGTGATCGTCACGCAAATGCAGCAGACGGTCTTCGCCATGAACCTCACGCGGAAGAAGAAGAAGATCGTCCTCTCTTCAAAGGACGTCATCGCGCAGCTACAGGCGCGCTTTGACGCGGACGAGCAGCAGAAGAAGTCCAACGAGTCCGTGGCGATGGCTGCGTCGCGGATGTCGAAGGGCAAGGGCTCCGCGTCGAAAGACGACAAGTGCTCGAACTGTGGCAAGGCGGGCCACTGGAAGCGTGACTGCTGGTCGAAGGGTGGCGGGAAGGAGGGTCAGGGACCGAAGAAGAAGAAGAACGGAGGCAAGGGGAAGGGAAAGGGCCAGTCGCAGGCGAACACCGCCGCGAAGAGCTCCGGCGTCGATGACAGTGGCGACGAGACCGCACTGATCACGATTTCCTGCCCGAACGACGACGACAACGTCGCGCTCGCCATCACCTCCGACTTCCGAGACGACGCGCAACTGCTCGCGCTGCCCGCGGAGCAGCGCTCGAAGATCACGATCCCCGACACTGGCGCCACTGGCGACTTCTCCGGCGACCGCAGCCGCTTCATCACATTCCACGACATCCCTCCCGAGCCTATCAAGGCAGCCGACGGGCGAGCGCTCTATGCGACCGGCAAGGGCGACATGCTGGTACCGTTTCCGATGGGCGAGAACGAACCCCCGACGCCCGTTAGGATCAAGAATGCGTACTACGCACCGGACATGGCGTTCACGCTTCTTTCGGTCAGCAAGCTCGATCGTGCGGGATGCAGGATCAAAATCGAGGGCGGGATATTCACCATCGCAGTGCAGCGACCCGAGATGAAGGTAATCGGGCGCATCCCCCTCGTACGCGGTCTATACCGCATCGACAAGGCCCCGGCGGCGCGCGCGACGCAGCAGGTCGCAGCGGCCACGACTCCGAAGATATCGATCACGGAGTTGCACAACCGGATGGGCCACAAGCACCATGACGCTCTGAAGCGTATGGTGGTCGAGGGCCGAGTCACCGGCATCAACCTCGACATGGACTCGAAGCCCGAGTTCTGCGTCGGGTGTCTGGAGGGGAAGGCGAAGAAGAAGCCGTTCCCCCAGGTGGGCACCTACGAGGACGTCAAGGCGTATGGTGACAAGGTCGTATGCGACTTGCAGGGCCCCTACCCGACCACCTCCCTCGGCGGCAAGAAGTACGCGCAGGTCTACCGCGACGTCTTCACGAGGGAGCCGCGCCCGTACTATCTCGCCAAGAAGTCCGAGGCGTTCGGCAAGCACCTCGAGTACGACGCGTTCGTCAAGCTGCACCGCGGCGTCCAGCATATCCGCGTCCTCGGCACCGACCGAGGGGGAGAGTTCATCTCCGGCGAGTTCGAGCGCTATCTCGCTCGCGAGGGGACGATCCACCACAAGACCGTTCACGACTCGCCTCAGTCGAACGGCATTGCGGAACGCGGCAACGGCTACCTCACGGACATGGCGAGGGCCATGATCAAGACGTCCAACCTCCCGGACTACCTCTGGGCGGAGGCGCACCGTCATGCGTGCTGGATCGACGCGCGCACGCCCACGAAGGGTCTGCCTTCGGGCAAGACGCCGCTTGAGGAGGCGACGGGCAAGAAACCCAACCTCGCGCAGGTGCGGGTCTGGGGGTGCAAGGTGTGGGTGCGGAAAGAGAAGCTGAAGAAGCTTGATTCGCGCGTGGAGGAGGGGCGGTTCGTCGGGATAGACGAAGAGTCGAAGGGCTTCCGGGTCTACTGGCCAAGCAAGCGCAAGATTTCGATTGAGCGCAACGTCTACTTCGACGACAAGACGGCGCGCGCGGGCGCCAAGGCCAACGGACCCGAGGGGGAGACGTTAATCGTCGACTCCGAGGCCTTGGACGTACCCGCGAAGGCGCCTACTACATCTACTCCGCCACCGCCACCACCGAAAGTGCAGGAGCCCACAACCGAGCCGAGTCCCAAGGCGGCATCGCCTTCACCCTCAGCACCACCGAGTCCGCCACCGACGCAACCCGAACCCGAGCCAGAACCGGTCCCGGCACCTCACGAAGTCGTATCCGAGGCGAGGCGAAGCTCCCGCAATGCAGGGAAGCCAGCGCCGAACTACCAGGAGGAGGACCTTCGACGTCGACCGCAGCATGTTGCGCAGGTTGCCGACGCGAAGGAGGTCGTCATCGAGGACGATTTCGTCGATGAGGTCGAGCGGCTAGCATGCGCCGCGGCGATGCCCATCAGGGAGGAGGTGGAGGACGAGGTCGACATAGGCGGTTCGGAGCTGGACAGCTTGTGGAGCAAGCTCGTCGAGAAGCTTGGGTTGAGTGCGGATGTGCAGGAGCTGGAGGTCGAGCCGAGGACGGTCGAGGAGGCGTTGGGCAGGGCAGACGCGGAGAAGTGGGAAGCGGCGATCCGGGAGGAGCTCACGCAGATCAACAAGCTCAAGACGTTCGACGTGGTCGAAGTCCCGAAGGGCAAGAACGTCGTGAAGGTGCGCTTCGTCTTCAAGCTCAAGCGCAACGAGCTCGGCAACGTGGTTCGCTACCGCGCGAGGCTGGTCGCCCGCGGCTTCACCATGGTGCACGGCGTCGACTTCCACGATACCTATGCGCCCGTCATTCGCCAGCCGACGCTCAGGATTGTACTCACCGTCGCTGCGAAGCGGAAGGCAGCCATACACCAGGGCGACATCCGGAACGCGTACCTCAACACCGAAATCGACGAGGACGTCTACATCGAGCTCCCCGACATGTGGGAGAAGTTCTTCCCCATCCCGAAGGACCTCAAGGGCAAGCGCATCTGCGGCAAGCTGCGTAAGGGGCTGTACGGGACGCGCCAGGCGGGACGCGGATGGTACAAGAAGATGCGCGGGACGATGCTCACCTTAGGCTTCAAGGTCAGCAGCGCGGACGAGGCGCTCTTCTACGCGTTCAACGGCGCCGAGTATGTCGTGGTCGCGGTCGCAACGGACGACTTCACGGTTGTAGCTGACTGCGACGACCGCGCGGACGAGTTCAAGCGCCGAGTGGGCCAGCACTACGAGTTCGTCGATCTAGGCAAGATCAACTGGCTGCTCGGCATGCACATCACGCGCGACTACGAGGCGCGCACCATCCTTCTCGGGCAGCAGGCGTACATCGACCAGTTGGTGGATCGATTCGGTCTGCGCGATGCGCGGCCGGTCGTGATACCGTTCGAGCCCGGTACCGACCTCAGCTACGAAGCGCCAGGAGTCTCGTCGGAGCTGTTGTCGAAGGAGGAGAAGGGGACGTACCGCGAGTTGGTAGGTGGATTGATCTGGGTGTCGACGTGCACGCGCCCAGACATCCAGTTCTACGTCTCGACGTTGGCGCAGTACTTCGAGGAGCCGCGCACGACGCACCTCAAGTACGCGATGCGCGTTCTCCGGTACCTCAAGGGTACGCGCGACCTCAAGCTCATCCTCGGCGGCGACCACCTTAACCCCGTGGCCTATGCGGACTCCGACTGGGCGTCGACTCACGCGCACCGCAAGTCGATCTCCGGCTTCGTCTTCTTCATCGGCAGGGGGCCGGTGATCTGGAGGTCGAAGAAGCAGCCCATCGTGACGCTCTCGAGCGGCGAGGCGGAGTACGTCAGTCTCAGCACGGCCGGGAAGGACGTTATTTGGGTCCACAAGTTGATGGTGGAACTCGCGCCGTTCTTCGACGAACCTCGCCGACTCTATCCCGCGCGGCCGACCCAGGTGTACACGGACAGCCAGAACTCCATCGCCCTCACGAAGGATTCGGTCCACCACGAGCGCACGAAGCACATCGACGTCCGGTACCACTGGATTCGGCAGACGGTCGAGCAGGGCCACTTCAAAATCTCGTACTGTGATACGAACAACAACGTTGCGGACTTATTTACGAAGGCTTTGGGTACGGTTAAGTTTGTTCATTTTCGTGATGTTTTGGGCTTAGGTGATGCTTGAGCTGAGGGGGAGTGTTAGAATATATTCATCTCTACGCATACACAAGCGCCCACAGTTTCCTATTTAGGTTTTATCTCCGTACATACGTCTCCGATCGTCGATACACGCCTCAGCTTTTCCCTTCATCGCTGAGGCGTAAGTCCTGATTTATATACATACTAGACGCCTGTACTGACACTTCTGTAGTCACACGGTTCTCGTACAGGTACACACAATCTATATAAAAGCTTTTCCCTTCATCGCTGAGGCTCACACGGTTCTCGTACAGATCCGTGCCCGCCGACTCCGTATCCTCCCTCCCCCGTCGCTCGCATCCTCCGTCACGTCGACGACTTGTTCATGGCGAACGTAGAGCCCGAGCCTGGCTCGGACGAGTTAGAAGCTATTCGGAAGCATCTAGTCGAAATGGCCTTACCTTTGTGCAAGACCATCGCGGAGACTGAGCTCCCGCCCTTGCGTGCGATTAATCACACGATTCCCATCATAGACCCCGACCGTCGGTACCCGTTCCGTCGCTCGAATTGCCCTGCAATCTTTCGTGAGCAATGGAATGAGAAACGCGACGCATATATGCGCTCGGGGCGGTGGGAATTCACCACCGCCACGAACACGGTGCCGATGCTTCTCATCGCGAAGAACCAACGCGAGAAGACCAAGCTACGTACCGTCGTGGACTTGCGCGAACGCAACGACAACACGCGCAAGTTGTCGTCCCCGCTCCCGGACCAGAATGCGATCTTGCGTCGCGTTGCTGCTGCAAAATATTGGTCAATTCTAGACGGGAAAGATCACTATGAGCAGATTCGCGTCTTACCTGAGTATGAGGACGTCAACATCATGGCAACACCAGACGGGAACGTCAAGAGCAAGGTCATGCTCCAGGGCGACTGCAATGCTGTCGCGACGTGTCAGGCAATAATGACGCATATTTTCCGGCCTTACCTCGGTGTCTTCATGGATGTCTACCTTGACGACATTGTCATATACACGAACACGCTTGAAGAGCATGTTCGCGCCGTCAAGAACGTGCTTGAGGTGCTTGCACGCGAGAAGTTCTATTTGGGTGTTAATAAGCTGCACTTCCTCGAACCGGAAGTGCGCGTACTTGGGCGTATCGTCGACGCGAACGGCATTCGTGTCGATCCTGCCCGCGTTGACGAGATCGCGAAGTGGCCGGTGCCTACGAATAAGAAGTTAGTCCGTGCATTTTGTGGCGCGGTGGGCTGGCTCGCCGATAATGTCGCCGAGATTGCCGCGCCTTTGGGCATTCTGCACGATTTGTGCGGCGAAACTCACCGATGGGAGTGGGGATTCACGCAGCAGCGCGCGTTTGAGGACTGCAAGCGGCTTGTGAGCGCGAGCAAGCGCATTTCGCGCCGCGGCATCACCCTCGGGCCGGATGGCAAGCCCACTTCGCGCGTTTGGCTTCTGACTGACGGCTCTAAGTCGTCTTTATCAGGAGTAGTCGTCGAAGGGGAGGACTGGCGTACCGGAACGGTAATCGCGCTCTTCTCCGCGAAGCTGAGTACGACTCAGCAGAATTATCCTGTACACGAGATCGAGATGTTAGCTGGCGTGGAATCAATGCAGCGGCATCGCGACTTACTTCAGGGATTCCACTTTATGTGGGTGACTGACCATCGTGGTCTTGTCCATCTTCTGCGGCAGCCAAACCTTTCGGGGCGGCAAGCGCGCTGGCTTGAGAAGTTGGGCGAGTTTGACTTTGAAGTCGTGTACCTGCCAGGTGTAGATAATGTGTTAGCTGACGCCCTATCGCGCATATATGAGGGCGACGCACCTGGGACGCTGCGCTCCCCCTCTGAATACACATCCTTTGATGAGGATGGGTCCGTCGACTACGACGGTATGGATATAACTCGGCCACTTGTGACCGAGCTTGGCGCCCTGGCGGTTGCGCCAGACGCTGAGGACGACGTCGCTCCTCGCCGCGGTCGAGGACGTCCAAAAGGCTCGACGAAGGCCTTTAACGACTGGGTTCGTCGTCTCGCCGCGAAGAAGGGATCCGTCCGCTTGATTGTGGGCGATCACGCAGCGGATGGCAACTCTGAGAGACGCGCGACGCGTCTGGAGGGGGGAGACGACCCTGTCGAACCCATTGCAAGTGACCCGAACGCGTTTGAAGACGAGATGAGCGAGAAGGAAGCAGCGCAGAACGCGCTGCCAGCTCATCACGCGTTTGCTTCCGATCA